ACAAAATTCAGGGAAAACTTGTCAGCTTTACACATACTATTTTTGTTATTTACAGACGTCGATTTTCTTTTAAAAAAATAGCAAAAGTATTGCGAAATTTCGTGTACAAACGATAGGCGGCCGCGAAACCCGCGGAGTGTCTGCAGCAGTACAACGAGGGGGTATGTAAACGCGAGGCGTTCTCGTTCGGAATGTCTAATTGGTCCGGAGTTGGTGGGTTATCAGATTGAAACACCCCATCAGCAATCACACGACCCTTAGTTTTTTGCATTTTTTGAATCAAAATTTTCTGGGCTTGTTGTTTTGAAACCGAACTGTTCTCGACCAATTCCTGGTCGGTTTGTAACCGACCGAAGTTGGTTAAAAATCTTTTGGAAACGAAGAAAATACCTCAGAAAAGTTTTTCATAAATACTTTAAGATACTTTTTTTCTTTGAACAACAAAAACAGTATCAGAAGTGTAATAAGAAAATTTTGATGCGAAAAATGCAAAAGTCTAAAGGTCGAGTGAATGCTGATGGGGTGTTTTCAATCTAATAACCCGCCCACCGATCAGTGATAGAATGCTCGCCTGCCACGCGGGCGGCCCGGGTTCGATTCCCGGTCGATGCAATTCTTTTTCCTTTTTGACAATCAATTACGAAAAAAAACAATCATCTGTTAAAGAATTAATTCTCTTACGTAATGTTTTACGAGTCCTTCGTCGCTTCTAAACTCCCCGTGAATTTTGCACAATTTCAACAAAAAAAACAAAAACAGAACATTTAATGAAAATTAGGGTAAATAAACGGAGCGGAAGCGAAATGGCAGTTAATTGAAGAGTTCTTTTCTGAAAATTTTTTATTTTGTGAATACTGCTTAATTACGAAATTTCATAGATAAGAAAATAAATAATTTGATCGCAAAATAGTCAAAAACATACTCAAACGACTCCAGCGCTGTTTTGTCTTTTCCGCAAAGCATTGCTTTCCAATGTTTCCACGTTATATGGCCACATTCATCTATTCTAAAAGTTTCAAAACTCTGCAACAAACTAGCTCTTTGCTCTCTTTGTCGAGATGCATCTCGCGCAGATATGTTCTGAAAATTTAATTATTTAAGATCTATTTTAATCGTCTTACAAATTGTATGTCAAAATCTGCTGTAATTTCGGGGATGATCTTGAGCCTTAACATTTGTCTTCTTATTAGCTCTTCACTTCTCTTCTCATCTGTCGTTGCCAGCTGATGAAAAAATTTTAAATAACTGAATATTTAATGATATTACAAAAATCTAACTTCGACGAAAGTAGATTCCCGTCAGATATTGATGCAAATCGATACTCGTCGGGAACGAACAAACCGAGCGCGTCTAAAAAGAAGAATGGTAAGAGAAATTCTGCAGTGTAAATTTTACAATAAATGAAAGCTGGTTTTCAAGAAGAAATACATTCTTACATTCTAACATATGAGCAATATTTTTTCCGGCAACATTTTCAAATGTGATTCGGCTGGGCACTTTGATTTTCGGCTCGATTGTTGCCAAATCAAAAAACGCGGCGATGTCATCTATTTGAATATTATATGTATGTATGTGTAGCATACATTTCACAAAATTACTTTCAGCAGCGTTTGCCTTGTTACGGCTCCGATTTGGTTATACAATGATGAACTCGAAATTTGATGATGAATATAAAGATCATTGAGATTGACACTCTGAAAATAAATTAAAAACTTTTACTATAAAATTGATCACTTCAAAAGCTCACTTCCGCTGCTTCCATATCCTACAGAAGATTATCGCTAACTTCTCACCCTGCGAAAGTGCCTTCGCTTTGCAGTCATTTGTGGATTCTTGTCCAAAACCTTGGATGAGAACATCTGTAACATAGATATTTGGTATAAAATATAGGCCTTTTAATTTAATAGAATATAGGCATTGAGAATACTTCCTCAGTTACGAAAAGACATAAGAAAAATTCGAAATAGATGTTGGACAAAATTTTTCTTCAATTTTTGAAAAAAAAATCACGAAAAAATTTTGAAAACCCATTGAGAAAAAGCAAAATAACAAAAACTTTGAAAACGAATTTCGAAAATTGTGAGGCGTGGCCGCATTGTGCAAAGCGGCGCACGGTTTTGCAATGCTGCGGCACACCTCTTCTACGCGCGTCTGCTACCAGTTTGGAGCAAATTGTGAGTAGTTTGCGATCACTTCGCTCGTATTTTAGTGGAACGTTTCTGTTTTTTATTAAACTTTCGCGTCTTTTTGTTATCCTAAATTTTTAACTGAAACTTTTGGGCATTTTCATTGTCTTTTCTAAGAAAAAGTAGTTTTCAGACACATTTGTATTGATTTTTGCCATTAAAAGCCGGAAACACGTTTTTGGATGGTTTTAAATGCAAAAATGATGTTAAATTAGGAGAACTTTTAAAGTTTTGTTATAACGGTAAAGGTTCGATAAGTGAATAGAAATTGATTTTAAATTTGCGCATTATTTCTCGTCGTTTTTCGCAATTCTATTATCTTTTAAACACTTATAATTTAGAAATGAGATGGCAAGCTGCGATGCTGATTTCTGATGCTGAATGCGATACAGGATGAGTTTGCTATATGCTTACTGGAGGACCGACTGGTTTTTTTGTAATTAAATATTGAGTAAGTGTTATAAAATATGGATGCTCATCAATTAACTCTTGTTTTACAGAATGAAACTGCAAGCTGCTAACTGCTTCAACCTAAGACCCAGCTTCTCATAATGCGAAGACCTAGGAAGCTTCGCAAGTGGATGAAATGTCAAGAGTCATGGAGAAGAAGAATTTGTATCTCCTTCCTGTTGTAAGAAGGTTTAAGACATTTATTAATTGTATTTAATTGTCGCAAAATTGCGGAAAATTACAAAGTGCCAAAAATTGAAGGAGAGGTGTTGGCGCAAAACTAAATGTCTAGATATACGGACAAAATATAAGTATTAAGTCTCATGCCGTGGGCCAAGATAAATAATTAATATTTTTTCGTTTGATATCTATTATTTTATTTAAATACTTGATTTAAATAAATCTAATCCCAATTCGCAACTAATTTTTCGCAGTTTGATAGCTGTCTCACATCGGTTCGGGCGTGAGACTGCTCCCATTCGGACGTGAATTGTCCCCGTTCGGACGTGAAACTGTGCCCCCTCCGACGTCGAGCGAGAGCAGTTTTTACATTCGAACGGGAGCAGTCTCACGTCCGAACTGGAGCAAATCGTTTGCCCCGAGGAGCATTCTACCACTGATCGGTGGGTGGGTTATTAGAATGAAAACACCTCATCAGCATTCACTCGACCCTTAGACTTTTGCATTTTTCGCATCAAAATTTTCTTATTATACTTCTGACACTGTTTTTGTTGTTAAAAAAAACTCTCTTAAAGTATTTATGAAAAACTTTTCTGAGGTATTTTCTTCGTTTCCAAAAGATTTTAAACCAACTTCGGTCGGTTACAAACCGACCCGGAATTGGTCGAGAACAGTTCGGCTTCAAAACAACAAGCCCGGAAAATTTTGATTCAAAAAATGCAAAAAACTAAGGGTCGAGTGATTGCTGATGGGGTGTTTCAATCTGATAACCCACCAACTCCGGACCAATTAGACATTTCGAACGAGAACGCGTCGCGTTTACATACCCCCTCATTGTATTGCTGCAGACACTTTGCGGGTTTCGCGGCCGCCTATCGTTTGTACACGAAATTTCGCAATACTTTTGCTATTTTTTTAAATGAAAATCGTACGCTCTTACAAATACTACGCATCGACATCTGTAAATAACAATAGTATGTGTTGCTGAAAAAAAAATTTTGTCTGAATTTATGTAAATTTCTTTTTCGGCTAATTTTCCATTGCGAAATTTCGTGTACAAACGATAGGCGGCCGCGAAACCCGCGGAATGTCTGCAGCAATACAACGAGGGGGTATGTAAATGCGACGCGTTCTCGTTCAAAATGTCTAATTGGTCCGGAGTTGGTGGGTTATCATGATGAAAACACCCCATCAGCAATCACTCGATCCTTAGACTTTTGCATTTTTCGTATCTGGCACGATTATGGTGTTTTAGAAAAAAACAAATATGGCCAAAAATAAATACAATTTGACTTTTCAATTTAACTAATAATGTTTAAACTGTTTGCGAATAAATGTGCTTTTGTACTAAATTTGGTTTTCCTTGAAATTTTTCCCAGCTACATTTGCGCGTTATTTTAAACAATGCGAGAAAAAAAAATGAACTTTCATACGTTTTCCGGACGAGAAATTTCCTTCGACTAGTAGTCGACGGAATATTCGCTGGAATCCCATTGAGCGGCATTTCGGCAAGCGGACGAAACGGGAAGACGACCGAATATGGCACAAAATTCAGGGAAAACTTGTCAGCTTTACACATACTATTTTTGTTATTTACAGACGTCGATTTTCTTTTAAAAAAATAGCAAAAGTATTGCGATATTTCGTGTACAAACGATAGGCGGCCGCGAAACCCGCGGAGTGTCTGCAGCAGTACAACGAGGGGGTATGTAAACGCGAGGCGTTCTCGTTCGGAATGTCTAATTGGTCCGGAGTTGGTGGGTTATCAGATTGAAACACCCCATCAGCAATCACACGACCCTTAGTTTTTTGCATTTTTTGAATCAAAATTTTCTGGGCTTGTTGTTTTGAAGCCGAAATGTTCTCGACCAATTCCGGGTCGGTTTGTAACCGACCGAAGTTGGTTAAAAATCTTTTGGAAACGAAGAAAATACCTCAGAAAAGTTTTTCATAAATACTTTAAGATACTTTTTTTCTTTGAACAACAAAAACAGTATCAGAAGTGTAATAAGAAAATTTTGATGCGAAAAATGCAAAAGTCTAAAGGTCGAGTGAATGCTGATGGGGTGTTTTCAATCTAATAACCCGCCCACCGATCAGTGATAGAATGCTCGCCTGCCACGCGGGCGGCCCTGGTTCGATTCCCGGTCGGTGCAATTCTTTTTCATTTTTGACAATCATTTATTAAACAATCATTGAAATATTCTTGAATACTGGAAGAATGATCTTCTTCACCATTGGTGTTAAATGCCCGCCATCGAAAAAATACCCGAGTTTTGTGGCGTCGTCGAAGCTTCGGTCGCCAATTGCGCGATTAACATCAATAATTTCGCATTTCCCACAGCTAAAAAAATAGGAAGAATGAGGAAATTCGCAATTTTTCACATCCTACTCTTTCAAAAGTTCCCGCAATCGTCGATGGCCATAAATACAACTAGGGTCCTTTTCAAAATCCTCCTAAAATATCAAAATTGGGAGCCAAAAGTCGATGAATGAATATTGACTTGTTTCACAATTTTGCCGCTTTTCAGCAATTGGGAATACTTCGATAGGATCGGCTTAAATGGCGGACAAATCGAATCCAATAGGTAAATTTTCGATTTCACAGATTCCTTGTAGATTTTCAGAGTTTCTCGAGCTTCTTTTAAAATCAAATCCGGTGATGTAATGGGTTGGTTTAGGCGAAAATGTCTGAAAAATTCAGAAATTATGACATTTTGAAGATTTTGTTAAAAAAAACAACTTAACAAACATATTTAGAGAAAAATTAGTTTCTCGATTATTTTCGAAATCTACCGTACCACAATTTTTATGATATCACTGCGAGATATCGTGAAATATTAATTGTATGCGCCTTTAATCATGATTTATTTTTATTGAGATTTTTCGATTTATTTTTTGTGAAATTTTGCATATTAGAAAAAAAATCTGAACTAAAAAAATTTTTAAGAAGATTTTTCCAATTTTTCGATTCGTATTTTAGAGAAAAATCGGAATTTTTAAAAATTTCAGATTCTTCCAATTTTTTAATTTGCATTTTAGAGAAAAATCGGAATTTTTAAAAATTTCAGATTTTTCCAATTTTCCATATTAGACAAATTCCATCGAAAAAAAAAACAAATTCGAGACCTGTCAATAATAAAAAGAACATCGGGTTTTGCGGATGCAACTCGTTTAATATATTCCCTATAATGGCGTATGCATCTCTTTTCGTGAATCGTCAAAACCTCGCATCCTAAAAAAAATCAAATTTTGACTTGTTCCGGCGATTCATTCGCACCGGAAGCGCTAAATTTTTGAATTGCCGCTGAAAAATTGCCGGCACTTTTGTAGATCAAATCGGCGAGATTCGCCGCGTAGCTATTGCCGACGATGAACGTTGTCAAATTGCCGTTGAGACGCGATTCCTCGAACTCGCAGAAGCCGTGCACTGTCGTGTTCGGCTGGCAATGGGGCGCAATCAGCATCGGATATTCATTGCGAGACCAATGGTCCATCAAAAATTGGCTGTCTTCTAGAAAATCTCTCATTTTTGTTGAATTTCAGCGAAAAAAAAATGCACACAAAACCTTGAGAAATGTTGGAAAAATCGAGATTCTCGATATCGCCATCCAAATATTTGCCAATTTTCAGCCGCTCATTGTAATGCAAAAAAAAATCGATGGTGTTTCGAAATGGTGCTGAAATTTTCCGATTTTGGGCATTTTCTTGTGAGAGGATGGTGGGTCACACTTTGTGCGAAAATCATTGCAATTGTGAGTACATAAAGAGGCAGAATTAGAATGGCGATTCCCGATGGTCCCAAGTTTAGGTAGAACTTCTCAAACGTTTCCGAAATCAGGATGGCGAGAATTATCGAGATGCAAATCGCGCACGGGTAGGCTGCCAATTTCCAACTTCATCCATATTTCGGGTTTTTTTTTGCCTCACCCAAAATATTGTCCTCGTAGAAACATTTGAGATAGACGTATAAGGGCCAATGCACCAAATAGAGGGCGTATGAGATATCGCCAAAATAAACCAGGTGGCTGGAAATTGTCCCACTAATTACTCCTAGTTAATTAGTGATTAATTACCGATTATTCAATGGGTTTTGATCTACAAGGGTTCCCGCAGTGATTATGACAGCCGTCAGGAGTGTGCACACCTGGAATTGGCGCTTAATCGAATTTCAGCAAGTGACTTACAATCCGCAAAATTTTCGATGGCAATTCTTCGGGAAAGAAGGATAATATGAGAAGAAGCATTAGAGAAATGTACAAAGTGGTTTGGAATGGCAGGCGTGGAAGAGATGGTCCGCGGAGTTTCGGGCTCGCTTGCTCAATATCCAAGTCATCGTCGTCATGGTCATCTGAAGATCAACTAGGTTTCTCGACACACACAGATGAACCTCGCACCTTGATCCAATAGTAAGAACTCATTTTTCGGGTTCACATCAAGCTCTTTGAAGTATTCGCTGATGTTGAACGCGAACGAGCCGGCGACGAATTGCCAAATTCGGCAGAAAACGCTGGAAGCGATGCGATGCGCCTTTAAACTCAAACGATCGGATACCTGTTGAACGAGGTGTCGGAATCGGCGAGAAGATGGTAGGCGAGACTCGCGATGAATACCGTACTCGCATACAGGATACGGTAGTCGTGGCATTTGGAGGCGACGAGGAGCAGAAGAGGCGCGAGCACGTAGAATTGCATTTCGACGCACAACGACCAGGTATGTGTGAAGATGTCGTCGGCTTGATTCAACTGAGCACACATAATTAATTATTTAGGGGGCCAATTAAGGGGGGGGGGGTGCAATTCTAGATGTATACCATTTTGAAATACTCATTTCGATCCGAATGTCGCGCCAAATTTCGATAGAGAAACATTGAAGTGAACGCCGAATCGCAATTGATCGAGATGAACGTTGGCGGGAATAATAGAAAGACGAGAAGCGTTGCACCAAATATGGTGAACATGAAGAGCGGCACGATTCGTTTGATTCGGCGATAGTAGAATTGTTGGATCGACGCCGAATCCAGCGATTTCGATGAGCCCAATATCATTGTCATCAGGTAGCCGGACAACACGAAAAACCTTAATTGCCCTAATTAAGTACACCAATTATAATTGAATAATTACATGTCAACTCCAATGTATCCATTTGGGAATGTTTCGCCGAAATAATGGAATAGTAGTACTGCGAGAATTGCGATTCCACGAATTCCTTGGAGATCGAAACGCTTCATTCATTAAATGGCGGGCGCACCTGTGGAGTCTTTGCTGATGACATTATGATTTTTCTTTTTGATATTTATCGCGGATTTCCATCGGAACAGTTCAAGAAATTAGATTTTTGCGCTGCGCGAAGTCCCCTCCCATTTTTCCTCTCGTCGTCAGGCGTCTCTCATATTTCGTCGCCTCTTCCTGGCATGCATATGGCGATAAAGAGAACGACGCTCGCACAGGCAAAACGCGACGGATGAAATCCGGAAATCAAGATCCGTAATTAACACGTTTTAAAAACGTGGCCAATAAATCTCCGGACTTTGTCCGTTTTTTGTCCGTGATGCCTTTCAAAGAAATTTTTGGTCCGTACTTGGCCCGTTTTTTAGCCGTGGCGTTTTATCCTGAAAATCAAGATCCGTAATTAACACGTTTTAAAAACGTGGCCTATAAATCTCCGGACTTTGTCCGTTTTTTTACCGCGGCGTTTTTCAAAGAAATTTTTGGTCCGTACTTGGCCCGTTTTTTAGCCGTGACGTTCAAATATCCGGACTTCGCCCGGACTTCATCCGTCGCGTTTTGCCTGTGCGAGCATCGGTGGTTCAGTGGTAGAATGCTCGCCTGCCACGCGGGCGGCCCGGGTTCGATTCCCGGTCGATGCAATTCTTTTATTTTGGTCAATCATTTATCGAAATTGTTGAAATTGTCCTGTTCAGTTTTGGGGCTTCATAGATTAATCACGGATCGTCACGCGTCAATTCATCGCCAATCAATTTTCAATAATCTACGCGAATTGTTTTACACAAGTGTTTATAAATATTTTGCAGAATACACGAGATGGCTCTCCAATCAAAAGAAGGAATCTGTGAGTTTTTGCTTCGACATATGTACACACATTTTACTTTCGCCTCTCACTTTATTTTAATTTAAAATTCGCAATAGTACTATTTAGATGAGAATGTAACGCATGAAGAACAAGAAAACTTCACGACAAGGACCTTATGGACCTATTCATGCAATGAAAAAAATAAAAAAAGAAACAATTTTTTTCATTTGAATTCCCTATGCACGCACGTCAAAAATTACAAAAAATTGACGCGATATATCGTAATTCTTCGCTATTTATTTTTAAAGGCGCATGCGAAAAGTAGCGCGGGTCACGTCGCGAAGTCGGTACTGTAATTTTTATTTTTCATTTTGTGTGCTAGTTTTCCGTATTTCTTGAAAACTTCGAAGAGAAAATGACGAACAATATACTTTTACAGATTTCCAAAAGAAAACGTTTTAAACGCTCAAAAAATCAAAAAATCGAAAAAAAAAACAGCCATTAAAAAATTACAGTACCGACTTCGCGACGTGACCCGCGCAACTTTTCGCATGCGCCTTTAAAAATAAATAGCGAAGAATTACGATATATCGCGTCAATTTTTTGTAATTTTCGACGTGCGTGCATAGGGAAATCAAATGAAAAAAATTGATTTTTTTAAAAATTTTTTCATTGCATGAATAGGTCCATTAAAGAAGCTTTCGAGGAATTGGTATCGATTATGACCACGTTAGCCTTGGAGCAGGAGCGGGAGAAGAGTTTCACAACCAACCAATGTTCTAGAGCTTACTTAAAAAATCGTTTTAACAAAAAAATATATATATAATGCTAGACCGAGGTTTACTCATTTGGATCAAGAAGTGGACAGAGATGCTCACGCCAGCAATCTGCTCGAAATGCATTGATTTCGAAACTCTACTTCAACAGAAAAACCAAAAGGTTGATCGAAACTGCCGGCGTTTCACATATTCGAGACATATCTCAAAGTTTTGTGTAAGTATATTAGCAAAAACATCGAGCGCCCTGGTTATATGTGGACCATTGTAGTTTTTGAATAATTTTTGAGGCGTTAGTTCAAATTTGAATTCAAATTGGGCTGACGATTTGGAAAAAAGAGTGAGCTAACAAATGCGTTTAATACCTATGAAGCCTCGAACCCTGGCCAGAGGGGGGTTTGGGTGAACTTATTAGAAAATTGCGGTTCCCCAGATTCCTTGGAGGTGAAGTGCCGACTGATCAACTCAATCCCCCCCCCTCCTCATATTATCGTCATCGCAAATCTATTTCAATTGTCGCTTGTCCTCCGGTTTTCTCCGGATTGAGCGAAAACAGTGTTTTTTTTTTTTTTCAAATTGCCGCTTGCGGTGTCTTCCGGGATATGTCTGCAGATCGTTGCAATGATGATCTCTAGTTTCAATCAATTAAAATTAATTAGTGTCGTTTCCGTCCAAAATTTTTGCCAAATACGATAATGCGTTTGAATTGGCGCCAAAAAAAACCATTTCCTGTTTACGATCGATATATATATAAATATACATATAAATACATATAAACGTTTGGTGTGTTTGAAAATCACGAAAACAATTTCTGTGTGTAAACACCGCGACGCAAAAAGGCACCTGACATTTCTATCTCGTTTCATACTACCAAATTAGCAATTTTAAAGGCGCATCGAATTTGTGAGACTAATTCAATAAGCACTCTTTTTAATCGAATGCCGAAAATCGTTGAAAACTAGTGCCAAAATTTTTTTTGTCAAACAACCCTTTTCTTGAAACATCAAGAACAATTCGAATCGTCTGTCCAAATTCAATTTCTCAAAAAAACAAAAAAAAAGACGAAATCGAATTTTACTTCAAATTGTGCATTTTCAACGAAAAAAAAAATCAATAATTTTATTCAAATAGCTCTCATTTCTTCGATGTTGCCGTCTATTTCGAAAATAGATCATTTTTAAAAATTATATATTATATGTACATACATATATAGTCGGTGTACGCCAGTAGATTTACGGGGGGTGCGTCTTTCGAGATGGTCTCGCCGCAATTCTTATTTTTTCTTTATGATTATGTGATTTTCTTGAATGTTATATATAAGCCGCCTGCGTTTTGAGAGAGTGTGTTCAATCGAGAGAGTGCAAGATAACGAGAGAGCGTGCAGTGGAAGGAGACGCAAACAGCAAAACGCTTTGCGATAGAGCGCGATCGAACCCTCGATCTGCTTTTTGCAAACGTGGGATATTATATTATTGAAATTAAAAGGGATGACCCCAAAAGAGAAAAATAATCAATTAATCGGTGCGAGATTAAAAAAGGCGAAGGGGCATGCCCGTAAATCTACAACAGACGCCAACGATTATATATTTATGCGTTACCGTCGATGACGACTGCGTCGACGCCGCCAACATGATGCTCTTCTTTTTCGCGTCATTATTTTCAGGTTGGCTGGAAAAAAAATTAGAAAAAAAAGCATGCAACAAAATTCGCCTACACATCGTCGCCACGCGTTATCTCATCTTTTCCAGTATGCCTCTCTGAAAATGTTCTTTTTTTTCTCTTGTTGAAACAAGGTCCCCGGCGTTATGCGCCTTTAAATTTGGAATTTTTATTTTTAGTGGGAATTCTACAATTTGTTTTCTAAAGGCGCACGCATTGCCGGTTGTGGGCGGGGTGGGTCTAGCAGCGAAATTCTACAACAACAAAAAAAACAAGCCAACACCATTTTTTCGCGCCTTCAACGTGATAATCGATACAGCGCCTGTCTCCGACACCTTCAATATGGCTCCTTTATTCTGAAAATGCCAAAATTCGACAAATCCATTTTCGATGCCAACAACAATAAAAAATCACCTCGGTCTCGTTCATGTATCTCGGCGCCGAGAAAATCGTAATCAGTTTGCGATCGGCGTAGAATTTGAAGCCATTCTCCATCATCTAAAAAAGGCCGAAAATAAACAAGGCCACGCGCCCACGGCCACGGCCACACGAGTTGTTTGAACCAGAAAAAAAAACTGGCAAAAAATGGTGTTCGACGAAATTTTCATTTTCAACTAAATTTTTTTTCGATGAAAATTTTTTGAAATTGTGCGCAAAAAATTTGATCTGCCGTTTTTTTTTACAAAAAAAAAACTAAAAAATTGAATTTTACATTTTTTTCAATTAGTGCAAAATGTCGTCGAATATTGCGTTTTTTTCGTTTCTACGATTTTTCCGAACATATTCCGTAAAAAATTGCTATTCGACGAAATTTTCGCTTTTTTTAAAAATAAAAAAATTTCGAAATCGATTTCTCGAGGTTCCGCCGTGCTGATACACTCAAACACCATAAGCCTAAGCCTCAAAAATTTGTAGTCAGGCTCACCTGATGTGCTCGAACAACAAGCTGAATGTTCAATTTGTTCACACATTCTTTGACGGCCTGCTCATTGAATGTGCACGACAGACCGCGAAGGGCGTTTTTCAGAAATTGCGGGTTCCTAGACTATCGATTTTTTTTTCGTCCACTCGTTGTTTTTTTTGCAATGGTCCCTTACTCATTGATCGCGTGCACATTGCCGTGGTCCAGAGGATCGGACCACAATAGGTCAAGCGCGAGTTTATTGTCGTTGATGTCGACGATTGGGCGTTGAATCTAGAATTTTGAATTTAAAAATTGCAACAAAAAAAAAGAAAAGAAAATAGACGCGTCGCGGCTCGAAATATTTTGCTGCGAAAAAAACACATGGTACATTTTTGCGTCGCCGTGTTTGCACACAACAAACAAACGAGGCGCGTTGTGTACTCCGCACGGAGAAGGCGTCAATCGACCAACAATTCAAAAAGGCGCATTGTCGGCGACTGCGAGTGTAGATTTACTGGGTGCGCCTTTCGAGATGGTCTCGCCACACGTGAATGCTTTGCGACAGAGCGGGATCGAACCCACGATCTCAGCGCTTAACCAAGGCAATAGCGAATGCGCATGCCCGTAAATCTACAACAGTCGCGGGACGTGCGACTATGCAGAAAAAAGAAAAACGACACGACCAACATTTTTGATGTCGTTGAGCGACGTGAGATACGGCGAAATTCCGCCGTGCATACACAGAATCTTGCCGCCGATAAGGCCGGCGACGGGCATCCACGAGAACGCCTCGTTGAAGTGCTCCCACACATCGAGGCCGTCTTTCGCGCCGAGTTTGTTGAGAAGCTCCTCCTGGAAACAACAAACAAACAATGTCGAGACGACGTCAAAAAAAACGAACGCGAAATCCGTACGCGAAATTGATCGCCTTCGTCTCGTGATTGCCGCGAAGCAGCACGTACTGCGACGGGAATAGCACTTTGAGCGCGAACACGAGACAAATGCATTCGACCGAGTGCGAGCCGCGATCGACGAAATCGCCGAGGAACATGAATCTGAAAATTCGTCGAAATGCCAACCAATGACAGTGGTCTTGGATTCGAGATTAATCGGGCCCCGGGTATATCTGTGCGGCAATCGGAAATTTCAGCAATTTGTCGAAAATCAAAATTTCGCCTATTAAATTTTTTCAACGATAATTCGAATTTCCGAATTTTCACGGTATCCCAAATTATTCAATGGACATTGATTTTTGTTTCGCCGACTTTTTTTTGATATCAAATTGTCGAAAATCAAAATTTCGGCAATCCGACCAGCAATTCGGCAATTTGAAAAATCGGCAATTCCATTACCGCACAGCCCTGGTATATTGATGGGTTAAAGGCGCACGCCGCGCACCGAGACCTCTGTTTTCAATATTTTTTTTTTCAATCGCGCGATATGGAAATGTCTCGTTGTCTAGCGCTCTCTCGCTCTCCCTCAATCTCTCTCTCTCTCTCACCCAGATCACATTCTTTTTTCTCTGCGTCTTGCACTCACGTGCGGCCTAGAAAAATTTGTGAAAAACCATCAAAAATTCAAAAACTGCAATGGCGGCGCACAGATTCTGCGAAAAACTGCATTTGGCGGCACACTATCACCAGCAAATTTCGTAGGCACACACAAATTAAATTAAATAATCCATCAAGTGTGGCCGTGGCCGAACTTTTTTCTAGGCCGCGCATTTTTTGCTCGTTTTTTTTCACCTCGTCGACGCGAATCCAAACTTCTTCTCGTGCCTCTCGACGTTGCGTACGTCGTTGCCGTGTCGACAATTGAGAATGCGAATCAGATCGCGATATTGGCCGTGAATGTCGCCGACGACGGTGCACGGCGGCGACATCGTCGCCAACGACGGCTCTTTTTGAAATATCGCCATTGTGAGTTTGACGAGCTCGTGGAGCTCTTTAGGCGTGTAGACTTGCTGCACAAAAAAAAATGCCACCATGAAAACGCAATCAATTTTTGTTTTTGGAGATTTTGAGCAGTTTTGGCCTTTTTTTATATTTTGAATTTCGCGCCAATTTCTTATTCAATTTAAACGTTTTTGTGCAATTTCGCGTGCGTGTGTTTACGGACCAAAAAAATTGCTTTTGCTTTTTGCGCTTTTTACCAAAGTTTGAGGTAAATTGATCTTCCCTAATGATGATCTAAAGATCGAAACGTCGGATAAAAACATTTAAACAGTGTGGAAGACAATTGAAAGGGTCCTATCAAGAAGATCTCTTCTACTTAACAAAAATTGGAAACAATAATGTGCAATTTTAGGCGCGCGTGTTTGCGGACGACGCTCAAAACAATTTTTACATAAAATCGAAAATAAAATCTTGTGGTTATTTTTTTTTGAATTTCGCGCCACAATTTTCACAAATTGAAATAATTTAGGCAAAAATTTGCAAAAAAAAAACGAAGCGAGGTGCCTAGACTGCTCAATTTCCCCTCAAAAAATTGGCATAGAAGTACACTGCGCTCATTGGCCCATGAGCTGACGCGAAGGTGTCGCTTCGCGAATTCGATGACCTCGAACGTATCATCGGTTTTCTCATTTGATTTCACCATCTGAAAATTGCCGCCTCATTTTTCTTTTCTTTTTTTTTTTGAGAGACGAAAAAAATGAATTCTAACATTGACTTATTTTTGATAACCGCTCACAACGCGCTTCCGGGGATTTTTTTTTCGACTATCTGCAATTGATAATTGTCGTTCTAGCAATTTCAGGAGGTGTGGCCTCGAAAAATCGTTGGTTCGGCCACGGCCACGGCCAAATTTTCCAGGCCACACCAGCGCGTGTAGCACTTACTAAAAATGAATTTCGAATCGGTTTCGATTAATCGTTGAGTTGCGTTGGAGTAGGAAAGTAGGAAATAATCGCACACGTGAATTCCGATTCCATATTTCACGCGTCTCTTTTTGTTTTTCTCCTCCCTTCTACAGCCGTGGCCGAGTTTTTCTATTTTCGCGTCCGCGCGGCCATTTGGTTTGAATTGCCGTGAGGTGCGATTTGTCAGGAATTCGTCGTTTTCGATATTCGAAATTTTTATTGATTTCGAATTGTCGCCAAAACACTGCTGGCCGTGGCCACGCGGTCTTTCCCGCGGTCACGGCCGCCTCCCATTTTTCTAAGCAACCGAGTGTCAATCAAACACGCTTGCAACATTCGTTTTAATGAATACTCGAGTAGCTGACACATTTTTATTTTTCCGTTTTTTTCCGCGCTTGAAAAAAATGTGAAGCACAAAAATTATTAATAAATTATTTTGGGAAAATCCGAAGAAAACAAATGCCAGCAATAATCGCCACAAGAATCGGGCTTGTTTTTCGCGCTATGCGCCTTTAATCAATTGCTTCAATTTCGCCTTGATTGCCATCAAATTACGACGTGCTAAATGTTAAATTGTAAATCGGTTACTGTAGTCTGCATTTGTGCGTCGGGCGTTTCTTTTTTCGAAATTGAACACAAAAATCGCGAAAACCGGGATTTGTCAAATTTTGAAAAAATTAAAGGCGCAGCAAAACTCGATGCGCCTTTAAATTGGCTTTTGCAAAATTTCAATGAAATTGCGAATTATCGCAATTTTTCAAAGACGTCCATAACGCCGCAATTTTTGTTGCCTTCGATTTTTCTTTTGCGGCGAGCAGGTGTATATAAAACTTTTCTCATTATCTCTATGGCCCACTGCACACACACACAAGCTTAAAGCCGTCGAGAGGAGGAGGAGGGGGGAGCGAGTGGCTCAATGTCGCTTGTTGTTGTTGGTGGCGCTGGCTGGCGTCGGTGGTGGCGATGGTGTGACGACCACGCCCATTCACTCATTCACACACTAAAAATATACAACATCGAGAGCAACTAAAAAAAAAAGAAAGAAAGAAAGAAAGAAAGAACAACACATTGGGCCGAGAAGAAAAAAAATTTGGTTGCGAGACTCGAGGAGGTCAGTGTGTCCCTCGGGTGCGGCGATGCTCTCACCCTTGCTCTCGATTTGGCGCTTCGACAATTTCTTGAACCTCCTGGCGAAGCACTGCTTTGAGACCCCCCCCCATCCCATCCCAGTTTGGCTCATCTCTCTACGTTGTTGATAATCACGGATTACCGTAAACACGGCGACGCCAAAATGCACCAAACGCATTCGCGTTTTTTTTGATGAGAGGCTCAACCTCAAACGATGAATGTGGATATGAGATTTTCGAAGAAAAAAAAATAGCTCAGACACATTATTATTATTCAGAACGCCTTTTTTTCCGCGCGCGCTCTCTTCTTTCATTTTTTTTTGAAATGCCTTTCTCGGTGGTTGTTGGGGCACGCTTCAATGGATTTATGTGCGATGTCGTTTCCTTTTGCAATTTCTTCGCATTTGCCACAAATTGCGTTACATTTGATCTACTTCTCATTTTCGCCACAAGACCAAACTCAATTGAGTTTTTTTTTCTCTTTTTGCCGTCAACTACTCCTAGTTTAAAGGCGCATGTCGAATTTTTCAAACGCGCATTTTTAAAGGCGAATGACAATGTATATATTGGTTTTTCTTTTTTCTCCTCGAAAATAAGTGGCGCCTGGGAGCCTATCGAATTTCAATGTCGCCCCTATAATTAAAGGCGCAAATTCATTATTTCATTAATGTTTTTTTTTGCAGGTTGCACCATCTTGATTTTAAACCGACACCCTGCATATCATTTTTTCGAAAAATGCGATTATTGGCGATATTTGCTTTTCTCATTTTTTTTGTTGAAGGTAATTTTTTTCTTTCTTTTTTGATTGATTTATGGCGAGAAAAAAAGGATTATAATTTGTTTGGGATTTGGATTATAAAGATACTCATAGAAAAAAAAAATTGGGGAAGGGATTTACCAAAAATGTAGTTCTAGCGGGTAAAAATGACTGCAAAATAGTGGTTGAAGTTGGGGGGGGGGGAGTCGAACCCGCACAAAATAGCTTGAAAGCGCAAGCACTTTCCTCTCCACCACCGCTACACTGATAAGCTTTGGCGTAAACTCTGTATATGAAAGCGTCAGGGTTAAATTTCAGACTTCTTTGCGCATATAATATGAGCAAAATTCGAGAAAACCCGCCAATGGCACCAATTTTTAGATCTCGCCGGAATTATTTCGCTATTTTCATATAGTTAGTTAATGATTATTTTTAAGCCCTTTTTTTCAGATTTTTCAGCCCCGAAAATCTACATAAAACAGTAGCTAAATTCCCACAATGTTTATATATATATATGTATATCATTTTTCCGGAAAATGTCGAATTTCGTTCCACCTGTCCGTTTTGTTGCCACGCGATCCAATTAATCTTGACGTCGGCTCGGCGAGCAGCTGCCGGCCCCAGCTCGAGGCAACATTTCAATTGGTCGTGCAAAAATGACTGAAGCGTTGTTTTCTTTTCTCGTCGGTTTCGTTTTTTCTTTTGACTCGACGAATGACGAAAATTGATGGAGATTTGAGATCATCGGGGGGATTTTAATTGTTTTTCGACGAATGGGATATATTGAAGGCGGCTAATCGCCACAAGACCCGCCACGTCATGCGCCTTTAATCGTTTATCACTTTTATGGGGATTTGTGAGGTCTTAAAATGAAGCATTATAATAGTTGATTGTGGATCGCGTCGAGACCTAACAAACAAATTAATGTTATGAGCCTATTTCGTTGGAAAAAATTGGTCGCCGAGTTTTCCTTTAAAAAAGAAAAATAATATTTATTAAATGTACCTTATTTTTACAATTTTAAATTCTTCAAAAAAACTGCAATGCACCTTTAAATAAAAAAAATGGATTTAGATTTTAGGTCGTTTTTTTGTGAAAATGTGCATCAATAAATAATTTTGAGATTTTTGATATCTAAAAAATGAGAAAAATTTAGAAATTTAGATTTTTCGAAAAAAAAGCGAGAAAATATTTGAAAAAAAATTTTTTTTTGAAAACCTCCCAAAAATGTGTTTCAGCAATTTCTTAAATATCAATTACAACGAAAAAAAAAACAATTGGCCCCCCGATTGCAGGATTCCTGCCGCGAAAACAAGTCAAAAAGTCGGAGGTGATCGACGAGGAGATTATGCAGCGGCGGCGGAACGTCGGCGGCGATGGCGGCGGCGGACAGGTGATCGCCGATCCGGACGCCGCCGGCGATCCGCACGGCAAATTGGCGACGTGGATCAAAACGCACGCGCGCCATCATATTCCGCTCAAGCATCCGCGCACACGAATGGACGTCTTCATCTCGGCGGGATTGTATCAAATCGTCGATTTGGTGAGTCAGTCGAGATTTCCGTTTTTTCATCATTTCGCAGGACCAACGCAACAATTTGGCGACGGTCTCGGCGTTTTTCGACGTTCATTGGTACGACGAGTTCATCAAATGGGATCCGAAGGCGTTCGGCGGAATCGCGCGCATTTTTGTGCCCATCAAATGGATATGGAAGCCCGAATTCTATATGTACCATAGTGTTTATGGAAGGGTTCCCGATTATGCGCCGGACGCCTCCGCCGAATTGCATTTCAACGGTAACTTTCCTACTGTAGCCACAGTTCGAGCTGTGCTTTGTTTCAGGACGAGTTCGAATGTTCGTCTCGATCTCATCGAAAAGCTTCTGCCCAATCAATTTCAAGCGATTCCCGTTCGATTCGCAGACATGCTCATTTTCGGTTTGTGCATTTTATGGTTTTGTTTTTATCCCCACTAAATAGACACACACAAAATAATTGCATACGAAAAAAACCGAGAGAGAAAAAAAAAGGAAAAAGCGTATTGAGTGAGAGTAATCACCGGAATCTGACGAGAAACGCCACGAGAATCGCCAACGCAATGAAGACGTTGGACGATGAAGCTTGAAGCGGTGGAAAGTGTTGACTGACGTTGAGGCAGCGTGACTGAAGATTTGAGATAGAGACAGTGAGAATCCCAAAAAAAACCTCCCCTGCAAATCGCCTACCTCGGAATCATACGAATCTTGACCGATAATGACCGACGTCGAGAAGCACAACATCGAGTCGCATTTGCGATACGTCGCGTTTTGATCGCAAAAATGCATTTTCGGCTCGAGACCACACAAGAACGCCACCGCGTCGATTTGGTGCTCGGGATAGCGATCTTCGAGACGAACGCGTGTCGCGTTCTCATGGCAAAACTCATCGAGATGAAGCACAACATCATGATTACTGTAGTGTGATGAGCGCGAGAGCAAAACGAACGGCGGCTCGGGCTTCTGAAATCGCGTTCAAAAATATTATACAATCAAGGTTCTCCAACCAATATTGTCTCGCCGTTTCTCTTCATTTCGAACGACTTCGGAATTGTCGAGATTTCGATGAGCGGATGATCGGGCTTTGTCGAATTTGGCGACGGCGACTCGACAAGAAAATGCGATTTTGTTGTGTAATGGAATGGTCTCGTCTGGAAATATTTATATATTTTTTGGATTCCTCAGAATCCGCCCCCCACCTTGACGTATTCGTATTGAACTGCATAGATGGCGTCGTCGTCGATGGGCACCACAAACTTGCCGTTCGATGTGTTGGTGTCGAACGATTTTTTGATCGGCATCGTGAACGTCTCGTTGTCGCTGCCGAGCTTCTCGAGAAGCAGTGTGACGACGCCATATTCGGATTCAGCGACGGCTGTCTCGATGATCAACTCGTTCACCGACATCTCGTTCTCCACCACCGATATCTTTTTCAGCTCGCGAAGATAGGTGGTGCTTGTGGTGCCTTCGATGTCGCGGCACGCCTCGCCGAGCGGCCGCTTGAATTCGCCGAACGCCGACGCGACCAACAATTCGGACTTCCAGCATAGTTTGTGGCATTTGAGTGGAGTGATGTGCGCTTTGATTTGATGACGCGACGGATCGGTCTCCTCGATGTCGTACTTCTGATCCATCTGAATTCTAGTATTCCACGCGGGGAGCGGGTTGGGATGATCGAAAAACGCTTACCGAGATCTCAATGGTTACCGCGTCCTCGTCGCTCTCCAGCTTCACCTTCTCCCTCGTCTCGGTATGATCGCACACAACTCGAATGTCGACCAATCCGGTTGTCGAGTTTGATCTACCCGCCTTTTTCCTCCACGACACTGTGACGTATAGGCTTTCATACGTCTCAACGCCGTCAAGACTTCGATGCATTTTGACGTCGAGTTGATTGTCGTCAATTTTCTCATCGCTATCATTCGTCTTGTGCATCTCCTCGTTGTTGGGTGTCGAAATTGGTGGCGGTAGGCCGATCAATGGCGGCGGCAGCGTAGCCAACGCTGGCGGTGTGTAGGCGTCGCGCGGTTTCGTTCGAATCAGACGCTCGTCCTCGTGGACGATCGTCTTGCCGTTGATCTCGTTCTCGCTGCGGAATCGCACACCGTACCAGGTGTCGGGACGCAGGAATGGGATTGTATAGCGGCCTAGAAGGATGATTGTAAAACGACAAAGTTCGGATCATACCGCGCGTGATCGTCAGCCACAATCCGCTGAGATCCACCGGATTCACCATTTTGTTCGCATCGATGTCGACGAGCTCGATGTGGATTTTGAGTTTGTCGGCGGGTCCTGAAAACATTTCGAAATGATTCGCGCAAATCCGCGTGTCGCGCAACTACCATTTTTGCTCGTCGTGATGATGATTTGTGTGGCGTCGATTTCAATGCTCTCGATGTGATCGACGGATTGATGCGATTCGGATGGCGGCGTCGGGTATTGCGAACGCGCGACACCGATGAGAATGTGAATCAGCAGCAGTCGCAGACGCATTTGAGCAATATCATACCCAGGGAGCCAAGAAGGAGGAGGAGGACCAAAAAAGTAATATAACAATGCGCTTGTGTATGTGGGGCCGAGTATGTCGAAAATGGACGACGAGAGAGCTAGAAGTGGGTGAGACCACGCCTTCCACCGGAAGACGCTCATTCACCTTTTTTGGGAGGGGTGGGGGGGGGGCACGCTGAATAGCACGTTCGCAACTTTCTTCCGCACCTCCCCCTCCCATTATGCAAACAGGGACCATTATAATTTCAGTGCGGCTCTTGGGCTTATCAATCGAACATTGTCAATTTGATCGCGTCGAGAGAGGAGATCGCGCTCGAAGATTTCTACGACAATCAGGTATGTGCGCCTTTAAGCCTACCCGCTTAGAAAACCGATTTCAAGGAATGGCTGTTGACGGACGCGCGACTCTACAATGGGACGACGCGAAATTTGAGCGCGGCGAACGAGTCGTTCAGTATGGTCTACATGCGGCTCGATCTCAAGCGTCAATCATTCTACTACGTGTTCAATTTGGTGTTTCCGACGACACTCGTAATAATGATGATGGTCTCATTGTATAGTGATCCGAATTGTAGGTGTCGTTGGTCGCCGTCGTCGGATTTCACGCGCCGATAAACGCGACCGGAAGACGCGAGAGCAAATTTCGTCTAGGTGCGTCCTCGTCGACAGAAAAAAAATAAATTGCCCGCACACTATTATTATTATTATACAGGCATCATGACGCTTCTCTCGATGTCGGTGATGCTTCTCATGCTCGTCGGCGAAATGAAATTCGCCATGGAGAGTGTTCCCGGCCAACGCGGCTCGTTCAGCGATGTTCCATTGATGGGTAGGCGTCGACACACGTCAATCGTCATAATTACATGGTTCGCAGGCATCTACTACATCGCCCTTATATGTATTGTGAGCATCGCCACGTGCACCTCGTCGGTTTTTGTGCACCTCGAGAAATATGCGCTGAGGAATCCGAGTTGGGAGGTTGGACTCTGAAAAAAAAGAGAGAGAGAGAGAGTAATATTGAAAAGCGCATTTTATTTCTAGTCGGTACCTTGGTATATTCGATGGCTGGCCGCCAAGAAGCTTTTCTGCTGCTACGTGCCGACGGCGTTCCGCTACGACAAGAATTCGTACTCGCGCAACAACAACGTACAGGCGATTTCGGTGTCGTCGAGTCCCGATCGGACGGTCACCAAAAATTTGATACCCAAAGAGGTGAACTTCACCGAGGTCAACGTTGACGCGCCGCTTCACGAGACAACGACACTTGAAGGTTTGATCCCATCGGCCTCGCTGATTCGTTTCATCGTCGTCGATTTGCAGGAGCCCACGCGAAAGAGCAAAAACTCGATTTGTTGATCGGTTTGCTTCGCGAAATCATCGCGTTGAAGGAGCGCGCGACGATCTGCGGACAATTGGCGCCATATTGGGATCGGATCATATCGAGATGCGAGAAGGTCTCGCTCAGCTTCTACCTATTCCTCATCACCATTAATATTTTGCTATTCTTGTACCCGGAGTTGTGGTATTGATTCGTTGTATCGAACTTCTTTACGGGTAGCCTCCATCGCTCTTCTTTTTCTCTTCAACAATCAGCATTCGTGATAATAAGCTTCTCAGATGATTGTTTTTCGATACTGAAATTGAGCATAATCAAAAATTGTGATTTTTTGAAATAAAGATTTGACAATTATAGAATATCGGACTAAAAATTGACTTACAGTAAGCTATTCGTGTCGAGACCATTGATGACTTCTCTCCTAAAAGTTGAGATGTTGAACGCTCAGGAAAATCAAATAAAATATTTTGAGATTCATTGAGAAACTAACGTGTCTCTATAATATTTTAGATTTGTCTCAATAAACTTTAGGAAATCTCATAACATTTTCGAATTTATCGAGATAATTTGGAAATCGCTCAATAAATTTTAGAAAATCTTATAAGATTTTAAAAAATATTTTTAAGTTTAGCGATTCTCAATAAGTTTTAGAAAGTATCAATAAACTTTAGAATTTCTCAAAATATTTTAGAGTTTATCATTGAATATTTGATTCTCAAAATATTTTATTTGATTTGCCTGAGACGAGCAAAAAATTACTAAACAATGCGCCTTTAAATTTCGAAAATTGAACAGACACGTGAAATTCCTGTTTGTTTTGATATTTGATTATTAATAGTATCATTTTGGGAGTGTTTGTTGTTGTCGAAGTACACCAAAACGGCATTTTAACCGGTTTTTTGGATACTAATATTTAGGAAATGTTGAAATTGTCGTCAAAAAATGCTGAAAATTGTATTATTTTTGTGGATTTTGGCGATAATTTCGAGCCAATCGGATATTCCCAGTCTTGAGGATCGATTTAATGCGTTGGTGAGCGACTTGAAAAAGAAATTTTTGAAGTAATTTTCCATTTTGTTTTTTTTTAGCTTGCCACTCATGAATATAATTTTAATACAAGAGATGCGGGTAATTTTTTAATTCGATATATATATATATATATTCTAAATTTATCATGATTTAGAGCTCGCCAATTCGAAAAACGCCAATAATTTTGCGGTTTGTTTAAATTGTGAAAGAAAATTATCGAAAATTTCTAGGAGAATCGCGATGAAATTGGAAACGCACGAGAGAATCGCGGAATTTAATTTTAAGACAAAAAATCGCGTTTTTTTCTATGAATTTTCTTACACGTGCCGGACAAAAACGATGAATAATATTGAAAGTCGATTTTTTTTTCTTTCGTTTTTCGCCAATGATGAACATTCTCGAAACTCGTTTTTCTTATCAAACTAACATTTTTGATGGAAAACGGAAGTGGTCACAACTTTTTTTTAAGGCCTTTGAGGTTAAAAGTGCGATTTTGCGATGAATTGCAACATTATCGCGAGAGAATGGATTTACAATTGAAATTTTTTCGAGAAACTTGAATAAGACGTGAAAATCTATAAGCCCCGCCCATCGGCACAAGACTTGGCAGCTGTGCGGCACAGTTTTATTTTTTTGTTTTTTTTTTCTCCAAAATAATTTCTATTGAAAATAGTTATTACCTCGTTAATTTTCGAGAAATAAGCTCAGCTAATTTTTTTTTAAAATTTTTCTTAGAATTTTTACTTTATTCTATTAAAAACCGTTGGAAGAATCACGATTTGATACAATATTTATTCGTTTTAAGCGGTATCTTTGAACAATCCAATAAACTTGACAAATGGAACTTCTAGAAGAAATCAGAAATTGCGTTTTTGATTGATTTGTGATCCAAGGATCACCTTTTTTGGTTCAAACTGCCAAACTACATTCCAAATTTTCTTTTTTTCCCCAAAATTTCGTATCATTGGGAAAGAGCGAACAGCGACTTTTGTTCTGATGGTATTGGGAGATGGCTAGTAGGCATAGCGGCGTCGTTGAGATGCCAACGGCATTGTTGAAAAATGTAGTAACAAAAATGCTGAATTTTCAATCAATTTTTTGGAAGAAACTGAGAAATTGAGAATTAGTTGGATTTAATGTAGATTTATTTAAAAACGATGTAAATTCTTTTTCTTTTCAAAAAAATTTTTTCAAATTTTTTAAAATCCCACAGTTCATAAGCATCCAAAAAAAGTGTGCATTTCTACGTCTCGGTGCCCCGCGGACTTTGCTCAGCTACCGTATCCAACGAGTTAATTATTTTTCCCCGCCCTGACGAATTTATCACGCATTCTCGGCGGAAAAGGTCATGGGAGGAACTTCAGCGACCAAAAAAAGAAAGAAAGGATGATAAGAGAAGACGATTGAAACGTATTCGTGTTCTCATTCGCCGCATACAATGTACAAATTCAAACTTCTACTCGCCGCTTCGTTATTGGTCCTGCACGGATTCGTGTTGTCACATGATGAAGAGGAAGAAGACTGCGGTGATGATTTCGTGCATGAGACGTGTCCCGACAACACGTGGATTAAATTCCGACGGCAAAGCGGTCAAGAGATTTGCCTAAAAGTGAGTATTGGTTTTAATTCGAATAAAAATCGATATCAATTTCAGGCGTTCCAGAAGAAATTGAATTATAATGAGGCCATTGAATTTTGCAATTCGCGATACTCGAAATTATTCGGAATTGAAGATCAAAAAGAGTTGGATTATCTGAGAGGTTTCTTTTTTTAATTGAACTTCACGAAAAAATATATGGCATTTGAGGAAAATTCAACAATTTGTCGATTTTAATCGGCGCGTTTCGATCAGACGGTTGCGAGTTCGAGAAAAGCTTGACGGATCGAATGCCGCACTGTTCGCACGACAAGGCATTCCTGTTTTTTTTCCCCGAGAAAATAATTGTCAAGAAATTCCCAATTTTTAGATGTTCAAATTCACCGACAAAGCGACAACATCGTCATTCTTGTGGAAGAACAAATGGCTGAATCAGACGCCCGACTCAAAATTTATCAAGTATTCTTGTTTTTTTTTTGTTCCTAAATAATTTTTTCGTGGTTTAAGGGGCGAATATGAGAGCGCGATAATTGTAAAAAATGGGAAAATCGATGATGTCATGTAAGTGCATTTTTTTTTGACGGCGCAAATTTTTGTTGCCTTCAGAAGCACGGCGAAGTTCGACGGCGCACTGTGCGGTGTGACACTCGGCTAGCAATTTCGTTTTGATTACTCGAATAACGACAGTCATAACTATTTTATGAGCTACTAAATACGCAATTTTATGACAATAAATGGGTATATAAATCGAATCGTTGAAATTGTTGATCACTGTCGGTATCATGCGCAAATTATTGCTGATATTCATTTTGGTTGTTGGTGTCGCTCGTGGCGATGACGAGTGCGCCGAGGATGAGGTGGCCGTTCCCGGCGAGGAGCCGACGAACGTTGAGAGGAAAATGCCGGTGAAGGCTGGAAGTGGAACGTGTAAGGATGGATGGACGAGGTTTGAGAGGAAGAATGGTGTCGTCGTGTGCCTCAAGGTTGGTTGGGTCCCGTATGGAAAGAGTTTTGCATTTTTGAATGAAAATTCTGGCAAAATTCCTCAGGTAAATGAAAATCAATCGGATTAGAAGAAAAATCAAATATAAATTAAACTGTTTCGATTGAATAATAATTCAAATTCGATTAAGAAAACGCTTAAATCCGATTTGAAAATTTGGTTTCTATTCAAAAATCTTCGAAATCGATTGATTGATTTCTCATTCTCAATTTTGAAATCGTATTCGATTGAAATTTGGGAATAATTCGAAACAGAATAAGTCACATTCGATTTAGATTGAAAAAGAAATTATTTTCGAATCCGATTGTTTTTTTTTTTTTTTTCATTTACCTGAGTCAAAATTCTAGAATTGCACTTTTCACGTTAAATTATTCTTTTATTTCTTTTTGAAAATGACGAAAAAATCTTACAAAACTGTCTTCGATATTTATTAAAAGTTGAATTTTTAAGAATTTTTCCATTTCTTTTCTAATTCTAGAAAAGAAGAAATCAGTTTAAAAAAATTTTCAGGCGATTCGCGCGCAAGTCACCTACAACGAGGCGGTGAATTTGTGCAAAAACCATCAATCGCAATTATTCGGAATCGATTCGGCCGATGAGTTGAACTATTTGAAGGACAATCTCGGATCGATTTATGTGTTCATTGGCGCGTACCGCAAAAAAGATTGCCAATTCGAGGCGAGCGTGCTCACGACAATGCCGAAATGCTCGTCGGATAAGGTGAAGACAAGCAAAAATTTTTTTTAAATCGAATTATTTCAGATGTTCGAATTTACTGATGGTGTCACCAAGTCGAATTTCTTGTGGTTCGGAAAATGGAGCGGCGGTGTGCCGAACTCGCTTTTCGTTGAGTAAGTTGGCCGACAAAAAAATTTATCCCGCAATTTTTGAATTTCGCCCAACGCGTTGCGGCTCGCGCGCGCGTGTACAACCTTCTTTTTATTTTCTAAATTTTTTAAATAAGGTCTTGCAGCGAATCGAATTGTCGATTTTTCTTTTTTATGCGCCTTTAATTACGATATCCCGAGAATATTATTTTTTTTTTTAAATCACCTTCAAAACTATTGAAATTCTTCGGGTCCTGTGGCGTCAATTCACTTTAGAAATACAAAAAAAAAACGATTATTTTATAAAATCCTTTAAAATTCTCCCAAAAATGATGATTTCCTCTTTTTTTTGCAAGTCGACGCCTCAAAAAGTCCAAAATTTTTGCCGTTATCAAAATTTGTGCGATAAGATATTGAGTCATATAGTTAATAAACGCGTCACTCCTAACTATACGCATAGTATTTATTAATGATAAGACCACTAATTTTTTTTGCAGCAACGAGTATGAGAGCGCGATTGTGTCAATCGCCGGCCAAATTCTCGACGTCAGGTTGGGGAGTTTTCTTTTTTTTCTACTTGTAGCAAAAATATTGAAATTTTTTTGCTTGCAATTGAAAAATGTCGCCAAATTGCAGCAGCAAATCGAAATTGAATGGAGCATTGTGCGGCACAGTGGCTTAGTCCTAATTTCGCTACAATCCATATACATGTATAAGCTTTGCGGTATTCATTTTGTTTGGCAAGAAATGAAGAGACACAAAAAAAACAACAAATAACGAAGCCCTAGACAAGAAAATAGAGAGAAAAAAAGCTGTATGAAGAATATTGCAATGTCACCAAAAAAAGAAGAAGAAATGAACGGAAATTAGGAGTATCGAGATCTGCACAATTTGAAAAAGAAATTGTTGAAGCAAAATCGTGCCAACAAGAAAAAAAAATAATATTAGGAATTATGGCGTTCCTTGTTTGAATAGATATATAGCAAGAATAGGTTTTAAAAATTTGTTTGATGGGTTAGTTCTTCTTAATCAGCTTTCTGAGCTCGTCGGCGAGCCGCTGCTCCGCGTGTCGACATCGATGGCGTTGAATTGTTGATGTCCTCGGTTGAGATGTTCGCATTGATATCGCATTTTTTGTTGATCTCCAAATTCTAAACATTTTCGACTAATTGGATTGGCGTCGTCTTTTTTTGTTGAATACCTCGTCCTCGGGTTTATCGTCGACCTTCTTCTTGTTCAATTCGACGTAGCGATTGTTCTTCTTCAAGTAGGCGTGATAGAAGAAATTGCAGAAGAGCAAGAAATATGAGAAGTAGATGGCGAAACAGAGCCAGAGGTTCTCGAATGATTGTTGGCAAGCGCCACCGGCGGCCTGGAAATTTTCATTCGGTTTGATTTGGTGATTGGTGGCACCTTAACACGATAGACGGTGATTCCAATCAGAACGCCCATGACCATTTGAGCAATTTGAAGGATTGTGATCACCATCGCCAATTGTTTGGGAAGGCGAATTTTCTTCGAGCGCAGCGCGTAATAGCTGTACATGACCGAATGCACACCGTAGTTCATCCAGATGAACCAGCGGCCCGACGCGGTGTGGTCCTTGTAGGCGTGCCACGTGTAAATGGTGACGGTGACGTGATGGTACCAATGGAGGAAGATGAGCGGCCGTTTGCGGAGCACAATGAACGCGGTGTCGACGAACTCGGCGATTTTGCTCATCGCGAATTGTTCCGTCCAGAAGCCGGTGACGCCTTGCGCGAACGAGGCGGTGCACACGGAGTATTTGAACGAATTTCTGGAAATTTGCTTTTATTATCCAGGCCTACTCTTTTTGCTGTTATAGTTTTTTCGTACCCTTCACCGGCCCAACTCCAAATCCATTCGGGTGTCATTCGGACGAAGCCGAGAATCGAGAAGACGGCGAGAAGCGAATTCCACGCGAACAACGCGTTGGTGAAATCGAACGGTTTGCGATTTTCCATTAACTGCAAACAATAATTCTTTCTTTTTTTGAGAATTTACGATTCGTTGTTGTTTTTTCTTTAAAAAAAAACCTAGAAAGTTCACCTTTTTGCCGAGAAAAATGAGAACAACATAGATTATTGAGCCGGTGATCGAGTGATGCCAATTCCTCTGCATCCATTGTGTTGAATTAACGGGATTGAAGGTCTCCTCGAGTGGAAGGATCTGGAAATTTAGATGTTTTTTTAGAGATTTAAAATCGACAAACTCACCACAGAGTAGTTTTCTAACCCGTAGCGAGGCCAGTAGTCGTATTGGGCCATGGTGCCTGAACAAAATAATTAGGTGATAAGAGAATTTGGGGGAGGGTGGGGTGATCGTTTAACTATATGAAGCGAAGTGGGAGTGGCTTTGTGTTGCGTGAGAAAACGAGGAGACGACAGTAGAATTTGAAAAACAATAGCCAAATTCTTACTAATTTTTCTATTATTAGATATAGCGGAATGCGATTGAAAGAAACAAGCATCAACATTTTTGCGGTGATTTTTTGATCGAAAAAGACTGGATTTTTGTGTGTTGCGCCATCGCGAGTGCGCGTAATCCCAACAGTTGATGATAAAACTTGAATTAAAATCGTAGCGCGTCGAAAATGGCGTGATATGGGAAAAAACACGAAAAGCATGAGGGAAAAATTCGAAGAAAAAAAACCGTTGTGGTGCAAACACTATGGTCGTCATCATTGCGGACTTGTGCATCGCATTTGACGACTATTTATCCAAACTTTTTCTTTTTTTGTTCATTGTTGATTTTTCACATATTTCATCAATTCTGGGAACGCAAATAATCGCAGAAAATTGGCGCGCGCTTTTGATATGGGTTATCAATATTATAAACGCGTTGCAAAGTTCAAAAATATTGGCGTCGATCGCGCGAAAAAAAAATTTATGAAAAAAAATCGGCTGAATAAACAAAACCATGATGATTCATTATTTGTCGATATTACGATTCTCCAATCGAAGAAAAAGAAGAAGAATTGACCCAAACTAATAATAAAATGGCGGTTTCAACACTCAATTTTTTTTTAGGAATCCAATAAAATGCAAATTGCCGATGGCCGGCTAAAGATCATATAATAAACGCTGACCAGCCCCGCGAAACAAAAACGCGTCCATCGAGAAGAAGAAGAAAAAGAAGAGATTGAATGGGGTGGGGGGAATTGTAAAAGAGAAAGAGAACGAACGAATGGTGTGCGGATAGCAGAAAGGGCAAAGTGTCCTTCGGAGCCTAGTCTGGTCTGGTCTGGCCGAGCAGCAGCAGCAGCAGCAGGCAAACGGCAGATGGATATTTGCTAGAGAAATAGAGATGGGGACGAGAGATGCGAGGAATCGTGAACGGAAAAAAATGCACGCGCGACTCGGTGGCCGGCCATTCGATTTTGCCTCCGCCTGCCTCTTCATATTCTTCGTCGTCGCCGTCGCCTCATCGACAAGTGGACGTAATCGGCCAGCAGCAGCTGCAAATTGAAACAAGCTTATGGCTTTTTTTTGGTCACACATTCGGAAATTGATGGGGAGATTTTCGGCACCATAGGTTTCTAGTTTTTTTTTTGAAAATTTTTCCACTATCACAACGACAAAAGCGCATTGTTTTAAGCGAAACTATCTGGTTTTTATTGTTAGGATGCACCTTTAAAGAATTAGAATGCCTAAATAGGGTTAATACGAAAAAGTTTTAGAAAAAAAAGTAAGCGCGTTGAATGAGAAAAGTGGAGGAAACGCGTCGGCCGCAATACACACGCACGCAAAATTGCACACAAACGAAAATAGACGATTTCGTTGAAAACTTTTGAATTTCTCATTAAATATTTATTTGCGATGGTTTTCTTGAATTGTTTTCCGGAAAAACCGGCCACTCGATGGCCGTTTTGAATGGAATTCTGGTTCGTCGTCGTCGTCTAGAATCTCGAAATGAATGGAACCGAATTTATCGCCCAAGACATCGTCGTTGCCTATTGTTTTTTCCCCTTCACTGCGAGAATCATTTGTTCTTGATTTCACTTGTTCGCGTTCTTTTTTCAATCGTACATTCGTGTGGGTTTTCGAAGGGAAAAAACCACTATAAAATCGCGGCGGGACCTTTTTTACGAGACCCAAGGCGGCAATTCAAAAATGATTTTTTGCGCAAAGATCAACATGCTACCATGGCAATTTATAGGCGCACATTTATTATATTGCACGAAGAAAAAAATAATAATAAAAACCAGAACCCATAGGAATAAAAGAAAGCAAAAGGGGGGTCCAATAAAATGCATAATCAAACATCCGTGTTGACATCGAATTTGACGGTATGATAAAGGCATGCGGCGTAGGTGTCGACCGGCGCGCAAAGTCGTTCGATGCTGCGCTCAAGCGTCTCCTGAAACACGTTTGATTTATCGGTTTGGACTTTCACCTTTGGCGCAGTAATCATACGATATCGAACCATCTTTTACTTTTGTGATGGAGGCTTTTTTCGAATTTTGTAAAAACAAATCGCGCACCTTATACGACGAGCTCGTCTCGCTTCGATTCAGCGTCTCGCACATTTGCTGGCATTGCGCTCCGCGTTTCGACGTCATCGCGCTGCGATCCATCACGTGTATCACCGTCGTCATTATGCCCTACAATGTTGCCGCATAATCGAGTTTGTAGTTTGGATCGGATCGGATCGGATCACGTAAGAGAAGACCGACGGACAACAGAAGGGAAGGACGACTACTAACATCAATTTTAACCTGTTTCAAGTATTGCCAGTACTCTTCGACTTTCACTTTTGTGTCGTCCTCCTCATTGTTCAAATCGTCTTTCGTCGGTGTGCACATCTGAACCAGTGAGAGTGTCGGCAGATGCATCGCGACTTTTTTTTTACCTTGAACGAGTATCGATGCACATCGTCCTTCGTCGAGCACTCTTCGCGGCGGCCTTCATCGTTTGTTATGAATTTGCGGATTTTGCTCAATTTGCTGTCGTTCTCCTTGATGTTCTCGCAGAGTTGGCAGAAGCGGCTAAATTGCAAAAGAAAATGCTCGAATTTCTACTAAAATCTTCCTAAATTTATGGTTTTTTCGTCAAAAACGCATTTTAAATTCGAACGCATCAAAACTAAGAAATGTGTGCAATTTGGCGTAGTGGTACTTTACGGACTTTTTACTGTGGGCGACGCCAACCTTCATTTTTTTGGAAATTTTTCCTTCGGGCCTAAATTTTTAGTTTTTTTCCCCTAAAATCTTCTAAATAAAATTTTTTCTAAGCGAATTCCTTAAAACTAATAAAATTCTCGAAATTTTTGCGCTTTTTTCCAGTCCAAATTATTTTTTTTTTTCAAATTTTTCTTTCATCAACTTACCACGTGCTTTTGCCTTGAAGCATTCCGCGAACATGCGAATTGTACGACTCGGGACACCAATTGGTGGGACTCGTGACGTTGGCGCAAATGCTGGCGACACCGCGCAAATTCTGCGCCGCCTCTTCGCTCTGACACGGCACATTCTGGCCCAATTGCATAAACGCTTCGATGTGCCTTGAAATTGATGGTGAATGATTTCAGTTTGGATCGCTTACGGATTCTCAATGCGTTTGAGCATCTTGAAATTGATCTTGACGCGATAGCATCCGGGAAAATCGATGCGTCGCGTCTCGCCGCTCAAATCGGTTATCAGCACCTCGTCCTTCTCATCGTCGTCGCCCTCATCATCATTCTTAAGAAGCTTCATGCTGATTTTCAAGCTGCTCTCATCAATAACATCGGAATCGACTGGAATTTGAGAATTCGCCAAATTCGCGCATTTTCAGATTCTTACCGTTCGGACAACTCTGTGTGATATTATCGCGAATTCGAATGTGCACCTTTTTCGCCTCAACCGACGACATGAAAAGGCCGAAGCCGATCGTTACGAATAATATTAATACACGCATTGTTGTGTGATGATGGGATTCTGAAGGCTTTGCTAGTTTTATATATAAAGAGAATCAAGGGCATTCTTGACCTAGTTCTCACCAGTTGCAGCTATTTTTGAGACCGCCGAAATTAAGAAAACCGGGTGTGCTATTTTAAGCGATCGCAAGATTTTCGATCGAATCGCGTTGAAATCATCGACACTCTGGAAATTCAACATTTTTTTTTTCGAAATTGGGAAAATAAAAAAAAAACAAACCCAAATTGCGATAGAAAAAATTGTTTTGCCGTCCAGATGTTCAATAAGAAGTTTTTTTTTTGAGAATTATTAGTATAGAAGGAAATACGCCAATTATACGCCAACACATGGTGTGAAAATATTTCGCCAAATTTGGGATACATTTTAAGCGCTTCCCACCAGGTTTGAATTGCCGCCAACGCTGATAATATGAAACAGACGATTGTGGCGCATCCCGGAAAATGTCCGCAGATGTTTACAATTAATTTTTTTCTTTTCCCTCTTTGAAATGCAAATACAGCGAAAATAATTCGATTTAAATTTAAATTATACATTTTTTATTTCTGCATTGAAATATTTTCTATTTCATTTTCTCTTGATAAATTTATTGAAAAAAAAAACAAATTTCCCGTTAAAAAAAAACTGACCATTTTAGGCTACTCAGGCAAATCAAAAAAAAATATTTTGAGAATCAAATATTCAATAATAAATTCTAAAATATTTTGAGAAATTCTAAAGTTTATTGATACTTTCTAAAAGTTATTGAGAATCGCTAAACTTTAAAAAAAAAAATACTTTTTAAAATCTTATAAGATTTTCTAAAATTTATTGAGCAATTTCGAAATTATCTCAATAAATTCTAAAATCTTATATGAATTTCTAAAGTTGATTGAGAAAAATCTAAAATATTATAGAGACACGTTAGTTTCTCAATGAATCTCAAAATATTTTATTAGATTTACATGAGATTTAAATATCAAAAATATTGCTTTTTTCGAAAAAACACAATTTAAGTGGAAATTATTATATATTTTAATGAAAATTTTTTATAGAATTTTTAAATTATTTATCATCAATTTCACATGCTCTTCGAATTCCCGCAGATTGCTCGCATCTTCTCCACCATCTGAGTCATCGGAGCCGTGTGGCAGCAAACGCGCTCCATCGCGCAATCGATGCCGTCGGGAGGGCGCCGACAGCCGTCCGCTCGGCCGTCTTCTCCGCGATTCGCCCGATCTCTCATCGCGCGTTTCGTCGAAATAGTGCTAGCCTCTTGTATTTTTTGTGTATATATATATATATATAGAAATTTATTTTATTTGTTGTCGTTCTCCTTCTTTCCTCGCTCGCTGCCTCTCATTTTGGATGTTGTTTTTTTTGTTGCGTTTTTTTTTCATCTTCTTATTTTCACTTTTTGTTCTAATGATTTTATCGCGACAATTTCGAGCGTTTTTTGTTGATTGCAGGATGAGCGAGATCACCAACGCCGAAAAGGTGCGAATTGCGTCGGATTTCATCAAACACGCGCCGCCCGGAGAGTTCAATGAGGTATTTGTTGAAAAAAAAAAAGTAATGGGTTCATTTGAAATTAATATTTAAATTAAATTTACCAGCAATTTATTTCTATTTTGGTCAAGAAAATTGTGGGAATGTCGAATTTTTGAAAAATTTACTCATTGCTGCAAATTTCGCAATTTATTTTATTTTATTTTATATTGTTGAATAAAATGAACTTGCAGGTTTTCAATTCGGTTCGTATGCTGTTGAAGGATGACGATTTGCTGAAGGACAAGTGCATCCACGCCATCTCCCAATACAACGTCGAGCAATTCGTGCCGGTGAAACTCGACGGCGTCGCGAAGCAGACGCTCATCACTCAATTCAACGATTTGGGCAATGGGCGATTCTACGACGAGGTGTCGAAGAAGAGCTTCAAGTACGATCACGTGCGCAAAGAGGCGTCCGATCTTCAACCGCATCCGTCGGAAGGCGGCGTCGTCGAGCAATGGCGTGTGGCGCTGCAGAAGGAGCTCGACACCTACATCGATGATCATTACGCGAAAAGTGGCACCGGTGTGGTGTTCGCGAGGAATGGCGCGTTCACGATTTGCATCGAGTCGCATCAATTCCAGCCCAAAAATTTCTGGTAGGCCCCTCAAAAAAAAAATCGCAAATTTGAATTCAGCAACGGTCGCTGGCGTTCGGAGTGGCACGTTCCAGTGGGAGACGGAAAATCGGGAGCGCAAGAGTTGAAGGGCAAAATTCTTGCTCAAGTCCACTATTATGAGGATGGCAATGTGCAATTGTTCTCCGAAAAGGAGCCGAATGTTAAAATTCATGTCTCGGTGAGCGATTTGAAAAACAGAAATCATTGAAATCCTTCAATTCGCGTTCTAGGCCGACTTTGAGAAGACCGCCAAAGAGGTGTTGCACGCCATCGAGGAGGAGGAGACGAAATACCAGAACGGTGTTCTGGAGAATTACGTGGAGATGTCGGAGACGACATTCAAAGCGCTTCGAAGACAATTGCCGATCACTCGCGCGAAAATGGATTGGAATAAGGTTTGTACATAATTCTGCCATGAACCCCAAAAAACAAAAACCAATAAGAAATCCATTTGGGGGAAGAGACGAATTAATTGAATTTGCAGTCGCAGACCTACCGAATCGGACAAGAAATGAAGTAGACGATGGTGCTCTCGACATCTCACAATTTCTTATGTCTTTTCTTCTCGTCTGCGAACCAATTTCTGCCTTCTGCCTAATGTGTGTGTTAAATTTTATTTTCTCGAATTTTCGATGAAATCCCTCATTCCTCGAATTTCTTGTTGCAAAATTCGTATTTATTGCAGTGCTTTACAACATAATTTTTTTTAGAAGTTCGTCTCCAATGTATGTACCTTTTTTCCATTATTTTGAATTGCTATAAACTCATTTATCCGAATTTCAGAGTATTTCGTTTTGTGTGATTTTCTTCGGACAATTTCCAAATTTCATTTCGTTTTCTCGATTCTCATACTTTTATTATTTTTATTTTTGTGTTGGAATTAATTTGATGCAAATTTTCAGATGGCCCAAACGGCTTCGGAAATTTTAGAAAGGTTTTAAATAATTGTCTCATTGAGCGGATTTGGAAATGCAAAATTTTTTCAGCGTCGCCAATTCCAGCCAGCATTGGAATTCCACTGAAACAACACAGACTGAGGTTTGCTTTAAAAAACACATGTGAGAATCAGTCGCTGCAAGACCCGCCAAACACTGTGCGCCTTTAATAACCCTATTCCAAAAATGTTTTAAATTTGTCCTTTTTGAAATTTTTAACAGAAAATGAGGTGGGTCTTGTCGCGACTAATTCTGGAAAAGAAAAAAAAACGAGGGATTTTCACTTTGATTCAAATTTGAATTTTTTATTTCATCTAATTGGGCTCATTTTTCGAAATTGAGATTTCTTTTTTGGAATTTCCAGCGTCATTGAAATTCACAAGCAAAAATGTAATTAAATCCTGGATTTTTTTGGCATAAAAAGAAAAAAATAGGATTTCGGCTCCAAAAAATTATGGAATTTGAATTTTTTCTAGAAAACTTATCAAATTTTAGATATTTACATTCAGGCTCGGAAAAAAGTTTTTAAAAAATCCATGCGTAAAAGTCCAAATCGAATAAACTCATCAAGTTAATATAAGAAAATCGGATTTTTCTAGTAATTCATTGTTTCTGGAAAATTCTGGTCCGCATTTTACAAAAAAAAAGAAGTTTTCCACATTAAAGCAGAAAAACGTCGTCTTCCTCTTCGTTCTTGACATAATTAAATTCGGGAATGAGATTTTTGTTTTAAATTTTTCGATTTGATTTTCGATCTATCAAAAAAAATGTAGTTTGTTTATACGAAATGCGCAAAAAAATTTATTTTAATCGAGAAAAAATAAAATTTGCCATCGATTTTCAATGCGAATCGTAAAAATGTGCGATTTTTATGATTTCTTGCAACAAAAAAAAAACGAATTTGGCGAAGAAATTCTGAATTTTTCAATGTTTTCCCCATATTTGTGCACTTTTTGCGAATACAAAAATTTGTGTACGAACAGCAATGCATTGATATGGCGTATACAAATTCTTTTTTTTTTATTCGCTGCGCTTTATGGCACGTTTCCCACTAAATTTATTGATTTCTCCTTAAAGAGAAAGAAAAAAATTAAAATCGCGTCGAGACCCATCGCAAATATAAATGGCATGCGTCTTAAACTACCATTTCTTTGTATTTTTTGTAAAAAAAAAAAAAGATTTTGAAAATTGCAGCAAAAATAATAAAAATAAAACCATATGAAATCCAATTTTTTTTTCATTCTGCTTTACCGCCATGAAAAACTAATTTTTCTTTTTTGCAGATAATGACGACGACGACAACTCGATTCGCTAGCACCACTGTCGATTCGCTGCTCGCCGATCGACAAGAAATTGCGCAATTTGACAATAAAGGTGAATTTTTGGCTTGAAATGGTTTTTTTTGGAGAAAAATAACTGATTTGAGGCATTTTTTTATTTTTGGTCATTTTTTTACAACAATTTTGAGGAGAATCTCTGAAGAAACTTTGAAGTTGATTTTTGAATATGTTAAACGGGTCCCTAATGCGCGAGTAAATTTGTTTGAAAAAAAAATTTAAAATTGTTCAAATCCAACAAATTGAGAATTTTCTATAGTAATTTGAGGTGCAATTACGGTACCATTTGAATTGCCGCCTTGGGTCTTGTATGGAATTACTCTTGGGGGTGGGTTTTTCTTAATTTAACTATCAGAATGTCAAAGAGGATAATTAAAAAAATGAATAGCTTGATTATTTTTCAAAGAATCAAATAACATTATAGCCTATATTGAAAATGATTCCGAAAGCGAAAATCGTGTTTGGGTTTCACAAATTCAGAAAATCATTTTTTCTTGGCGAAAAATTGCGGATTTTCTTCTTTCAAACCTGCATTTTTATTCTTTTGTTCCATTAAAACCCAAATGACAACAATAGCCAATAGGTTGCTCAATTGCAGATCCTTGGATTCTCGAAGAGCCCTCGATCGTCTTCATTTCGGTTGTTGTGTTTATTGTCGCTGTGGCTCTCATCGCGAAAATTGTGATAAGCAATCGAAAAAAGTAGTTTCAATTTATAATTGGGATTATATATATATTTATTTGATTGATAAGAAGATTGGATTTGATCGAAGGATCGGCGCGATGGCGAATCTCGGCGTCGAGACAGAGCGCTTCGTCATCGGCGACCGTCACCGCCGGCACCACCGGAGCGTCGTACATTCCGATGGGAAGGGGATCAACGTGAGTATTCGAATGATTCGAGTGGTCCGCAAACACGTGACCGCACTAATGCACACCGATTTCAGTAGCCGCGCTCTCAATCAGCAACAACAGCCACTAACGAATGGATTGGATCATCCGGGGCCGGATCGTCTTGATTGGGAGCGGCAATTTTTTGACGATTCGGAGGCAACGGTAGGAGTTTTGTTTTGAAAATGCGTACTATGAGAAAAAAATGAATTGATTGAAACAATTTTTTTAGATAAATGTGGAAATTTAAAGAAAATGCGGTAAGCTGGCGTTGTGGTGTTGATTTTTGTGAAAATTGAGAATTTTTTTTTGAGAAATCGTTGACTTGATTCATTTCAGACACCTTCTCGCCTGCTATTTCGCTAAAAATTGCATATTGGCCATATTGTGGACCTTCATAATTTATTAATTATTTAAATTCTCGTCATTTTTTAACATAACGATCTTTTCGTTTTGCTATAAGCTTTAGTGAAAAAAAAAAAAAAAAAAGAATTTATGTACATTTCTTACATTGAACTTTAATTATATATGTATTTTCTTGGGATTATTGAATTCATCAATAAATTGCGGTTTCCGGCGAATTTTGATAGCGAATCTGCTCGGCGGAATGCGGCGTCAGCGACATTCGTTTGAGTCGCGCTGCGGCGATTGCGGCATGATTGAACTGAAAATGGAGATTTCAAAAAATAATAATTGATTATATAATAATAATTTTAAAAAAAGAAACCTCGCTGGAATAGATTTCGGATCGAGCGGATTGTGAACTCTCTGCGGCGATACTTCCACGACTTCTCGACGTTCGTGACAACTGTAAAAATGTTGAGAAAATTTTTGATTTCAATTTAACCTACCGATTTTATTGACGGCGTTTTGCTGCGAACACTTCCCGATCGTTTTTGCGACGGACTCTGAGACTTTGAAAATAAAAATAATCGATTGTTTCGCGTGAGGTGTGGTGCTTTGTGTGTGTACACCGATTCCTCAAATTGCGGCCGCGCCAATTCCAGCGGATTTTAAAAATTGCGCTTTCGTTTTTTTTATTTGATTTAATTTTCTCGTGCACTTGCCTAACATATGGTTCAGATTTTCTTGATTTATTTGTGATTTTCGCGATGTGATTTATTAATTGTTATTTTTCGATGGAAATTTAGGAAGGCATGGGAATCGCGATTTTTTTTTTAAAAAAAAAAAAAAATATCCGATTGAGAGAAGCCCTAGTCGATCTCGACGTCGTTGGCGTGTTGGTCGTCGAGTTCGCCGGCACATTCAGCGCCTTGCTCGGTCTCCGAACATCGACGGCTGCAAATAAGCGGCGCGTTGGCCATTTCGAAAAACGGCTCATCGACATACATTGGGTTCGATTGCGACGTACCGAGCCGGCGCGTTTCGTCGACGCACGCGACGATGATTTCGGTTTGACCTGAGCCGCTGAAAATGTCGAAAATTGAATTTAGGCCGCAAATTCGCGAAAAATTGGGTACCGTCTGACCAGAATTTCGAAAATTCCTTCACATTTCGATTCGTGTTCCGGAATGACGTTGCCCGACGCTGCGTTGGCTCAGTCGACGGCGCTGTAATTATAATGAATCGACTAATTAGGCATTTAATTGGTTTACCGGTTCGTGGCGAGCGCATACTTCGGCGAGCCGAGCCTGAGCCGCTGAACTTGGCCGCTCGACTGGTTGATTGACTACTTCCCATAATTGGAGGCTTGAAATGGAAATCAGTTTGATTGGCAGATATTTGCAAGAAGAACCCAAATTCGCTTTTGTAGTTCTCGTTTGGTGGTGTTTTTTTTTCGTCCCGTCCCCAAAAATTTTCGATGTTCACTAATTTGACGGTCTCTCGGGATTTCGACGAAACAATGTTAATCAAAATGAGGCGAAAAAAATAGGGAAGCAGCTAGAAAAAACATTGGCCAAAGTTTGGTGGGAATGCCGCCAAAGGTGTCGGATTTCGCCAGAACATGAGGATCACGCGTTTTTGTCTTTTTTTTTCTCGCTTCAAAAAAAAATCCATTTTCGCTTATGGCAATGTTGTGCTGCGGACACATCGCTGGTTGAGAGACGCGTGTGTAAAAGGTGGATGGTGGCGAAACCCGCAATACGTCCGCAGCAATTTGGAGATATAGAAGTGCAGCGAGCAACCGCGCGTCTGTCGATTGAAGTCTTTTTCGGATAAAGGCGATTCCATTAGGGAGAAGAAATGGGATAAGAGAGAGCGAACACATTATCAAAATCAAATAAAATTGAGGAGTGTCGTTGAGGAATTCAAAATTGGGCATGTGAAGGGGCTGAATAACGAGAATCACCACAAGCCAACAACTTGCACGACGACGATTCAAGTGGTCGTCATCATCTCAATGAGATCCGAGGCGACGCAGCGAAAAGCGTCGTTTCATTTTTCTTTTTTTTTTGCTCACGGGGCGGGGTGTGGAAATTTGATTGAAAATAGCCGATGGTCCGTTAATCTCGACGCGCGAATCTTTCAATTCTTTTTCACTTTTTTTTTCGCGAGACCCTTAATCGACGTGGCTCATCTGCCGACGTTTAGCGGGTTTTGCGGCCGACGGTAATCTCCATTGATGATGTCAGACTCGAAATTGAGATTCGAGTGGCGCAATTTTTTTATCTCGTCTAATTTCCGCCAAAAAATTGAGAAAAAGAACCAAAATAGAAAAATCCAAAAGCATGCGTCTTTAAATTGAACAATTCTCAAAGGTAGGTCACAATGTTAAAGGAGCATAGGGTCTCGCAACGAAATTATCAATTTTTGCTAGAATTGAAAGGCTTCTCTAGAAAAAATGTTTAAAAAAAATATTTTATGAATAGGAAATTGCGATTAACAAATTTTGGTTGGTCGAATGTGATTATGACTAGTTTGATTATTATTATTATTATTATGAATATAGCACATAAGTATAATGGCTTCTTCAGAGTGAAGGGGGGGGGGTCGAATTAAGCTCTTCCGAACGGATATATGAGTAATGACGTGCGGTGATCTACCGCAATTGATGAATATGAGGCTATTGAAAACATTTCCCGCTAATCTTTTCGATGATAGTGGATTAGGCGAGATTATTTGCGTTCGGCTAAACGATATTGGGTCTCGACCCGAAATCCTACCAAATATGGGCGGTTTAGACGAAAATGTTGATATTTTTCAATTATCCTCATTATTTGGGATTGTCCGCGTGGAGTACACACCGGCGACTCATCGAGACCCATTAATTCCATTTTTGCTATGCTCCTTGAAATTAATTGATACGATATGAATGTCTCTTCAAAATTGTGTTTTGCTCGATGAAAATTCGCAAGAATGGTTCGCTTCAAGACCATCACGGGAGCCGCAACGCGAGCCGCAACGCGTCTGACGACATTGATGAACGCCGATTTTTCAGCAACAAAAAAAAGCGCGAACCCAAAAAGAAAAACGAAATATTTCAAGAGATATCCATTCCGTTTTTTTTTCGCGACGAGTCGAGACACTTCCTGAAATAAATAATTGCAGGGGGGGGGGGGCCGCGTCAAAAAAAAAAACAGACATTGGACAACGTTTGTGGAATTTCGAGATTTTCGACGACGAAAAAAAAGAGCCTTGATGAAATTGAAGACAAAAAAAAACGAAAATCAAATTCCCTGTTTCTCTTTTTTTCGTTTCTGATTTTGTCGCGGACCCCATTGTCTGTGATCTACCCTACAATTTGAAATGGTCCCATCACTTCTAGATGACAGATTGATGGCCGCACGCGAACCGCAACGCGTCTGACCACACATAGTAGGGGGCTCATTTTTAATTCATCGTTTTGATTTATTTAAAGGCGCATGCAATATTGGTCTTGAATTGAGCGCTCTGCAAATTGTTGCCTCGGTGTTTGCGGACGCAATGTTAAAAAATCGAAATGAGACAAAATAGTGTGCAAACACCGCGACGCAAAAAAAAACACGTACACGCAGTTTTTTGAAGTCCGCAATTGCGCGTCAAATTCGGTGTGGAAAAAAATATGATTTAAAAAAACATTTTCCACATCAAAAATAGTCGAAAAATGTCTGACAATTCAAAAATGAGACATTTTCGCGTCAAGACCCAATATTGCGTTGAAAATGTCCAAAAACACACTATCGAAAGATGGAGAGTGCGAAGGGCTGTTAGAGAAAAGCTGAAAATGTCCATATTTGGCTTCGCACATGATAAATAATCTTCGAAATCTTGAAAATTGTTGACTGTTTTTAGTGCACACCTTGAATTTTTTTGGAGAATTTCGTGTAGTCGATATACAGATTAAAAAGATGAGCTCAGAAATAGGATTATTGAGTATTTCGCTTGCTGCCTGCTTCTTCTGTCCACCGAAAAAACCGAAAACGCGAATTTCCATGGCAATATATGATATATATTTTGGCGACATACTGACATCTTAAAAAAAAACGCACACATTCAAGGCTACAGTAATTAAAGGCGCATAAAACTTCCATGTCGATTTGTGTCCTCTTGTAGGCATTAATGGAGCGCCGGAAATGCCTGTGTGCTTCTGGTTGATGAGAAGAAGGGAAAAAAAGAGACGCGAGGGCTCCGACTTGTTTTTGTTTTGTTTTCTCTCTCTCCATTTTTTTTTTCTGCTCGCTAGCCTCCCCCCATAAATCGAAAGGTGTTCGGCCATGTTCTCAATGGTCCCTGGCTGAAACATGCTCGGGACCACCTCCAGACATGTTATCAGACGATGAGGTCTTGCCGCGCTTCGATTGCAATGGAGCGCACTTGCATCAGCCAACAGAAACAATTTAATTAATAGACGGAATTGGCTAAAATTAAAAATGAAGTTCCGCATAAAATCACTGAAAATAATGACAAGCCGATGAGGAGAATTAATTGGAAGAGAGCTGAAAGAAAAAAAACGGTGAAATTTCATGGAAAAGCCGTCGACAATCTCCAACTCAATTCAAACGCGTTCTCATTTTGGTCGAATTCCGATCGTCGAAGGTCCGTAACCGCCTCAGCTCTCATCTTGGGCGGTCAGCTAAAAAGAAACCCATATTGATTTGGAATTTGGCGAACAGAAAAAAAAAAATCGAAATCAGTTTCGACGCCAAAGCATGTGCGCTTTTTGGCGAAAGCCAATGTGGAAAATTTTCAAATTCGATTCGAATTTTTCAAAGAAAATCCAAATATTGCACTTCAAATTTGTGGTCTCCTTCAAATTTCGCGATTTTTTTTTCGTGGCGAAACCCAAAAATTTCTCTCGTTGCCATTTTTCAGCGAAATATTGATGCCTTTCGTCCATTTGCAAATGTTTTGTTCCATTAGTGGCCTAGAAATTGTGGCCGCGGAAAACTAGTCCGCCACAGTTTCTGTCAATTTTTTTTTAATTTCTTGTTGCGAGCCTACCTTTTTTGCGCGGTTCAAATTTTTCGGCATCCCGTTTGACGCCTCCAAAAAAGAATAAATTAGCCAAAATAATTAATTAACGCGTGTGATATAAATTAGGCAATTAACCATTATAAACAAAAAAATCAGACCGAATTAAAATGAAATGGCTATTCTGCTTCATATTTATAGTATTCTATAGAAGAATTGAAACGGAGGAGAGTAAGAATTTGGCGAATTGCCAATAATTTTTAATTTTTCAATTTTTTCCGGTTGTATCGATGGCTGGACGATGGTATTTACGAAAGCGAATCAAACAAAATGCTGGATTGTATTATTGAATTTTGAATTATAATTAATTTGATTATAATTAAGGGTGGCAGGGATAATCGAGATAATACTTGTGGTGTTGCAAAAAATAATTTGAGTTCCTATGAGAATTTGGAAATTATTCATGGTTGGCTCATTGTTTTTTTTTTATTTTTTATAAAATTTTGAAGAATTTGCGCGAGGAAACTGCGATCAGTATGGAGTCCGACAATGCCCGCTGATGTGTATTCATAGAACATTGGATTTGGAAGACTATGCGATTGAGAATTTTCAAGTAAGGAATTCTGAAATTGCGAGATTTGTTTATTTCTCCCAAATTTTTCAGCGACCTCCGAAATATCTAGAACATTTGAATCGGCATGGGTTTGTTGAATTTACAAATAAAATTGATTATGGAGATTCAATTATTGTCAATTTGTACCCTTATCCGTTAGTTTTTTATTTTTCATTTTTGAAATGAGAATTGGGCGATTTTAGATGGTCCCAAGAATTAATATTAATTCTTACTGATAAAGAAGAGAAGAACGAGGTTTTAAGAATTGTGCATTCTTTGACAACATTGAAAAATAAATTGGTCTCGCAGGTATGAAACTAGTTGTGGCCGAATAAAGGTGGCCGCGGAAAAACTAGGCCATACATGATTTTTCAATTTTTTACACCAAAAAATTGTTATTTTTTTGATTGTTCATAATTATGATTTTAGGGAAGTATGCATGACTTATCGAATTTTGATCTCAGCTTTTCAAATTTCGATCTCCGATTGACGTATCAAAAAATTTCTTAAGCTTTTGACAATATTTCGAAAATTGAAGGTTACTTGAATCGCAGATTACGCTTACGATAGAAACTGCTCCATTAACGGTATTCATATTCATTAATACATATTTGAAAATCGAAAATTTGGAAAATTTTCAGAGACTGCAACCCTACTCGATGGTCGGACTCAATCCGCGAAAAGTTGAGCGAGTCGTCGTCAAAGGTGGATATGCGTCGAATATCGAGCATATTCAAAAGTTGGACGAAAAATAAGTGAAATGAAACTAATTGATTGTTTTAAGGGATTGCAATCCGTTGCGTAGAACAAGTGCATCGTTTTATCATTTGATTCGGCTGACGGTTTTCGCTGATCCTGGTTCCGAGCAGGTTTTGTTTTAAAAAAGAAAACCCAATCTGCAATTATCGCTTTTCTCTTCTTTTCTTTTTTAGTACAGAACCAGCGTTTTCCTTCATCCACTTCGAATGCCATACCGAACGTTGTCGCCAACTCCATTGCATTTCGTTAAAGGATCATACGTGGAGATTCTAACATTATATATATGTGGTGATTATCGAACAGCGACGAATCCGTAGGTGGCATCGGATTGGGGTTGTGATTGAAATGAGATTTATAGATGGATCAATGTTCGTTTTTATAATAGTCGAATATCGATGAGTCAACCTTTGGGGAGTACGACATTTAGAAATGGAACTGTTCAAATTTCATACAAAAATGAGGTTCGCCCCTTTTCTTTGCTAGATTAAATTGACCAATTTTCACAGACGACTGAACGCAAACCGGTGAAGAGTAAATCAATATTCACCTACAAATTAAAGTAGGCCGAATAAAATGGTGAAGAAAAAAAAGTGAAAAATTTGCACGTTTTTTCAGTCAAGCAATCACCGAGAATCCGAAGGATTTGTACGAGGTAAATGTGTGGGAGCTGGCGGGAGAGGATGATAGCGTAATCGGTAGTTGATTTGTCTTTTTATTTGTTTTTTATTCATATTTTTTTTATAGTTGATTATAAAACACAACTTGAGCTGGATTACAAAAACGTCTACGATTTTGCGGTGGTTGAATCGAACGTCCAGATTTACTATGTGAGATGGATGTCGTCGCGAAATGGGTTTAAGCATACGTGCGGATATCGAGCGAGTAGTATTGATCAGGTTTTGTTTTTGGTTCAAATTTGCTGTTTGGCTTGGCCTTGAATTTTGGGTCCACTTATTTCTAGGCCTTTGAATTTCAACATTAATGATCGATATTAATAGATGGACAACAAGGTGCCGTTATCGAATTGTCAAAGGTTGTTCAGTGTGATTTGTGAGCGTATGTTGGCCGTCTGAATATTGAAATCTTTGTTTAATTTCCGATTTTTGTTTATAGGACGACCGGAAGAAGTCACGAGCATTTTGACGATGACAAACGACACGGACATTGTGCAAAATGCGACGGAAACTGACCAAACGCGACGCGATGTGTTTGTGCTAAGTTGGCCGTGGTTTTTGGGAAATGCGATTTGAGATCTGAAACGTTTTCAGCGAAACATCAATACATTACAATTTGCGGTGTTTCGATGTTCGCGCCGATTCTCATAATAGCGGCGGTGTTGACGATGCCGATATTGTAGATACAAATTGTTGCAACTATCTTTTTTGTTTCTATAAAATATTTTATTTGAATTCGTTTTGAGCTATTCAGCCGTATATTCAATTTTGCCTTTTAGTATTGGCAAGGCTAGACAAAAAAATGGCCTTATCTCATTGTGTTTTTAGATAATTTCTCGTGGAAACCACCACCTGCGGACAATTTTCCGGGTTTGACGCATTATGAAATAAAAAAAATCAATTTTTAAGATGGTAAACTCTGCGCCTCCTTCCAACTCACGCTCTCTCGACCTCTCTGCACTCTCTCGATTTTATACACAATTTTGTAGGTCAGAATACAGTGGGATTTGAATTGGGTCTCGTAGGGAATGAAAAAAAAAAACTATTAGTAGCTCAATTTAACCATCATAATGTGTGAAAAAGCATAATATTTATGAATTTGAAAGAAAATGTCAAGTGGGGAAATTCAAATTTCTGTTCGAATTCGTTCGTCCACGATTACAAACCGAAAATCACGAGCTCTTGTTTCGAAAATGGCGAATTCGCGTGAGATCTCGACAATTTTCCACTCATTTCTGAGGATTTTTAAAAAATTAAATAGATAGTCAAATGAAATGGTTAATCATTTTTACTCTGCTTCAGTTATCGTGTGAGATTTACGCCGAAGGTTGGATGATTTCGAAATTTTTGCGTTAAAATCTTGAAAATTTTTGGTTTCTTTCCAGCATGTCCCCATGATTGGGCTTTGGTATTTTTTGCGCCAATTTATAAATGTTGGATTGTAAGGAGACAAACAATTTCGAAATTCGACTTGTGCCAATTAATTATCGTTTTAGATTGGGCCGAGTAGAATGAAATACGAAGGCAGCGAGCATTGTACGTATAGGGATCGAAATTTGAACTCGCACAGCACATTAAAAATCGTGGAAGGTTGATTGAAGGAGTAGGAAAAAAAACGAAAAAATGGGACCATTTAGAACTTTCTCGAGAAGCTTGCAAAAAATTGAATCCAGAACCATGCCCTTTGATTTGTGCAGCGAAAGAATTGAATTTTGAGGATTACGCGATTGAAAATTTTGAGGTCTCTTGAATTGCTATTGTGGAAAAATGACGAGTGTGAAAAACGGCAGCGATATTCGATGCATTGTGTGCGTACACCGAGTCTACAGTAATCTCGACATATATTATTCAAAGTTCGGTTTTTTAAATATTGTTGAAAAATGACAAATGTATCCAGGTGTCGTAGGATCCTGCGTTTTGTACGCAATGACAAGAGACAGCTACCGTAATCCTCGCAGCGATTTACGGGATTTTTTTTTAATTTCGCATATTCATTTTTTTAATATTTCGTTCAATTTTTTAAATTTTCTTTCGAAATTTTTTAATTTAAATTTTGCAGAAACCGAGTTTAATAATTTATTTAGCAGGATAAGCACTTTTAAACGATATTTTTTGGTAAAAACAGCAGAGATTTAAAAGAAAACTTTTTTGTCATTAATAAAATTATTTTTTCGTGTTTTGCTTTTTGTACGCGTTTCTATTATCTTGTTTTTGTATTCATTATTTTCAAAATAATTTTTAGAGCGTCAAAATCTTTACAATAATTCCCAACTCAACTGGACAAATGGAAAAGTGCATATTCTGAAAATTAAATAATTAAACTCGGTTTCGACAGATTTTGAATATAAGATTTCTAAAGAAAATAAGAAAATTCAGCAAAAAAAATTGAAAGGAAATTAAAAAAAAATCTCCGTAAATCGCTGCGAGGATTACGCTAACTGTCTCTTAGCATTGCGTACAAAACGCAGGATCCCACGACACCTCGATAAATTTGTCATTTCTCAACAATATAAAAAGAAACGATCAATAATTAATTAAATAATTTCAGTTGAGATTACTGTAGCTAAGATCGAAATGTGTAACTCGGTGTATGCACACAATGCATAGGATATCGCTGCAGTTTTTCAAATTCGTCATTTTTCTACAATAATACCAAAATTTTTCTATTTGACAATTTTCACAGCGACCGCCGAAATACCTGGAACACCTGAATCGGCATGGTTATGTTGATTTGAAGGAAAGCGTGAAATTTGGAGACGTCATTTCGTTTAATATTTATCCATTTGCGTAAGTGCCTGTTAGCTTATTCACAGTGAAATAAAAATTGGCAGTTGAAACAAAAATTTGTGCAATTTTACGTGCGTGTGCTTTGCGGAAGCGACGCCGATCTTTTTTTTTTTGAATTTTTGTTTTTTTTTGTGTTGAATTAAAGTATTTATTGATGAGAAATGGCAAATGTATCCAGGTGTCGTGGGATCCTACGTTTTGTACGCAATAGGATTAGCCAGTTACCGTAATCCACCAGACGATTTACGGGGACTTTTTAAAATTTAGTATTTTCATTTTTTTAAATTTCCCACGGATTCCACGACACATGGATACATTTGTCATTTTTCAACAATATGTGATTTATAGATGGTCCGACAAAATTGAAGTCGTATTAACCGACAAACGGGAAAGCAGAGATGTGATTTTGCTGGAATACTCGCAGAAGGATGATAAGAAAACTTTCAAAAATGCGGTATTTGAATGGGAATTGATGAAAACGAATGTTTTTTTTGTTGCAGGAGGCCACAAATGAGCTCAAATTTGATATGAGCTTCACACATTTTGATGTTCGATTAGTGTATGCATAAATGCTAAAATAATTAAACATTTTCAATAATTTCTCGCAGATTAATGGAATCGGTGATTTACGTCTATTCATCAAGAAAAGTTGGAAATAATTTTTTCAAAAAAGATTTCCCCCAATTTTTAATTTTCCAGAAAGAAGAGACATTCAGTGCGATAAGCAGCTATGTGAAATATATTGAGCGAATTATTGTTCGAGGAGGTTTCGCCTCGAATGTTGAACATATCGGATCGTAGGGATCTTCGAAAAGAAATGGTTTTATAAGAATTGGTTTTGCTTTGAAGGACCTGCACGATCGAGCGAAAAGTTAGAACAACCGTTGGCCAATTGAGAAGGGTCCTAGATTATGCCGATCCAGGATCGGAACAGGTTATTTTTAGCCTAATATTTTCGTCGCAAGACCATCATTTGTTTGTTTTTCTAATAATTTTCCCATTTTTTTTTCCAGTATCGAACGAGTGTCGTTCAGCATTCACTCCGAATGCCCTACCGCACGAAATTGCCTGATCCGATTCAATTCATTGAAGGAATGGTGATGGACGGTAGACAATTGAATATTGCTGGCGAATTTCGAGAAGTGAACGTGTCGAACGCGTAAGATTTCAATAGATAATCTGAAGGACGCCAATTTCTGAGAAACAAAATGGCGCGCGGCTCAGGTGCGTTGCGACTCGCGTGCGGCCACTGCAATGATTCGACCGCACGCGAACCGCAACGCGTCTGACGACAGTGTCTTGCGGCAGGCGATTCTATTAGAAGTCTTCTTTTTAAAATGATTGACATCTCTGTTCTCTCTCTCTCTCCCCCTCTCTCTCTCTCTCTCGCTCTCTCCCTCTCTCTCTCTCTCTCTCTAGTAAGCCAACTCCTTAATATAGCAAAAAATCAATTATTTGGCTAAGCGCGGCCCACTATACTAGAATATACTACATATAACTATATGAATAATTTAAATAAATTAGGTTTATTCGAATTTTGTTGTTTAATTCTCGCAATTTCACGTATGGACCGGTTGCTGAAATGAATTTGGATGATGGAAAAATAATTCTCAAGTCAAATAATGAGGTTTGTTCCAAAAAAAAATTTAATTTTTGAAATGTAGCCTCTTTTTTCAGAGCTCGTCGTATGGTGCGATCATTTCGAACAGCGTACTTTCTTTACAAATAAGGTCGGGCGATGGGGAATTCAAAAAAAATGATAGAAAAAATGTATTATAGCCAAATAGTTAGTATCAATAATCCCAATGAATTGTCACTTTTTGTTTCCGAATCGGTCAATGAGCGAACTGATCAAAAAGGTAATCGATTAAAGCGTTCGACCCAAATTCGACACTTCGAATTCATTTGAGCTGTGCTGACATTGCAATATCAAGACGCTTTCGATTTTGCGCAAATTGATTCGAATATCAACATTTATTTTGCGACTTGGTTCTCGACGCGATATGTCAGGAAACACTCGTGTGGCCATCGGGCATTTGAACCTGATCAGGTGCTTTATTTCTTTTCTTTTCTTTTCATCATATTTAAACATTGATAGTTGGATAGGGAATTGCCGAGATCAAAATGCAGGAAAGATGAATACGTTATATGCGAAAGTGCGCTCCATCGAATCGCAAGCCTGATTTCAACATTTGTTTTTTTTGTGTTTAGGGGATCCTCCGGCGGTTTCGGACATTCAATTGCCGGATGACGAGGAAGATTTTGTCGCGAACGCGACGAGACCTACTCACGATATCGGGCAGAATAAGACGATGATGAATTCTTGGATGAGTTTGCAAAAATTTGGAATCGACATCAATAATTTTGAATCAATATTTGTTTAGCGCGGGATCATTTGATAGTGATACAGGCGATCGCGATGTTTTCGCCGATGTTGATGCTGGCGGGAATGGTGGTCCTTTTGAGCAGTCCGTTCTAGATTTGGTATGGATGTTTCGATGGTCCCTATATATTGATGGCGATTTTAGATCGATAAAAGAAGGCAATATTCATTTCTTCTTTCTCGCTTCTCGTTTTTCGGTCTATTTTTAAAAAACTGATGATTTTTCTTATACATGAAAATATAATTGGAATTTTATTTCAATTTTGTTATTTCGAAAGTAAATTATATAGTGGCGCATAGAATTTTTCGCGACAAGAATTTGTAATTCTGGCGCGTTGCGTGTTCAAAACCGCAACGCGTCTGACGACATTGAATGATTACAAAAGCCGCTTTTATTTTTGCGAAAATGAGCAATTCAGGTTTATCGAATAAAATATTTTGAGAATCAATTATTCAATAACAAACTTGAAAATATTATGAGAAATTCTTGATACTGTCTGAAACTTGATTGAGACTCGATAAACTGAAAAATACTTTTTATAGTCTTAAAAGATTTTCTAAAATTTATTGAGCAATTTGCAAATTATCGCAATAATTTCTAAAATCCTTTTTATGAATTTCTAAAGTTGATTGAGAAAAATCTAAAATATTATAGAGACACGTTAGTTTCTCAAAAGATTTTATTCGATTTACCTGAGAATGTATTTAAGTACGCATCAACTCTGCGGACTTACATTTTAATTTACGCCTAAATTTTTAAAGCTTATCAGCGATTTGAAATTGAGGTTGGTTTTGGTATTTTATATATGATCAATTTTCGCACGGTCAGTACGACACTCCGATTACAGATCGCCCGCAATTTAGCGAATCGATTTTGCCCTGTTTAAAAATGTTGCGCGGAAAAACCAAAAAAGTGGCCGATGGTAAGTAGTTTAGAAACAATTCAAACAAAAAAGAGCAGATTTTCTGAATTTGTCAGATTCGAACGTGAATATTCATGCTCTCAACGTGAATATTCATTTCAAATACTTATTTCAGAGTTCAAAAATAAACTAGAATGAAATGGTTCATCGGAATTTTATTAGTTTTCAATGTGAATGCCGAGAAATGTGAATAACCATGTAATTCCCCACCCACTTTTTTTTCTCAAATTGCAGATTGCTCTGAAAATTGGGCAAAAATATTTCGGTCCGCTGATGAGCAGAAATGTTGGATTGTAAGAATATTATAATTAAAATTGTTATTAAAAATTTGAAGATTGGAAAAAGCAGCGAGTTTTGCGAATATGAAGATAAGAAATTGTCAATGAATAATCGATTGGAAGTATTTCACGGTGAGCTTTTTTGAAACGAAGAATTTTCGACCAAAATTGATTGGATTTTGAGAAATTGCCCGAGATTCGTGCGCGATTCTTCGCCCGGAACCATGCCCGCTGATTTGTGTCGACAAGGAGTTGGAGTTTGAAGATTACGCCATCGAAAATTTTGAGGTTTTTCGAGTTTTTATGAAAATATTCAAATTCAACGGCATTTTATTGAATATTTTCTACGTTGTGACAATTTTTTAGCTGGTTCAAAAAAATAGTAAAATTTTTAAAGGAGGATGAAACAAAAAAACGATAAAGTGACCGGTGCAACTTTTTTCCCCCTCCCAACAAAGCAAAAATGTTGGGTCCGCAATTTTCAGCGACCTCCGAAATACCTGGACCATCTGAATCGGTATGGATATGTTGAATTTGAAGAAGCTATTCAAATTGGAGACGTCATTGCTTTCAATATTTATCCATATCCGTATTGAATCGATCAATTCCCGCGACAACAATAATCTTCTCTTTTTGATTTTTTTTAGATGGACCAAATTAATATCGGTATTTCTCACTGACGAGACAGAAAAAAATGTGATATTTGGAATTGACACCATCGAATTAACATATGCGAAAGTTTTCAAGACGAAGGTTGAATTTTAGACGAAAAATTTGACATATTGTTGAAAAATGACAAATGTATCCAGGTGTCGTAGGATCCTGCGTTTTGTACGCAATGCCAAGAGACAGTTACCGTAATCCTCGCAGCGATTTACGGGGACTTTTTTTTTAATTTCGCATATTCATTTTTTTATTTTTCGTTTAATTTTTTAATTTTCTTTCGAAATTTTTTTAATTAAATTTTTAAAATTTGCAGAAACCGAGTTTAATAATGTATTTAGCAGAATAAGCACTTTTAAACGATATTTTTTTGGTAAAAACAGCAGAGATTAAAAAGAAATCATTTTTGTCGTTAATAAAATTATTTAATCGTGTTTTGCTTTTTGTATGCGTTTCTATTATCTTGTTTTTGTATTCTTCATTTTCAAAATAATTTTTAGAGCGTCAAAATCTTCACAATAATTCCCAACTCAACTAGACAAATGGAAAAGTGCATATTCTGAAAAATAAATAATTAAACTCTTTTTTCTACAGGTTTTAAATATAAGATTTCTAGAAAATTAGAAAATTCAGCAAAAAAAAATTGAAAGAAAATTTAAAAAAAATCTCCGTAAATCGCTGCGAGGATTACGCTAACTGTCTCTTAGCATTGCGTACAAAACGCAGGATCCCACGACACCTAGATACATTTGTCATTTCTCAACAATAACTTTTTTTTTGAATTTCGCGCCAAATCGATTTTCAGCAAAAACATTTTTTTTTTCTTCATAAAAATTTCGAGAAAGAGAATTTCATTAAAAAAATGTGTGCAATGTTGCGTGTTAGTGTATTGCGGACCTTTACAAGCGCCTTAAATTTCCAATTTTTTTTTGCTTCAGTCCGACTCGCACAACCTGGATTCGTCTCTAAATTATGGGCAATTCGATGTCAGATTGGAGTAATTTTCAAATTTGACGAGAAAGAACAAAAAAATGTGATGTTGTGTTTTGATTTCAGAATGTCACCATCGGGAGTGCGCGGCTATTTCGAGAACAACGAGGTGAATACGATAAAAATGTGTTGATCAATTGTCGTTGCTTCTTTCAGCACTTGCAATCGTTTAGCTCAATCGACATTGCCACGTATGTGAAAAAAATTCGACGTCTGAAAATCAGCGGTGGTTTCGCGTCGAATATTGAGCATATTGGATCGTAAGAAAAATCAAAATGTTGCAATTTTTGAAACACTTTATTCATTGTTTTTAAAGGACGTGCAATTTAAAGCGGGCAAATCAGTTTTTGTTTAGTTCGGTCAATCGAAATAAGCTTTATGCCGATTGGACGTCGGCTCAGGTATGAGAGAAAAAAAGCATTATTTTTAGATAATTGAAGACATAATTGATTTTCAGTACAGATCAGTGTTAGTCGGGATTCCGCTCAGAATGCCTTTAAGATCGATAATGCCGGATCCGATTCAGTTCGTCGATGGAATGAAGACCGACATTCGCTCGTTGTACATTTCCGGTGACTATAGCGCTTCGAAACAATCCAAACCGTAAACGCAATCGTTTTCTTTTTGTTGGATTTTTTTTTATTTTCACAATTTTAACAGATTTGTGGCCGTTTCGCTGTTCAATATGCGAAATAGCTCGCAAAGAATATTATTGAAGCTGGTGTTTGGCAATAAAACGGTGGCTTTCGAGCGTCCCGCTGGGGTATCGAGAACAAAAATTGGGGCGTCAAACGACTGAACGAAATTTGAGATTGCGTACGTTGCATTATAGCGTACGCGCATTTAATATTGTGGTCAACAAAAGACAATTTAAATCGTCACTGAGGAGCTCGTGAATTTGATGGTCCCATCTCGTTTCAGTCGTTTTGACGCCGATAATATGTATATTTGGGAATCATTTGAAATAGTTTGCAGATGTTCTCGAATAAAGATCTCAAATCTGATGGTAAATTTACGTATCAAATTGAGTAAGTATGGGATAAAAGAGCAAAAAATACTTTTTTTTTTGAGTGTATACTATATGGCGAGAGACTATTAAAATTTGAGAGATTCTAGACAATACCAAAATGTTAAAAAAATAGTTTGGTTTTTTTTTAGTGTAATGATTTCAACGGAATATGAGGGCTCGCAAATGCTGACGATTTGGGAGCACACGAGCGATGAAAGGTCGAAAGTTTGTGAGGCGAATCGAATAATTAAAACGAGATGTTTGTTTTTTCTGCAATTTCCAGACGAGACGCTTCAAAATCTCCAAATGAATTTTGTGAACACGTTCGATTTTGCGAAAATTGAGTCGAATGTTGAAGTGTACAATGTTTATTGGCTCTCGACGCGATATAGTTGGAAAAAAACGTGCGGTTTTCGAGCGTTTGAGCCCGATCAGGTTAATTGAGAAAAAATGTCAATTATATTTTTTATAGTTGAACAATAAAGTGCCGAGATCAAAGTGTCGAAAGCAGGATTATATGATTTGTGAAGGTTTCTTTTTTGGTGTTATAATCGTTTGAGATGAAAAATTGAGAAAATTGTAGGCAGCCCATCGGAAACGCCTCCAATAGTTGCCGATATACTATCGGATAAGGGAAATGGGACGACGAATGAGATGAACTCGACGGCGGCGGCGGCGACGAGCGCGTTTAGGAGCGACGAAACTTGGATGAGTTTGCAAAAATTTGGAATCGACATCAATAATTTTGAATCAAATTTTGTTTAGCGCGGGATCATTTGATAGTGATACAGGCGATCGCGATGTTTTCGCCGATGTTGATGCTGGCGGGAATGGTGGTCCTTTTGAGCAGTCCGTTCTAGATTTGGTATGGATGTTTCGATGGTCCCTATATATTGATGGCGATTTTAGATCGATAAAAGAAGACAATATTCATTTATTCTTTCTCGCTTCTCGCTTTTCGGCTTACTTATAAATTATTAGTTAGGGTTATTTTTTTTTACTAATTTTTCTGCGAAAAATTGGCTAAATGCCAAAAAATACTGAAAATAAAGATATCGGTGCATCTTTTTTTAAAAACATTTTTCCACAAACAATATTAAATACTCAAAAATTGTGCGTAGAGGGTTTTTATTTCAAATATTATAATGGACGCGTGATTTTGAAAAAAATTGGCTGCCTCTCAATGGATCCCAAAAAAGAACAGAATGGGCGCAAACTTTGAGATTTGACAAAAAATTCAAATAGAAAAGAATATTCATGGGATTTTCCACACGAGACCCCACTCAAAATCCTCAAACCATGCAAAAATATTACAATAAAAATTCACAAACATTTTCCCCCAAAATTCCATGTCGTGATATTCAGTGTTTGGTACGCAGTACACCGAGCGAGTTACAGTACTCCGATAAGATGATTTTTTCGCATTTTTTTGCGTTTTCTTATTTTCTCCAACAATAACTAAAAATTGAATTTCGAAAATGGTTTTGAAAGTGGAAAAAACCCGAATTTGCATTTTTTTTAATGAAAATGTTTTTATTGAAAAATGAAAAGATAATTTGAAAAAAAAAATTAAATTAAATGCCTCGTCTTTTATTATTCGAAAAATATTTAACGCGGCGAATCTTAAATAATCTCATTTTTGCTTATTTTATAAATGGGAAAAGGACGCTTCAATCTTATTGGAATATTGGTTTTAAATTTCATTTTTCTTTACAATTGCCAGGAACAACGTACCAAAAAAAAATGAGGAGATGTGATTGATCTGAAACGAATTTTCAGCTTGTAATGACAATTGGTGGGTCTCGACGTTTCGAGTCGGAAATGAATCGTGCTGGAGTGTTGGCCAAATTTTGGCGCCATTTTCTCGATGTCTAAATTTCAGATTGCACAACAAAGCTTGGGAATGAAGGATGCGCAGACGTTTTGCCGTTACGTCGGCGCCCACACGTTGTTTCTAGAATCGTATGACACTTTGGAACGATTTCAAGGTATATATGAAAAAGAACAAATTTTGGAGTCTATTTTTTTTCAGAGCTCGCTCGAACAGCATGCCGATCTTCCAAACTTGTTGAACAATGCCCGATGGTTTGCAATGAGCGAGAAGTGACTACGTTTGAGGATTTCATGATCACTGATTATGAGGTTTGTCACATTAATTCTACTAAAAAAAGAAACTTTTTTTTTTGAAGAGACCCCCCTCTTATTTGAAACGACTCAATCTTGACGGCTATATCGATTTTGAGGAGGATTTCGACATCGATGACGCGATTGTGTTCAACGTCTATCCGAAACCGTGAGATTTTTTTGTGATGCTTGAATGATTCCGAGACGATTGGCACAAAAAATTTGGAACGCTTCACGAATTTGCGTGTCATCCTTGCGCAGGGGCCATGCTAATCTTCTCCTCGGTAGAATTGAAATGCTACAATTCGGGCGTAAGCGGCCGATCGGGTGCAAAAACACTCCCGAACGGGAGCAGGTACACTTGTTCGGGTGCAATTTGGCTAAATTCACAAAATTTGGTGCAGAGATTCTCCCGATTTGCTCCCATTATTCACATAACCCGAATTGGAGGCGAATTGCACTCGATTGGGAGCAGAAGTAAGCACTCATCTATGTGCAATCAGTGCAATTCGGGCGCAAGCACCCAAACCACAGCAATTCATTTGAAATTCTTACACCTTTTTTTACTTGGGCCCAATTGCTATAAATTGATAGCAGAATCGCAGGCAATTCACCTACCGAAAACGTCAGTGAAGTTCTACTAAAGCGCAAATGCAGTGCAAATTTAAACTGAACTTTTAATTTTTTTTCTTTTAAATTTTTTTTCAATTTTTTTTTATTACTTTTCGTTTTTAATAAAACTAGTCTTTAAATAAATAATACATGTTTTTTCTTAAAGATTCCTCCGGAACAATGAAACGAATTGTGTCATCGCTTAACGAGGAATTAGGTATTAAATATATGGCAAAATATGTATGGTTGTATATGTTGCGAACGGACCGGATCCCTTCGAGGTTGAAGATATTCACTTGATAGAGTACAACAAAATTAATGCTATTTAGATCATTTCCTTGAATCAGATATACGCTCGTCACAAAATCACCGTTGGCGATATTCAATCAATTAGGGCACTTGATTAGAGAGATACTCATGAAGGTGCGCACACAGTTAATCTTCTGCCATGAGGAATAGTTGTTTCAGATGACTATCCCGCCATGGAAATACACAGTACGATGTCGAGCGTTTACTTCCATTACCTCGTTCGGTTGCGGTTTCTTTGGAAGGTAAAAATTTTTCTTTTATAAATGGGCTAGTTGACTTAGGCAAACGATCTAAAACATAATAGAGTCACGGAATATCATTAAAGAGCATTTGTAGAGTTTATTATCGTTTGCCTGTGATCAGACACTCAAAATTATTATTAATATGAATGTGAATTTAATCCGCTCAGCTTTTTTTGTTTGACACAATGGGGCTCTGGGTTAAACGTTAAGGTTAAACTAGTATTAATGCGGCGTTGCAATTTTAACGTCTTTTTCGTAGTCACGTGATGTCAGCGTAAAAAAAGTAAACAAAATCAAAACGCCGATAATATTTAAAAAAAAAACCTTCTAGAATTTCATTTTTTATACGCTATTTTGCCTCACAACTGAATTTGAAAGTTTTATACAGTGCCCCACATAACTACAGTACTGGCCATAATGATGTTCGCCTAGTGTTTTTTGAGCATAACTTGGCACAAACGCGGCCGATTGGGCTGAAATTTTTACTGTAAACGCTAAACACAGTTGCGCAACCTTGTAAACAACAAAAATTGCATCATGTTGAAAAATTATTTTATTTTTCAATTTTTTTTGTTTTTTTCGATTTTACCAATTTTTCATTTTTTTCAAACTTTGTCCATAAAAATTGTTTTATTTGAAATTTGAACTTGAAACATGTTTTTAGTAATTTTTCAACCTTCTGGAAAGAAAAATTTCACGGCGGACGTTCAAAAACCGATCGTCAACGGTCATAAGACTGGGTCATCCAGAAGCCTTCTGGCTCAGCAGTTCCTGTGCTCCCGAAGAGGAATCCAAAAAGTTTTGCAATGATTAAGACAAAATTTACGATTTATTATTCGTTCTGGACTATTTCTAATCTATAGGGCTGCATTTTTGTCAACAAATCCTCGCAAAACCACTAGGCTCCATGATCGGAACATCTGCCGTGCTTCGAGAGAAGATCCTAGACGGACTGCAGAAGATATCCAGATGCTTGTGGTGACGCCAAATGCTTCAATGTCATCCAGAAGAACAATTAGACGTCCTTTGGTGGAGAATGGACTTCATGGAAGACGCCCAGTGAAGAAACCATTGATCAGTGAGAAGAACCAAAAGACGAGGGTGGCATGGTGCAAGGATCATCTGAACTGGGGACGATGTGAATGGGCCAAACACATCTGGAGCGATGAATCGAAGTTCAACTTGTTCGGAACTGATGTAATAAAGTGGATTCGTCGACCTATCGAAGCCAGATTCATGCCAAAGTACCACCTCCGAACGGTGAAGCATCTTGCAGGGTCTGGAGCTGCTTCCCCGACACCGCCATGAGACCGCTCCGACGTGTAAATGGAATCATGGTTCGGTACCAGTACAAGGATATCCTGGAAATCACAATGAGACCTTGGGAATTGGCAAACGTCTGACGTGCATTCGTTTTCCAGCAAGACAACGACCCTGAGCACATGTCGGGACATGTAAAGAATTGGTTCCAACGTCGCCGCGTTGATGTTCTTGCATGGCCATCACAGATTCCTGACCATAATCCGATCGAACATCTCTGGGAAGAAATGGTACGCATTGTTAGAGGGCTCCGAGCATCAATCGCCGACGAGAAGTTCGCTCAACTCGAAGCCGCATGGAGTGCCATTCCGATGCAGTGATCCGCACCCTCTTGGACTCGATGCCTCGCAGATGCCAAGCGGTTATTGATGCCAAGGGATACGCAAACAAGTATTGATAAATTAAAAATTGGTTTTCTACAAATTTGTAATGTTTTCGGGTTTCTGAGACTTTCAAATCACATTGTGTCATTTTTTCCATTTTCCGCATTTTTATGAAATTTGTGATTTTTCGAAAAAGAAACTTTTCTGCAGTATGCGATACCAATCAAACGCATTTTCAACGCGTTTTAAAGATATGGTAAAAATTTCAGCCCAATCGGCCGCGTTTGTGCCAAGTTATGCTCGAAAAACACTAGGCGAACATCATTATGGCCAGTACTGTATATACCGACCCCAATTTTGTCGAATAACTCGAAAACGCGAATACCTCCAGAAATGGTTTCAATTAGAAAAATATGCGCATTTATTATTAGTTTCATGTTACATTCACGAAATTCAACAAAAAATAATTTAGTAATTAACTGGACCTCCATTGAGTCGTGTTACATCAAAAATTCGGCAGTCCATTGATTAATAAAGGTTGTCAAGAAGCTGTTGATCGACAAGCTTCCAGGCTTCCACGATTGCCTTTTTGAGATCCGTAATTGAATGAAAATACTTGTTGCAATCGTAAATCTTCTTTACTATAAACCCCAGTAACATTGTGATTGCGTTCCAGTTCATTCCCAATCTGTCGATAAGAGAGAACTTGAGCCAGCTTTGCTACAATTTTATCTTTTTCAAAGTCGGTGAGCGGCTTTTCAAAAGGTATGTCTAAAAAAGAACAGTAAAATTGCAAAAAATTCGAAAATCCGAAAGAAAATATCGAAAAAACGCAAAAAAAATTGAGTGGGTATACAGGGTGTCATTTAAGTTCCCGCACAACTTTGAAGACGTATATTTCTGAAACTAAAAGTCTAAATCAAACAAGACTCGAAATATTATTTATCTATAGTACAACAAATAATTATCTATTAACTTTTTTCGATTTGGCCTCTTTTCGCAGCTATGACTTCACGGAGACGCTTCGGGTAGGATGTGACTGTGGTACGCAGGTATTCGATGGAAAGATTGTCCCATTCCGCCAGTAATGTCTTCTTCAGAGCCTCTACACTTGAGTGGGGTTTTGCGTTGACCTTCTCCTGCAAGACCCCATCACGGAAAAGTCAAGCGGGTTCAGGTCTGAGGAGCAAGCAGGCCATTCGGATGACTTGATGAAGTCGGGAAAATGGGTCTGGCACCACTCCTGAGTAGTTTTGGCAGTGTGGGCGAGTGCTCCGTTCCGCTGAAAGATCCATTTCTGCCCACCGAAATGTGTTTTGGCCCAGGACATCGCATGCTTCCCCAAAATGTCACAACGTAGACTTCTTTGTTCACTTTCACCCCCTATTCCACCAAAACCAGGGGGCACTTCCCGGTTGAGCAGATGGCACCGAAAGCCGTCACACTGACAGGATGTGAGGCTCGATGAATTGTTCTGCCTTTCCCAGAAGCTTGCTAGGATGTCTGGGCAAGTACTCGATGATTTTAAGAGTTAAATGCCGCCTCCATAGTGAACAGCTTCTCGTCGGAGAAGACAGTGACGAGGTGTTGTCCAGACCGCGTGCGAGCAAGAAGTCGTTTTGCTTTTTCGAAGCGTCTCTGCTTGTTGACGGCTGATAGAATTGCCGCTTTTTGGACACGATATGGGGTCAGTACAAGCTTTGTTTTGACGATTTGTTCCATAGCGAAGATGCTCATTCCCATGTCTGACGCTATCTTTCTCATGCTTCTGTGGGGGTATCGCCTGATCCTCGATTTGACGGCGTTGATCTTCTGAGGAGTGGTTACTGAGACGAGTCTTCCTTGTCTGGGACGGTCACTGGTCGTATTTAGCTCCTTGAAACGTTTGATGGTGTCATAAACCGTTCTACGAGGCACACCGACCCGTTGAATTATGTCTCTCGGGCTCACATTTTGCTTATGAAGTTCGATAATGGAAGCGCGATGGATGTTAGCCTTCGCCATTTCTCGGAAACACATCAGAATGAGGTGAAACTTGGAAAGTAAGTAAAATATACCTTGTTCAATAAAAATAAATTGTATTGGTGCACGAAAAGTGCGTTAGCGAAGCTCTAAATGGCGTCAAATTTTTGTGCGGGAACTTAAATGACACCCTGTATAGTTTTGTGGAAAAATTTTTTCCACTTTTTCGTGAAAATGACGAAATTTTTTTAAATTGTTATTTTTTGTTGAATTTTGTGAATGTAACATGAAACTAATAATAAATGCGCATATTTTTCTAATTGAAACCATTTCTGGAGGTATTCGCGTTTTCGAGTTATTCGACAAAATTAGGGTGGTTATATAGTTATGTGGAGCACTGTAGATTACTAATTAGTATTATACATAATTTATAACATACTGCACATTTCAGAGAAGAGTTCCTGAACGTTGTATCATCGAGGAGCTCAATACACATGGATAATTTAAAAGTTACTCATAGTTCTGTGGTATAGCCAAGGACCGAAAAGCTTGGAAAGCTGTGGTGCGCGCCTTAATAGGCGAAGGACGAACCGACTAAGTGGCTAATGCAAATTTTAAAAAATGTTATTTGATTTCAAATTAATATTTTTTTTTGTATTATATATTTTTTAAATAAAGATTTCACTGTTATGAATTGGGAGAAATCTGGGAAAAATTCTGGCGAAATTTGAGAGCGGTGTTGGTGTAAATCGCTAACCGAATTGCAACAAATTGCCGAGTCTGCTACCAATCGGGAGACGCTTTGCTCCCGTTCGGGCGTGATTTTGTAGCAGTTTCGCCGTCGAACTAGAGCCGAATTTACGCCCAAATCGCAGCAATTTTTCTCTACTCTGATTAAGCGCGACGCAAGCATAATGGAAGCATTGTGGGAAATCTGTGGAACGGAAGCATAATGCTTCCATATAGGAAGCATAATGTAATTCTTAGTGGCTGTGGAAGAATTATGGGACGAATATGGATGGAATGAAAACGGGATGAATATGCTTCCGGTGTTTGCGAGCCGTGGAACAAATATGGATGGAATATGGATAAAATAATCATATGTCAATAAACATTATACAATTGGCGTCTGGACGGCAGACCAAGACAATTTCTAGAAAAATCAATACAAAAAACTTATGCTATCATATAAACAATGAAAATTTGAAAATTACATGATACACAACGGACGAAATTTAGCTTCTACCATTTAATGACTTATGTTACTCAGATTTATGTTAATTCAGTCAACTGTTCCTCACTTTGTTTAAAGATTGCCAACTACAATTTAGTCGTATTAATATATTTTTGCCGGTTTTTCCGAAATTGGCATCGCAAACTACTCACAATTTGCTCCAAACTGGTAGCAGACGCGCGTAGAAGAGGCGTGCCGCAGCATTGCAAAACCGTGCGCCGCTTTGCACAATGCGGCCACGCCTCACATTTTCGAAATTCGTTTTCAAAATTTTTGTCCTTTTGCTTTTTCTCAATGAATTTTCAAGATTTTTTGTGTTTTTTTTTTGTCAAAAATTAAAGAATTTTTTTCAAAATTAAAGGAAAAATGTTTTTAAAAAATAAAGGAAAAATTTTCATATTTATCATCATAATCGAAACCAAAAATAAATTGATAGCATTCGAAAATTTTAAAATCGATACGATGTTTTCAAATCGTTTCCGACACTTTTAAAATCGAATTTAAATATTTTCTCAATCGAATTGTGTTTAATTTCTCATCGAATCCGTTTTATTTTTATTTACTTTAACATATTTTTTATTATCGCTCGCTTTTTTCTTTTAATAAAACATAATGTTTTGAAATTTTTTTCAGATGAAGACAAGATCGAGAGTGTTGTCAGATATAACTGAAACTGCTCTAGAAGTCAATAACAAAGAACCAGAAGTCCCTAACATGGAACCAAATTCGCTCGACACTTCAGATCCAGATAGTCCAATTTACTCGCCAACTCAGCAAAAAAATTTTTCTCCACAGTCCTCACAAACAACAAAATCAACGCCAATTCCTAAACCTTCGTACGCGCAATTTGTAAGTTGTTATCATCAAAAATTGGCCTGTTCGACTCCAGAAATGGTTTCAATTAGAAAAATATGCGCAATGAAGTCTTTATAAAGTACTTCCTAAGTTTAAAGCTTGTTGATTATTTGGTTCCAATCAGGGCTGTGCGGCAATGGAATTGCCGATTGCCGAAATTGCCGGTTTTTCAAATTGCCGAAGAAAATTTCGATCGGTAATTTGCCATTAGCCGAATCGCCGAAATTTCCGATTGCCGTACAGCCTTCGTACCAATATCATTCAGTGGCATTTATCTTTTTAAGTGGGGCTCTAGTACAGAAGTCGCCAGACGCCGACTATATAAAGATCCTATACTTTATTGCAAATATCTATATTACAGATGCTCTTATCCATGGCTTTGGGCAACAACCGACAAATGACTTCAAAGCGAAAGCATTACGCATGGTTCGAGAAGTCATGGATAATCTTCTGTAAGATTTTGAACTATGACTATTAATTTATTTATTTGATTAAGCGATAGAATGCGCCAACGACTTCAAAGGAAATTTGGTGTAGCGCCGGAAGCGCTCGCGGCGCAATTAAGGAAGCTGCTTGATTCTACCAGCAACCCTCAGATGTGAGTATTCATATGTCTTTGAAATTTTAACCAAAATGCCTTTTTGCTTCAAATTTTGGAGTTGTTCTTTCTTCCGCCAATTCACTTTTTATTTTGTGCACTAAAGGGTTTCCAAAAATGCAATAAAAATAAATTATTTTTATTTTTAAGAAAATTATTGATGTAAAAAAACTGATTGTATTTTCTCGAAAAATTTAGTTTACGTAACAATGGTTTACAAGTTTTTCAAATTAATAGGCCCATTATAATCTACTTATTACAGCGTCCCGCTCGATGTCAGTACTGACAATGATTCGAATAGTTCGGCAGTTGCCAGTAACTAATGGTTTGATTATATCTTAATTGAAATTCATTTCATTGTTGTTTTTTTTTTATTTTAAATTAAATAAATGTGTTAATATGAAATAAATTTTGAATACAGCAATCAAATTGTTTTCTTATTTTCCCATATGGAAGGCATACGGCTCATTCCATATACGAAACACGCGGTTCCGCAAAAAAATGCTTCCATTATGCTTCCATATAACTTGCACATAAGATTCCTATGATATCCACAGCCGTTCCACTATGCTTCCATTGTGCCTATGCCGCCGTTTATCTGTGTACCGAGTCTGTATTGTTCCAATTTTAGTATATGTTCTCGGAAGAACAAAGGCGTTGATGTGCACTCCGTCTATATACTCCCCTGAACACCATGTCCCGACTCGTTGCGGGTCTCGCTGCCATCCGTATTTAGAATGTGAGGAGAGAGCGCACGAGATGAAGAGAGCACCAAATAAGCAGAAAAAATTAATGTTGTCGAAAATTGAGCAAAAATTGAATTTTTTTTGAATGAAGAGAAACAGGCGGACGTTTTTTTTGCAGACAAAGCAGAAAAGTTGAAATCGACATAACAAATATGAACGAGACGAAGATCGTTCTGAGCATTGTGCTTGATTTGGAAGAACGGAAGCACAACTTAACTACGATGGTATAATGAATTAAATGATTATAGAGGATTGAATTTTAGGATGGAACGCAAAGAATTAAGGATTTTCCGGTGGCCTATGGCTTAATGGATTTTCGACTGAAGTAATAAGAGAGAAAAGAAAAAAGTGAAATGAATAATAATTATTTTAGATTTAGCGGAACAACAATTGTGCTTCACAGCGAATCAAATAAGAATATGGTATTTCATAATAAAAAATGTTTTACTGCTTTTTTGAGAAACGCTTCTATTCAGCATTCTCAAACGTTCCTTTCGGCGAGCTACGTTGTCAGTGATATTCAGCGATTCAGTATTCGTGGAGCGATCGTTTCGAATATTGAGCATGTTGAGAAGTGAGTGGTCCCCAGAAAATTGTTGATTGACATCGGAATTGAGGTCTTGCGGAATAAAACGAGAATCGCGAGTGTCGATGTTGGAGATAGCAAGAAATCGGCCCAGTGAATATTGCAACCCGAATTCTGAGCAGGTTTTTAATTTCAATTGAATATTGTATACAATTTGTGAGAAATGTCTCATGCAAGGATGACGCTAGATGTTTAAAGGCGCATAACCTTTGCATTTGATCAAAATTTGAAATAGGGCTTCATTTAATTGTTTGAGCTGTTGAAAACTGCAAAAAATTAAATTTGTCGAGAATTTCCGTGTTCTCTGATCGAATCTGCACCTTGCGCTAACTGTTCGATTGCCGAAAATTTTTTTTATTAACCGTCAATAAATGGTTTTTGTTTTCAGTATAGAAGCATAATGGATCCTAGAACATTGAAACTGCCTCATATCGTTCGACTGTTGGACCCATTGCAATCGATCGGATACCACGAAGATGTTCGTTATTTGCAATTCACCGGTGATTATAGCCGAGCGTTAGACACAGTCGGGTGAGTTTTTCGTGTGTTTGCAGCGCGGTTTTGATGGCAACAGTTTTTTAGAATTATAAAAATTCGGTTTTTTGAATACTCTCATTTTGCGGAGAAGAACGTTGACTCGTACCTGGAAGTGAAAGTTGATAAGGCGTTGGTATACTTCAACAAAGATGTATGTTTCTGTTTTTCTTCCTCAAACTTATTTATTTTCCTAGCATGTTAAATTGCCATTGAAATTGAGAGACGGGGTCTTCACGTTTAGTGTCAAGTTTGAAGAATCGCGAACAAAATGGACGCCTAATGCGGTTTTTTTTTTCAGTTTTCGAGTTATCAACGGAGATTACATGTATAATGTTGCTGATGAAATGATTGGTGAATTTCAGCAATTATTCAATGATGGTGAAGTGGAGACGTTTTGTTAGTTTCTTTTTTTTTCGTTGGTTAATTGGTTATTAAAATTTGAATTAGACAGCAAGAAAATGCAATTCAAAAGCTTCGATTTTGCGATAATCGAGGCGAATGTGCCGATTTTTGAAGTGAAATGGATGTCGTCGAGATCGATGACGTCGCATTCTTGCGGATATCGGGCGTCTGAAAGCGTGCAGGTTCGTTGGTTCTTTTTTTGTTGTTGTTGTGGTGCGCGTTTTAATATTGAATTTTAAGATGTCGTTGAAATTGCCGAAAACGAAATGCAAAAAAGATCACTATGCGATTTGTGAAAGTTTGCTTCTATTATTTTGATTTTGTTCCAGTTTCAAGTAAACGTTTTTTTCTAGAAAACGCATTGGTGCATAATATTTATGAGAAGGTCGACACGAATTTGAATTCGACTACCAATGAAATTCTGATGTCAGAAGAAAAGCCGAAGAAAACGTTTTTCCAACTTGGTTTCTTCATTTCGATTTTTTTTCGAGATTTGTTTAAATTTGAATTATTTTAGGAAGATTTGAAAATATACTGATTAATGGATTTTCCATGTTTTCTGTGGCCGTCGTCGTTTCTCACATGGTCATCTTCTATCTCGTACCTTTATAAAATGTGTTTATTTTATTGAAAATATGTTTAAAATGGGAAAAAATTGGGCGGAATCGCGAAAAGCGCCAACTCTCCTCCTGCGTGCGCAATTCTGGTGCGCTGGCGCAATTTCTTCTCCAGATTTGAGTGATCAAACGCGTTAATTTTTGATCTTTGCGCGAAATCAACAAATTTTGCATTTGATATATTTTGTCATTTTCAATGCGTTTCATACTAGATCAAATCGAAAATGATTAAAAGACCATGGCGCCAAAATTTGAATAATAAGCAAGGCCACTCCTAAATTCGTCTGTCCTCGACAATATATTCTCCAAACTTCTATTTAAATCAATTTTATTATTTTTAAAAGAATATTCCCCAATGCACGCTAGATGCTATCGTAGTTTTTGCTCATTTCTTTAGTTTTTTATTTGGAATGAGATTATTGAACAAACTTCTCATTTTATTGAATATCGAAATTCTTTACAGTGTTGAATTGGAAAATGGTGAGCTCGTTGGGTGATTTTTTGATGTTATTTAAGCGAATTGATTTGTCCAGTTTGCCAGGATCCGTTTGAGCATAAATTTCTTATGAAAAATAAGGAAGTGTGTTGGAGGGTAAGTGAATAAATGCTTCTTTTGATTAATATTGATTTTTTTTGCAGGCGTTATCTTTAGAAACGAACAATATTGGCCCGTTTTGTTGGAGACTGAAAACCCAATTGGTGGAGCTGATTGTCGAAGAAAGTGTGGACATGTTTAAAGGCATGATTTCAACTATTGTGAGCGTCTCCTCATTTTTTTTCTCCAGAATTTGTACGAAACTATTGCGGCAAATTGAAGAAGAAATCGTGCCCGCTGTTTTGTTATAGTCGAAATTTTGTCAATTGGGAATATTATAGCGAGGAGTACTTTGAAGTGACGCGAAAAACAACTGATTTCGTACCATCATATTTTTTTTCAGCGTCCGCCAAAATATTTGGAGTTTTTGAATCGGCACGGTTTCGTCGATTTCGACGATCATATTCATGATGGCGATACGATTGTCTTCAACGTCTACCCCGATCCGTTGGCGATTTGTCGGTTTCGAGTTGGCCGCCGATGAATGTAATATTGCAGGGATGCCACGACGCTTGAGGTCACGCTAACCGACCGTTCTGAAACCTACAACATCTTAAGCTTTGTTTCGCATCGGAAACCGATGGTCCATTATTTTGTCACCCATCATCATAGTATAAGAATACATTTTAGCTTCACCGCCGGTGTTATCGATATTCGATTTCGGTACGTATTTGCATTTTTTTTTCTGGGATAGACCTTGGAAAAAACAGGTCGCTGCGAGACTCAACATTTAAAAACAATGCGGCTTGCTCCTTTAATAACTGTATCCAGCAAAAGTAGCTGCGAAATTTGAAAACACCTCTTTTATGTCAACTTTGAAGTTTTTTTTTTGATTTTTGAATATTTATTTTTTAACACAAAAAAACTTTATGACCACATTGAAAAAATGTGGAATCTGCTCCAGGGTGTTCGATGTTTTCTTTTTTTTCAGATTTGCCGGCTCAGATGTGATAACTTTAAGCCAGAGAAGTACTTATTACGTTTGTTTCTTGAGGCATTGTCTCTTTTTTGGCAATTTGTGTTCAGACCAAAGCAATTGTGCCATTGATTGGATTGAAATACGAAAAACTTCAACGATTGGTTGTCAAAGGTGGAAAACTGACGGGTCTTGAGCTGTTTCATGGGTAGAAATTTGAAAAAAAAACCTGATGAATTATGAGTTTTGTAACAGAAATTGCACAATGGAGCGGCACACGTGGAATAAAAGGTCGGATATTATTGTGCCGCCTAAGCTTTTTGTGAATCCGAATTCGAATCAGGTAGTTTTTTACTTGAAAAAGAATGCCAAAAGCAGTATTTTTTGTTTTTTTTTTTTCACAACAAATTAGAAAATTAAAAAAGCGGGTTTTTTTTTGAGTAGTAATTTTGTGGCCCAAAAAACGATAATGGTACTATGCGGATTTTGCAAGATAAAACTCAAAATACTCAAAAGCCTACAGTACCCCGGTTTTGGAATCGCTGCTACAAGAATCATAAAAATTCTTATCGTATGCGCCTTTAACCGTAGCGATTTAATTTATTAATTTAATTGTTCAAATCCAATTTTTTATTTCGATTTCTGTTTTTTTTTCTATTGTGATTAAAGGCGAATCACATAAGTTTTGTATGATTCTTGCAGCGATTTAATAAAATAACTGGTGGTACTGTAGGCTACCGAGATTTTTCGCGTGTATTTTTTAAATGCAATCTGCCTACCGAATTTGAGAGTTTTTTTTCCAAATCTGCATAGCGCTATAATAGTTGGCATTTTTGTTGGATAGTATAATTCGTACATGGTCCGCACACCGTTGAGAATGCCGCATCGCATCAAACTGCCGGATCCGCTGCAGCCGACGGGAACCGCCCGAGATATTCGATATTTGCACATTAGTGGCGATTATGAGACGATGGACGACACTGATCCGTATTTGGAAATTTTTGACTATTCAATTTGACTTTTATAGATACTTTTATGTCTATATTTACGATTCGCGTAAGACGATGAATCAATATCTAATATACATCAAAATTGAGGATGATCTTCTTGTTATGGATACGGTATCGGAGGTTTATTTTCTTTTTTCGCTGGATTGTCAATTTTGTTGAAATGCGGAAAATTGTGAAAAATTTCCATTTTTTTTTGCGAAATCGTTTGAATCGGCTTGTTTCTGTAATTTTTTTTTAGATATCCGAACCACTTCAATTGAATGTGACTGGGCAATTCACGTTCAGCATCAAGTATTATTTTTCGAATTCAAAAATTTTATCGAAAAAAAAACAACTGCTATTATTATAGTTTTCATGTGGAGAAGAAGCATCTTTTATACCAGAATTACTTCTATTTGATGTTTTATGAAGTATTTGACGAAAAATTTGAATTGAGAGGTGTCGGGCGAATGTCGAGAAAATATTTTAGTTTTTTCTATTCAGAAAATATGACAATTGAGTATGACGAAAATCAGGCATCGGTTTATGATTTTGCGCGAATCGAGACGAATTTGAAAATTTACAATGTGAATTGGTTTTCGTCGAGATATACGCAGAAAGATTCATGCTGTTATAGGCCGTTTAGACCGGAATATGTATGTTTTGCATTTTTTTTGCTAAGGATCAATCCAGAGAAAATTAAAACAAAAGAAAATATAAGGAAAATGCGATGAGTAAGAGAAGAATCGAAGATTCGCATCGAGACCCATCGCATAATTTTACGGCATGAGTCTTAAACCTTATTTTTAGGATTTTTTTCTCTGCATAGCATTTTCCTTTTTTTCATTTTTTTCTCTGTATTGCCCCAAAAGTGTTTTTTTTTTGAGATTTGCCCATTTTTAAGCTTGATAATAAATTGCCGCGAGAAAAATGTGATGGAGCGCCAACGATTATTTGTGAACGTATTACTTTTTTTTCTGTGCTCCTTTATTTCACTGCGCATTTTGAGGACTACCTCGCCGCAAAATTGGGATGCAGATTGAAGAAGTCATTTCCGAGGAAATTCCGCCGCCATCCGATTCCACTCGTTCTACCCCTACCTTTCGCACGACGCCTACAAGCAATTCGAGAATGACAGAGACGTCGAGATGAAGCCGGCGATCATGATGCTCAAGTTTGTTGTACTTTTATTTATTATTGATTTTGTCTATAAGGGAATATTGCACCATTCGGAAAACCTCGGCCACGGCCCTACAGTATCAATTTTTATAGTATGGCCGTGGCCGAGGCAAAAATCCTTAAAAACGTAACGCGGATTGCAGAAACAAGCTCAGAAAACCTCGGCCACGGCCCTACAGTAAAATTTTTTATAGTATGTCCGTGACCGACGTTTTCGGAGCTTGTTTCTGCAATCCCCGCACCATTTTTTGGGATTTTTTTTTGCATTATAGTATTTTACTTACCCCAAGTTTCGATAACAAATTGAACACTCATTTCAGCAGCTGCGATCTTTATTCGAAAAATGACAAAACTCCGGATATCGACGCACTTCGGCCCTACTATCAAACGCTTATCGACAAATACATTCCTGGAGCGGTTGCGTGGTGAACACTCGCACAAATTCCAGAAGAGATTGCGAAAACTACTGAATAAATTTCGATGTTTAATGCTTTTTGGCTGCCGGGGCACTTTTGGTTAAAGAAAAAACTTAACGAAAAAATATATGGAAATTGCAGTTGTGGTAAAACGAATTGCGAAGAATGAAAAAAAAAAACAAAAAATTGTGTAAATAAAATTGTTGTTTTTAGAAGCGGGCCTTCAAGAATGCGACGTCCTCCTCGGTGAGGTCAGAAGCTGAAAAAAACGAGCTTAGAAGGTTCTTTTTCCAGCTGTTATTACAGTACTATGCAAATTTCTCAATAGATCCTACTGTGGAATACCTACAGTAATCCAAAGAATACTTACAGACTTGTGATGTTTTTGAGTAAGTATCCTTTGGATTACTGTAGGAATTCCACAGTAATCCAAAGAATACTCACAGACTTGTGATGTTTGTAAGTACAGTAAGTATCCTCTGGATTACTGTAGCTATTCCACAGTATGTTCGATAAAATGGTTTTTTAAAGATTTATTTTTCAAAATTTGCATAGTACCACAGTAAAAGCTGTTAGCGTCTTTTTTTCTCGTTTGGTTTACCGTAAAAACTACCATTACCAAAACGTACCATATTGTCCGCAATCGGGAAGCTGATTCTGGACACGCGATTTGTCGAACTCGCGTCCGTAGCGATCGACGCACCAGCAGTGTCCATCGTGGCATTGCTCCGGCTTGTAGTAGCCTTCAAGATCGCAGCGAGGAATGAAGACGCCTAAAAAAATTCGATTCATCAAAATCGATAAGTTCAATTTCAGTTGAGAATTCCAAATTCTCTCGGCTAGCCTAGCCCCCCCCCATATTGAGATTAGCCTCAAAATTGCGTAATCCTGCGATAATGATAGCAACTGAAAGAATGGGAGAGAGAATAATCGCCGAGGATTTGTCGCCTAATCAGTGTTTACAAGTGTCTACCATCGTCCGACAATAAATGTGTACCGTATGTCAGTTCGGATTAGGCATTTCAAACTCAAAACGAACCGAAAAACAATAAATTCCGTGGAGACACACGACGACTCGTAAACACACACGAGTAAAAATTAGAACGCATTTCATCAAACGCCAAATTTTGGCTCGTTTTTTTTTGAAACATTTTTAAAATTTAAACGAATTTTCGATTTGCGAGCCAAACTCGCCGGGCAAAAAAAAAAATTTTTTTTTGAAATTATAGTATATTTTTTCATTCAAATTCCATTCTTTAAAAAAAAATAAAGCTCACCGAGAAGATGCGGATCGGCTCCGTGTTTGGCCTTGTGACATGGCGGCTCGTGGCGAACATCGTCCGAGAACGTGAAACAATCGCACCATTCATCAACCGAGATGGTGCCGTCAACGTCAATGTCATCTGCAAGACAAGAATAAAACAGAAACTGAGACAAATTTCGACAATTCCCGTAAAATTGAATTATGACACTTTGGGGCCAACTCGTCAAGGTCCCCTATCTTACAACTACTGCTATAAGTGCCAATTTGAATTCAGTAAAAATTGGGGTCAACGGAAACACACTTTCGCAGGTGCCAACCAGATGCCCAGCCTTGCCCAAATTACACCAATACGCCAATTAGTGTGTCACCGAAATGACAACCCGAACCTGTGGGTAATATGCAGATTTCGAAAAAAATAACCCCTAAACTGGTTTTTTTTCGAGTATTTTCGCGTTTTCTTCCCAAAATCTGCATATGATCATAATCAAAAACTCAAATGGAGTTTCAGAAGTTTCAAGAAAAAACCAGAATTCAAAAATTCTTACCGCACATGTCAATGAATTGCTCGATGCATCGCTCGTTGCCGCCGCGCTCAAGTGAACGAAGTTCGGACTAGAAAAAAACCATACATACATTAAAAATATTATCAAAGTCTGAGAATGGCGCCGTTTACTGTAGGATTGGCTCAAAACGAATGAAATGAAAATTCTAATCCAGAATCCGATCCGATCGGTAATTCTACGGATAAGATTGCAAAATTGTCGAATCCGATAAGTTGTTGTACGAATCCGCTTTGAATTGAAAAAAATTTAAAACAAATCTGATCCGATGAATTATCAATCGGATCGGGTAGATTCCGGAGCCGAATATTGTCGGAAACGATTGGTTTTGAGTTTCCAGAGGACGACATTTTGTTAAGTGGTGCCTTGTCCGTGTAGAGTACACAACGCGCGTCTCGAAACTATCTTTTAGATACAATATTTGAAAATCGCGGAAAAAATTGCATTTTGAAAATTCGCCCAAGTGTTATTGAAATTTCGACGGGGTAGGAAATTCGCAAATATCGGATAAGAGAGGGAAAGGGGGTGGGGTAATTGATCAGGAGAGGTAATTTTCAGCTATATACAATATAATCTGGACCACAAATTTTCGAACCGAGCCAGCCACATTTTGAACTGGTCCCAAACCTGATGAAGAATAACAGTTGAAAACAAAATTTCAAAAACAAAAATCATTATTCCTTGTTTTTATTTCAATTCAACACCATCAAGCATTTTTCGGTCTCGATGTTGCAAATCTTCAAAACAAAAAAAAACCTCACCTTGGTGAGTTGGCCATCGTTGTTTCCGTCCCACTGGACGAACATCCAAGCGACCTCCGGACGGCATACCATCGAATGCACTGCAAAATTATTTTGATTGGGGAAAGGCAAAAAATGTATTATTCAATTTTGATAATTGTTGACAACCCCCCCCCCGGTTACTTCGACCCCCCATGGTGTTGGCGGGGTGGCGACCAAACCACTCCGCCCACCATTTTCGGCGGCGCGCGCATTTAACGACGTTTTTGCCTCATTTTCGCCACGCTGTGTGCGTGTGTGTGTGTGTTTCTCTTCTCAATTCATTCCCATTTTTGGCTTCTCTTTTGTATACCTTGTACAACGCACAATACAACGCTAAACAACCATTAAAATGATTATTGCGAATTGTCTTCAACAACCATGCGTTTTTGGCAGAATTTTCGAACACACTTCTTCTTTTTCTCAATTAGACCTTCAAAAACAAAAACGAAAATCGAGAAATGAAAAATAAGCAAAATTTATCCGTGTTTCAATTCGGATTACGGTCATTGGTTGCTGGTGTGTGACACCGCGACGCACAATCACACACAAAATTTTGAACGCTCATTTTTATTACCTCGAAATTTCTCTACCAAAAAAAATACTTCAAGCTGGAAACGAAAAAAAAAACCTCGAGCACTTCCCACCTCATCAATCTTTCATCAATCTCCTAAAAGAAATTGCGTGTGCGAGACCGGTGGATTTTTCATCGCAGTTGTTTATTTGCGCGCGGCTCAAAAGAAAAAAAAAACAATTTCAAGTGGCCCCAAGACAGACAATCTTATTACAGATCACACCGGAACGTGGACAAATAGAAATTATTTGCCATTAGAATGTATCGTGAATCGATGGCAAACGGCGCTGCCGCCAGTCTGCTCTTCTTTCTATTCCTCTTTTTTCTAGCAAGGTTGGTTTGGAATCGATTTACAACCTCGATCCCTTTAAAGGTTCACGGCGAGTTTCCTAGGCCCTCGATTCCGAGGTCAGATTTGTCTTCAAGATAAATCGCCCCCGACGCTCGCCTCGTCCACCTTTAATTAATTGGCGTGGGAAACCAAAAAGATGTTGGTGGCGAACGGTCGACACCAGCGAAAATTCAAATCAACTTCAAAATTTCCACTAGCAAATAATCTTCGAAATTTAAAGGCACATGCGCAAATTGCGAATCGCGACGAAACCCGAAGACGAGCGATTGCGAAGCGTCGAATGCGGCACCCTACCACCACCATATTTCGTCGTACCATCACAACCGCCGCCAACTTATCAAGTATGTCTTTCTTTTTCTAAATTTTCGCATCGGGTCTTGTATGGAAACAATTATTTTTTAAATTATGTCGATTTCGGTTAAAAAAACCCCTAAAAATCGGTATGCAGGGAGCCAGGAAAAAATTTGGGAAACCTCGGCCACTGTCACGTTTTTCGAAACCTTCAGTACTAGTTTGGGTTTTAAATTAAATCGCTGCAAGAATCTTCAATTTTTAACCATAGAGTAATAATTTTAACACCAATTATTTCTATTACGCTTAAAGGCGCATTCAATAAAATCACTGTAGTACAGTAGACTTCGAAAAACGTGGCCGCGGCCTAGGTTTTCCAAGTTTATTTAATCGCATAAGGCTTTCTTTTTTTTAACGAGAAGCACCATTATGATTCCCGAATGAATTTCGGACGAATTTCGATTTTCTCAAATTCGCCGCAACGCACTTCTTCTCGCCATCAACACAAACAAATCAGTTGACAGCAGCAGCGGAATTAATGAGGCGGAAAATTCGGCCGCATTCGCTTTTGGTCTTTTTGGCAATTTCAAACGCCGATTCTCAATGGTCCAATTCAATTTTTTTTCTCTCAATTTGCAGGAGGCGATGACGATGACATCGCAAATTGTCGCGAAATTCTGAAACACCCGCCCCCTCCCTCTTCTCACTTCTCAGCGTGCGATCGTTGCCCGCTTCGGTGGTGTGCACGTCCTTGAACCATTTCAACAAGCGGCCGCCCATCTGGAGGAGTTCGAGGCGCGAGCATTCTGCAAACAGACAAATGATAATAATTGATCTCTCATGTTTCTTCATCATTTTTTTGCTATCGCACGGGTCCCCCCATCTGCCATTAAACAAAATTTCACTTACGATGCTTGCTGTTAAAATCATGCTCGGCGTGTTCGGCGGCGGTGTGGTGCTGAAACAAATCGTCTTATTCATATATATATTTTTTGTGGGCTTTTCAAAACCGCCGAAATTCGGCCACCCGGCGGTCTTAATTTATGACAGGATATTTCGCGCTTATCAATCCAATTCGACATGCTTCCTTGATTTATAATTGTCAAACAAATCGAATACGAGTCGATCTCATATCAGCAAAGGCGGCGAAGGTCTCCAGGATCAAATGAATGGTCCGCCGATCGGCGGCCGCCAAACGAATAATCAAGGCGCATTAAGACAAAAAAAAACTAGGAAACAAGGTCATCAATGTGATTAGAGGGGTGCGCGTGTCGAGGACGCCGCAACAGCAACAACAACTTGAAAAAAAAGAAAAGAAAGAAGTAATTCCGCATTTTTAATTACCGATCTATCAATCTTGGCAAGTTTTCGCGCAAAGAGTTGCGCCTACCTGTTGATGGCGGGCAATCGGCGAGTGTTCGAGTTGGTGCGCTTTGACGAATTGCTGCAATTGCGCCTGATCGACGCATTTCGCCGAGTTTTTCGTCGTGTCGACGACGCACATCTCGTCGTCCGCGCAACCGGCGATGATGCACAATTTTTCTGGAATCGAGAATTTTTTTTGCAGAAAATGTAAAAAATGAAAATGTAAAGACCAACGTGGATCGAAATAGTGACCCTCCATTCAAATTTTGTGCACAAATTTTCAGAATTTTTGCAATTAGTGCAACTTGGAACGTTTATTCGAATCAGAAGCCAATTAAAAAATTCTCGAACGACGATTCTGAATACCTAAAGCAAACGAAAAACCAAACCTTCAGCATCATTCGGGAAAATCTGCAATTTTGCCGTTGCCGAAATCGCCAGAAGGCCGATGAGCAGCGCGCGGTTCAACATCACACCAGCAATCGATTGAAATCAGCGAGCAGTCGGGGACGTTGGAGAAGGGAATCAAAATGAATGAAGGAAGGGCACACGAGTTGTACGAATGTTGTCGTGCAGCTGCTGTCGTCGGCGCGAATGTCTGTCGCCTCCCGCGTGGGTGCCGTCGCTGCTCGCTTCCTCTCGCCGCCGCTTCTGCTGAAACGATGAACTCTTTGATTGAATGTGTGTCGGCCAAGTGTGTGTGGACAACGACGACGGTGGGAGCCCGTTCGAAAAATTATTAGCTTTCTCTTTTTTTTGCAAATAAAAATCCAAACCTGCCTCGGCGTCTTTCTCATCGAGGTGGGTTCAGAAATCCTGAGAAGCATTTTGATATATGGAGATTGTCAGTTGAATCTGTTTATACGAAATTTTATAATTATATATATATATCAAATAATAGTTAATAGTGTAATAATCGTGCCGCGCGAATTTATCGATGAATTTATCTTAATTCAACTAATAACAAAAGATATACTAAGTATAATATACAAAAAATAATATCTAGTTACGTTATTACTCGCGTAATTGCCATAAAACACAAGAAAATACAAGCAATGGCTTAAAATCAGCCGCCAACTCAAAAACGATGACAATTTCTCATAACTCCGTACATGCGCGTCAACTAGGGTGTGTGTGCAAACACCACAGTGTGTACCGTATACCTACAAAAAATTATAAGCACCACATAACATATAATCTCGAGATGATTGACATATTCGGTATCGTCGGTTGGAAAAAAATTCTGGCAGAGATTTCCACGCATAAAGGCAATTCTGATGTGATAGAAATCAGGAGAGACACTGAGATAGCGTGCAGTGAGAGGAGGCGCAGACAGAGAGAATAACTAATGAGTTCAATAAATTCGAAAAAAAACATAGGTATTTTCAATAGCAAAAAAAACTTCTTCACTGCAATTAATAGATATCCAATAGATGATTTAAAAAGATTTATTGAGAGATTTCGAACCCGTAATTTTTTTCTCTTTTCAACAAAATCATTATTATGCACAATTAATTTCTAATATCGCTTTAAAATTGCATTTTACAAAAACAAAACAATGATTTGCGGGAAATACGTTCGAATTACGGCACCTAGACAGCTGAAGAAACGAGGAAACACCGGAAAATGGCAAGGAATTGAATTGGGAGCTCATCAAACAAACAAATTGTTAGACTTGCGAATCGATTGGCGGCGAACGACGCGAGGTGCTCGGAACCGCGTGAACCATTTCGACGTCGATTTGAGCGGCTTCCGATTCGTTCGTTCCAATGTCGTTTGTCTGCTGAAAGTGGATATTTTATAGAAAAATCTAAGTAAAACGCGGGAAAAAAAATCAATAAAATTTCGGGTACTGTAGTGTTCGCAAAAACAAGTCCGCAAACACCGAACAAAGTTCGCTGCGGAATTATTTGAATTTGTCCCAAAAAATTTTTTCTTTGCTTTTTTTCAGCGTTTCAAGCGAAATCATGCGCGTCCAACCTCAATTCCGTCCTGCATCGTTCCCGGTGTCGCCAATGGTGTGATTGTGGCGGCGTGTTGTTGTCCAACCATGGCGCGAACCGCTTCCTCGTAAGACGGCGGCGCGTCGAATTTCGGATCGATCGTTGACGAGCAAATGTACATCGGCGGGAAATTGGCGGGACGCGGCGTCTCAACGGGCGAGGATATGTTCGAGCCTGCCGTTATTCGCGACAGTATACTCGATGGTACGCGTTGCTGCAATTTTTCGTTTTGGTAATTTTTGTTTTTTTTTTTGAATCTATAATTTTTGTTTGTTTTAGATATTCTTTTACACCATCTCAACACTCGAAAACGTTGCTACCTGATTTGTGCGCTGCCGAAGGCGTGCGTTCCGCCGATTATTGACCAACATGCAGAATAATGTGACGACGACTGAAACGATGGCGATGGCGGCAATAATAAGCACCTGAAATTGATACTGGGTTTGAAATTTAAATGAATCGAATTTTTTTTAATTTAATTTTTTCTAGACTCTCGCCTACAACAATTTTCTACACTGTTTGACATTGCCAATAAAAATAGTCAAAAATTATTTCGGCTAAAATGTTTACCGTCAACGCCCCGTTCGGAATACCATTTCTCGATGACGTCGTCGCGTCTTCTGATGAATAATCAAGCGGCATTTGCTCCTGAAATGAAGAGCACTTGAAAAAAAGTAGAGAAACCATGATGCAAGAAAAAAAAAACTAATAATAGTGTCGCCAGAAATGGGTGTACAATATGTTTCAGAATATCGAATTTCCGACATTTGTGAGTAAACAAAAAAATGCGAGAATGCACTTTGGTGGGTCCCACACAAGGTGTTATGCACCTTTAAAAATAGATCAAAATACGCGCACGGGTGCCGGCAGCGCCAAGTGAAAAGAGATGACAAAACTGAACACGAAACCAGTCGAAAAAAATCGACAAAAAAATTTCTCGGCCGTCTCGCCGCCGCCAACGCTATTTCGCCGCGCGGCTCCGCCCATCTCGCCAATTTTTCTTCTATTTATATATGCTTTGCCGAAACTAACTCAACTACTAATACTTGTAGTTTTGTATGTTTGATCATCCCGAATGTCAATAATTTCGTCGAAATCGTCGCGGCGAACTCAACTTTGAAATATCAAAAACGAACGATGGAGGCCAGAAGCTCAAATATTGAAAAAATTTGAAATCAACCAATTGTGGGTAATTAGTGCCTAATTAATTAAAGCATATATGGATTCCAAAAAAGATTTTTGGCGAAAAAAAAATGATGATGCAATTTTTTTGAAATAATCGATTCGCAAAATTTTTATTTAAAGATTAAATTTCAAATTTAAAGAAGCATTTTTATTTTCAGCAATTGTATTGAAACTAAAACATTGTCGAATTTCAGCAAGAATTTGAAAATTTTCGATTTTCAGCAACAATCTTAACTTTCGAATTTTCTGATTATTTTGCGGGAATCTTCAGATTTCAAAATTTTCAATTTTCCGCAAAAATTAAATTTTTTTTCGATTTTCCGCGAGAATCTTCAAATTTCAAAATTTTCAATTTTCAACAATAATCTTAAATTTTGATTTTTTTTCGCGGGAATTTTTAAATTGAAGAATATATCGATGTTCAGAAAGAATTTGAAAATTTCCGATTTTCAGCAGCAATCTTAAACTTTCGAAATTTTTGATTATTTTGCGGGAATTTTTAAATTTCAAATTTTTCAATTTTCCGCAAAAATTTCAAATTTTTCGATTTTCCGCGAGAATCTTCAAATTTCATAATTTTCAATTTTCAGCAACAGTCTTATATTTTGATTTTTTTTGCGGGAATTCTCAAAATGTTCAATTTTCCCAAAGAAATCTTTAAATTTCCGCATTTTTCATCAAAAATTTCGTGGGTTTTTCAAAAAAAACTAAAAATCTCAAGACACCTAAATTCAGAAGGCCTTTGAATAAAAAAAAAAGTTGGCTCAAAAAAAATTGATGGTCCCAAAAAAAGAAAGGAAAACTTCGGTGCGATTATTATTGACATTGGCCTCAAATTTCAGACAAACGAAAAACGGGAGTCGAATCAAAAATCAAACAATCTCGACCACTACATAAATCATTATCAAATAGAAAAAACTGAAAACTGATTGTGTTGTTTATTTATTCATCATATTTGTTTGTTTATTTACATTATACACATAACTCTGTGGAAAAGGTAAACAATAATATAAGTTACCCTATTAATAATTCTGTACACAATAAGAAGAAGAAGCTTGAGGCATCAAATTTCTATCTTCGCTATTCCTTATCGGGGCTTCGAAACTCCTAATAGGATTATTTCGGCGCGAAATTCAAATTTCGCAAAGCGCTCCAATTTAAAGGCGCATATCGGCAAATATTTGAAAATTTGAATAATGATTCACTATCGAACACTTTGGAACATTTTCCTATATTTATATATTATATAAAATAACTATTGAGCTGGGGAAAATGGTTCGACACAAAAATGAACTCTAGTGACGGGGCTACAATGACAAACTCGAGCTTCGCTGTTTGCACACAACTCAATTCTTTTTTGCTCGCTTGCTTGTGGACTATGCCAATGGAGAAAAGAACAGTTTGACGACAATTCTGTACTCTAGGGGCACTTCACACATCTCAAACTTGTGCTACCATAGGACCAGCGAGGTCACGCGGCTTGGCTAAAAAAAACCCGTGGAATTATTGATTTTTCGCGTAATAATGAAATGTGTGCAATTTTGCGTATTGGTGTGTTGCGGAGCGTTTAAAATATTGATGAAACCACCCACAAAAATTGAGCGGTCCGCAAACACACGCGCGCAAAATTGCACACATTTTCTCAAAAAATGTGTATTTTTATTCGTGAAATTTCGAGTATTTATCAATTCTTAGCCTAAAACAAATAATTGTGGCTAAAATACAATTTTGATTGGTTTCAATGAACAAATATTACATTTTTGTGTCACAAATTTGTGTTTATTCTACGATTCGGTGAGGGATATGAAAAATTTGGCCAAATTTCTCTTTTGCAATTCGAAATTGTGGAGAAAAACCCGCCAAAAAATCGTGGACGAGTTGAGGAAAGCCCAAATTTTTTGATGAGTTTGCAAAAAAAAATTGTGAAATTTTTGCGAAACAAACCACAATGGTTGGATTGTTTGGGGAAAAAACGGATAGTGAGACACTTGGCTTCGAGGTAAGTTGGTGGCAAAAAGAAAAAGCAAATATGACCCCCTCCCAGTCAAACATTTGAAGAACTGTAGGTTGGGGCGAGCAGTGTGCGCACTCGATCTCAAAATCGTTAAAAAATCGATCTTGCTCGAAAATTTAAAGATCGATCGAACCCGAGATCGATCGAGCAGGATCGATCGATCTTTAAATTTATATGCAATTAAAATTAGTTTTGAATACGTTTTAAAAAGCGCAAATTTTTAATTTCTACCGGCTGCACAATTTTAATGAAAGCCTTGCATCGATAATTCCGTTTCGAACCAGCTCTATTCAGAAAAAAGCTATTAAAGTTCATTCTATGTATACATGTATTCATTTATTTTTCCCGTAATAGACAACAAAATACATAAATTATAATAGAAAACGTACAATACTAATAGGATAAAAAACGAGGAAGAACAAAAATAATATAAAATAAGAGTGGGAATTATTAAACGAAAAGAAAAAAAAATGAGGGAATTTTGGAAACGAAAATGTTCATGACTATAAAATTTTTAAAACCAATTACACTGCTCCACAAAAGTTTAACCTCATTGATATTTTTTGAAAAAATGACATTGTCACGAAATTTCAAAAAAACGATTTTATTGTTAAAATATGGCTAAAAAGAGTTCTCCTAAACATGATCGTGGTCTTTCGAATCGACAAATCGTTCGAGATTTGGGCGCAGACCAAAAGTGATCAATAATTATCTGAAGAATCCATCAGATTGTGGTACTGCGACATGATCTGGATGTCCAACCTCCATTTCTAGCCGAGAAATAGAATTCGTGAAAATGTCATTTTTTCAAAAAAAAAAATGGGTGAGGTTAAACTTTTGTGGAGCAGTGTAGTTTTTTAAAAATTGCTTTCCTGAATGTCTTCGATTTCGAAATTTAGTTCTTGTTCATCTTCAATGTCGTCCTCTTGTCTATACTCCTCCCTTTGCTGTTGCGCGTCTTCAAGTTCGTCCTCGTCATCCTGCATTTTTTCGTCGTCTTCTATGGCGAAATCAAGAATATCATAGTTTGAATCTACGTCTTCTTCATTATCCTCCCAATGTCTGAAATATAAAATCAATTTTTTCCTAAATTTTTGCACTTACTCTTTCGCGAGAGCAGCAGTTAATAAAATATTGGACACTGTGTCCGGTTTCATTCGATTGCGTTTTTTGTTTCGCAAAATATCAGAACATTTTCTGAAATTATGACAAATATAATCGGTGTAATAGTAAACACTCATTTGCAAAATAAATCGGCATACATACATATTGTCGGCGTTGAGCGACTATTGAAAATTCTCAAATTAAAAAAATTTGGAACGGATTACGCATGAAAATAGGTTGAAAGCGCACATATATTCTTCATTGTTTTGGCATTTTGCCAATTTTACGTAGTAGACACCGATAATAGTTATAAAAAATTTCTAAATAACTTACGAAAAAAGTCGCTCCGCTGAGGAACTAGAAGCTGGGCAACTCAGATACACCTTTGCGAAATTTCCTAATATGGGAAAATGAGCAGATTGACCGGCCCAAAAAGAAAGCGGGTCAGATTTGGCCGATGGCCGATTTGTTGAGAGTATTGCTTTGTAATGCAATATTTCTGACTAAAATTAATATTTTACCAAAGTAGTACTCCATTATTAAAATTACTTTTATTGTTTTCTCAGAAGACCGCACCTCAAGCCTTCTTTTCAAAAATGAGTTCATTCCATCGTCCGAATCGGAATCATTTGATTGTGATGAACTTAGGTCTCTTTGAGCACTGGTTTCATGTTTTTTGATAAGAAGTTCTTCACATTTATCCCATGACGTTTCTAGATTTGGCACGAAGCTGAAGCGGGGATCCAACAACATAGCGAGCTGCAGAGCGTCATTTTCCTTATAAGATTGCGCGAATCTGTAAAGGCTTCATTTTCCCGATAGCTTAAAAAATTTAAAAAAAACCTAAATTTCAGAATCTTTGCCATTTTTATAGCTAGCGAGGTTCCCATTTTGTCCAACTTGTATTCGAGTTTTATGAAATTTGGGATGATCTCCGATGCATACGAGTTTTCGCGCTCAAACTAAATAAATAATCAAATAAATGAATACAAATATAATTGGTTACCTTAAGAAGAACAATATAAACTGGCTCCAGAACATCGATAATCTCATCCAAAACTTTTTGCTGTGCTGCGGACAATAACAATTTTTGAAGTTGCCTTACTGCCACTAACGATTTCAAATTCTTTTGATAGCTGTTTAATAATAGATACATCGAAGCCCATCTAGTCGGTGACAAACACTGCGGCAAGGGTGCCGTGCTCGGGAAGGCTTTTGCGTTTTCTCTGACTTCACTTCGGACGCTCTTATTTCGAGAGAGATATGATGACAAATTTTGTGCATTTCCCATAATTGGTTCAACCTTCTTCAATTTTGAAAACTCCTCGAATGCTAGATCGAGAAAATGACAGCCACAATGCACGTTTTTGAGAAAATGACCAGTTGAAAACGAGCGCAAATTCGAAGCTCCATCTGTGCATGTTAGTTCGCACATGCTTAAGTTTATTCCTACTCGTTGAAGTAAAGAGCATATCGATTCAGCAATATCGGCGGCTGTGCTTTTAGCGACGTGACGAATTCCACAAAAGGCGTTCTTTCGTTTGTAATCTTCAGAGACGAAAAAAATCTGGCAACTGTAGAAGTTTCGATCTTTTCTTATTTCGCCATAGCCATCCGTCACTAATGTAAATGACTTCACATTTCTTAATTTGCCTTTCATATCATCTAAGTAAATTTGAGATATCTTCTCAACGTGATGTGCAATCATTTTAGGAGTGGGCACGACAGCAGATTGATCTAAGAGTTTGTAAGTTCTGATAAAATTTTGATTGGCTGCAAAACGGAAAGGGATTCCTCCTGTGCAAAAAGCTCTGGAATGTGTTATATTATAGTTAAAAAAAACGAAAATATTCAAACTTCGTGATTTCCAATTCCCATTCCTTATATATTGGTGCTCCAATAGTTTCTTTTTCAATGACCCGTTTACTCTAAATTAAAAAAATGTTTTATTTAAAAAAATAAAAAAAAAACCTTGGAGTTCAAAATGTTCTCAAACTTTTCCAAATGCTGCGACTTTGCGTGTCGGATGAGATTGGTTGTACTTTTATTATAACTTATATTCACTTTGCAAACTGGACACTTAATATACTGAGTAGTGGGATCAGTAGGTTTGCGAAAAAAATCCCACGCAATGGATGTCATTCTAAAAAAATAATAATAAATAATGTTTCCAATTTAAAAAAAATTTGAGAACGATCCAACGAATAAAAAATTGCATAAACTGCCATTGAATTACGGAGTTTTATGTGAAACAGCCTCTTAAAGCGAGAAAAATTTGCAATTATATAAAGTTTTCGAAAATTATTTCAAATTCGCGATTCGAAACGCGCTACGCGTCGCGTTTTCGAGGTGCATTAGGGCGTGTTTGCAGCGGGACTCGTTTTTTCGCAATGTAGTATTTAGCCAATCAGGGACTGCAATAAGGGGGTGGAGTCAGGACAAAACGTATGACAAGTATCATGCAATGTCTATGAAAAAATTTCATTTTCGGCTATTTCGCCTATTTTCAGATCATTTACGGTAACTTTCTAAACAGATTTTACTACATTCGGGTCTGCTGAATTCATTCGTAACGTCTATTTCCAACAAGTTTTTACCCAAAAATTTCAAACTTTTTAACTCTAAGATAAATTTTTTAAACATTTTCCGCGGTGACCTATATATATTTTTCATTCACCGTTTAGGAAAAACTCTCGAGAGACTACGGTTCAAATCTCAATAAAATTTGCTAACTAGAACTAACTTTTTTAGTCATCGAAATACCTGCAGCATGGAAAAGAATGGAGACTTTCGTAATTTTCGCATCAATGTAGCTCGTTTAAGTAAATATGTCTTGAAAGCAAATTCGGAATCTACGAAAAGTTTGCTACATGATGGCATTCTTCACATTTCATGAGATGTGTTTAAAAAAAAGACACAAAAGATCGACCAAGATCGATCGAGCGCTCACAAAAGATCGACCAAAATCGATCGAGCGTTAGCGATCGATCGAGCGCTCGATCGAGATCGAGCGCGATCGATCGAGCGCTCGATCGAGATCGAACGCGCTCGATCTCGATCGATCCCGGGATCGATCGAGCACAGGTAAGTTCGATCTCGGGATCGATCGATCTCGAGCGCTCGATCGATTTTTAGAAAGATCGATCGATCCCGATCGATTTTCGCTACCAAGATCGATCATACTCGATCGAGCGCTCACACTGGGGGCGAGTTTGATGACAGCTTTGCATTTTTTTCATGATTTTTTTCCAACAAAAATTCAACTTGAGCATAAAAACTGAAAAATTTCGCTCAAAATTCGATAAAAAAGCCGAATTTTCAGCTGTTCCATAAAAATTGCTCTAATTTGTTTCGCATTTTATCAAAAGCCTATAATGATAATGATGCCTTCCAAACTGATAAAAAAAACTTCATTAATATTCCGAAATGCTGCCATTTTTCATTAAAATTTTTCTAATTTTCGCATTTTTTGCCAATAATGGCTATTCAAATTGGATTGGTGGGTTGTAATTTGTTGAAAAAAAAAAACGTACCAAATGCTCGAATCACATTGTCAATTATTTTGGCGGCCAACTGAATAAACATTCAATTCATTTTCATCTGTAAATAAATAAATAAATGAACAATTACTGTTTGTGCATAAAATAGTCAGAAACAATTCGATTTTCATATTTATTTTGAATATTGTTATTAAAAAATTGAAAAAATAAAATGAAATATCTGGGCATGGTTACGGTAGTTAGAAATCTGTGCATTCACCGAGACGATTTCATGCATACCCCAAAATTTTTCTCTTTTTTTAAACTTTTTTTTTTCAATAAATTTTCCCAATAAAAAAGCAATTTTATCAAAATTACATTAAAATTTCTTCTAAATTCGAAATATTTTCAGGAAAATGCGATTTATCGGCGCCACCAGCCAGTTGGCTGTCTACAAACGCCACAGGAATTATCGATTGGGCAACCGCCGGCCAACCGACAAATGGCTCACATTTTTGCTTAGAGGTTCTCTTTTTTTTAATAATGTAGAATGGGTCCATTTTTTAGGGTAATCGCCAACTGAAAACCTTCCATAATGCCTATCAAATTGATTTGTGCCATAATCAATTGGAAGTCGTTTCGAGAAACGTCCGAGGTTCGATTTTTCCACGAAAACTAATCAAAACAATTAATTTAACGAAAAAAGCGTCACTTTTTCGAATTTCGCGCCAATTTTTTTTTATTTTTAATCAAAATCTTGCCGGCAGATAACTAAATTCACTGATTTCTTCAATAGAAATTAAATCATTTCATTTCTAAAATAGAATTTTATAAAAATAATAAAAGAAAATTGGAGAATTGCATTTTTCTCAAAAGAACTCCCTTTTCAGATGCCAGCTCGTGCCAATCTCAGAGCTCCAGAATCGTCTACTGCTTCTCATTGTGCTTCAACAATACAATGGAAGATGCTGTCGTTCAAGCAGCTCTGAAAAGTAATATTCCTCAAATTGTCGCCAATGATATTCAAACGACTCTCGAAACTGATTGGGCGATCACTGTAATGCAGGTAATGAATAAAAAAACCTTATAAGGGAAATGCGATGCAGAAAATACGAATTTCGCATCGAGACCCATCGCCACCGTAACTCTTCGTCATTTTCCTCATTGCAATTTTCAGGTGGATTACAACGATCCGGCGACCCATTTGAACATCTCCTCGTTTTTGGACCCCAATGTCTGGTGTAGTGTTTATATTGGAATCAAACCAAAACTTGGATTCGACTATCTTTTCGAAATTCAATTGGGAAAGATTATCCACTAATCGCTCGAATTAAATTCAATAATCGCTTTATACAATAATTATTATGTTTCGAAGAAGAAAAAAAAAAGACACAATGACCAATGAAGCGGAGAGAAAAAAATTGAGATTTATCACAATTCAAGTCGTCGTCAGATCGACAGTTCGAATCAGTTTCATTCGCAAAAGCTCCTATTTGAAGAAAAAAAAGTGGAAAGGAAGATGCGGTGAGGGGGGGAAACTTCGTGTCGGGACCCGTGGGCGGCGTAAAACTTTCAAGGAGGGTAGCGGATAGCAACAAAATAAAAAAAAAAACACACAAAACCATGGAGGAAACGATTTTCGACAAAATGATTGAAAACTAGGCGGAAAGGGGGAAAATCGATGCGAAAAAATTTTGGAATCAAACACTCCATCGAGAAATCACAAGTGTTCAACAATGCGCGATTAGCGGACGACCGGCGGTGTTCGTCGAGAGCCATTCACCTGCAATCCGGGAATTCTTCCAAATATTATCATCGTCAAGAAAAAAAAACCAATGAATAAGGGCTTTGGCAAATTGTGGACCATCGCATTTCGAAATTGAAGCTTTTTTATCACAAGGCGATTCCTACCTCATTCTCCAGAATACAATTCCAATCGTTGGTATCTGTCGTCGTCGTCGTTGTCGTCGGCGGCGGCACAAAACACTCATACGGAGGTGGCGCTGAAACCAACAACACATTGCCCAATTCTCCAGAACAACTCATTTGAGCACTCGCAAACCTTCATACATCTTCGGCGGGATTTGATCGACCGGTCGGTAGAGCGTCGTCGGCGAATCGGTGCGATGCGACATCACTGGAAAATGAGGAGAATGAGAGAAACGCGCCACTCTCGCTTACTATGCATATTGCGATACATCGGACATCCGGGAATCTTTTTGCAAATGATTGCCGTGATGATGAAGACGAGCGAGACGATCAGCACAAATCCGAAGATCATCAGAGCCAAATAGCTGAAAAAATTTTTTTTGTCAAAATCGCCTCAAATTTCCGCTTTTTTGGGCAAAATGAGACAAAAATTTTTAATGCGTTTTTTTGAAATTAAATTATGATTTTTTGTATCAATTTGTTTAAAATTATGAGAAAAAAGTGGGAAAATTTTGAAAAACTCATTTTTCCACAATTTTTTGATTTCAACACCGCGAATGGTCCCCCCAAAAAAAATGTGTCCCATTGAAATTCGCCAATATCAACCCTCATTTTATGCAAAACTTGCAATTTTTTGACTCGCTTCCTCTCAACAATCCCCAATAAACCAATGTTTCTCAATGAAAGTGGACCCTCTCAAAATAAAATCCGTCGGATATTTGTCTCGACGAGGCCTCCAACAAACCCCTTCCCCCACCAAAAAAAAAAAAGAAAAAGGCAATAATGAAAATTGCGCACGCAATCAAGGCGATCGTCATTCGAAAATGCGAGAGAGAGACAGAGACAAATAAAGCCCATATTGTCCCTTGTCGAAAAAAAGCAGAAAAAGAAGAGGAGGAGGAAAAAACCAAAAAAAAAACTGCAAATTTCTCGGCTCCTTCTCGGCGGGAATTCAAACCCGAAAAATTACCAACACTCGCCGAACACAAAAACAGGAAATTCCAAAACTTCCGGTCGAATATTTATAGTAATAATAATAATAATGGGACCCCCCCCTCCTCCCATGATTATTTCATACAGCAATTATATAAATGTGTCTCAAATTGGAAGCTTGAAATAAAAATATTTCTTCAACAATGGAACCCACCGCGAGTGGAAAACGCATAACAATCATAATTATATGAATAATAAATAGAAAAAGGAAGGCATAACTATGCCCAAGTATAGTAGTAATAAAAATTGGGCTTCTCGTTCGAGAGGGGTTATATTGTTTCCTGTTGGTCCGGCGCTTTTTCGTACCCGCACCACAACCCCGAAAAACAAACATTGCCGAGATTCGAAAAAATCTCAACAAATTCATTTATTGGGTTTTCTGAAAACGCAAAATTGTACGCATTTGATTAATTCTTATAATTTTTTTTTTCAAATTTCTTCAACAAAAAAATTTTCGCCATTTTTTTGGTAATAACATTTCCAGAAATTATTTCTTGGCTTTCACATGAGCCAAAAAAAAAGTTGCCCTTTATATGGAATTTCCCACGATTGACGACTCATCGATATGCGCCTTTAATCAACAAAATTTTTTTGAATCTTTCGTTTTCGAAAATTGCCTTCAATTTCGTGCACCCTACATTACAGCCCCTTCTCATCGAGGAGAGGGGGGGGGAGGTTTTGGCAAGACAAAGGCCCCACAAAAACATTGGGACCAATTTAATTAGCACCGGACGCATGGCGCACACAATTCAATTTTCTCTCACTTCGCCCCCCAACCGAAAAAAATTCCTTTTTTTTTGTTATAATGTTGAAACACATCACTAGCAGAAAATGCGCGCTAATGATTATCCGCTGAGGACCATTGAAAGGGGGGGGTCCTCGTGTGGTGCACACGTTAATTGAATCGAGACCTTTTTGCAGGGAGGCTCGAACACAGCAAAAAAACCACGAATTCGATTTCCACCACCGAATGCGGTAATTAAATTGTCGTCCAAAGTTCACCCAACCAAAAAATTCATACGAAACTCATCCCCCCCCCCTCTTAGTTTGGGGATTTCGTTGGTCCGTCACCGAAAATTGCATTATTTAATTAAACAAACAACCGAAAATGCAATGCGGCCATCCAAAAACAATGGAATTCAATCAGACAAAATAGAAGGGCAGTCACAACAAAAAAAAATCTCATCAAATTCTGACCTTTTCGAAATGTTGACACAATATTGGCCGCCGAAAATAGCCGCCTGATTCACGGAACCAATTTTAACTGACAATGATAATCGTAAAATGTTGGTGGCCGAAAAAGAGTGGCCTTGAAAAAAAAACCAGGCCATGTCCTTTTTTTTGGCAAAATTTTCTCAAATCATTTTCCATCGGCAAAAGTCCCATCAATCCTCGCCATTCCGCGAACAACAACAACAACAGAAACTACTAAGCCTCTCGTTAAAACCTCATCGTCAGTAGTCGGCCAATCGGTGTGCATTTGACAACACGGAACACGGAGTGAAGCAAAAAAAGTTAGAAGGGGGGGGGGGATGAACTATCGAGGGGGTGCCTCGTCGACGAATTTCATCCCCATAAAACACAACTCGGTGTTGGTGTTGATTGATTATCGCGTTTGTGGTCCCCAGGATGTGCTGAGCAGCGAGCAAGAAAAGAAAAGAATCCATCAACGCCCAGCCAAAAAGAAAAAAAAACTTTTCGCTTCGAGAAATCGTCGTCTCTCGAGGGAGCGCGTTTTTTCAAGTTTCGCGCGCGCGCAAAAAAAAAAAATCTCGCGCGCTCGAATTCCAAAATGGATTCTGTATGATGGATGCCCGTCAATTCGGCTCTTTGCTTCCTCGGGGAGGGCGTCGACGCGAAAAGCTCGCCTGTTTAAAGTCGTAAAATCCCCATGGTAATTAAAAATGCCGCCGACGACGGGTCCCGAAACGAAATTGAAAAGCGGCTTTTTGTCGGTCGGTCCCCTCAAAAACGAGAAAAAAAATTTTTTGAGGGCTTTTGTGTTCGCCGTCGTCGGCGACGGCGCCCGGCAACCCATGGTGACTTGCTAGTCGCACTAATGAGAGCGAAAATGCGGCTGATTGGGTCCCAAGGGGGTGGACAAATTGAGGAATTTCGAGGCTACACACAAAAAATTGAACGAGGTAGATCAACGAAAGATTCTTCCCCTTCCCCCCCCACCCCTGATATGGTCGAAGTTTGCTGCTCTCATCTCTCATGCCATCTATGTAGAAGCATATCAGCGAGTGAGCCACACAAAAAAAAAACAGACACCACCACCACCACAAGTATTTCATTTTTAATAGGCCCTTCTTTCGTATTCCAATTCCTCGCCGCCATCATTTTCTATATCATCGAGAAAAAAAAAGAAAATGGCGAAGAGGATGAAGAAAAGCCTGTTTCTTATTCATGAATTTGTGATGGCGGCGCGCCAAAAAAAAAACGGAAAATTTTGGACGACACGCGTTTCCATTGGAAAAATCTTTTTTCGGTGCGGCGGTCGAAAAACGAATATTCCAAAAAGGAAAATAAATTCAAAAAAAAAACCAACTCCTTGATGAATGTCTTGATTTCGGCGCGCGCCGCCTCGTATCGCTCGTTCTCGAAATCGTCGGCCGAGCAACAATAGACGCCGTGCTTCTCTTTGAGCAGCGAGTTCGTCGGCGGCAGTTTTGACGTACAGCAATGCGTGAACAACGGGCTCGCTTTGAAATCCGGACACGTTTTGTTGCGCGCCACACCTGCAATAATCAAAATGGTCCCGGACCAAAAAAAAATCACATCAAAAGGGACCCTCCCCATCGATGACCTTTGCGAGGCGGCAAATTCCCACGGTCTTGACGCGACGAAAATTTCCATTTCTACTACAAATGTTTGATGGCAAAAAAAACTTACCGCCTGGCGCCGTCGGAATCGGGCACACGAGCGCGTCGATCATCGACCATCGATATAGTAATACGATGAGAAATAGGAGGAGCCGACGCGGCGAGCCCGACCATCGCCGCATTTCCTGAAAATCAACAATTGAATTCGGTTGAAGGGGGGCAAAATCGAATTTATTTCAAAAACGTATCATCGAATCGGTCAACTCTTGATTCAATTTTCGTTTTGCCGACAGAACGAGAGAGAAAGGGACGAAAAAAAAAACAATAGCGAATTTGGCGAGGCCAAAAAATATATATATACAATACGAGTGGTGGCGGATAATATTTATGTGAAAGGTGTACACAAATTCATATATATATTTTTTTCAGTGGACAACAAAAAAAATCCAGAAAAAATAAATTGCGGGAATTGTCGAAAAATAAAAGTGGAATTCGGGAATTGCTTGCGCAACACCAACAAAAAAAAATTTCAAATTTGCGCGGACTAGTTTTTCCTCGGCCACTTCCTCGCGGCCACTCATTTTTCTATTGAAAACACCAGCAAGGAACGGCGAGAAAGATGCGCGGCGCGCATTCAAAACGTTTGCAAAATAAAATAAAAAAAAAGGAGAAGAGAGGAAAAATGAATCAGTGACGACGAACTTGCGGCGGTGGCAAGGTGAAAACACACACACACACACAACTGTGGCGGTCATAGACGCAGTGGCGGCTAATTTCAAGTGCATCCATCGTCGCAGCCACGACCGCATTATTTCCATGATTTATGATTATTTCAAAATTCAACGAATGCATGTTGTCGAATGATTGATATGAATGTTATCACATGTTGAAAATAAATATTTTTTTGGCGACGAAAAAAAAAACAAAAAAATTATTTTTGAGACGTGCATTTCTGCACACTACCTGATGTACTTACAAGGGGAAAAAATGATTTTTTTTTAATTGAATTATGTGAAGAGGGGGTGGCGGTTTTTTTTTTTTGATTTCAAGATGGACGACCGCAATTTAAAAGAAGAAACAATAGCGGCCAGCGGAAACGGCGGCAAATTTCGGGGCTATCAAATTTCTGTTGAAAATCCGCGCCACCCAAGACCCGACAGTTGTATGTAATTCGGCGAGGCGAGACATACACACACACACACACCCAAATTTTCGAATGTTGGGCGTGGCTGTGAGAGGGGGAAGCGCGCGCGCGCGCCATAAGCCCCGCCCACTTGAGCGCGCCCTCTACCACGCGAAATGTCTGCGTCTCGCGATCACTCTCGCTCTCTCGCTCAACAATCTGCCAATGACATATGTTTCTCTTTTCAGTCTCTCTCTCTCTCGCTTCCATCCACCGCCGAGATTCCTTGAGACGAAATAAAACCTCGCCCCGCTTGTCGATTTGTTGTTGTTCGACCGATAAACGACACGGTCTCGACGAATTGGTGTTCAGAGATGATGAAGGGACCAGAAAAAAAATATATAGTTCACCTCGAGACCCAAACGATTGTGTGATGGTCCCACAAATGCAACCCGTTGGTTTTTTTATTTTTAGCCGTTCCACCGCGCGTTTAATTCAAATTCTCATAGGGTAGATCAAATTATTCATTCCACTTGAAATTGTGTAGTTAGTAAGGAAGGGTCGAAAAAGGGTTGGGGGGGGGGGGGTCCAATATTTCATAAACAATTTTCGGACCCCTAAGACAATGTTGGCAATTATTTCGATACAAAAAAACGGGAAAATCGAGCAGGCGACAAAAATTGAGAAGTTCGTCTCATGTTGCTTCTCGACTATATAGAAGAAGAAGAAGAAGCTGAAGGAAACGAAGAAGCGGGGGGAGGGGGAAGCGGGGGGAACTATGAATAGATCAAATTTGTTATTCATGAGAAAAATGCGAAGAAAATTGAGCTATAAGCTGACGATGGTCAACAATTTAATTAAATAATAAGTGCGTCGTGAGACGAGGGAGATTAAAGGCGCACGGGGTAATTATTTATGGATCGACATAATTGGAATTTCGCGACAGGAACTTTGGGGACCCATTTGGGCTTCGCACTATAAGAATTGACAAGATTTCTGGGACCATTAAAACAAAATTTTTGCTTGCAATAGAAATTGCTACAAATTTTTGGATACCGTAATCCTATAGCATTGTAATATGAAAAAATATCAAAAAATAATTGCGGACCATCGAAATTTTCGCTTTCAATTCAAATTTCGACTTTTAAAAGATTTGCCCAAAAAATAGAAACGAGAAATTGTGGACCATCGCATTTTTTTATGGCGGCGGTAATTCAAATTTCAATTGGGGGTACCGTACACCAGATTACCTACGAATCAAATACCGCCCACGCGTGAAGGGGAAGACCTTCTTAATGTCTCATGACAATTCGCAATATTTTCAAAATAATGAATCTCTTTGAAGGGATTATTTCGGTTGGCGTCAACTTTGGCGAAGGGTGCCAGCATACACCAATTGATAAGAGAAGAATGCCGATGAAACAAAAGGAGTGGAAAAAGTAAAACACGACGACGACAACGATGTGGTGCTCATCGGTGTGTACATTTTGTCTCAACACACATCCAATATTTTTTTTCTGCTGCTTCTTTTGGTCTTGGTGTTGTTTGGTGTGGGTGGCTCGACACCAACTCAAAAATGGCGAGAGAGGTCTGATTGTTCTAATTTGGAAGCCCAATGACAATCGTCATCACAAAAAAATAATTGAAGAAGGAAAAGAAGAAGAAGAAGAAGAAGGGAAAAAATTGTTTCGCGAGAAAGACGAAATAGTGCGGCCGGTGAGGAGGCGGCGAGGTGGCGAGAGCGCCGCGCGAAATTCAAATCATTTACATATGCGCGCAAAATTTGGGAGATTTTTTTTGCCTCACCTCAGATTTTTTGGATATATTAGAAAATTTGGGATTTTCACCCCAAAAAGAGTGTGTGTGTGCAAACACCGTGACGCAAAATGACAGAAACAAAAAGAAATCGCCTTTTGTCGCAACAAAAATCACCACGTGAATTTTTGCGTAGCGGTGTTTGCACACATTGAATTTCAAAAACATCGGGTGACGCAAAATTGCACACAAAATTTGAAAATTGGTTAGACGCCAAAAAATCTATGAAACTTTCACATGTGACCTTTTTGGGCTAATTTTAGAAAAAAAATGCAAACAAGAATTTCAAAAGAATCCATAGAATGTTTGTCTTTTTAATGGTATACTTATATATTCCAAAAATTCGCCGCAAGACCCTTATGCGCCTTTAATTTTTTCGAAATAGTTAATTGAAAATTTAACTTCGAAAAGGCGCAATTTAAAGGCGCACACATTCGCTGCGTGACCCAACTTGTTCAAATTTTGAATGGCATTATTATTTAAAGGCGCATGAAGGTCTTGGAACCTCTACTCTCCTTTTTAGGTAGGGACCATTAAAATTGGCCACAAAATTTCGCGTCAATGCCATCATCAGAAAACAATTTTTGGGCGCACCTCTGTGACGCTCGTGATAGCCCCCCCCCCCCAGCTCTCGTTTCCATGGCATTGTTCGTCTCTTTAAATTGGTCGGGGCTTCACTTCATATCGCCGAGCCCACACGTTTTGAGCTCGACAGCAGAAGCTCACAAGCACACAACGCGTTTGCTCGCCGCCGCCTTCAATGCTGACGCGTCTGAATTTCGACGACGACGACGCTGGCGATGGCGACGATGGTGATCGCCGTCTCGACGGTCGCCGCAAAATTCGGACGACTCGCAAGGATCGCAGCATTCGATATCTTCGATCGTTGAGCGCCGCGAAGGCGCGACCAACTCGAAAGGTTCGCTTGTGGCTTTCCCCGTTCGGGTGGCCGAGTTATCACGCGGCCGCCAATTTTTCGGCCATGCCATTTTTCTAGAAATTCTTATCTTTATGAGTCTTTCCAAAAAAAAATCGCCGAGTTTTCTTCAAACCACATTATTTAATAGCTAAACAAAAAATCGCGCGGGTCTTGACGCGATAATCGTGACGGAAAAAATTTTGCTCACCTCAAAACAATAAAACATTATAATTTATACAAATTCGTGACAAGACTCAACGAAGTTTTTTTTTTGAAATTTTCAAACAAAAAAAATTCGATTTTTTTCTAATTCTTCCGATTTGCCGCTCGGTTGCCTCAGTAACCGCATCGACAAAAAAAAAGAAGAAATACGAGACACCAACATATAATTTGGTGGGGGGGGGAGAGTGAGTCGGACGGAAATTGCACCATCACCACCCCCGCTCGAGAATCCGATGATCTGAGTCGTTGCAGGAGAAACCGACGACGCGCCGACCGCGCTCCACCTCGAAATGGGCGACGGTGCGACAGAAGCGACCGCAAATGGTCGCCAACGCCATGATGGTAGTCGAAAGTTTTGTTTTGAGAGCTCTATGCGCCTTTAAAGAAAGAAGCATTACTTTCAAAATTTTCTCGATTTTGCAAATAATTGAGATTCATTCAAAAAACAAACTCGCTCCTAGACTTTTCCGTGCGAGACCCAAATCGGCATTTCGATGTGTGCAATTTCGTTTTTACGGACCTGAATTTGTTTGTTGCGTCACATTTTTTCAGACGTTTTCTATAAATAGTGCGCTGGGTCTCGCAACGATCCTTTAAATATCTATAGTAGCGCAGCGATAGAGCAGTGGATCATCATTTTGCAAATTGGGTTCGGGTCCCGGGTTCGATTCCGCTGCCTAGCATTCTTGCACACAATCTCTCAAAAAAACGGTTTTTTTTGTGTATATCTTCGTTGCGAGACCCAACGCGCATTATTTGGAATTTGGCTTAGACGAAATAAATCGGTGGGTCTCGCGACGATTCATTGATTAATATCAACAAAATTGAAATTTTCAAATTTGAGGAGCGAAAACAAGGGCTCGACCTCAACAAAGTGTCGCCAGCGGCGGCGCTCAGAAACACGAATCTCGAAAATGGCGAGGCGAAGACGAAAAGCTTCAGCGATGTGGTAAAAGCGGTAATGGTATGAATATAGATTAAATATCAAAAAAAGAAGAAATGAAGAAAAGCGATGAGGATAGAATAGAATTAAAAAGGATATTTTTTGAATAGGTAGATTATCGGCTTCCAGAACACGCGACCAACATTTTCTCGCTCTCACTCTCTTCTTCTATCGCTTATATAATATTTTTGAATTTTCCTCTTAAACTTTGCACATTTCTTTAAAAAAAAAACTAAATTCTTGAAAAAAAAACGTCCATTAATTACTATCTAGTTTTTGTTCGGAGCGAAAAATTCGCAATTCACAAATTTTCACACCATTTTCGAATTTTCCATGAAGAAAAATCAAACAATTAAAAAAAAGTCCGTGAACATCCCCACGCAAAATTGCACACATTTTTTATTAATATTCCTTTTTAAGGACTATAATTCTTTTACTTTTTTTTCCAAAAAACTCCATTTCAAAATATCCCATTGTTTCTTTAAAAAAAAATGAATATATTTTTGAATGGACTAATTTTTTCAAGGCCGCGTCCATTCGGCCACTGCTATTTTTTGCGATAAAGTTTTTGAAATTTCGCCGAATACAACTCGTTTCAATTCAAAACGCCTCGTGACCATAAAATAAATTCAACTTTGATTTTTTCTAAAAAATCGAATTTGAACGACAAAAATGAAAATATTTTTGGATGGACTAGTTTTTTTTTCAAGGCCACATCCATTCAGCCAAGACCAAAATTTTCGCCAAAAAAACTTTTGCGAAAAATAAATTCAATAAATTCATTTTGTCAAAAAAAAATCATGATGGACTAGTTTTTTGCACGGCCGCGTCCATTCAGCCACTGCACATTTTCAACTAATAAAATTTCAAAAATTCTCAGATTCTCCGCAATTGGATGACCGCAATGGAGCACGATGAGCGCGAGAGTGAGCCCGACCGCGAGCCGACAACCACAAATTTCATCGAGGTCGTCCAAAACACACCTAGGACCCCCCCCCCCGCCCCCCAAAAAAAGCAAAATTTCAATTTTAGGAGACCGAAAACGATCAACGAGCAATTCTAGGCATCGAACACGAGCAATTCCAATCGCAGCCAACCGGCGGAAGTATCCTCAAAGCGGTCATTCAAGACCGACTACGGTACACAGTTATCACCTCGTGCTACCGTACCCCCGCAAATTTAGGCGTCTGATATTCTTCTACATCACACAAAACTCGACGTTTTATTATTACTGGACGACGCTCGTCGCCAGCGGAATCCTTTATAATATGTTGGCGATGGTTTTTTTTTTTCAAATCGTTTTTCGTGAATCGCGACCAATTCTCAAAATTTCTAGGTGATATTCATTTTCGACGACGTCTATTTCGGCTATTTCCAGCAATGGCTGACGCTCAATTGCATCTACGACGGTGTGTTCGTCCTCGACATTTTGTTGCAGTCGAGAATGTGTTCGTTTTTGGCATTTTCAACAAAAAAACACTTTTCTGTGCAATCACAATGACGAAAAATTGCAGACAGCACTTTTTCATCGCCAAAATTCGGTTTTTTTGTGCTCGAAAATCCATAATATCAAAAAAATGATTAGAAACTTCTAAATTTGCTGGCCTTCGCAAATCATCAATTTTCTTATAGCCTTCATGCACGAGGGATCCGAAGTCAAAAACACGAAAAAAATGTGGAAGAATTATGTGGAATCGTGAGTTTTCATCAAATTTCGAGTTTTCAACCAATTCGATTGATTTAAGCTATCGCATCTATCCAGACATTGCGTGCTTACTTCCACTAGATCTCATTCTCATCCTCAATCCAACATTATCCCTTTTAAGGGCAATTCGAATGATAAAATGTGAGATTTTCCAAGAAAAAAAATGTTGAGAAATGTTTTGAGAAATAGCGCACAATATTGAGACAGTGCAGCGAGAGATCGAGAGAGAGAGAGTGTGGTTTAAGGAGACGCAGACGCGCCACATTTTTAAAGCAATTGGTCTCGCACGGAATTAATTGCAGGCTACCGTCTCGTCGACTTCATCGCCATCACCCAAAAGCGAACCGCGTTCCCGCACGCGACAAAAATCGCGCTTCTCTCAACATCGTGCTTCATTCTATTCCATTGGAATGCGTGCGTCTACTTTCTCTTCTCGCTCTTCGAGGGCCTCTCAGGTCGGGTGGTGTCGATCACGACTCATGCCGTGGTCTTGATAAAAGGCGACCGCGACCGCGGCCGCGAATTACTCGGCCCTCGCACATTTTACGTCCGATGGAAGAATATTTCAAAAAAACCGTTTTTCATTTTTCAGAAGACGACACCAGCGCGTTCGGCTTCTCCTACTACAAGGTGTTCGATCCGCGATTTCCGACGTGTCGGGTAGGGCCTATCGAGTTTGACATTGCGATTCTCGACAATTTCCAGGCGTTCAATGATCCCGACTGTTGGTATTCGGAGCATGGCGAATCGGTTCTCGATCTCGACGACGAGCGTCCGAAATACATGAAGGACATGTACGACTATTGGGAGTCGAAGCACTACAAATTCGAGATGGGCAACTTCTCGCGAGAGTACAGCATGACGCTCTACTGGTCGGCGCTCACCATCACCACGTGCGGCCAACAACCGTATCCGTCGACGTCGCCGCAAAACATGCTCGAGGTCGTCGACACGCTCATCGGCATCCTCGTGTTCGCCACAATCATCGGCGGCGTCGGCAACGTGGTGACGCAAATGAATCAGGCCGTGTACGATTTTCGCGAGATGATGGACGGCATCAAATTCTATATGAAGTACCGCGATGTGCACGCCGACATTCAGGAGCGCGTCCTCAACTGCTTCATGTACCTCAACACGCACAACCAGTTGTATGACGAGAAGGAGGTGCTCGAGGTGCTGCCGCCGCGATTCCAGAGCAACATCGCCGCCAATTTGCACATCGACACACTCAAGAAGGTCAACCTGTTCGGCGGTTGCGATTTGCGATTTCTGCACGAGGTGGTGATGCTGGTCAAACAGCAAGTCTACTCGCCCAACGACTATCTATGTCGGAAGAATGAGAAGGCCAAAGAGATGTTCATTGTGAAGAAGGGCACGTTGAGCGTCATCGACGACGACACGAATCACGAGCTCGAGCGTCTCGAAGAGGGCTCGACGTTCGGCGAGCTGTCGGTCGTCCACGTGCGCGGCAATCTACTCGGCGATCGGCGAAGTGTGTCGCTGCGAAGCGTCGGCTATTCCGACGTCTACATTCTTCATCAAGACGACGTCACGCGCCTTCTGCAAGAGTATCCGAGAGATCGCGACATTCTATTGCAAAATGGTTGGCGAGAAAAATAAAGCCAAAAAGAAAAAGATTCCAATTTGTTGTTTGATGTCCATTTCAGCGCGTCAAATGCTCCATGAGCGCGGACTTTTACGGACCACCGAGTTGGGCGAGATGTGCGAAATCGAGCCCGACATGGATGACGACGCAATGGTAAGAATCATATGTATACCGCGCAAATGGTCCCTTACTACTAATTATAGATCGGTTTGCTCTCCGTCGATGAGCAACTCGTTCGCCTCACTCGCATCGTGCGTGATCTCGACGAGGAGCTCAACCAAATGATCAAATCGTTTTCGGTAAGAAGACGCTCCGGCGTGGTTCTCTCACAAGACTCATCATTGCAGCACAGCACACTGTATTTCAAGCAAAGGGTGACCGCGCTAGAGTTCACCTATAACAACAACAAGACGCGAATCAAACGCGACTGTATACGAGGACTATTGTGAAACGCCAACCAGAATAATAAAAATAATAATTTTTTTGGTTGATAATTTTGCAAATTTAACCAATTATTGAATTTACTGAAAAAAAATGGAAAAATAGGTGAAAATGAATAAATAAATATCGAGGAGAGAGTGTTAACGAGGAGGGCGCGCGCATGAGAAAAGACTGTGCTTATCAGAGAGACGCAGAATCAAGAGGCTAAAGGCGGATATAGTGAGGCTGCCAGGATATCTCGTGGCGAAAAGCAATCGTAGTCCAGAGGCGAGCGTTTTTGACGATTGTTGAAGCCTGAGTATGCGTACCTTGATCTCAAATTTGTCAAAAAATCGAGCATTTCGAGGTCTCGGTGCATTTTTTAAAACATTTAGCCAATTATATAACATACAATAATAATAATAATAATAAATTTATGAGACAAAAATCGCGTTTTGATTACAAGTGTCGATCGGCCTTCTCGCGCATCGGACCATGAAATTTCTCATCAATGAAGTCGGCGATTTGCGGGAGTCGATCGGCGCCGAACACCGCCTGAAGCACTTTGCCGTCACCGTCGGTGATGTGCGTCCACGGCGCGCCGAAGCACTGAAACATCGGCGCGTGCGAAAAATTTCGCGCGAAACAGCAATTCATACCCCTTGCGCGATCGCTTCGTCGGTATTCCGTCTCAGGATACTCTTGACCTCGTCGGACTTCGACGCCTTCATGATGTCGTCGACGTTGGCCACTCGCCGATCGCGAAGCACCTCTTCGACGTCGCGTTCGGTGTACGCCGATTTGCCGTAGGCGAAATAGCGGCGCCACAAGTGCTTCGCGACGTCTTCCATAAGCGCCTAATCAGTTTGATCGAAAGCGATTCGAGATTGATTTACCTCGCTCTCCAATTGGCACGCCACCAACACCCTCTGCGGCACAATCGAGCTCGTCGTGAGCATCGTGTTCGTCAGATCTTTCGGCAATCGAAACGGCAATCCCCAATATTGGGCGTTGAACACGACGTCCTTGTGCAAATATTGTTCTTTGATTGGCACTTTCAGCGGCACCGTTTCGTTTTCTAGGCGGGACCATTATCAATGATGTAGGGGCCCCTATTCCCCCTTACTTGACGCTCGCAGAACGCCGGCGAAGAAGAACGGCTTCAACGCGACCGGCGTCTTCCAGACGCCTCGATGACGTGTGATGCCCTCGAAGCCGAAATAGTTGTACGGCGAGATGACGTCGAAATAGAACGTCACCAGTTTGCAGCTCGTCATTTATTCTTCAAGAAATGAAACAAGTGAAATGTGTGACGACGCGACGACGGGGTCAGCGATCGGAGTTCAATTGATAAATTGTGGACGAGAGAGACACCAGGCAATAGAGACACAAAGAGCGAGAGAGAGAGAGAGAGAGAGAGAGAGAGAGAGAGAGAGAGAGAGAGAGAGAGAGAGAGAAAGGGATAGATAGAAATCGGCGAGACCCCAAAAAAAGGTGGGTCTGATTGTATCTCGATCAACATGGTTGAAACCAGTTTCTCTTCGCAACATCAACCATGTCGGATGAGCATCTTACAAAACTCTACTCGCCATCGCAATGGGTCCCGGGACGAACCGGCGACGAGGTAGGTCGACGACAATGATTGATAAACGCGGTGTCACAAGATCGCCAATGGGCGAGTCAATAGCAGGTTTGAGGAGGTTGATTTTTCTTGGAAAAACGACCCAGAATTCGATTTTTTTTTGAATTTTTTGACACGAGAAAAAAAGTGTTGAATCGATCAATCAATAAAAAGAAGGACAGAGCGGGCCAATAGCGCAGTGGCAAAGTTTTTGCACTCATAAGCCTTAAGATCGTGGGTTCGGTCCCGCTCTGTCGCGAAGTGTTTTGCTGCCTGCGTTTCGTTCCAAAGCATTCATTTTCTGATTCGATATTCCCAAAATCGGCGTTTTACGAATAAAGACAAAACGTGCAAAGAGACGTGCGCGTGTTTGCGTACTTTGCATTTCACCGTACTCGCAGTTAATAAAAATTCACAAAATTTCCTTTGTAGGTGATTCAAGAGTTTTACAAGAGCACATTGGAAGCGTTAAAGGAGGTGACCGACGACGAGTCGATCGTGAAAAATTGCGATATTCCATATGGGACAGGTTGACACCGAGAATCTTTCAATGATCAATCTGATCGTGTTTCAGGCGAGAATCAAAAGGTCAACGTGTTCGGCGACGTCAACGAGAACCTCTTGATTCTTATTCACGGCGGCTATTGGGTGGTTAGCGAGAATTTTGAATTTCGCGCGCAAAAATGTATTTACTGTCCGTCTGAGGATATTGTCTAATTCAAATTAAAAATTTTCGAATTTTCTTTATGATTTCAACTCTGATGATGAGGAAGTGAAACAATTGTGAGAATCAGAGGCTGGAAAACCAGAAATGGCGAAAGAAAAAATGTTTTGCATTGAGCGGGAGCGAACCCACGCCTATATCCCATAAGCAACCGCACAGTTCCACTGAGCCATTGTAGCATGCCGAAGAAGGCGCCAAACGTTAGTAATAATTAGGACGGCACGAACCCACACCTATAGGTATTTTTATACCGTTTGTTAAGTGTCGATATATTTATGCCCCACCTTTTATAGAGCAGAAAAGTTGTGGAGAGAACAACCCCAAAATTTGAAGCAAAAACGGTCTTTTTAATTAGAATTTAAAAGCTATATGAATACTCACATCTCAGAATTACTGGTTGACTCGATCAGCTCCTTTAATTGTGCAGCGAGCGTTCCAGCGACATCTGTAACATAGTGATTCGTAAGACCTTTATAAATACATATATTCAAAGTAGATGATAGACAAAATTTTTCTTTAATTTATGAAAAAAAAACACTGAAAAATCTTGAAAACCCATTGTAAAAAAGGAAAATGAAATAAAGTGTTGAAAACGAATTTCGAAAATTGTGGGGCGTGGCAGCATTGCGCAAAGCGGCGCGCTGTTTTGCAATGCTGCGGCACACCTCTTTTTTTGGTCAATATCGTCCGGGCCGTTACCAATCAGTTTTACCGATATAGCTATATCCCATAAGCAGTTCCACTGAATCATTGTAGCGTGCCAAATAGCTCGCCAAACGCCGGTAATGAAAAGGACGGCGCCCACAAGCACCCAACGAAAATTCTCCAGGAAAATCGCGACTGAAAATCGCGATGCGAATTTCACGAAAACGAGCGAGCCCGGGATTTTGACAATCATGATGTGTCTGAAAAAGTTTGACAAAATTCCCACGGACAGTAAAAACACTTTCCAGGCGTTTACAGATGAAAAAATAATTTTTTAAAAATCGATTTTCCCCCCGTCAACAACGGAGTGTCGTTGCACGTTCACCAAAAATCAAAAAGTTGCTTTTTTGTAGAGCCTCGACCGCAACACAATTCTGCATCCGGTGCGGACGGCGATCGACGCCGGCTACGGTGTGGCCTCGATCGGCTACGGTCTCGCCTCGAAGTCCTATAGTTTGAGTCGAACCGTCGACGATTGCGTTCGCGGCGTTCGACACGTGCTCGCCAAATTCGCCAACGCCAAAACGGTGGTGATCGCCGGCCATTCGGCGGGCGCCCATCTCGCCTTTCATGGTATCGAATTTCATCGACTCGTCCAGTCCACACATCGAATTTTCAGCGGCCACACGATGCCGCGATCGTCGAATCAAGGGACTCGCGTTGTTCGCCGGCGTCTACACACTCGACGAGCTCGTCGACACCGATATCGGCAAAGAGGCCAAGTAGGTCGATTTGATTGCGAAATCCGAATCTCATTCTAGTCTGACGCCGGATGAAGCCGCGCGCAACTCGTGCGATTTTTCGGCGCTCGATGGTCTCGAGACGATGCGCACCAAAATTTTCATCGGCACCAATGAGTGTCCGAAGCTCGTCGAGCAAAATCGAAAATTGGCCGATGCGCGGAAAGAGGTCGAACTCGAGGTTTGCCGGACCGGAAAGGGGCGGCCGATTGACCGGGTGGCTTTTTTTTTTCAGGAAATCCCCGATGCCACTCATTTCACGATCATTTCCGATTTGATGAAGCCCGGCACACGAATCAACACCACGTTCGCCAATTTTTTGCGGCTATTTTAATGTTGAAAAAAATTTCAAAAATGAATTTTCATAAAAATATCAAATGTGTGCAATTTTGCGTGTGTGTGCAATTTTGAATTTTTACGTCATACGTTGTCCGTGTGGAGTACACAGCCTTCGTCGCGTCGTCGTCACAAGACCATTTCTGACAGTTAAAGGGTGTCGGGTGAATGCAGAAAAAAAATTTCGTCTGCAATTTTGCGTTCGTGTGTTTACGGACCGCGGTTTTCTTAGCCAAAACAACTGTGTTGGGTGTGAGAGAGACAACGCGAAATTGAGAGGGCACAGACAAACAGTTTCGAAAACATATAGGCGAGAGACAACGCCAAATTGAGAGGGTGCAGACAAACAATTTCGAAAAAAAACAATTTATTAAGGAAATATCGAAAATTAGCGTCGCGTTCCGTCCTCGAAAAAGACGCCGCCATCCAGCGCGCAATACTTCGGACAGATGCCCTTCTCGCTGGCGTCGCCCTCGTCGCCCGGCGCGCCTTTCGGTCCGGCGACACCCTCCTCTCCCGGCGGTCCGTCGGGCCCATTCGGGCCTTTCGGCCCCGGATTGCCGGGAAGCCCGTCGGGTCCGGGAAGTCCCGGCGGCCCCGGCGGTCCCGGCGGTCCGGCGTCGCCCGGCGGTCCCGGATTGCCGGGCGTCGGCGCGCCCTCGTCGGGCGCCGGTTTGCCGGGCTCGCCCGGCACACCCGGTTGGCCCTCGTTGCCATGCGCGCCCGGCGGCCCTTTCGGTCCCGGCTCGCCGTTGCTGCCGTCGGGTCCGTTGCGTCCCGGCTGTCCCGGCGGTCCCTGTTCGCCCGGCGCTCCCGGCGGTCCCTGCTCGCCGGGCGCTCCCATCGGGCACACGCGGCACGGCGGCGGCGTCAGCGCCTCGCACGGCGCGCTTATCGTACTGCGTCCCGGGACGCCGGGCGCGCCCGGCGCTCCCGGCCTACCAGGTCGTCCCGGTTTGCCGTTCAGCCCGTTGGGTCCCGGACCGCCCGGACAACACCCACCGCACCCGCCGCCGCCGCCAGCCACGTCGCCCGCCGGCGCGCGTCTGCCTCGGCACTCTCAACGTCGTCTCATTGACATTCGCCATCAATCGAATCGCCTCCATCTCCTTCCAAATCTCTTTGGCGTTCTCCTAGAAACCATCGCAATCGATTTTCGATTTTCGATTTCGCCTCACCTCGCAAACGACCACCTCGGTGGCAATTAGTCGGCCGACGTGAAGCGTGTAGATGTAAATCGCCGGCAGCGCAATGCACACACAAATCACCGAGACAATCGCGAAGCACATGGCCGAGTTGGCGACCCATTGGTAGGCGCGGCCACGTCGGCAAATATCGTCGTCCATTCCGACAACCTCAGCGTCGACGTCTCGCCTTCAATTTATACCATCCATTCGATCTTGATCGAATTACCAGTTGCCGGATTCGATCGCAATCTTCAATTCGCTATCGGCCCGGTCCGTCAAGTCCGCCCCATTGACACACTTGTGTGTCCATGGCAACGGCGAGCGATCGCGCGCGCACACCAACAACTATGCTCACGTGGAGCGCCTCAACCCACCAAAATTCGATAGCGTCGACGAATCAAGGCTCGCGAGCCGCCGAGGTGTTTCTCGATTCGTGGAACGCCGCTGTCTATGAGTGTCAGCCGATCAAAGGTGAGCCACATCGAATGGAGTGGTGAGGAACAAATCGAAATTGTCGGCAGACGGTCAACTCGACGACGAGGCCAAATTGTGGCGGTCGAAATTCGCGCACCTTCGACTCATCGGCAAGCCGATTGGAAATTGCTCGAAGAGCGTTGTTAGGTCGGCTCCACAGAACAAATCGGCGTCGTCGAAGAGCGCGTCCATCATCAGGGACCATCGCGATTGCTCATTGCCGCGTCTCGAACACCCGAAAAAGGTTTAAATATTTTCGCGTCATCCAACATTTCTCTTTTTTTCTAATGTCGTTGTTGTTTCATAAAGAATGTATGGATTATTTTTGTCCGTGCGGAGTACACAGCGAGCGTCTACTCGTCGTTGCAGGACCCATTTAAGGCATTTTCTCAATTTCCCGTTATATGGAAAATAGAAGTTTAAAGGGCGAATGGAGAAAAAATTTAGAAAATATGTTTTTTTTTCTCCCTTAATTGCCGTTTTTGTGCAAAACTGCATTTTTTGAAGCTCGCGCCAATTTTGTAAACTTTTTTGTGTGCAATTTTGCGTACCTGTGTTTACGGATCGCGCATTTTCATAGAAAACAACGATTTTTTGTTTTATTGACCAGTTTTTGAGATAATGTCATTTTTTGAATTTCGCGCCAACCTTTCAAACTAATTTTTCCTCGTCTGCAATTTTGCGCACCAGTGTTCACGGACCGCGCATTTCCCTTGACGGAGTTTGCCAAAAAGCGAGAGACAACGCAAAATTGAGAGAGTGCAGACGGGCAGATTGGGAGAAAAAATATTTTTTTTTTGCCAAAAATATCATATTTTGAATTTCGCGCCAATTTTTGCATGTCTGCAATTTCGCGTCGCCTCCTATTTTTTGATTTTATTCTTTCATAAAGAATGTATAGATTATTGGGTGTGCAAGAATATGAGAAGAAACAAAAAAAATGAAAACAAGGACGCCTAGGTTTTTTTTATTTTTGCAATTTTCGTCGGGGAAATAAAATTCAAAAATTAATAAGACAATGAAAAACCGCGTTTTGTCTATTTTTCTCATCTCCGCGGGGCCGCGGCCGTGGCCGCCCAATCTTCGGCCACGGCCATCTATTTTTCTAATCAATCGAATTTTCCCCAAAAAATTCTATAGGGATTCGTTTTTGTCGGAAAATTCTTCTAGGCGCTCGCTCTCGCAGCGAGCCAATTTCGATGCGCCCCTCCCCGAATTTAATCATGTCTGCGAGTTGTGCTCGTCGTTTTTTTTGTTGTTCGCCCACCAGTTTCATGTTTCTTTTCGCCATTCATCCACATCCTTTCAAGGTGGTTCCGATTTCAGCGGTATTGTCTCGTCGAATTCTTGAGGATCCTCAAATCGATCCAACGTGGTCCCTTCAGAATTCGAGGAGCTACTCGCTTTCAATTCTATTTGATGGCATCGCTCACGTGATTCCATAAAAGATGTCCCATTTCTAATTTCCGCCATTTCATATCTAATCTGGGAAACTCGTTAATCTCGCTTTCTCTCGCCAATTTCGATTCCATCGACACATTTATGATGGTCCCATCGAATTCGATTCCCCCCCCCCCCAAAAAAAAATAAAATTCAAATTTTTCTTTCTGTGGTACATTACGTCACGGTGTTTGCACACATTTCGACGCAATTCAAAAAGTGGGATTTTTTAAAGAAAAATTCGAAATTTCAAAAAAATAAAACTGAAAAAAAGTGGGAATTCAAATAAAAACGAGGCCAACAGAAAAATGCATGCCTTTTTTTTTGGTACGGCGATGAATCATTCCTTTTTTGGTTCAAAACCAACAACAACAAAAAAGACGAAGGCCCGGTATGTCGGAAAAATTGAACAGAAAGAAAAATGCAAAAAAAAATTTTTGAAAATTGCAAAAATTTTTTTCCAATATTTTTCGTAAAATCCTCATCGCCATTAAAGGCGATTCTCAAATTGTGCAATCACGCCGACATGAACTCTGCGGACTTGCCAATATAATCAAAATTCCAACCAAAAAAGTGGACATCGAAAAAAAGTGTGCAATGGAGCGCACATGCCACATTATTTAAATTTAATTATTTTCTATTTTTATATATCGAAAAACTGATTACAAAAAATGAGAGCTCTTTCTCGCTTTTCATATTTTCCTCATAATATATAATTAGGCTATCACTAGACCCCACCCCCCCCCTCAGACCCCCCTGTCCTTCAACGCATAGGTAAAAATGCGTTGAGAAGCATCTTATCAATAATTCAACCTCGTGTTTTCCGCGATGCTCGTCTGAATCAGTTACGACGTTTTTCCGGCGATGACGACGTCGAGAAAAATCGATTTTTCGCTTTTTTTTTGAATCCCATTTTTGGCGCCAAAATTCCGCCCATCAAAAAAAAATGAGAGTTCATCATTTCCGCATTTTACGACTATCATTTTCCGTCTCATTGGACCCTCTGCCACAATTTTTGGCGTTTCTCAATTTTTTCTTAAAATTTGGAAAATTTCCTTATTCGCCTAATTTTTGAAATGCTGAATTCTCCGAAAAAAACCACTATTAAAATGTCACAAATTTTTGGCTTTTTCCAATTTGGCGTCGATTCAAATGCAAGTCCGCAATGATGATGCGAGCGTGATTGCACAATGTTTCGCATGCGCCTTTAATTTCCAATTTGCGAAATTCAAAAAAAATTAATCCAAAAAATCCGGGGAAAAAAGCGCGAGAAAATTTTTTGTCAAATTTCGCCTCGAAAAAAAAAGATGAAGAAGAAGAAGAGATCTGTGTGCATTCGCCTCGATTTAATCCAACAAAATTACATTTTTTTTTGCATTTCGCCTAATTAAAACGACCCTCTCACAACACAATTTTCTCGATTTTTCGTCCCCCCAAAAAAAGCGCATTTCCTTTGTTTCATTCAAATATAATTTCGTCTCATATCTCGTCGAATTCGGTGTTTTCGGCACACCAAAAATATTTCCCAATGGTTTTTTTTTTCAATAATATCAAGCACCAAAAAAATTCCAGCTCCCATCAATTTTTAATAATTCATCAATCCATTCATTCCTTATTCTTTTCAACACATTTTCTTGCCTTTTATCATCGGCCAAAAATCATCAATGTTTCCTTTTAATCCCAGCTTTCTTATTCTTTTTTCGCCTCGAGACCCTCCCAAGGGACGCGCCAAAATTATTTTTCTAGACTTCAAATTATCACCCCAACCCCCTTCATGGGTTACTGTAGCTTGAAAGTACGCAAACATCATCGCCCGAAAAGTGCACACAATTGGCGCGGCGATTTCTATTTTCGTGTGTTCTCATTATTTTTCACTCATTTTCCACGGACCATTGTCTTCGTAAAAAAAATCGAGAAAAACGCTGAACTCATTTCTTTTCTATTTTCTAATGGGTCCAGTCATGCAAAAAAAAAAAAGAAATAATAAAAATAAGTCGACATTTTATTTATTTTTTGTTTCGCCTACAGTAATCAGATACAGTAACCTCTCACAAGGTAATTTGAGGCGGTTTATTTTTCAACAAAAAAAAAGAAGATGAAGGAATGAAATTTCATATTTGTCTCGTTTTTGACGAAGAGAAAAAAAAGAAAACGAAGGCCCGCTTTATTATTATTATTATGTCTTGCCCCCCAAAAGGAGATTATCATGAATAATCCGTCATTTGTGTTTTTTTTAGGCTTAGACACACACACAGACGATGGGCAACGCGCACGCGAATCCGTCGCCGACGACGCCGCTCAAGAGTCGCCGAAAATTGTGGCGGCAACGACGATTGTCGGATCCGAGCCAGAATCAGAATGATAAGGTGGGCAATTCGATTTGTCGCATCGAAAATGAATGTTGGGTGGGATTCTGGTGGGGTCCGCAGTGCACCGAGCAGTTTGCTATTTGCTTTTTTTTACTCAAATTTTTATTGCCGACTAAATTCCCCCAAAAACAAACCAATGACATTGGTCTTGACACAAAACTAGTGGTGTAGATTTACGGGCTACCGTATACCGCACCGGGACCTCCATATCTTTTCAATTGGGCCTCGTGATGCGTTGAAAATTTCAAAAACGAATTTTTATAAAAATATCAAATGTGTGCAATTTTGCGTGCGTGTGTATACACAATTGTGGTCTTTTAAAAATGTTGCTCTACAATTTTGAATTTTTACGTTATACGTTGTCCGTGTGGAGTACACAGCGCGCGTCTCGTCCTCGTCACAAGACCATTTCAGCCAATCTCGAGATTTCGCCAAAATGGGAATAAAATAATTTTTTGAAGAGGGTTTCATCGCGATTAGTTCAGAAAAATTTTCTTTTTTCTTCTATTCAGCATTTTTTTTTGGAGAAAATCACTTTTTTTTAATTTGCGCAATTTTTGCAACGCATTTTTTTCTGTCTGCATATTTGCGCGCGTGTGTTTACGGACCCGGCGATTTTCGCATTGTCTTTTTTTCGAACAATGAGAATTGCATTTTTGGTCGGTGTACTGCGTACCATGCGCAGAATTCCACGACAATTTCCAAAATGTTGTTTTTTTTTTCGAATTTCCACCTTCTGCCGAGCCCCTCGCTGGCGACCAACTCGAATTGCACAACGCCGCCGACGATTCAAATCAACGGCGAGGCGAGCTTCGACGAGCCGACGTCATCGGAGCACGAGATTCGCGCGAAAAGCGCCAGCACCGTACCGCCACACCAACCATCGACTCGTCGAAATCGCAATTTTTGCAGGATTTCACCTCGTCGTCGGCGTCGGAACGCCGAAAAATGTTTCTCACGAGCTCGACGACCAACAACTCGGTGGCGCGTAGTCTCGACGACTCGATGATCGCCAAAATGACGACGCTGGCTCGCGCCAAGAGCCATTCGCCGCTCAAACAAATGCGCACCTACTCATTTCGCTCAATTTCCAGCGAGGACAATCTAATCGATAAGGAGGTGAGAAAACATTTTTTTTTTCGTTTTTTGAAATGTGAATTTTCATCCGGAATTCGCCAATTTTTTGCAGAGCGCCGAACTCGTTGCGGACTCGTGGCGACTGGTTGAGGCGCGCACGTCGGAAAACACCAAATGCTTCGGGTGTTTCGTTTTGAATCGCGTGTTCGCCAAAATTCCCGTCCTTCGCATTATGTTCGGCGTTCGCGAGGTGAGACAATTATCGACGACGCCGCTACTGTAGGAGCGCGACGTCCGCAAACACCGCGACGCAAGTGCTCACCAAATTGTTTGAATTCAAATTTTTTTTCAATATTTCCCCCTTTTTTTCCCTATTATTTTCGCTGAATTTCAGGACGAGAGTGTGCTCGATTTACCAGAAACTCATCAAGCACGTCGTCACGCCAAACTTCTCACCAACATTCTTCATCTCGTCGTCAAAAATGTCGACGAGCTCGAGGCACAAGTCGCGCCGACCGTTTTCAAGTACGGCGAACGACACTATCGGCCGGATATTGTGAGTTTCATTTGATTTTCGATAAGCGTTTTGGAAAAAAATTGAATTCTATAGAGCGTTTCCAGAAAAAAATGGCGGAATTGAATTCAACAACTTTTTTTCAGAAATTTCTTTATTCAAGAATTTCCAAGACAATTTAAAATCGTTAAAATGTCAAAATTAATGATTTTTTTTCAAATCCAACTCGCTCTATTTGTTTTGTTTGCAGAGCCCCCACATGACCGAAGAGAACATCCGCGTGTTTTGCGCGCAAATCGTGTGCACCGTCTTCGATCATCTCAACGACGCCGAAGCGACGCAAAAGTGCGCCGAGTCGTGGATCGAATTAATGCGATATTTGGGTCAAAAGCTGCTCGACGGGCACGAATTCGCGAAATTGAGCGCCGAAAAAATCATCAGCATCAATCGAAATGACCATCATCTATTTCTAATGCTATAACCAAATTAAAAAAAAACCGCGACGCTCAACGATCGCCATTTCGACATCGAAATCCTATTTCACTTTGGGGGGCACAAAAATCAAAACACAATGTATAATAAATCACGTCTATTTTTATAGCATGCGAAACAGCAAATGAAGGGGATCAAAAATAAACAATTTTCAATGAAAACGAGAGAAAAAAAAAGAAACCTGAAGATTTAAGTGAGCTGCGACGACGCGAATAATAGGGGAATATTCGTTCCCCAACCAGCCAAGAGAAAATAATCAAACGAAAAAAGAAAGAAGTCTACAGTAATCATTATACCAACAATTTTTTTAGGAGACGGGTGAAAAAAAAATAAACGTATACATATTCGATAGGTTGAAGTACTCACATCGGCAAGCTTGTTGAAAATTGAATGGAACCGAACCATGGGAGGGCGGAGTTGAACAGGAAAATGTGAAATATTCAAAAGAAAAACGGGAGTCTAGTCGAAAAAAATGCCTTTGCCAAATTTCCGACAGAAAGTACACCAAACCAAACAAGAAAATTATGCGATTTCTTTTTTCTTCTTCTTCCTCTTCTTACAGATGACTAGCAATTGAATACAATTGATTGGGTGTGGGTGTCAAGCATGAATCGAGCTTGACCATAATCAAAACAACAAAAAAAAAATAAGAGTTGGGTCTCGCACAGAAAAACGTCTAGAGAGGCAAAAATTAGCATGATAAATTATTTGATTTTAGTAGTCCCCGACAACGTGCTAATTCTAATATACTTTTTTTGTGGAAAAAAAATGTTGAGACAAAACCGAAACGAAAAAAACACTATTTGAATAAAGAAAGAGAAAGGCAAGAAGATGCAATTGACGGGTAGCGCTGGAACGTTGGGGACCATGATTCTCAGTTCAGCGAAAAAAAATAAACCACATCGCACCACGCGAATTACGAGCTCTCTGTGATCACTTCGTTGCCGGTTCCGCGCACGAAAATCACCCGATTGATTTTGTCGGTCATCACTTCCAAATAATGCACATAATCGTCCAACGCTTGCTCTGAAAATCCCAGCAATTTCCTCAAAAAATAACCAATCTGTGCCATTCGCGTCGCGGTGTTTGCAGCCTTTTCCGCGCGCTACAGTAAGTTATATATTTGTTTTCGATTCGCGAGAGACTTCCGCAACAATTGGCCTTCTACTTCGAGTTTTACGAAAAAAAATTTCCTTAACATTCGTTTTTTCCTCCACAATCTGTACGCGAAGACCCAATTTCGTAAATCTACACAGATTTCTCACGAGAATGAACAATTTCGGGAAAATGTCGGCTTCGGTTAAGAAAGAAAATAAATAAAAAAAATCGCGTTCCGCTTGCCCTTTAGCGGTTTCTGCATTTTTTTTGCGACAAAATATGACAAAAAAAAACACACATGAGCCATCAAAAATCGATATCATTGAATTAGAAACCCGCCTAAATGAGCGAAACCGTGCCATAAATGTTGAAAATTGATTTTTTGTTCACCCACATGCACCTTTAAACATCTACAGTAATCGTTTCTTGAAGTGAGCGATTTTTCTTCTTTTTCCCACATAATCAAAAAAAATAACCAAAAACCACTCACGATCTTTGTGAATCGGCGGCTTCGGCAAATTCAACAAAATCAGCTGACTATTCGCCGAGTGTTGAAGGAGCAACTCGTTGAGTCTGACGGCGGTGTGCATTTTCGACACCTTCGATTTGTCCAACGCCTTCATTCGCTCCTTCTTCGTCTTTTCCGCGTCCTCCTCCTTCTTCTCAGTGGCGCCATCTGCAAAAAAATCAATGACGCATCGAAATAATGTCGAACATTTCAACAAATCCAACCTTCACTACCGCCAGCGGATTCTTCCGATTCGCGCTGCTCCTTCTCCTTCTTCTCCGACGTCACCAGCGGCGAGACGGCGCGCGGCGCCGATGGCGGCAACGATAGCGTTTTGCCACCGCCGCCGGCGGCCTTCTGAAGATCGCGCATCATCATCGTGCGCTCCTCCATGAGAAGTGTGCGTTCGAACGCGTTCTTCGAGATTTCCGGATCGGCGAGCTCGACAATCTGAAAATGCGAATAAATGAGAATTTCAATTTTGGCGTAAGCTTTTTTTTTTAACTCACCATAATCTTGGCGTCGATTCGCAACGAGTACACATACTTCTGCAAATCCTCCTGCATTTTCACATTGTTGTCCGTCTCCTGCGCGATTCCGATGACGCGTAGCTTGCATCCACGCCACACTTTGTGCTGTTTCAGCAAATAGCCCATCAGCAAACACAAACCGCCGTCGTGCACAATCCAGTAAACGTCGATCATTCCGCTCATTCGGAACACCGACGACGGGAAATCAATGATGCCTTTCGCGACGACGATCGCCATGTCGTTGATCGACGCCGCGTGCACCTTCTCAATGAACGTGTTGTACTCGGTCATGTCTTCCTCGCGATCGTGAACCGGCCACGAGATGAGCATCGTGTTCGGCTTGAGACCTCCGAGACCAACTGATTGGACAAGTGTCGACATTGATCCGTAGACCTGCAAGATGTCAAATTACCAATTTAATCCGAATTTTTTAAAATCATCTTTACCTGATCCTCCGAATGCACCAATGTTTTGGCGAATCCGCGTAGTCTCACTTGATTCATGTCGAAATCGATTCGCGCCTTCACCTGCTCGCCCTTCTTCTTATCATCGGGACTCGTCGGATCGCCCTTCAAGAACGCCGTCACCACCGACAAACCTTTGCCGGCTTTGAGTTGCGACGCCAAATTGAGCAAATTCAAATAGCGCACATCGATGATCTCCTTCGACCATTGCATCGAGAACAACAAAAGGAGTTGCGGACGCCAATTCTTCGGATGCGGATTTTTGTCCTCAATTTTCATTAGCGAATATTGCGCGGTGGTGAGCGCCAATCCGCGAATGCCGTCGCCCCACTCCTTCTTTGCGCCTTTCCACTCGACATACTTGTAGATCGCCAAACACAGGAGGCACGCGACAATCGCGTAATCCCAATGCGTCGAGAACATGATGAAGAAGCAGAGAACAGCGCCGACCAACGAGAGGAACCTAGGTGAGCCATTTTTCGCATGACAATTTGAAATTATCGCCTACCAATGATAATATTTGAATCTTGGACGCCAATTGGGCGCGCCGAGAAGCGAGTGAAGTGTGCAAATGATGTTGACGAACGCGTAGCACATCAGAAAGAAGAAATCGACGACAGCGGCGATCGTGTCCATGCCGCCCATGAGAATCGCGAGTTCGGCAATCAGTGTGGTGAGAATGAGGCCAAGGAACGGCTCATTGTTGGCGGTGACTTTTTTGAACGGCGACAATATCGGAATCACCTCGTCTTTGGCGATCGCTTGAAGGAGACGCGGCGCCGAGCACAAGCATTGAAGAGCAGCGCCGAACGTCGACAAGAATGAGCCAATGAGCAGCACCCAAGGCGACGGCCATGAGAGTAGAGCGACGACCATTTGGCCGCCAATCGATTGACCATTTCTAGAATTTTAGATTCAAAAAAAAAGTTCAAATGATCGGGTTTTCGTCAATACTACATATTTCCATCAATCTTCAAAAGTCGCCGATAAGAGACTATAGTTTTTATCGGTGGGTCTCCGGACATCAAAATTTTGGTCGATAAATTAATCAAAAAAAATTTTGGTCGATAACAAAACAAATTGCTTTAGAAAAAAAAAGTTTTCTTATCAATTTTGTACGATTTCCCGCGTTATGCCGAATTTAGAGATAAATAAACTCAAAAAAAAAATCGTTTTCTTTGTGATCACTCAAAAAAAAAAGAACTCACTTGTCTCTGAGCACACTTCCGTCGATCGCGCCGCCAAAGACGAACGCGAGCGAGAAATAGATGAACGACGTCGTGAGATTGGCGGCAATCGTACCGGCCGGAATCGACGCCTGCGGATTCTTGAGATCGCCGCTCATGTTGGCGCCGGTGAAGATGCCCGTCACCGCCGGAAAATAAATCGCCAACAACACAAAGAATGTGGTGCGAACATCTTGGTACACATCCGTTTTGGTGTTAGCCGCCTGCGTTACTGTAGTGTAATATTTTCCAACATAGTTCGGACCAAGATTCGCTGAACGAAATTTTCCATCAATGACGTTTTCCGAACAATTAATACCCAAAAGTGTCGATCCGCCCATGAATCCCGGGAATCCGTTGATGCAGCTGAAGCTCGATTCGGTCAACGAGTCGTTGCATCCATTCGGCCCGCAAATGTTCGACAAAAGGAAGGTGTTGCTGAAGGTTTGAAAAAAAAATAAATTATATCAATATATGAATAGCCTACTTCAATCCGCAATAGTCGCACATTTGATCCAACGTCGCATTTTCCGGCATCACCGCTTTCGATTGGAGAAGTCGCTCGCCAAGCATACAGACCCTTCAAAAAACGTCGTTTTTTTTTCTTAATTTGAATTCCCGCCTTGGGTCTCGTGTGGAGTTTTGTCTAATTAAACCGCCATAACGTGAAAGAGCACAATTTTTTTACGAAGTATGGGACCCAATTAATTGGCACAATTCAAATCATAGCAAGATTGTTTTTAAAAGCATGATGGTCCCTCCTAATCTTTTTAAATAGCGCAAATTACGAAAAAAAAAGTGAAAATTTTAGCTTCCAAGTGTTTTTTTAAACAAATTCTCAACGTTACCTCAAAATTTAATGACGAAAAACGATTCGCCCAAATTTCAGACATCGAAAAAAAATGTTTTGTACTTACGCTTGTCCCGAATCCGGATAAACAGTCTTCGTGATTCCACCAGCGTAGCACGCGAGAATCGAGACAATCACACAGACTAGAGACACCTAGAACATTTCAACGTGAAAAATTTAAGTGGTTTCGATTTCTGGTCTACCGGCGCGAGCATTTGCACAAATTTCACACCCATCGCTACAATGGCGAATTCGATGAGCAATAGGATTGTCGAATAGAATCGAAGCGAGTTTGTCATTGTGCCAAACATTGCTGAAATTGTTCATTTCGAATTCAAAAAATAATGTGTTCGACCCACTTGTATCATGTTGGCCCTCTTCGCCGCCAAACGTGAGCCACGGGAATATATAAAGCTGAAAAAATAAATAATTGGTCAAGCAAGGGGTCAAAAAAAAAATAACGCACCAGCAATATCTCGACGCCACCGACGAGATACATCGACGTCGCGACGGTGTTGGCCAAATAGAACAGAATTCCGACGGCCGAGCCGAATTCGGGTCCCAAATTGCGCGATATCATGAAATAGGCGCCGCCGCTCTCGACGACGCCGTTCGTCGCCACCGCCGATATCGAGATGCACGTGAGGAACGTGCAGAAGCAGCACAGGAACAACAACAGAAACGTTTGACCGAGACCGGCGATGCCGACGAGCCAAAACAGACGAATGAACATGGTGACGCCGAGAATGTGCTGAATTGTCGGCAAATAGACGCCGAGGAGCACGCCGAGATCGGCTTTGCCGCCATGGCCGCCGTGCGACGAGCTCTGCGCGCGCTCCAACGGTCCCGGCGTGATGTGCGCTTTCAGATAGCTCGAGAAGAACGGCATCGACGGCTCCTCGAACAACGCGAGATTGTGATTGCCGGCTTCCTTGTTGTTGCCCCATGCGTAGAGTTCGCCTGAAAAAAACGAACATCGGAAATTTATAACAATTTTTTAATCCTACACTGCTTACAATTATTCAATTTTTTTCAAAAATTACGGTATTTAAATTTTTGGCCAAAAAAATCCAATCCAAATAGAAACAAGAGTCTCATAACGAGTGAGCCATCCAGAAAAAATTTTCTTTATTTTTTTCTGTCATGCCCCAATAAGATACCGCAACTTTGAAAAAAATGTGACCATTCGATCTAATTAAGTGAAAAAAAAACGTTGTATGAATTTTTTTTAATTTTTTAAAAATATGTCTTGCGCTTTTGGTAATCTTTGACCACTAATTTTTTCCGCTTAAATAAAATCGCGGAGAGTGAGTGAGAAAAACGAAAAGATGAAACGAACGATGACTATCATCTCGCGTCATTGGCGGCGGCGCGTCCGCCTCGACGCTCAACAAGAATCTCGACGGATTCTTCGTCGGCGGTCTCGACGCGACTCCGTTCATTCCGACGGCCGTATGCTCCGAATGGTTGTGCGTTAATAGGCTGACGTGTTCGTGATCATCGCCGCCGATGACGAAATTCAATTGGGCGGCCGACGTCGTCGGCTCGGACGTTTGTTGGCCGCTCGACGATGATTTCCTACTCATCGAACCTTTCCACTAATCGCGTCGATCAACTCGTTTCCTATTTTGCCGGTATATTAGATGACGGGCACGAAGCTTGAAACAAATCAAAAATGAAAAAGCTCGACTGAACGGAAAAATATCAACAGAAAATTATATTTGGGGAAAATTTGTCTATTAAATATAGACAAAATGGCTCAAAATCGCTAGAAATCTTCAAAAAAATGAAAACGCATTAAACGATTAATAAAACGTTCTCGAAGTTTCTAGCGAATGGCGTCATTGTGGTGCAATAAAACGTCGCCCAAAAACTCAGAAAAAAGATCAGCGGGGCGTCGAGAGTCGACAAAAATCGATATGATATTGTATAAATAAATATATAAATTTGGAAGGAGGGAAGACGAAAAATGATTGGTCGTAACATGGCGTCGCAAAAAGTGCACAATGTGCCAGTTGTTATCAATCCCGGGTTCTTCTTTTTTTATCACAAAAACTTAGGGGGCTTGTCGGATTTTTGAAAGTCAACACACCAAACGCCTGTTTACATAGAAATCTCGCGAAATAGCATAACAATGCTGGGCACCCCCCAAAAAAATTATTATTGCTCATTATCGACGAAGTTGGCAAAAAACTCGAAAATCCTATGCAAAACTATAGTTTTTCCAGAGATTTTTGCAACTTTTTCTTTGAAATTTCGAAAAAAATAATATCTTTAAAAAATTTGGGCATCATCGTTGATGGGTCAATAATGTAATCAATTCGACCCGTCTGTGTGGGAGAGAACGGCGAGTTGGAAAATAAACAAAAATGACAAGTGGGTTTGATTAGTCAGACAACAAATTGCCATTTTGAACCAAAAAATCAATAAATTTTCAAATTGTGACCAAAATTCAGCTCTAAAAGAGTATATTCGTATGAGAATGTCGAGGGCAACACAAAAAATGAAGGGAGGAAGATGAGGGGAGAAGCAGGAGGAACGAATGTGACACTCATTTTAAGTGTTCTCTGCTCGGCATATTATTCATTTTTCTCCCCCAAACCGCCTAATTGGATATTTTGCTCTTTCGCATAAGCCAAACATTTTTTATTCTGAAAAAACGTTTTCCGAACTTTTTTCGAGTTGCAAACATTCTAGAAAATTTCAGAAATTAAAATTTGGGGTAAGGATTTAGTTTGAGTTGAAACAATTTCTAAGTTGGGAAATTTTATAAAAACCATCGATTCGAAAATTTAATTATAATTCTTGGCTTAAAAATTGACTCGATTTCGTTGTCATGGTGACAGATATACAAACGAGTTGCGGGTTTTACTTGCAAAAATTCAGAAAATCGCATTTTAAATTGAAAAAATCGAGAGAAAATTCAAGAAAAACGCCGAAATCGATAATTCTCAAAACCAAAACAATGAGAAGAGCAATCGGCGCGACGCGCAATTGCACCACTTCCGACTACCGTACCCAACAGAAAATTAAATTCGAAATTTTGAGCAAGCAAAAAAAAAAAACAGGAGCGAGATGGAGAGAATAGAAACGCTTTGGTAATTAAGGCAAGTGAAATTGCATTCAGCCGCGCGCCAAATTCAAATTGAAGGTCATTTTCCGAGAAACGAGCGTGAGCAGCATATGTTTCGCATAAAAAAGACCCAGCTGTTTTTTTTTTTTGAGTGGCCAACGTATCCCAAAAGCTTCACACATAAAATCACTCACGATCGCCGACGCTGGTTGTCGAAATATTGCGATGATTCGAATCCAAACCATTGGCTCTGCAAAAAGAAAAAAAAAACATTTTATTGAAAAAAACCAAAAATCGAAATTTCGGGCTTACGCGTTTTCCGGCGATATCACAATTTCGGGATGCGGCGGCGCCGTTTTATCGTCGTCCATCATCAAGTTGCGCCACCAAGACGATGCTTTTCTGAAATGTTGAAAAAAAATTCTTTTTCATTTTTAATTTCGCCCAATTGCAATTCTAATAAACTACAGGGACCGGACCCATTTGAAAGCTAAAACCAAAAACAAAATGTTCCATGTTTGATGGGGGGGGGGGTGATCATCAACAAATCACTAATAATCGTCTTGAGATCATATGCGAGAATATGGGAGGCAGAGGGGGGGGTCGGAAATAAGGGACAGCGAAACACCACACGAGTCATTGGAGACGTCCGATTCTGTGTGATACGATGAAATCGTGAGTGGGACAAATCCATACGAGGAATGGTGATATGTTCATCCGAAATTCCATTCCTCAAATCCCTCATCACGAAAATTTCGATAACAATTTTGTGTGTGTGGGTGACGAAATGAGAACAACAACAACAACAACAAAAAAATAATAAATCAATCAATACAATGTCATCATGCCCTTAACAGGCAGGATATTTGTCGGGCTGGTGAAATTCGGTCCCCCCTCTCTCTCTCGCGTGTTTTCCACCATTATCACCTATTTTCGCACTAATACTCGATAACACACGATTTGCGCAAAATTGGACCCCTTTAAACAAAATTCAAACAACATTTTTTTAAACCTAATCCAATGTGTGCAATTTTGCGTTCGTGTGCTCACAGACCAAAACAAATTGAGAACAATTTTTGGCTGCTCATGTAGGTTTTCAATGGTCCTTAATTCAAAAATGCAATGATCTTGTCATTGAAAATTTGTGTGCAATTCTGCGTTCGCGTGTTTACAGACCGCTTCAAAAATTTGTGTGCCATATAGGCAACATCTTCAACAAAAAAATGGTTTGGAATGCTTGATTTAAAGGCGCATAGTAGAGCAAAAATGGTAATTCTATTGAAATCTTGGAGACTCGGAAATACTAGACGAATATCGTCCAACTAGAGTAGTTCAAAACCAGCTCACCTGAATACCAGACGCATACAAATAGAGGGAAAGCTCTTTTCCTTTTTTCTCCGATTAAGATGAAGCTGATATGAAGAGCACAATCAACTCGACAATTAAGTGAATCCGCCCCCCCTCTAAGTGTCCCGACACTCATTAGCTCGATGTCATTTCCGTGTTTGTACATACAAGCTTCTCATCGGTCATCATTCAATATTTGATCAAATTTATTTGAGCTTCTTCTTTTTGAGAGTTTGATTTTCGGACGTTTGGGACCATTGTAGATCAAAAACAAAAGACAAACTCACTTGATAAGCAATAGCTGAAATATCTTGACAATCATCGAGTGGATGATTGTCTGACGCGCGCTCGTCGTGTTATTAATCATAACTGGAAAGCTCGGCCGATCAACAAACAGGTAAACAACATACAACACGCCGAGGGGGAGTGGAATCGATGACGACGACGACGACGCTTATTCATACTGTACGAACTCAAAAAAAAATTGAGAAGCGTCGGCGTTGTCTTTCAAAAAAAAAAAACAGCGACGCAGAAAATTTCGAAATTGAATTCATTATGCACGCGTTTTCAATAAGAGAAAACCGAATGATTCATAAATTAAAAAAAAAAGAAAGAGCGAAGTTTTTTTGGTTTGTTGCTGTCTTACTTGAATGATGAAAATCGAGCATTCTAGAAAGGCGCACACGGTATTTGGGCAATTTGCCCCGCATTTCGACAATATGCAATAAATCAGGATTGTCGTTTCGGGACCTGTCCGACTCCTTTTTTTATCAGTCTTGATCAAATATTGAAGGATCACTCGTTTGTCGTGATTAAGCTTCGATAGACAGATGGTGCGCTGTGTTGCACTTGTAATCAAATTATAGCGCGCATGGAGAGCGGCGCAATAGCGCAGTGGCGAGCGTTTTGCCTCGTAATCGTTTAGTTCGTGGGTTCGACCCCGCTCGGGAGGGTCTGCGGCTCCTTCCACTTTTTATATACATATAATAATGAGAATCATTTCTTTAAAGCAATAGCATATTTACCCAGTTATTTTTTCCAAAAAAATCATTTAAAAACCCCCTATTTCAATCTCTTAACAGCAAAAACCCGATCTTTTACTATTCTTTTCTATTTTTAGGTAAAACCTACGGCGACCGCAACGCATACGCAACGCGTCCAATTCTCAGACGCCAAAGTCGGCTTGGCCCAAGCCTGATTCAAAATCGAGCATTCTAGAAGGCCCACCTCAGCCGATTCGCAAATTCGTCTCGGGACCATTAATTATGACTCAGCTCTCTTTAATGAGAGTATCCAGAGAAAAAAAAACTATTATTGAACGCAATTTTTCCTTAATTGAAAGAACAAAAAAAACGAGTTGGGTCTCTTGCGGCGAGTTTGAAAATCTCAAAGCAATTTCCATACAAACCATCGCGTTGAGACCATTTTCGAAATGATGTCGCTCAAATTTGAAGCCATCGCAGAAATGTTTGTTTTCCCGCCATCTCAATGGAGCGCGTTTTGCGCACCCAAAAATCTCCCCTCAATGAGACGAAGCGCGATATTTGTGAGAAGAAAGGAAATAAAATTTTTTGGACGCCCGATTTGATTGATTGTCATCTGACGCCGTCGCGACACATTTCGAACTTCTTTCCGACGTTGATCAATTCCACCAACAAATTGATCGCGTCTCCAGTTGGCAAAGATCAAGTGGAAGGGGGGGGGTTGGGATTGGATTGAAGAGGAATCGCAGAAAAACAAAAAGAAACGAAAACCCACCGATCCTGTTTCGGCGAATCGGGCGTCTCGAAGATCACCACCGACGCCTTCTTCGTTGGCGGCATCGCGTTTTTCACCGGCTCCACCGAGCTCACACGACGCCCAAAACTGAAAGCAAATTTTTGTGAATCTTATATTCTAAACATGCTGCGGACAGTTTTACGGGACGCGCGCAACCAGCATACTCTCTATAGCAATTTGGCGCCGTCAACTCTAACGTTGCGTGTAAACACCGACGTCTACAGTAATCCAAATTTTCCAAAAAATAAAAATATCGAAAATGAGAGTGGAACAACAAAAATGAAACGGTAAAAATATCATCCATTGGAATTCTTATCAATTAGAAGCAAACCAGTTTTTCTTACAACTTCCCCCTAACCTTTTTTTGATCGTCGAATTTTTGAAACCAAAAAAATCAAACAACAGCTATGTTCCTTTAAATTCGCATCATTTCTAATTATGGACCACCCCGGGGGGGGGGGGTCAGATTCTCAATGGTCCCAAAACTCACATCGATTTGGCGGCCGTCGTCTGCATTTCGACGCCCTCGCCCGAATTGCCCTTCTCCGGAGTGTCGCCCATCAGAGCAAATTTGAGACGCTTCTAAAAATCGTGACACAAAGGAAATAATATTTCAAAAAAAAATTGATACACCAAAAAACAGTTATTTAATATCAACAATTTCAAAAAAAAAGTGTGAAGATCAATGACGCAAAAAAAAGAAACAACCGCCCATGGGGTACTGTAGGGCAACCCATTGGTGTTTGCGGACCAGTAGCCCTTAAAGGACTCACTCATCGACAGCAAAAACGTCGAATACCGTATTATGCTATAGTGAGCGAGGACGATGGGGCGCCTCGCCGAATTATTTATATCAAATTTGCGATTTGAATAATTTTGAATAATCGGTTTCCAGAACAATTTTCCCCCTCGCGAAATTGTCGCTCCGCCTCGTTTTCGGGAATGCGAGTCGACAAAAAAAAAGAACAATAATAACAAAAAAAAATTTTTTCGCGATGGGACCCCATCCAAATTAATTTTCCGGTATTTCACTAGACAAAAAAAAAATTGCAAAATTGCTCCTCTCTTGGCGCCAATTCAAAAATTTCGAGAATTTCTCCATTCTATGTGACACTATTTCTAAAATAAAAAGAAAACGGAAGAACGCCCGACAAATAATAAATGATGGGAAGTGAACAAAACACACACCACACATGTGGGTGTCAATTGTGTACTCCAGATGTGTTCATATCAATATTATCAACAAAAAAAAAAAAGATACACACACATAATCACGATCATCTCTGTTTCATTTCAATTGAGAAATTTCGAGTTGCTAAAAAAAATATCATCAAAATCATTTCGATTATTCATTTTTTTTTCGAGGAAGATTTTCCCACCACGGGCGAGGAAAGACGGCCAACCCGTAATCGCGCAAATTTCAGTGGGATGCGTATCTGCAAAAATTCTCATAAACCGTTCTGCCATTTCTTTTTTCTTGCAAAAATCAATTTGTCCCCGAATCGTTCGACTCACATTCGTCAATCCATCGGCAACGATTTGATCATCGCGTTATCCGTCGATTCGTCCTCTTCAAGATGCACATGGGCCCGTCGAGGGGACCTTCAAATATTCATATCTCATTTTCCCCAAAAACCCCCTAATCGGATCACCTATGATAAATATGCTTATTGATCAACGCCGGAATCGATCGCGCCGCTCGCTCCTCCTTCTTCTTTCTCACCATTTTGCGTCGGAATCGCATCGGTTTAATGTACGCCAAATAGTACATAATCTCGAAGAAACACATTATTTTCTCTCATTTTCAACACACAAAAAAACACCTCAAACAAAAGCTCGGCGAATTCCATAAATGTGATGACCGAGAATCCGATCCATAAGCCAATGTTACCGCCAAAGTCGGAGAACAAGTTGACAAGCTGCAAAAACGGAAAACCGGTTTTGAGTTTCGCCGATAATCCCCCATCGTGTTTCAACTTGTTTACCACAAAATTAAAAAAAAAAATAACATTTTTGCATAAATTCAATTGTGCAGCGTAAAGTTCAAACATCCATTCGGCTTACCGTGTAGCCAGCGGTCTCTTTCAGCGACTCGAAATTCAATTGCTCGTAATAAATTTCAATGTAGGCGGTGTTCAGCCGATAGTACTCGGTACACGCTTCCGAGTCATTGAAAATATCGATGACCGCGGGACAATCGGTTCCTGCAAATTTTCAACGCATCGTTTTTTACTATTCTAGCCTACGTGAAATGCAAAATTTATTCGTAAAAATCTATGAGAGATGAAAGTGACATCAAAAAACGTTCAGCGAGCAGTTGAATAGTTATTTACGCGAAACAAAAACAAAATAATGCAGAAAAAATTTTAATAATTTAATTTCATGGGTTACGGTAATCACAGTCCGCAAACACCGATGCATTTGCGATGAACCCTCTTTTTTTGTCATCGCCATCCAAATTTTCTCAATTTTTCTCGCAACTCACCAATTTTGAAATTCACACTAGGCCACGCAGCAGCCGAATAAGCCGTTTCGAAGACTTTCTCGTGGCACGGCTGCCGACATTCGCATTGCTCATGAAGATGATGATAGCCGCCGGCTTCACTTGTCAAATTCGACAAGCATTGACCTAACAAAACAAAAATCAAAAAGAGGATCGCCAATTTTTTCAAAAGGTTTGTAAACGACGAATAAAACAAAAAAAATAATAGTTCATACGATCAGTTTTAGAACGCGCACTACAATGGCGATATTCGTCGGAAGGCAGCGGGAATCTCGGATCGCCGCAACCGCACGTCTGAAGCACTTTGAGCTGGAAACAATTGCGATGGCATCCCTGAAAATTCGCGCGACAATGAAACGAACGCCAATGAGCAAATCGTTTGCCTCCGGCGAGTAATGCTCTTTGTAAATGTACGGCACCGGTCGGTATGTGTCACTGCAATTGCCCCACGGCTCGCTTAGTCGGTGAATTTCCTTCTAAAATCGAGAAATCCAATTTTTTTCAGCTCGTTCAAAAAAAAAAAAACGATACAGTTTTCAGTCCAAAACTGGAAACCGAGCCCGTCGGCGCACTATAGCCAAACGTGTCGGGAAACGGCTCCTGATCTTGCTCATGGACGACAATTCGAACGCCGGCGGCTTCTGTCGTCGGCAAATAATCATTCTGATGGACGTCGAGGAGAAGGCGAAGACCTAAAACCATGCCAATTATAAATTAAAGGCGCATAACGCGAAGCTTCAAAAAAACACCTACCGTACATCGGACCAGCGCGACTATTCTTCAATTCCACCGAATCATTGAAGTTGAACGTATAGCAATTCCCATATTCGGGATCGATGTGCAATTTGAAGTCCCTGAAATCGTTTTTTTTTTTGAAAATCACACCAACAAATAATTGAAGCACCTATCCATATTACAATCTTTGGAATTAAAGGAGCATCGAAGGACAAACTCATTCAGCGTGTAGGACAAATTTCGGCGAGTGTCCATCGGCAGGGCGGCGACAAGAAAGATGAGGTTCTCTTTGGTTTGTGTGGTGATCGCGCCGGCGTCTTTCAGATCCTCAAATTTCGCACCCACGTTCATACGCGTTTCGTCACACCGAAATCATTACCGTATACCCAAAAGCTTCTTCAGTCTCCGTTGTCTCGGTGGTCGGCGGGTCCGTCACCGAGTATATCGTATAATTGTTGGGATTCCACCATCGAATTTCGTCCTAAATTTATTGGGACACTTCTATGAGTCGATTTTGGGCCAAACAACTTTTTTTTTCTTCAACATTTTTGTGTAAAAATGGAAATATTTTCTTTTTCGAAAAAAATTTTTAAAAAATGGTTCAGCTAAAATTTTAAATTTTTCTTTTCTTTTTTTCCTCAACGAAAATTTTTTTCAGAAATTTTAAGAAAAACATTTTTTATGGAATTTGCTCTTTGCATTATAATTAAAAAAAATCAAAAATTTCGAGAGAAAACCTTCGGATGCACCATACAATGATGCGATATCGATTGACACAGGCACGGTTTCGTCGGCGAGCTGTTGGCGCGCAACTCATTCGCGTAGGGACCATCCGGATCGGGACACGTGTTCGATATCGAGCACTCTTTGCACTTCTTCACCGTCCACACCGTCGTCGGATAGCACGGCCAAATCAGACCGCGCGTCACGTCCTCGAAGCACATGCATATCGACGAGTTGACTTCGAGCGGATTCCGATTCGGCACACATTGCTCCATGTTCATGCATGTGCACCGAACGAACACCGGCTGGTATTCGGCGCCTTCGAGCTCCTCCTCGTCGATCGGAAACGCCAACTCGTTTTTGTCTTTTCCGCCGCGCTTCCTGCAATTCGCCAAATCCACCAATCCGACATACCACCACAGAGAGCTGCACGGAACTTAAATTTTCTAAAAACGGAAAGCGGAACAAAACATTTTTTGACGGACCACGGACAACGGAACGCAGAAAAACACGGAAAACGGATTTCCGTGCAGCTCTGATACCACCCCCCCCCAGGCGATGGGAATACTTTCTCAAATTGATCACATCGATTCCGTCTTTCCGAAGGCTCTCGCTCATCATTCTCGCGTTGATCACACGCTCCCAATAATCGAACTAAAAGTAGTGGTCCCTTTTCATTGATGCTTTTTGACGAGACTTACGCCTTCTTTGATCTCCTGATACTGAATCAGTTCGCTATATTTGAACGCGTTCAGATTGCACACAGTGGCGGCGGGAAACGCGGCTGAAAATTTGGCGAAATCATCGAATCGAAAAAAAAGCGGTTTTTTTTTGCCAAAATTACCGGCTTCGAATTGAAGCTGCATTTCGATGATGGTCCGATAGTGAAGGTATTCCGACATGGTCCAATAGGTTTGAATCAAGAAGAGCATCAACGCGCACATGAAGACCGCCAACCAGACCCATCGGCCGAAGAATGAGCAAGTGCTGAAATCATGTGTTCTCAAGAAAAACGGCGAAAAATCGAAACCCGAGGTGCGGAATTCCGTGCGAGCTCGTTCGCTCGCAAAAATCGAACCACAACGATTTGATGGACGTGTAGCGAAAATCCTCTTCGGATTGCGATCGTATCGATTTTCGCGACGAGACGCGACGCGACGAGAACAACGGCGGCACGTGAAGCGACTTCGAGTTGTTCTCGTCGTCGCCATCGTCATCGTCGTCGTCGTCGAAGTGCGCCTGCATGCCGGCGTACGGACCGGCTTCGATGTAGTCGTCGGCGCGATTCGCCATTCGGTCGGCGGCGGCGTGGTGCACGAGATGCTGAAATGATGGAAACGCGAATGAGAGGCAAATAATTATAGGGCTCTTTTTTAGGGGGTGGGGGGACCTTCTTTGGTTTTCTGGCTCGCCGCAATTTTGTTAAAAACAAAAACGAGCAGCCTCAATCACGTCTCCACCAGCTTTTTTTTCAATTTCATGAATAAATTATGATGAGCAAGAAGGAGCTGGGGACCACTATACACACGACTTCGGGTCCATTACACTTCCCGCAAAAGGGGGCCAAAGATTGGCCAGACTGATAACGCGCTTTTCAAAGGACCCATTCGATTGTTGACAAATTGCTACCAATATTGGCGACCCGTAAAAGTGTCGGCAGAACGCTTTTGCTATGCGCCTTTAATCCATCAGAATTGTTTTGTTCCAAAAAAAAAGAACGAATAAAAACTTGGAAGACAATTTGTTTTTATTTTTTCGCGCAAAAACTCACATTCCTCGACAAATCCGACAACGGCATAAGCGGCGACGAAATTAAATAAACAATGGGACCATTAAGCACATATATGGCAAAATATGGACCAGGGCGGGGGGGGGGTCCCAACGAGAAACGACAAAGATCGGCCAACGATAGTGACAAATGTTGGTCACAGCAGCAGCAGCAGCGACATTTTTCGGCGGCGCCGTCGTATCGTCTCCGGGGACAATTTTGGGTCCCATACGTGCGCCATTCAAAGCGCATTACTCTTCATGGTTTTTTTTCTTCTCCTTCCTTTTGTTCGCCTTGAGAAAGACAAGAATACTTCGTCATGGTCCCACACGGAAAATTAGTTTAAAAAATACACATGGCCGAATTGGGGGGGGGGGACCGCAAAAAAAAAAAACTAGGCCATCAAATTTTATTCTGTGAAAATTGCTATGATGCGCCTTCAACAACAATTTCGAGATGGCCGAATTGGTGTGGACGTGGAAGAAATAAAACTAGGCCATCGAAGGAGATAACCGATTTTGAGCAAAACAGAAATAATTGTTTTGCACCAAAATTGAGCCCCCTTTTGTTGTGCCTTCGATAATGGCCGAATTAGCGTGGCCGCGTGAAAAAACCAAAACTAGGCCACCGATTTTAAGCATTTTTTCAACAAAAAAAACGTATTGTAAAGAAACTATCAATTTTGAAATTTGAAAAACTCGCGGTGAGACCACACAACTACATCCCATATCGCGTAAATCGACACCCCGAAAAAAATTCGAAGTCCCTCAATTCAAACCTGGCTCGTCGCGTCGCAAAAGCTAACACTTTTGCGAGCCTTCTGCCGAACACCATCGCGTCGATGCGGCAATGAATAAAACGTCGGCGAGCGTTTCGCGTAGATCATATCAAATGAATGGCGATGGGTGTATCAAGAAAATTGCGCGGCTCGTGCCCGAATCGAATTGTGCGCATCGTCGTCGTCGTCGTCGTCGTCGTCGTCGTCGTCGTCGTCGTCACCACTCCCAATTAGATGAGCATTGTTGACGCCACCACCATTTCGATTGGGTGCAATTCGCCCCCCCCCCCCAACTTCGGTCTCGCAGCACTTTTTCCCCACACAGGCCACTCGTCGGCGATTTTATTCCAAAAACCCATCGACGCTCATTATCGGCGGCATGTTGGCCACGGCCGGCTGCCGGATGTCCGATCGGAAGTGTTCCGTCGCTCGTTTTGCATCGCTGTCTCACCAATTCCCATCGGGGGTCTGGCGAGAAAATTTTTGCGACAACCGACTTTTGACGCGCTTGCACTTGGACAAAATTCGATTCGTCTTTGGACCGCGCAAATCATTTTTAGCAAAAAATAATGTATACAAACTTGAACGGAGAAGAGAAATGTGTTGAAAATTGAAAAAAAAGAACATTTTTGAGGCATTTCCCCCATCTTTCTTAAAGCGGTTTCATGAAAAACAAAACCATAATTGGGTCGTGACAGGAAGAAAATTGCAATTTTTAATTAAAAACTTTAAAAATTACAAAAAAAAGACCTTAAAAATAGTTTTTTTTTGTGATTTTATTTGCGCAACATTTCAATCAATTTGAAGCACTATATTGAGTACTCTGTAATTACAGAAAAATTAATTTTATTTCTTTTGGTAAAATCGGTCAACGCAATGCGCACGCCGTATTCATACTCCCTTGGACACCATGTCCCGACGCCTTGCGGGTTTCGCCGCCATCCATATTTAATATAAGGGAGGCGAAAGCACCACTAATGGAATGGGACAATTCAAAAATTGTCGAAAATATCGCAATAAGATATTTCTATAAAAATAATTTTGAAAGCTAATAAGCCGAAACAACCGTTTTGATTGTTTTTTTTTTTACTGAAATTACTCATTTACTTGTTTTAAAATTAAAATTGATAGAAATGGAATTTCAAAAGAAAAATAATTGAGAAGGCCTAATCAAAAAACGGCCTCTCACCTCATCATCATTGGCTTCAATAAACGTATAGCAGCACGGACGATCGCAAATATGTTGGCGTCGTTTTAAAATCGGCGGTAGCGGCATCATTTTGGCAGCGGCAAATCACCCCCCACCCGAACAAATGGCGTATAAAGGCGATTGGCGGAAATTGCGCATAAATCTCATCAATTTTTACGAAAAAAAATGAAAAATGACGGTTGAGGAGGAGCGAAATTGACTTGCCTTGCTCTCGCGTGTCGCCGAAATGAGCCGACGCGGCGAATCGCTTTTGTATGTCTGAAAATCAATCAATAATTCGCGTTTTTTTTTTCTAGACCACTTACGATTCTCGAGCCACTACTTCCACTCATCTCGTCATTTGATGGCGATTCTGCAAATTGAAAAAATCAAAAAAAAAAAATATTTGCGCGTCAGATCAATTGCAAGTACGCAGTGTTGGCAGCGCGCGTGATTGCACACAAAATTTTGACGGCGTCGCGCCGCGCGATTTGCAATGAAAAACAAAAAACCGAGTGCGAGAGTCGACATGCCAAAATGGCTACCTCCGAAAAAACCGGAAACGCGCGCCCCAACAATAGGTTGGACTTAAAATGGTTGTTGGCTCGAGTTCGACGAAGGACAGAAAAACCCGAAGAGGGTGAGGGAGATGAAGCCGGGCCCCCGTCGACACACCATAAATATCCATCAAAAACAAAAAAAAAAGAAACGAAACAGTGACCAGAACGGACCACTATACGATTTTCTAAATGCGGACCACGAAAAAAAAATTGAGAGGCGCGGCACGGGGGGGGGGGCGCTTCGGAAATGTCCTATAATCCGCTCGTCATTCCGACTACGATTTGGGAAGTGGAAGTGAGGCTCCGGAGAAGATTGGCTCGGAGATGGGACGAGAAAAACAATTTCTCGGTGATCTCGAAATTTTTCAAATCCACATTCAATTCCACCGCGAGACCCATTCGACAATTCTACGCCATGCGTCTTCTCGTTTTCAAAGTTACGGTAACAAATAGAATTTTTCAAAAAAAAAAAAACACAACAAATCGCCTCGCGGTGGTCTTCACAATTTGATTACTGTACATTACAAATTAGAATGTTTCAAAATACAAACCAATAACTGTTTAATATCGTCAATTATACATCATAAATTACATGTTAAAAAATGAATTGATTAACAATTGAAAAACCAGCAAATATTCAAGTATCCGTCTTTTTTTTAGAGTCAGTTATAACTAACTATATTCAGCATCATCAATTCGAACAAAACATATTGAAAAAAAATAGAGACAAATGAACATGATAAACATGAAATTGGATGATAATATTGAAGATGATGAACAGGTTCCAGCCTGCGAGAGGATTCCTATATTAATTATTAATCTCAAATATTATAGTTTTTGCACGGTTAAATATGTATATGTATATATTAGTATTTCAATTAAGTACATTTTGTTTTAGATTGTCAGCAGAGCGAATTCAGAATCGCGTTGATCACATTCGCAATCTCCTTCTTATACGTCTTCTGCTTCTTGAACGTCCTCACGAAATCATCAAACAAATTCTTCGACATCGGACCCGGTATCCATTTGAAGCATTCATTCGCCTCATAAAGGAATGATCGCATCTCAAACAAAATTATATCAAAATTCACAAATCCGAATGCCTATGACTTACATCTTCCGAATCGTTGATCCCAAACCTCGGATTGTTCATCTTGTTCACAATCGCGATGAGATATTGCTCACAGGCTCTCTCAAACAGCTCACCCGTCACCAAATGGTATCCATTTTGCACAAATAGGCCGCTTATCTGAAAATTAAGCAATTTCAGCCAAAATCTCGACACCGATTCTCTCACCACTCCCGGCGCGCAAAATTTCACGTTGCTATATCGTGGCGGCGGCGCCGCAAATCCCGGCGGCTGTTGCGGCAACAGCTGCATCGGCGCCGCCATCGACGATTGCGGCGCGACGTTGCGCTGCGGAATCGGCAACGGACAAAACGAGCGATGCGGAAAGTATTTCGTCGATTCTTTCGCAAACGTGTGAAGCAGAAACGGCGAGTGCACCGTTCGCGCCGCCGTGTTGAAGAACATCAACATGTGCTGAAGGCCGAGCTTCGACGCAATCATGTACAACTTATTGATGTCTTCACCATGCGGCGGGTGTTGACAATAGCGAAGGTAGACCTGTCGGTCTTCCGGCGACGTCAACGCGATCCGATCGAGACCGCGCAATCCCGAGTGGAACGCGTTCAACAAATACGTCGTGTGCAACGGCGTCACAAACTCGTCAGGCGCCATCGGCGGCGGCATTTCGGCCGGCACTTCCGCTGGCACCAATTGCGGCGCCGATTGGCTCTGATGGATTCGCGCCTGATCCGCCGGATACACATACGGACCTTGCGCAGGTTGTCCGTAGTATTGCTGCTGCTGCGGCTGCTGCATGTACGGGTACATGTCGACGCCATTCCTCATCGCGTCCGCCTCCTCCTCGGCGCTCAAATCGATCCAATGATTCATCGCGATGAACAACGCCTTTGTCGGCGCCGTCTGCCGAAACGCCTGCGTGTCCATTGCGGTCAGTCCCGATATCAGCATCTGTCGACTGTCCTCTCGACACTTCTCCAACGCTCTTATGATCTCCTCGTCTTTGAGCGAGTGCGCGTACGGCAAAACGCTGAGCGCCAATCGGCATCCCTCCAATCGCATTTGCATGTCGGCCGACAGCGACGCCTTGTCCGAAATGCCGGCGATTTCGCTCGGCGTGAAATGCGACGTCCACGTCTCGCGAATCATCTCCATCGCCATCGGCCCGACGTCTTGCACCTGCGACGCGATCCAGCTCGCCCAATTGCTATACGTTCGCGTGTTCCAGCTCGGCGAAATTCGATTATGCATTCCCATCGCATAAACCGCAATGATAACAGCGCACAGGTGAAGTTTTCGATGTGTCGAACCTTCAAAACGATCAAATCGTACATAATCAGCGAGAGAAATCAACAAAATCCAATTACCTATTATATTCTGACCCATGGCGAACACCACACTAGACTGAGATCCGCCGGCTTCCGCCAGCACTCGCCTCGCCAACTCGTGCATATGGAACACTTGAGCTTCCGTCGCCGAGCTGATCGGATTCAGCTGATGCACAATTCGTCGCCTGAAATTACATCTAACCCGGTAAAATCTGAACATTCTCATTTCCCCCCAATTCAGCTCACTTCATTTTTTTCTTCTGAACAATCGGATCGCCGTTCGGATAGACGGGACCGTTGAAGTTGGTGATCCACGTCCTCATATTTCGATTCGTCAACCCGTAGGCGTATGGAACCGGCGGGCATTGCGCTTCGGAGCACGACGACGAGCTCGACGACGACGTGCTCTGCATGCCCTCGTCCGAACCGCGATCTTTTTGCGACACCGCCGCCGCCGGACGAGAATTGCCGCCGTACAATTTGCGCAGCTCCTCCTCGTCCATGTCGATCGGCTTCAGTGGCTTCTTCTCCGACGGATCGCGATACGGATAAATCGGGCGCTCGTGGAACTTGTGGTACTTCAGATAGACCGGATCGCGCTCCAAAATGTACGCGGCGTTCGACCAATGGTGCCTTGAAAAAACAAAAAAATACGCATAATCAATCATCCGCAATTCTTACGTGTACATCCGATGAAGCGACGGATCCAAAATCTTATCCAATACCAATCCAAGCTTATCGTCAACATCTTTGTATCTCGCCAACAGAAATATGCACAAATCATTCTTCTGCCGCCGAATCGCCTCGTAGTGAATCGGATACGTCGGCTCGGAGAACGACGGTGTGCTTCCGAGAAGCACGAGAGCCGCGTGAAGGCTCAACTCCTCGTCCTCACGACTCGGACCCTGTCGGCTGTCATCCGTCGACGTCAATGAATCAATCAAGAATTGTCCCAACGATATCGGCGGCACATTGCCGCAACTTCCATTGCCTTTCTCAATGATCAATTTCGCCACGGCGCGCATTTGCTCAAACGGTTTCGTTTTGATTTGAATGCTTCCAAGAATCTGATTCATGATCGCAACGAATTCGGTCTCCTAAAATGCGCAAAACGAAATAATTCGCATAAAATCGTTAACTCTATGCGCCTTTAATTAAAGGCGCACCTAATTATTTTTTTTCAAATAAAAACTCACATAATAATAGATTTTGATTTGTTGGTGTTTCGTCATCACCGGAAACCAATGCGCGGCGAGACCATTCAACAAAAATTCGAACACCTTTTTGTAGGTGCCCGGCGCGTTTCGGAGAACCTTCGCAATGTACAGACAGCGTTCAAGTGTCGCCAAAAACCGATTGCATTTCGCGACGAACGAGTTCTCATTGGACACTCGATCCGAATCCGTGCTCGTCGAATCTTTGTCGTCTTGCGACAACGAGAATTTCGTAAACGATTCCTACGAATGAAATCAAATACAAAAATTGATCATCATCGCACTCACCTGCATTTTTCCCGGCGGCTTCAACGCTTCCGATTGCTCTTTCAGACTTTCCGAGATGTAGTCGATCAAGTTCGTCGCACGCTCAATCGCCTCATCCTTATAGCCATGCGTCGCATACGCTTCGCACTTCAGGAATCTCGTCTCATTCGGATCCAGAGGCCAAAACGCGGCGGCAAGAACTTCGTTGACGTCCATCTCGACGAGATCCGTCACCCCGCGACTCGAGCATGGCTGCTGCTGCTGTTGCTGCTGAACGACATCGCTCTCCTGTCCCGACTCGGTGCTCTCCTCATTCCGCTGATTCTCGTCTCGATCTTTGAACACTCGAAACACCTGCCTCTGATACGGATCGAGAATCGGATCGGCGAAATCGTCGGCCTCGTCATAGCGACGACGATGATTGCGGCTGCGTCGCTTCTTCTTTTTGCTCCTCCTCAATTTCGGCGCCTCCATTTTCACGGTGATCGAGAGATTCGGCGCCTCGACGTCGAAATAAGCGTCGGCGGGTAGGCCGAAATCGATCGAGTTCTCGCAGAGATAGTGGCACATCTGAAGCGCCGGATAGAATCCCGGGAAACAATCGAGCGTGAATCGCATGTTGATCGACGACAATTGTTGGCCGTCGTCATTCTTGATGCCCTGCACCATACATTGCGCCTGATGATTGCTCAGAACCGTCGCGTCGTTGCGCTGATTGAGCTTCTCATTCGTCACACCGCTGATCACACTCCTCAAACGATTCACCGCGGTTCGATGATAGTTCTCAAGGTAAGCGGCGAGCTGGAAAAAACACACACACAACTAATGGCATCGAATCATCGCAACCAAACCTGCGCTCGATAATCCTTTGTCGCGCGCGGATTCATGGCGACGCACCGCCACAAATTCACCACCTCATCGCACATTTGGGCGCAATTGAATTGCGCCAACGTTTGCGTCGGCGCGTACATCTTCGAGTTCGTCACTTGGAACCAATAGCCCGTCTGGAGGAGCTTCGTCTCGTACCACCACAACAACACCTGCGTGTTCGTCAGACATTCGTCGGTGATCGTCCGTAGTAGGGCAACCGAATTGTTGTCATTGCGCGCCAGCATCTCGCGGACCATTTGAAGCAAATTCCACATGCCTGGAAAATATCGCAAAAAAAAAACATTTTGACAATAGGATTGAGCTTCGAATCGAATACCTTCTGGCTCCCTGGCCCGCAGGGGTTTGATTAAACTATTCCATTCGACAGTGGTCGGATGCTGAGTGGTCGATAAATATTGAACGTCGCTGAAGAACAAAAAAATCAAATGCCCCCTCTCAATCTCACAGTTTTTCGCTTACCACGTCACCGAAGGCGTCGGCACACAACTTTTGCACAACAATTTGCGAATATTGTCGGCGATATCCGGAAAATCGTATCTCGGCACCGGATCGTGTCCGCCGTCCGTCGGATCCGGCGCACCGTCGATCTGATTGATTTCGGATTTCGGATCTTTGATCTGATCGATGAGCTTCTGGAATCCCGGAATACACTGCAAAAAAATTGACAAACATTATTTTTTTTTAGAATGGTTCGATGCGTTCCAACTTTTCGCGGAATCTCGTTGATGTGCCATTGAACCAATTTGCGAAGCGCGTAGTCGCTCATCGAATTGATGGCGTCCGCTATCGTTTCACTGGAATTTTTCGAGCATATCGATGAGCTCGCGAAAATCTCGAATTCGACTCACTTGTACTTGATCGTGTTCTTGTGTCGAATTCGATACAAACACAAAGCGACGACGTGTCGACACCATGTCGATTTCAGCGAGCACTCGCACGTGCACTCGACAATTTTGCATCGATCGACTTTGACGTTCACGTGAAAATAGTCTTTGCTCATTTGGGATTCGCTCGACGGAAACCGATTGTTCGGATTCTCCTCGCAGGCGGATAGCACATTGGCGCTTAGAAGGAATCCTGAAAAATTATAAAATCGATGGTCCGCAGAAGTATGGCAAAAACTGAGTTTTCAAACGGAAAAAGTGGAAAAAATAATAATTTAAGGATATTAAGTGAAAAATTTTGACGAAAAATAATTCCAGCAACTCACGAATAGGAAAAAAAAATTGTTTTTTTTTTCTTACATTTTTTATTGCGTGAATAAATCCATTGAAAATGCCGCCAATTTTGATTTTTACAAGAACTTTACGGAAAAAACACAAAAAAATACCAAAAAAAAATATTTTTTGATAACAAAAAAAATATAGTGGCAAAGAGTATGAAAAAAGAAGTGTTTTTTTTTTTTGCTTTTACAAAATTTTCAATGTGGAAATTTGTCAAAACCGATTTTTTTAGTAATTTGGAAAATTTAAAGTCTAAAATTTTCCGGTTTTCCTTTGAAACATTTTGCCTTTTAGAATCGAACAAAATTTTCTCAACAATTCCTCAATTTTCCGGATTGAAAATTTTAAAATTTCCTCAAAATCAAAAAAAAAACAACAACAACAACTAATAATGATTACCAGTTTGCGAGACATCTTTGACGCCACCGACTTGATAAATTCCGGAGCCAAACTCGAATTGATCGCAAGTCCCATTCGCCAGTGTGCTGTACATTCGGATATCATCAGGCGACGTTGGAAAACAATGAATAATGATGGATAGGAAAATCTTCTCCGGTATCGTGTGCGACGGCATTTGAAGTGTCAAATTCTGTAACAACAGAAAAAAAATGACATCACGATTAGAATCGTGTAGGAGGGAAAAAAACGAACCCCAGGTCTCGCGAGACATATATTGTGATACATTTCCTCGAGCTGCTCGAACGACCATTTCTCGGCGCACACTTTGCCGGCGAGCTCGGCGAGCGTCGTCACCGCGTCGCTTTTGTGCGCCACCACCGTGCTCATCGACGCCGACGAGTAGCGTTCGGGTGGAGTCTGGTAACGATAGACGACGCACGACAATCCCGGTTGGATCGCCTCGCCGGACGACGGACACGCGCTCCAATCGCGCCAATTCTGATTCGAGCCGTCGGTTGAGCCGTCGAGCGACACCTGCGAATCATCCTCGAAGCGTTCGGAGTCCTCGAACGACCGTTCGTCGTCGGGCGGCCAAGACATTTGGAATGTCTGCAATTTCCCTTTTTTATTTTAAAACGGAAGATTCATATATGCAAATCGTTGCAGCTTTTTTTTGCCCTCCCTCGGCTTATAAACAGCCGTCGGTGACGGGCTGTACCTGGAAACTCGAAGCGACAAACAAAAACAATTTTCGTAATATTATATTATAAACAAATTTAATCTATTTTTAGAGGATGGAAAATAACACAAAAATAATTTTTTCTTTTTTGGAAAAGCGAGAATTAATTAATTTTTCAGAGAATTTATGCTATCAGGCCAAACATTCGCAAATATAATGAGCATTCAATATAATAAATTTAAAAATATAGTTTTTTGTCGAAAATTAACATTAAAAATTCTTTCTAAAGCTTATGAACCTATTTTTGAATTGAAAATTTTTTAATTCAACGAGGTTAAAAAAATAAAAAAATAGCAACACACATTTTTGCAGAATATGCCCATAATAGAAATAATCGAATATTTCAGTGTCTCGAAATGAAATTGGACCTATTCATACATTAAAAAAAAACACTTTTTGCGATTTCCATTCAAAAGTTATGAAAATTGTCGGCATAAATGGGACGAACATTGAAGGTTGATGCGAAAATTTGAAAGCGTTGTACGCAATAATCGTAAAATTTGAATATGGGCGACAAAAAAGGAATTCAGAGCTGAAACGTTGGAAGTGTAAACAGAGATTTTCAAATAATTCGAATGGAAATACGATTCTCAAAAAGAAATGCGCATATTTTGGGCAATGAAAGACGAGAAAGCTGGAAAATCGCTGGTAATCGTGTGTGTGCGATAGCGCAAAAGCAGGACACTGAATTGATAAGGAAAATGGAAGATGAAGATGGGACAATGGTTTGATGAGAAGAAGAAGAAGGAGAAGAAGCAATCACGAAACAAAAAAAAACTATAATAGCGCAATGTGTGTGCGGGGGGGGGGATGTGTTGCTTTTCGGGCCATTCGCAGAGAGGAAAACGCACTCGGGTTTTTGGTTGGCGGTCGTCGCTGCCCCGCCGGGAGTGATCTCACCGATTCACGCGCTCTTTCCATTCGTCCGGCCCTCCCCACCCGCCATTTGCGCCCCGTTCCTATCGGTGCCTTTCTGGCTGTCCGCGACGTCCCAGCACCGCCGTCCCAGCACTACTCGCGCTTCAGTTCGCTTGAGAGACGCACGCCGGCTAGACGAGACGTTTGAGCGCGACAAACGCGCTCCGCTGCGAAACCGGGTTCGCTGATTATGAAACGGTCGTTGGCGCCAGCTTTAAATTTATGAATTTCGTTTTGCGTTTTTATCAATTTCATAGACATCAATTCGAGTTTCCTTTTTTTATCATTAAACGCGCTTTAGAATACCATAACATCAGAAATTTTAATAGAAATATTATTCAAAACAAAAATTAATTAATTGAAAATTTTATTTCAAAAAATCTAGTATTTTTCTGAAAATGTATCAGGAAAATTCTAAAAAATAAAATTTTCAATTTTCTGAGATATATACATATGTTTAATCATATGATGTTGGGCTCTAATTCTTTTTTTCAATAATCGGATCATTCTCATCATGACGAACAGCCGAAATCCATTAAAATTGCCTCAAATGAAACAAAGTTTTGATTAAAAAGCGATAAGATAAGGAAAAAATACATGGCTGTTCTAAAAATAGAGCGTGCTCGCAATTTTCGTTTTGTGATGTTTGAAAAATGAGGATTTGGATGTGTAACGAGGAATGGAAACCCAATAACATTGAGAATGAAATTAAAAGAAAACGAAAATTTTGGCAACCGCATGAGATATATTTACGACCACTGGAATGGAATTGAAAACCGACATGCGGTCATAAAAGGACAGCTAAAATATGTTTCTAATTAAGCCGATAGCACTATTATCAAAAGACGAGTTCAAAGATCTTAATTTTTGAACAGATAAAAAGTGGTCATTGATTTGAATTTTAAAAAACAATGATAATTTGAAAGGAAAAATTTGAAAATGCGTAAAGTCCGTAATGATTCGCGACGTAAAAATGCACAGTGTTCACTGTACTTTCGTTTTTGCAATTTTTTCGTCTAATTTTCGAGCTTTCATTTAATTTCAAATCGAAATGAATTATTTTTATTTAATTTTCAGTAATGTCAGCGCAAGCACAACGCGGAAAACAGCGGCAACAAACTGAGGAGCAGCAAAAAGAGGCGGATCAGGCGCTCCTTCAGGCGGCCATCGAGGAAAATGAAATGGAGCAGGATGAGAACTTCACCGTCATCGACAAACTCGAATCCACCGGCGTTTCTTCCGGCGACATCGCCAAACTTAAAGAAGCCGGCTATTATACATACGAGGCTCTTGCCTACACGACGAGGAGGGAATTGAGAAACGTGAAAGGAATCAGCGAGCAAAAGGCTGAAAAGATTATGGTAGTTTTTTTGTTTTGAAGCATAAATGACATCGAGAATAATGTGTGTTCTAGAAAGAGGCGATGAAGCACGTGCAAATGGGTTTCACTACCGGCGCCGAGGTGCACATGAAGCGTAGTCAGCTGGTCCAACTTCGGACCGGATCGGCGGCACTCGATCGCCTACTCGGCGGCGGTATTGAAACCGGCAGCATCACCGAAGTCTACGGCGAATATCGAACCGGCAAAACGCAGCTGTGCCATAGTATCGCGGTGCTCTGCCAATTACCAATTGATATGGGCGGCGGCGAGGGAAAATGTATGTATATTGACACGAACGCCACATTTCGGCCCGAGAGAATTATCGCAATTGCTCAAAGGTAAAAGATTCAACTTAAATTGGAAATTTTGGGTTTCTTTAAGGTATAACATGGATAGTGCTCATGTGCTAGAGAATATTGCGGTGGCGCGAGCTTACAACTCTGAGCATTTAATGGCGCTGGTGGTGCGAGCAGGTAATTCCATTTGTTTCGGTTTTCATTTTTCAAAAACTTCAAGGCGCCATGATGTCTGAGAGCCGGTACGCGGCGATGATCGTCGACTGCGCCACATCGCATTTTCGCAACGAGTTCACCGGTCGCGGCGATTTGGCCGAACGCCAAACGCGGCTCGCCGCCTTCCTCAAATGTCTCGCAAAACTCGCCGACGAGTACGGCGTTGCAGTAATCATCACAAATCAGGTAATAATGATAAGGCGATTCAAATCATTTCCGATAAAACTGTACGATTTCGATCATTATCGGCAACTAGTACGATTTTTTAAAATAGCATTTTAACCATTCTAATTAAAATTTTCATATTGCGATCGCGTTCAAAATTTGTTCGCAAAAGATGATCTTGTAAGATCGTTTCGCCCAAAAGTTCAAGAAAAGCGGTTTCCGTTCATTATCTGGCCAATATTTCCGTAGATATGGCTGTGAGAACATGTTTCCGATCCGAAAATCCCGTCTGGACCATCTTTTGATATCGCTTTAAAATGAGACGCGAATTTCCGTGTTGCAGGTGGTTGCACAAGTCGACGGCGGCGCTGGAATGTTTCAGGCGGACGCGAAAAAGCCGATCGGCGGCCACATCATCGCGCACATGTCGACGACACGGTCGGTTTTTTTTTCTCCAATTCACGCCCACTCAATTTTTCCGCGCCATCTCCGCCAAACTTGTTAGTAATCGACAAGTTTTCCAGATTATATCTGCGCAAGGGAAAAGGCGAAAATCGTGTCGCGAAAATGGTTCAGTCGCCGAATCTGCCCGAAGCCGAAGCGACTTACTCGATCACGAATCACGGAATCGAAGACGCGCGCGAAGAATAGAATCTTTTTTCTTCAATTTTATGTGTTTCTTTTTTGTTGCCTTGTGTGAATTTTATCGGGTTGCACCATTTTCGCTAGTTTTACCAGAAAAAAAAAAGAAATATTTTAAATTTCCCATTTTTTCTTTTTTATTTACATTGATTCTCATTCAATATTTTATTTACCTTATTTGCACTATGCTGTTGACGAAATTGAGGGTGAAAAAAAAAACAAAAGTGCAGCTTTTCGTCTCTTTTCATCTCTTCTCCCCACCAACACTTTTCACTTTCGCGCGGCATTTTCACAATCAATCTCCAATCTTATCGATTCGTCATATTTATCGTGTGATTCGTTTCCCAGACCCCCAATTCAATGAGCTTTCGATTTTAGATGTCGTGCTGCTCGACGAACTCATCGCTGTCGGACTTTCAAAATTTGCCGCGCTGCCCGAATCGAGTCGGTTCGATCACGATGATCATTGGTCCGATGTTCAGCGGCAAAACGTAACCAATTATTAATACCCGCACAACTTTGACTCAAAAACCATTTCGCGTTTATTTTTTGTTCAGCACCGAACTTCTCCGATTGCACGAGCGTCAGATAATCGCGAAACGCAATTGCGTTCTAGTCAAATACGCCGGCGACACACGATATGATCCGGATCTTGTCGCGACGCATACCAAGTGAAATTTGTCGTTTCGGACTCGATCATCCAATCGGTTTGATTTCAGACGGACCGGCGACGCGCATACAGTCAAAGCTCATCGCCTCGCCGAGGTCTATGAGGACATTTTCGACAAAAATGTGCAAGTGGTTTCGATAGACGAAGGCCAATTTGTAAGTTCGTTCCGCCTCAAACTAATTGGATTTTGTGCGATTGCAGTTTGATGATCTTGCCGAAACTTGTGAGCAACTTGCAAAGCGCGGAAAAGTCGTCTGCGTCGCCGTGTTGAATGGGACCTTCGAGCGAAAGGTGCCACCCACCCCGCGGCAAAAATTCATTTCTGTTGTGAAATTCCCCAAATTTCAGCCGTTTCCGCAAGTCTCTCTACTCATTCCATACGCCAATGAAATCAAACAGGTGACGGCGATTTGCGTCGAGTGCGGCGCCGAAGCCCACTTCTCATTCCGCTCGACGATGGACAAGAAGATCGAGGTGATCGGCGGCGCCGATACGTATTCAGCGTTATGTCGCGAGTGCTACATGCTCAAGAGTTTTGAGAAAGACGCCGACGAGAAACGACACGAGATGGCGTCGAAGGATGAGAACGAGAATGGCGGAATAATGCTGAAGGCGATGGAATCGGATCAATCCGATGGAACATCGTCGCCGCCGAGAAAGAAGCTCATCTTGAGCAAATCGGCTGTTCCAGAAGCTTATTAAATTATTATTTCTTTTTTTTGACTAACACTTGCTGCAATATGTTCTTGTAATGTTGCCATTCCAGTAACAATACCTCTTGTTCAAAACATTTCTTTCACTCACAGTTCAGAATAAAGATTCTTCTTGAGAAATTACGAAGTCGTAGAAATTGGCGAGAAATGCGATAAAATAAATTCCGACGAAACTTTTTTTCGAATTGGCGATTTCAGCAAAAAGCATCGAAAATGGTATTCTCACCAACCACGCTTTCATTCAAAGCCGGCCGCAAGTTGTTCGGCCATTACACACTTCACGTCCGCGGCCACAACAATTTCAAACTTTATTTTCCAATTTTTATTGTTTGTTTCCGGAATGAATAAGTGTATTGTAGCACTGAGGTAGCCCCTTATTAATTGACCATTATGCAAAATAGTCGTTTTAGCGTTAAATTTTAGATGATTGGGGCAAAAATTGCAAATTCGACAATTTTGGCGATATTGAATAAAGAAAAAACATTATGAGAAGTTATTTGAATCTTGTTAAGCAAGTTCTAAATTATATCTTTTAATATTTTCTAAAATTTCATGAGAAAAAATCGCAAATTTCATAGAGTCACGTAAATTTCCCAAGGAACATCAAAATTCCACCTGTCTACGAGATTTTTCATACCTCATCCTAAACACTCTCTCGCTCAGGCAACTACCACTTGAATAAACTTTAAAAATTTTTCTTTTCAAATTTGTTAATCTCACAATTCAAAATTCAAAAAAAACTACAAAAAAAACTAGAAAAAAATTTAAAAAAAAAAAACTAAAAAACTTGTGTCGATTAGCCTGTCTCGATCGAGTCAGTTGATCTCCTTCGCCACGTAGAGGCTCGACACATGAAGGAGAGGCTCACCAGCATCAGGCCGAAACCTGATGTGGGTCATCGCCGATCCCACCATGGGGACCACCCAAGGACATCCCACAACTATCATCCGAGGATAATAGAAGTAGAAGTGGTTGGGCAAGCCACGTCTGGCTGGGCCCCGGGTCTACTGGTGATATGGTAATGTGGTTTTTGTGCTCTCAGCACAGCAGCTTACTACTAAGTAGTAGCAAGCCACTACAAAGTAGCAAGCTACTATGCCAAGAAGCACGGTCCATGTGCACCCGAAAGGCTGGACATATTGACATAGCTGGCCAATCCACGTCAATATAGGTCAGGGCCAGATGACATCCTAACTAGTATGGAGGACACCCGGTGAAGCAATTTTCTAAAGCATAACCATCCATAACGCCCACCAAGCACTCGAGAGTACTTGAAACGTGGACGTTTGGGTAGGGTTCGATTCCCGGCTACGGAATCAGGGCTGAAGGGCTTGCCAGGCCAATCACCCGAATTTAGGATACGACGGTTAAGCCGCCATCCAGCCAAACGCTTCGGCACTACAGGGGACGGGAAGCCTCGGCGCTTTTGGGGCAAATAGCCGACTACAACTATGAATTGCCGACTACGGCCTAAGGATTGCCGACTACGGCGGATTAAAAAAGAGACTAAAGGACCTTAGGATGTTAGAGACTAATGCTGGGGGGAGGGGGGGGAACGGTGAGTCGATTCACCGGCAGGGTCCTTCCATCGGCGGCAGAAACAGCATCGACGATACCTAAACATACACACGCACACACAAATTAATTAGAATAAAAAAAATAATAAGATTAAAAAACGAAAGGGGAGACCAGTCGTTAGTGGAACGCTTTCCCCGAAAAAGAAGAGATGGTCCCAAACGGTAGGACCGGGAGGAAGTACAGACGTAAGTGGTACGAATGTACGGAGAGAGAGAGGGGAATCCCAAGTGGTGGGATATAGAGGGTGAAGCCGCAAGTGGTACGGCCGGAGGAGAGAAGAGGAAGCCGGCTTTCCCCGAAAAAGAAGAGATGGTCCCAAACGGTAGGACCGGGAGGAAGTACAGACGTAAGTGGTACGAATGTACGGAGAGAGAGAGGGGAATCCCAAGTGGTGGGATATAGAGGGTGAAGCCGCAAGTGGTACGGCCGGAGGAGAGAAGAGGAAGCCGGCTTTCCCCGAAAAAGAAGAGATGGTCCCAAACGGTAGGACCGGGAGGAAGTACAGACGTAAGTGGTACGAATGTACGGAAAGGGGAATCCCAAGTGGTGGGATATAGAGGGTGAAGCCGCAAGTGGTACGGCTGGGGGTAAGTGAATAGAAAAAAAAAGTTAAAAAAAAAATTGAGGCCCGGGCCAAAAACTACCAATTACCAGACGCTGTGCTCCTTCCTCGTCGATTCCTCGAGAAGTCTCCGATTCGATCCACGTGATCCGAATTCCCTGCAATGATTCTAATTATTCTGACAGATTGCTTCTCCTTCTTCACCTTTTGAATGCGTTTTCTCGCTCTACTCGATGCCCCGGGCAGCATCGACCTTTCGCCATCTCCCTTTCTTGCTCCTCATCACGTGACACGTCTACTCATGAATGTGGGTTTAACGTCAGCCTGGACGCGACACTGCAGTAGGGTTAGTACTGGCTGACGGAGCCGCACCAGTCGAGAATCCCCGACACTTTCGACATGTCACATCAGAGGAGCTCCAATGGGACACGACTGTGGCTCTCATTGGATCTGCAATATGAGGAATTGAAAAAAGAATTGTGATGAAGGCAACATACCGGGTTGATCCTTGGCCACGACGAGCCCGCAGGATAGGCGGGCACGATGAGCCCGCTGAGTTATGTGGGACACGCGGAGCCCGCAGGTTATGCGGGGCACGTGGAGCCCACATAGCTATCCGGGACACGCGGAGCCCGCAGGTTATGCGGGGCGCATGAAGCCCAGATATGCGGGTGGCTCGCAACTCGGAGAGCTGTGAGAATGACCAAATTGCCCATCTCGCCGGCCTTTTATAGTGCCACTGGTGTCGGTTCAGAGTGTGCAATAGAGCGCGTTTGTCAAAATCGAACTGCAAATTGACGCCAAGTGTCCACACATTCTCTCATACTAGCACACTCTCTCCTCTCAGACGGTGACGCGTTTTTCCCAAACGACGCCGTTGTATTGCGGTAGAGCGCACTTGTCTGAGGAAACAAATATTCGTAGGACGGGGCTTCGAAAAATTTTCCAAAAAAAAGAGAGTTCTCTTTTCCGTTTTTCGTCACTTTTAATGTACTTTTTCCCGAGTTTGTTTCATTTTTTATTGTGTGTGTACTGTAGCAAAATTGTCCGCAAACACCATGCACTTATTGTTTTGTGGATTTTCATAATTTTATGAATTAATTTTTAATTTCGACATATTATATATAAATTTAACAGTTTTCAAACCCAGCAAAATATAGAGCAAGTTTTCAAATTTTGGCGTTTCGTTCAGGTAACAACAAGCATTGTGAACCCAAACTATTCTGACGCGTCAATTATTTCGATTTAAAAATTTTTTATGCATTTCAGGAATTTTCAGATATTAAATTAATTGCTTTTGTTAAGATAGTTCGAAAATCGTTAAGCAGCCTGACACGACCGATTGGAATTCGCTGAAAATCCTCATCAAATTCTAGGCCCCTAAAAAAAATCGTCATCAAAAAAATATTTGCGCATTGTTTTCCATCTATTTATTCCATTGTTGTTTCGTCATCGATAATGAAATTGAAAATTCATCGTTTCCCCAATATTTCTTTGTTTCAGCATGGCTCAAAGCTCCTGAATTCCGGAATTCCTGAATTTGTGCCGAGATCCAAATTTTGTGCCATATTCTCCCGTCTTCCCGTTTTCTTGTCGAATCGCCGCTCAATGGGATCCCAGCGCGATTATTCCGTCGACTATTAGTCGAAGGAAATTCCTTTTACTTCCCGTAAACGTAAGTTCATTTTTTTGCGTATTGTTTAAAATCACACGCAAACACTAGTATGTAGCTGGGAATAATTTCAAGGAAAACCAAATTTAGTACAAATGCACATTTTTTCACAAACTGTTTAAACATTTTTAGTTAAATTGAAAATTCAAATTGTACTTATTTTTGACCATATTTAGTTTTCTCTAGAACACCATAATCGTGCCAGAGATGAAAAATGCAAAAGTTACAAAGATTTGGTTACAAACCAACGCGGAATTGGTCGTAGATAGTTCGGCTTCAAAACAACAAGCCCGGAAAATTTTGATTCAAAAAATGCAAAAGTCCAAGGGTCAGGTGATTGCTGATGGGGTGTTTTCATCACTCGGTGCAAACGAAATGCTCCAGTTCGGACGATAGCGCTCGATTGGTCGCCGACACACTCCCGAACTGGGACCGATAGGTTCCCACTGGTACAGTTCGGGCGATAGCGTTCAATCGGTGGCAGGCGGACTTCCGAACTGCGGCCAATTTGCATCCAATTGGGAGCAGGGTTTTTTAGCGGTTGACTCCAGTTCGGGCGTGAGCACCCGAACGGGAGCCAGACAGACATTCACTACAGTTAACTAACGACTCCAGTTTGGACAACATTGCCCAATCTGGCGTCGACGCATGTCCGAACTGAAGCGGGTAGCCAAATTTGCGCCCGAACGGGAGCAGTCAATGGTGTGCCGCAGCAATTCAAAATAGCGCGCCGCGGAATTGTCGCGTCGCGGTTGTTTTTTTTTTTCGAAATGGCGTCTTTTATTTTTAACACTTTTATTGCTTTTTTTCGATCATTTCTCGAGCTTTTTTCGTAATTTTTTTTCTAAAACTTAAGAAAATGCGTATCTATCAATTCGCTCGTATTTTAGTGGAACGTTTCTGTTTTTTTTTATTAAACTTTCGCGTCTTTTTGTTATCCTAAATTTTTAACTGAAACTTTTGGGCATTTTCATTGTCTTTTCTAAGAAAAAAGTAGTTTTCAGACACATTTGTATTGATTTTGGCCATTAAAAGCCAGAAACACATTTGTGGATGGTTTTCAATACAATAATGATGTTATATTTAGAGAACTTTTAAAGTTTTATTATAACGGTAAAAGTTCGATAAGTGAATAGAAATTGATTTTAAATTTGCGCATTATTTCTTGTCGTTTTTCGCAATTCCAATATCTTTCAAACACTTATAATTTAGAAATGAGATGGCAAGCTGCGATGCTGATTTCTGATTCTGGATGCGACACAGGATGAGTTTGCTATATGCTTACTGGAGGACCGACTAGTTTTTTTTGGAATTAAATATTGAGTAAGTGTTATAAAATATGGATGCTATCATCAATTAACCCTTGTTTTACAGAATGAAACTACAAGCTGCTAACTGCTTCAACCTAGACCCAGCTTCTCATAATGCGATGACCTAGGAAACTTCGCAAATGGATAAAATGTCAAGAGTCATGGGGAAGAAGAATTTGTATTCCCTTCCTGTTGTAAGATGGTTTAATACATTTATTAATTGTATTTAATTGTCGCAAAATTGCGGAAAATTACAAAGTGCCAAAAATTGAAGGAGATGTCTTGGTGCAAAACTAAATGTGTAGATATACGGACAAAATATAAGTATTGAGGCTCATGCCGTGGGCCAAGACATTTCTCATTTTTTGGCATTTAGTTTATTATCCGATTTCCGCGACAGTAATTCCTCGAACCCTCTTTTAATGTTCCCTCTCCCTCCCATTTTCTTCCTCTTTACTCGATAATTAATATTTTTCCTTCGATATCTATTATTTTCTTTTATTATTTGATTTAAATAAATCTAATGCATCCAAATTGTAGCGAATACACAAAAAGAATAAAATTTGACTGGAGCCGACTGGGCGTAATCTGGCGTCAGTTCGAACGAGAATCTGGCGTGACACTGATTAAGCGCGACGCAAGCACAATGGAAGCATTGTGGGAAATCTGTGGAACGGAAGCATAATGCTTCCATATAGGAAGCATAATGTAATTCTTAGTGGCTGTGGAAGAATTATGGGACGAATATGGATGGAATGAAAACGGGATGAATATGCTTCCGGTGTTTGCGAGCCGTGGAACAAATATGGATGGAATATGGATAAAATAATCATATGTCAATAAACATTATACAATTGGCGTCTGGACGGCAGACCAAGACAATTTCTAGAAAAATCAATACAAAAAACTTATGCTATCATATAAACAATGAAAATTTGAAAATTACATGATACACAACATACGAAATTTAGCTTCTACCATTTAATGACTTATGCTACTCAGATTTATGTTAATTCAGTCAACTGTTCCTTACTTTGTTTAAAGATTGCCAACTACAATTTAGTCGTATTAATATATTTTTGCCGGTTTTTCCGAAATTGGCATCGCAAACTACTCACAATTTGCTCCAAACTGGTAGCAGACGCGCGTAGAAGAGGCGTGCCGCAGCATTGCAAAACCGTGCGCCGCTTTGCACAATGCGGCCACGCCTCACATTTTCGAAATTCGTTTTCAAAATTTTTGTCCTTTTGCTTTTTCTCAATGAATTTTCAAGATTTTTTGTGTTTTTTTTTTTGTCAAAAATTAAAGAATTTTTTTCAAAATTAAAGGAAAAATGTTTTTAAAAAATAAAGGAAAAATTTTCATGTTTATCATCAAAATCGAAACCAAAAATAAATTGATAGCATTCGAAAATTTTAAAATCGATACGATGTTTTCAAATCGTTTCCGACACTTTTAAAATCGAATTTAAATATTTTCTCAATCGAATTGTGTTTAATTTCTCATCGAATCCGTTTTATTTTTATTTACTTTAACATATTTTTTATTATCGCTCGCTTTTTTCTTTTAATAAAACATAATGTTTTGAAATTTTTTACAGATGAAGACAAGATCGAGAGTGTTGTCAGATATAACTGAAACTGCTCTAGAAGTCAATAACAAAGAACCAGAAGTCCCTAACATGGAACCAAATTCGCTCGACACTTCAGATCCAGATAGTCCAATTTACTCGCCAACTCAGCAAAAAAATTTTTCTCCACAGTCCTCACAAACAACAAAATCAACGCCAATTCCTAAACCTTCGTACGCGCAATTTGTAAGTTGTTATCATCAAAAATTGGCCTGTTCGACTCCAGAAATGGTTTCAATTATAAAAATATGCGCAATGAAGTCTTTATAAAGTACTTCCTAAGTTTAAAGCTTGTTGATTATTTGGTTCCAATCAGGGCTGTGCGGCAATGGAATTGCCGATTGCCGAAATTGCCGGTTTTTCAAATTGCCGAAGAAAATTTCGATCGGTAATTTGCCATTAGCCGGATCGCCGAAATTTCCGATTGCCGTACAGCCTTCGTACCAATATCATTCAGTGGCATTTATCTTTTTAAGTGGGGCTCTAGTACAGAAGTCGCCAGACGCCGACTATATAAAGATCCTATGCTTTATTGCAAATATCTATATTACAGATGTTCTTATCCATGGCTTTGGGCAACAACCGACAAATGACTTCAAAGCGAAAGCATTACGCATGGTTCGAGAAGTCATGGATAATCTTCTGTAAGATTTTGAACTATGACTATTAATTTATTTATTTGATTAAGCGATAGAATGCGCCAACGACTTCAAAGGAAATTTGGTGTAGCGCCGGAAGCGCTCGCGGCGCAATTAAGGAAGCTGCTTGATTCTACCAGCAACCCTCAGATGTGAGTATTCATATGTCTTTGAAATTTTAACCAAAATGCCTTTTTGCTTCAAATTTTGGAGTTGTTCTTTCTTCCGCCAATTCACTTTTTATTTTGTGCACTAAAGGGTTTCCAAAAATGCAATAAAAATAAATTATTTTTATTTTTAAGAAAATTATTGATGTAAAAAAACTGATTGTATTTTCTCGAAAAATTTAGTTTACGTAACAATGGTTTACAAGTTTTTCAAATTAATAGGCCCATTATAATCGAAGTGTAGCGACTAGGAAAAGTGGAGAAAAGGTAAAAATTCGATAACGGTTTCTTTCTACAAGCGTATATTTGCGAAAAAAGGATAGGTTAAATGTGCATTAGGACTTTTGCCTAATTTCTTAGCAATAGTTGTTGTTTTTAAAAATATCATAACACGGCTTTTTAACCAAGTGTGAACGATATGAATTCTACTTATTACAGCGTCCCGCTCGATGTCAGTACTGACAATGATTCGAATAGTTCGGCAGTTGCCAGTAACTAATGGTTTGATTATATCTTAATTGAAATTCATTTCATTGTTGTTTTTTTTTATTTTAAATTAAATAAATGTGTTAATATGAAATAAATTTTGAATACAGCAATCAAATTGTTTTCTTATTTTCCCATATGGAAGGCATACGGCTCATTCCATATACGAAACACGCGGTTCCGCAAAAAAATGCATCCATTATGCTTCCATATAACTTGCATATAAGATTCCTATGATATCCACAGCCGTTCCACTATGCTTCCATTGTGCCTATGCCGCCGTTTATCTGTGTATTCAATATACCACCTATTATTATGCTGCGGACATGTTTGCGGCTTTCGCTGCACTCTATCCTCAACATGTAAAATTTCGCATGTGTTGTTTTTTTTTTGATTACATTTCAAAAAAAAACCTCAAAAAATTCAGCGATTAATGCGTTCGCCTATAAATTCCTTATTCGGGTCAACTTCACCCCATTGGAAGCCTCGATTGGAAATACAATGATTTGCTTGATCACAGTGGTATTATTAGAATTTTTTTTCGAAAAAAATCTCTATTGATTTCCAGTTTGGCGTCATTCTTTCATCAATTTTCATCGAAAAATACGGGCGTCGCAGTCTTCTGCTCGCCACTTTCACACTTCTCGCCGCCTTCAACGTCATCATTTTCGCGTGTATGCTTCTGTTCGAGACGCATCAAAGCGCGCTGCTCGGCTACGGTGTCGTCGTCGCGATCGGTTTGTTCAATTTGATCTTCTCGGCGGGACCATGTCCGATAGCGTTCTTCATCACCGGCGAGCTCGTCTCGCAGGGAGCCCGAGCGGCCGCGTGCACATGGGTCATCGTGCTGCTCAATTTGATGTGAGCCCACAAAAATTGGTCCGCTTGACACCTTCGATGAATTCAGGCGTTCGATTGTTCTTGTGATCTACAATCCAATCGAAAATCTACTCGGCGGCCCGCTGGCCTACTTCGTGTTGTTCTTCCCGCCGTGTGTGATTTGCGTGGTCCTCATTTATTATTATTTGCCGGAGACGAAAGGAAAAACCGCCGAAGAGGTAATTTTTTTGATTTTTTTTTAAGAAATCGTTTTTTTTTCCAAGATTCTTGAAATTTTTGAAAAATTTTGAAAATTCTTGAAAATTTTGAAAATTTTTGAAAATTCTTAAAATTTTTGAAAATTCTTGAAATTTTTGAAAATTCTTGAAAATTTTTGAAAAATTTTGAAAATTCTTGAAATTTTTGAAAATTTTTGAAATTTTTGAAAATTCTTGAAATGTTAGAAAATTTTTGAAAATTCTTGAAATTTTTGAAAATTTTTAAAAATTCTTGGATATTTAGAAAATTCTTGAAAATTCTTGGAAATTTTGAAGATTCTTGAAATTTTTGAAAATTCTTAAAATTCTTGAAAATTCTTGAAAATTTCGAAAATTCTTAAAATTCTTGAAAATTCTTGGAATTTTTGAAAATTCTTGAAAATTCTTGAAATTTTTGAAAATTCTTGAAAATTCTTGAAAATTTCGAAAATTCTTGAAAATTTTTTTCAGGCCGCCGACGATACCAAAAATCTCCCGAAATTGTGTGGAAAATCAAAAGAATAACTATTGATTTCTATATTTTTTTTTCGAAAAATCGCCTTAGCAGCCGATCGCGATAATTTTTCGATTGATAAGCGCGAATTGTTTGCGAAATGTCGCGTTTCATCGACTCGCCGGCGCTTTTTATAGTTTTCAATTGTTTATTATTAATTCAAGGTAATTTGCATAAATATAAATATGATAATTCGAATTTTTTGTTGAATTCCCATTTTTTTTTCGTTTAGGCGTACAAATGGTGCCGACCGCGTCGATTTCGGCGCACGTTTTGGACATTTCCGGCGGCAAACCGGCGGCGGGAATTCAAATTTTAGCCTATTTTCAAGTTGATGATAGTTGGAAGAAAATTGGATCTGAGTGAGTAATTGCGGTAATTTTTCTATTTTGAAAAATTGAAAAATTTGAAACCAAATAGTCCATTTTTTTAGTAGAAACTGCTACTAAAAATATTTGGAAATAGAATTTTTGAAAAAAAATCAAAATTTATAATTTTTATTGAAAATTGGAAGCAAAAAAAATTACAGTACCCATTTAAATTAAAGGCGCGTTCGATAATTCAACAAAATAATTTCAAGCCTAAATTTATTTTATTTTTCCAAATCGTCATAAATTGCCTAAAAATTATTGAAAACGAAAATTTTGGCGAAAAAGAAATTGATGGAAAAATATTCAATTGGATTTATTCAGTTAAAAATCTAATAGAAATTTATTTTTCAGAAAAAAAGGCGGTTTTTTTTTCAATTTTTTTTTTAAATTAATTGTTGAAAAATTAAATGAGGTGGCAAATTAAAATTTCTTTAAAACCTCAAAAATTGATAAATCCAGATCAAAAAGAAAAAATCCGTCGTCAGATTTTGTTCACAATAAATTGTCCGCAGATGCAATCGTTCAAATCCATTAATATTCAGATTCACTCAAACCAACGGCCGCGTCGATTGGGTCTCGCCGAACGTTCCGCTCGAATCTGGAACCTATCGCCTCGTCTATCTAACCAAACCATACTACAATCAGCAGGGCATCGACACCTTCTATCCGTACGTGGAAGTGATATTCGAAGTCAAAGACGCCACTCAACATTACCATGTGCCTTTAACATTGAGCCCGTGGGGATATTCGACCTATCGCGGTTCTTGATCTACCAATTTTTTGTCATAAATATTCAAGAATTCAATTTGGTCACCTTCAGACATATACACATGATTTATATGTAATATAGTATAATATAAAAGTGACCATTATAATAGAAATGTGGAGAAGTACGATTGAGACACCGCAAAATCCGGTTGCGTTTTCGCTTATAAAAGCGACTCGCTAACTATAATAACTATACTAACTATTCGATTATTATTGTTATATTGGTTAAATGACGCCGAAATTAATAGGCCCATTATAATCTACTTATTACAGCGTCCCGCTCGATGTCAGTACTGACAATGATTCGAATAGTTCGGCAGTTGCCAGTAACTAATGGTTTGATTATATCTTAATTGAAATTCATTTCATTGTTGTTTTTTTATTTTAAATTAAATAAATGTGTTAATATGAAATAAATTTTGAATACAGCAATCAAATTGTTTTCTTATTTGCCCATATGGAAGGCATACGGCTCATTCCATATACGAAACACGCGGTTCCGCAAAAAAATGCTTCCATTATGCTTCCATATAACTTGCATATAAGATTCCTATGATATCCACAGCCGTTCCACTATGCTTCCATTGTGCCTATGCCGCCGTTTATCTGTGGAATCGGGCCCAATTCGCAACCAATTTGTCGCAGTTTGATAGCAGTCTCACATCGGTTCGGGCGTGAGACTGCTCCCATTCGGGCGTGAATTTTTTTTGAATATTTTTTCGGCCATCCTCAAACAGCCCGCTTTTTTTCTGTTGAAACTCAATGATACCTTATTGAGCCTAGTGGCATTCGTGTCGGTGATTTTACCATCGAGACGCGATTTGAGGAAATCCTCGTAAATCGCCGCCGCCATACTATTCATACCCGACGACAGCGTCGAAAGTGTCGCCGACATGATGCACGAGACGTACAAACCGAAAAGTCCCGGCGTTGGTTCTGCAAAAAAATGGTTTTATTCAGATTTTTCTCAAAAATTCACGTAGAATGTCGCGCGCGAACAATATCGTGATGTGATCGACCTCGACGATCTCGCCGCTCTCGATCGGATTGCAATTGTAGAAGTAGGCGAGCGCGATGAAGCCGACGAACGCGACGATCGAGCAGAGGACGGCGAACGGCGCCAACGTGTACAGTATGATGTTTTGCGCTTGATTGAGCGTCGGCAAACTCGCGTACCTAATAAGGCGAACAAGTGGTTTGACCTTCTATTTTTGTATTAAAATTGTTCGCGAAATTCCCGATCGTGCGTGTATATATACTCGGTGCAATCGATTTGCTCCAGTTCGGACGATAGCGCTCGATTGGTCGCCGACAGACTCCCGAACTGGGACCAATAGATTCCCACTGGTACAGTTCGGGCGATAGCGTTCAATCGACGGCAGGCGCACTTCCGAACTGGAGAGGATTATTTCAACTTCCGAACTGCAGCCAATTTGCATCCAATTGGGAGCAGGGGTTTTTAGCGGTTGACTCCAGTTCGGGCGTGAGCATCCGAACGGGAGCCAGACATTCACTACAGTTAACTAACGACTCCAGTTTGGACAACATTGCCCAATCTGGCGTCGACGCATCTCTGGTAACTCAAAACCAATCTGATCCGACAAAATTCGGCCCCGGAATCAACCTTATCCGATTGGTAATTCTACGAATAAGATTGGAAAATTGTCGTATCCGATTGGTTTTTTTGGGTTTTTTCGGATCCGATTGGTAATTTGTCGTATCCGATTAGATTTTCTTCGAATCCGATTGGTAATTATTTGAATCCGTTTTGTTTTAATATTTCAATTCGAATCGGATTCGACAAATATCCAACCTTATCCGTAGAATTACCAATCGGATCTGACAGAATGAGTTTGCTATATGCTTACTGGAGGACCGAATAGTTTTTTTTGGAACTAAATATTGAGTAAGTGTTATAAAATATGGATGCTATCATCAATTAACCCTTGTTTTACAGAATGAAACTGCAATCTGCTAATTGCTTCAACCTAAGACCCAGCTTCTCATAATGCGTAGACCTAGGAAACTTCACAAATGGAGGAAATGTCAAGAGTCATGGGGAAGAAGAATTTGTATCCCCTTCCTGTTGTAAGAAGGTTTAAGACATTTATTAATTGTATTTAATTGTCGCAAAATTGCGGAAAATTACAAAGTGCCAAAAATTGAAGGAGATGTCTTGGTGCAAAACTAAATGTGTAGATATACGGACAAAATATAAGTATTGAGGCTCATGCCGTGGGCCAAGACATTTCTCATTTTTGGCGTTTAGTTTATTTTCCGATTTCCGCGACAGTAATTCCTCGAATCCGCTTTTAATGTTCCCTATCCCTCCTTATTTTATTTGATTTATATAAATCTAATGCATCCAAATTGTAGCGAATACACAAAAAGAATAAAACTTGACTGGAGCCGACTGGGCGTAATCTGGCGTCAGTTCGAACGAGAATCTGGCGTGAATCGGGCCCAATTCGCAACCAATTTGTCGCAGTTTGATAGCAGTCTCACATCGGTTCGGGCGTGAGACTGCTCCCATTCGGGCGTGAATTGTCCCCGTTCGGACGTGAAACTGCGCCCCCTCCGACGTCGAGCGAGAGCAGTTTTACATTCGAACGGGAGCAGTCCCACGTCCGAACTGGAGCATTTCGTTTGCACCGAGTCATGATAACCCACCAACTCCGGACCAATTAGACATTTTGAACGAAAACGCGTCGCGTTTACATACCCCCTCATTATATTGCTGCAGACACTTCGCGGGTTTCGCCGACCGCTATCGTTTGTACACGAAATTTCGCAATACTTCCGTTTTCATTTTTGAGAAAATCGTACGCTCGTCCAAATACATGAACATATTTGAAATTCGTGTTGTTGGCGGGAAATTCAAATTCGCAAAAGGGATAATTTTCAATGCCCCAAAAAAGAAAAAAATTTTTTTGGGGTATTCCAAAGAGACCGAAGGTCCCATGAATTTCGATCCGATCGACCTTCTAGAGCCCGTTTTTACTGGTCCGAAAATAGATATTTTTTTTCTTCCAAATATAATATTTATTTTCAAATTTAGACGAAATCGGCGGCATCGCGGAATTTGTTAATCTGGTATTGCGTCTGAAATGAAAATTTTTTCCCATGTCGAAAAATGCAAAAAAAATCTAAGTCATTAAATTTTAAAGGCGCACACGAAAAAATTTTTTTATTTTCTGTCTTTTTTTAGAAGAAATGATTCTGTTTTTTAGAAGAAATGATTCTCGCTATAAGAAGCATTTTGTCTATGCGCCTTTAATAGACAAAAAAACAAATTAGGAATTGTAATCGAAAAATTTGGATTAAAAAAATAAGGTAGTTGCGATTAAAGGCGCATATACAAATTTTCAGGATTCTTGCAGCGATTTAATTTTTCCAAAAAAAAACTCGCTATATTGTAGGCTTCCAAAAACGTGGCCGTGGCCGAGGTTTTTCGGATTTTTCTTCCAGCATTTTTTTTTCGCGAAATCTGCATAGAGCTAAAAAAATGAATTAAAATTGAATTAAAAAAAAAATCTCGCGAATAAAAATTGCCGCAGCCGCACACCTATCCGAAGCTACAGTAATCTCATCGCGCCGGGACATTTTCGCAGCATTTTTTTGCGCGTTTCTTTGCAAAAAAAAAACGGACCTTGGTCTCTTCGGTAGCCTCAATCGGCGTCTCAAATCCGGGATGTTTGGGCCGCTCATTCTCCGGCGGCGGTTTCCATTCGACGCCGCCGCCATCACTCTTCGTCGGCGGCATAATGTTGGTGGCCGACGCGGCGCGCTTCTGCAAATACTCACAATTGTAAAAATTTTGTGTCAAAAAATGTTTTTAAAAAAATTTTTCGGGTCTCGCTTACCGGCTTTTCCGACGCTTTTTCCGATTTTTTCGCCGCTTTCGATTTCGACGATTTCCTCGATTTTTTCATCGACACCACCGCGTTTTTGTCGGGCGTCGCCGCCTCTTTGGCGTCGTCAATTGGTGTAGGCGGCACCGGAAAAAACGAACAACAACAGAATGGTGATTGATTGGAGATTTGCGCGTAGGCTAAAATGCAGAGTACGCAAACACGCGCGCACGTTTTGAACGACGATTTTTGCAAACAAATTGCGAACCAAAAAATTTTTGTTTTCAATGTGTCGTGGGATTCGGCGTTTTGGTACGCAATGATCTACCGTAATCCGCGCGTTTTCACCAAAAAGAAAAATTCGAAAACGTTGATTTTTGTCACATTGCGAAAATTCGCTACAAGACCCAACTCATTTCCCCCATTATGAGCCTTTAAAGGAGGGCCAGTACAAATTTTTCCAGCAAAAAAAATCTAGTGCAATTTTTGGATTGAAAGTTGCTCGAAAAGAGTTTTTTGAAAACTGTTTTGTTGAATACGCCAATTTAAAGGCGCATGCTTACCTCAACTACCTTCTTCTCGACCGCTGATTCGGTGATCGGCAACATTCGACTCGTGTGATCTGCATATTCGTTTAATTGCCCCCTGAATAATTAGGACCCCCCAATTAGGCGCTTACTATTCTTCTTTTTTGCGCACGAAACAACGAGTGTCAGCCATGAAATTAGAACAACAATTTGAACGAATTTTTCTGCAATTCAAAATTGTTGAGAAAAAAGAAAAAAAAAACAAAAAATCCGTTTTTTTTTCTTCGAATTTCTACCATAGGATAAGTTCGCGTCGAATAATCCCTGCATTATCAATAAATCATAAAATGGGCGCCCATTTGATTTTAATTACACGCCACACGAAATTAATTAATCAATTTATTCAATCAAAGCGTCTTATCGACAATCGGCTTCGTCTGATTCACCGCCTCGCCGGCCGCCTCGATCACCAGCTGACTGAACTCGGTGAAATCGCCGGTGATGCTGAGCATGTCCTCGAGAAGGCTGCCAATTGTGCTCGACAGCTTCTCAGCGGTCCGATCGATGTACTTCTGAACGCCGCCGCCGAATCCCATCATCAGCATGTCGGGTGCGATCTTGGCGACCTTTTCCGTCAATTTCGCCGTGGTCCTCATGATCGTCTTGATGCGATTGACGTATTTTTGCAGCGAGTTCTCAAGGATGATCGAGATGTTGCGAATGTCTTCAATGCAAATGTTCTCCTCGCAGAATTTCGATGAAGTCGCTGGTTTCAATGGGCCTGGAATAATGTGATCTAGGAAATGGATTTTGAGGAATCCTCCTACAATCATTGACCACATGCGTTTTGATCCTTTTGATCTTGGATTTCGCCGAAACCGCCAGCACCATCAGGGCAAAGAACAGCCAGCACGATGAAGAAGCCTTGGACATTCTGGAATATTCTGAATTTGCTGAAAATCACCGTCCCGGTTTTTATACAATTCTGTATGCATTCCAAAAGAATGCATGAATGACACATTTTGTTGGTGGCGTGCCAAGAAGAACAATTGCTCGACGAATTCAAACTACACAATCTAAAAAGGAGAAGCATTTCAGGAATTTCTGACTTCTTGCGGAATTTTGTGACAGAAATTTTAAGAAATTATCGAATCTCAAATTTCCTCTATTCTGGATGTTTAAATCATTGCAAGAAACAATTTTTGGAGAGAGGAGGCAACGAACCCAAAACGTTCTCTTGACAGCTCGCGCACATCACACTCAGCCCACAGATAAACGGCAGCATAGGCACAATGGAAGCATAATGGAACGGCTGTGGATATCATAGGAATCTTATATGCAAGTTATATGGAAGCATAATGGAAGCATTTTTTTGCGGAACCGCGTGTTTCGTATATGGAATGAGCCGTATGCCTTCCATATGGGAAAATAAGAAAACAATTTGATTGCTGTATTCAAAATTTATTTCATATTAACACATTTATTTAATTTAAAATAAAAAAAAACAACAATGAAATGAATTTCAATTAAGATATAATCAAACCATTAGTTACTGGCAACTGCCGAACTATTCGAATCATTGTCAGTACTGACATCGAGCGGGACGCTGTAATAAGTAGAATTCATATCGTTCACACTTGGTTAAAAAGCCGTGTTATGATATTTTTAAAAACAACAACTATTGCTAAGAAATTAGGCAAAAGTCCTAATGCACATTTAACCTATCCTTTTTTCGCAAATATACGCTTGTAGAAAGAAACCGTTATCGAATTTTTACCTTTTCTCCACTTTTCCTAGTCGCTACACTTCGATTATAATGGGCCTATTAATTTGAAAAACTTATAAACCATTGTTACGTAAACTAAATTTTTCGAGAAAATACAATCAGTTTTTTTTACATCAATAATTTTCTTAAAAATAAAAATAATTTATTTTTATTGCATTTTTGGAAACCCTTTAGTGCACAAAATAAAAAGTGAATTGGCGGAAGAAAGAACAACTCCAAAATTTGAAGCAAAAAGGCATTTTGGTTAAAATTTCAATGACATATGAATACTCACATCTGAGGGTTGCTGGTAGAATCAAGCAGCTTCCTTAATTGCGCCGCGAGCGCTTCCGGCGCTACACCAAATTTCCTTTAAAGTCGTTGGCGCATTCTATCGCTTAATTAAATAAATAAATTAATAGTCATAGCTCAAAATCTTACAGAAGATTATCCATGACTTCTCGAACCATGCGTAATGCTTTCGCTTTGAAGTCATTTGTCGGTTGTTGCCCAAAGCCATGGATAAGAACATCTGTAATATAGATATTTGCAATAAAGTATAGGATCTTTATATAGTCGGCGTCTGGCGACTTCTGTACTAGAGCCCCACTTAAAAAGATAAATGCCACTGAATGATATTGGTACGAAGGCTGTACGGCAATCGGAAATTTCGGCGATTCGGCTAATGGCAAATTACCGATCGAAATTTTCTTCGGCAATTTGAAAAACCGACAATTTCGGCAATCGGCAATTCCATTGCCGCACAGCCCTGATTGGAACCAAATAATCAACAAGCTTTAAACTTAGGAAGTACTTTATAAAGACTTCATTGCGCATATTTTTCTAATTGAAACCATTTCTGGAGTCGAACAGGCCAATTTTTGATGATAACAACTTACAAATTGCGCGTACGAAGGTTTAGGAATTGGCGTTGATTTTGTTGTTTGTGAGGACTGTGGAGAAAAATTTTTTTTGCTGAGTTGGCGAGTAAATTGGACTATCTGGATCTGAAGTGTCGAGCGAATTTGGTTCCATGTTAGGGACTTCTGGTTCTTTGTTATTGACTTCTAGAGCAGTTTCAGTTATATCTGACAACACTCTCGATCTTGTCTTCATCTGTAAAAAATTTCAAAACATTATGTTTTATTAAAAGAAAAAAGCGAGCGATAATAAAAAATATGTTAAAGTAAATAAAAATAAAACGGATTCGATGAGAAATTAAACACAATTCGATTGAGAAAATATTTAAATTCGATTTTAAAAGTGTCGGAAACGATTTGAAAACATCGTATCGATTTTAAAATTTTCGAATGATGATAAACATGAAAATGATAAACATGAAAATTTTTCCTTTATTTTTTAAAAACATTTTTCCTTTAATTTTGAAAAAATTCTTTAATTTTTGACAAAAAAAAACACAAAAAATCTTGAAAATTCATTGAGAAAAAGCAAAAGGACAAAAATTTTGAAAACGAATTTCGAAAATGTGAGGCGTGGCCGCATTGTGCAAAGCGGCGCACGGTTTTGCAATGCTGCGGCACGCCTCTTCTACGCGCGTCTGCTACCAGTTTGGAGCAAATTGTGAGTAGTTTGCGATGCCAATTTCGGAAAAACCGGCAAAAATATATTAATACGACTAAATTGTAGTTGGCAATCTTTAAACAAAGTAAGGAACAGTTGACTGAATTAACATAAATCTGAGTAACATAAGTCATTAAATGGTAGAAGCTAAATTTCGTATGTTGTGTATCATGTAATTTTCAAATTTTCATTGTTTATATGATAGCATAAGTTTTTTGTATTGATTTTTCTAGAAATTGTCTTGGTCTGCCGTCCAGACGCCAATTGTATAATGTGTAATGATATATGATTATTTTATCCATATTTCATCCATATTCGTTCCACGGCTCGCAAACACCGGAAGCATATTCATCCCGTTTTCATTCCATCCATATTCGTCCCATATTTCTTCCACAGCCACTAAGAATTACATTATGCTTCCTATATGGAAGCATTATGCTTCCGTTCCACAGATTTCCCACAATACTTCCATTATGCTTGCGTCGCGCTTAATCAGTGCCATCACCGTCGACTGCGAGACGCGGCTCCGCGCGGTTTAAGAGCAAGGAGTGAGCGGAAAATCAATTGTGCATTAAAAATAAAACAATGGTTCAAATTTTGAAGCTTTGAACCCCCTAGTGCCTCAAAACGGCATTGCACAATCAATAGGGGTCCCAATTTAAAAGATCCATATCTCGATAGCCATCAATCACAAATTTCAACAATTTTTCAAAGCGTTTTGGGCTTCATCAAAATTTCTGTCACAAAATTCCGCAAGAAGTCAGAAATTCCTGAAATGCTTCTCCTTTTTAGATTGTGTAGTTTGAATTCGTCGAGCAATTGTTCTTCTTGGCACGCCACCAACAAAATGTGTCATTCATGCATTCTTTTGGAATGCATACAGAATTGTATAAAAACCGGGACGGTGAATTTCAGCAAATTTAGAATATTCCAGAATGTCCAAGGCTTCTTCATCGTGCTGGCTGTTCTTTGCCCTGATGGTGCTGGCGGTTTCGGCGAAATCCAAGATCAAAAAGATCAAAACGCAAGTTGTCAATGATTGTAGGAGGATTCCTCAAAATCCATTTCCTAGATCACATTATTCCAGGTTCGGTTTCGTGTGAGACCAGCGTCTGCGAGAACGACATTCAGGAACTGTCGGAAAACATCGCGGCTTTCGTCGAGGAGCACGCGACGAAAGTGAAGACGCTCACCGACATCGGCATGTATTTGGTGAAGAAGGGCCTGCGGACTCGATCGCAGCGCTTCGTCAAGACGATTCGAGCAGCGGCTCTCGAGCAACTCAAAAAGGTGTTCCGAAAATTCGGCGGCTCGTTCGCCGACATCGCCAACAAATTGTCGTCGCTTCCCGGCGAACTTCCGCGAATCGCCGACAAATTGAAGAACGAGGCCAGCAGCGCTGCTCGAGGTGTGGCGAACGATGGCATTCAGAAGGTCAACGAAACAATCGGAAGTGTTGGACGAGTTGCACACGAGACGTTGAATGAAGGCAAACAGAAGTTGGGCGGAGTTGTCGATAAGATGAAGAAGGAGGCTGGAGGTGTTGTCGATAAGATGAAGAAGGAGGCTGGAGGTGTTGTCGATACGGTGAAGAAGGAGGCTGAAGATGTTCTCGATAAGACGAAGAAGAAGGCTGAAGATATCGGAAAAACGGGCATGGAAATAGTAAAAGACCTTGGAAGTACACTTACTGCTTGGGGTAAATAATAAAAATATAAATGCGATTATATCGATTCATTTTTTTCCCATCAATTTTCTTGTTGAATTCAAATAATTATTATTGTCGATGGTCCACGAATGCTCAAATTCGGTTAAAAAAAAAATTGGCCGCGATGCAATGAGAAGAACGCGCGACTGCGTACCTTGAATACGCGCAAAATTTAAATCTACAACGATTGCATGAAATTGATGGTCCCGATGGCAATTCTCACCGAATTTCGTTAAAATCAATGACGAAGCGCATCAAATAGCGTGGCCGACTTTTTTTGCGCCGGCCGGCCACTGTGAAAAATTGCGGGAATTTGAATTCACTTGCATTTATCAATCCAACTCGGCAATTTTTTGAAGTTCTTCTTCAATTTCTGCATCATTCTAGTTTTGAACTTGAGCCAATTTGGTTGGAAATATATCAATTTACTCGAGAAATTCGATTTTCGTAGAAGCAAATGTTGGTTCATCGAGGAATTTATCTGAAATATTAAATTTAAAACGAAGAACTCACAACAATTAAATTCGTCGTCCATCGGCAATATCTAAATCGGAAAAAATTGATTCAAACTATAATATACAACACATAATATATAGTTACGCTATAACTAGTGTAAATGCCAAAAAAAAACACAAAAATATCAAGCAATAATTCAGGACAATTCATTAAAACTCCGTACATTCGCGTCAACTCGTGTCATGTGTGCAAACACCGAAGTGTGTACCGTACACCCTCAAAATTATAAGCGTGTCTTCGGCGTCTTATAATAAATGTTTCCAGACAAAATTTAGTAAAAAAAAACCAAATTTTTTCAAATAACATAGTTTCGGCATTTTTTTCCTTGATTTTCTAAGCCGCTCATTTCATTTTTTTTTGTTTGGAAGCCAAAAAAATGTTAAGCGTGGCCTCGAATCCAACAAAACCTCGCATTTCTATTGAACGACACCGCATTGACCAGAAAATGTTCGTCGAATCGCAAGAAGGAATCATCGCCGATGGGCGAGACGAAGCGAAAGGCGATCGAGCGAATCTCGACGTTCCCGTGTGCTGCGCCACCGCCAGCGTAAACCCATGAGCCGTCGTTGAGGCGTTGAGTTGACATGTTGCAGTGCTGGATCAAATTCATCGCTCTGTTCGATTTCGTCGCCGCCATCGCTTTAATCGTCTTCTATATAATGTAAGCGTCAAAAATGTTGGCGAATCTCATCGCATACCAATCCGAGATACAAGAAAAAAGAGGATGCCGATAGTCATGTGCTCGAAAGCGTTCTATCATCAGCATTTATCAATGTAGAAAAAAAAATTGGCCGCCAATCAATCATATCCCAATTTAAGGTGTTGAGCGGCTGCTTCATTTCATTCCTATTCTGCCTTCAATCGAAAACCGTCTTCACATTAGTTTCGTTGTGCGCGGTGAGTCCTCCAATCGACACAAATTATGAATATAGCGAGGCAGTCCGTCTCGATGGTGTTCAAAATTCTCGGCTTCATCGTCTTCGTGCTCGCCATCCTACTACCGAATGAGAACGATGACGATTATGAATATTATTATTATGTGAACGTGTTGTCCGAAAACCAACAACTCGCTTGGATGCAATTCGGCGAGGCGTTGTTCTCGACGGTGTTCTCCGTGTGCTTCACCGCCGTCATGTGCAGCGTCGGATGGTGAGATGGCATTTTGACGATTCGGCACAATTGTTCTCGATTTTCAGGTGCGGAAAATATCAATAAAACGACCACCTCTTTTTTTTATGAATAAATTTGTCCTTTTTCATTCGATAATTCGCTGCTCATTCTGGCGTGGCCTAGAAAAATTGTCAGAAAATAGCTTCGGCCACGGCCACATTTAATGAATTTGTTAATTTAATGCAATTGAATTTGATGGATAGGACCGCGGAGCGTCGTACTGCCCTCGTTTTATTCGTTTTCTGAAATAACTTCAAAATGAGCAATTTTAAATTGATTTTTTAGAAAATAAAAATTTTCAGATTTTTTAATTCTAAACTATTTAGTTTGTGCGCCATAAGACCCGGAGATTTCATTTTCGCGAAAAAATTCTTCTGGATACCGTAATTAAAGGCGCATTGATTTTTTTATTATTAGCTTTTCGCGATAAGACCTTATGAAAAAAAATTCAAAAAAAGGGGGAAACAAAAATTTTTTTTGAAAAAAAGACAAGCTTCATAGAATTTATACAATTCCAAATGACACATTTGGAAAAAATTGAATTTAAAAAAATCAATTCACGCAATTCCCCACAAAAAACCCGCCGCATCCCATTTTTCACGTGTCGTGCCGCTTGATTCGGCGAGTATTTCAGATAATCTTGTAATTCGGAGATGACAAGTAGCATCGAGTGAGTTGCGCGAATCAAAAAATCAATCAATTCAATTTTTTCCGTCTAATTAATGCGCTTTTTAAAAAAAATCTGCAAAATAATGCGCGGACGCGAAAACCGTTTTGATGGCCGTGCGACTCGCGGCCGCGGCCACCAAAATTTCTTCTCCTCAAACGCTTCCAGATCTTTCCATCGCAACGCTATCGATTTGTTCGGAGGAGACACGAAGGAGGCGAAAATCGAAAAGTTGAAGACGTTTCTGCCGGAAGCCGCTTCCGGCGATCAGCGAACCGCCATCGAGAACATCACGATGTCGACGTACACGTCGAACGACGGCGGTTTGGCCTACAAGTACACGGTGACGTGGACGGAGCCCACGCGAGCCACACTTCAGAATTGGAGGCAAAAGTATTCGACGATCGACAAGACGATGACGACGACGACGACGACGACGACGTCATCAGCCAACACGTTAACACGACAATCGTCAATGTCGAGAATCAGCAATCGCGGAAGTCAGAAGCATTAAAAACCAAATGAGCATTTCGTTGTTGCAGCCGTCCGCTGCGATGGTCCGTGCCAAAACGAGGTGCCGCTGAGCGACGTCGTCCAGTTCGGCTGCGATCATCTCATCTGCGACGGATGCCTCAAGTCGCAGAAGAGCGCGCCGCTGTTCGACGGCTCGCCGGGCTGCTGCAACGCCGAGTGTGTGCGAATCGCGCGGATCAACGGCGAGAAAATCCGGTGCGGCAAATCGCTCAACGGCGAGCCGTCGATGATATCGGTAAGCTTCATCCATCATCATTCGCCCTGAATGCTAATCATCATAGGTGAGCGGACCGTGGGAGTCGATTCAGATTCATGTGAGCATTTTGAAAATGCTCTATCGCAACGTTGTCAAAACCTATTTGGAATACGAGTTTTCGTCGCAATCGAGGGTCTCGACACTTCCCAAAGTGCTCTACAACTACAAGTGGGTCCCGACGCGATTCGATTGTCAGCCTCGCGTTTCAGAGATGTCCTCCGCGACAGTCGCGTCTATTATTCGACGCGTCGGCCGCACAATCGCGGCGAGCTCAAGCCGATCGCGTTGCTCGACACCAATTTGCGCTTCTACGATTTGATGGACGCCGATGATTCGTATCTGTCCGATTTGTATTTCGTCATCGCCGGCAAAGGCGTCCATTTTTGAAGGCCAATCCGTCTTTTTTTTATTTCTTCCAAATCATCGTCGAAATCGAATGACTAATAAATTTGCAATTGACAATTGAGTTCATTTAAATGTGTGCAACATTGCGTCGGTGTGAAGCACAGACTCGATGCGCGTTTTCTCGGCTTAAAATCTTCTGAAAAAGATCGCGGCAAGACTCAACACAAACTGTATGCACCTTTAAGTATTTTTTGGCCAGCCCTTGACTTTAGATTTCTGGCGTTATTTGGGAATGTTGCTTAAATTTCATAAAATTGAACTAAAAATCGAAAATGGCCGCGGCCGGCAATCACGCGGGCGCGGCCATGAATTTTTTTGCGTTGCGAAAAAAAAAACAAAGTTTTTTTTCTTTCAAAATTAGAAATTGAAGCAAAAAATGAGTTGCGTTTTTGTCCCCCAGAAACCGACTATTCGATGAATATGAAATAAGTGAACTAGTGCTACCGTACACGGTGTGACGTCAGAGAAGCGATGCTGATTTTTGTGTCCAAAATATCAAAATCCAACGTTCTATCAAAAAATTGTTTTTTTTTTTTGTTTTCGACAATGTCGCCTGATCAATGACCGAATTCGACAAATGAGGCGTGCGCGCGCGCGCGGGTTTCGATCTGGGTCTCGCAACGAATCGCGATCTATGCGCTTCAACTTTGATAACCGATTTCGCGATAACCCGATATAAAAAGAGGAAGAAACCATGGAAAAAATTATCAAAAGCGACAAGGTCAAACAAGAAATGTTCAACACACAATTTTTGATGGCCGTCGTTCTCGCCGTGACGATCTGCTGCTTCGTCAACGTCGCCGACGCGCAATGTAAGTGTCACGAATCCAATATTGTTAGTTGGCAATTTTTTCAGGGGGCTACGGCTATCCGGGAATGGGCTACGGCGGCTACGGAATGGGCGGCTATGGAATGGGCGGCTATGGAATGGGCGGCTACGGAATGGGCGGCTACGGAATGCGACGAATGATGATGGGACCAATGATGGGCATGGGCATGTGGGGCAAGAAGTAGACGGAACCCCCCGGCCCGGCCCAGCCCGACGGATATGTGTACATAGTGATGATCTCCGTCTTGCGCATAATCAATCGATAATAAATTCAAATTTTATTTGCTCATCTCGTTCGCCTCGATTTCGTCGTACATTCGCGCGATCTCCCGCTCGAAGTGCTTCGCGATTCGCGCGCGTTTGTTCTTCATCGTCGGCGTCGTCAGACCGTTCTCGACGGTGAACGCGTTCGGCGTCAAATGCACACCGTACACCTGGAATCATTGGAATCACGTCGCAACAAAACCACCACCACCACCGACCCCTTCGTATCGCGGACGCCGATGGAATTCGGTGATGCGGACGAGATGGCGAAGCACGTCTTCGCGAATCTTCTCGTTTCGGCAAAGCTCCTCAAAGAAAAAAAATTGCTGTTTTGTTTGAATTTGCCTTGCTTTTCGACGAAACCTCAAAACTCTGATCGCTGATCTGATATTTGGTTTCCGCGTAATTCCTCAAATGCTGCAATTTGTTCGATTAGGCGATTATTCAACGAGACTCCAAAAAACCAACGGATCCGGCACAACGATCGCCACCAGATGCGCTTTCGTGATGTCGCCGTGAACGTAGATTTGCGAAACGAATCGCGACGCCGTGTACGTCGATTCGATGTCCTCGGGAGCCACGAATTTGCCCTGCAAATAGGAAAATGTGACCTTTGGATCGTCGAATCACACCATATTTGGACCGACGACACCGTCATCCTCACCTGCGCCATTTTGAACACGTTCTTCGCGCGATCCACAATCTCCAGCGAGCCTTGCGGCGTCCATCGCGCAATGTCGCCCGTCTTGAGGAAGCCGTCATCGGTGAACGCCTCGCGCGTCGCCGCCTCATTCTTGAAGTAGCCCTGCGTGATGTTGTAGCCTTTGACGAGCATCTCGCCGCCGTTTTTGTCGGCGTAATAGCCGAGATCGGGCACGTCGCGTAGTTTGACGACGTTGCACGCCGCCGGAATGCCGACGACGCCCGGCGTCGAGTCGCCGGCAATCTGAATCTGCAATCAAACACATCTCATTCATTCATCGACGGTGTTTGTCGCCTACCGAAACGATTCCCGACGTCTCCGTCTGACCGAAACCCTCGAAGAGATTGACGCCGAACGCGCCGCGCACAAATTCCATCTTGTGCGGATCGGATTTCGCGGCGCCGACAACCATATTCTTCAGATTCGGCCCAAGGATCGCCTGGATTTTCGCGAGAATCAGCTTGTCGACCCAAGAATCGCGATCGATCACACCGCTGGAATCATTCGATTATAATCAGTTCAATAGAATTCGCGCGTCTCACGTCTTCGCATATTTCAGATTTTTGTACTTGACGGCCAATTTCAAGACGAGCTTCTTGATTGGCGAATAGCGCAACTCATACATGATCGCCTTGTAGATTTTGTCGATGACTCGCGGCACGGTGGCGAACATCGCCGGCTTCAGCGATTGGACGTCTTCGAGAATGTGTTGCGGCTCGCCGCGAAAGAAGCCGATTCGTCTGAAATGAGCAATCAATCAATGAGATGGTCTCAACGCGAAATTGAAATTCTACCCGCCGCGTGTTAGTGTGATCAGTGTGCAACCTCTCTCATAGATGTGCGCCAATGGAAGATAGCTGAGATTGGAATCCTGGAATAACGAGAGATTGTCGGAATGAGGGGGACGACGCAAATATACCCCGACGTCGAATTTGAAGTCGAACGACGACGTCAAAACGGCGCACATGTTGCCATGCGTGAGAATCACGCCCTTCGGACGTCCGGTGGTGCCCGACGTGAACGAGATCGTCGCGATCGTCTCGGGCGTCGGCACGAGATGCGGCAAATGCTCGTGTTTGCCCAATCGTCGAAACTCGTCGAAATGAAACACGTCGACGTTCTCATTTTTCGCCAACGAGCGCACGTCGTCGCTGACGTCGTTGAATTGGATGATGTGTTTGAGGTTGCGAATTTTCGATTTGTTCTGAAGGAGCACTGTAAAAAAATATACATTATATATTATGAAAGGCTTCCATTCGGGCGGCTTAAATTAAAAATGCAATTTTCGAGGCACTAATTTTCTTGAATATTCGATTTGACGCCTTTTTTGAATATTTAAATTACCGCCTTGGGGTTTGCGTGGAAAAAAAAGCCCCTAAAAAAGGTTTTTTTGTGATTTATGAAGTACAAAATTCGAAATAACACAATTTTCAAAAATTAATTCTAAACAGACAAAATCCTCAAATTGCGCAACAATATTCTTGGCAATTTTTGTGATTTCATCTAAAAATTGAATTAATTAAATTATTTTTTAACGCGTTTTGAAAGAAATCGGCGAAATATTCGAAAAAATTCAAAAAAAAAATGTGAAATGCGGCATGGCCGAATAATTCGCGGCCGCGGGCGGCGGCCACCAACATTAAAGCTGTATGAAATTTATGCGAATTTCAAAAAAAAAATAAAACTTCTCGTCTTGTCTTCCGAATCGGTGAACACCACCGGAATTTCGGTGAGATTCGCAATATAGATCATGTCATCGACGGATATCGTGTCGTAAAACGGAATTGTGACGTTGCTGTAATTGTGAATCGCGATCTCGCTCATCACCCATTCGGGTCGATTCTTCGAGTAAATGCCGATGCGCGTCTCGTCGCCGGTCGGAATGCCGAGAATCCGCAGCGATTTGCCGATTTGATCGGCCAACTCGAACGCGCGTTCATAGCTTATGAATTTCCAGTCGAGAGTCTCGCCGCGCCGTAACCCCAGCATATCTTTCGCGCCGAGTTTCATCCCATTTCGATACTGTAGAGATTACGGTAGCTGATTTTTTTTTGTTGTTGTTGCGATTGCATCATTAACAAACCGCCGAGTAGACTGTAAGAATGCCATCGTCGCTGGTCCTCATGATATCGCGATCGCCAAGCCAAGCGGCCTTTCGAGACCCGTCCTAGATGACAATTGTCACAATCGCACTACTGTTTCGTGTCCCACCTCGAGAACAATCGTCTGATTGTTGAGATCGCATCTCGGCGCGATTTTGCGCGTCCAGAACAGCGTGCGACGAGACGCCGTCGTCGATCGTCTCGCGACAACACCGGCGGCGAGTAGAATGCGTGACGTGACGAGCATATTGTGCTGAATCGAATGTCGATGAGTTGCGTCGAGATAGTCGCCAACCTTTAACAATCGACCACCGAAAAATTTATTAGTTCCGTTTTTTGTTTCTTCCAACAAATTGAAATGCCTATTCTATATATAATTTTTTGGCGTGATGAACTATTAATTTATTTTTCTCTAGTGCTCACAAAGGAAGTGTTTTTTACTTTTAATTAGTTCGCGAAATTCCCTATCAAGTTTGCTATGTCGTTTTTCGCAGAAATTTCAAAAAGTCTAAAATTTCAGATTTGCCCCATGACAATCAGTAGTATACAAAAGGTTGTCACTAGACGGTGATTTTTACCCAATTGACGATTTACATGATTTTTAGCAATTTTCTCTGAAATTGCTCCTGTTCTATATGAAAATCAGTCATTTTTGAAAAAGTGACTTTTTTTTTGGCTGGACGGCCACCCTTTTTGCCCATTTTTAAATTTTGAGACTTTTCAATGTTTTCAATGTTTTTATTGCCTATAAATGAGCTTTTCCCAAAACTTTAAACCTCTGACAAACTACGACCTTCTAGAACTCGTCAAATTATTAAAAATCAAGAATTTCCGTGGAGTCTTTATGCGAGATACTTTGCCGAGTGAAGGAATTAAAGAAAGAGAAGTAGGTATTGTAAATTTAGATTCTTCTAGTGGTAAAGGTACTCACAGGATTTTTTATTCCATAAAATGCACAACTTCAATAAAACATGAAACAGTATATGAAGTATAGTTATTCAGCTATTACAATACGAAAATCACCTTCTTACAAGATGAAACGTGTTTTTTGATACTTTCCAGTTGAAATCAATTGACAATTCCAATTGTTGTATTGCATCCATTCCCAAGATATTGACATTCGCAAAGTGAGCTTTCGAAATGCGACATTCAATATATCTTTCTGGATCCTGAACATTTTAAATTAATCATTTGTGTATATAAAATAAAAACGAACCTGTATAGCAATGTTGTGGAGGTGGTGGCTGAATCCCTGTCCAACGAGTTTTTCAAGCGACTTTACAGTCAAGCAGGTGTAAGGCGAGCCGCAGTCCACGAGAAACCAGACATTGAAGATTTTTGAATTGCCTGCTTCTATAAGTTTTCATTATTATTATAACGTATAGTAGGCTCCAGAAAAAAGTTGAATCATTATATTTACCAACGCTTTGACATACTAAAGGAGCCATCAAACGCAGGTTTCTCCCGTGAACTCGCCCCAAGACTGGGAAAGGCGTGGAAGAAAATGATCCAATTGACAAATTTGCAATGTGGTTAGCAGCTCCAATCTGAGAAAATGGATATTAGATTAAAATATTAAAAATACATCTTACTTCTTCCAAGTCCTTTTCGTCGATGTCGGAAATAAAAACATCGAAATCCTTGTAAGGAATGGCGAGCAACGAATCATCAGATGAAGTGCTCTAAAAAATGATAAATTAATTTAGAAAAAAGGATAACAGTTTTTAATAGATCATAAAGCATAAAAACTCACCTCAATTTCCGATTTTCCAGAGCAGAATGAGTTGAGATCATTGAACTTTGATGGCTTTTTTGTAGAACTTGTCCGAACAGACAGGAGCACTTTTGAAGTGGCTCGCATCAAAACGCCAATCGAACGAGGGATTAACATCTGACATGTCTGGAGTTATTTTACAGTTAGCATAAATTTAAGGCAAAAATGTGAAAGAAAATAAAAGGAAAGAAGGAGAGCATCCCGTGTCCTGCAACAAAAAGAAGGCTTGGACCAGGGTTGTGCGGCAATCGGAAATTTCGGCAATTAAATTTTTTCAACGATAATTCGAAATATAAATACCGAATTTTCACGGTATCCCAAATTATTCAATGCACACTAATTTTTGTTTCGCCGATTTTTTTGATATCAATTTGCCGAAAATATAAATTTCTGCAAATCGGCAATTGCATTGCCACACAGCCCTGGCTTGGACCACGGCGTTCACATTAGTGGGATTCACCTGAAATGAAAACTCAAACTGTGTCAGTGATCGATTGTTGGCGTCATTGTCGCGCAGACGAGTTTTTTAAAAATCGCCAGGTTTTGACTCTTTTTTCAGGTTTTTTGAATTTTTCTCAAATTTTAACAAAAAACGTTTGTTTTCTTCGCAATGCTTTTTTCTATCGAAAAAGCTTTACTATAATTCAATCGGATAAGAATTCAGAGGTCCGCAGTTTTTTAAAGATTTACCTGTAGAAATATTCAAATTTCTTTTCTCTGTTTTTTCACTCTCTCTTTTGTTAATATCATTTCTTTTTTTTTTGTTAATATCATTTCGTTATATAATTAAGGAGTTTTATTCTACAATGACTTTTGGAAATGTGAATATCAAACCAGAGGTTCTATGAATCCTTTGGGAATTCAAAAAATGAGAGATAGAATTATATTCTAATAATTTTTAAAGCAATAAACAAAAATAACCACAATGATGTATATTGAATTTTTGAAATTGAAATGTTGATAAAAGTATTTAATTTTCCTCTTTTCTCTGGTAACTCAAAACCAATCGGATCCGACAAAATTCGGCTCCGAAATTAACCTTATCCGATTGGTAATTCTACGGATAAGATTGTAAAATTGTCGTATCCGATTGGTTTTTTGGGTATTTTCGCATCCGATTGGTAATTCTACGGATAAGATTGGTTTTTTGTCGAATCCGATTCGAATTGAAATATTAAAACAAAACGGATTCGAATAATTACCAATCGGATTCGAAGAAAATCTAATCGGATACGACAAATTACCAATCGGATGCGAAAATACCCAAAAAACCAATCGGATACGACAATTTTACAATCTTATCCGTAGAATTTCCAATCGGATAAGGTTAATTCTAGAGCCGAATTTTGTCGAATCCGATTGGTGTTGAGTTACCAGAGTTGAGGTTTTCAAATATTGTTGAAGTTCTACTGGTGGATCAAGTCCGAAAGAATCGAAGTAATATATTTTATCTTTATTTTTGGAATAACAAACCCAATGAGTACCTTTGTTATTTGAAGAGTCCAAATTTATAATTCCTTCTTCTTTATCTTTTATCTTACTTGGCAAAGTATCTCGCTGTTGGAGCCGTGACCTCGACACGTCACGTGACACACCACGTGGCACACGTTTCATAGGAGCGATATAAAAACCCCTTTTTACGCTCAATAATCAGTTATTCATAGTTGTGTCTAATAAATATTGTTGCGAGGAGCAAGAAAATATGAAGAAAGATATTAGCAATTTAAATCCTGCGGTTACGGTGAATATCACGGTGTTTACACACACACCAGAGTTGGCGCGCAAATACACGAAGTTGTGTTGTTGGATTGTTTTAGGCCCGGACCCGAGTTACTTGATTGGTTTTCGCTGTTGTTTATATTTTCCTACCGTGCTGCTTCATTATTATTTGTATTCACATACTATCCATTCCCCCGACTAGCCATTATTGTTATTATTATCCGTTAACTAATTAAATTGCGCTTCGTTCGTTATTGTTGTCTAACGCTTACTTTAGATAAAGTTTAAATTGTAATTCGAGTTTTCCGACTTACAACAAATATATTCTCTACGTTGGCTCGTTCACAAGGACACAACACTCGCATAAAGACTCCACGGAAATTCTTGATTTTTAATAATTTGACGAGTTCTAGAAGGTCGTAGTTTGTCAGAGGTTTAAAGTTTTTGGAAAAGCTCATTTATAGGCAATAAAAACATTGAAAACATTGAAAAATCTGAAAATTTAAAAATGGGTAAAAAGGGTAAGTGGCCGTCTAGCCAAAAAAAAAGTCACTTTTTCGAAAATGACTGATTTTCATATAGAACAGGAGCAATTTCAGAGAAAATTGACCTGAAATTGCTGAAAATCATGTAAATCGTCAATGGGGTAAAAATCACCGTCTAGTGACAACCTTTTGTATACTACGACAATCCAACTTCTTTCACTTATATCGCGCAGGTCTCACGTCTCCGCAGGCAGCGATGGCGCAGTGGTATGTACGTCGGCTACTGAGAAGTGGCTCGGTAGAACTGATTGGAAACCGCGCGGACACATTTCGGTTACCGCGCGGACGAAAAATGCAGACGCCACGCAGACACCAGGCGGACACCATTTTCCGTCCGCGCGGTGTTCGCATAAGACGTCCGCGCGGTGTTCGCATAAGACGTCCGCGCGGTGTTCACATAGGGCGTCCGCGCGGTGTTCGCATAAGACGTCCGCGCGGTGTTCGGAAGAACCATCCACTTGGTGTCCAAAATGTACTTCCGAAAGATGCTCGAATTAATGGCTAATTGTAAGTACACAAGAAGTAGATAACAATATTTATTTGATTAAATGAAAACAATCAATCAGAAAACATAGATTTACACACATAATCGAGAATTAGGCGAATGCTTGTTCCCTGAAATCATTTTATACGCATTATTGAAATTCAGTTTATGTACCTATCAGATTCAAACACTCAACTCGATAGAGCTACAGTGCTGGCCATAATTCTGTCCAAAACCACATTTTCAGCCTTAACTTTTTTCAAAGTTGTCCGATTGACCTGAAATTTTAACAGAATACACAGAGCAGTCTTTCGACAATTTGTATCTTTTTAAAATTTTTCTTAAGTTTTAAATTTTTTCTCGAGTTTTGGTATTTTTGAATTTTCAGTTTTTTTCTTAATGGCTATTGTAATGTATAAGACGCCTTTAGCAGGTCATAATATTTTGAAAATTGCTCAAAAACATGGTCAAACCTTCTGGCAACAATTTCAGTGCTCAATATCTTCTGTTTATAAAGCACTGAAACGTTATTTCTCAAATGTAACGGTTGTAACGTCAACTAACATTTAGACTCTTGTAACTACAGGGTCGGGCATAATTACCGGTAATTTTTTTGCGCCATGGTGACTCATGATGTCGCGTTTTTTGTGAGCTCACAATTGTTTTCCAGTTGTTTAATGTGTTTTCTATTGTTTTTCCAAGTTTCGGACAAAAATACTAATTTTCTGCCAAATGGTAAAGGCTAGTATCCATCGAGTCACTATTTGCTCGCTATTCGATCAATGAGTCAAAATTCCCTTAATCATCAAGCGCCTCAAACTCCCTCCGAACTAGGGCTGTGCGGCAATCGGAAATTTCGGCCATTCGGCAATTTGCCGATCGAACGTTCTCTTCGGAAATTCGGAAATTTCGGCCAATCGGCAATTCCATTGCCGCACAGCCCTACTCCGAACACCGTTTATTCGACGATTTGCCGATATCAGGAGACTGGAGGACTTGATGACAGGTCTGAGAGAGGAAGAAAAGTTTCTGTTACGACCCTAACTAAGGTGAAAGCCGTTAAGGAACGAGAGAGACGAAACGCTCATCGGAGCCTCACAACGAGGTCTCATGAGATGGGAATGTCCCGAAGGTCGATGACAAGGATTGTCAAAGATAAATTGGGTCTTACCCCATATCGTGTGCGAAAAGAAGCTATTCTCTCTGCCGCCAATAAGCAAAAAAGACGCGGAAAAGGAAAACTTCTTGTGGAGCGCACGCGAGTCGGCGAACATGTGGTGGTTACCGTGTTCTCCGACGAGAAGCTTTTCACAGTCGAGCAAGAATTCAACTCCCAAAATCAAAGGGTTCTTGCTAAGACCTCCCAAGATGCTTGCGGTGGTGGATGCCTACCCAAAACGTCTTCGAGCATCATGCAGAAAGGTGGCCGAGTTGAACAACTTTAGTATTTATATGTTTGTTATTACCCAGATAAACTTTTAGTTGAATCTCAACTTGTTCTGACTTTTACTTTTTGAAATACTTCCGTTTGAACTTCTATCGGTAATTACGCCCGAAACTGTACTTCAAACGAATTTGCATCATCATAGAGAACGATCAGAAGACGGCTGTAACAAAATGGGCTTCATGGACGATGTCCAGTGAAGAAACCATTCTTCAACGCCAAAAACCGATTGGCTCGTGTGATGTGGGCCACAGAGAATTTGAACTCGGGACACCATGAGTGGGCCAAACACATCTGCTCCGACGAAAACAAGTTCATTCTGTTTGGCAGCGATGGTACAAAATGGATTCGTCGACCTATTGGTGCTCGATAATCGCCAAAGTATCAGGTGGCGACTGTGGGGAAATGTATGATACGGAGCTGCTTTTCGGACAAGGCGATGAGCCCTTTGGGACGAATGACTGGCACCATATATAGACCGATTTCAGCACAAACACTATGAGACCATGGGCTCTTCAAAACGTCCGAAGCGGATTTGTTTTCCAACGGGGTAACGATCCAAATCACTCCTCGCTTCATCATCAATTGGTTCGTGATCGTCGTATTGGTGTTATAGAGTGGCTGAGCCAGTCTCCAGACCTTTATCCAATCGAACACATGTGAGAAGAGCTAGAAAGACGTCTTTTTGGAGTTCGTGCCACAAATCCGGTTCAAAAATCTGACCAATTCGAAGCGGCGTGGAAGTCCATCCCGAACAGTGTTTTTGAGGCTCTTCTAGATTTAATGGCAAGAAAATGTCAAGCTGTTATTGACCCAAAAGGCTACGCAACAAAGTACTACTTAGCGTCAAATAATTTTGTGGGTTAATAATAATAATACTGGTATGAGCAATAAAATAATTAAAATTGAGTGCTGCCTCATTTTCTAATTTCTTCAATTTTCAATAAAAATTAAATTGTTTACTACTCACATCTCAGGATTACTGGTAGACTCGATCAGCTCCTTTAATTGTGCATCCAGCGCTTCCGCGACATCTGTAACATAAATATTCGCAATAAAATATGAGACCTTAATAAATACACACAAAGTAGATGATAGACAAATTTTTTCTTTAATTTTTGAAAAAAAAAACACTGAAAAATCTTGAAAACTCATTGTAAAAAAGCAAAATTAAATAAAGTGTTGAAAACGAATTTCGAAAATAGGAGGCGTGGCCGCATTGTGCAAAGTGGCGCACTGTTTCGCAACGCCGCGGCACACCTCTTTTTAATCAGTGTTGTCCAATTGGTTACCGCACATCTCAGCGGTAACCAATCGGAAATCACTTATAGGGGCGAGAGATGCCTGCAGGGCTATACGCCAGACGAGCAGACAAATTTTTCATCGCAGTGTCCGCGCGGACGGGAACTGGTGTCCAATTGGTCAATATCGTCCGCGCGGTTTCCAATCAGTTCTACCGAGGGGTTTCGGGCTCAATCCCATTACTCCATAAAGTTTTTACGCAATCATTATACTTATTTGTGAACGTGTCGCGAATTTTTGGGACCATTTCACGCGTGAAATGCGAAGCGGAAGCACGCGTTGAGAATTTCGACGCCTTCAACCTCAGCGTCCGTCTCTTCATAACAAAATGGCGACGATTATTCGCGCGTGTCTCAAAGAAGAGCTTTGCCAACTCACCGCCGATGCCGATGCCGTCGATGGGATTCTCGATTCGTATATTACGGTACCGTCCCTCTTCTGTATCGAATGAACGAATCGATTCAGACGGACCACGTGTGGAACGACGATACCGACGAAATATTTCGACGCAACGTGTTGGTGCCGCTGAAAAAATTGCGAGTGGCGCTGATTGTCGTCGATTTCCAAAACGATTTCATCACCGGCTCATTGAGCATCAAGGTTTTGTTTTCTTTTTTCTTTTGACGGGACCATCAAAATCGCTCACCTTTTTTCCTTTAACTCCTCTTCTCTATTTTTTTTTTTGAAGGAAGGCGACGCCGAGCATGAGCCGCTTGACGCTCTACCGCATGTGAACAATTTGTTGACAAACTTGAAATGGAATATGATTGTGTATACACAGGTTCTCAGGCTTTATCACACTCACTATTCATTTTTTATACGTGGGGGGACGGAATTCCGAAAAAAAATGTCGGATTTCGCGAAAAAATATAGCATGTGTGGACCATCGCGATTTTTCGTGGCGGCAATTCAAATTTGAATTCAAACAGTGGATTATTGAAGATTCAAGAATTTTAAAATTCCGAATATTCTATCAAATGGTGCTTTAAATTTTTTGTTCGAGTGGCAATAAATTCCCAAATTTCAAGCTTCATCTCTCAGCTTCTCGGGCATCCTAAGACCTCGTGCGATGGACCATTCGATGCGTCTCGACGAGCTCTACACGTCATCTGAATGTCATTTCACGGGATTCATAGGTTTTCACGTCAAAAATTGACATTTTCAAATTTTTTGGGGGAGATGATCCATGGCGGCAATTCAAATAATATTTGTGTGGTTTTGATTTTTTGTGTCCAGGATTGGCATCCATCGAACCACATCTCATTTTTCGAGCACGCTCGAAATCCGGATCGCGAGTTGGCTCCAGAAGACCGAAGCCGCAAACTTCGGCCGTTCGATATTGTGCGCTTCGTCAAGCCGGTGTCGACGATTCAAGTCAGATTAAAAAAAAAGCCGAAACCTACGAAAAAAATATAAGTTGTAGGTATTATATCCAAGTCATTGCATTCAAGGCGGATGGGGGTCACAGTTGCACGCGCAATTGGCGGTCAGTGAGCGCCCACGAGGGGGGGGGTTTTCAATTTACACATCTGCGGACGTTTCGCGGGACACGCCGCACTCGCTTGTGTTGCTGCTGCGGCGGCAATTCAAACCATGGATCCTATTTTTCAGAAAACCATGATCCAAATCAAATGGTCCGATTTTTATTTGTCGGGTTCCAAAAAGAATTTGAATATTCATTTTGTGAAGAAATTGCGAGAAAAAATTTCAAAATTATTTGTCGCCCATGCTGTCTGCGTCTCCTCCCACTGGCGCGCTCTCTCGTCGTCTCTGCGCCCTCTCGATTGAGCGCGCACTATCTCATTACTCACGGCCAGCGATTTCCGGTCGAAAAATGTTTTTTTTCGTGTTGAAAATTCCTGAAAATTTTCGTGACCCAATTTCAAGAAGTCTCTGGGATTTTGGAAAACTCGAAAAAATTTTTTGAAAAAAAAAATTGTTGGCAATTTTTGTCGGAAATTAATAGAAAAATATCATTTTTTTGCACCGATTAAATCGCAAAACAATAATTTTTGTGGAATTTTCCCAATTCCAGCGTGTCGACGGCGCGCAATACATCAAAAAAGGCTACGACGTCTACGTGGACGCCTATAGCGCATTCACAGACAATTGCGGAATCAAGCAGTAAGACCATATTGGGGGAAAAAAATTTGAATTTGAGCAACATCAAAAATTCAGTAGCGAATTGGAGATGACGCTTCGCAAAAACGACATCAACGCAATAATCGCGTGCGGTTTAGCCTATGATATTTGCGTAATGCATACGCTCAAAGACGCCTCCAAAAAGGGCTTTCTAACGTGCATTTTGAGCACTGGAAGGTATCGGAAAATATTTTTTCTTTTTGAGACCAGCCGTTTGCGATGGCATCCATACAGGCAGAAGCCGCGCTGTGTGGCACTTGTTATCAAGTTATAGCCGCAAGTCAGAGTGGCGCAATAGCGCAGTGGCATTTGTTTTGAACTTCTAGAAGTCTAACCATTGAGGTCGCGGGTTCGATCCCCGCTCTGTCGCGAAGTGTCTGCGTCTCACTCCACAACACGCTCTCTCAAAACACAAACCATGATGATTCTTCATTGGAATTCAAATTGCAGCAAAGGATTGTCATCATCAAAAATGGATGAAGCGAACGAGATGTTCCGCAAAAGGGGCATCGCGATTGTTGAAGACGACATGGCCGAATGCATATCAAAGCGCACCGCGTTTCCCATTGAATGGGTAGGCATCACATGTGATGGATTTCGATTCGATCAGTCAACAAACAAAATCAATTTCAGATTCAATATCTCGCGCAGCAGGCTCATCACGAGCTTCACACGAAAAAATCGCAATAATTCAAAAGAAAAATGTTGGAGAGTCGAATTTTTATTGAGAGAATTGAAATTAATGAAAGATGTTGTTGCTGCTTGATTAATGACTATCGATGACAAACGTCGGCTCATCGGCGGGCGTCTCGTTCGACAATTCGACGCGCGTTCGCCGCTGATTGAGAATCGCGCGCAACTCGTCGCCGGTGTGCGTCCGATACTGCAAATCACAAAAAAAAATAATAATTGTCGGAATCATTTCGATGCGAATCGCTCACCCCGCTGCGCTTCTTCTGCACAAGAAGCTGACTGTAGAGGTAGGCGCCCTCGTCGCGTCCGCACGCCTGCTGCAAATTGAGTTTCGACAACGAGAACAGATTCGCGCCGTCTTGGCCGTCGAGCAGATCGATGACGCGCGGCGAGAAGCCCTTCTCCTGAAGCCATCGTCGCACGTCGTCCGGCGACGATTTGTCGTGAATCGCCACACGCGACGTTCGATTGAGTTCGGCGGGTCGCAACGCGCGCGTCTCACTTCGACCGATTGTCGCGTTGAGCTCGCCGACGAGCTCCGTGTTGCCGCGTCGTCGACTAATGTCGAGCGCCGGATGCATCTTTGCCATCGTCGACGATGGTGGCGGCGGCGGCGGCGGCGACGACGTCGCGACGCTCTGAATCAGAAATGTATGGCGCACACGCCGACAGCGATTACCGTCATTTTGCTCTTCTGCTCCCTCAGTAGATCCTCGAATGGCGCGATGGCCGGTGGTGGCGGTGGCGGCGGTGGCGCCGCCACCAATGTTGATGGCACCCGCTCATGTCGAATGTCCACTTGAACACCAGCGTCGGAAATCAGCGGCTGATGATGATTCAAATAGTTGCCGCCTAAATTTCCCCAAAATGTGCAAATGGCGATTTTTTCTTTTTTTCTTTTTTTGACAAAGCTTCAAACAACAACACAACACAGGTAAAATATATTTTATGAATTGATGACAAAAAAACCAAAACAATGATAAAATCACTATAATATAAATATATAATACGTATTTATATCAATAAATATTAGTTCAACTGAAATGCACAGATAAAAAAGAGAGAAAGAGTGGGCGGGGGGTGGGCGTGGGCGTTGGAGAAAGAAACTGTAAATCTGTCATGCAAGTGTTGAGAAGATGAAGAAAAAAAAATAACAAGGCTATACTCAGCAAATCGCAGCTCAATTCAACACTTTCCTCATCTTTTTTTTTTTTTGCAAAATTCATTTTTGGCCTGGGATCTCTGAGTAATTATTTATATCACATCACGTTTGTTGTGCAACTGAAACATGGACACCATAAACAAAGGGATTGGGAGGGATGTCACCAAATTGGCGCAACTCTTGATTATCACACGGTGGGATTGGATTGATAGTGGGTGGGAGGATAGTGAGCACAAGAAAATAGGGAGAGAGAGAAAAAAAAAGTGAGCTACTTAGAGAAGGGGCTGAAGTTATGGCACTTTTTTCGCAAAAAAGAAAACAAAACAAATGGTTTTTGTTTTTCGTTCCAAAAAAAAAAATCGAGTTTTTTCGCTAGAAATAGCGGAATTCACCGCGTTTGCCCTGGCGCTCTTTCACGTACGACGGTGCGTCTTCGGGCAGCATACCTGGCGGATGATTCGAGCTCGCCGTCGCCGATTGACCGTTGTTGTTGGTGGTCGCGTACGAGTTGGTCGCCTGAAAACCCAAATTCGCTGCTTCATTCGAAATTGCCTCAATCCTACCGTGTTATATGGTGGCTGCGGCTGGTGCTCAAGAGGGACCATCGAGAGAATCGTGTGCGGCACATAGCCGACGCGCTGATGCATATTCTTGCACTCCCACCAGTTCTTCTCATCGTACAACACCTATGAGACGGCCGATCAGAGGGCGATTCAATCAAGACGATCAAACCTCGAGATACTCTCCTCGATGCACCGTCAACTCTTTGGCGTTCTGACCGCTTCGATCAAACGTGGCAATCACCAGTTTGCCACCGCGATTGATGACGTCGTCGATGAAGGCCTGCTGTCGCGGCGAGGTGTCCTGATCAATGGCGACTTTCACGTGCGAATAGCCGCCGCCACCTCTCGACGCCATTCTTGGCGACGACGATAGCGGTCTGAAAAAACAATCTCGCCCATTATTGCCGACGACCTATCATCGCCCTACGGATCGTATCGTTTCGAGTTTGACGAGTGCTCCTCTTTCAGCGTCTCCTTCTTGATGAGATCCTTCTCGGCGTTCAGGCGGCGTTTCTCATCTCTACAAAAAAACAACTTTTAAAAAAAAAGATTCGAGTTGAGTACTCGATTTGTTTCTCTTCGGCGCGTAGGCGATTCTCGCGCTCAATGATTTTCGCCTTCTCGAATTCGAGACGTTCGCGTTCAAGCGTCAGACGATCGAGCTCAAGCTGAAACGAAACAACAAAAATGAATGGAATGGAGAAGCTTCGACGAATGGAAATGGGAAGGCATGCAGGAAAAAAAAACTGAAAGACGCTCTCACGACTCACATTATCGACACTCATGTTGCGTTGCGGTCGAGACCTCGGCGTTCTCGCTGTCGAGATCGGCGTATTCGGCGCCTGGAATTGGAAGAAGGAAAGAATAAGAAACAAGGGATAGAACATAGTTGGGAGAACACAATGACAGTGCAGTCATGCAAATTTTTCCTGGTGGGTAGGTTCAAAAAAAAAAAGAACGATCCCCCCCCCTACCGTATCGACGACGTTTCGGTCTCGCGACGACTGACGATAGTGCTCGGGCGGTGCCGATTGGCCGCGATGAAGCGGATTCGGCGTGTTGACGACGCGATCGGCGACACCGTACGGCGCGAAACCGTCCAGAAACACCGGACGATACGGCGGCGGTAGTGGTCCACGCCAGTCTTCTCTGGAAACAATTAAAAAACGTAGATCGAAACCACCGCGTTGGGATCTTACAATGGTGTTCGCCACGCTTCGCCCAAACTCATCCAAATGTCGTTCTCGCGACTAGTCAGACAATTCTGCATGAGCTCGCGCGCTTCGACAGATATCAACGGCGACGTGACACTCGGCGCGATGTTCCGGCCGAGACCCCAATGGCACGATTCGAGGACGACGGAGAGCGGTGTGAACAGAAAATGCAATAGTTCCGGCGCGTTCGGCTCATGAATGTGATTCTTTAAGCGAGCCTAGAACAAACAAAAAATGAAAAAAAAATGGAAATTGGACGACGATAATAGATGGCGTCTTACTAGAAGATTGAACGAGAGTTTGAATTTGCGGAAAATCTCGACGAATTCGGCCTCGATCGGCACTTGGGCCCTCATCAAAAGGATGCCGTTCGGATCGGGACCCGTGTGCTTCTTGCGATTCGCCGTACGATAGCGAATGTTTTGCTGTTCGAGCTCGCGTTGCGCGTAGGCGGCCGATTGGCAACGCGCCACGAATCGCTCGATGTCGTCGAAGCAGCGATTCAGCGTGTTGACGTCGCGCTCGAACATCTCCGACGTCTCGCTGCTAATGCTCGCGTCGTCCGCCGGATACATCGGCATTTCTGGAATCACTTTCTTTTCTTTTTTTTGTGTTGAAATCTTGTTGTCATCACGACGCGCCACCGCCGAGGCAAAACTTAATGCGATTAGGCGGCCTCTTCCCCCCACAGTCAAACGCCGACAACCAAAATAAACAAACCCCCCCTCTCTCTCTCTCTTTCAAAGGAGAAGAAGAAGAACTTACGTTGCTGGAATGGAATCGCCGCCGATTTTCGACGACCATTCTGAACGCGTCGAAATTGTCCGCGAATGTACGCCTGAAGGTCGTCGGCGACATCGGTGGCGCTCACTCGATTACACTAAATGCTCTCAAGTCGATTCAATCGAAAAAAAAACTATCATACCTGGAAGATGTGCATTTCGGTGGGCGTCGCCGTTCGCTTTCGATCCTCTCGAACGATGAACAACAAAATGTTGTTGTAGGTGTCGCGCGGATCATTACTCACGTGGGCTGTCGGTTGCTCGATGAGATCCAAAGCGAATTGCTCGACGAGCTCCTGAAATTTTGGTTTTGTTGAATGGATTTTATTGATGAGCGCTAAAAACAAAAATGACCAACCCCATTCTCGTCTTCAACCGTCACCGCGTTTTGTCGAAAACGCAAAATGAGCGGTTGCGCCCAAATCGCCGAGTTCTTCTCCATCTGCTTCAATTTGCGAATGCCGTCGGCGGCGAACGCGACGCCGAATTGGCGGCCAACGGCGAACGTCGCCAAATGCTCCACAAAATACGATGGTGTCATCTCGTCGATGCGCGGATCATTCAACGACGAATACGGTGCGACGTTTCGATGATGCGAATGATGATGGTCCGAGCGCGGTGTCAACGGCTCGGATCGATAATCGGCGGATCGGCGAACTAAATATGGTTTCAATTATGAATTTTTTCTTGTTCACCTTCACCACCAACCTATTGGCTGCGACATTGGTGCACGTTGCTGCGAGTGTTGGCTATGCGAAGGCGATGGAATCGGCTGTGCGGCGGCGCTGGATCGCGAATAGTAGTAGCCAGGTGACCCGCGGCTGAAAATAATTTTTTAAAATAAATATTTGAAGCAAAAAAAAACGTAACAATCAAATTCGTGGTCTCGCCACGAAAAAGCAAGCGTAGTAACGCGGTGCAAGTGTGTGCATTTTGTATGTGTCTATTGATATGAAGGCAACCATCCTTATCAATTTCGAAAATGCGCGTACACATGCATTCATATGTATATATATATATATATATACATAAATGCCAAAATTTTTCGCGACAAAATTTCAAAACGCGTAGTAAAATGAGTTGTACGACGACGGCGACACACTATCAGAAGATTGTCGCCAGCGGCGCCTCTTTGGTCGAAGCTTATCAACAACAAAAAAATTTTCTAACGTAGAATGGAATTTTAATTTTCTTCATTGGTGTGATGGCGAGAAAAAGCGGACTCAACAAAAAAAAAAACAAAATAAAAAAAATTGGTTTTGAGTGTGACGCGCAGTTGAGTGCGGTTCACCGACACGCAAAAATGCACACACTTTGTGGAAATTATTGAAAGAAAAATGAATTTTCAAACGCCTCATATCAGCCGAATGACGATATCAGGGCGAGAAGAAATTTTTAGAGAACAATGCCAAATTTTTTAATTGCTCTCAAGTTTTGGTCAACAACCAATACACATAAGAAAAAAATTTTTCCATGATATAAAAAATTAAATTACCTTTGATATTGATCCGGTGGACCAACCGAGCCGCCTCTTCTAATCATTCTTGATTGTTGTTGTTGTTGTTGTTTACTTGTTTATTGTTTACGCCGAATAAATGCGCATGAGAAGCCCTGCAACCAAAACAAGAAGCATTTGATGGATTCATAATAAACATTCGTTGGAATTCGTGGCCAATTCAAATTGAGACATTTATCAACGAGGAAAAAAAAAATAATCGGCAAGAAAACGGGTTGCTGCTGCCGACAACGTTCCGGGCCGGGGGGCCGGGAAGGGCGGGGCAAGGATATCGATCAATAATATGCAATTTGTTGTCGAATCGGATTCTTGAACGGCGAGTACAACGACAAAATCGTTGAGGTTGGTTGGATGATGGCGGCCGGCAACAAAACGCGCGACGGAGACGGAAAAGCGGCAGAGAGTACGGTACGGTTGTGTGTATGTGAGTGTGTGTGTGTAGAAATCGGGGAAGAGGGGGGGGGGCCTCGAAATCGGCCGCGCGCGCGCGCGCGCTCACTCGCTGAAGGATACCGATGGATGGACATTCACTTGAAGGTCACACACTCACATACAAACACTGTACAAGCGTACGCATAAGAAAAGATGGATGAAAAGGACCCCCGGCGAAATTACTTTCCTCCAATGGCTGATAACACCCCGAATGAGTCAGATGGCGCCCACAAATTGACTAATCTGTATTTCTTCTAGTTGAAACGCGTTATCAGTCTGACTGGCTTTCGGTATTGTTCATATTTGCTTATTGGCTGGCCAACACACACACACATGCAGTGTCCGATTTGAACACCATTCCACCTCTGTTTGTATTTATCGTCGAGAATCGTAGGAAAGATGGGACGCGCGAAAAAAAACGACATTTGTTTGAAGCTCAAATTTTGATTATTGGTAAAAGCATTTTCGGCTAAAGAGCACAACAACAGTCGTACAAAATTTGCCAGCGGATGCTCGCCCGCTTCGCGATCATTGGATATGTAGTACCATTGGCGAGTGCGTTTGCAATATTTGCACGATTGAGGTACCATTGCTTAAGCATAGAGTGCAGAATGAGGCGCAGTTTGTTGAGCGGCAGAACAAACTCGACAGTTATAGTCGCGTTTTTGCAAAATGCTCGCCGCGGAGTCGAAAACGCGAGCCAGAGGATTTTCAGCGGGCGGCGCGCACAACCACTGCGCCACACCAGCTCGCCGCGGCGGGCGCGGAATTGGCATATACCTGTCCTCTGTGGAGATGGGGGCAAGTTTTCGTATTATCACCGAAGATCATAAAAAAGCTGGACGCGTTGAAAGGAATTCCATCATAAATTATTATGCGTATTCATACGGAGTGGCATTTGCAAATCACATTTGAGATGGGAGGAATTAATATCATTTCTTCCCTCGCCCACCTCTCTCTCCACCCAATCGCACCAATCATTTATATAAAGCAGGCCCTCCCGTTTTCAGGCGGAAAGCAATTGGAAATGATCAACAAAATGATAACGATTGATTTGAAGAGACGTTTTGCGTTATATCTGTAGGAATGTTGATTACAAATGGGCGAAAATGACAATGAATTCGAATTCGGGAGAAAGGGGTGGGGGGAGGAGAGGAAAGGAAACGCGGGCGCGGGGGGGGGGGCGAATTTTGGATTTGATACTAATTCGATGTGAAATTCGAATAGAAACTTTCAATTCATTGAAATAAATGCGGAATTCGAAATTGGAAAGGTCCGTTTGTTGGAAAGACCATTTTTTTGCCGCCAACGCGAATTTCACGAACGCAGACAATATGTAGCGCCGCTTGTGGCGTAACCCGGAAAATGTCCGCAGATGTTTACAATGACAAATTCCCCCTCCCGAGTTGTTCAGATTCGAGGAGATTGTGCGCCTCAATTTTTCTGTGTCGAAAAAAAGTTGAATTTAAAATATTGCCAAAAAAATAATAATCGAAAAACACAAAAAAACCAATTTTTTAAGTAGGATGAATAATTAAAGAATGAAAGGGGAATATTGTTTCCTTCTTAGAATACTCTTATTAAAAAGACTATTTTTATAATCATCGACTTTCAAAGATTTGACAACACATCTCTTAATTCCTTTATTTTTCTTATGTTCTTCACCATCAAGTGGTGTTTATACGCATATTGTTTTATTTTCTTTACTATATAAACGATGATCCTCAGGATATTCACTAAAATCGAAATAATCTCTTAAATTCTTATCCACAAAGATATCCTTGTATATGTCTTCTTGATAAATCAGAGAATCAGTATCTTGATATACCAATTTTAATTTTTTATGTCCATATTTCTTCTGCATAATGAAAATCGTAAATTAGCCATTTACTCAAATTTAAGCCTAGCAAAACCAACATAAATAGGTTTATCAAGAACAATCTTAGTCTTCTCCATTTCTACAAGGACTAGAAGTCCATCATTTATTGTAATAATTTTCTTATAATTAAATTTAGGAGCATAAATCCTCTGAATAGTTGAATCATTTGTACCTAATACAATTTTAACATCTACTCGACCTCTAACATTTTTCATAGTTTTCCCAAATATAGCATTGTTCATCAACTTGAAGAAATCCTTTTCGAAATCATTTTTAGCTTGTTTTCTTTTCTTAGATTTGTATTTAGATTAATATACTTTTCTAACCATTGACTTTCCTTGAAAGTAATAACTCTATGAATTTTCTTTAATTTCATTCCAAGTTTTAAACATTGTATCAAATTTTTATAATGAATAACATATTTTTGTTTATCACCTAATATATTACACAACTTTTTAACCCCATTAGAGAATTCAATATTTTGAGGGCACAGAGGGATATTCTAGATCAACTTCAAAAATGCAACCTTTATTTCTTTTATTCAATTTTTCAATATATTTCATGATAGAGTTTTCAACTTCTAGATCCGATGGATTGTTATCAAATTTCAAGTCATAGTTGGGAAGATTTTCAGCAAAATTGTTGAACTTCTCAATTATGTCATCATCTTCGAATTTGAATCCTCCAGTAGGTCACTTTTGACACATTTCCCAACCATATAAATTATTTGTGTTGCGAGGAGAAAGAAAATATGAAGAAAGATATCAGCAATTTAAATCCTGCGGTTACGGTGAATATCACGGTGTTTACACACACACCAGAGTTGGCGCGCAAATACACGAAGTTGAGTTGTTGGATTGTTTAGGCCCGAACCCGACTAGCTTGATTGGTCTTCGTTGTTGTTTTATATTTTCCTACCGTGCTGCTTCATTATTATTTTTATCATATACTTTCCATCCCTCCGGCTAGGCTATTATTGTTATTATTATCCGGTAACTAATTAAATTGCGCTTCGTTCGTTATTGTTGTCTAACGCTTACTTTAGATAAAATTTAAATTGTAATTCGAGTTTCCGACTTACAACAATTTGCATCAAGGTATAAGAGATATGAAAGATTCTTTTTTATAAAACTCTTCATGAATCCTGGATATGCATTCCGAGGAAGCTTTGCTGACGCTCTAGATTTTCTTTTCATCCAAGTTTTCAGTCTTCTTGGAACTTTCTTAATTTTTTCATTGTGAATGGATTTATTATCAGCTTTAGCGTATCTTTTAACTGCATTAACTATTCCACCTCTAATTCCTTTTTCTATCATGTTATACATTTCTTTGTCTCTAATTGTTTCTAATTTTACTCCAGTTATTTTCAACATAGCATCCCAAGATAATCCTGGACTTGTATAATACCAACCATAATCATAATCTAATCCATAAATATCTAATTTTAAGTTTCTGAAGTTTTCAAAAACATCAGCTAAATCATATAAATCCTAGTATAATCTTCTAAATTCTGACAATTCATTTTTTCCAAACTTCTTGAGCATACATGTATTTTTTCTTAGAACATCTTGTACCATTTAGCTTATCACTGAAACATTTCCTTTTAGGCAATTCAGTTTCTTCAAATCTCTTGAAGGAATCCATGTATTCATAAAGATAAACACCATTCTTTCTCATTAACTTAAAAGCTTCATCATTTTTATAAAAATCTTTGAATATATCAAATTAATCATCTTTTAAGTTTTTGCTAAGTGAATCTAAAGAAGAACTCATGAATCCGAAAGAATCTAAAAATCTTATTTCATAGAAGCGATCACTCTTGTCACTCCCAATGATCCAAGGCTTCCAATAGCTAAAACTAATTAATTTTTCAGTATTTGTTGGAATAATTTTTGTTTGAATGCTCTCATTTTCATTCTTGAAATTTTCATAATTTTCTTGAATTTGAATTTCAAAGCAGCATCAGGTCCAATAAAATACTTGAAATCATAAATTTTCTTAGTAAAAGAATCCACTACAAGTGTACAATATCCTGATGGTATTGATGAAAAATCACAAATGTATCTAGGTGTCGTGGGATCCTGCGTTTTGTACGCAATGCGATGAGCCAGTTTCCGTAATCCTCGCAGCGATTTACGAGGGCTTTTTTTAAATGGTAGACACATACCGATTTTCTCTACTTCTTTTAATTCATCATTTAAAAATATTCCTTTCTTTTTTATACTGAAAACGTTTATTATTAAGTCATTGAGGTTTTCAAATCTATTTATATCTTTGAATTTTTTTCATTCATTCACAAAATCTTTGTATTTTGAAACCCTCTCTTTATCTCTATCTGCAGGATGTAAATGCATCAAAATGCACCACATAAAACACTTATTATATCTTTTTTCAGGATTAATCACACTATTTTTATTTTTTATCCACTTTGAAAGATCAATATATGATGAGCCTTTTGGAGATTCGAATTTCGTTTGATCGACGTATAGAGCATTAATACTTCTCAAAGACCAACCAGAACCTACAGTATCATGATTTTCCATATTACCTCTAAGTTGCTTACATGTTTCTTGATAAAACTCAACTCGATCTTCTCCAATGCATAAAGATTTAGTTTTTGTAGAAACAACTTGATCTGGATAAGGTTGACCATCTCTAGTATATCTTAATGAAAACCGAATTTTGACACTGCTTTCTTTTTCAATATCTGAAATTACACTATTTTGTTTATCGTGTAAGAAAGCTTCTACAATATTTGAAACTTCTTGAAAATATGATTCCATATTTGAGTCATTAATATTTGCAAAATCAACAACTTCAAAAGTTTTAATCTTTTTTTCATACTTGACGTTTTTTTAGAAGTTTTATATGTTTTGATTATATCATCATATGGAACTAGTTCTTTTGATTCACATAGAACTATTTTAGGTTTCCGTTTAGCATTTAGTTCTTCAACTTCGCTTTGGTGTTCCATAATAAATTTCCTGAGTTCTTCAACGTTCATTGCATGATATTGTTTATAAGATGATTTTCAGATGATCCATTTTTCCTCAGAACTAATTACTTTTTCAAATTCTTAAAAGGATGCAACGCTTCCTTTTATATAGAAAAATTTTTTAAAGAAAAATTTAAATTTCAGATTTATGAATTTCAAATTAAAAACTCAAATCTGTAAGCTTCATAATAAAGTCAATCATTTCTTGTTTTCTCATAGTTTGGATTTTTTTGGATTTGAGAATGTATTTTATCAATTCACTTCCAATCATTGCAACTTTTCTACGAACTTCATCTCTTTTCATTTGTTTGAGAATTTCTTCAATTAAAGACTTCTGTTCACAAAAGTTTGTATTCTGATGAATAGCTTCAGTAATTTCTTCCATTTATAAATACAATAATTTTTTTATAAATAAATTACTTTAAAAAAAATGTCCAAAAGGATTGGTAGAAATCTATGATCCCAAGAAAAGGAATGATATAGTTCACTCATTCTTGAAGAATTGAAAAGAACACAAGTTCAAAAATTCACAAGAACGCAGTAATCTAGAGAATGTAGAAGATCATCGTATAGCAGTATTTAAACCCATACTAGAATCAAATAAGAAATTACAGGAAGAAATTATTGATGAAAAAAATAAAATACTATACGCACGCGACGTGACACGCAAACGCGAAGGGCTAGAGTGGAAAGCAGAGACGCGTCTGTGAGCAGAGACGCAGAGGAAACGGTCTATTAGAAACCACCCCCCCCCCTCCCCCCATTTTTAAGTTTCACCCCTACTTTTTAACTGCACTTTAAAAATTGCAGTTTCTAACAGTAATGCAGTAAAGTTTTTTTTTTTTAATTTTTTCTAAATTTGTAATTCAAGTTATCAAGAGGAGATTCGCAGAATTGATGTCTAAATTAGATCTTTCAGAAACTATGTAGACTATTCTTATGAAAGAATATTTTAACAAGTAATTCTCGGAAAATCAGGTTCAGATAGACTTCGTATTTCGTAAGCGTGGATGGATTCCCACAATTTTCAATATTTCAAGTGTCCAATTGTGCAATTTTTTATCAAGATTCTTTGCAAGCTTTGCGCAAATCAAATACCTAAAAACAATAGTGGCAACCAAATAGGCCTAAATTTTTAGTACTATTTAACACGTTTAAAAAATATAAATTTATTTTAGAAAAACAATATTAAATTAGAAAGGGAGGGGAACAATTAAATGGGCCAAATTTACCAAAAATTACAAATAAACCAGCGAATCGAAGAACAGATATTGAAAAATGGCATGGAATTACTGTCGAACTCAGCCTGAAAGTCACAGAAATTTTATTCTTTCAAAATTGGATTTGAGTTATTTATAGTTGTATTTTATGTGGATATTTTTGCAAACTAGTGGCTATTTAGGACTGAACATTAATAAATGACTAATATTTTCCCAATTTTTAGGATTGTTTTATTTTATATTTCAAAATTTTTTTTCAACAATATTCCATGATTTTTGTGTCTTTCAGGCTGAGTTCGACAGTAATTCTATGCCATTTTTCAATATCTGTTATTCGATTCGCTGGTTTATTTGTAATTTTTGGTAAATTTGGCCCATTTAATTGTTCCCCTCCCTTTCTAATTGTTAAATTGTACTAAAAATTTAGGCCTATATGGTTGCCACTATTGTTTTTAGGTATTTGATTTGCTTGCAAAAAATCTTGATAAAAATTGCACAATTGGACACTTGAAATATTGGAAATTGTGGGAATCGTTCTTTCTTTCATAAGAAGTCTACATAGTTTCTGAAAGATCTAATTTAGACATCAATTCTGCGTATCTCCTCTTGATAACTTGAATTACAAATTTAGAAAAAATTAAAAAAAAAAACTTTACTGCATTACTGTTAGAAACTGCAAATTTTAAAGTGCAGTTAAAAAAGTAGGGGTGAAACTTAAAAATGGGGGGGGGTGAAAAGTGGGGGTGGTATCATAAATAAAAGTCGGGGTGGAATAGCAGGGGTGGGGGTTAAAACGTGGGGGTGGTTTCTAATAGACCAGAGGAAACTGCCAAATCGCATTCTTCCCCTATTCACGCTTGTTGTATTTTAGGAAATATCTGTTGTTCTTTTATTTACATAATACTGAAATAATTTGAATACTAGAGCACGTTATACCACGATTTTTCTCTATTCATTCTCAATTTTCAGCAATCATCCATCAATTAGTCGGCCAACATGAGCGAACACAACAAGGTAAGCATAAATTTATGTGTTTCTAAATTGATTTGTCTATTTAGAGTTCGTCGTCCGATGAGTCGTGGCAGAAGCTCGCTCTCCCATACGATGAATTTGATGTTTTGGTATCGGATATTAACAACGAAGAACTTGTTGAGGTACTAAGATGAATTTTTACCATTGTATCTAATATTTGTGTTTTTCAGATCGGCCACGACAACGAAGTTGAGCACTTGTCCGCCGGATCGTTTTCTTCGACTCCGTTTCCAGTAACCGGTCGAATTCATGGTCGAAATCTTCGATACATGATTCCGCTGATTTGTCAACGTGCTGGTATGGTTTATGATAAGTTATTTGCAATAATAACTTGCAGGTAGAACGAATTCAAGAGCCGTCAATGTCTGGTTTTTCGTGGACACTGGATCCCCATTTACTTGCCTGTCTTCGAAGTCGTTGGAAGCTCTTATGGGTATGGGAAATGTCACGCACACTCTCTACAGTCTCTCTATACAGGTTTGTTATCTTTTTCATAGAGTTAACTGTTTAATTTCGTATGTTCAGGATCAAACGACTAAAATTGAATGCCGAGTCTCCAAAGCCCACTTCGCAGAAGTCAACATTCTTGGCGCTGATGCGATGCAACATTTGAAGCTATCAATCGTCGTCGACTGGGACAATGAGACGTTCAAGCTTGTCAGATTATGAATGTTCTTGTATATTTAATATGGGATTTTCTCGTTTGATATATAATTATTTATGACAATAAAATTTATCTTTATTTTTTGGAATAACAAACCCAATGAGTTCCTTTACCTTCAGAAGAGTAAATTTGTAATACCAGTTTCTTTTTCTCTAATTCTTTCACTAGGTGAATGTCTTGCAGATCCTTGTGTTGGCAAAGTATCTCGCATAAAGATGCCTTCGAAATTCTTAATATCTAATTTTTCTACCAAAGCAAGAAAATCAAGATTTGTTAAAGGTTTGAGATCTTTGTAAAGCTTTGTCATTCCTTCAGAACTAGAAATCTTTGATTTTGTCATTTAAAAAGCATACATTTTATAAGAAAAAAGAGGTGAGTGTAGCGCAAAATATCACTCGTATAGCTACACCCCTAGAAATCAAGATTTTCTAGATTTCTAGAATTTTCATGATATTCTGACACTTTGAGAACAATAAACAAACAAAAATGCACAAAAATCAATGAAAATTGATGAAAAATCAAAAGCACTTTCAACTGGGTGTCACCCTGGGTCATTATTTTTGGCGCAAAAATCACCTTTTCCCAAAATTGCTGAAAATAGTGCTAACATTGAATCAAATAGTTGTCATTTACATCAATAAATGACTGAAATGTAGGAATGTCGGAAATGGGTGAAAGGATGCGCCAGCGTCTTAATTTAGTCTGGTATGTCCCGGAATGAGCAGAAGGAGGGTAGTATAGAGTACTGTAATTTCCTCAACTAAATGTGGGCGTAGCATAGACTCCGCCTATTTTCGTCACCTCGACTCTTTTTATATCCGGCTGAGCCTCACTCATTCATTTGTACTGAGCTACCATCGTCTTTCTTGTGATGACGATGCCCAGACGTCCATCTCGCGCCACCCACAAAGCCAAAGTCGGCACCACTCCCCGCAAAATGACCACAGGCGAGAAAACCAAGATTTTCTTGTATTTCATGCGTTTGCGTGTCAATGCCGATGTCGATGAGGTGAAGAAATTCTTGATCACCGTGTTTCGCGGCGAGGAGAAATTCGTGCTCATTGATCATAACCTCTCCGTTCCCTGCTTCTTTCTCTATATCATTCATAGCGAGTCCGCCATTTGGCTTTCCCAAAATACCACGTTCGATTCTGACGGCGTCGCCAGGCTCCTTGAACTTCGTGCCCTAAATGCCGATCTTTCGAAGACGTTTACCGTCTTCGACGGACCCTCGTTTCCAAAAATCTCTTGCTATAGTTACTGAGCATACAGCTTGTTTTTGTGTGTATATTCACTATTTAAACAATCCCAATTATACTATTCCTACTGAATTAATGAATCAACTCGCTCGTCATCTCACCACTGCGATGCAAGTGATGAGTTCTATATTTAAGTCCTGAGTGTCTTATTTTCCCCATATTCATTCATCATTAAAGGAAACGCGGGCGCGGGGGGGGGGGCGAATTTTGGATTTGATACTAATTCGATGTGAAATTCTAATAGAAACTTTCAATTCATTGAAATAAATGCGGAATTCGAAATTGGAAAGGTCCGTTTGTTGGAAAGACCATTTTTTTGCCGCCAACGCGAATTTCACGAACGCAGACAATATGTAGCGCCGCTTGTGGCGTAACCCGGAAAATGTCCGCAGATGTTTACAATGACAAATTCCCCCTCCCGACTTGTTCAGATTCGTGGAGATTGTGCGCCTCAGTTTTTCTGCATCGAAAAAAAGTTGAGTTTAAAATATTGCCAAAAAATAATAATCGAGATTAACCGAAAATCGCTGGCGGTGGAAAAAAAGGATTACCAAAAAATGTTCAATTTCATTTCGTATTGATTGAATGCGGAAATGCGAATCGCGATAATATTCATTGTGTTCAATATTTTCTGGAAAGTTGACGGTAATTCAAGACCAATCGAACGCAAATATTTTTGATTTGGTTTAAAGCCACCGCAATTTGCTATCGATGCCACGCCAACTCCACCGATGTGGGCCGCTTCTGCTCAATCGACAAACTCTGTAAAGGCTCGTCGTGCAAATTCGGTAGATCGTTCCGTACCAAACGGGACCCAAAATAAATTATGTGTTCTAGTTTACAACAATGATGGAAGCTGGGAGGCGGGTTGCTCCAGTGAGCTCTCAGCTAGTGAGCAGATTACGGTACAAATTAATATTCAATTAAGGCTTTTATTAATATTATTCAGTGTTCCTCTCGTGGCTCGGTGACGAGCTGCTCATGCAATTCAGACTTTTGCAATAGTTTTATGAAATCGCAAAAGGCCGTCGAATTGACGAAACAGGGAACTGGAAACCCGTGGTACAGTAATCGATCATCGTTGCAAGACCAACAGAAATGTTGTTTAAGGTGGGGCGGACGAAGGGAACCTGAGAAGCTCAATATATTGCTCCCCGATCGCTCATTGGTTTATTGTGAAGAATGCGGAAACGTGAATGTCGATGGCGAAACCGTGGTGATTCCGTGCGACAAATCTCACACATGTCAAGGCAATTATTGTGTTTCAGGTAATTTCAGATTTTATCGATTTTCGGAAAAAAACGTGGTTTCGAGAGAAAAAATTGCGAGTAACTGCCAACAATTGCAGTGTGTGCAATTTTGCGTGCGCGTGTTATTGCGGACTTTTTCGCGCGTGACGCTTTTTCGCAAGCGGCGACTTTTTTCTTTTGGTGAATTTTTCGAATTTTGTGCCGTGCCAAATTTCTTTTTCCTCAAACTTTGAATATTCAAACTATATTTTAATTTTCTAGTGCGCGGAAAATCGCCATACTCGTACTGCGGTGGTGTGTGGGACGGCGAGCTTGAACCAGCGTGCTACCTGTCGGCCGACCAGCCAGAAAAATGCATTTGCTCGATGAACATGTGCAATTATTTATTGGAGCCGGCCGAAGAAATTGCAACGACCGTGTTTGGTAGGAAAATTGAAGCCGCTAATTCAATTTTATTCAAAATTCCAGTGAATTCTGAGCTTCAGCCAACTCTGGCCACAATCGCGCCGCCTGAAAATCAGCCAATTGCGACGACCACTCAGAAGCCAGCGACAAGTGAATTTTTCGTCGATTTTCTCCTATAAAATTACATTTTTTAAGAGAAAAAGTGCAAAAACGCGAAATTCTCGCCGAACGACCAAGCCGTTTTCATGGGCGAGAAACTGAAGGATGCGATTCTCAGCGGATTCGGTGAAGACGGAGCCATTCAGAATTTCGAGGATGACATTAATGATCACATTTGCAATTATTCTGAAGATGAGTAAATTGAGATAATAAATGTTTTTGGGTGATTTCTATTATTTTTGGGAATGCACATAATTCAGGCTTCATCCAGTAATTACTTCTCACTCAAGCTGCCCACGTCTCGCCTCTTTGCTCCTCCTCTGCGCTCTCTTCTCCTTTCATGCTCTCTTCCCCCCCTCCCCCATTTTTCTATATAAGGCGAATCGATAAAAACGAAACGAAGCGGGCTGAATTCGGACCAATATGAATCCAGAGGTACGTTTTTTCTCGTGTTGAAACATTTGAAATTCAATTCCTTCTACAATTAATTAATTAAGCCTTTTATTTATTATTTATGCAGTAACTATGCATAATAAACTACTAATTTTTATTTCAAACATCAATAAATAAAATATATTTTAGGCCCTCGAAGAGGATACTCTTGGAATTCGAATACAATCCGAAACTATTGAGTTGACCAAAGATGAGAAAGGCCTAGTCGGCATTTCGATAGGTTTGTGCAATTAAAATCGCATTTGTATTTTTAAAATTGTGTGGTTTCACCCAAATTTAGAGAAATGAATGAAATTTGAAACAATTTCTAGAATAGCGCGTCATTTATTTTGTATTCCGCAATATTGCGTCAATGTGTAGGCACTGTATTCAGAGAATTCAATTATTTGCGACAAAAATTTCAATTTTTCGAATTTTTAGGTGGTGGAGCACCATATTGCCCTTGTGTTTATGTTGTTCAAGTGTTCGATGGCTCGCCAGCTTTCAAAGATGGACGAATTCGATGTGGTGACGAAGTTGTGGCGATAAATGGGATAAATGTGAAAGGCGAGCGAAAATCCGCCGTTGCGCAACTCATTCAAGTCAGCTTGAATCCTGTAAAAGTAATTCTGCATTTTCATTTTTAATTAATATTAATTCGATATTTAGATTACGATAAATAAATTGGAAAATGACACGAATCGCGGCAAAACGTTGGACATCGTTATAAAAAAGGTGAAGCATAAAATCGTGGAATTTATGGATCAAGATTCTGCCGACGCGCTTGGTTTATCGCGAGCAATTTTATGCAATGATCCGTTGGCAGCGAAAGAGAAGATCCTCGAAGAGAACTCGGAGTTTTATCGAAATTTGGTCTCCTATTTTGGGGATATGTTCTTATATCAGAATAAGATTGCCGAACATCAGAAAGGTGAATGATTAATTACTTTGGAAATACTGTAAAATATATGTTTTGGTTCAGAATTTGGCCGAATAATCTGTGACCTAGCCGCACATGAAAAACAACAAATCGCCAATGAGGCGTTCAGCGCGTTCGGCGAAAAGCATCGGCAAATCGAAAAAGTGCAATCGGATTCGTTTGTGCAGCTGGAGAAAATGGTATCCGACCTTCAAGTTTATATCGATCACGTTGTTCCCGATACGAGATTGACGATAAAAAAGTAAAACCGATTTTAAGATGATTGAAAATGTTTTTCTAATTCCCAGCCACTTTTTCAGATATCTCGACGTCAAATACGAATATTTGTCATATTGTCTGAAGCTCAAAGAAATGGACGATGAAGAAAGTGAATATATTCAAATTCAGGAGCCTTTATATCGAATCGAAACGGGAAATTATGAGTATAGGTGAGAGAAAAAAACAAATTGCAAAAAAAAATTTCATTTTTGTTTTAGATTAATGTTGCGATGCAGGCAGGAATGTCGGCAGCGATTTGTGAGCCTTCGCAATGACGTCATGATCAAAATTGAGCTTCTTGACCAAAAACATGGTTTCAAATTGCATTGATTTTTAAAAGGAAACTCTTTTTTCTGACAGTTCGCGATATTGCCCAACATCTCGCCGCATTCGCGAGATCGATGGCGAAATCTCAGTCCGAATGCGCCGAGATTCTCAAAGATTTCATCGATGTGCCAATTGAGATCGATCTAGAGCAGCTGAATCTGAAATCGGAAATGTGCACCAGCCAAGACGAATCATGTGCAGCTGAGGAAAGCGCCAGCGGCGAAATAGTTGAAGGTATGAAATTTTTGAATTACGCGCCAATTTTTAACTAAAATCGAGTTTTTTTTTGAGAATATTTGAAAAAAAAATCATTATGGGGGGCTTCCCCGAAGACAATTGGATTCCAGATTTTTTCACTGCAAAAAATAGCCGCACGCGAACCGCAACGCGTCTGGCGCCACTCAAAAATTACCATTTCCGTTTTTGTTTTGTGAAGATACAGACTATCAAAATGATCAAAGTTGTGCAATTTTGCGTGCGTGTGTCTACGGACCCTTGAAAATGTGTTCCAAAAAAAATTTTCATCAAATTAATGAAATGAGCAGCATACTTTGCAAATTTTCGCCGAATTTTTTTGCAGAAAATCTCATCGATTTGGACGAATCGTCAAAATCGGAACCAAACGTCTCCCTAATCGATATTAATTGAAGCAACCTGCGTGGCCCGACGGCCAACACAATGGTTTCGCCATTTTACGGGTGTCAAGTGAAGCGCGACTCGAGTCGGCGGGCCGCGTGCCGGCCGGAAGGTCACTTGCCCGTTTTTAAATATGCGCCATTTTCGTTTTTGCGTCCTAGCCTCCTCGAATACAATGAATTTGGTCACGTGTTTCGAAACATTTCTTGGATATTGTTTAAAGGCGCATGCGCGGCCTCCCCCCCAAAAAAAAAGTTCGCTCTTCTTGAAAACGTTGTACAGTATTTGTGCACGAACATGTTTACTCCTCGATCGTTTCTCAATTCTCTCGTTCACACAGCCACACTCGAATCGACACAAGAGAACGAAAATTTAATAGAATATTGACATTTGCGAATAAATAGGTTTTTATGAATGCGCGGCGAGGTTTGATGAATCAGATGGTGTGAATGAAGGCGTCGATTGCCGGACCGTTGCCGAGAGTTGAGCGCGTGCTCGCGTGGCTCGTCTGGTGCACGCATTCGGCGGCGGCGTTTCTCATCGCGATCGCGGTTTGCAATGGCAGACTGCACACGTGGATTCAGCACTGGCTGCGTGAGAGCAGGTAGGAGCCACATTTTTTTTTATTGTTATAGCCAAATTCAATTTTTTCTAGCTACCATCCCAACTTCAAAATGGACCTTTCTGATATGGAATGGGCCTATTATCGAGGCACGATTTGCCATTTGGTTTTTGATTATTCGTTGAATAGTATTGGGTTTGAAAAAATTCAAAAGAAAAATTGTTTTCTATATATATTTTCTTCCAGCCTTTACCTTATTCGGAAGTATTTGAAGCCGCCTTATTCATACTACGCAATCATCGCATTCGGATTCATTTTACAGATTCATATGGGCAGGTAAATACTATATTTTTTTTTAAATCGAATTTCACACACTGAAAATCCGTTTTAGCTTGAAATGCGTCGGCGTTTTGTACGCGTTCGCCGCGCTCGTCACCATTTTGACGAATTTCTGTCGACATTACGCGATTTGTTGGATTATTTGCATTTCGTTTATTGTCAAAGCTTACCAATATGCGCCATTCTCGCTGGGAAATGCGATTTATTATCGAGAATTCAATATTTACCTCTATGGAGCGATCAAGGTCGGGTACTGTAGGTCGATTGTCTGCATTCACCGAGACGCGAAAATGAACGCACGATTGGAATTTTTGAAATTTCAGATAATCAGTGCAAATCTATTCTTATGCTCGAATCCAAAATTGGGTTTCAAGGATGTCTGGCTTCAAACTTTATTATATTACGCATATTTACCATATTCGATCACGTTAATAGTCACATTTTCGGATTTTAAATCTCAATTTCAATTGTGGGAGGTTTCGAGTGGAATTGCAAGAAGTTGGAGGTTTAAAATTTTTGCAAAATCTTGGGTTTTTTAAAAACAGCATTTCGTTTTTCAGAGAATTCGCAAAAGCTGCGCTCCGCTTGATTTTCTGGTTTTTCGTTTTCGAAGCGATGCTTCATTTTATTTATGTGAACGCGATTTTCAATTCGCCAATTTCAATTATTAACAGTCTGAACATTTATGAAGGTAATTTTACGTAATTTTCTCGAACATTCTTTAAAAATTTTCGTTGCAGCATGCTCGGTGGCGTACATTGTTGGGCAATTTTTCCACTTGAAATATGTTGTGATTTTTGGGGTGCCGGCGTTTTTCGCGTTTCTTGACGGTCGGGTTTTCCGGTCATGATTCTTGAATAAAACGAATTGATTCAGGAATGCGTCCACCGCCTCCACCGATTTGTATTTCGCGGGTTTCTTTGTATTCGAGAATGTGGAGATATTTCGACAACGGGCTTTATCAGTTTTTAAAGCATCATGTAAATGATCGTCGATGATTTTGGAACTATTTTGTTTGGTTTAGGTATATATTCCTGTAATGAGTAAACCACTTCCACGATTCCTCTCAGTTTTGAGAGGATTAATGGCGATCGCTGCGGTCTTCAGCGTTGTTCTAGCTTGGCACGGGACCAAAAGGCATTATCTATTTTGGGTAATTAAATAACTCATTAAAATTTTGCAAAAACCACTTTTAGGTTTCCCTTTCTGCTTTTGAATTGATCACAGAAAGAATTGGAAGCATGATTTGGAGAACGGAATTCGTACAAAACGTTCGCAAAAACATTGGCGAAAATTGGTGTAGAAGAATCATTGCTACTCTCATGCTGCTAACAGTAACCCCAGGTTTTATTTGAAAAGCTAAACAAAAAGAATTACACATTTTTAGGAATATTTGGCGTTTTCTTTTTCCTAGGCCAAGAAGGTGTAGGAGAATCGATATTTAAAAACGCAGTTATTCAAGGATTTCTAGATGTTATCAATTTCAATATTACAATCAAGCCGTAGGGATTTCGGCTCAATAAAAATTTACTCTTAATTTCAGACTATCGACTGGATTCGGATTTTTGCACATTCTCACACTTGGGTATTTCTTCAACAATGTTTGCCTTGATTTGGAATATTTTAAACTTAATAAAAAAGATTAAACATAACATTTATTGATCGGGGCATAACCAGAAACAAATACCCCTCAACATTAAATTTATCCTCCCTTCTTCTTGGACACTCCGACAGTGCGTCCCTTACGTCCGGTGGTCTTGGTGTGTTGTCCTCTAACACGGAGTCCCCAGTAATGTCTCAAACCACGATGAAGACGGATTTTCTTCATGCGCTCAAGATCCTCACGGAGCTTGTTATCAACAGCGGTGGAAAGGAGCTACAAAAAAATATATGTTCATAAATCTCGGAAATTTTCAGTTTACCTGAGAGTTCTTTCCGTCCTTAATGTCCTTTTGTCTGTTGAGGAACCAGTTTGGAATCTTGTATTGAGATGGGTTTTGCATGATCGTGACGATCTTCTCAAAATCTTCTTCCGAAAGCTCTCCAGCGCGTCTGTTAACGTCAATATCGGCCTTGCGGCAGCAGACGAAAGCGAAACGTCTACCAACTCCCTATAAATTTTTTCAATATAAGCAAAAAGCTTAATAAAAATAAAATTGAATATTTCAAATTTTAAAATAAAGTTAATTACCTTGATGGCGGTAAGGGCATATGGAACCTTGCGGTTACCATCGATGTTGGTGTTCATCACACGATGAATGTGTTGGAATTTTTCCGGAATGATCAGCGACATTTTGTCCTGATTTGATAACCCTATAAAGTAATTGCAATTAGTATAAAAAAGCAATAGAAAAGAGAATGACAAAAACGAGAAAATAATCCGAGATTTTGGCCAAAAATAGATTTAAATAAAATTTGGAACACAAAAAAAAACAATAATTATTGTAAAAAATGAGCGAAATGAAAGAAAAATCTATCAGAAATAAGGAAAAAACTAAACACTAAATTTTCAATATACTATTCGAAAGTAAACGAAAATTAACCTGTATTTTTTGCAGTAATTAGATAATAATCAGGCTCTAAACTAATTTTCTCTATTTTTGCGAAAAAAAGATCAGAAAAATAAACGTTTTCAAGCTTCAAAATTCAAAAAAAGGCGAGAAATTTTAGGAAACTCAATGCAAACAGCAAAAAGAAACGGAAAAGAGGAAGGTCGCGGCGAGAGTCCGCAACGCGGCCACGCTATGCGTCTTTCGTACGCTGCGAGACCTTGCAGTCTTTTCGTAATTTTTCAATATTTCACGCACAGTTTTCATTATTTCCACTTTTTATTACATTCATTAAATAGAAAATGAAATGTGGAATCTTCTGACTACTTAAAGATTTCATAGAAGTCGAAATTGACAAAGAAAAGCCGTGAAAACGATTTTTCTGACAGTTTTGGATTACGGTAGCAATTGTTTAGCGTCTAAAACCTCATCGGCGCTGTTCGAGTTGCACATTGCGACGGCGTGGTTGTGTCTTTTAACCGTCTATCTTCTCCATTATATTATCCATTTTTCTTCCAGGTTTCCCTATTCTTCAGTGGGTACCTACGACGCGTAATAATGGGAAGTAAGTGCTGCTCTTTTATATTCATTATTCAACTAAAATTCTTCAATTTAATATGTGAATATCTGATATTCATATCCACAATTTCGAAGAAAAAAAAAGATTTTTTGATAATTAAATAAACGCAACAATCTTTTCAGTTAAATTCCTCGAGTTCGTCAAGCCGTTCTGCGGCTTCGTGCCGGAGGTTTCGAAGCCGGAAAGGAAGATTCAGTTCCGTGAGAAGATGCTTTGGACTGCCATCACACTCTTCGTCTTTCTTGTCTGTTGTCAAATTCCACTTTTCGGTAAATCATCAGAAATCGGAAAAAAGAAAATGAATCGCCTATTTGTTTCCAGGAATTATGTCGACCGACTCGGCTGATCCATTCTATTGGCTTCGAGTGATCATGGCATCCAATCGCGGTACCCTTATGGAGCTCGGAATTTCCCCAATCGTCACTTCTGGTTTGATCATGCAGCTTCTCGCTGGAGCTAAAATCATCGAGGTCGGAGATACGCCAAAGGATCGCGCTCTTTTCAACGGAGCCCAGAAACGTAAAAATATCAAAATGCTGCGACATACAAATAATTATCGCTTTTTTCAGTTTTCGGTATGGTCATCACTGTCGGACAAGCCATCGTTTACGTGATGTCGGGATTGTACGGAGACCCATATGAGATCGGAGCGGGAATCTGCCTTTTGATCGTCGTCCAACTTGTCATCGCTGGTCTTATCGTCCTCCTTCTTGACGAGCTTCTCCAAAAGGGCTACGGACTTGGATCTGGAATCTCTCTCTTCATCGCCACCAACATTTGCGAGACCATTGTTTGGAAGGCCTTCTCGCCAGCGACAATGAACACCGGTCGCGGAACTGAATTCGAAGGTGCCGTCATCGCGTTGTTCCACCTCCTTGCTACACGCTCGGACAAAATTCGCGCTCTCCGTGAAGCCTTCTACCGCCAAAACCTTCCCAACTTGATGAACTTGATGGCCACTCTTCTCGTCTTCGCCGTTGTCATATACTTCCAAGGATTCCGCGTCGATCTTCCAATCAAGTCCGCCCGCTATCGTGGCCAGTACAGCAGCTATCCAATCAAGCTCTTCTACACCTCTAACATTCCGATCATCCTCCAGTCCGCTCTCGTCTCCAACTTGTACGTCATCTCGCAAATGCTCGCCACTCGCTTCGGTGGAAACTTCTTGATCAACTTGCTCGGAACCTGGTCGGACGCCTCGGGAAGCTACAGAAGCTACCCAACCGGAGGACTCTGCTACTACCTTTCGCCGCCAGACACTCTCGCCCACATTCTTGAAGACCCACTCCATTGCATCATCTACATTGTCTTTATGCTCGGATCGTGCGCGTTCTTCTCAAAGACCTGGATCGACGTGTCTGGATCGTCCGCCAAGGATGTCGCCAAACAATTGAAGGAGCAGCAGATGGTGATGCGTGGACATCGTGAGAAGTCCATGATCCATGAGTTGAACAGATACATCCCAACCGCCGCCGCCTTCGGAGGTAAATTTAAATTGCCGTCAGCAACGTTGACTCATCGATAACTTTCAGGACTCTGCATCGGAGCCTTGTCAGTAACTGCCGATTTCATGGGAGCCATCGGATCAGGAACCGGAATCTTGTTGGCCGTGACGATCATTTATCAATACTTTGAGATTTTCGTCAAAGAGCAACAAGAGATGGGAGGTGTTGCCGCCATGTTCTTCTAAATGTATTTACAACATCGAGATATCGAGAACGTATTTATTTGTTAACTCATTCTGTTGTGTTTGAATATTCAAAACGAATCGAAAACTTTCTTCAACACATTAATTGTTTCGGGTTTATATATTTGCGATCCACGGCTGTGCAAGTTCCCTTCGTTATTTTTTTCCCAATCTAGCCGAGATTCAATACTTGTTTTCATTTCAACATCTTCTTTTTCCCCAGAGAGTTAATAGATATTCTTTCACTTCGCAACCAGATTTCCATTTATATATATATGATATATGACTGTTTGTTTTGTTTTATCAAAATCTACTAGTAATTTATTTTTTTATGACATTGCTTCTTAATATGCCCACACGGAATAAAGTAGCGAGACATAAATTCATTTTGAAGTTAGTATGTCCGACTAGTTGTTCACCCCAAAAATGCGAATATATTTATTTGAAGACTAGAATCGATTCTGGACGAATGGCAAACATTTTGGAAGAGCCAAAATAAAGGAAAGACAAACATTGAAAATGTACAAACAAAATGATTTTTAAATAATCCCTGAAAAACGATTTAAAAAAATTAAATAATACATTTAGTCTGCTTTTTTGGGGGAAAGGCGCAACTATCTGAATCGCCACGAGACCCAGCTTATTTAAAAATCGTGATTAATAACAAAAAATATTGTTGAATACGGTAATTTCTTGTTTTAAGGGTCTCGCAGCGAATCGGATTCATTTACTTTGTTCACCTCCCCCGCGATAAGCTCTTAAATAGAATGACACTGTGCGAGAGGATGGCGATAATGGAAATTAGACTCGAATTCCAGAATGATGGCAACGAAGCATCTCGCCGACGGCGTTGCCGCAAATGATGTGCTGAATTCCGAGAGCGCCGAGGCCGTGAGCGGGCCGGCAGAATTGTTCGCATTGGAATCCGCTGAAAGCATCGACGACGTCAAGGTTTGCTTTTCGATTATTGAATTGGCTAAATCGCCGAAACAATTCCAGAAGAGGTCTCGCTGCATCTATCTTTATATAGGTCCGTAAATCTACACTTGTAGGTTTGCGTCGAGACCACTGTCATTGGGTTTTGACGTCGGCAATAATTGAAAATATCGAATTTGGTTCGAAAATTTTTTAAAATTAGATCGAAATCAGACGATTTCAATTATTTTTCCATCGAATCAGATTAATTATTGTTTCTGTTGGAAAAGCGAAAGCAGCGAGACTCACGTTTTCTGCGCGATTCCCTTATGCCGGCAACACTCGGTGTTGTCTTTGCCCTGCGAGGCGCATTCCAAAAACGGCGCCACATTCAGAATTCCGCACTGGCCGCGATCCATTGCGGCGCGAATCTGCAAAAAAAGAAAACATTTCGATTTGTTTCTTTTGATTGGTTTTTTTTTGTTGATTACTTCGGCTTGTGTGATATCGTATCGACATAGTGATTGACAGCCGACGGGCAGATTTTTTTGGCGGCAACATTCGAGAAGGGCTCGACTCGCCACCTCGTTGCTCACGCACGGCTCGAAATCGGGTGCGACGCCGCATTGGTGCGATGGTGCTGCTGGTGTGGGTCGTTGAGTTGATGATGATGATGATGGCAGAATTGATTTTGGTTGGAACGTGACGGGATTCACTGAAATTCGCAACAAAAAATTGTTGTTAGTGGATAATTCAAATTCGACAAAAAAACGCGGTTCCCTACAAAATTTGGGATTGATTTGAAATTTGAATTGCCGTGAATAACAATTATTTTTTTATTTCATAGTATTTCACGAAAATTCAATTTTTGTATTATTTATTGATTTTTCTGAGGCAAAAAACGCGTGACCGTACCCTCTCGCGTTGTGGGAGCCACCCCGCTTGGTGTCCTGCGCCTTTAGATCACGCTACTGTAGTTTTTTTTTTTTAAATTTGAAATCCATTCCGATATTTTCCTTTTTTTTAATGGATTTTTGTTGGCGGGACCATCAAATTCGCGATTAATATGTAGTGTAGAATTAAATTTATGCCTCGAGACTCATACATAGTCAATAATTTTTCAAAATTTTGTTCAGTCGAATTTTGAATATATTTTTAATGAACATGAATTTACGAAATCATTCTTGTTTTATAGGGCAATGCAGAAAAAAGAAGACAAATAATAATTTTTGTTATTTTCTTTTTAATTATTTTTCTGTATTGGTGGGCCATCATGACAACAATACCTTTAATCACTCTCCGTGGTCCCACTGTTGTTCGATGAACGTCGATTGTTGAAGAGAGGCCGCTATTCTAGAAAAAAAAACAAATGAATTGATTTCATTGTTGAACGCCCCTGTCGTCTCGTACCTCGTGCTTCTTCGCTGATCCATTGTTCTCCTTCAGCAACAAATCGCCATTGGGTGTAATTTCCAATTTGTCGATGACATTGTCAACCGCTGAAATTGGTGTCTTTCACTAGTCAATGCCACAGTGCAAAAAAAACGATACTCTTCAAAAATTGATTCAATCGCTTATCGGATTTGCCGTCGATGGCGAAATTGGAAATCGAGCTGATTGTTGGCGATGGTGTCGAGGCGTGACCGCGCGGAATCAGCGCCACCTTCCACTCACCCGGTGTTAAGCTGAAAATTGCGTGGGCGATGCTTTTTCGTTTTGCTGGATGATTTCACGGTGCTCGGAATTAGAAGGGTTCAAACAAAATTAGCGCTAGGTGATTATTTGTTAGAATCATGCATTGTGTGTTTCTGGTGTCGAATCGTCTTCAGGCATGCCGATCAACTACCTATTCAGTCTATTCAGTCGGCGACGCTTCCGTCGATTCTCGTCGATGATTGGAGTAATATGAATGCGATTGGTGGCGAATCGCCGCTTATTGAGCCGTGGCGGCCGCGATTTTCTGCTGGCCACTTGTTTGGCGCACACGAGACGGCCGGGCGGCGCGAGGCGGCAAATCAAGCGGCGCGTCACAATCGCTGACGGCCGTCGACGACGTCGTCGCGTTTTTCCTACTGATCGATGATGATAAGATGATCTAGATTGGTTCTTGATTTTTTTGAAAAATTGACACAAAGGCAACATAAAAGCATTTCTGTTTTCGATGGGATGGTGGTTTTGAGATACCTTGATGGTTTCTCGATGGATGAGGCGTCGGGAATATTTTTGCGAGATCTGAACGATCCGATTCCGCTCGAAACACTTCCATCGTTGATTTCGGACGCTATTCGAGGAGATGCTGTGGTTGTTGTTGTTGTCGTTGGTATGACATCTAGAAGGCAATAAAAGGAAATGCGCATTAAAGCGTTTCATAATGATGGGGGGGGGGTCCTACCTGGAATGACGCTATCAACGACAGCTTCCGAATTGACGTCGTTCTCATCGTAATCGCCGATGACGACGAGCGAGTCGGGCGGTCGAATAATGCGCGGATCGGGTGTCGTTCGTCGGCGATGGTGTTGGTGTTCGCGCGTCGATGGTATGAATGGAGTTGGCGACGACGTCGCCATTGTTGGTAGAAGGGTCGGAAAGCCGGTGACCGTCGGCGGATTGATGAAGGCCTCTGGAAAATGGTGGACGTGTGAATGGTGTTATCAATTCAACCTTTCGAGTGCGACGTGATCTGATCGGTGCTTCCATCGCGAGAATGTGCGGTTTGCGGTTGGGTGTCAATTGAGAATACTGGCGAATTCAAAAAATAACATAGAATTGATTTTTTGGGTTTTGGGTACTCACGGGTGTGAAAGAAATCGTCGCCGCAATTGACGGCGGCGCACTGATCGGGACATTCGAGACGAACGCGTGACGTGCAGCAGAACGCGATCGGCATACGATCGCACGATAGAATGGCGTGCGAAGAGCCGACGAGAATGGCGACGGCCAGAACGGCGGCGAGGAGCATTGTTGGGGTTGGCTGAAATTTTCGACGAGATGAATTTTTTTTTTGCGAATTGAAATGGGCGAAGCGAAGGTTTGGCGCAAGAAAACCGGTGACACAATGAAACGAGAATGGCGATGAATGTAGTAAAACAAATTGCATTGTGTCGATGGTGTAATATGGCCAAAAAATGGGCGATGAGTCACGTCGAATTGGAAGAACAGCGACGACGTCGGCGAAGAAGACGACGTTGTCAAGAATTGTTGAATTCAGTTGGGGCAAGGCTTGACGAATATGGACGAACGACTCAAGTGCTTCTAGTTTTCGTGTCTTGTTCAAATAGTGCAACATTGAAGAAAGTTTGGCTATATTTGGAATATGAGATGACACCTAATTAGAAATTTTTTGGGATTTGAGAGAGAGAAAGCCAATTTGAAATGGATTTTTTTTTGAGTGGCGAACTGTTGGAAAGCGGATAGAGATTAGATCTGTGTGAAAGTGCGATTTGGGGGGAAAAATGCGAGAAATGAGTGAGCCGAATGAGGTCTATGATCGTCGGAATATAGGCAAACTCTGATTTTTTTGGCACAATTTTCGAAATTCGACGCGTTTCGACGGCGTCGCCAACAAACAAAATGTAACTGTTGAGAAGAAGCATCGACGGCGGCATAAATAATATGAACAACAGGTTTCGTTTCGATTGTAAATGGCAGTTGAGACAGCGACGAAATTTCGATAATTGGTGCGGCAAATTTTGAGATTAGAGATGTGATGTGATGTGTTTTTTTTTTTGGCCGGGGGTCTCTATGCGTTTGGGGGCTTTTTTTTCCGATAGGTCGCTTTTCTCTTTCTCGGTATGTGTTGTTTTAGGTCGAAATTGGTCAATTATGTGTGTATATGGATGAATTGGACCGGATTTTTGGTTGACCGAAGAGCAGAGAGATAAGGGGTATTCAAAACAGAAACGAAAAAAAAATTTTTTTTGGAGAATTAAAATTGCAAAATTTGCGAATTGAATACGTGTGAGACCATTTCGAAAGACGCATGCGCGTAAATCTACCCGAGTAGAGAAGTAGCCGAAACTCCCCGAGAATCATTTGTGTGCAATTTTGCGTGAGCGTGTATGACACGTTTTTTTTAATGTGTGCAATTTTGCGTGCGCGTGTATGACACGCTTTTTTTTCATGTGTGCAATTTTGCGTGCGCGTGTATGACACGCTTTTTTTTGAGGCGAACCGAATTTTTTTCTAGAAAAATATGCCCATATAAATTTTATAATTAACTATGCTACATTAAAATAATGGATATATTATGTGGATTGAGAAAAAGGATTTTCAAAAAAAATGTTTGATTTGAGTTTAAAAAGAATTTTAGCAACAAAAATTGAGAATTTAAAAAATGGGAGAAATTACGAATTTCGCGTCAAGACCTTTGGGCTTTCATTGCATGCGCCTTTAAGATTGAGTTTGAAAAAATAGGATTATTAAAGGTACGAATCGCATTATTTTTGGAATAAAAAAAGAAAAAAATGAAATCGATTTTTTCTTTTCTCAATTCGACAGGAAATTGAACTTGATGAATTTTTTTCGATTTTTTTCGAATCCTGTTTTTTTTTCCTCCTATCCACTCATATTGTTGATCAACAATATTGTTCAAAGGCCGAAAAAATGCACACACACCAACAAACATTTAAAAAAAAAGCTGTGATGGTGTTCGTTTTATTTACGTCGTTCGGGAAGGGCTCGGGCTCAAGTACGCATAGTTAGCAATGTGACTGGCACCACTCCAGACGTGTATAAAAACAATTGATAGCGAAATGGGTCGACAGACAACAACAATTCGATTATTGGATAAGGTTTTATTCGTATTCTCATTGGTTGTTGTCTGCATTTGGAAAAAAGCGGTTCATTCGTTGCGAGACCCGACTTCCAAAAAGTTTCCTTCGACAAAAATTGTGCGCTTTTTTTTTATTACTAATTCTTTAAAAATTATGGATTGTCCGTGTGGAGTACACAGCACGCGTCTTGATACCATTTTTGACGTCAAAAAAGAAAACAAATGAGAGGTCTTGATTAAAAATTGTGGTCCCACCACATTTTAGAAGGAGCCCCCCCGTAAATCTACCCGACATCTCGCCTCTCTCTCTCTCTCTCTCTCTCTCTCTCTCTCTCTCTCTCTCTCTCTCTCTCTCTCTCTCTCTCTCTCTCACTCTCTCTCTCTAGCTATTCCTGATTTGGCAGGGCTAATTTGTTTTGCGCGCGGCGCGTCCGACCCCCCTGTTGACATTGTCGTTGTGGGAGCTTCAAACGGCCCTCACGATTTTTTTTTTCCTTTTTAATTTTTGACCAAAACAAACTTTTTTTGAAAAATCGCTGAATTATTCTAGAAAGAACCTGAATTTTTATTTTTTTTATTGGCCCAATTTTATCAAAACCACAATTTTTGTTATCGCCTAGCACCTACAGGTGATAAGAACTTCTTACGGGGGTCACTTGAATAATATTGCGAATCCATTCGATTCATTGTTTTTTTTTTTTGAAATCAAGATTAATTTAGGCGTTGGCGAACCGGTTTTCTTATCTTGTCTTGTGTGTATTTCTCAGGTTTTTAGCACGAATCCCATTTTTTTCAAGCCAATTTTGAGATGCTTTTTGATTCTTTCCATCAGTTTTTATGCAAATTCTATACTATTTCTTTTTGGTGCTCTCTTTTTTTTTCTTTGTTGACATTGTCTGCATTTTGCTAGTGTCTCTAACCTACAATATGATGGTTTTTTCGCAATTGGTATCTGAAAATCGCGATAAGACCCAAATCTTAAAGATGCGGTTTGAAAAAAAATGCATTTTTCTTCCTATTATGCGCCAAAAAAACCATTTTTTTTATATTAGAAATATAATTTTTTCGTAAATTTTACTGATTGGATTTGAGGTAGTTAAAGGCGCACGCAATTTTTGGGAGATGGGTCCCGCCAAGAATCGCTTTCTTTTTTTTTTTCAACGATCACCCAGATAATTTCGAAGTTATCTGTACTATTAGAAAACTCGAATTTGAATTGGAGCGAGGCTCGAAAAGTGCGATGGTCCACAATTGTGTCAACAAATGTTTTTTTTTTCAACGATCGAATGTCCAGAAAATCAATTCGAGGACCGGGCGATGATCAGTCGAATTTCCACCCCCCCTTCGGCCCGGCCCCTCCGGTTTTCGACGCGTTCGTTTCGCAATCGACGCCCTCGTCGTCTGCGCGCTCTCTCGACAGCAGCAGCAGTAGCAAAACGAAAAACGTCGAACGTTCGGTGTTTTATAAGAAATATTTTTGTTTTGTTTTTCCTCCTCGTATTTTCATTTGTGACAATCGAACGAAAATTGAGCTTGTCCGAAATCATGCGATGTTTAGATGGACGCTCGATCACACATCTGTCTCACGTGTCAGATCCCGCTGCGATTGGATGTGGCGTATCGAAGCGGTGGCGAATCGAGCGAGCCCGACAAGAAGGTTTGATTTGGATTTTTACTTGTTGAAATTTTCGCCTAATGAATTGCAGAATGAGAACGAGATTGTTGAGTCGATGAGCACGCAGACGAGAAATTTGATGAAATTGATATCGGATGCTCAAACGCCGCATGATGCGCCGGTTTGTAAGGTAGTATTTGCGAAAACAATTTTCTCAAACTATAATTCAGCTTTTTTTTCCCCGCAAATTTTTAATGAATTTGAAGATTTGAGCGGAATTCCAAAAAAAATTTTTTATTGCACATTTTAGGCTTGAAATTGTCAATTGACCCAATACAGTAATGAAAAAGTTGAAAGAAATTTTTTTGATCTCAAATTTTCAGCGCGATTTTCTTTTGCGCAAAAAGAATTGAAATAATGAATTTGTAAATCCCAAAAATTTAATGGTTTTTTTCCTTAAATTCAAATTTCTTTTAAAAAATTGAAAAGGCTAAATGGTGATTTTGAAAATGTGAATGATTTTCAGGAATGTTCGGATTCGTTGCTGAAAGAGATGGATGCTCGTCTCGCGTTTCTCGACGAAGAATGCCTATGCTATAAAAAGTTTTGCGATGAATTGAAGGAAAATCACTCGAGTTCGAATCTGGCCGAAATGAAAACGCAATTGCAAAATTTGCAGGTACGCCGGTTACGGTGGTCTGAGTTTGTGTGCAATTGTGCGCGCGGTGATTGCGCACTTTCTGAATTCCTGTTGATTTACGAATTTTTTTTTAGGATGAAGAGCTTGCCCTACAAGCGCAATTGGCGAAATTGGCAGCCGAAGAAGAGCAAGCCGATAAGGAATTGCAGGTTTTGAGAAATTTTTGAAAATTACGAATTAAAAAAAAGATATTATTTGATAGAAACGACGAAAAGAGTATGAGGAGGCGAATGATTATTCATCGAGACTATGGCAAAAATATCGCGATAATTTGTCGACATTTCTCGCAAGAGAGGATGAGCTCAAAAAGTTGTCATCGGAAGTTTGCTATGCCGAGCAGCAGCAGAGAAAGTTGGAATTTGTTTTTTTTTCAAATTCATTTTTTAAGAAATGTTTTTTTCTAGGCTTGCCGACACCAATGCGATCGATTTGTGCTTTCATATATGGCTTGAAGACAAAATTGGCGAGATAAATGGATTTCGTCTTGGCACGCTGCCAGATGTAAAAGTTGATTGGATGGAAATCAACGCAGCGTTCGGACAAGTGGTATTATTGATTGAGGTTTGGTGGCGCACATTTTTTGAAAGGATGAGCCTCCCCAATTTTAGGTTCTTTATGAGCGTTTGGGCATTCAGCATCCGGAATTGGTGCCGGTCTCGATGGGAAGTCATTCGGTGATAAAAATGCGCAAAAATGGAAGCGATGGCGAGACGTTTCCCGTTTATGGGCATGGAACACCGTGTTCGGGCAGTAATCCGCTTGATGGTGGAATCAAGAAGGTGTTGAAGCTTGTTGAGTACCTGCAGACCGAATTGAAGGTGGGAAAATTTGAAGCAATCAATTTTTTGGATTTTTTTTTGGGGGGGGCTATGTTTTTTCGCATAGGGTTTTTCGTTCTATTTTTGTATAAATGCGAAAATTTTTGATTTTCGCGGGCTCATTTTTAAATTGTCCATTTTTCTGTTGGAAAATTTGCAAAAAAGATACTTAGAATAGAAAGACAGAAAGTAAATTTGAAATTTATCTTTAAAAGAATGATGCTAAACGAAATTCGCCGTCCTGAAGAGGTTTTTTCCATACAAGACCCAAAAATAGGCAGGGTTGAACCGAAATGAGATTTTTTTTTCTTCTCATCGACGGAAACATGAGAGGAATTCTGTGCGATCTTCGAAAAGCAAAATAAATATCTGAGAAATTTTAGTATTTTGTTCGCCTGGTGCCTTTACGGTAACGAAAAAAAAATATCCGGTTTTTCAATAGGAAATATATGGAAACGGAATTCCGTTCAACCTCTCCTAGGCGGCAATTCAAATGATAATTAAATTTGGGTGTGTTTGACATTTGAAGAATATTATTTTTATTTTTTCTTTTGCAATTCACACAAAATTCGATATGAATTCATTTTTTTAATGGGAAAATTTCCAGCTGCGAAACGAGAACTTCAAAATGATCTACACGATGGGCTCCGAGGGCTTCATCGACAATGGCGTGAAATACAAAGCGGTGATGATATTGAACAGCGAAGTGCGATGGACGCGCGCAATGGCGATGCTGTTGATGAATCTGAAGTGCGCGAGTGCCGCGTGCAGCACGATTCGGCCGATGTCTTAAATCGGATTCTGAAAAAAAAGAATAAGAAATGCGTGTAAAGATTCAACTCAGGCCGATTTTTTTTGCGTGATTTTCGTGTACATAAAAAATTTTATTCAAATCTGATTTTTTTGTTTTGTGTATTATTGAATTGTTCCCATGGTTTCGATGCCATTTAATACTTGAATTGATAATTTTTTGCAAATTCGTTGTTGCTATTTTAGGTGAAGATATTGGGATTTCGCCGATGGTGTCGAGAAGGAACTCGCCGTCACGAAAACGAAGATCGCTGGCTGATTGTGCTGAAGAACGGACGACACAGCCTGGGCTCAAGGTGAGATGATCTCGGTTGTTTTTTGTGAAATTCTGTTAAACGCGAGAATTTTCGGTTTTTTTTTCAAATTTTTTACTCTGAGAAATAAATATCGATCGAAATCGAATATAAACTAATCTGTTTCGAAGTGTTCCAAAATTTCCAAATAAAATTTTAACGATTTCAAAATTGAAAATAAGAAATCAATCAATCGATTTCGAAGAAATTCTTGAATTGAAACCAAATCAAATCGAATTTTACTTAGTTTTGAATCAAATCAGATTAATTTATAATTCATTTCCTTTTTCGAATCCTTTTGATTTGCATATACCCGAATTATCAATTTTCTACGATTTTTGAGGTGTTCTCCCCCTCCACAACCATTTTTGTTAATTAAAACCAATCGGATCTGAATTGCAAAACAATTTTAGAAACCAACTAGGAAAAATTGCCAACGGAAAAAATGGCAGAACGTCTTTAAAAAAGTTAATTTGAGCTCATTGAACAATTATGGACCATCGTATTTTTTCGGGGAGCCGAAATTCAAATTTTAATTTAAACACTTAGAATTTCGATACCGTAAATGTTGCGAGACCCTGTCGACAAATCACCTGTACCTTTAACTACCATATTTTCCCACATGCTAAATTTTATTTTTTAAAAACGAGTACCTTGCGCCGATTTTCCACTGTTGTTTAAATTTGAATTCAAATTATCGCCACGAAAAAGTGCGATGGTCCACAATTTGTCGCAGTGCTCATTTCTTTTTTTTTGGCGATGGTAGTATTTGATTTTTTTTTCAAATCGCTTGTGTGAGCAGAATTTTGGGTCTCGCAGCGATTCTCGAAGCCGCGCGCTAAATCTATCTCACAAATTTTTGGCGTCCAGCCAATGTCTCCGCCGACGACGCCGAGATGAAGTCGGAGAAAACAAAACCGACGAAACGGTTCACGCGTGGAAATATCTGTCCATGATTGGCGATTCCGATAGTGAGATTCGCACAAAGCGATTCCTCGTGACAATCGTTTCGAAAAATTTTTGTTCGATTCTGCACGTAATCGGCGACCTTCACTGATATCATCATCCATCCTTCCATCATCGTCATTGTCGTAGTCTGATTCGTATCAAACTGCACCGAATTGGTCTAATGTTCAAAAAAAATGTTTTTGTTGTTTTCTTTCCATAACGAGCCGATCAAATATTGTTCATTGGTCGGAGAATTGTAGCCAAACAGAAGAGATCAATCTGATGCAAATATGAAGAGAGAAACGAGACGACGAAATGGACACAGAATGCGACGTATTGAGGCCGTCGGCGATCACACACACACACACAATGTTTCAAGTTTCCAACCCATTTTTCTCTACATGCGCCTTTAAACTATTGAATTTACCTTTTCTTGTACTTTCCATTTGATTCATCGAAAACTATGTAGGGTGTTGAAAAATTAATAATCAACGCGTTTTGATTAAATTTTTTTGGAGATTGCATCATATGTGAAATTTCGAAACGCGATAATTAAGAAAAAATACATTTTTTGTCAAATACTCAATTTTTGTTGTTTAAAATGGCCATGATTTTTTTTTTCAGAATCAATAGATCAAAAAATGATTTCGCGCCATCTCAATAATTCATTCAATTATTTGTCATCATCATTGATTTTTCTGCCAAATAATTAACGGCAATTCCATTGTTTTTTTTTTTGTCGCTTTGGCGATTTTTTTTCGTGATCCCTCAAGTTGTTTCATGGCTCGACGCGATTTGTGGCCGTTCAGTGAAACGAAATTCGCGCCGGACACAATTCATTCTCAACCTGCGCTCTCCCCGTACACGTTGTTATCAGTTTTTCGGGCGTCTCGCGTCAACGCTCGATTCGAACACATCATTCTCTGTCGAGGCGGCCGACGTTTTTTTTTTTCTTGTCTCACCTTGCCTCCTCGTTGTCGCCAATATTTTATCTCGCGCTCTCTCTCTCTCTCTCTTCCTCTCACTCTCTCACAATTGTCATCATTTTTTCGCCGGCGACGACGACCTGGGGGAGGGTACGGGGGTTGCTATGCGACTCTCTCACACACCGTCTCGTTGCCCATTTTTTTTCCAACCAAATTTTTATGCGCCGCAAAAAAATTGCAAAAAAACCCCCCTACAACGTGACCTCTTTGAATTTGTAAATTTTAAAAAATCATTTTCAGAATTGGCTAATTTGGCTCGCAATCTCGACGACACTTTTTTTCGCCGCACCGCCGCCGCTTTTTGAGGACGTTGACGAATTTGTGCCATTTTTTGGTGGGTTTTCCCTCTCTCTCTCTCTCTTGCCAAAAAAACGCTGTTGTTTTTAGACAAAATGGAGCCGAACAATTTTGTGAGTGCGCCGAAACCGTTTTTCGATCGACCGATGGGTCTGCGTTGGCGCGATGACTCGCGAATGATGCAAGAGGTTTCGAATGTGAGCCAACATTGACGATGGCCATGAATTGAAGTTTGATCGATGAATTTCTAGGCGTACGTGATGCCGGTGCTCACCGAGCATCGTTCGGTCTCGCCGTTTGGCGGTCGACGATTCGCGTCGCCGTCGCGTCCGACGACATCGTCGATGGCGACGACGTCAGCGAACAACGACTCGCCGTCGCTTGAGGATATCGATTTGATCGATGTACTGTGGCGAAGCGACATCGCCATCGAGAAGGGCTCGAGACATGTCGCGCTGGCCGATCAATATGAGTGCGATCTGCAGACGCTGACTGAGAAATCGACGATAATGGTGAGATAATTGATTTATTCATTTTTTTTAATGGTGTGGTTAGGGCATTGGTAGTTTGCACACGAAAAATTGTGGAAGCATCTCGCGGCAGCCGTAGTCGAACCAGGTGCCGCGTTGCTCCTGATGAAACGCCATATAAGCGCAATCGACCTAGGCAATTGAATTAGTAGTGGCGGATTGTTGAGCGCGCGACTACCTCGGGCTCATTTGGCTGCGTTGAATCCCAATTCAAAAAATCGGCGTCGTTGCCGTCGGACCATTTATAGATTTGATGGGTGTCGTTGATTTTGTTCAATCCGATCCAAATGTTGCTCTCTGAAATGTTGTTGCGAGAATCGAGCACGGCCATCGCCATCGCCACCCAATTTTTGGGTTGGTCTCACTTTTGCGTAATTTGTGAACGAAAAGATTTTCGGACTCGTCGAGAATGCTGGCCAAATGGCCGCCCATTGAACGGCAAAAATTTTCGGCGGGAATCCATTGCATGTCGATTTCGAATAGTTTATACCAATGATCGCGATAGATTTGCCAGCCCTTTAATTATATGGATATGGATTCTTTTTTTTTTTGTTGTAAAATGATTGGATGTCGACTCACATTTTGTTGAAGTGTCAACACGGTGAGCAATCGAAGATTGGTGTCGATGTTGATGGCACGTTTGCCGGCCATCGACACATAATTGTCTTTGATTGTCGGCGGAATGACGACGGTCGTCGCGAAATTTGCCACAGCGAGCAATTTGAATGCGAGTAGTAGAAGCATTTTGTGGGGGGGATGGTCGGTGGGGTTTTTGAAATCGGCCGCCCGAAATTGTTGAATTTTATTTTGGGGAGTTTTTGTGTGGGTGTGATTTGAAAATAAACAAATTGCAGCCGCTGAACGCGAAAGAAAACGCACGATACGAGGATTTGTCGAAAGGCTATTACGAGGACTTCTACACGCCGTTTGCGAATGGAAAAGTGGCGACGTCGGCGGCGACGCCGACAGACGATATTCCCACTGATGTAGGAGGCGTTTTTTTTTTTGAAAGCGACAATTTAAATATTGTAGGAGGATCTTGCCGATCTTCTTGACGATGTCTCGAAAGAGGAGGGACAACTCAATCAGCTCGACGCCAACTTTTTCGCCGACACGACTCGTCAACAGCCGGCGCTTTTGCAGAACGTCTCGATGACGGATGGGATTGTCTACAATCAGAATAATAGTGAGTGAATTGGATTTTATTATTACTACATTTTTTTTGTCTCGTGTTCCAGTCACCGAAATGAACATGATTCGCGATGAGACGACGCAACTCGACGTTTCGGCGAACTTCGACACGTCGCCGACGGCGTGCAGCACGTTGTTCAATCAGACGGACGCCGAAACGCGTCAGTGGATTCGATCGTCCGAGTTCGCGCCGTCGGACGTGTTCCCGCGCGCGAACTACGCGTTTGTGCCGATGCAAAACGATTCGGCGCAACAGATGATCTCGAACGGCAACGTTTCGTACGATCACGCGTACGCGAATCCGGATCAGTCGAGAAGCGCGTTGCGATCGAGTCCGATATTTGATCCCTATCATTCGACGCGTCAATCGTTTTCGGATTGCAAGTAAGCGTTGATTGAGATGTGAGCCGTCGACCCACTCATTCTGTTGTTTTTTTGTAGCGATTCGTCATCGACGTGCTCGCGCCTCTCGTCGGAATCGCCGAAGCATTATAGCGAGTCGTCGACGGACGTTCCGCAGACTCTATATCACGGCAAATTGATTCCGGCCCAGTCGCCGCCATCGCCGACGGCGGCGGCGGCGGCGGCATCGCGAATTCCGCGAATTCCGCTAAGCGGTGGTCATCGCAAACGCGGACGGCAATCGAAGGACGAGCAGCTCGCGTCGGAGAACAAGCTGCCGGTGACGGCGTGCGAAATTGCGCAGATGAGCCTCTCGGAGCTTCAGCGGGTGCTCAAGACGGAACAATTGACGGAGCACCAGAAGCAGTTGATTCGCAAGATTCGCCGACGCGGAAAGAACAAGGTGGCGGCGCGAACGTGCCGACAACGTCGCACCGATCGTCATGATAAGGTTTGATGAAGCGATTCGTTGATTGTTGATGAGAACGACTGGAATTGCAGGTGTTCAAACTCAACATGAACATGCGCGTTTGAGCGTTGGCTTGATGATCTTCAAAATTTTCGTTTCCACAAAATCTCCTAATATAGCCACGTCCATAATTTATACCTCGCCTCCTGTATTTTGTTTCTTCATTGTTACTTTTTTTTTTCTTCTCATTCTTGTATCGCGAATATTTCAATCCTCTCTCTTTTTTTTCTGGTACTCTTTTTTGAAAGCCTGGAGCTGGTAAACAGAAATTTACGAAAAGAAAAATTGAATGTTTCGTCTTCTCGGTCAACGCTGCGATATATTTTTTTGTTGTTGTTTTCAATCATCCCAGTTTTGTGTGTGTGTGTTCTTTTCATTTATTATTTCATTCATTTTTTTTTTGGTTATGTTTTATCCCGATCGTCCGATTTCCCCACGTTTTTTTCCGATATTCAGCACAAAAGCGGGTTTTGCGATGAAAAACGAAACATGTAAACTGAGAGAGAGAGTGAAAAAAAAAACGAAGATCATTGAATTGTTGTATGTGTGCATTTTTTGGTGGTTTTCTCGCAGCCCACGATCTTGTTCAATTTTTTTTTGTTTGAATTTAGTTTAATCAAAAAACACTACAATAGCCCCCCGAAACGCTTTTGAGCAATCAAAGCGCACTTTGCACAAAAAAAAGAAACGAATGGTCCGTTGATGTACACATGTTTATATTTATATATATATATACTTTTTTGTCTTGAAAAAAATAAATAAATTTCAAAAACACCGAAAATTTTTGTTTGTTCTACTCCATCGACTCGCCTTCGTGCACGTCCTCCATCACATGGTCCGACGCGACGGCGGCCTCTTCTTTGCATGTGCAAGCTTTTCGCGAGAACAGAAACTTCTTGACGAAATGCGAGATTCGGCCGGCTTCGAGCTCGTCGCCGATGGCTTTCGCGTCGGTGACAATCTAGACGCGAAAAAATTGGAATAGTCGCGCAAAACGAACAATTTTACCTTTTCGATGGCCTCAAGCGTTGACGGACTCTTGTCGTTGGACGCGTATTTGCGTTCAATCTGTAGCAAAAAATTCTGTGAATCAAAAATTTCTGGCCGAGATGCGCCTTTAACTTATCATGAATAATTGTGGACCATCGCAATCATTTTTTTTTCAAATTTCGATTTAATCAGTGGGTACCGTACTTACCGTAAATCAATACCAGGATGCTGCCCCTTTAGTTGTCAGAAAGACTATGTTCGTATTTTTTTGCGTCTGAGAAAATCCGGTTCGCTGTGAGACCAGGCTTCTAACTACTCCCCACCCCCTTTAAATACCGCGCGCGTAGGGCTGGGTCTCGCAGCGACCGAGAGACCTTTCCGTTTTGCCAGAAACCAAATACTATAGCTGTCGAAATACACCTACCGCGCCGAACTTTTGCGTGATGTCGTTCATCTGATTGTTGACGAATTCGACGTTGGCGAACAACGGCGAGCTGCTCAACGTCGATATCCAATAGCTGTTCCAGAGCGCCGAAAGAATGTGAGCGTCTGCGAGCGCACAAATTTAAGTTGAGAAACATTTTTGCGGTCGTCATACCGAGTTGCGATTTGAAGAAGGTGACGTCGAGCGAATAATAGCGTTTGCAGTGGACGCCGAAATCTTCGACTTTGCTCAATGGGATCGATTGGTAGCCGGACGGAATGTCGTCCGGTGGATGATAGCCGTCCGGATAGGTTCGGAACGCGCCGATGTCGACCTGGAATTGAATGACACGCGATTTGATCGCAAAATTTGAATTTCGCACCTTTCCCGCCGACATCGTTCGCAATGGATCGATGACAATCGCCACCCATGGCTCGAAATGCTTCTGGTTCAACGATTGTGTCGAGACGTCGATTCCGGAAAGCCAGCAGCCGTAGCCCGGATGCGAATGATACCAGCCAACGACCTGAAAAGACAATATCAATCATTTTTTTTTGCAAAAAAAAATTTGAAAGTGCAATTTTCGAGTTATTTTTGGGGTTTTTGAAAATTTGCCTTCAATTATTTTTTTCGTGACGAACTTTTTTCAACAAGTCGAAAACTATTGGGAATATCCGGCGCTTTTTTAGGCGCCTCAACTCACTTTCTCCTTTTTTCCTTCCATTTCGCAGAGATCCGTGTAAACCGACATGTATTCATAGGCCTGCGCTTGCGCGTTAACTCTGAAATTCAAAAATCAAATTGGCGCCAAAAAAATAATGAGAGTGGTCTTGACGCAAAATTAAGTGTAGATTTAAGAGGTAGGCCTCCATTGAGATGGTCGGACTCGCTTCGGAAGAAGATCACCACAAGAACAGCTGAAGGAGCCGTAATCACCCCATGGTCCACCCAAGCCAAGGACCGAAAAGCTTGAAAAGCTGTGATTCGCGCCTCAACAGGCGAGGGACGAACCGACTAAGTGACTAAGTAAGTAAGTATGTTTGAAGATAGATTAAAGGCGCACCGAGACCTCTTCTTGAATTTGTTGATTCTACGCAATCGCGCGACGCCAATAAAATTTCCTTTAATAAAAAACCGACCTGGTTTCGGTACCCTCGACCGGTAGAGCAAAAGCGTCGAGAATAATGAACGAATTGGCGTCGATTCGGCCTTGAAGAAGACCCATAATCTGAAATTATTTTCTCGATTTTTTCTCCAACCAATTGTGTACCTCCAAATTTCCACCGCGCTTCGCATGCATCGTCATTTTGAGAAGAGCAATTGCAGAAATTTTAATCTGTAAATTATTTTATTAAAATTTAAAAAAAAAAAAACAGGAAATCTTTAAAAACAATTGAAATTCGGAATTATTTCTTACGTGACAAAATTAAAAATTTTTTTTTAAACCCACCTGCTTGAAATAATGCGGATCCTTGTCCCACGGACGAGCATTTCTCATCTCAGTTTGCATTTGATCGTTGTATTCGTATACCGAATCGACATTCTCAATCTAAATTTAAAAAAAAAATTCGATAGGCAAAAATGAATTGCCGTCGAAACCTGATTCGCCATCTCCCAGTTTTTCTGCGGAACCATCGACGGCACATTGTCGACTTCCATTTTCTGTAATTTTTCGAATTGTTAACATCATGAAAAACCAAGAAAAATATTCGAAAACGTCCGCTAAACAACGGTCAATCAAGTGAAGTGTCGCTAGAAAAAAAATCACATGTGGCCTAAGTTTCTCGCGGCCATCTCACAAGAATTTGGCGGCCATTCCACCATTTTTTTTTTCATTTATTATTGAAATCTCTTTATTTTTCAAGCAATATAAAGAGAAAACGATTATCATATTCACAAGGAAAATTAGTTGAACCGGTATCGACTAGAAAAACCAATGACAATGACTATTATTAGATATTAATTTACAAACATTGAGAAAAAAAAACCGGAGAAAACCAAAAATTGCTCTATCCGTATTTCTTGGGGGGTGGGCTGGTAGGGGAACCATATTTTTGGAAATCTTGACGATATGATACATAAAGCACAATTATATACATTCAATTATAGCTAAATGTGAGGCCTCTCATTTCAATGTGTCGGCGAACACCAGCGAGCCTTGCGGACCCAGTCCTTTGAGGTGGCGCGCCGTTGAGAGTGTATCGAACAACTGCTCGCTCTCGTCGTGACACGTCTTCGCGGTTACTGTCGATTCTACCGTACCCGCCGATGAGATCAACGGTGTATTCGTGACCTGAAATGTGGAACTCGTGCGAGCTCTGCCGAAATTCCCAATTTTTACCAAATAATCAGCCGTCGAATATTGACCAAATCGGCGATCTCGGCTATAATCAAACAAATCATCATAGGACGACGAAATCAGACCTGAAAATCAATGAGTTTTCAAAAAAATTCCCTTTTTTTCTTCTTCAAACCAGAAAATCTCGGAAAATAGGATTCTGGCAATTCGCCAAACTCGTCCTCGTGCTTCCGATACATGAACATTCCACTCGAATTATTCGGCGGAATACTGTAATAATGCGATCTTAATTAATTAGCCGAACCACCCCCCAATTAATCAATTACTTTAATTTCTTCCGAAGAAACGCGAAATAGAGAATCGGCGAATAGGAGAAGAAGTAAGCATACGTTGAAAATGCGACAAAACTGTTTGAAGGCAAAATCGGTATTTTTGAAAACGCGTGTATTTCGCTCACCAAAATCCGTCAAACGATTTGAGGAGAAGCAAAACCGCGCCGAGTGCTTGGAGAATATTCAATGAAATCATGAAGACGCAAAAAACGACAAACGACGGCCGACTCGGCAATTTCGTGAATTTTCGGCAAAACACGAGAGCGACGAACATGTATATCAAATAGATCTGCAAAATTCAATCGCTCTTCTTCTTCGAATTTCTTTTTTTTTCTCTCTTTCTCTAAAAATCGATTTACCATTGAGACGAACATCGACGAGAATATCCAGAAAATCGTGGTGAGATCGGCGTCGACGTCGAAATACGCGTTGTAGATCGAATCGGTCGGCACCAAACGCATCTCGAGTAGCATTTGGACGGCGGTATGCGGAACGGATATCATCAATGTGACGAATATCGCGATTCCGAGATTTTTGATGTTGTCGAAATGGCCTGCAATTCCGCCTTTTTCTTTTTTAATTTTCTCTTATTTCATTTTTTTTTGGAGGGGAATGGCAATTTCGCCTATTTTTGGCCAAAAACCTGTTCCATGATACCCATCGGTTCTTTATTTTTTCGCGACCATATGACCTGTCATTTAAAAAACCATTTTCTTATCAAATCGTCGAATCGGTTGAGTGTCAAATGCTCAAAAACCACGATAACGTCTGCTTACCGAAGAGCAACGCGAATGAGAGCACACAGAGCTCGGCGGTGAGATAGACGAATTTAATTGCGAACCATAATGACTGAAAATGTCGAATTGATATTTTTCGAATCTCAACAACAACAACAAAACCTGATCAATTGTGTGCTCGGGAGGATTCGTCACCGATATCGTCATCGAATAGAACGAGCGGACGATATTCATGATGGACGAGATGTAGGCGAGAATGAAGAATGACCGAAACACCGGATCGTTTCGAATAAGCGTTCGCGAGCACATCACTCGACATTTTGCCAACAGGAATATCAGAAAAATTAGGTTGGGTATCAGAATTGCGAGGTCCCAATATCGGATACTGTAATTTGAGTATTCAAAAATTTTTTGTTATAGAAAAACTCGGCCACGGCCGTGCGCGTCGAAGCCTACCGTCCCAACGTCTTTTTTTTATTAAATCGCTGGAAATAAAAAAAAATCACTACTAAAAAATTATTTGACAGAAAATTCATGATTCTTGAAGCGATTCAATCAAAACTGTGTTAGGCTTCGAAAAAAAAACGTGGCCGTGGCCGAGGTTTTGTTTTTCTTGCTTCTTCAATCGCCATCTTCATTCCCAACTCACCGAATCGTCTCGTTGCGCAGAAAAAACACGTCGCGACACATTCCGCTTATCAATCGATGCGTTTCGGCGTCGATGAGCATCGACGAGACGTTCGGCAACAGAATGTCGACGAGCGAGACGCTCTCGTCGAAATCGGTGAGATTCGAGCTCGACGACGTCGCACCGAGACTCGTGCCGGGATTCTGCTGGAAAATCACCGACATTCAGCAACAAGCGCGCGTCTGCAACCAATTCATTTCCTTTTTTTCTACTTCTTCTGATAACAGAGGTGTGAAGGGCGATTGATAAGAAGAAAGTGATCATTGATAGGTCAAACATATTCAAATTTTCGGTGAAAAAAAATTCAAAAACGAGTTTTTCGTTGAACAATTTTTGCCCGCAAAAAAATGGAGCATGAGAAAATCGGTATAAATTTTGCGCAATTGTAAATGCAGGTAAATAAATTAAAAATGTAATGAATCATTAGAAGAAACACTCAGATCATTTAAAAATTGCGAAATAAAAAAAAACGCGAATTTCGTATTAAATAGAAAGCCACGATAATGGAGTCCTTGCATTGTCCGCAGCACGTGTGTTACAACATTGGGAAACGTGACAAAAAAAGATTAATTGATCTATTTAGGGGGGACGGGTTGTCACGTGGCTCGACGCCGTCAGCCTCCAAACAAAAAAAAAAAGAGAACCATGTGACGCATACATACAATTAACAACAGGCCAACTACTATAAATAAATCGATAAATGTATAATTAAAGTGGGTGGTGGGCAAGTTTTTCTCTTTTTCTCTCTCTCTTAAAAAACATACACACGGCAAAAGAAGGAAATCGAAGGTGAGCGGTGTGTAAGTGTGTGTTTCTCCATCTCTCACTTATTATTTGAAAGAAGAACTCGGTCGGTGTTTGCACAGCGAAAGCAGAGGCGACGTCGAAACCTGGAGGAGAAAAAAAAACACTCGTCTGCGTCTCTCGCGCCGCGGGCTTCGCCTATTTTTTTTTCCTCCTCGTTCTTTTTGGTGTCGCTGCGGACCCTCGACGTCGCTTCCGCGTGTGTGCCAATCTCAAAGATTATCCGCCTCGAATTGGGAGTCGTTGAGTTGTTTTTTTTTTCTGTTTCGAATATTTCTCGAATTTTTTTTTAGTGTTCTTTGGTGCCTCATTTTTTAGCCGTAACCGGTTTTCGTTTCCAAAAAAACCCCCCATTCTAGTGCATTAATGGACCTACAAAAAAAAAGAAGAAAATTCTGGAATCCTCAATCATTCGTCGTTTATCTAGTATCATTTTAACAGCGAGAGATGGAAAAAAACGCATACAATTGACATTTCGGCTTTTGAAAGAATGACGAAATGTGTTGGTGTTGTTTGACGATGACGCGAGACGAAACTGGGCCAATCTGCACAAAACCGACAATAATTATAATATTTACGGAATATTAATAAGATAAATAGCCGTAAATCAGCGCAACAATGCAAAATTGAAAATGATGGTGGACGAGAAGAGAATAGGGCGCGTGCGAGCGCGCGCGCGCGCTCTCGCGATGGGTGGGCCGACGACGAACGCCTGCTGATTGTATAAATACACGAAGTGAGGTTGTGGCATGCGAATCAATTTAATGCATGATTGACAGCTTTTCACATACCGCGCGTTTATTAAAAACCACAATTTATTATTAAAATTTCGATGGGAAACACACACACAGCAAAATGAGGGAGAAAAAATAACAAGTGTGCAGAATGACGTCGCGGTGTACCACACACACGCGCGCGTCTACAGTAGCAATTCAATTATTTTTTTTGTCACATTCGAATTATCGACACCAATTCGTCATCTTCTTTCGCGATTTCTCGAGATGTGTGAATTCCGTGCTTTTTGCAGGTGTCGCATCTCTCAAGCGCCGGTGTTATCACAGAGACAACAATCTAAAGCGTGTGAATATTTAGAAAAAAAATGGAGATGACGATTATTTTTTTTTTTGTTCTTGTTTGAATTACATCATTGTTGAAAGAAGCGGTGAATTCGCACGGTCTCGGATGCGAAACTGGCGCGATTTGTTCCGGACGGCACGGCGCGACCGTATCACAACGCTGCCAATCCGATTTCTCAAAGCGAAAGAAGAATTGAAAAACGAGGTTGGAGATGATGGAGAGAATCGCCAGGATTAGCATTATGTACCTTTAAAAACAACGCGAAAATAATTGATTTTGCCAAAAAAAAAAAGAAAAAACCTCCACTTCTCCCATTTTCCATCAATTCCCAAAATCAAAATTATCAAATTAATAATAATTGATGATAATGGAATTGAGAGGAGATGCATATGGACCATCACAGTGATATAAAAGTCGCTGAAATGCGAATTTGCTGAAATTTGGTGAAAAAAAAACGAACCCGGCAATTATTTTAGATGCTTTGAATGCGGATGGCCAGATGAATGGAACAAAAATGAAGATAACGAATAGTAGGATGCATTCGTAAAATAAGGGGAATCTGAAAAAGAAAACCAATTTCAAATGGTTGAAAATCAAACCTGAGCGCAAATAGGAAGAGCATGAAAAAGGCGGGTCCGAGTGTGGAAAATGAGGCCAAAAATTTGACGGATAAATACGTGGTGAGACCATTTCGGTGTTCGCTTATCCAGCCGATGAAGCATTTCGAAGCGGTGTAGCAAATCGAGAATAAATCATTATAAATCAATGGTGGCTTTTTGGAATTTTGATTACTAAAAGCGCGGCAATCATCCAGAAGGCGGCAATTCCGACATGATTATCGACGGAATGAAGGAAATAAATCAAATATTGCGAGAAGAATTGAATGATTATTGTATGCACGAGGCAGATGAGAAATACCGAACGGAATTGCCAGCAATTCAGAAGTTTCTGGAAAAACTTCAATTTTTTTTAACCTTTAAATTAAAAAAATGAGAACCTTGAAATCAATTTTTGAGTTTTGGAATTGAAGGCGTCGAATTTTCGTCAACTCGATTTCCGAGACGTTCGCGTGTCTTGCCGGATTTTCTCTGAAAATGTCGAATTTCGAAACATTCATCGCTTTTTGCCGCTTACTTATAAAAATAGAAGAACAGAATTGAGGCGAATATCGAGGCGATCGCCTGAATGTAGAAAATCGACGCCCAACCGATCCATGAATTACACAAATATCCCGAAATTGGCGAAATTAGTGAATAGGAGAACTGGAAGAAACATTTTCGATGGTTTGTTAGGATTTACAAAAATTAAACTTGGAAAAATGTCGAGAGCATTAGAAAACACAAATATTCGCGTTTTCGTGTGGACCATTTTGATATTACGCAGGGAATTAATTGGAATACGGACGCTGAGCAGCAGCCCTGCAAAAAAAACATTTTTAAAGCTCTAATTATTTAATTTAAAAAAAAAATAGGAAAAATCTTAATAATTTCCTAAGTAATGTTGCAAACGCGCTCTATTGAACGTTTAGTGCTACCGTACTCATTTTAAATACAGTAACCGCTTACAAAATCACGCCTAAATTTAAATAATATTTTTTCGCTGGAATTTTTTCAATTTTTATTTTCAATTTGCTCTTACCTGTATTAAATAAATTAATAAGACGATATAGTAATTGAAATAAATCATCCATGGTACGAACGCAACAAGCAATGACGATAAAAACGCGAGAAATGAGGTAATTCGATGAGAGCCTGATTTCTTAGAAAAAAAATTTCGGGCATTTTAATTAATTGGTGTAATAATTACCAAAGAGATGGCAAATATGGGATAGTATGCTAATAATGTTCCAATAGAAGAGACGGAAATGAGAAAAAGCTGCTGATTGAACGAATATGTATTGCCATCAAATGGGAAATCATCAATGTCGAATGAATCTGAAAACGAATCTTGTCGTCAATCGAAGAAGCAAAATTCGATTTCACCGGAATTCGTCGAATTCTCTGGAAACACAATGCGACAAATCGAAGCGGTATTGATGGAAATCGAGTTGGTGTAAATGATCGTATTGAAAATTGTGATGTAGACAAGAATTATGAAGCGCGTCCGATGCAGAAATGTTTTATAGGCTGGCGCGTGGCGCAACGAATCCGTTTTGGTGGCCGAGAATATCGGGCTGAAATTGGATAATTCGGTAGTTTTTATCAAAATTTCGTTTTTTTACCGCCGACTTTTCGCGATTCTCGTCATTGTGGCATTTTCGAGAGAGAGTGAGAATCACGAGGTTCGGTGAATTTGCGCTGAAAATAAATCGATGCGCTCAGAAATTTGAATGAATCGCAAAATTCAAACTGTGGCGGCGAGCGAGAGAGTGTACGACGAGGCGAGACGCCGACATTTCGGCGAGCCGTACGAATTGAAGTGAATTCGCTTATTTGGAGACCATCATTATGAATGCCGCGCGCTCGAGCAGCGCGTTGTCGAACCCCATTTTCAATTTGTCGTCTATTTTTGGCAAAAATCGAAACAAGACCCAACTCTTCGCAAACAGGAACAACATTATTTTAGGCGCTCAAAAAAAATTATGGTGCAAAAGTGCGTCGCGTGTAACTGCGGACTTGCGCGACTACAGTACCCAGACAAAAAAATTATCCACCAAAATGGCGGTGTTCAATCTCAATCTCCCTTTATTGCCGAATGTTTTTAATAAAGAAAAAAAGGCAATCAGGGAAAAAAAAAAAAACAAATTTTTATTAACAAAAAAAAAACGGAAATAAAAATCTAATCGACGCGAAGACGAAAAAAAAAGTGACTATTGAAGGAATCGCGTGAAATACATGGCCATCTCATAGGCTCCGAAGAACACGAATCCGCCGCCGGAGATCCACATCATGCGCGGCGCGACTCCAGAAAACAAACCGGCTAGGCCGTTCGTCGTGTAAACCTTCAAAAAAAATAATAATAAATAAATAACCGCATACACATATTTATTTTATGGTGTTCAGATTATCGTGTACAATTGGATTGGCATAGTCGTTAAATGATATCAAATTGGCAAAACGATGAGCTTTTTTTTGCATGAAACTACAAATTGTATTACTGTTTGGATGTCGTAGAATTCGACGTTTCGGTACGCAGTACACCGAGCGATTTTTGTTCTCGCATTTCCACAATTGTCGCATTCAAAAATATTTTTTCGAATACAGTAATTTAAAGGCGCAACGACAGGGTTTCGTGAAAAGACGATACCTCTTTCAGTGTCGCCAAAATTTTCGGCTCGGGACCCGTTTTAGTGAGCATGATTCTCGTTTTCGCAACGTCGAGTGGCGTCGTCAAACCCGCCGAAATGCATCCAGCAATACTGCCGCAAATCGCGCCCATCAATGGATTACACACGCCAGTGTCCTGAAAAAAAAAAAAACAACAACACCTTCCATCTGCGGACCATTTCGGACAAACGGCCCCCCCCATTCGTTACCGATTTCTTGGCGACACATCTCTTGAGACCCTCCCAAATCGGAAATTGGATCATCGAAAACGGAATCTCGCGCGCTATCGTACTACCGTAGCCTTGATAGAAGCCGACGAGGCCCTTGGCGCGATAGATCTCTTTGCATATCAGCGTCAGACGCGAGTTCGCCTAAATCGTCGCGAGTGACGCGGTTTGAGATGATGTCGATATGGAAGTGGGTGAGAAGCTTCTTACCGCCACCTGTGCGCGCTGTTTGCACAATTCGGTCGGCACGCGAATCGCGCACGCCGCGATTTCGGCGACGCTCGCCGATAACGCGTCGATCGCCGCCTCGTTCGTGTGGAATTCTGCAATTCGCAACTAGCACTTACAATGTTTGAATTGCCTTGTAGGGATAAGACCCCTTTAAAGTGGTTTTGCAATTTTAGAACGAAATTTAGCTAATTTGCTGCATGGAAAATCGTTAAACTCATTTTTTTCAAATTTCATTCAAAAATTTTTTTTTTTTAAATATAGTTAAGGTGTTTTTAAAAGAAATCGGCGAAAAATTCGTTTAAAAATTTCGAAATAGTGAATGGCCGAATAATTCGCGGCCGCGGCCACCCAGCCTCATTCACTTTTAAGACTAACCAAACTGCTTTTAAAAATTTCTAAAAAGAAAAACTTCGACAAAACGCATTCCATACGAGACCCAAAGCGGCAATTCAAATAAAACTACTCACTTTTTCGCATTTGGGTGTTGATATACTTGTAGGAGATGAAGAATATCGAGGCGCCTGGCGCCGAGCCAACAAGAACTGAGCTCATCCCTCTGAAATTCAAAATCGAAACAAAAAAAGAAAACCCAAAACCAACCTGTAAACATTTCTGAAACCGCCGGAAGCGAGAAACCCCTTCTCGGACTGCATTCGCGATTTGATCGTGTCCAATGGATACAATCCAATGTCGACGGCGAGGCCCGCAAACGCACCACATATCAGCCAGCGGGCCATATTGCCGTCCTCGACCATCCTTATAAGGTTCCAACTTGTACAAATAAAATTTGAGGTGAAAACAAAAAAAAATATGTACAATCCGATCAACGAAAAACATAACATCCAATCAAAACGAAACGAAATTTTTTTTATTCAAATTCTCTTGTAAACTTTGAAAACCGTCGTGGTCCCGTGTGAGTTTCTACCCGTTGTTGTATGATTCCTGCAAAAATGCTCATTTTTCGCACATTTTTTTTTGGAGCACACACACAAAAAAAAAGAATGAGAGAAAGCGGTTAACACAAAATTTATGGATGATTGCAAATGATTAAAACGGTATAATATATAAATTAAGAAAAAAATGAATATAGATATATTTTTTGGCGGTTTGTCGAGTCCAAGTCCGGCCGTGCTCGATGCGATGGTCCCCATTCGACGACGATGCGAAACCTGCACAAAAAATTACAATTTAATTGACAAAAAATCCAATAAAAATGAAAAGTTGAGGCGCAAAATTGTACAAAATCACTTACTTTTTGAAGGCACAATCGAAGAGACACAAAAAGTTTCATAATTTGACAACAAAAAACAAACGACTTGCACAATTTAGTCGATTTTTGAGATCTCACAGATTATTAATTAGTGTTACAGTATGAGAAAATTGGTCTCACAGCGATTTGAACAACAATTCAGTTGAATGCAATAATATGATTATCAATGAAAAAATCGCATTTTCAACATTTTACACAAAAAAATATCAACAAAAGTATCGCACAAAACAAAAAACACATTAATTTTGGAAAAATTGAGCGAATTTCACGAATAATTTTGAAAATTCTACCATCAAATTTACATTATTACTATAGAAATAAGAAATGAACAATTGACAACATTTTAAAGGCTCATTATAGTATCATTTTAATAAATTTCATAATTTCATATACAATTTATAAAATAAAAATGATGGCCGCTACAATAGAAAAAAATGCAAAAATTTTTACAATCAACTCGTAGTTATTCAGCTTTTCAACGCAAAAAACCCCAAAAATCAAAAAAAAATTGTACAACTTACGTATTATTACGTGATTCCCGCCATAACGTCTCAGCGGACTTCAATTATTAAAAAATGATGAATTCTACACATTAAATGATCTGAAAATTGTCAAAATTCGAACGAATTCACCCATCATCTAACCTACCAATATAACAAAATAAATAATATTAAAAGCGATTGAAATGAAGGCTTCAGTATCTACGACGCGATCGATGCGGCGACGGCGAACGCGAATAAGATCTAAAACGAATTTATTTAATTTTGTTTTCAGAATTTACTTGGAACTACTACTCATTGCACGATTGGAGGTCTCAAAATGCCGACGACCTTCTGTGCGTTCAAATATTTCAAAAATGCCTACCTGGTGCGACTGCGTCGTCTTCTCTTACGCTCGCGATCACGACTACGCGATCGATCACGATACGACTTGCCGCGCGAATAGTCGACGCGGCTCTCGATTCCGCGAAGCGTCTCATCCAGACTCTGCACCAATCCTCGACATCGCTCGTCGCTTCCTATTCGACTCTTTCGGATGAGCTCGATGGCTGTGATCAGCGTTTCGCGTGCGCCTTTAATATCGCCGGCCGACGCGTCGGCAACAGCGCGACCGATTGCCGATGACGAGACCGTTCTAGAATACGTCCCATTTCTCATTTTGCATATAAATCAGGCTTACATGTTTCGGTTCATTATTTCCTCAAATTCAGCATCCGAGAGCGGAGCTCCCTGAGCCGCTTGAACGCCGGGGAACATTTGCGGATTCACATGAACCGGCGGCGGGATTCCATTCGTCGGCGGACGCATCGCCGTATTTACCGACATTAGCGGCTGCGCAATTCCGGTTTGAATCGGTTGCCCATATTGTGGAGGTCTGAAAAACAATTTGAAAAAAAACAAGAGCAAGACAAGAAAGAATCTTCAAAAAATCTTCGCGCAACGCTTATGATCACCTATTTTGTATGAATTGTTGGCCAATCATCGTCGGCGGCGGCGCGCTCATTCCAACTTGTTGCACACCCAATGGCGTCGTTGTCATGCCGCTCATCAACGGTCGCGGCGGTTGGCTCATCGCATTCTGCATTATGATATTCTGTTGGGGCATCGCCGATGGCGCGATGTTGCCCATCATGCTCTGCGACGCTCCAATCGTGTTCCGGTTGAGCATCGGCACCTGCGAAGGTTGGCCGTTGATTTGAAGTCGAATCGTGTTCTGCGGCATCAAATTGGTGTTCATCAATGGTTGCGGTCCCCTCATCATTGTTCCGCTGTTTTGCATCATAAGAGGTGGCGGATTTCGATTCTGCTGCTGCGTTTGCTGCATTCCGCCGCGATTATTCATCATCGTTCCGCTGCCGATTCGAATCGTTCCCATATTGAGGCATCCATCATCGGTCTGTGGAAAAAAACAAAAATAATAACTCAAGCAATAATAAAACGCCTAGAATTGTGCGGGAAACTTTTAACGCGAGCCGGAACTGAAGGCTAACGCCGGTAAGACCCCGGAACGCTATCGCACTCGCTACCAGCAAGAATAATAATTGACAACGTCCTGCTGAGTTTAGGTGCAGACATGAACCCGCGACGACGCGCGCATCGGACGAGTGTCTAACCGTCACGCCGCGAGAACCGGTGAGAGCGAGAGGCGACGAGTCGGTTGACATGTATACGAACACGAACAAAAATCGAACAAAAATCGTTCTTTACCTTCTTCTTAACATCCGGTCTAGTTTGATTTTTAATTTGAGCTTCTTCCAATTTCGCTTGATTTGTTTTACTGTACGATAGAACAATTAGGCTCTGACCATGAAGAGATTTTGTTGGCAGAATTTCCATAACAGTTTTCACAGCTGAAAAAAAAATCGGTTTTATAAAACAAGATTTTTTGATATTAAAAAATAAAAATTACCGCTATCCGAGTTGAACACAAGAAGAGCGTATCCCTTGCTTTGACCATTTGTTCGGTTTTCGAAAAATTTGCAATCAGCATAATCCGATTTGTCAATTCCAATCGAAGCAATCAATTTGAGTAGATCGGCATCAGTTGCGTACCATGTAAGGTTTCCGACGTAACAGCAATACCTATAATTTTCAAATTCTCATGTTGCGAACAAAAAAAAACCAACTTTTTTCCGTCGGTATGGTTCACTTTCGTAATCGGCGCCGAATGATTTGCAGAAGTTGGTGGAACTGGCGTCTTCACAGTGGTCACGGTCTCCTGAATAATTGAAAATTATTAAAATTAACATTAAACTCAAAATACAGCTGGAGCATTTGTTGGAGCAATTGCGTCGTCGTATAAATCAATCTCATCCTTCACTGGATCCTCTTTTCTGCAATTCAAATGAAATATTATACACCAAAATACCGAATTCTACATTTCATCCTTTAAATCTAAAACATCATCGTCATGTTGATCCAATAAAGCGCTTTCGTCTATGGGCTCTTCTGAAATATCGCCACAATCAGCGAGAAGAACGGACTCATCGACATCCGTCATCTAAAATGTAATAATGCATAATTTCTATAAATTTTAAATCATTCAAATAATTCAAAAATAGTTTCACGGAAAAATTCGAAAGAAAGGACGTATTTTTTGAAAAACGGCTTTATCCGCTAAACCGCGGGCAGTCGGTGAATGGCGGAGCATCGTTGCACCGTCGCCGCGATCACCCCGCAATTTCGCCATTTTCTTTTCTTAGTTGATGGAAGAGCCGAACAAAAATGAGATGACCCAAGAAATGGGAATCGTGAAAGAATCGAAATCAAATGTATGGTTTGTTATTTTAACAATTTTCGCGAAATTCCCAATTTTTAGGTGGTCCTTTTGGAGCCGACGTACGAAATTCGAGAAACGCACGCGAATAATGCCGAACAATTGCCGGAGAATGTTCTAATCGGCGAGGATGACGACGAACAACTTCCATCATCATCTCAAGATGTTCAATGCGATGTGATGGACCCATTCTTCTACACTTCCGTCAATATCGACGAGGTCAATCGCGATCAGTGAGTGATTTTGAATCGATATCGATTTAATTGCCCAATTATAGCACATTGTGCCATCATTGCGGCGAGGATTTGACGAATCGTCGCTTCTACAATCATTTATTCGATCATCACGGATACACAAAACAGCAGCTTGATTTGATGAAGACACAAAAAAGGATTGAAAATGCGAAAAAGAAGGTAAAAAATGGGATATTTCTTCAAATTTTAGCCCCATTTTTTACAGAAAAAAGAGCTCAGCTTATTTATTTGCGATTGTGGAACGCAATTTGTCTCAAAAAATGGATTAGTGAAGCATAAAGTTTGAAACAATATTATTAATTGCTATCAATTTCATATTTCAGCTGCGTTGCCACGAAATCGACGCCGATGAGAAAATGATAACTGCAAGTGTTGACAATATAGTTTGTCCGAGTTATGCATGCGAGAAAAAGTAAAAATGTTGTGTAGAAAATCTTTAAAAAAAAATTTCCAGCTTCACCACATATCTCGACCTCGCGATTCATGTCGATTCGGCGCATCGCAATTTGGTCACAATTTCCGATGCATTTCGTATTCGACGAGTATTTTTTCAGGATAAAACGAGTTTTTCAGTAAGATTAATCTCATTTTGATTCAATTATATACATTTTCGGCGATTTCAGAAGTGGAAGCGTGATATGGAAAAAATCACACGTTCGGATTTTTTTCTCAGGACCACTCAAAAAGTCACGTAAGTATTTTAATCAATTTTTAGACAATTCAATTCAATCTCAATTTCTAGATATGCTCAAAAAACGGCGCTTTTCAAATGCCAATATTCAAATTCACGAGGACAGCCAAAAGGAAGACGGTGTGAGCAATGCCCAGCATTTATTAGGGTGAGCAATTCAAATTGTTCGCCTTATTCGGAGAATTGTTGCAGACTTGCGAGCGTCATAGTGGACGAATTGAAGTTGTCGCCTGCTTCGGACATCTTGGCCATGAGCATGAGACAGAAACCGCCGAAGCGAAAGAGCTCCGAGAGATCAAATGGCAAGAAATCGAGCAAAAGGTGAAAAATTGAATTTTTCAAAAAACCCTATCAATTTGGTGAAGATCTCATTTTTTTTCTTAGGCGAGAGAGGAGAACATTCTTGAGGAATCCGAGCAAAACGTTGTTGCCACTGACGATGTTCTAGTTGTTGTCGATGAAGTGCCGAACGCGCCGATGCCATCATTGAAGCGCCCATGCGTCGATGAGCACCAGCAGATCGCTGATATGAAATCGGCTAGACATTATTAGATTTATGCAATAATTTCGTGTTTTATTTACAACTTGTCTCTTTTTTTCTGAGTGGATGCAACTTTCTTTTTTTTGTATGTCATATGTCATAAAGGCAACTGAAATGACCAGAATATGGGAGGGTTTTGGCAGTTTTGAACAATAGAAATCGTAATTTAATTATTGAATCCTATAAATTTTGTGGAAGTGATAGTGATCTACTCAAACGTGGACAACGCGCGCCTGAGTATCCCATACATGGAATTGGTGATTCCCCAAGCGACTAGTGAACGAGTGAAATTCAAGTGAACGCCAAGGTAGAGTGCTCGAATCGAGCGATCCCTTAGATGCCAAATATGTCGAAAAATGTGAAACGCGTTATCATAGGGCTTATTAATCTGAAATAATGGAATTTGAGGAAGGTGGGTGTGTCGAACTCGATTCGATACCTTGGCTTGCATGTGATTTTTAACGACACCGAGTGGATAGAATAGAGTTGATATTGAGGCGCCTAGAAGTGAGCCGGCGACAAAATCGCCGACGAGTTGCTGAGCGGATTCGGGTATCCGTTTGGTTTCGATTATCTAAAAGAAAATGAATTTCAGAACTAGAATTGACAATTTTCGAAACCCGATTTTTGAGTGGTTCTCTTAATGTGAAAAATAGCGTGTTTGACAAGCTGTTTCGAGCGATTATCACCGAAAATCCGCGATAATATTCCTTGAGTCCATATTGCTATAAAACAATTTCATTTTTTTTTTTGACTTTCAGAACTAATGCTCACTTTCAGCTCCATAAACACTTGAAGTGTGTTTTTGTATCGCGAATGAAATTTGGTGGCTTGTAGAAGAACCTGGACTCGTTCTAGTGGGCAAAGCATTGCTTCGCAAATACCGGCTGAAATTGACAATTTTCGAGATATATTTTTGATTTTCATGAGAAAAAATTACATAAAAATGCCGCCTGGGCGTGGCATAGAGTGAATGACGAATTTGGTGGAGAATGGGGACAATTCAAGGTGATCTGCAACGTTTTTTTGCTAAAATTTAACGGAAAAATTGCAATTTTCACCTGAAATTCGTCGTATAAACCGTACATTAAAGCCCTGGACGTTGTTCGCATTATTAATGGGGGTAGAAGCCCGCGATACAGCATTCCGGTTCCCTCCATTTTAATCTGAAATTCCATATATATATATTCCTTTTTTTAATTCGATAAAAACTCACTTGTTTGATTGCATTTTTTACGGAAAACCCGTGCAGCTGTTGCCGGAATATCACTTTATTTGATGGATAAAGTATACATGTTTCTATACCGCCAGCTCCCCAACCCGCCAGAAAATCCAAATGATTACGCTTTGTTGCGATTTCGTTTTGTCTCTCCAGCGTTATTATTTAGGTTCAGCACCTGCAATTAAAAAAACTAATAAAAACTTTAATAAGACATTTTATGGAAATTCTAAAAAAAAAGTTTTCCACGAGGACTACAAATAGTGGGAAATTTCAAGGCCACGGCCATCATTTGCTCTCAAAAATTTATTTTCAAAATTTTCCCAATATTACAACGCTTTTTTTATGGTGAAAATTACAGCACTGATTTCTGCCGAATGTCTGAAAATAAACACGCAACTTGGGCTAAAACCGTCGAGGAAGAAGATCGCGTCGAAGCTTTGATCAAGTTGAATAAAAATGGAATTAATTAAAAATTAATAAAATCTCAGGAAATCCGGCTGCTGGGACAATCATATATCGGTTGTTGATTGTATGGGAGAGCACAACGACTGGAGAAAGTGTCAGGCGCAGGTAATGAGCTAATTACGGAATTTTCAATTGAAATTTTTTGTTTCAGCTACAGGAATTCAAGACTTGCATGACGAAGAACTTTGGCAAAAACAAACCAGAATCCAAGTAAAGTAAGCTCAAAAATTTGATATTCGCATTAAAATTGTTGAGTTTTTCCTTCAGATGGGAGAAGAATTCGCATTTTTAAGTAATTTCTCCTGTGATAATAATGAATCGCCTTCCGATTCTTCTCGTTCAACTCCCTATCCTAAATTTGTGCCTTGCTACCATGAAAAGAATTGGTTTATGACTACAGAAACCGACAATTATTCTGCGAGGCAAGCGATTTTATAAAAAAAATATGTATTATGATGCAATTTTCAGCGAAATTGAATACTATCGCGCTATTGCCAATTTTAATGTTGGCGAATACCAAAAATGTATAGATGTAAGCCGAAAAAGGTGTTTTATGGTTTTAAAATAATGGAAAAGTAATTTCAGAGCTGCAATAAAATTCTTGAAACTTCCAAAAACAATCGCGTACACAAAATCATGCTAATCGATTCGATTCTTCAAAGTTATTTGAAAGTATCGAAATTTTGGGTGAATTTCGTTAAAAAATTGCCAATTTTTCAGCTACCAATGACTTCTGAAAACCAAAAAATCAGTCTAGAATTTCTCACTAGTTTGGAGAGTTTACTTATAGATTTTGGCGATCAACTTCAATTTCTTCGAATCAAATCTGAAATTCTCGCCCGATTTTCCGGCGATCCTCACGAATTTTTGCATGCGGTATTCTTGAAACGACGCCAAATCAATAGTGCCATTTTTATAGGTCTCCCTTCTATGCTCGCTCATCGATCTGCCGGAACATTGGCTAATATTTCTTCAACGAATTGAAATTTTCAAAAAATCGCCAAATATGGCGAAATTGTGTATTCTTTCCAAGGTTTTGTATTCGTATGAGCATCAATTTCATCAGGTAAGCCAATTTTTCAAAAGAAAAAAATGTCTATATTAAAAATTAATTTCAGGCGAATGGTTTTGTAAAATCAAAAATCAAACAAAAAATTGGCGAAATTCGCTCTCAAATCGATAAGCTTGAATTTGACGATGAAACGGTACCGCCATTTTGCACATATTTATGTGAATTCACGAATTTTTAGAAATCAAGTGTCAAATCTCAAATGTCAACGCAATTTTCAAATATGGTGCCAGATGACGAAAGAAAAGAATTTCTCGCACACGATTCGCGCCTCAAAAATCAATTGATAGGGAAAATTGACCAAATTTCGATAGTCGATTCCTTCAAATCAAGATTTTCATTGTTGTTCCAATTAGTTTAGGCCATCATCATTTTTTTTCCTGTTGTTAAACTTTTCAGTTTCACTGTTGTATTTGTTAGCACTTTCAAACCATAAAATTTTTGCTATTTTATTGCCTTTGATAGGTGTCTCCGACGGCCAGTCCACGTAATTTGATCGAAATGATAACCTGATAAAATGTTTGGGCGTTGATTGTGCCATCGTGCACACTTAAACTCGTTTTTCGGTTCTCCTAACTATACACATAGTAATCTCCAATTGGCAAATATTTAGGGATGAAGAAGTTGACAGTTTTTCTCAGCATTCTATGCGTCTGTCAAGCCTCGATTCTTATCGACTTTGAGCTTCCAAATGACGTTATCGAATTGATGTCATTTCGGGAAAAACCTTCAATGGTGAGGAAAAAAAATAAAATCAGAAAATTGTGCAATTTTACGTCATTGTGTATTGCGTACACGCAATTATACAGTAACCGAGAAATTAATATTCAATTTTTTCGCCCAAAATTCTCGTTTAGGCAGCGTTCACCCCATGCCAGGATATTCTTTTTAATCACTGCCAGGTAAAAAAGTTTAAAAATAGAAAATTATCCATATATATTATTTTCAGCACAACTTCAATCAATTCTTTGGGATGCCAGAAGACGTCACATGGAGAAATGGTTCATACATTTTCAACACCGTTCAAAAATACCTTGAAATGAACGTGACCGAGCTTATCAAAGTTTGCAAGTAGAAAATGTTGAATCCAATTATTCGTTTCAAATTGCTAATTTAGTGCTCGCACCCAATATTACCAATGTCTCGGAGCCTCGTATTATTCCTGCATTAATCTTTTCACGCTGGGAAATAAGCCAAACTCGGATTTGCAGCAAAGTTGGAAATTCCAGCGCAATTCGATTGTCATCAATTCGAGTTTAAATTTCAGCGTTTGATTTTGTTCGCACATTCCGTGGCCTTGAATACATGTGCGCCGGTGGATTCCAAGGTACCCCAAAAATATTGAAACAATGCAGTCGTTGATTTTCAGAAGTCGTTTATCAATGGGGATGCCTTGGCGCATTCCCGACCACACAAGCCTATCAAGGCTGCATCGCCAACTTCAACAACACGGTGACCGCCAAAAATTTCTGCCCGTAATTTCAAATGCGTCAAAATTTGCATTCAAAAAATTCCATTTTTCTTTCAGATCAGTTTCGGACACCGGAGATTGCCTTTACAACAAATATGTTGAAGCTTGTGGAGAGCCAGGGGTATGAGATGCCCAATTAGCTTAACTGAATACATTTTTTTCCTTGAAGGCTGGATATTATGGATGTGAGAACTTCCGAATCACTTTCGACAGCGCCTGCCGCGGACTTCGCTGCATCGTTCACTAAATAATCGCCAATTATCCACATAAATTGAATAAATACATAAATCGGATTAAATTTGGCATCGATAAATTTTTAACCGTCTTATCGGCGCTTGTCAGAAGCATACGCCCCTCATTTTTTGTTTTGTTTCTGAAAATGAAGCTGTATTCCCTAATTATTCTCGCATTAGGTTTCAAGAAGAAGATTTCCAAGAATCAATTTGAGTTGGATTTTAGTTTTGCCGCTCATCATCGCTGAATGCAATTTGGTAAAATTCAATGGATGTCAGGCGAAGTTCTCGGATGATTTGGGCATTCCGCGTGGATATGATTGGTCGAATCCGCTGGGATTGACACTTCAGATTCAGAATCTTTATATTAATGGGAACGCAGGTGAACGAGGACTTAACACTGTTTGCAAGTAAGATTTTTAAGACGAATTTTTATTGGGGGGAACCTCCAAAAGCATAAAATAATTAAAAGAAGACTGAAAAAACTTTATTTGCTTGATTTAAATTGGTATTGTCGTCAAATAAAATGCATCGTCCGCAATAATTACAATTCCATTCAATTTTAAAATCTGTGTCATTTTTCTTCACTCAAATTCTTCATTTATATAGCTAGGACCTAGAAACAATAAAAATTGGGCCTCCAAAGTGCTTAATCACGTTAAATTACTAAAATAGCGTTCAAAATGATATTGCGGACTATGCATTTTATTTGACGGCAATACAAAAATAATTAAATTTTCGCTCTTCTTTTGGTTTTTTATTTCACTTTTTCAAACATTTTAGTGATAATTTCATGTTTTTTTTTTTGAAATCATCGTTTATCTTTATTTCAGCGCTTATAATGGCTTCATCAAATGCCTCGCCGACTCATCTTCAAGCACATTCGAATGTTTCGATATCAGGTTGCTGAAAATTCGAGAAATTTTTTCTCAATTTCAATATTTCAGCTGGCTCCTTCATTCAAGCACATCGCCAAACAACGCCTACGCTTACGGATTCCTCATGAACATGCTCCAATATCAATGCGGAGCCGGATTTTATAGTAAGCGCCTCAATTTGAATCAATAAATTCTCGATTTTCAGTCGCTTCTGATAATTGGGATTGTGTTCAGCGCATTTACGCTGGAAAGAATGGGACCATGTATGAATGCATCAACGCATTTGTGATAAATACTCAAGAAAATCCCAATCATGTACAAAAATCTCATTCAAATTTCCATAGAGTTTCAATTTTTGCTTGTTCTAGGCTTGCCCTTACGTTCAAACCGGCTTAAGTTGCTTCGAGAAGGCATTCCGTCTTCAAGGATGTCCAGAAGAGCTCAAATATTATGGATGTGAATCGTTCCGCCAATATTCGGCGCCTCAATTCTCGATATGCGACGAAACATGCGAAATTTAAAATAAAGACGTTCATTTAGCATATAATTCTACTGTACATGTTGATTTGAGAATTCTCTCCCAACGGGAATGTTTTCTTGGTTTGAAGTTTCACACAAAAAGTCGAGGTGAAAAAAAAACACACAATGATAGTGGAAAAGTAATCATGATACACGAAATCGGTGGTTTTTAGTGAATCAATGATAAAACACAACACGAATACTAATTGGAAACGAAAGCAAGTGAAATTTGGCCGTCGGCGTTCAATAGTCGATCACGTTTTTCGCATTTCCCCATTTTTCAGAAATCCAGCGAATCGTTTTCACGTTGATCTGTGGACCGATGAGTGGGTTAAGCTGATGAAGGTACACCTGAAAATCAATGTGGAGAAAAATTAATTATAATTGATTATATGTATAAATTAATTTACGAGTTGAAAATTCATTTGGAAAATTTGACGCAAAAGTAAGTTATTTTGAAATATTTTTCAAAGTTTTTCAAAAAACTAATTTATCAAGCAGGTTTTTCAAATATTTTTGGTTAGTTTGGGAAAAAAATAGAAACGTACCATGATCCAGAACATCCAGCAGCAAACAGCGGTCATAATAATCATCAGTTGGATGATTCCTGCAAAAATTAGTTTTATTTAAAGAAAAAAAACGATTTTAGAATGTTTAACTAATAAAAAAACCATTAAACTACAATTAGTTATAAAAATTACCTCTGTTTGGCCCTTTTGGAACGATCCATGGCGCTCCAAATCCAATGACAGCCCAGAATGCCGACACCGACACCAATGGAATCCAAACCGCCATCTAGAACACTGAATATTATTCGAGTATTATTGCAAAATCGCCGAAAATTGAAAAACACGAGCGAAAAATCAATGAGAGACGAAAACGGCGCTCAGGAGCCAAAGCACTAGCGATTTACGGGCCGGAGATCAATAGACGCACCAAACACGCTGCGGCCAAAAATCAAATGCAAATTAATCGATCGTCGCCGCTAGTTTTTTCATACATTTTATTGAGAATTCTCTTCTAGTCATATTGCCAAAGTTTCATCGGGTTTCGTTCGCAAAAAGCCGAGAAATCGGATGTTGAAATGTCGCAATTTCGAGGCGCAGCGTGTTTTTCACCCGAGTGTATGCGGATCGAAAACCGGCCCCGCCCACTTCTCGCATTTATTTTCCATTGTTCCCTCTTATTTTCATTGTTTTTTCGTCGACTTTTCGCAACAACCGCAATTTGTGATTTTTTCAGAAGAAAATGGGCAAAGTTTGTCCGTTGTTGGGACCAAAAATGTCCGCATTTTGGTGAGTTTATCGATTTTTTTTTGGTGCGTTCTCTCGAAAATTAATATAATTTTTGCAGCATGATTATGTCAGTGTGGGGAGTTATTTTCCTGGGACTTCTTGGCGTATTCTTCTACATTAATGTAAGTTTTTAATGTTTAAAAAATGTATTTATAAAATTTGAAAAAAAAGATCGATTAAAATGCGGCATACACTTGAAAATGATTGTGAAATTTTTTTTTTGAATGAAAAATTCGAAATAAAATTATTTATAAGTTAATATTCAAGAAAATGGAACACAGATGTAATTTTTATTTGCATTTTTTCTCGTTTAAATTAAAAAAAAAAAAAGATTTTTTCTTAAATTTTATCAAACCTTTTTCTTTTTTAAGACATTTTTTAACGCTGTGAAAAATTATTGGAGAAAATTTTGCTGTCAAGCTAAATATTTTCAATAAAATCGGCTATAGGTAAAAAAAAGAATAAAAATATTCGATTTTAAATGTTGCAAAACTAAAATCAATAAGGCTTTTTCTAAAATTTTTCTTATTTTCAGGCCGTCACCCTGTTCCCAGACCTTCACTTCGACGAATCCAACCCACAAGTGACAACAGTGTACGTTTCACCAAATTCAATCCAATTTTTGTTATTCAAATTCCTCATTTTTAGTGAAATCGAGGCCAAGTACAGCGAGAAAGCGACTCAATGCTGGATTGCCGCCGGATTGTACGCCGTCACACTGATCGTCGTCTTCTGGCAGAATAAATACAACACGGCGACAATTTTCTAATTAAAAATAATGTCACCATTCTCGTCAATTTCTTTTGTTGCGCATAACTCTCCGAAAAATCTCCAATTTTCAAAGAGATGATTCTTTTTTTTTTCTTCTTCTTCTTGAATTATTCTTTCACTTACCCGCCCGCGGATTTTCAATCTCGGATGTAGCATAAAACACACACATTCCTTACTAGCTTATGTAAGTCATAATCTAACTAGTATGTACATTTTATTGAAATAGCTTCAATTTTATATTTGAATGAAAAATACTAATGTACTGTGATATATTTTCTAGAAAATGGATAGTTACGGTGCGATGAAAATTCGATTTATTGAAAAAATAAAAACGAAAAGACATTTACGGAATGAAAATAACAAAAAACTTGGTAACAACGTTGCGTTGAATATCTCGAATCATTTACTTTTTTCCTGACTTCTTGATTCCGCCACCCACTGAAAAAATTAAATATATAGAGAAATTTGAAATAATCATACAGAGTGGTCCCTTTTGAGAAGCCTTCGCGGCCATCTCTTTGAGCTTCTTCTGCTCCTCCTGTTGCTTCTTCTTGAATTCAAGATCCTCCTAGAAAAAAAAAAAACATTTGACCTCTCAAAATTGCACCAATTTGAAACCTCAGTGTATTCCTTCGACTCCTTCTTTGGCGCCTTCAACGGCTTGGCCTTTCCTCCTTGACGTCCCGACATTATTGGTTGCAAATTGCCTGAAATTACAATGGTCCGCATAATAACGATCGACTTGGAATGAAACAAAATTTTTCACGATACGAATGATTCGACACCATCTTTTCGCGCGTCTTAACAAAATTTGGCTCTGGATTTTCGACCAATTCATTTTGTACCCGCTAATGTCATGGATTGCACCAACTCTTGGCGTGCATTTCATGAATCTTGGCTATTGGCCAAACGATCTCGACGATACACCAATACAACTTTTCATGGAGGAAAATTGCGATATGATTAGACAAGGTGCACTCAAAAATCTCAAATTTTCAATTTTTTATTTCAGAATGCGACAAGCCCCACTTATTCCTCTATGAAAAGCTGCTATCACTCCACCCCGCGTATCCAGATTTCGAAAACCTTTCAATTCTTGAAGTCAGCTGCGGACAGGGGTACGGAATCGATTGGATTGATAGGTAGGTGGAATGAATGGCAAAAAAGGAAATAAATGATAATATTAGAACTCGATTCGTTTCCATAATAGGATGTGATAAGATCAAATGCCCACCACCATGGATAACGTATGGAGACGCGCATGATCTACCATTCGAAAGCAGCTCAATGGATATGAGTAGGAAAATTTGGGAAATGTCTGAAGAAAAAAACCATATTCGCGGAAAATTTAGTTCTCAACGTGGAGGCTTCGCATCTCTACGCAAATTTCGAGCAATTCCTCAACGAATGCCATCGAGTGCTTAAACCCGACGGCTTTCTATGCTGGACCGATTTGAGATTCGCCGATCAAATCGACGCCACAATTCGCAGTTTCACCGATGCCGGATTTCACTGCAACGCCTGGCAAGATATTACCAACGAGGTGATTCAAGGAATCCACAAAACCTCGCAGTTCTACGATGAGATTCTCGATAAGGTGATTTTTAAACGAAATCAATGAAAAGCAACAAATAGCGCATTTGCAGAGTCCCTTCATCGTCAAAATGTTCAGAAGCAGCCTCCGCGCAACGTATTGTGCACCGGGGACCGCGACATACAACAATTTTGCCGAAAAAAGAAAACTCTACACTGCAGCAGTATTCAAAAAAGAATTAAAATATTGAACAAGGCAAAAAACCTTGAAACCACAAATTAATTATCAACGCTCAATAAATAGTTTCATTGCTTCAAATATTTCACCGAAGATCGAGGGGGAAAAATAATGAATAAAAAAAACACACACACACACAAAACTGGGATTCATACATTATATTTGAAGCAGGATAAATTAAGACCAGTATTGATGATAAATACGTCAGATTCCAGCTGATTTACGCATTGATCACCCGCGCGAGCTTCTGAATCCGATTCAATAAAATATCACCATCCTTGATCACCGATTTGTACAGGTGATTCTTCGAATCGCGGTGGTTCACCTTCAAAACATTATCAATTTTGTGGAACAATCTTTTGGTTATACCTCAATGACTCCATTGACAGCATCAATTCTGCATTGCAGTTGGCCGGTAGCAATGAGACGATGAAGCTCGCGATCAATAAAAGCACGCGAGACTCCAAAATCTTTCGCCATCATGTCGATTCGGACAGTCTTATATGGCGTCAAGAATTGCTCGTAGGCCTTGTGTCTCATTCCACGAGAATAATAGTTGAAATGCGGGGAAAGGTAGCGATCAAATTTGAACTGAAAATTCAAATCCCTTTTGAATTCCATATTATTCAAATTTCTATTACTCTTTCCGATTCCAACGTTGCCAATTGAATGAAGAAGCGATCGTAATGGCAATCGTAATATGATTCCAAGTATTCACGAACTGGGATCAGGGAACCATTATTTCCTCCACCAGTGAGCTATAGAAAAACATGCAAAATCTTAATTGAACCCATTTTTCACTATTTACCTGCTCTTGAACTTCATTGCATTCCACAACCTTGCTTCGAAGGTCCGGACGATCCAGAGCTGCAACACTGAGAATGATTTCCGCGCGGATTAGTTTAAAAATTACCAAATGTGGTAGTGATGACGGTGTACATGATAAGATTCTCATAAGTCATCAACTCGTACGAGCCGAATGTTGGAACCGCTTCGAGGAAAAGATTCGCAGCTCCAGCGAAATCACGAACAGACATTCTGTAGAGGGCTTCGTATGAGCGGAGACGATTCTTTCTCTCCCAATCTCCTCCTTGCTCCATTAGCTCTTTGGCTTTTGAGATGAATTTGTTAATCAAATGATGATCGAGGAAGAAGAGACCAACTCGGATCATTGAGAAAACCAAATCGATTCTGTAGCCCATTCCAACGGTTTTTTCATATGTTGTCTTTAAGTTAAAAAAAAACAACTAATCATTAGAAACATTTAAATTAGTACCTTGTAAGTTTTAGTAGCGTTTTCTTTGTCTCCAATTTGGCAATAATATTCGAATTTTCGCAAAAGAGCCTGACGAACCTCAGATTCTCCTACAGTTGATTAAAATTATACAATTTCAATCAAATAGTAATTACCCAGATTCTTTTCAGCATCTTCGATTTCCGAATCAAATTCTTTGATTCTTTTCTCGTTTTCAGCTTTCATTTGGCTCAAACGAGCGGCATCTGCTGGAACTTTTAAATCTGCACACACGAGTTCATAAAACGGAGCCATATTATTCTCAGTAATGGCCTATAAAATGTAAAATTATTAATTTCACTTTCAAGTCTACTTACCAATTGCAAAGCTTCAAGTTTCTGAGCCTTTAAGTCCTTGTCAAGCTCCGGGTGATTCACTAAAAATCGAATTTGAGCCAATTCGAGGTCAGGAAACTTGGAAATAACCTGAAAAAAATATAATTGATATTTGGAACAATAACATCGAAAAATTAACCTCCTTGTCATAATTTCCGTCATCTACGGCATTCGACTTGCTTTTTGATGCCTCCGCCATTGCTTAAAATAAACAAAACTCAATATAATTGAATTGAGCTTTAAAAAAATTCAGAAAATTCAAAATTTTAGGTCTCTGCTGATGGGCGTGGTATGATGATTTCAAATGCAATGCGCGCGCGCAAATGTGCCACGCGGCCGCATAGCGTTTTGTCATTCAACGTTTTTCGACATAGTGGTCCGAAAAATCATTAAATTTCGATTTTTTCGCAAAGACCTTGTTTAAAATGGTCAAGGTTTTTTATAATGCCACGTCACACAATGTCGGTATCAACGAGCTGCGCGAAAATCGCCACCAACTAATTAACAAGTTGACTGGCGTTGAAAATCCCGAAAATTTCGGTATATTTTTTGACGCCGTGCAATTTTTTTTTGAGCCTTCAAAAATTTTCAGGAATCACTTTCAATGGAAAACTGGTCACTGAAGAAATCGATCCATCCATCAAGGACACGGCGTGTTTTCGAATTGTGCCATTGAAAAAACATCAAGAAGCGGTTTGATTTTTTTTCGAATTCGATTTTTTTTAATAGAAAAATTTGCATTTTCAGGTTGCCAACGAGGAAGATATTGAGAAGATCATCAAAAGAGCGTATAGGCATAAGAATGAGAGTGTGCAATTGGTAATATCGAAAGGAATTTTTTTAAATTAATTAATTATCAATTTTTTCAAGTCTCTTCACGGCTACGCCACCAAAGAAGTCTGCTTTCCGGGTTTCGCTCACAAAATTTTGGAAAAATATCCAGACGTAATTATTGATTAATTTAGAATTAAAATTTGATAAAATCGCCTCAATTTCAGCTTAAAAACGATCCGGTGGTTCTCGTGGGCATCACCGATCTCAGCTACTTCTGTTTCATATTCGGCGAAAATAACAAAGATCAACTCCGCCAATTCTTCCGTCACCATCCGAGATGTATTCCGGTGTATCTTGACGCTCTCACATTGCCGCAATACGATGTCAGCAGTCAATTCTACACAAACAACTCGATACCATATTTCCGAGCGCCAGCCGCCAATCAACCACCGCCAGTTGAAGCTGGTCCGATCGCGGCGCCGGCGGCTTCAGTCATTTCACAACAGGATTTAGCGTCGGTAATTATGTTTCGGAAATATTTTTCAAAAAAAAAGCGTAGAAAAATTATTTTTTTTGTTTGACAAAAAATTGAAGAAATGCATTTAAAAATTGTGTGCACGAATTTTTCATTCAACACTTTTCTGTGTTGAACCAAATTTTTTATATGAATTTCGAATTTATACCATTTTTTTTCATTTCAGGCGTTGGCTTCAATTCCTACTAACCCTCCAATGATTCCACAAGCTCTGTAAGCTTTTACTATTGTCAAGGGCGAGCTAGCTAATTTTGAATTTCGCGGTTTGAGCTCTTTCATATTATGTTGGTTGAATTAGGCAAAACTCGCATTTTAGAATTTTTCCATGTGAGACCCACTACAGTAATCACGTCCAATATTCGCTCGTCCTTGATTAAATTTACAATTTTTGGAGAAGCAAAGAAAAAATTGAAAATTCCAGTCCCGACTACACCGCCCAATTGGAGCAACTCGCCGAATTTGGTTTCGCCGACGCCACACTCGGACTGCTGGCCCTTCAGCAAACGAATGGCGACGTGCAAGCCGCATTGGAACTCCTTCTCGATATGACGCAATGAATCACTCGTATTTGTACATAAAAACTTCATATCATCCACAAAACCACGCAAAATTATTGAATAGAGAAAACAAAATTTTTCAAGCGCGTGCGATGATGGTCAATATGCGACGCGACGCGTTTTGAAGTGCCGTCTCGATGACCATTCCAAAACGCACTCATCAATAGAATTTCGATACATTTCGCGCATCGTTCCCGTTTTTGTCCAATAAACAAACATAAAAGATAAGAAAATTGGCTTTTTTGTACTTTTTTCTTCTTCTTCGTCGCCGCCTTCTTCTTATTATTCATTGGCTGCGCCCTCTTTTTTTTTACAATGTCGTTTTCCTGTTCGCGTTGCCCAAACATCCAATTTTTTGACAGGGAAACAAACAACCGTTTTCAGGATATTTTTTGCCGTGATTTCTATTCAAAATAATCGTCCTTCCTCATCGATCTCGTCTCTTACTTTTTCGATTTTTTTTTCCTCGTTCCAATTTGTTTTAATCGGGTTCATTAATTCTTTGAGTAAACAGTCTCGATTTTTGCGGGGCATCGCCTGCCACAATTTGATTCGTTTTTGGGATATTTTGGTTTGTGGGTCTCGCAGCGCCACAATGAGAAGTAAAGAATTTCGAAAGAAAGGTACGTATGCAAACACAAGCAGCTTGTTATTGTCAATAATGCCATCCTGTTTTGAAATTCATTTTTTTGCCTTATTTTTTGGGGGTAATGCGAAAGGAAAAAATTTCTTAATTGTCCTTTTATGGAGAAAATACTTTTAATAATTATTTTTTTCCATTTTAATTAAATTTTTTCGCCCCTTTAGTGGGGAAATGTAGAAAATTTCAATTTTTACTTTTTTCTGTATTGAATAAAATACTTTTTAAATTTTTTTATGAAACCGAACCGTTCGATTAAAGTTGATTTAACATTCCGTCGAAAAAAAAAACAGCATTTTTTTTTGTCGCGATGGCTTTGTTTATTTGTTGTTCGGATTTTCCCACCACGAAAATATAAAACGAGCGGTGTTTGAGAATCTCTCGCCTTCAAAATTATTTTTTTCTTGATCATTTTCAAAATTAGGCAATAAAATGCTTGAAAGTTCACTATAAGACCAAAGATTTCGAGATGATCAACACATATTTGCGATGCGCCTTTAAACTACATGATACATTCAATCATTTTCAGATCATTCCACTTTTATATCAATGTCGACGATATCGGATAAACTTCCAACCGATCGCAATTATTATTGTCCATCGGCGCCGCCGAAGCCGGCAACGGTGTGCGGAATAATTCCGGTGCAAAAAGGTTTCGAAAAACTGAAATTTAGTCGAAAAATATCTCAATTCTAGTGGCAATTTTCGGAATATCGTTCAACTCAATATGCATTTTATCAATTTTCATTTATATCCTGGTCCGTCTCATTCAGAAATCGCCAAGCCATTATGTGAGATTCATTGGTAATTTTGAAATCGAATCAAATCTCGAACAATTTCAACCAATTTCCAGTTGCAATTTCACTTTTGATGTGTCTATTTTTATTGTTCACCGCGCTATTTGTTCTCGGCATTTTCAAATCGAAATGGAAACTCTTGCTACCGTACATTATTGTTGATTGTGTGATATTCTTCGCTTACATGGGTTTGTTAATGATTTTTTTAAAAATGTAGGCAATCAAATTTATAGGAGCCGTTATAGCAGCCACAATTACAATTGCTGATGAAATTCGAGAGGAAATTAATGGAGAGGATCGAACTTATAAAGTTCTTGATATTATTTTGTTAAGGTATTTTAACAATTTTAAAAATTTTATAATTATTTGCATTATAGGCTCGCCCTTCTACTCTTCGGACTTTTACAAGTCACATTTGTTTATTCCTTCGTTATGACGTTAATATGCGTGAGGAAGTTGCAGATTTATATCTCTAAATAATATTTTTTTTGATTTTTTATGTTATTTTACGGGTTTTCTCATAAAATTTATTCAGTCAAACGTGTTTTATTGGAGAGAAATTTTAAAAAAATATATAAATTAGTTCGAGAAAGCGCGCTCTAATGCGGTGGCCGAGTTTTTGGAAGGCCGCGGACGAACTTGTTATCAACGTTTTTGCGGCGTCTCGGAATTAATTCGAACATGCTCTGCACACCATTTTCGTATATCGAGTCGTTTGTCGGTTTCACTGGCATTTTTTAATTGTCCCCATTTTTGTTGTATATTTGAACTCGAACAAATAATTGTTAAACGTCCATTTAAGGAGATGGGCGAGCCGAGCGCTAAAAGACCCCGAAACGCCGATGAGTATCCAAACGTCCTGAGTATGGACGAGAATGTTAAAGAGAAACTCATGGAGCTCGACATGGTTCAGCTTGATCTCGATAATTTGGGAGAGCAGGCGGCTGAAGAAATATTGGCGGTGAGAAAGTTTTTATTTTTTTTTTTTTGTTTAAAAAAATAGCAAAGAGCAAATCCATTTTCAGATCGAGCAGGCTTACAACAAAAAACGTCAGCCACATTATCAGAAGCGTAGCCAGCTTATTGAGCAAATCCCCTCTTTTTGGCAAACCGCTGTAAGAAAATGATGCGAAAAGATTTGAAATTAATTTTCTTTTTGCCAGTTCCTCAACCATCATCTCATAACGACCGCGATTCCCGAGGAGGAAGAAGAGGTGCTTCTCAATTTGAAAGATCTCGAAGTTGAGGAGTTCGAGGACATCAAAACGGGTTACAAGATAAAGCTCAAGTTCGACAAGAACTCGTTTTTCGACACCGAGCAAATTATCAAGACGTTCCATTTGAACGCCGAGAATCCGGTTTCGACAACGTCGGAAATCAACTGGAAACCGGGAAAAAAGCCCGAGCCGGTACAAAAATAATTCTGTTCTTCTATTAGAAATGTTTGATTCTCTCGATTTAGAAGGACCCTAGCGATGGATCACAATTGACGTTTGTCGAGTGGCTCGCCAGCAATTTGCCGCCAGACGCCGATGAAATTGCCGAAGTTATCAAAGACGACCTTTACCCAAATCCACTTCAATACTTCATCATGCCCGACATGAACGAAGTTAACGACGAGGAGCTCGAGGAGTTCATCGACGAGGAGGACCAAGAGGTAATTACATATATTTGTGATTTCCAGAAAGAATAATTGAATAGTTTAAGGACGAGAACGTCGCTGATCCACATCCATAAATTGATAACTTACAATATATGTTTAATTGTTTTTATCTATTGCATTCTTCACACGAATTGTCGAACTAAACACTTTTTTTTTTGAAAATTTCTACATAAAGATCTCTTAATGGAGCCCACAACATATTGAACAATTGGTTTGACTTCCATGAATACTCTTTGCCGGTTTCCAATGAGCAATAGAAAATTGACGATGCGCAGAATGAGCTTGCTACTGCCGCGAAGTCTTATCACCAAAACGCTAACGTGTAAATGCTTCTCGATGGATTTCTCGCACGAATCGCCGGCGCCTCATCAGTTGGAGCACGTGCGTACACGAATCACCGAGACGGTAATCGAGGCGATCGCTCGAAATATGAGAATATTGTGCGCAGGTGCCGCTCATGTTCCGCCAACGATTGGACTACACGTTCTATCGCAACGACGTCGTGTGCGTTGATCAGATATTGCGAATCGAGCGGCGTGGCCTCGAGCAACTCATGAGCTACTTTGGAATTCTAGGCACAATGGGGCAGGTTTGGCAAAATTTGAATTTCGCGCCTTGCGTTGCTGGAAAAAGCGGCCTACCCAATGTCGTCAGACGCGTTGCGGTCTTAATTTCTGGTAGCCCGCTTTTAATAGAATTGCTGTAGATTTACGCACCCGCGCCTTGAAAAGGTCTCACCGCGATTCATTTTTCTTGATGAGTTTGGTAAAAATTTTCGAATCGACCAATAAAATGCGAAATCTACCCGCGTTCAGCAGTCGCCGGACGCCGACTATAGAAAAAAAAAACAAAGTCGTGTCGAGACCCATATTGTTTCTTGCAGGTATTATTTCCGCATATCGAAATGGAGCTGATATCGGCGCATCCTGTCATCGATCAAGGATCGGTGCGATGCCGATGGCGAATCAAATATGTCTCGTTTCCCCGCCTGCTCGTCAATCCGAGACTATTTCGATTCGACTATCGCGTCAATCATTTGAGCTGGTACGACGGCTACTCGGTGTTCAGCGTCGACGGCAACGGCAAAGTTTACAAGGTCACATTGCAAAAGGTGAGTGGGTGCGCACGAACACCGCGGAGCAATTCTGCGGACATTGCGCAAAACCAAATGTTTTTTTTTCGCTGCAAGACCCTCACGAGAAAAATTATATTAATTTTCCAAAAATGTTCGAGTTGAAAATCTAAATTTCGATTGAAATTCGTGTTTTCTGCAAATTAGACAAATTTTGTAATTTATTTAGGGAGATAAAACATTTCTCGCTAAAAGACCCTACTGTTTGACGCGTCATGCACCTTTAATATTCTTTTGCTTCTTTTGACGCGAATGTCAAAAATCAAAAATTGCTGCGATTTTTTACCCAACTTATCTAGTTTGAAAATAATTTTGCTTAATTAAAGGCGCATTCATTTTTTTTTGGGTCTCACAGCCTCGTAAATACTTATATCTCAAAAACACTTTTGCGTCAACGCACATGATTTCATTTCTCAGCTCTTTGAGAAAACTAATCCGTGCCGGATTTTCAGATGATCCAAGACGACGGCAACGTTTCGATAGCGTCCGCCTCGACGGTCAAGCAAAAATTGCAAGCGGCCTGATGATTGCAATCCTCGAAAACGATCAAACCAGATTAGGATGTAAACTAATAGATCTCGGATAGTTTTTATTTCGTATTTATCATTTTTCGCCCGTTTTCTTTTGCATAAATCGGCCTTCGTCATTTCAAGGGCAACAACAACAAAAGATTCTTGATTGCTTCCTTGTATGGTAGTAATTTGCATGACTTTGTGCGATTTTCGGCGTATCCGGCGACGGAAACGGCAAAATATCACGTCATTGTCCGTTTCGTTTTGGGAGATGGTGTGATTTTCAATTCGTCTTTCATTCTTTCTCTTTTTTTTCCAGTTGAACGCGCTTCAATTCATTTCGACGAGGCTCCCATATGCAATTTTGTTTCTTCATTATTTTTTTCCCCCCTCTGTTGCCAACTCGACTAATGAGCCGTCGTGCCAATTGAGACGGTGCGTACTAATTAGAGAAGAGTGTGGAATTTCGCGCGTTGTATTTTGAAAAAATAATTAAATAGCAAAAAAATTGCGTCTTCGCCGCGAAATTACAATTTACGATGTTGTTTTTGTTGTTTTCCAGTCGATTTTCTGAAATTACTCGCGCACGAGGTCAAACCGCTTACCAGATTTCTCAGCGCTGGGAGCCGCCACGAAAATTGACTTCGCTTTTTATTATATTATTATTTTATTATTATTATTATTATTATTATTTTGCCCTTGCTATTTTTCGATGGTCCCCTCCCCCCCCCGGCGTTTACTCATATGATTTTCAACAGCTCATTAGAAAACGAGTGGCTCATTTGAACACACACACGCACGCATATATGTACATATATATATCGCCCACCACATATCTCGATTTTCCGCATTAATCGTAATATGAATTAATGAAAAATAAAACCGCCTCTCGATGCGATTTTTATTCCCTTGTCTTGTTTTTTAATCCTCTGAAAAATGCACATTTCAATTTTCATTCCGACTTTCGGCATTCCGATAAAAAAGAATGTTCATTATTCATTTGGCCAGGTCCTGAATCAGAAAAAATTAAGAAAAAAAAAATAGAAGAAGAAGAAAAACCGAAAATTAATGCCCGACATTTTTTTTAAGGCATTTGGGTGCTCGTTTTCGTCGCGTCTCGAAATGTCCGCCGGCGTCTACTGCGTACTGTTGGCGATTCTCGTCGCGCTCACGATGATGGTTGAATCAGCGCCGTACGACAACATCTATCAGGTGCTCTCGCCAAGGTATGAATCAAATCGTGGGAAAAATGGTGGCGTATTGATTCAAAAACCGAAGTGGTGCACTTTCGCGCCGCGGTGGCTACACATTGCGCGCTACAGTACCCCACAACAAAAATAAATTTCCAGCATGCAACGATTATTTATTTTTTTTTCCCACAAAAACCTCGTGAGATTCTCAAAAGCAGGTTTCGCATTCAATTCACCACAATTGAATGCATCAAAGAACCAACATGAAAATGGTGTGTTGTTGTTGTTCTTGCAGATTCCGCCGCAATCGTCTCATGTCGTTCGACGACGAAGCACCGCAATACCTTCAGCATCTTTTGCAGAATCTCAAACCGCGATTCAAGTAGCGCAACGCATCATTCAAAATCAATCACTTCGAAGAATTGTTCATACCAAAATAAATAGTGCATGTTGAAAGAAAAAAAGAAATATTTACAACTTTTTGGAAATAATTCATATTTACATTAGTTCTCATCCGACAACCATTGGATGTCCGCCGCGTTTCACTTCCTGCAAACTCAATTATTTGGTAGATCAACAATTTTTTGCGCTTCTCTTACGTGCAGCGCTTTTGAAGCGTGAAAAAATCCGTGATATGGGAACATGGCGACGACTTCTGTCGAATCGGTCGGATGTTTGAGGTTGACGAAGCGGCCCTGGAAGAATTTCGAGCATTTTCGTTGTGTTGATAAGAGCGTTGATTGTGCTTTTTGATAGGGCACACCCTTTAAAAATGCATTTTTCGCATTTTTCAAAAACCCGGAAAATTGTCCGCAGATATCTTTTTCTTTAAATGATGTCCTTGCGGGCTTAATCCTCAATAAAACCCGTTTTTCAAAAAAAAAAAACAAAAAACAAATGAAGTGTGCAATTTGGCGTGCTTGTGAACCGCACAATTGAATAATTTGTGACGCGTTTTTTTTTACCTACCGGCTCCCTCGCCTCCGTATGATCATAATCCTCAACAATATTACGCCCATTTGAGGACAACAAATTATTGGCGACGATTTCATGAGCATTCCTCGCCTTGAAATACGCGTTTAGAAGATTCGAGGTGTCCACGACGATTACTGTAGCACTCGTTGCTTTCCAACTTTTTTTTTGATCTACTATGCTCACCTGCATACTGTAGAAGCAATAGAATTAAAAGAATTGACGAGTAGACGTGTGGTGTCATATTGGCAAATAGTTCAGATGGTCGCCTATCAATTTACCAACAACTTTTAATATAGCGTCCAATACCGTAACCGGCCGGCCAATCCAGCCGCCGCGTCGCCTCTGATTTATGATTTTTTGGTGATTTGAGAGGACGAATGATGGAAAAGGGATGGTGTTCTGAGTGAATGTTCCGTCTTTTAAAAATTTTGCCTGTTTTTTTTACGCCCATCGGACCCTCATATGGAATCTCGGGAATTCAACTATATATAGAATTGAAGAGGAAAAAAGGAATATTAAAAATTTTTTGATCTCGTTGGACCCTTTTGATTTTTGAGAAAAGAAATAAATTTTTTCGAACTTTCGATTTTCAGCTACAGTAATCCTACAGTAAGCATTGTTCTTCAACAAAAATTGGCAGCCTGATGTGTGTTTTTTTTTGTTGAAATATTTGAGACCACGCGACCTTTATAATATCGCTTCTTCTCGATTTTTGCCAAATTGGGTGGCGAGAGATTGAGAGGGTGCAGAGAAAAAAGGCGACGAGTGTCACGTTTTCGGTCGAGGTCGTTTTAGATTGAGACAATCACCAATGAACGAATTCATTTTTTTATTGGTTGAAATGGCAGGGGCGGCGGATTTTGAATGGATTTTAAAGGAGCAGCGCCATTTTTTTTTCTGGTAGGGCTCTTGACGCGAAATCGCGGTTTCTTTAGAGCAATTTCGCCTTTGAATTTTCGTTTTCTGGAAAAGAAAAAATTGCTTAAAAAAGAATGGCTTGAAAAAAGAAAAATTTGAAATAAAAAATTAAAATATTTTTTAAATTTTCAAAACTCGTTGATTTCAGGATTTTTGTCATCAAAAAATTATAATTAAAAGAATTCTTTTAATTAGAAAAATAAAAATGTTAGCATTTATTTTAAAGGCGCATAGAGCGGCAAAATAAATCCGGTCTTGTTTTTCATTAACAAAATTGGAAAAACCCCATTTTTTTTGCGTGTTACGGTAGCCAAGTCCGCAGTACGCAAAAATGCACAGATTCGTTTTAAAATGCATTCTTCTTTCTAAAAAATTTCAATTTCTGTGCATCTCTGATTAGGAGTCAACAAATTTCAAAAAAATTTGAAAAATTTCCATCGGTCCTTCCTAATCGCCAAGCTCCGCCCATTTTTTGCTTATGTTGGACTCAAAATTATAAAAATTCAAATTTTTGGCTCAAAAAATTTAAATGGTAAAAAAATTCATTTTTAAAATTTTTTTTTGATTTTGAACCATTTCAAAAAATAGTGTGCGTTTCGAAGAGACGCAGAAACTGCCAACCAGAAAATAATTTTCGACGGTCGGTTTTTTGTTTTTTTTTTCTTTTGCTAGCAAAATAATACATATCGTGACCACAAAAATTACGGTATTGATGGCGCCCTTCCTACGGTAGCTTTTTGTTTAAATCATCGCTTCGAAACCACCGGCGATTATCGCTTGAATTGATTGCACAGAAATGAGGAACGAAGTATGAGAAGTGGCGAGTTTATCAAACATTTCCTGATAATAAAATTGCCGCAAAATGAAAAATTTATTCAGATTTTCAATTATCACATGATTGACCGGCAATTTTCGTTGTTTTTTTTTTCTCGAACCCCCGCAAAATCATGCCTCGTATTTTGCAGCTTGGTGAATGAATCTATTGTTTTTTCTGGGTTTTCTGCTCGCCGCCGCCGCCGCCGCCGCGAATCAGTTGTGCCGTCTCAGCTCGTCCGACATTTTAATCGACGACACGTGAGCCGCCACAATTTTGGCGTCACATCGCGCCAAAATTCGACTTTCAGATGTTATCGCTTCGAAAATAGCAACCTCAATTATCATGATGCTCAGCGCTATTGTCATATTATGAAAATGAATGTGGCGATTGCCAAAGACGAGAGGAAATGGAATTTTTTGGCGTGTTCGTTTTTATTTTTCGCTTTCAATTCTCTAAGGGTGGCCGTGGCCGAACCGAATTTTTTAGGACATTTTTTCTAGGCCACTCGGGGTGACCATTTTTCAATTGCATCGTTTTTTTTTCCAGCGATGGCCGTCACCAAATTTGGCATCACCAACGGCAATTTCTATATTGGACTGAGTCGATCGAACGCGAGCAGCCCGTTTTATTGGGACGACGGCACGCCGCTCGAAGTGCACAATTTTGGTAGAATTAACCGCACACAAATAATAATCGCCTATTGCAGGAATTATGACGCCGCAAAATAATGTCATCGAATTGATGCACACGTCGAAATGGACGACAGTGAATCCAACCGAACCTCATTTATTCATTTGCAGCTATTTGATGAATGCCACGCATTCGTGAACATACGCAATATTTCGTCAGGTTCCGCGCATTCTGTGCAATCACCATAATCGATATTTTTTGTTTTTCGAAAATTTTCATTCAATTTGAGCGATATTTATTAGTTCTGTGATATGTATAAATTTGTAAAAATATATGGCAATTTATTTTTTTTCTTAACAATCGGCGACTTCGATTCCCACTTCCTCGTTATTATTATTGTCCTCCGTATTCACTATGAATTTGCGCTTTTTTTTCTCCTCGATTAGCTTGAAATGAACAACGCAATAAAGTTCACCATCTTTCGAACGATGCGCTTTTTCAACTCTGCAAACAAATGTTTCGCTTTAAAAATGATTTTCAGTGATCCAACCTCAATGGCTGACGACACTCGCCGCATCGAAAGCAGTTGACATGAAAGAGAAGGCCGAAGCATTGGAATTGCTCGGCGCGATACACGTTTTTCGCGCACAAATCGCATCGTTCCGGCGGCGGCACACAAAATCTCTGAAATTCGATGTTAATAGGTTAGTGGCACTTCAAAAAAAAAAGAAAATTCTACTAGTAGAAATTATGTTAATATTATAGAAGCGGCAAACTAGCGAGAGAAACTCTATTTAATTAGTTAGAACGCAAAATGCAAGCCTCATTGTTGAAATTGTGGAAAAAATTAGTTCAAGCGCACCGCATTCGTCGTTGAAATCGTCGACAAACTCGAATTTTGAACGCATTTATGTGACAATAGAGATGAAAACGAAACAATAAACCTTAAACGAACATGATTTTTTTTTGTTTGTTTTGTTTCAAACTGTAGTAGGCGCGAGATTCAATAAATAATTTGCGAAATGTGCGGAATGGTTAGGCCTGAAAAATAATATCAACCAGTCCACCATTTATTGGCCCATTTATAGGAAACAAAAATGATTCGCGAATCGCACTCACCGCTCCGCTCTTCTTCTCGGGCATTCGACTTTTTTCCGCTTTTTTCGCCTCCTTTTGCTGAATTTTCTCCCATTTCGCCGCCATTTTCGACGCGTGATCCGCCGAAAAAAATTCGCATTCCATTTTTTTTTTCATTCTGTGCCTCTTACCTTTATCGCCACCTCCTCGTCGCGCGCCTCCGTTGATTGCGATTGTGACGCCTCGGCGAGACGCTCCTCCTCGAGCTTCCTCTGCGCTTCCTCGCGTTCCTCTGAAGGCACAAAACGCTGGTTTTGTTAGTTTTTTTTTCGTCGATACTTTTCATTATTTCAAATTCAGCCTCCATTTGCTGACGGCGAGCTTCGGCGGCCGCATCCGACTCATCGGCGTGCTTCTCGAACTTCGCCTTGAAGTCTTTGGCGGCGGTCTTGAGCGATTCGAGCTCGGCGCGGTGTTCGCTAGAGCAAAAAAAAAAACAATTAAATGAAGGTAATTTTTTTTGCTTGAAATCGCTACCTGCTCGTTTTCACCTGCTCGCTGCTCGCCCCAATATTCTTGAATTTGTTCATCAGATTCTTGACGTCAAACGCGTCGTCGTCATCATTCTCATCATCGTCGTCATCATCGACAACTCGCCGATTGATCACCTCCGCCATCGGCTTCTTCTCGATGTCCCATTTGCTCGGCTCGGCCTTTTTCTGGGGTTGTGGCGCCACCGGCGCGGCGCCGCCGCTCGCGTCAATCTCCAAAAACTTTTGGCGCGCTTTGCCCGCCATTTTCACCTCGACATCGATCGTTTTGCCTATAAATTCAGAAAATTTGTGGAATTGCGCAATTGCTCAATGCCTAACCATCGGTCGACGCCGCCTTGAACGCCTCGCCGCCGTCGAATCGATGCTTGATTGTTCCGACGTCGGCGTTCTCGTCGGCGTTCTCGGCCTCCTCTTGCGCTTTCGCCGCTTTTCGCGCCAACTTGTACCTCTGGAATTCGGCCTCGATTTCGCGCTTCTTCAATTCGGCACGCTCGTCGGCGTCGGTCATCGTCGGCTCATCGACGGCGCCCTTCTCGAACGTCGCCTTGATGCTGCCCAATTGGACGCCGCCGCCGCCCAAATCGACGGTCGTCTTGTGCGCGTCGTTCTCGCCGTCGCCGCCGTCGTCGTCGCCCTTCTCGAATCTCTCTTTGACGCCTTTCAGCTCTGAAATCATCGACACCAATCAATTGGAAATGCCGTCGTCGTCGTCATACGTGTGAATTTGAGCTCGTCGAGATCTTTGGCGGTCTTCTCGACGGGATTCGCCGACTCATAGGCATTGCCGGCGACGAATGATTTGCGAGCTTCGGCGATTGCTGAAAATTCGACGGAATTTTATTTTTTCGCGCGCTTCAAGACCCTCGCGAAGACGCACGCGGCGACCTGCGCGATGGTAGCTGACCAAAAAAAATTGTTGAATTCAATTTTTGTTTTCATTTTATTCCCAAAAAAGTGCGTGCGTGTGCAATCATCGCGACGCGAAACCACGACCAACTCGATTTGTTTTGCCTACCGTACCACCCCCCCCCCTCCCCCCACGGATTTTAAAGGCGCATTACCTTTTGGCACCCATGTCTTCTTCGAGATGAACTGCGTCCTCACACACGTCAAAATCGCCCGAATCGCGTCGTCGTTGGGAATTTCAAAAAAAAAAACGAAAAATCAATTTTAAAAAAATTTTGTGTGCGAGACGCGGACATTTTCGTGAAGACACATGGATACGACCAAAAAAAGGCGAAAAAAAAATGAAATGCTCGGTGTAGTGGGGGAGGCGAGAGGGGCGTGCGCCTTTAAAATCGCATACAGTAATCTTGGCTAGAAAATATTTTTTTTCCGGCCCCTCCTCTCCGATTTCTTACCGGCGGTGTTGAGCTCGTCCTTGTTCCAGCTCCTCTCGACGGCGTCCGTCGCGTCGGCATCGCTACGCTCCTTGAATCGCTCCTTCACCGACGGTCCGCCTTTGAGCATCTCGAGCTCTTTGCGTTCGGCGGCCTCGCGAAACTCGGCCGTCTCCACGTTGCCCGCCTTCCATTTATTTTTGATGTCGCCGACGGCGTCGAACTTCAGCGTCTCGCGCGCCGCCTTCTTCGAATGTCGAACGATGTTCGGATCGCGTTCGATGCTCTCGCTGTCGTCGTCGTCGCTTTTGGCGTCAAGTGCGGCTCCCGACACGAATCTGTAGATCAAAAATTGAATGTGTTGCTTTTTTGCGAGCATATCCCCCACCTTTCAGCATTGGCTTTAACTTTTCCAGCGGCGAGAAGCTCGTTGTCGATCTGCAAATTGGTGCTTGCTATTTTGGCTAGATCAAACGCCGAACGCACCTGGGTTTTTCTCTCGATCGTCTCGGCCTCTTTGCACGACGACTCGAAATCGCCCTTTTTCTCTTTGAGCGATTTGAGCTGCGCGAGCTCGTCGTGAACAGCGATCGCGCCGGCTGAAACCATGATTGCATGTGACGATCGAAATTGATGAATGGGGCGATCTAAGGGATGGGGGGGGGGGCGGTTCGCTCGCAAGATCGTACAGATGAGATATGAGTATGAATATTAGTGGTGTGAACTGACTGACTGCGCCAAATGTATGCGTTTCGAGTGTGTGTATGTGTATCTCTCTCTCTCTCCGATTCTCAATCCCCACCCATTAGTTTTGTGTATGCGCACGGGTGGCGCGCGCCGATTCGACGAAATAGCGAGCGAGGGTGAGAGACGCAGACAGGCAGACATACACACAAGGCATAGTAATAATAATATTAATAATATTATAAACATTCCCCCCCCCCTCAATTTTACTCGGGACCATTGTGAGCCGAAAACTTTATGGAGCTATTGAAAACGTCGGCCACGGCCATGTCAAGCCTACAGTACTACAGTTAGATGCGCCTTTAAATATAAGCTAGTAGGTAATTCAATTAATGGCGCAAGAGGAAGAAGTCGGTGCCTAGAAATGTGTGTATACACACTGACGCAAAATTGCACACATTGAATTAATATTTTTTTTTTGGATTGCGAAATCTACCCCCCTTCTCTCGCATTATTTATCGTTGACCGTCGGTTTCAATTATGTCGCGATCATCGCCGGAGATATGAAAGTGAACGTGGATAAAGTGCGAATATGCATAATCATAATAATAATAATAATAATTTGATCGATTGAATGAGATCGGTGATGAAATGGAAATGTTTGTGTGCGTGTGTGTGACCCGAATTTTTGGAAATGAATTTCTCTCATGAAGATGTGATTTTGAAGTCAGGGGTTTATTAAAGGGGGTGGTCTAACCTTTAAAAGTTTTTTGCAAAAAATTGATGAAAAAATGCGAAAATTCCATGTTAATTTGTCGCGGAAAACGCGACATGTGCAATTTGTCGTCAATTAGAATGCACAAGTCCGCAATGAGTTATCGGTTTTAGAATAGTCGTCGAATAAAGTGCATTCGGTGTGCACACAGAAATTTAAAATGTTTTGCCTAAAATAGCTATTCAGATAATGTTTTTTTTTTTTCGAAATGGTCCTGAAAATGACATTGCGGACTTGGGCATTTTATTTGACGACAGAATTATATTCAATGATATTTTTATACTCTTAAAAGTTACTCCCCCCCTCCTTTAAGATTTCACTTATTTGTTTGTTTCGTTTTTTTTCGTCGAAATAAAAACCGCAACTCTGCATTTTTGTGTCGCGGTGTTTGCACGAATTTTTCTTCTTACATTTCACGACGCCGTGCAATTGTTTCGGTTTGCTCGAGACGGCGAACTCCTCGTCGTCGGACGTCTGACGCTCGTCCTCTGCAACAAGAATTATTAAAAAAAAAGAAATTGTGGTAACTCAAAAACCAATCGGATCCGACAAAATTCGGCTCGGGAATCAATCCGATCCGATTGGAAATTCTACGGATAAAATTGTGAATTGTAGGATCCGATTTGATTTTGATTAATTAAAACAGAACCAATCGGATCCTATGAAAAATCCAACCGGATCCAACAGTTTACCAATCGCATCCGGCAATTTTACAATCATATCCGTCGAATTTCCAAGTGGATCGGATCGATTTTGGAGCCTTTTGATATTGAATAATAAAACAAAACAGATTCGATAAATAACCTGTTGGATCGGAAGAAGATCCAATCGGATCCAATGGAAAATCCAATCGGATCCTATGGAAAATCCAATCGGATCCAATGGAAAATCCAATCGGATCCAATGGAAAATTCAATCGGATCGCATGGAAAATCCAATCGGACTCAACAATTTACCAATCGGATCGAATGGAAAATCCAATCGGATCCAATGGAAAATCCAATCGGATCCAACGGAAAATCCAATCGGATCCAACAATTTACCAATCGGATCCAATGAAAAATCCAATCGGATCCAATGGAAAATCGAATCGGATCCAATGGAAAATCCAAGTGGATCGGATTGATTCCGGCCCCGAATTTCGTCGGATCCGATTGGGTTTCGAAAATTTCCTGATGTGAGAATGACCAGCGCCGAATTTGGTATGTGTGTTTGCCGAACACTTGATTCGGTTTGAGCGTCTAGTGCCCAAATCACAATCAACACACTTGGCGAAGTGATGTGATCGCTTAGAAATGCGCGGAAGCTCGGGCGACATCGGAAAAACGACAAATCGCTGCGAGACCCAACAAAAAAATTTTTTTCGACGAAAATCCAAAATCGCTATGTCATGATTTCGACAAAAACTGTCTTTCTGGCTTTTTTCTTACAAATTTGAAACATTGTCGATTAAAGGCGCATAGCGGCGAAAAACGACGAGACCAAAAAATGGTAGATCAAAACGCTCACCTTCGGTATTGGCGGGATCCATGGTTTTGGCCAATTCGGGATGGAAAACCTCGAGCATGTGCACCTTGCACAACAATTTGCCCTCGTGCGAATTGAAATTTGTGGCTCTGAACACACCATTCACCAATTGTTCGCCACCCACCCCACCCCCGCCTCCCTTTAAATTGTCGACAATCACTCACGTCAGCTTTTTGGCGCACTTGCAGCACTTGAAGCACTGAATATGATACAGATTCTTGTTGGCCGAAATTTTTTCCGTCGGATACACGATCTTCTCGCAAATGCAGCAGTTGCGCTTCTCTTCCGTCTTGTTGTCGCCCTAAATTTAATTTTTTTTTTGGTTTCGATGGGGTATTTCAAAGGCGCATACAGTACCTGAATGAACGCCGCCTTCATTTTGCCGAGATCCGCGCTTCGCTCGATTTCGACTTTTGTCTTCTCGATGATCACGTCGCTCTCGCCGCTCTCGAAACTGGAAAAAAAAAACAAGGTGTGTGGCACTTGATACCAAACGACAAGCCCTCCACAGTGTGGCGCTATAGCGCAGTGGTAAAGCTTTTGGGCTCATAAGCGGACACCGTGGGTTCGGTTCCGCTCTGCGGGGCAAAGCGTTTCGCTGTCTGCGTCGACTTCCGCCGATCGTTCTCGCGAACGGACCAACACGTCCACATCGGATTTGTGCGGAATTCCGCGTTCCGCTCAACTCCACAACTCACCGTTGTTTCGCCGATGTCAGCGTCGCTTTGCCGACGCCGCTGATCTCCTCGCGTTGGATTCGCTTCAGACGCGCCTCCAAATCCTCATCGTTGTCGATGTTCTCGAATTTCGTCTTGAATTTTGAGTATTTCTCCTGAAAATTCGGGGTTTTTTTTTGGAATATTTTTAGACGAAAAAAATTCGCGTCGAGACGCGAACCAAAAAATTTGGGGATGCGAACATTACGAAATGCTCGTTTCGCGCAATTGGTACTGTATTCCGTTAATGTGTGCACGCGTGGGGTCCGTTCCGTGAACACACGTACGCAAAATTGCACACATCTAATTGTGGGATGTTTCAAAAGTTGGCGCGAAATTCAAATAATTGTTTAAAGGGATATTTTCAAAAAATCATAGTCCACAATTTGCGGCATGTCTGCGTCTCTCATAATCGCACAATCTTTTTTTTTCTTGCGAATCAAAAATTTCGCAATTTCAGGCAATTGAAAATTAAAAAAAAAACGCGAATTTCTCCAATTTTGGGACCACATCGAAACGCACTTTTCCAATTTCGGTGAGTTTTTGCCTTTCTTCCAATCGTGCGATTCTCGTCTCATCGTCCTCATTCTCAATATTATGCACGGTGCCCGTCTCGAAGCCCTATAATAAAAATGTTACACCGGCCGCACGGCGTTTTTCGTTTCTCGTCGCCCTCGATGTCGAACCTCTTTCATTTTTTTGAGCTGCTCGTTGGCCAACTTCAACGCGGCGAGCTCCTCGTCGCGAGCCTCGTCCCTCGCGGGACCCTTGTTCTCGAAAAGTGCCGATTTCTGGAAAAACCACAATTGAACGAAAACATTTTCGACGGTCCATCATGGTGAAATTGTGAAGTTATTTGGAAAAATTTGAGGATTTTTGTTTTTTTTTTGGGTGCTATGAAAGAAATAGAAAGAAGCGGTGGGGGGTGGAATTGATGGTGTGAGAAGGGTGCAATTATGAAAAACCAACCGTCGTGTCTGATAAAGCTTCTCGCTGAAACAATATAGATTATTGGTTTTTGATATTTAAGGGACCATTAATTGTTTTTTTTTTGTGGGGGGCCACTCACGAGCTGCTTCAAATCGCCGGTTCGGCCCTCGATTTTGATCGGCTTCTTCGGCGCTTCGTCGTCGGTGTCGGACGATGAGAGCGCATACGGGTCCTCTTCGTCGGCCATTCTAGTGTTGTTGGTGATTTCTGAAAATTTGGGCAAAAAAAAAGACGAAAAATGTGTGTTTTTGAATGAAATGAATCAGAATCATAACAATTTTGTGGAAAAATCGATTTTTCGCGGGACGCCACGAAGAAGAACAAAAACGAAGAAGAAAAAATGGTCTCGCCGAGAAAGAGAAGAAATTGAGCCAATTATGGTCATGTTTAACCTTGTTCAGATTCCGCTTTTTTTTATTTTTTTTCTCGCCGCCGATGTTTGATTAACAAATGCGTGTTTGCTTGGCGAAAATTGCGATACAGTAGGGGTAGATCATATATAGAGTTTTCTTAAAAAAAAAGACGGCCAATAAATTTCGAAATTTAGGTCTTGATGGGGAACTGAAAAAATCTGCTGCATGCGCCTTTAACGTTTACGGTAGCGATGCTAATAATAATGGGTAGATCAAATTTGTGCGAGCCCAAGAAGTCGGGCAAAACTGAAGAGAAGTGTCAAAAAAATGACGGATGCTCAATATTTGAAGGTTTCCAATTTTTTTTTGTTCGTCAAATAAGAATTGGAAGCCAAAAAAAAAGACGAAGTCATGGATATATGGAGGAATGATCGAGACGAGTTTGAGCGACTGGTTGCCCCGTCGCGCGGGAGCCACTTTCTAGAGCGATCTGCCCACACAATGAAGAGCACACACGATGCGCCTCAATCGATCGGGATTTTACACAGCGCCAATGGAGGGTTGGGGGGGGGGGGCTCCCGCCGCTGAGCAACACAGATCTAATGAGCGAGCAGAAACTTTGACAATGGGGGGGGGGATGGATTGGGGAAGGCAAAAAATTGTAAATGCGGTTTTCTCCTCGCGCGCGCGCGAGCGAACCCGCCTCGCGCAAACACCAATTATTCATCGGATCGATCCGATATGTGTGTGTGTGTGATGGGCTCGAGAATTTGGTTTTGTTAAATTCCTACTATTACACATTGATTTCAAAATCGACCAATTGTCATTGTTTTGGCGGGGCGGTGCGACGGCGATTTGTTCCAGATGTTCACACGAAAAATGTGGATGTTTTGAGGCAATTTCGCAATTCGTCAGGATTTTTAAAATGATTGAAATTCAATTGTATTTAAGCCGTGCCAAATTGCCGCTAACAAGGGAGGACGCATTACCGTATAAGAAAAAATAAAGATGAGGGGGGTGTGGGGGCGAACCTTCATCATAAAATTACCCTCGGTGCAAACGAAATGCTCCAGTTCGGACGTAGGACTGCTCCCGTTCGAATGTAAAACTGCTCTCGCTCGACGTCGGAGGGGGCGCAGTTTCACGTCCGAACGGGGACAATTCACGCTCGAATGGGAGCAGTCTCACGCCCGAACCGATGTGAGACTGCTATCAAACTGCGACAAATTGGTTGCGAATTGGGCCCGATTCACGCCAGATTCTCGTTCGAACTGACGCCAGATTACGCCCAGTCGGCTCCAGTCAAATTTTATTCTTTTTGTGTATTCGCTACAATTTGGATGCATTAGATTTATTTAAATCAAATAATAAAATAAAATAATAGATATCGAAGGAAAAATATTAATTATCGAGTAAAGAGGAAGAAAATGGGAGCGAGAGGGAACATTAAAAGAGGGTTCGAGGAATTACTGTCGCGGAAATCGGAAAATAAACTAAACGCCAAAAAATGAGAAATGTCTTGGCCCACGGCATGAGCCTCAATACTTATATTTTGTCCGTATATCTACACATTTAGCTTTGCACCAAGACATCTCCTTCAATTTTTGGCACTTTGTAATTTTCCGCAATTTTGCGACAATTAAATACAATTAATAAATGTATTAAACCATCTTACAACAGGAAGGGAATACAAATTCTTCTTCCCCATGACTCTTGACATTTTATCCATTTGCGAAGTTTCCTAGGTCTTCGCATTATGTGCTGGGTCTAGGTTGAAGCAGTTAGCAGCTTGCAGTTTCATTCTGTAAAACAAGGGTTAATTGATGATAGCATCCATATTTTATAACACTTACTCAATATATAGTTCCAAAAAAACCAGTTGGTCCTCCAGTAAGCATATAGCAAATTCATCCAGCATCGCATTCAGCATCAGAAATCAGCATCGCAGCTTGCCATCTCATTTCTAAATTATAAGTGTTTGAAAGATATTGGAATTGCGAAAAACGACGATAAATTATGGGCAAATTTAAAATCAATTTCTATTCACTTATCGAACCTTTACCGTTATAACAAAACTTTAAAAGTTCTCTAAATATAACATCATTATTGTATTGAAAACCATCCACAAATGTGTTTCTGGCTTTTAATGGCCAAAATCAATACAAATCTGTCTGAAAACTACTTTTTTCTTAGAAAAGACAATGAAAATGCCCAAAAGTTTCAGTTAAAAATTTAGGATAACAAAAAGACGCGAAAGTTTAATAAAAAACAGAAACGTTCCACTAAAATACGAGCGAATTGATAGATACACATTTTCTTTAGTTTTTGAAAAAAAAATTACGCAAAAAGCTCGAGAAATGATCGAAAAACAGCAATAAAAGTGTTTAAAATAAAAGACGCCATTTCGAAAAAAACAACCGCGACGCGACAATTCCGCGGCGCGCTATTTTGAATTGCTGCGGCACACCATTGACTGCTCCCGTTCGGGCGCAAATTTGGCTACCCGCTTCAGTTCGGACATGCGTCGACGCCAGATTGGGCAATGTTGTCCAAACTGGAGTCGTTAGTTAACTGTAGTGAATGTCTGGCTCCCGTTCGGGTGCTCACGCCCGAACTGGAGTCAACCGCTAAAAAACCCTGCTCCCAATTGGATGCAAATTGGCCGCAGTTCGGAAGTCCGCCTGCCACCGATTGAACGCTATCGCCCGAACTGTACCAGTGGGAACCTATCGGTCCCAGTTCGGGAGTGTGTCGGCGACCAATCGAGCGCTATCGTCCGAACTGGAGCATTTCGTTTGCACCGAGTACCGCCGCGAACACTTGCCACCCCGCCACTTCGGAACGTGAACTGCAGTTCACTTAAGTGCGCTCTATGGTGAAAATTAGAAAAATATTTGAAAAATCATAATTGCCGTCTGCACCAGAGATGCACGGGACTTGAATTTTTTGAAAACTGAAATTGTACTAGAAGATTTTAGCGTTTTTATTTTTTCACGAAAAAAATTTTTTTGACGGAACGCGTAACAAAAAAGGGACGGAAAACGGAGTTCAGTTCGAGCCTACTTGAGAATTTCTTCCACATTTTATCAGTTATCAAGAAGTAGTCTCCACATAATCTTCTCTTCACCATTAAATACAATTTAAATTCAAAAACGTAAATAAGAAGCGAATTTAAAAAATAAAAGAATGATTTCATTTGTGTTTCATAATATCGACAATCTTAACACACAAAATAAATTAAAAATAAAACAATCACAATTAGAAATGATTTTTGGTGGGCCACAGAATAAGAACAGAAGAAACTTTTTTGACGGAAGAGGGTATACGGTAGTCGCAATAAAAACTGTGTTTGACGGAAAACATAACAGTAAAAAATGCCGGAAGACGGAATTCCGTGTAGGACAATAACGATGGCATTGGGATTCATTTCGAGTAATTGCAATTCTGAAGCACACACGGAAAGTAACATTCGGCAAAAGAAATTCTCGAAGCACGTACCGCGAATTCAACGAATTTCGAATTTCTCGTTCAAAATCTGATTTCCATAAATTGAATTTCTAGATTTATTTATTATTATTCGCGTTGAGATTGCTACATTGTAGCCGCGAATTCGCAATCTAAACTCCGCCCCCCGCGTTTGTTTCATGAGGCAAATGCGCTCTAGTGCAATACAGCGTCGATCGGGAAAGCGCGTCGGGGAGCAGAGAGTGTGCTAACATGAGAGAATGTGCCAACACTTAGCGTCAATTTGAAGTTCTTGTCGTCAAATGCGCTCTGTCGCAGGTCTCGCACCGACGCCCAGTGGCACTATAAAAGGCCGGCTGAATGAAGAATTTGGTCATTCTCGCAGCTCTCCGAGTTGCGAGCAACCCGCCTGCGGGCTCCTCGTGTCCCGCATAACCTGCGGGCTCCACGTGCCCCCGCGCAACCTGCGGGCAGCCCGCATCTCCTGCGGGCTCGCTGTGGCCAAGGATCCACTAGGTAAGTCGCATTCATCGCCGTCGCTTTTCCTGATTTCCTCTTTTTGCAGATCCGATATGAGCCACAGTCGATTCTCCATCGACACCTTCGGATCAGAAGTGTTCAAGGTGTGAGGGATTCTCGCCTCGACCGGCTCCGTTAGTCAGGGCTCACCCTTCAATGGGCGTACTGCAGTGTTGGTTCGAGGTGACGTTAAACCTACACTGAGGCATCGAGGTGATGAAGGAAGAGATGGAGAGGCGACGAAAGGTCGACGCTGCCCGGGGCGTCGAGCAGAGTGAGGAAGCGGATTCAAATGGTAACGAAGAAGCAACAATCGATCGGAATAATTCGATTCATTGCAGGGTTTTCGATGAACGGATCGAGAGAAGACAACCGGAGGAAGCGACGAAGAATGACACCAGTGAGAAGTAATTGATCCGCGGATCATGGTAGTTTTAGGGGGGCCATATTTTTATTTTTATTATTTATTAATTTTTTATTATCACTCACTTGCACCAGCCGTACCACTTACGGCTTCCCCTCTTTCTCCCATCACTTGGGATTCCCCCTTCTCTCCGTACATTCGTACCACTTACGTCTGTACTTTCTCCTGGTCCTACCGTTTGGGACCATCCCTTCTTTTCTGGGGAAAGCCGGCTTCCCCATCCTCTTCCTGCCGTACCACTTGCGGCTTCTCACTCTCTCTTCTTTCTGTACATTCGTACCACTTACGTCTGTACATCCTTCCGGTCCTACCGTTTGGGACCACCCACTTCTTCGTATTTTTCGGGGAAAGTCGTACCACTTATGGCCACGCCAGTCATTCCACTAATGACTGGCTTCCCCTTCTTTTTTTTCTTTTTTTTTTAATTTGTATCTTTAGGTATGTTTAGGTATCGACGTTGCCGCCGCCGCCGCCGATGGAAGGATCTTGCCGGTGAATCGACTCACCGGCACACATCCCACAATAAGTCTAAGTCTCTAAGTACCTCTAGTCTCCCTAACTTTTAAACCCGCCGTAGTCGGCAATCCCTAGGTCGTAGTCGGCCACCCGTAGTCGTAGTCGGCTACTCCCCAAAAGCGCCGAGGCTTCCCGTCCCTCACAATCGTAGTGCCGAAGCGCTGGCTGGATGGCGGCTTATCCGTCGAATCCTAAATTCGGGTGATTGGCCTGGCAAGCCCTTCAGCCCTGATTCCGTAGCCGGGAATCGAACCCTACCCAAACGCCCCCGTTTCAAGTACTTTCGAGTGCTTGGAAACTGCTACGGGGCGTTATGGATGGTTATGCTTTAGAATATTGCTTCACCGGGTGTCCTCCATACTAGTCAGGATGGCATCTGGCCCAGACCTATATTGACGTGGATTGGCCAGCTATGTCAATATGTCCAGCCTTTCGGGTGCACATGGACCGTGCTTCTTGGCATAGTAGCTTGCTACTTTGTAGTGGCTTGCTACTACTTAGTAGTAAGCTGCTGTGCTGAGAGCACAAAAACCACATTACCATATCACCAGTAGACCCGGGGCCCAGCCAGACGTGGCTTGCCCAACCACTTCTACTTCTATTATCCTCGGATGATAGTTGTGGGATGTCCTTGGGTGATCCCCATGGTGGGATCGGCGATGACCCACATCAGGTTTCGGCCTGATGCTGGTGAGCCTCTCCTTCATGTGTCGAGCCTCTACGTGGCGAAGGAGATCAACTGACTCGATCGAGACAGGCTAATCGACACAAGTTTTTTAGTTTTTTTTTAAAATTTTTTTTCTAGTTTTTTTGTAGTTTTTTTTTTGAATTTTGAATTGTGAGATTAACAAATTTGAAAAGAAAAATTTTTACGTGTGGCGGATATGTAACCGCTTGACCAATGGAAAATCATCTCGAATTTACAGACAACCATAACTCGTCTGAAACCGCGCATTGCAGGCTGGAATATTCTGGACACACTCAGAAAACCTTCTAGATTACGTGAAAACTATGTTATAGAAATTTTTCTTCGATTTTATTTTCCAAAACAATCAAATTTCCATGATGTTTGAACTATTGACATCAGCAAATACATGCGATAAAAATTTATTTCATATATGTATATAGTTAGACAAGTTTATACACCATGTAGAGGAACATGAACATCAGCAGTACAGTGACAATCAGTAGAAGTAATCGATTCTGTATTGCCCTTAACAAATTAGAAATCACCTTTTTTCAAAGTATTCCCAATCATACCGTCGAATCATAGTGTTTAGAGTTTTATTGGCTCGGCCAAGGTCTGCGTTGGAGCCTCTCATCCGATCGCGAGCCCTTCCAATTGTGTCCCTTTGACTAGTCAAATTCGACAGCATTTCGGTTCCAATCTGATTTCAAAATTTATTTCTCAATTTTTTTGGCGACTATTTTAGCCACCTGCTCAGTTTCGACGGCTATTCGATGAGCATCTTGAAGTTTTCGCGAACTTCGCTCCAATCGTTGAGTATTCGCAATGAGTTGATCCTCCTAAAATCGTTTATTTCGATCGACTACTCGGAATTGTCAACCTGTCGATGCTCAACTAATTGATCGTCAAACGCGAGAAGCTCATCGCGATCGGCTTCTTCTCGAACTCGCTTGATCGCCTTTTCCAGCTCGCCGTCCAATTGCTTCTTGTCGCCTTGATAGCTGCGCACGCGCAGCTCATATTTCGTTCGTTCGGTTCTAAAAACGTCGAGATTTTCTCAAACTCGTCGCGTTTCGGCTAGTACGTGTTGGCTTCGAGCTCGCGAACAACGAGCTGCATCTGATCGAGAAGATCGCTGACGTCGTCGAGACTCTTGCGAATCTCCTGAACCGCCGAAGCGCGCTCGGAATTGGGCAATGTGTGGACACGTCCGATTTTCGAAGTGATCTGAAATTATTCAAGCTAAGGTGATGAAAATTTCAAAAAATAAATAAAATTTTACCTCAGCGGTCTGCAGCGAATATTGCTTCTCAAAACCATTCAATTGCTCGACGATCGCTGCCTGCGACGTCGTCCCCACAATTCCAGACATTCCTGAATAATGCGCCTTTAAACTGGGTGAGAGAAACTGAAAGTAGGGTGACGTGGGCGAAACCAATTATTTCAATTTGAAAAAAGAAAATTCGCCATTGAAAACAATAGTTTATAACAAAAAACGAACAAATCTAGCTATTAACTATAAAATTGTTGAATTATGCTCTATAATGAGCATATGCGCGATTCGCTTCACATGTCTTGTGCAATTCCTGCTTCGCCTGAATCGTCTGACCCTCGTTTTGGCTTGCTGCCAGCAATTCTGTCGCCAGAATATCCCTAAATTTTTCAAATAATATATAATCGGCGTCCGGCGAGTGCTGTACGCGGGTAGATTTACGCGCATGCGCCTTGAAAAGGTCTCGCCACGCGTGAATGCTTATTTTGCTGTTTTCACGTGAACTGCTTCATTTTTCTTGACAAGTTTCGCATTTCCTTGAATTTCCAACGATATTTAATTAATAAATAATCGAACCGGTCCATAAAATTTGAAATAACCTGTTCGTCCTTGCGAGACCAATTCCCGTAAATTTACCCGCGTACAGCAGTCTCCGGATGTCGACTATATATATATATTTTTTTTTAACTAGAATTACTTGAAATGTGTGGCTCCCGATTTGGAACGTTGCCGACAAATGTCCCTCATCATTTTCATTGCCCGAAATTCGGCTTCATCCTCCTCGATGGGAAATGGCACTTGATAGGTGGTTCCACCGCGGGTTACCCCTTGCAATTTCATCAGCGGATGACAATTTCGGATTCCCTCACGCGCGATTCGGAACGGGTCGAGTTCAATTGATTTCTGAAATTTACAATATAAAATCGATTCTCTTTTCAAAAATATTACTTTTTCCTCATCGCTAGCCTTCAGCCATGCTTTATACTGGCGACGCTTGATAATTTCAAGAGCACTCAATACATTTGTTCGCGAAACGTCCTTCTTGCCATCTTTTGTGCAAACGCGAATCAGTTTATCGATCTAAACGGTAAAAGAAACAAATATTCATAATATATTTCAAATTAGTTTCAGTTTACCACCGGGTCCCTATAGAATACAGGGGTTTGGTCGCTTTTCATTGCTTTGATGAACAGAAAATTTCTCTCGTCATCGGTGTCCAATGGTTTTTTCATCTGAAAATTGCGAAATCAATTATTTCAAACATTGTATTATCGTACTTCTTCAACGTCTGTCACCGGCTCGCGAAATACTCGCGGATCGTACATGCTTGACGTTGATGTGGTGGTGGAGAGGAATCGAGGAGCCGCGAATTGCAGCGAGCGGATCAAATGAGCGTTCATCACCTAGAAATAGCGACAATCGATTGTTTTTTCTGAAATTAAAAATGAACAAATGGAAAAATTTTTGGATCGCAATAGAGCGCGTTTACTCGTTGTTTCAATGTTTTCACTCTCCTCGTTTCCCTTTGTCTCTCGCATAGAATTTACGATAAAAACTAGGTTAGTGTAAATCGAAGCATCGTCGAATTTCATTTTTATCACCAGAGTTTCTTCGAAAATTGTACTTTTTGCACTTTTATTGCCTCCATTGATGATTACTTTCTATTTAAACTTGAATTAATTTTTAAAGATTGTTTTCCAGAAAAAATATTAAATTTATTGAGAGTTCAAACCAGGGCTGTGTGGCAATCGGCAAGTTGCCGAAAATTAAAATTTCGGCTATTAAATATTTTCAACGATAATTCGAATTACCGAATTTTCACGGTATCCCAAACTATTCAATACACATTGATTTTTGTTTCGCCGATTTTGTTTGACATCAAATTTTGGCAATTCGGCAATTTGAAAAATCGGCAATTCCATTGCCGCTCAGCCCTGGTTCAAACCTTCGGTTATTTTATTTTCCAATTTCGCTTTTAATTCTTTAAACAATTTGTATTAATGAACTAAAACAAGATTTCAGAATATGAAATTCGATATTCAAGTATCAAAATCTTATGGCCATTTGGTGGACAACGTTCGTAAATATATCGAGGAAAAGGTGAATTACATGGCGATGCAGCACGGCATCATCAGCATTGGCGTTTCCGGCGGATCAATGCCGAGCATCGTCGCCGAAGCGTTGAGCAACATTCCCGATTTTCAATGGGATCGCGTCAAGATATTTGTCGTCGATGAGCGCAACGTTGAAGTGGACAGTGCCGAGAGCAACATCGGCACCTATTTGCGACTCATCCCGAAAGCCCACAACAAATCGCTGCTCAACTTCACGATCTACGAGAATCACGTGAAAACCGCGCACATGTACGAGGCAACACTGCGCAAAATGTTGCTGCCCGAGCAGAACGGACAATACGCGCGATTCGACATTCTGCTTCTTGGAGTTGGACCGGATGGGCACACGTGCAGCTTGTTTCCGGGTCTCGACGTGCCGAAATTGACCGATCATCATTGGGTGACCGCCGTGTCGGAATCGCCGAAGCCGCCGTCGAAGCGAGTGACGCTCACGATGCCGGTTTTGAACAACGCCAAGAACCTCGCGTTCATCATCACCGGCAAACCGAAATCGCACGTGGTGAAATCGATATACGACGGCGACAAAAAGTATCCGGCGTCTCAAGTGCGACCCATCAACAATCGATTGACGCTGATTCTCGACGAGGACGCCGCCTCAGATCTTCCGCGACCGTTGCCAACGCCGAAAGATGCCGAGAAATCGCCGCAAAAGATGGAAATCGATGAGTCGCGTGAAATGGATATGTCTTAAATTCTCGATGTGCTGTAAATAATCGAATCATTCCGTCAAAATGTTCAACCAGCTCAGAAGCTTTAAATAAGTATTTTCTCTCTTGAACATTTTTTTCTGGATTGAGTTTTCTTCTTTTTATTTATTCTTTCATCGGATATTCTGCTGCTCGTCTTGATTTATATAATATTTTTTTTCAACAAATTTCTTGTGAAATAAAATAAATGGTTTAGATGCCGCTTATCGTTGTCACCGGTCATCCGAGCGCGGGAAAATCGACGATCGTCGAGCGACTATGTCGAAAATTTCAAGAAAATTCGAAAAACGAGGTGCGAGTGATAAGCGAGAACGATTATGGGAGTTTCTCGAGAAATTGCTACGACAGTTCGAATAAGGTGTAATTTGAAAAAAAAAATTGAAAAACAATGTGATGAGGGTTCTTGTAGGAAAAAGATGTGCGATCATGGCTTCGCGGCGAAATTCAGCAAAGTTTGTCAAAGAATTTGGTTGTGATTTGCGATGGTCTCAATTATATTAAAGGTGATTTTGAGGAATAGGGAGATTTCGCAAAAAAATGGCTGTGCAGATTGCAGAAAAAAATTAAAGCCTACAGTGATTTTATTAAATCGTGAAATTGTTTCGCATGCGCCTTTAATCATAACGATTTTATTTATTTTTTTCTATTGTGATTAAAGGCGCATATACTAATTTTTCTTGTAGCGATTCGATAAAAAAACCGCGATATTGTAGGCTTTGATTCAAATTTATTTCTTAAAATATGCATAGCGATTATTAGGGGGTTTTTTTTTTAAATAATATACATACTGCTGACAGGATTCCGGTATGAATTGTTCCTGGCGGCGAAGATGAGTAAGACGACGTACTGTGTTGTGCAGTGCACTCCAGATGAGGAAACGTGCCGTTGGTTGAATGAGCAGAAGCCGGAGAATGAGAGGTAGGCTCAATCGACGAATTTTTGAGTTTGTTTTTTAAAATTAAATTTACAAAGTGTCAAATTTTCACAAATTCCGTCTATTTTAAGGTATACAAACGAGCAAATAAGTCAACTTCTTATGAGGTACGAGCGACCGGACACCAAATTTCGATGGGAGAAGCCATTATTCGACATCAAAATTGGAAAATCTGAAAGGTATTTCAACGAAATTTGCCACCGCAATTCCTTTTTTTGTTGATTTATGAAATAATTTAGCCAAATTGACGATATTGATGATATGTCGGTGAATCTTGAGCATCCGTCACCGCGAAACGCTCAAATTTTCGACGACGAAATTATTGATTGGATAATTAATGTAGGAAAATTGGAAATTTGTCAATAATTAATTGCTTCTCTCTCTCTCAAGGGTGTTGAGCTCACCGAGAATCAATCGACGCAAGTTGTCCCACTAGCACCGGCCAACTTTCTTCATGAGCTCGACCGAGCCACTCAAGACGTCGTCACGACGATACTCAACGCTCAACGCACATTGGTTCGCGGTCAGACCATCAAAATTCCGGGCGCGACGAGTAATTCGGACACGGTGCGTTTCGAAAATTGATTTCGGTGTCGTTGAATTTTGGCAAAATTTTGCAGATAAAATTCACAAAGCCGCGAACGCTACCAGAATTGAATCGATTGAGGCATCAATTCATGAACATGTCGAAAAAAGATCCGCTAACGGATAAAACGAAAATCACCTCATTGTTCGTCGATTTTCTCAATAGCAATCTTCGGTGATTGATTGTCATTCACACATTGTTATTCGATTTTATTGTTAAATTAAAATAAATCGAAAAAAAAAATCAAAATTATATCGATTGCGCGTAGATGGTGAGCTGAAAATGGCCAACATTATGCGTTTTCATGATGTTTTATGGTTTACCAACGCCTCCAATTCGGGAATCGATTTGACGGCGCTCAATTTGTAGGGATTCGTGTTGCAGAACGTCACCGACGGGAATCGCGATTGATCCATTCCGATGTTCAAATTGACAACCTTCGAGAATTTCAGATATTGACAAATTGTGCTGTACATCAAGTAGACGAGAAGGATGGCGCAAATCAATAAAATTGTGGCCCATAGAAAAATTGCCAAGAACTGAACGAAAAAAAAATGAAATAATTAGGAATTGCTGGAAAATGTCGTCGAATCGTGTGATTTGGTACCGATTCAAATTGAATTTTTTTGACAGTTTAGCTGAAATGTCGTATAGTTGAATATTTTGCGAAATCTCGAAAAAATGAGGCAAAAAATAATAGAGTGAAATAATTTAATTTTGTGTTCCCGGATTACGGTAACTCGTTCGGTGTGTTGCGTACCAAACACATAATCTGACGACACCGAACACAATTTTCCAACAATAATCCAAATTCGCAATTTTCGTCGCGCAAACTCACTGTCAACGATTGTGCCATATGCGGAATTCCGTGCCAACTACACGAAGCGCCCCACTCGCGTAAGCATCTCTTCGTTTTTCTACAATTTTTCCAAATAATTGGTTTGGTTTTTGTCTTCCAGAAATTTCCGCGCTTACGCCCATCGCGTATTCGATTCCACCGGCGTTTCCTTCTGCTTATCCGTCTCAATATCGCGAACAATCTCGCGAAGCTCGTCGTCATCGACAAAATCGCTGTCAAACTCCTAAATTTGATCAACAACAATTCGCTGAACGAACGCGCCGATAGCTCGCATTCTCACCTTCTCCGGAATACTAGGTTTTCGATGGCGCAACTCATCCGCCATCGTTTTCGGTGGGTGCGCCAAGAAACTGCCTCGTCGAATTTCCGCAACAATCTCAAATAACACACGTCTTTATTCATGTTGAATACATTTCAATAAACGCCATGAATGAATAATTAGAACAAAACAAAGCAAATGTATTAAATAGTTATTGAGGTGTGCCGAGAGGAAGAGAGGGAGGACCACGTTTAAAAAAAAACACAAAAAAACTTATTCGAGCTTTTTTTTCATCGGCAGTGGTTGTGGGGAAAATGAGGGATATGGGACGCATTGATTACTTCTTCGCCGATTTCGGCTTCTCGGCAAGATGAGTCACATTGGCTCGCGGCGTCGAGCTCTTCGATGAGCCGCCCGACTGACGCGGATTGCAACCAAATGGTCCCATCGAAGCGCACATTCGGCTACTAACCTCTTGCGCTTTCTGTGATTCTAGAAAAAAAAACGGTACGCAATTTTCATGGCCTTTTTTCAATTCCCTTTTGCTGCTTATATACCTTGAAATTTTAGAAATGCTTCCGGCGTGCTCCAGCTCAAATGAGCCTCAGCCGCCTGACGGGTTCGGCTCATCAAATCATACCATTGCATTGCGTTCAAGAGCTCGTCAAACTTTCTAAAATCGCCTTAAACCGAATCGAATCGAGCCGTGCGCGGAAAACTAACGGTGGATGCGGCATCTTCGACACACCACTAAGCGGAGCATCGTATTTGTGCGACAGCGGCACATTGTGCTCGATCAAACTTCTCAGCACCGAGCATTTCGGAATGTCGCACTCTTTCTGCTGATTGTACATGAGCTGAACGACCGACGTCGGCGGAAGTCCGAGCGAGAGCAACGTCTTCAGAAAAACCTCGTGTTTGCAATCGGCAAACGCTGGAATTCGATAGGCGAACGGCAGAAGGCCTGCAATTTTGTCGTGTTCGTTGTCTCGTTTTTCGATTATCAATGGTTTTATTGAAATGAGAGAACGAGAGAGAGAGGGAAAACAAAATACACATACATAGAAGGCATGAGATCACAAGAATCAATGAAAAATAATGACTAGATTTAAATAAAATGCGATTTTTTTTTGGTTTTTTGTGTGATTTTTCAATTTTAGCCTCAACTAACTTTGAAAATGATGAGCGCCGGGATAGTCGCCGCTGGCGGTCGAGTGCTGCGCGTGATGACTTCGCGGTCGATAGGTGCCGTTCATGTAGGCCAAATCAGTGAGCTGCTGACGCTTGAGATCATCCTGTCCATCGGCCTGAAAATGAAAAAAAAAACATCGACGACAAAAAAATAATGCTTGATACCGGCGGCTGCAGAATCACTTTGATGACGTTGACGCCGACTTCGAGCTTTTGCGCGGCGCCAATATCGGTGGCCGGACACGAGACCTCAACGCGAAGCGGATCATCGGGATTCGGTGTCGATGCGGCGCTCTCGTTTCCAACCTAAACGCGAATCATCGAGCGCGGCTCACAATCGCCACCACTCACCGCGTCCTTCTTCCTTCCATGAACCACGATTTTGCAGCCGGTGATCTCTTCGAGTTGTTTCGCCGTCGTCCCGCGCGGTCCGAGGAGACGTCCAACAAAATTGTACTAAACGAAAAGAAAGAAAAAAAAAACCATGTTTTCTCATTGCTTCTCAAAGATCCACATACGTTCGGATACAAATCGACGGGAATCGGAATCGTCTCGGAGAGGATGCCGTTGGCCGGCGTCGCCGTCTTCTCGACCTTCTGCCCGACGCGTTTGATCTCCTTGTCGATGAGCGCGAACACGTGCGTCAAACCATCAGTGTATTGCGCGAGTTGATCGCGCTCCTCTTTGAGGCAATCGATATAGGACGCCTGAAATCAATAATTCAACAAATTGACATTCATCTAGTGGTACGGTATCGCAATAGTTCTTCTCGTCATGCTGATGAAGTTGATGGTTCGAGTGGTCCGAGCTCGATTTTTGGCTCGAGGTGCCCTGCAAAATAAAATCGCGTGGCGCCACGTGGATTCTTATATTGCCTATATTGAACAAAAGAACCATATGGTCCGTGTTACCTTGTCCTCACTGGGCGGCGGTGTCAACAAATGCATTCCATCGGCGATTCGAAGGCCGGCGAGGCTGCTCATCAGCGCGCCGCCGGCGTTCTCCTCGTGCTCTCGCTTCTTCTCCTTTGACGCGTTCATGATTCTTCGCTTCTTCGTCTTCTTATTACTTCTTCTTCTTAGACGACGACGATGATGATGAACGGGCTGATTGAATTGAATTGAAGACGATTTGTGTGAAGCGAAACAATCGCCGAGCGACGACGTGGAAAACCCCGACACGTCATGCATGCGGGTATCACGCAATCAATATTATTTTTTTTTATTCACGGCGTTCTTCTTCTTTTTTTTTCGACAATTATTTTTATTCATTATTAAATTTTCAAAAAAAAAAGGCGCACAAACGTTATATTCCAATGCTTCGGCTTCTGAAATGAAAAATTTTTATTTCAATCTTTTTTCTTTTCTACCTTGTTGAAACAATTTCTTGTTGTATTAATGCCTTCAACCTATTAAGATCGTCAAAATTTGCGTTTTTCGAGAATACCTTAATTGGGTGGCCAATTAGCAATGGTGTGATTTAATTAGTGTTACCGTATACCACGGGGTTGTCTCGTTTCCCATGTTTATTTTGATTTGATGGTAATCGGCGAGAAAATGAATAATCGCGATGGCTATCAATTCGTCGTCGAATTGCGATTGTTTCAACAAATTTTGAACGTCATGAAGAACTGCCATACCGGCGTCAATTACTAGAAGAACATTTTGAAAATTGGGTCCCGTTTGGAATATGAGTGGTTACGGCGATGCTTTTGAAACTCCACAGGATTCACTGATCTCAAATGGTCCAAGTATAAAGCGAGAATCTGGAAAAATGGCGGGATTTTCTTGAAAAAAAAATGTTTTTTTTTTTTCAGCGATTGTTCTAATTCAACATTAAAAGCAGGTTTTTTTGAGAAATACAAATTTTGAACATTAATGGATCTATTCAGTGAATGTAAATTAAACAAAAACGACAAATTTTCATTATGCAGCGATGTCGTTTTTGTCGCAATAAGCGCTTAATTTTACTGAGGGGTACTGTAGATCGCGGGTCGATATTTCAAAAAAATTGGCACATGCTCCTTGAATATCGATTTTTTTAAAATATTTTTTATATTAAAATTTTCGTATTTTCACTCGTTTTTCGCGGATTTTTTTAAATAATTTAAACTTTTTTTTGAGTAACACTTTTAAATAATAATTTCATATCGTTTTCGTTTTTTTCTATTCCAAAACTGAATCGATTTTATTCGAATATTGTTTTAATTTAAAGAAATTGAATATTTCAGATCGTTCCATGGCTAATTTGGATAGGTTACGAAATAAGAAAAAGGCTATAGTAAGAAATACAATTTAAACAAAAAACAAATAAATGAATTTATAGATTGCACTGCTTATGAAAAAACGAATTATTTTGGTTTGGATATTGAAACAAAATGCATTGAATGCATCTGAAACAATTGAAGTGATCAAGAAATCAGGTTTCTAGCAATAAAAAATGGAGTTTTATGGGTATGTTTTAGACAGCGATGAGCTGATGAGTATGTTGCGCGAGACGAACAGCGAAATCAAGCAGCTGCTTAGATCGAATGATGAGGAAGCCAAGGAAACCCCCAAATGTAAATTTGACCGATTGTGCAGGGTCATGGCCAGCCACGTTGCGGATTGGCCTGAATTGGATCAAATTCAAGCCGAAGCGAAAGCGATCGCTTTCATCATGGATCTCCAACCGACGGGCAAAAGAAATGAGCAGACGACTTCTCTCATTTTGTTGGACGAAAATTATTTTTAAGTATTTTTTTTATTATATTAACAATTATATTTAAAAAGATAAACATTAAACATGATAAAGAAGATAATTTTTTAATGCCGTTCTTTGATCTTCGGCATCGCTGTATGGGTCTTGAAGTAAGGGAAAGTTGTGGTCAGGTGGAAGATCGGGAGGAGCACCTAGTGATATGTTATGTACAACTGAAAGTGCTACAATGAGGGCGCGCGAAGAAGACGGGTCCATATTAAGGGCTTTTTTGAAAATCTGGAATTTCGACTGCATCACACCAAAAAAATATTCAATTTTCACCCTAGTTGCCGACATAATCTCGTTAAAACGCATGTTTTCTGGAGTCAAGGAAAGCTGCCTATAGGGTTGCATAAGAAACTTAGATAGTCCAAATCCGTTATCAGCAATTATAAATGGAGGCATTATAATGGATGAATTCGGAAGCGGGCGATATCCACCTATTGTGGCTACATTTTCGAGGAGTGCTCCCAAAGGCCCATCTCTGAACATTTGGGAGTCCGAATTTACTCCAAGCTCAGAGATTTGCAAATATATAACACGCAAGTTTGCATCACAACAAAAAAGAGAATTAAATGAATAAAACGACTTATAATTATAATTTAACGATCCTGTATGCGCAGGATGCTCGATCTTCCAATGCTTTCCATCCAATATGGCAAAACATGGAATTCTTCGACGAGGAGTTCGATCAGAAGAGTTCATAAATCCTTCTTCCAGACGAATTAATTCTCTTCGATTTTGTGGCAATCGGATTTGTTCTCCGGCAACTTGGACGATATCCTCGATTGTATCTCTAACTAGTCGAGAAATCGTTGATTGCGAAACTCCAATTTCCTTCGCAAGAAGATTTTGGCTAATACCTATAAATTTTATAATTTTAATGCTTGTAAAAAACTAACAAACAACTAAAAAATAACCTTCTCTTGTGTATTTTAAGAAAACTGCCAATCGAATTGTCGCATTGATTCGACCTTCGTGATTTCGGCATATCTTCAGAAGTTCCATGAACGTGCTGTTAGAAACGCCGGTCACGAACTTAATTTATTCTACATTACTTATGCAGAAATTCACTTGTTTTACTTGTTTCCTTACCTCAATACCACCACAATCTACTAATCGGTTGACTTTTTCACAAAAAAGATCGAAGCTCTGTTTCTTGATCACTTCAATTGTTTCAGATGCATTCAATGCATTTTGTTTCAATATCCAAACCAAAATAATTCGTTTTTTCATAAGCAGTGCAATCTATAAATTCATTTATTTGTTTTTTGTTTAAATTGTATTTCTTACTATAGCCTTTTTCTTATTTCGTAACCTATCCAAATTAGCCATGGAACGATCTGAAATATTCAATTTCTTTAAATTAAAACAATATTCGAATAAAATCGATTCAGTTTTGGAATAGAAAAAAACGAAAACGATATGAAATTATTATTTAAAAGTGTTACTCAAAAAAAAGTTTAAATTATTTAAAAAAATCCGCGAAAAACGAGTGAAAATACGAAAATTTTAATATAAAAAATATTTTAAAAAAATCGATATTCAAGGAGCATGTGCCAATTTTTTTGAAATATCGACCCGCGATCTACAGTACCCCTCAGTAAAATTAAGCGCTTATTGCGACAAAAACGACATCGCTGCATAATGAAAATTTGTCGTTTTTGTTTAATTTACATTCACTGAATAGATCCATAAGTTTAATCAAGGAATTGAATTTTTTCAATTTTTCAATGATGTTGGAATTAATTGATATATTCCCTATTTAAAACGAATTTTTAGACAAAATTATTATTTTTGAAAACAAAAAAAAAATGAGAATTGTCGTCAAATTTGGTGCATTGTGTAAAGTGTTTGCACATAATCAAACATTTTTCATTCAAAAATTGTTTTTTTTTTAATATTTATTTAATTCTCACCCGCCATGTGTCGTCTTGACTTTTACACTTCATTGAGGCTTGATATGACATATTTCGAGCAACTTCGTGATATAAACACTGTGAGTTCGTTGCAAATTGTTCATCTGTTTTCTAAAAAAAAACTCTACAAATTTATCAGGGCAATTCTGCGTTTTGAACGAAACCAAAAGGTTTCAATCATTTTTTATACTGTTTCGCGCAACAAATTTAATGAGAATATTAACAATTTCAATTTTCTTACTCTCTCTGTCGCTGCGAAATTAATAAATCGATTTTCAGAAGTCTCCTGCGCAACAGCCGCCGCCGTCTCATCTTCTTGCTTTTTGCCGCATAATGGAATAATCAAAACGGTAAGAATATGAAATGTAATTAAAATGAGGAATTCTAACATTCTAAATATTCGAAAATGATTAAATTTTCTTTCAAAAACGTGGAAAATGCTTAATAAAATCATGATTGCAATATTTTTTCCATTTTTTAAAGTCTTTTTGATCAGAACCAATCAATATCATAATGGATGATACTCTTCTAAGTTTTTCATGCTCGGTTTGGAAATTTTCATAAAATTTGAGCAATTGTCCAATTTTAGGCAATTTTTCCATTTTTGGTTGTTTCCTCAATGCTGATGTGTTCCAAGAAAAAGACATATGATGGAAATCGAGATGTACAATTTTTTCGTTGAAGAAAATTTGTAAAAATATTCAGGTGAGCCTTGTTATCGACCAGAAGGCCGATGAGGTGATGAAGCCCCCGATTTCACCGGCATCATCGACGCCAACGACGGGCACGCCAAAAAAGGATGACGCGTTTTCTGTGTAAGATTTTCTCTCGCACTAATTAAACTAGAATTTCTTGATCTTTTTTTGGTTTTAGTGGCACTCCACTTCCAAATGTACCTCTGGCCGACCCTCCCGAGGACAATGACAACACTTTGCAGTACGTTTTGCCAATAGTGGCCTCACCAAAAAAAAAATTTCACGCCAATTTCCAGAGACATTGAATCAATTCAAAGTGAGAAGGCGATGCTGAAAAAGAAGGAAAAAGCGATGAAAGAGAAGAAGCCCCGATGAGAGGATTCATTCAATTCAAAATTTCAACAAACAAATGCTTTATTTGAGTTTTTGTCGTGTAAAAAATGATGATTTCGGATCGGATATATTGAGGGTGGAATGTGGAAGAAAACGCTGCAGAATTTGAGTTGTCAAGTTGATTATTTTTTTCTCTCTTTTGATTATTAAATGCTTATCATCAATATTATTTCATCGTTCGCTAATTGTCGTAGATTCTACAAAATTTGAAGCGGCATGCGTAACCTACAAAAGTTTTTTGTTTGAAATTATAGAATACATGTATTCGAGAACCTCGCAAACCATCGCTCCTTCGGTACCGCTGATGCGATGGATTCTCGTCGGTGTTCATTGAGTCGATGAGCGCGGCCACCTGCAATTTCAACCAATTATTTTCAATCAATTGTTGGTTTCCGTTTTTTCTATTGCTTATTAAGCCACAGCTACCGTAAAATATTTGAGGCGCATTATTATTTTTTTATTTTTTTGCGGTAGCGTGACCAACCTCATCGTTCACACCGTAATAGGGGCTCAGGTGTCGATCGTGTCCGAGCATACGGTAGAACGATACCGAATATGGGAAGCTCTGAAGCAAAACATGAGGTGGATTTCGGATTTTTTTTGTGAATACCTTGATTTGCCTGCCGAAAGCCTCCGACGCTTGAAGCGACGAGCAACAAATTGAAAGAATCATAATGGAGCACAGTAGAGATGTGATTTGAAGCATCTGCTAGATTAAAACGTTTTTTTTTTCTCTCAAAATAATACAAAAACGGGGCAGTTGGAACAAAAATTGAACCAGTTTTTTAGTTGTCATGAGAAGCTCTCATCGGCTATACGGGATTCGGTTGATTAATATTCACATGTCGACGATCCATCATTTTTCACACACTGAAAAGTTCGTCATGCGTCGCTGGCCTCGAAAATGATGCCATTGAATTGCAATTGATATATTTTTTCGGCCAAAAATCGCAATTTCGCATATTTATCAAAATTTCAAATAATCATATACTTCTTCATATTTTTTCAATAAAAATATCAAAGTTAAAAAAATAATAGATTTGGGTCTCGCAGCGAAGCTACGTGTTGTCCGTGTGGAGTACAACACAAGAGCACTTTTCCAGCGTTTTCCAGCTGTGGCGTATCCCGGAAGACTGTCCGCAGATGATTTAAATGGGAGATTTGAGTATCCAAAAAAAAAATAATAATCTGTGCCTTTTTGTATAATGTTGATTGCAGACTCCACCACTCTCCTTTTTTTTCTAGCAGAACGTCAAGGCGTGAAAAATGCGAAATAATTTATTGATGCAATAATTTAACTTCTATAAATAAATATATACATATAATCAACATTTTGGTCATGGAATTAACCGTTCAAAAAAAAATTCCATAAAACAGAATTGAAGTCATCAATCGATAAAATACAATTGTTGGTTGAGCAATAGCAAATAGAATTAAGAATTTCGCAGCAACAATTTGAATTAACAGAAATGTGTCTACAATTTACATGCTTCATTAAATCACTTATTAATTAATTAATTAAACACTTGTGTTGAGGCCAATAATTCCCTGAGACCCTCGTAGATCCGATGGAGCCGGCGACATTCTATGAAATCAATTTTCAATTTCAATTCTCACCGCCCTCTTATTAATTACCTCGCCGGTTCCAGTGTGCTCGGTGTCGTGTCGCGCGGCATCGCCATCGTCGCCGTGCGCGGCGCGTTCGACAAATCGCCAACCGACAACGCCCGCGGCGGCTTCGTCTCGTACGGCTGATTCAAGTAGGCGTTGTTCGTGTACGAGGCGCCGCCGCCATAGCCGCGAAGCTCTTGCAATTTCTTCTGTTTGATGCACCAACAGAACGCGAATATCGCCAATATCACTAGAATGACGCCGACGGTTCCAAACACCGTCGCGATCCATTTGAAGTAATTCTCCTTGATTCGCGATCGACACCATGGCTGCGAGCCCTTGTTCCACTCGAATCGATAGTCATTCGGCCGATTATAGTCAACAACGACTCCACCTTAAAGAAAAAAAAACAATTTGGTAAGACTATTGAAACAAATCGCAAACATTTATATTCATTATCTCCCTTGACCCAATGGCTTTGATAGCACTCGAATCGCGCGACGTCTCCTTGCAAATATCCGGAAGCCAACGCCGGCGTTTTCATCATATACTCCGGATATTCAATATTAATCGCTCCACAGCTGTTGTCTATAAAAAAAAACATTTTGAACATTCTTTGTATGAAAATTTGAATTAATAAATTGTGTGCAATTCCGCGTACGTGTGTACGCACACTTCTTTGGAATTTTTTAGTCTCATTTTCCTAAATTTCTCCGTTTATTTTTTTTTGGTAAACCCACATTGCTTGACGGCAACTAGTCGATCCGAGAAGAAGCTGTTCCATGCATCCTGCTCCTCTTGCGCTAGTATTTTCGAATTCAACAGCGCATAATCATAGAGGCATGCAACATTGTCGCCACATTCGGTGAGAATCGCTCCCGGATCGTCGGGACATTGCATTCCATAGCTCAGCGTCGAAACACTCTGATAGGGTTGTAGATCAACTGCAATCAATAATTATGTGAGCGATATCACATTTTCAATTTTTTATTATAAAAAATATATATGAAAATTGCATTAAATTTTTGTCAAAAAATTGACAAAACTCGAAATTTCGAAAAACCCCCGTCCGCTTCATTTTTGGGGACCATTTAGACCTACCATTCGGATTCGTCTGCATATCGCGACACGTGTTCAACAATTGAATAATCATCGCGCCGGTTTGCGGCATAAACCGAAACGCGCCCGTATCATAGACGGGCGCCATTTTGTAGACGGGCTCCGAGCGCATGTTCGCTTCCGGGAACACGTCGAACTGTTTGTCCTCGTCTTTCGATGTGGTGAACATGTTGTCTTGAGGTAGGGTTTGCGCGAGTGTGCCCGCCATATTCTGTTGTGTTCCAGCCTCGCCCGATCCGAGCACAAGATCTAGAAAAAGAAATAAGTGAAAACAAAAATTTTTTTTTCTTTTCGGCCACTTACAATTGCTAATGATTTGCTGTCGATAGGTCTCCGAATTGACGTCGTTCAACGTGAGGCCTTCCATCAGCGAGCCGCTCGTCTGATCGGGGAACGGACGCATCAAACCGCTGACGCGCGGCAAATCGTACATTTGACGGTACGTCATTTCTTGCGTTTTGTCGCCCGTCGGATTGACGCCGTATTGCGGCGGAACCGACAATTGAATGTCGAGAATGCCCATCGACTCTTGATAGTTCGGCAGGCGATCGATGTCGAGCGCGTAGCTCTCGGTGACTTTCACGCCGATTTGAGCCTCTTCGAGCACCACATAAATTTCGGGTTGACCGCGTTCGACATTATTCACATATATCAGTACGCCTAGAATGTTTTTTTTTTGAAATAAAAATTAATTCATCGAAAATCACCTTTGAATCTCTGGAGTCGAATTGTGTCGAAATATCTCAAAATGTTGCCAACAATTATATTGGTCCGATAGCGGAATCGTCGCGTGTCTTTTCGCGTCATCACCACCACACGATCGGTGCCGGTCGCTTCCATCGCGATGCCGGTGATGACGGTGGCGTTCGTCGGCTGCACCAGCTCCCATTGCGAAATGTAGCGACCCAACAGGCCGAAATCGACTTTGCGATTCGGATAGCGCTCGAGGCGCACTTGAATGTGAACTTCCGGCGAGCGCGTCGTTTGCGGAATGTACAAAAAGTTGTAGACGCCCGGCTGATTGAATATGAATTTGTCGTTGTCGATGGTCTGGAACACGCCGGTGCCTTGTGCGCGACCTGCAATTGAGAAACCAATGAGCAAAATGAATTGGGTCTCGTCACGAAGAGACGCAATGAGAGCGAAACAAAAAAATTGACGGTTTCTCTGCATTCTATCTGCCCAGGTCTCGAAGCGAACAACACAACTCTACGGTACGAAAAAAAAACTGCTTACCAATTGCCGGCGGCTGGTATTGTTGGCACGCCGATGACGGGCGCCTCCAGTAAAACATTTGACAGCGAAAATCGGCGAATTTGCAACACAAAAAGTAGGGCATATAATCGTGATGGAACACCGAAAGGCCGGGAACCTGCAAATTCATTATCGAATCTGAGAGCATGACAATCAATGACAAACCTCGAATTGTCCCATATAGGGCGCCGTGCCGAACTCGTAGGCTCGCAATGGATAGCCGGGATTGTAGAAGTAGTCTTTTTGGGTTTTGATGACTGGCTGATACGGGGTCTGCATGAGGAATCCCGATTCATCGTAGCAACACACTTGACCATAATGGGTCATGAAGCGGCTGAAATATCGATACAGTGAGTAGTGTTCTGGCAGAAAGCGGTTCGCTGCGAGACACGACTTCAAAAAAATAATCGCGAATTTTAAATTATTCTAAAAATTCGAAAAACACGATCAAAGGCGCATAACACTCTTGACGATTTCTGTTCTCACTTCGTATCCCGATTATTGAATGTGCTTCCCTCTCCAGCATAGCTCGCGTAAATATTCGACGCCGACATATAGCAATTCCTCGAACCGATGACAGTTGTGCAAGTGATATCGCGGAACATCTGAAAAATTAATTTTTTTTTCATTTTCGATTAGCCCAAATCAATGTTTACTTGTGAGCATCTCGGATGCGGCATGAATCGGCCCAAATCAAGAAGCGCTTGCGTTTCGACGCACGGACACGACGTGTTCGTCTCGGTGTCGCGAATGAAATTCCACAGCGCACCGTCTTCATCGTACCAATCGTGGCACATCTCTCGCGATTTCTCTTTGACAAATTCGATGCGCTCATCGCGATCTGAATATTCTCCAAGTTTCAATATGACAAAAAAATGACAATTTTCAGAATTTGTCAATTAAAATTGTAAATATATGTCAAATTCTCAAAAAAATGCAATATTGTTGCGAAAAATTCAAATGCAATTTTGTCTGCATTATTTGCGTCACGGTGTTTGCACACATTTCCGCGAGCCACTATTTATTTAAATATTTTTTTTCAATTTTCAAGGATCATTGCAGAAATACCTTGCTGATTCATTGTGAGCTGCGCGAATTGCTGATTGTTCGGCGTCCAAAGCCAATGAAGCGATATTGGCGCCGAGACGAGTCTAAATTATTTCCAATACCCAATGATTAGGCTCGAATTCGTACCCCGGCAACAAATGGGTGCCATTCATATCATTTGGATTAATTGGCGCCAATTTGAAAAATCCAACTCGATATGTGTAGAGATGATGCATTCGCTCCCAATCCGTCAAATACCATTGTTGAATCTGAAATCGATAATCCACAATTTCATTTTTCAAAATTTCGCCAACCTGATTCGTATTGATCACTTCTTCTTGCGGCATCCAGCGATAATTGATATTGTTCTGATTGCTGAATGTGGTGACGCGCGCCAGCGTTCGGTATTCCGGACGGAACTTCTTGATCTCGTCGTCTTTGAACTCACGATAGCCGATGATGTAGAGGCCGAGTTGGACGCCGTACATCGCGTCGTCCGATATGCGAACGCCCATGTTGTTGCCGTTGTTGATGATGTCGGGATTGGTGAAGTTGCGCGGATACCACGAGATCGGCATCAAATTGTTCGGCATCGGGTTTTTGTACCACTCGTAGATGTTGCCAATGTCGAGACGCATCGGATCAAGTGTCGGCGGCACTGAATTCATTATCTACGGGGCTTCTTCTTTTTTTTTGGTTTTTGCTCGAAGCTTCAGGTCTCGTAAATCGACACCCTCAAAGAAGTTTCTCAAATTTTTTGCATTTTTCAAAAATTTTCAAATGGTCCCTTATACGGATTTTAGACGAGTTTGGCACTTTCCAAATATTTTTTGATGAAAAATTTTGCATTCCCCAAAAAATTGTTGTAAAAAAAAGTCGCGTGCGCCTTTAATCATACCGTATCCAACAACAAAAATGAAGTATACATTTTTTTTTGATTAAAGGCGCATAGCGCTCAAATTTTTCGAGCTAAGCAGGCTCAAAAAAAAAGTTACCAAAATAAATATATCCGACGAACGCTTTCTCATCATTGGCGCCGCGCGATTGCGGCTGGAAGTAGACGGTCTTGGTGCCCCAATCATAAATTTTCGGCAGACTGCATCGAGCAATCGATGGATTGATGACTTGACACGTGGCGACTTCTCTCTCCTCGATCATCATGATGTAGGTTTGCGAGCGATCGAGGCAGCACGCGTTCACGTCGACCGTCATTTCGCCCAACATGTTGACAATATTCGGGTAGATCATTATTGGATCTGAAAATGCGTTGGGAGGTGAGCAACTTCAACTTTTCGAATGGGAGGAATGCCGAAAAAATTTGGAAAATGCGATGCCAAAATATATACGGGGATACGGTATATATTAAAGACGCATGTCGTTTATTTATGCGATGGGTCTCGAAGCGAATTCACCGAAAACGCGTGTATCTTCGATTTTTTTCCGCCTTTTTTTTCAGCATTGCCCCCCCCCCAAAAAAAAAAAAAAACCCAAAATTCTTCTTACATGTGCCGCCGGTTTTGTTGCTGCAACCCGCCGGTCGGACGACATCGTCGACGCGAAACATGTACCGCCCGCGAACCATGTGCGGCACGCCCGATCGTTGAGCGAGAACCTTGGGCGTGTTTTTGTATTGATGCGTCGGATCGACTTCCACCGAGCCAGTGTGATTGCCGCCGTTGAAAACCGCCTAAAAAATATATTTTTTTAATTTTTGGGTTTTAGCTTTTTTTGGAAAAAAAAGGTGGCTCTCATTATAAAATTTAGGCTTGAAATATTTTTTTTATGAAACAAAATTCAATAAAAAATGTTTTTTCCTTAAAAAATAATTATTTGATTTTTTAGGCGTGAAATGAAATGTGTGCAATATTGCGTATGTGTGAGCACAGACAGAAATTGGATAAAAGCGACGAACAATTTTTTTGGGACAAATATGACTATTTGAGAGGTCGTTTGAATTTTTTCTCAAAATCTTAACAAAATTAATTTCGTTTTACACATACATATCTGCGGACATCATCCGGGATACGCCGCAATCGCCTCAACGATGTGGCGGCAATTCAAACAATGGTCCGTTTTTTTTTTAAATCTTCTTGAAAAATAAAATTAAGACCTCAAATTTTTTGTTTTTTGGAATTTTTTAAATAAAATCGATAATTAATATTAAAATTGTTAGCGAAAAAAAGTTTTGAAAAAAAAAATGTAAAATGAATTGTGTGCAAAATTGCGTCGTTGTGTGTGCAGACAAAAATGGGATAAAGTGCGTTTTCCAAAAAAAATTGATTTCGAGAATTTTTCGTCGCAAGACCTTGTAGTTCAGCGGAGAACCGCAGAAAAATGGTTTTCGAAAAAAAAGGCGGAATTTTTTAAAAGCGCTCGAATTCCCCAATAAAATCCTCACCCTGCATCGTCCCGATCGCGAATTGGCGCGAAAATCTTGCGCGTCAAATCCAAGACGATCATAATTGAGAATGACGTAGGAGAGTCGCGCAGCGCTGTCGGTCAACCAAATCGCTTGATAGGTGCCCGTCTGGCCGGCGTCGATGTCGGACCTTCCGGAGATGGCCGATGCCGTGTTGTACCAGGTGACGACGACGGCGGCGTCGGCGCGGAACATCGACGCGCCGGCGACACCCTCTTGCAGCCATATCATCATTTGGTCGAGAAAATAATCGCTGTTCTGATCGCATCGCACGTAGGTGTCGGCGGTTCCCGGGCACGCCAGACTCGCGCTCTGGCCGAAGAACGCCGACTGCTGCATGGTGCCGCCGAGGTTCATGTTCGAGTTCGTCTCGCGTCCGAACAATGATTGCCGAAGTAGAAGGCGATAGTAGACGCCGGCGCGACGCGCTGGATTGCCCGACTGCGGCACTTGCTGCTTGCATAGGTACGGCGCGATCATCGCCGGATCTTCTTGTCGCGGCCAATCCGTCGTTTCAGGTCCGATGTTAATGGTGGGACCTTGGTCTAAAACCGTCGCGAATCCCATATATCCATTCACCGATATCTGAAAACAATCAAATGTAGATCAAAATGAATATTTGACTTGCTGTTGTATAATTGTAGAGTCCTCCATAAAAGGGAAAGAACATGTGCAAATCGATTGTCATTCCGGCTGTTAGCATCGACGGATTGACGACAAGATCGCCGGCTTCGGGTCCGAATGGAACAAGATTTACTGAAATAATGATTTTTTTGGAATTCTAGAATTAAGTTCCACCACGTCTATTGCTTTCTATTAGTTTGAACTTTCAGGTGCCAAGTAGAAAATTTGAAAATGGCCAAATCTACAGAAAAATTTAATTTTTTGAATTTCGCGCCATTTTGTCACATTTTTAACGACGACCCACCAAATTTGTGCACAAATCAATCTGTTCCATAAACATTTGAATAGCAATTAGAAAAAAGGATGAATTTATTGAGAAAATAAAATATGTGCGATTTTGCCTTTCGGACACGATTGTCCGAAGATTATTTTAATTATTTTAATCTAAAATCTTTCTTAAAAACTATAAAATTAATTGTTTTTTCTTCGAGAAAAATTTGAAAAAATTCATTGCAAATTATAAAATATGTGCAAATTCGCGTGAGTGTGTATGCGTACATTTTTAAAAAGTGCAGCGCGTTTTTATTTTTGAATTTTTCTCATCATCAAGCTGAAAAGTTTGTTTCAGCAGTTCATTGAAGCAAAATTTTTTCTTTTTTTTAAATGTGCTATTTGAAATAATATTTTTCCAGCAAAATTATTAATAATCCGTCTTATCAACTAAAAAATTCAAACCAGAAACTTTTTTTACAATTTATATCGCATGATTCCCGCTTTTCTCATTCTTTAATTTGCAGCAAATGTCCACGACAAACAAATAAATGGGCAACGTTTCAAAGAGGGTGCGAATAAACAGAACACAACGGTGTCATGTTTCCAGACAGACATTTCCTATGGCTCAAGTAGTATCCGCGGTGCGATTCGAGTTTGTGGGGCCAGAACAAAAAGAAAACATCAAAATCGAATTTCAGATAGCAAGAGAAACAAGGGAAGCAATCAATAGAAAATGAAACTACCTCCATAATAGGGATTATTGCCGGTTCCGGTGAAGACTTGTCCAGGCGACACCTGATTGATTGTCGGATTTTGAGGCGTCTGCCCGATATTCTGATTGATTTGCGCCTCGATTATCGAAACGCATTTTGCAATGAGAATGAAAGCAGAAAATAATTTCTGCCGCCGCTCGCGCATCGGCTGAAATTGGCTAATATTTATTTTTTTTTGTCTATGCCAAAATTAAATGAAAAGACGATTTCAATGAAGGAATGTTGGATTGAAAATGCGTATGCATATGAAATACAAATAATACAGTCGTCGAGTAGGTTGGCCGATGGTTGAGACAACTACAGCTCGAGCTCTTTCCAACGTTGACCAAATATGAACTCGCGATGGACGTTTGAATAGCGGGCACGAGGCGAGAGACGCCGACGCGTTCGGAAGCCGAACGGCGGCAGCGGTCAGTTCAAGCGTTTTGTTTGCCTTTCGGACTGGACTGGATGGCTGACGGAGCCCAAGTGAGCCCTCTATATATATTTATGCTAACTGTCGGCCCTGCAGGTTAACAATGATGATGCCCCCGATGATAAGAATTGAAGGAAATCTCTAGATTCGCATAGTTTAACACCAAACGCATTTTGCTCATTCATATATATTTATATAGGGGGATTCGAAAAACTGATTTTTTCCATTCGAGACCCAAACGCGGCGCTTCTCAAAAGTGTTTTGGCGCGTGTTGCTCTCGGCCAAACACACAACATAAATGCTCATCAGCGAACCGCGGCTAAGTTGATCATCGTCGAATGTCAAGATTAGACGGCAGATTACACGGAGCACGACAAATATGCTATTTACAACGCGAATTTTTGTGAATCATCACAATTTGGGGGAAGAAAATTGTTATTCTTCTCTCAAAAGCGCATTTGCCATACACAAGGAAGAGAAACAATTAAAAAAAAAAGAAGAATTTGCAATTAACAACAATAAAAATAACAAATGACATAAAAGCAACCAGTAGCAAAAAAATGAATCTGTATGATGACGAATCTACATAAAACTCTGAAACATTTCCAACCCGTATGCTTGGCTATGATTATCGATGAGAAAATGAAAAACCCAGAGTTAATATGCGAAAATTATGATATATAAATGACGTCCTCATGGAACGCCGAGTCGATGGTGGCGTCGGGCGACTTTTTCGAATAATCGTTGATCGGTGCTCGAGGTTGCTCAAACGTCTGGGTGAACTCATCGCTCGTGTACGCCGAATCGATTGTATCACAGCACGGCTCATATTCCTGAAAGTCTCATTTAAAACCTTTTTAAATTCGCGCGCAACAAAAAAAAAATGAAGCTCATTCACATTGTTGTCGAACAACTGAGCAAAATTGAAAAAAAAATGTTGGCTATGTGCCAATGGGTCTCGAGACTACGTACATTGCATTTAATATTCAATCAGCAATCAATTTAAATCTACATTGTTCCATCCGAGACCCAATTCAAATGACAATTGAAGAAACGCACCTCGTCGTTTAAGCTCACAGTTTGCGAATCAGTTCCTCTTCCCTCGTCCTCGTCATCCAGCAAATAGGTCGCCTGCGTTTTTTCCGAATGCGTCTCGCGATTCACCACCGCATCGGGCGGCTCATCATTTCGATTCTTGAAGCCACTTCTCGATTTCTCATCAATTATTCGATGCGAACGCTCGAACCAATCGGGAAATCGCGTCGTGTACGTCGACATTTTATCAGCGGCCTCATTCAGACGCGTCAGACAGCTCGCGTTTTTCGGCGCGCTCAACGCGCTCAGCGAATCGTCGTCGCCGATGCTCGACACGAGCGTTCGAATATTGCTCGGAATTGGGTATTGCAAATAATTGGCCAACGCGAACACTGTGCATTTGCTGGGCGAATAGTCGAAACGAATCGAAATGACATTTGGGTGTCTGAAAAAACAAAAAATTGATGATATTGCTGAATTAATTAATCGCGATTTACTGTAGAGCTAATTCGAATTGACGAACGAATAGGTGGTCGAAAACTCCAGGCAAATGCCGCTCAACCGGCGCACTTTTCATTTGTCGAGCAATGATTCTGTGGTAAGTTCCAATCGAATTAATTATAATTACCTTAAAAAATTGAATAATGCAACTATTATTTTAACTAGCAAACCTTATGCGCTTTAACAATTGTTGAATGAATGTAGTCGAAACAATTTTCTTCAATTTCTCCTTCATCCCAAACGTCAATCTAAATTATTCAACTTTTAATTTTTCGAAAAAAATGAACTCAGCAAATCGCGCCGTAGAAACGGCGGTGAATAGCGAGTTTCGGTGAAACGGCGGTGGAACGATGGTTTACTAAACGCGCTAAACCGTGGGCTATGTGTAATATTAGTAGTGTCGTACAACCTTCTAAAAAAAACGAAAATTAATTTAAATTAATTTTCGATTTTCTTTAAATTTCATTTAAAGTTTTAATTAAATTTCAAAATGAAGATTTATTTAAATTAATTTTATGAATTTTTTAATTTGTAATTAATTAATTATAATGTATTGATTGTTTTAAAACCTTCTATTGGTTTTAAGATTTAATATAATTAATACTACATTCTTTTTAAATTTGAAAGTTTGATTTGATGAGAATGGTTTTTCCAGAACGTTCGTTTCAACATGAAAAGGAGTAGATTGACGAAAGAAGAGAATGGTATATCTGTGATCAGCATAAAGGAAAAAAAATTTTGTAGACGCGCGGGCTATGGAGTTCGTCTTTTACCTGTTGAAAACGTCAATGATGGTATTGAAGAAGAAACTGTAGATAATAAAAAACTTGTAATAAAATAAGTTCATGAAAATTAATGAATCGAGGTTATTTTAGGAAGGGGGAATTCGCGGGAAATTTTGCGGACGCTGGATATGACGACTGTATTCTTGTAATAAATAATATGAATGGCGAAAATTTATGAGTCGAGCTGGGTTTAGGATCGTCTGTTCACGGAAGGGTGCGACTATAACGGAACTGACGAGACCATGGAAATGCTGCCAAAAGATAATGTTTTCAGTGTTTGTCAGGAATGGAATAATGGTATGATTCTTGATTTATTGACACATTAATGCGGTTACCATATTTTTTCGATATCATAATGTAAAACCCTTTAACCGGTTAACCCTTTGATTGAAATTACTGGTTCCGGGAATTAATCGGCTTTATGAATGTTATTGTAGCAGAAAATAAATGTTATTCTGGTAGAAAATTAATTATAAAACGATTTCGAGAAAAATTAATAATTATCGACCCAACCCATTAAATGCAAAATATCAACGTTAGTCCACGGGAGACCAAAAGAAGGACGCATCCGCGTAAATCTACCCGCGTACAGCAGTCGCTGGACGCTGACTGTACCTAGCATTAAGACTCCGGAAACATTTCAGGAACGCGACATCTACGCATTCCAGGAAAAACTGATCGAAGATTATTGCCAACCAATATCAACAACGTTCTGTACGTCCTGTTTAGGAGAAATTCCCAGTGTCAGAATTTCTTGTTCGAATCAACAATGCAGTAATTATCAGTAAGCACTTCAGCGTAAAGGCAATTTATTAAAGTTTCGACTAAGGTGCAAGCCAGTGAAAGGTACGATTACGGAACCTATTAGGCTTGTGACATTCTCAATTCACAATCAATTGGCAAGAATATTGTCAAAGCAAATTGGAGAAATCGTCAAAACGCATGAATATCACCATCACATTCAGGTAATGAAAAATATTGAATTTTCGAGGAATTATAGAATTACGAATACGTCTACAATTTCAACGTTATCACAGAAAGTGGCATCACACGGAGGACAAATTTAATTTTTTGCAGCCAAATGACTAAATAATTTTTTTTGTAATAAATTATTCCAGTTTTTCGCGAGTACTTTCAAAAAAACAATAAACGTGGTGAAATATGACAATAGTTTGAAAGTACTAAAACGAAGGCAGTACGACACTCCGCGCGTACGCGTGCAATTTCGGAGAAACGGCGGTGGAAAGTTGGAGGAACGAAAGTGTCTGTTCTCTTCACCGATCATCTGCCGCCGTTTTACTCGCTATTCACCGCCGTTTCTACGGCGCGATTTGCTGAGAATTCAAATGAAATGTGTGCAAAAGTGCGTCGGTGTGTACACAGACAAAATCGAAACGCGCGTGTTTGCGACTTTTTTTTTAATTTTTTCCTAAAAATTTCTTACATGCACATCCATTAGAAGTACATCGCGTAGAAGTTCCGCAAATGCGAGCACCGCCGCATCGTGAAGTTCGCAATCATGAGAGTACAGTATTAAAACAGTTTTCGACGCTGAAATTGTTATAAATTTTGGTTAGTTTTTTTTTAAATATATTTTACATTTCAAAATCAATGGAAGCGATCCATTGTTTCCAACATCAGATGTTGTGTTTCCAATTTTCAGGCGTCGATCTCGATTCCGGCAGCCAGTGATTATCGCGCTTACGCATAAAACCGTTATCACTATCGAAATGATGCTGATTGATACGATGAATGTTCGACTGGAAACAAATTGATTCTCAAAAACAAAAAAAACCAACCAACTCACGTGTAGATCATCTCGTTGCCATTTTTCTTGTCCATTTTCAACGTCGAATTTTTATTGGTCGGCTCTTCGATTCGCGCTAGACGCACCGGCTTCCAGGCGGCCGCGAGGCAACTACACCCATTGCGCGTTTCGCACAAACATCTCCCATCTCGCGACATCTCTATCGGCATCACCGATGGCACGACGTCGGTCTCCAACTTCAGAATTCAAAATTCGATTAGAAATGCCACTTGCGAAAAACTTACAGCGACATTTGTGAAATTATGCTCGCCGAACTGCACCACCCGTCCTTTGATGATCTCCGTTTTCAGGTCCTCTTTTCGAATGATCGCTGATTGATAAACGACAATGCCTTGGCCGTCAAGTAGTCGCACTTCGTATTCCTCGAAACAATATTGCGCCGGCGCCGCCAAAAATTCGACGTGAATCATTCGCGTTAAGCTAAACAAAAAGATTTTGCGAAAACTCGCCGCCCATTTCGTCGATTGTGGATGCGCTGAAAAATTCGATCAATTTTCCAATAACACACATTAACACATTTACTATTATTTCGGCAAAACTCCTCGCTGAATTTGAAGCTATTCTGATTTTTGTCGGGATCGTCGGGCATTCGACGAACGATCGTCACCTTCGGCGATTTCGCCGTCGAAGCCGGCAGACTATAAATCGATATTGTGTAGTTTCGCGAGAAATCGAATAATGTGCCGGAAGAGAAGCGAAATCGAGGCTGAAAGAACAAAAAAATTGCGCAATTTCTCAGGCAAATGAAAATCAATCGGATTCGAAAATAATTTCTTTTTCAATCTAAATCGAAGTGTAAATTAATCTGTTTCGAATTATTTCAAAATTTCAATCGAATTCGATTTCAAAATTGAGAATGAGAAATAAATCAATCGATTTCGAAGATTTTTGAATGGAAACCAAGATTTCAAATCGAATTTGAATTATTTTTCAAACGAAACAGGTTAATTTATATTTGATTTTTCTTCGAATCCGATTGATTTTCATTCACCTGAGTTCACTATCAAAAACTACCGAAACGGTATCATCTTGTTGGTGTCGAGTGACGTTGAATGAAAAACATATATTTTTTCCGCCGCCCAAAACATGCAATTTGAATGCGCGTAGTTTCGACGACGATTCTGAATTCACCACATATCTCTATATGATTCAATTTTGAAAATATTTACCATATAAGGGAAGTTGCCATGAGATATCGACATGTAGTCGATGCATTCTCTCATCGATTTGATTATTTCCAACAATTTTCGCCAACGGCTCAATTCGAACATCGTGCGCTTCTGGTGGCTCGGATCCTGCTTCAACTGTATCGAATATCGCATTTGTGCAAGACACTGAATATTTCAAATTAATTAATTAGAAGAGTTTTGAGAAAAAAAACTTTCAATTAAACAATTATTTTATTTTCCATAAAAACGAAGAATATTCAATTTATCGAATAAAATAAAATGTGTGCAATTTTGCGTGCAAGTCTTGCGGACTTTATCAGATATGACGCAATTAAATTTTTTTTCGATTTTCGACAGAAATCTTGCGAGTAGACTAAATTCTTTTTTTTCTTCTAAAAATAAAAATAATTAATTCTAAAAAAGAATATTCATTTTTCTAAAAATTCACAAAAACAGTCCAGTTTTTAAAAGTTTTCCTTCAAAAAAAAATTTTTGTGCCAAATCAATTTTTTCTCAAAACCGTGCTATGACTACGCTTTTCAATTTTTTTTTAAATTAATTAAACTTAATTGTGTATATTTAAAGGGTTTCGTGGCAAGACCTCTCCGAAATTGGTTTATTTTTAAGCCGTCAACAACTCACCAACGTGAACCGAACACGAAATATCTTTATTGAACGGCTCGGAGCAATCGGAACGAAAAACTTCGCTGTCTTCAGTGTGCTTCGTTGGAGTTGTCGGCGACGTGATGCCGCCGCTCAAAAATTGCCGCCGATCAAGTTGTGCCGATGTGTCGGACAGCGTGTAGACGTGATGAAGAACGACGTAAAAAATCACGAACCGCATTTTTATAATTGCAGCATCGCGGAATTGATTTGCGCTGAAACTCGCCAAATTGTTAATGAATGCCGACGACGACGACGAAAAAAAAAGCGGGCGGCCGAAGAAGACGAAGAAGTGGTGCGCAACTATGCTGGTTGGCTCGTTCTCATTTTTTTTAGCTTCTATGCGTCTCTCGTTCACTCGAGAGTGTGGCGAACTTTAAAAAATGAATGGATTTTGGAGAAAATCGAATGAAATAAAAATAGGCAATCTAAACTTTAATATAGTCATTTGAGAGGGCACAAAAATGAATTTCAGAAAAAGCCAAAAAAAATAATTTGGTGGACATCGGTGTCACCGTGTGGCAACTCAAACGCGAGTAAGTATACGGTCGACGACGAAGAGACGTCAAAGAGGTATTATTGACCAACTTGTGCAAATAATTTCGGCTGGATCGGTCTTGAGCGCAACTTTAAAGCCTCGACAATTTGGAAAGCCCCGAGACATGTCTTTGAGCGGCGAGCGAATTCAGGCGCGCAGAAGCAAGGCAAAAAAAATAGTGGAATGGAAAAATAGAATATTCTATGCTAGTAGGCATGAAGAGAAATGCGGTGCCAATCGATGAGTGAAGCAGGCAGCCCCCCCCCACGCGAGATGATGTTGCTCGCCGCGGGCTCATGCTCCCTGCATGCGTTTGATGACGATGATGATGATGATGATGATGGGGGTGATAGAAGGCTAAACTTCACGAAACGCCCTTTTTTGCAAATTTTGAATGTGCCAGAAGTTGGCTCAAAATTTGCAAGTTGATTATCCGAAAAAAACGACCTCCCCCCTGTGGTGTCGATTTACGAGAGCCAATATGGAAACTTTATTATTTTTTTTTTGAGAGGTCAGATTTAGCACATAGGTGAAAATTGATGCATGCATGCGTTTGCATGACAACTTTTTTTTCGTCCAAAAAAAAAATTCATTCACCCTAAAAGGAAAAAAAATTGGGGAGCAAAAAATTGTGATCGGTGTTTGCGGACTTTTACTATATGTACAGTGCGCTTCACATTTATAAGGCCGCCCATATTATTGTCCATAACTTTGCTCGTTGTCAAAATTTTGAAATATGGTTTTCAAAATTGAATTCAGCGCATAAAATTTCATATGTATGCCAATTTTTTCAGACCGATATCTGAAAAAATTACCCATAACAAAAATCCAACAAAAAAATCTATTGTGTGTTTTTGCGTCGCGGTGTCTGCGCACATTTTCGCGCGCATTACAGTAATCGATTTTCCAACAAAAATGAACGGCCAACGTCAGTCTATTTTTATTTTATTTAAGAAATTTTGAGTTGAAATTAATAAAATATGTGTTGGGTCTCGCGGCGAAAAAAATTCTGGAATTTTCTATAGATATATAAGTCACTTTTTTTTTTTTAAAGAATCCAACTTTTGTATTATTTTTATTATCATATTTAACCCCCTAATTAATACGTCGAAATTGCTGCAAAAATCGTATTTTGCAATATTAAAGCGAGCGTGAGTTTAAAGTAGTAGGTTTTGACCTTGCCGCTGCCCGCGGGTACCTAGTCTACATGACTTTTGCCAGTATAAAATGTGTGCCGATAACCGCCACTATAAGAGCCGCTCGCGTTTTCACATTCAAGCTGTTGACACAGAAGCGAAATGAAGAAATCGTGTGTGGCACTTGGTACATTAATTTCTTTCAAAACTCGTCAATAATTTCGTTTTGCAGCCAATCGCCACTTCCAATTATTGGTGGTTGGCGGCGGCGCTGGCGGATGTGGTGCGGCGAGCAAATTCGCGCGGGTGTTGCCGAAAAACGCGGTGGCGATCGTCGAACCCCATGAGGAGCACTACTATCAACCCGGCTTCACACTTGTCGGCGGCGGTCTGATGAGTCTCGAGGCGAATCGACGACAACAAAGTAGTGTGATACCGAAGAACACGGTGTGGATTCAAGATTTGGTTGAGAGATTCGAGCCGGCTGAAAATCGTGTCACGCTGAGGTGAGCTCAAATTTTGCATTTTTTTTAGTTTTGCAATTTTTTTTTTCGTTTAGCAATGGCGATCAAGTCAGTTACGACTATATGGTGGTTGCCGTTGGTGTTTCCCTTCGATATGACATGGTAAGTAAACACCAAAAAATTGTTGTATTCATGCCTGGGTCTCTTCTATTCGATTCGTGTCGAAAAATAAAGAAATAAGAACCAGTTTTGATGTGTAACACATCAAAGATGAAGGAAAAATATTGCGACAAACGTGTTCGCTTTGAAATAGTTTATTACACACGAATCAATTTTTCAATTCATCAAATATCTTCCAAAGAAAACATTAATTGGCAATTTTTCGCTAGATTTTAGTTGAAAATCCCAAAAATTAGAAAGAAACGCCAGAAAAAAATAAGGAAATTTGTAGCGTTGAGAAAGTCCGTAAAACACGCACGCAAAATTGCACACATTTTTATTTTTCAAAAAAAAAAACAAGCCATTTCTAATAGATTTTTCTTGCAAACAAGTGTTCGTTTTCGAATAATTATTTTTTCCAGATTAAAGGCGCATTAGAAGCGTTGGAAACGCCAGGAGTTTGCTCGAATTATTCGCCAAAATATGTGGAGAAAACATTCAAAGAAGCGAGCATTTTTCAAGTAGGAAATTTGAGAGATTTGTTTTTTTTTCTCTCACTGATTATTATTTTTAATTTCAGTCGGGCAATGCGGTTTTCACGTTTCCCAACACGCCGATAAAATGCGCCGGAGCGCCGCAGAAGGTTGCGAATCTCGAATCGACGCTAATAAATTATGCATTTCAGGTGTGCTACATCACCGAATCGATTCTGCAAAAGCGTGGCGTACGTCAGAATGCAAATGTGATTTATGCGACCAGTTTGGGAAGGGTAATATTTTGTTTGTTTGTTTTTTTTTTTGCAACCAACCAAATCCAATCCCAATTTTGACAAAGTTTTTAGCTTTTCGGCGTCGAGAAATACCTCAAACCATTGGAGAAAGTGGCGCGCGAGAAAAACGTCGACGTGAGGACTCGTCATAACTTGATCGAAGTCGATCACCGAAACAAATTGGCAATTTTTGAGCTGCTTGACGACAATTGCAATTCGAAGGGAAAATTCGATACGATTGAGGTTGGGCGATGGACCTTTTTCAATATTAATGCGTCATGTCAATCCAGTATTCGATGCTCCATATTGCGCCGCCTTGCACGACGCCGGAAGCGTTGAGAACGTCGGAGCTCGTCGATGCCACCGGCTTCATGGACGTCGATCATTTGAGCCTTCAATCGAAAAAATTCGCCAACGTCTTTGGCGTTGGTGATTGTATGAATACGAGCAATGCGAAAACGGCGGCGGCCGTTTCGTCGCATCTGAAAACGATCGAGAAGAACCTCAAAGCGAAATTTGCCGGCAAACAAATGACGGCGGAGGTTGGACAAAACAAAAGAAAAAAAATAGCAAATGTTCTAGGGACCCCACTCTCGAAATTTTGAATGATAGAATAGAATGTCAGCTTTAGAAAAATGCTGACTGATTCGCCGCGAGACTCAATTTCGATTTTTTTCACGGCATTCTGCAAAAAAATTGCGTCATATCCTGAAATAGTGCAATTTGTAGTGCAAAAATCACAATTTTCTTGTTTGTTGCTGAAATTTGCGAATAATTTTGACGCCTATTTAAATGATCATTGTTCAGTATGACGGCTACGCCTCATGTCCACTGGTGGTGTCCACGAATCGCGCGATTCTCGCCGAATTTGGGCCCGAAGGACGAATGGAATCGACTCCGTTCGATCAAAGCAAACCAAGGTAAATCATAAAATTGTACAAATTCAAAAAAATGAGAAAATTGCAATTTTCCAGTTATTGGGCGTATCTCATGAAGCGCTATTTCATGCCATTCTTGTATTGGAACGGACTCGTTCGTGGCTACTGGAATGGTCCCGCCGCGATTCGTCGCGTCTCGAAACTATTCCGAAGAGTCAACGAGTAGAATATTTATGTTTCTAGATTAATATGTGTTGATTCGAAACATTTGTTCGCTCTTTAAAAAAATTGGTTTTGAAAAAAAAAATGTGTTTTTTTTGTGAATTACAATTTTACTCAATTTTCTATCCCTCCTCAAGAATATAATGGCTGCCAATATCGAATATTCAGGAAGTAGAATATTAGCTGAATAAAATGATTAATTTTCAAAAGTTTTTTATATCGAATTACACTCCATTATAAGTATTACGCGCGGAATTTCCTGAAGTGAATCATTGGTGTAGACGAGAAAACTTCCGACGATGAAATAGATTTGAACGAACAGCATCATTCGAACTGGAGTCCATAATGCTCGCAAACTTCTGAAATTGTGGAATTAGCGAGGTTTGAAGTGTCATGGCCGTGGCCGAAGTTTGCCGACAAACGCATATGCGCTCTATTGAGATGATGAAAATCATTTTGGGTAGATTTACGAGCACACTTTGATTTTCGCGATTTTTATATTTTCTTGATTTTCGAGTGCATTTGAAATTTTGATTGTTAAAAAATAGATTAAAAATAGGTCGAAAATAATAAACACGCCGGCTATTCATACTTTCTAGGCCATATTTTTTTTTTCAAAAAATTTTTTCCATATATTGTTGAAAAATGACAAATGTATCCAGGTGTCGTAGGATCCTGCGTTTTGTACGCAATGCTAAGAGACAGTTACCGTAGTCCTCGCAGCGATTTACGGGGACTTTTTTTTAAATTTCGCATATTCATTTTTTTTTATTTTTCGTTCAATTTTTTAATTTTTTTTTTCGAAATTTTTTAATTTAAATTTTTAAATTTTGCAGAAACCGAGTTTAATAATGTATTTAGCAGAATAAGCACTTTTAAACGATATTTTTTTGGTAAAAACAGCAGAGATTAAAAGAAATAATTTTTGTCGTTAATAAAATTATTTAAACGTGTTTTGCTTTTTGTATGCGTTTCTATTATCTTGTTTTTGTATTCTTCATTTTCAAAATAATTTTTAGGGCGTCAAAATCTTCACAATAATTCCCAACGCAACTAGACAAATGGAAAAGTGTATATTCTGAAAAATAAATAATTAAACTCGGTTTCTACAGGTTTTAAATATAAGATTTCTAAAGAAAATAAGAAAATTCAGCAAAAAAATTGAAAGAAAATTTAAAAAAAAAAATCTCCGTAAATCGCTGCGAGGATTACGGTAACTGTCTCTTAGCATTGCGTACAAAACGCAGGATCCCACGACACCTGGATACATTTGTCATTTCTCAACAATATTTGTTTTCGCAGCCAAACTCGTAAATTGTTGCGCTGTTCAAATTTTGCGCATTTTTTTCAGGCAAAAAAAATACCTAAGCGATTCTCGAACTTGATAGCGATTCGTCAAACTTGAATACTTTTCCATTTCGAATTTCTTGTTGACGCTCAATAAGCACATGAATATAACAACTGCAGTAATTTGCAGCGAGATGGCTATCATTAGCGGAACGAGAGCGGAAACTATATTGTCTGAAACACGATTTGAATTGCCGCCGTCGGGTCTCGCATCGAAAATATTCAAGGTACGATTTTTGGTTGATTTAATATGAAATGACATAATTTTATTTATGAAAAAAGGGACATTTGAGAGAGTTAGAGCTCGATTCAAAATTTTTTTTTTGCAAATTTTTCAGATATACCCGGTTTTGTAACAATGCAGTAGTATTTGAAGCCACGCAAATTCACATGTTGATATTTGAGATGTAAAATGAATATGGTGATTATTGCCTAATTATAAAATTTTAATTGAGACTTAATTTCATATTTCAAAATTTTACCTGAACAATTATCAAAATGAGCCCCCATTTTTTATCGTTGTGATAATAATGAAGCCGCCTAGTTGCAATTAATCGTTCGACGGATATTAAAAATGTTGAACTCGATGCGAACCACATGCTAATATTGAATGGTAATCGAATGAAAAAGCATCTGAAATTATTCGAATGATTTTTTTTGGGTGATTTTAGTGGGTGTAGATTTACGGGCTTTGGTCTCGCGCCGACGATTTCGTCTATCATTCGCAAACAAAGAATTTAAGCAATCCTATGCAATTTGAGCAAAAAAATTTATGTTTCGAGACCATTAACCCGTAAATCGACACCATCATGGTACCTCATCGAACTTGATAATATGTCGCACGATGACGTTTGCGGTAAAACAATTAAATAATCGTAGAGATCCCATGAGTGATAGGCGACCCTTTAAAACCAAAATTGATGGATTGCTTGAGAATTTTTAGATAATGATATTGTCGCTTCTATTTCCATTCGAGACCCGAAGGCGGCAATTCAAATAGGTTCAATGTTAATCAGTTGAGCCAGATCTTTTTTCAAGAGGACACCCTGGATGGAAGGAATACTCTTCTAACGGCCAAGGCCTCCCATGAGATGGTCGGACCCGCTTCATGATGGTTCACTGAAGCCAAGGACCGAAAAGCTTGGAATGCTGTTTATCAACAGGCGAAGGCCGAACCGACAAAGTGAGTTTTTTTATTGGACCATCCCTTCTCCTATGAAGGCGGCAATTCAAATTCGTCACCTGGTGGCCAAATGAACAAGTAGCGATGAAAAATAAGCGATGAGCAAAATTCGAGTGTTAATATGATATAGCGACTTTTTGGAAATTTTGTAAATTAGATAGATTGTAAGCGGAATGCCAATTAATGATACAATTAGGAGAAATGATAGCAATAATAGAAATGGTCGGAATGTTGCGATTTTTTCGATCGCTTCGCATAGACTAGCGTTTTGCATTGAGTTGTAATTTTCTATTTGTCCGAATAAGGAATGAATGATGGCTGATTCTTCATTTTTTTCCGTTATAATCGCTTTAGTCATGCGCTCAATCAGTATTCCCAGAAGGCGTTTAGTCCTATTCATTCGAATAAAAGCGAAAAAATAAATATTTATCGAAACGTGATTTTCGTTATCATTTTTTGAAAAAAAAGAGGAATAATGGATGAGGTGGGTGTCAGAAAAAAAAATGAAAGTGGCTTCGAGACCCGAGGATCCAAAAACTGGAAGCAAATTGATTAAAGGCACATATGGGTCTTGAAGCATTGACGCGATTTGTCTCAGAAACTCACCGATGCGAGCAAATCAACGTCTAGGGTTTTTTTTTTCTAGAAGCTTCTACCAAAACGAAAAAGCCGTTCGCAAATCAATTCGAGTGATGTTAGTCAAATCTCAATGTGAGAATTTTTTTCAATTTCTTTTTTTTTGCATTCTCCTCATCGAATTTTTCAGGTTCATCTCGCGAAAGTGCACTCTAATAAATTTGGTTTTATTTTTTATCGCGATTTGCGGAATCAATTTTGGACTAGTGATGTATTCGCTCCAGTATTTGAAACCTTAATAAAATTGGCAATGGTTCAATCGTTTTGAAATTCCTCAATCGCCCACTGCAAGACCTTAGATGCGTTGCGGCTCGCGTGCGGTCGATGTGCATTCTTTTTTAAATATTGTCCATGTCGCCCGAAGCCTACTGTAGATGGTGGGGTCTCACAGTATAAGTGGCGTTGTCCGTGTGGAGTACACAACGCGCCAATTTGTCGAATTTGAAAGAAAAAAAAGTTGTCGTCAAATTAAATGCACATGTCCGCAAATGTCTTCTCACAGGCGTGAAAGCGAATTTGAGTCGAATATCGAGAACACGATGGTTTGAGGTGACCGCAACGCGAACCGCAACGCGTGCCACTGTCATTTTTTCTTTCAGAAACGGACAATACAATAAGAATTCATATTATAAGCGGGGGCTGCTATAACTGAACTCTGCTTTGATAAAAAATATCGGAAAAAATGATGAAAATGTGTGACACCGAATCGGATTATGTGAATTTCAATTCGGACTGACGAATCAGACAATCACAATTTTTGTTGTTATAGTCGACTTTTGAAAATAGTTGGTCCCAAGAAGACAACAGCCACTGTGTGCGCCTTTAATTATCGTATCGAGACAAAAAAAAAACAATTGTTTTTGTTGTTCGAAATCGATTAAAGGCGCATGAAAAATGGTGTGTAGGGTCTTAAAGCGATCGGTTTTTTGTCTTCCAGAAATGAACAACTTTCGATTCTTGCTGTTGTTTCTCGCGACGATGTCAATGACGCTCATCTACAGTAATCGGGTCGTGTTCGGGTTCACGGTGATCTGTCAAACTGGAAATAATTCAAGCGGCGTTCGAGACGACATTAGTCCAGGTTTGATTCTCTCGATGTTGCTTGGCCGATTTCGATTTTTAGACTATTACCTTTTGAACACACTGAATGTGGCTTGGATGTTCACGTCGACAGCAATCGGCATGTGCCTCGGACCCCTTCCATTCTACATTTTCAAAAATCACAACACCCGTGCTTTAATATTCGTCTATGGAATCGTTTCATCGATGAGCTCGCTCGCCTACCCACTAGCCGATCATCTCGGATTTTGGCCGGCGTTTGTGTGTAGGTTTTTTGCGGTAAGACAACGCCCACCGAAATTGTTTAGCTTCATATATGAATTGAGGGATTCGCTCAAGCCAGCCAACTGCAATTCACCAATGATATTGTACTTCGTTGGGCGCCGCAATCGGAATCCTCGTTTTTCTTCTCAATTATGCTTTCGACATCGCAAGTACACTAGAATTTGTTTAAAAAATGCATTAAAACGTTGACGCGCAATTTTTTTTTATAATTATGAAAATTTTCTGCTTTTTCTTTTAAGAAATTTGCAATTTGAAATAATTGAATTACTGTAGCGCGTTTGTGTGCAATCACCATGACGTAAATAATGCACACACAAAGAAATTAATTTTTTTCGAATTTTCAAAAGAAAATGAGAAATTTCGTTAATTCAAACTTGAAATTTTAGATTGGCCCACTAATTACGATGATTCTTGGTGGAGAAATGTGCTCGTCGTCGCTGTTTGGCTGGAAAGCAACGTATTATGTGCTGGGCACGCTGACCTTCATATTATCCACCGCATTGGCATATTTCTATTCGGATTCTGTCGAGGACAACAAGTTTGCCATCAAAAAATGTTTCTATTAATTCTATTAAACCCATTTTTAGGCATCTCAACGAAAATGAAAAGAAATACATTTTGAGTGGAAAACACGAAATGAAGCACAAGGAAAGTGTGCCGTATAAAAAAATGTTCGCTGACACAACGATATGGATCAATATAATAATGTTTGTCGGCTATTATCTCGCAATGATCGTTTATCAACAATATTCGCCGACGATCATCCGACGGGTGCTCGATTTTAGTATTCGCGAGGCCGGCTATTTTTCGGCGATTCCCCAATTGATCGCGATTCTCATCAAAGTTGTTGGCGGCCGATTGCTGGATTGCAATTTTGGCGTCTCGCAAAAAGTCATGCTCGCCGTGCCGTTGGTGTTTCTCGAAACGCTCAGCGCGATTGCGTTATTTCTCACCGGATTTGTGAGTTTTGACTGCTCAGGCAAATCAAATCAAATATTTTGAGAATCAAATATTCAATAATAAACTCTAAAATACTTTGAGAAATTCTAAAGTTGATTGATATTTTCTAAAAACTTATTGAGAATCGCTAAAAAACTAAGATTTTCTAGAATTTATTGAGCAAATTCTAAAGTATCTCAATAAATTCTAAAATCGTATAATCATTTCGAAAGTTGATTGAGAAAATTCTAAAATATTATAGAGACACACGTTAGTTTCTCAATGAATCTCTTTATTCGATTTACCTGAGTTGATCGATCCACTAAAAATGATTTTAGGTCGATGATCGGGTTCTCTCATTGGTCGCGATGTTGGTCTTCGCGTCACTTCATTTCTTCGTGCCAGTGATTTGCAGTCGTACCATTCAAATCGTAATAATTTTTGATGAAGCGACAAATTTAGAAAAAAAGAAAATTGAAAAATAAAAATTAGAAAATTGGCGTCAAGTTTGTTGTGTCGTCTGCAAATTCTCGTCGTGGTGTGCACACCGATTTTTCGCAATTCAAATTTTCGATTTATTTTTCCAAATTTTCTTCAAAAACATTTCCATTTTCCATTTTTTTTAAATATAATCGTTTTTTTGCAGCGCGCTGCCCAACACGCTCATTTCGCTCTCAATTTCATTGTGATCATCGCCGGAATTTCGCAAATTGTCATCCCGTTGGGTGTTCAAGCGGCGGCGCCGGAAAACAGCAGGGAGCAGGTGAAAATTCGCTAAAAAATTAAAGAATTGTTTTGCAATTTTGCAGTGGTCGCGCATTTTCTACTTTCTCGCCATCACCGTGGTCCTCACAATTTTGATGTACATGGCGTTCACACGAGTCGCCGCGGCGAAATGGACGAAAAAAGCCGAGTACACGATTTATCGACTATCGGACCCAAATAATGAATGTGCGAAGAATTGAGAAGCCAATCTCTCATAATTCAGCAATAATTGTTATTCCCAAAATTGGAATAGCATTTCATTGGTGAGATTGTTACGTGTTTTTATTAATATTCAAGATTTATGTTATTCGTAATTTTTGTTATTCTCGATTTGGAGAGAGAAAAAAAAACACAATCAGAGTCCATTTTTACTTGACGAAATAAATGAGACATGCTAATTGAAATTCGCATCTCGTTTTCAGGAAGAATCGCATAGTTATAAATAGCTTACGGATTTGATGAAGCGATTTTGCTGTGACGAAAAAAAGGCGATTCTAAAAATCCTACTTTTTTCCACAATATAATGGGCCGATTAAAGCTTTTGAAGAATAAAAAAATGATGATTTCAAGAATCAGTCGCGACGAGATTCATTGCAAATAACGGCATGCGTCTTCAATTACCGTATTCACATTCTAATTTTAGACATTCGAAAATTGTGAAAATTGCGTTTTTTTTAGAAATAGAATAGATTATATTCGGGTAGATGAAAATTCAAAGTACGCGAGCACGCACAATTAGCCAATATTTCTTTTTTTTTGCCCAATTTTGGTTAGTCATTTACCCGCAACAATCATATTAATTATGCATAATTAAACTATTTCTAGCAATTTTTTGCGCAATTATTAAAAACGAGGGCAATTTCAGATTTTTTTTTTGGATTTATTCATGCAATGGAAAAAATTGAATTCCCTATGCATGCACGTTGAAATTTACAAAAAAATGACGCAATATATCGTACTTTTCAAAGGCGCACGCGAAAAGTTGAGCCGAGTCACGACGCGAAATTGGTACTGTAATTTTTAATGGAGGGTTTTTTTCGATTTTTTTTTAATTTTTTAGCGTTTCTAAACTTTTTTTAAGAAAATAAAAATATATTGTTTAATCAACGCTAAAGGTACATCTGAAGGGTCATCGAGCGAAATCTGCATCAAATCAACACAAATATCACTATTTTCATAATAATTGGTATGTAAATGAAGAAAAATAGACATATATTGTCGAATTAGGAGTACTTGTACCAATAATTGTTTTTTTACTTACTTACTTCAATCCATCCATCTTTTTCCTCTTCAAAGTTTTCGGAAAATAACGCACAGAATAAAAAATAAAAAATTACAGTACTGACTTCGCGTCGTGACCCGCGCAAGTTTTCGCGTGCGCCTTTGAAAATTACGATATATCTCGTCAATTTTTTTTTGTAATTTTCGACGTGCATGCATAAGGAATTGAACTGAAAAAAAAAAAAGATTTTTTTTAATTCCATGAATAGGGTGCATTTTTGTTGCCAAAAAAAAGTCCGCGTGTTTTCCCACGCCACTGACATAAATATTTTCCCGCATCGAGCAATATTCTAGCAAAAATGTTCCCACGAAACAATTTGATTGCCTTATATTCTATTTTTCGCCGTGATACAAAAGCCCCGAAATTTCGGCTCCGCCCAACGTCTCTCGCCGCGAAACCTCATTATTGTTTGTTCGAAACGCCGTTGTTGTTGTTGTTTTTTTTTTTGTTGTAGTCCCAACAAAAATCGCCGAGCCATGGACAATCTCGTACCAATCGGCATGATCTATTCAACACTAATTCTATCCATCATCGGTTTCATCGGCAATCTAACCATCGTGATAATTACGATATTGAACAAATCGCTGAAAACGCGCTGCAACATTCTCGTCGGCCTTCTCGCTTTTTGGGACGCCGTCGTTTGCATTTATCTCATTCAATTGCGAATAATGATGCTTCTCAATTTTTATATGATCAATTCGATGTTCTGCTACACATTATCAGCGTATGGGCTGTTCGCGTTGAATATGCAAAGTTCGTTGGGTCTTGTGATCGGCTGCGATCGACTTTACAATGTTTCGTTTCCTTTAAAGTGAGTTCAAGTCTTCAATTATTGATCTACGTCGGTCAGCTTTTACATTTGTAAAGGCAATGCAAAAAAAGGCAATTTCCTCCGCATAATGTGGTTTTAATGGGTTTCTGAATCAGCCATGCGCCTTTAATTATATTCTCAAAATTTATAGAAAATTGGTCCCAACAAAATAGTATCTTTTTATGAAGATAATTTGAGGAGTTTTCGAATTTCACAAAATTGTTTGGATACGGTAATTAAAGGCGCATAGACAGTTTTTTAAAGCTGAGTCTCGCGGCCGCTTTTCCTTCAATAAAATCCAAAATTTATTTTTCAAAATTTTACCCTTATTTTTGGGTCGGCAAGTCATCGCATTAACATTTTAAATTTTTCAAAGGTTTCATACGAATCGCTCGTAAATCGACACCCATTATTTAATCGAACCGAATTCAATTAGCGGCCTATAAAACGAGTGGGTCGAAATTGTCGAGGTTCATTTCGATCAGGAAGTAATTGAAAAAAGAAAACATTGATTGTTTCTCGACATGTCTGGTTAAATTTTGATTGAGACGCGAATATAAATTAAGTTTGATTGATTTGATTATTCGGGCCAAAAACCAATTGAAATTGGCGATAATTGAGAAATTCAATAAAAATGAAAAAAAAATGTTTGCGGTCAAATTTTTAACGCGTTTATTTATGGGATTATTTATAAAATAGTGGAAAAAACGAGGAGAAAAGTCGAGTGCTCATATAGAGTTTTTTTTTGGCCGTGCCAAGACCCGACGCACTTTAATTAAGACGTGCTCGTGATTTTTAATCGAAAAATACGGATACTGTGGACGCAGGAGCGCCCCACTCTGCATTTTTGCGTCGAGTGCGTGCACATACCGTAATCTAACGCACGACAAGCAGTTGAAGATTTTTCATCGTTTTTTTTCCACTCAAAGCGTCTCGCAGCATAATAGCGAAAATTTTCAGATATTCCAGAGTCCCGAATATTTTTTACACGTTTGCCATTGCTATATGCGTCTTTTTCTCATTCTTAATCACTTTTTTAGGCTACTTGAGTGCATCAGGTTTCAAAAAAAAATTGTTTCATTAATTAACTCGAAATCCATTTTTCAGAAAAAGTGAAAGTTGCGGTGTGCCTACCGCCAACAGCATACAATGGCCAGTCAAGATATATTTGGATTGCATCAAATTTTGTTATATCAATTATTGTTATTGGTTTATATGGAACTTCACATATCAAATGCAAAGCGCTTATGAGTAAGTAGAAAAAAAATGAAATCTCGTTGAAAATTGAGTTTCAGAAAATCATAAGCACAATCATACGATTCGAATGATCCAAAAGCTCATGAGATCATTGAATGTGGTCATCGGAATTTACGTTTCAACGTGGTTTTTGACCATTTCGGCGCTTGTTATTACCCAGGTGATTATTAAATATTATTTACGGTCATTAAATTAAATTGAACATACTTATTACATAAACATTTAGATGTTTGAGCTGCCGCCAGGAGTCATTGCAGAAATCAATCAGCAACTTGGTTGGCTTGTAATCATCAATGCATCGCTGAACGTTTTTGTGTATTTCTGGAGAACATCGGAATACAGGCAACAATTTTCATTTATTAGGGATGATTCGGATATAAAAAATGGAATTTTAGGAGATCTATAATCAAATTGTACAGTTTCGGAATAATAAAACTGGAAAAAAGCTCAATTGCTCCAATATCTCAAATTCATCGTTCATCAATTATTCGTTAGATATATACAATTAAATCACATTACGGCGAAACTAATAATCGCTCCTTCCGCATTCAGAAGCTCACGTTTCTTCTCGATTCCCCATCGATATCCAGATATTGCACCATTCGATGCGATTACACGATGGCACGGAATGATATACGCAATATTGTTTGTTGAGCACACGCGAGCAACCGCTCTAGCCGCATTTGGATTTCCCAATTCTCGTGCGATCTGCATATTTCTATCATAAATTTTTCAAAATAATATTTCTATAAAAACGGATGGAGAAAATTTGACAAAATTCTTGAAATTAATTGAAATATTATTTTCGTCAACGTAATAATCGTTAACTATGAACAAAACTCATTTCTAAGAGATTTTCCGAGACCTAATTCGACAATTCAATTAATAAAAAAAATTCCACTCCAATTTCGTCATTGAAAATACATGTTTTGTGTTAGGTGGTGCAGAAATATGCACCAAATTTTGAAAAAAAAACGGAATTTTTTCACATTTTCCCGAGCAAATTAAATACATTTGAGCCAAAAATTTTGCTCACCAAATATCAAAGATGTGGGTGTATTTGGGAATTTGGTGATTTTTGATCGTTTTCGCAATGTTTAAGATTACCGTATGAAGTACCTGTGAATATGTTCGTGTTTCTCCTTTGGGAATTTTTTGAAGGGCGTCCACCACTTGCTTCCCAAATTGCGTTTCGCATTTGATGTGTAATGGTATCTCCGAACTCACTTCAAGTCGATTAATTGCGTCAACGACCTACAAGTGCAAAAACTCATGTTTGACAATATGCTTACAAAATAGAGCTACCAGAATCATATCAGTTTTATAAAAAATGAACAGAAATTTGATAGAAATTTCAAATATCATTTCTTTACTCTTTCCGGTGAGGTTGTTTAGGTGGCTATTGGCGACTTTTCTTAAAATTGGATCATAAAATCTTTAAAGGTATTCCTACCGACGGGAATTATTCGCTAATTGCAGATATTTATAGAAATCGAAAAATTTCTGTAGGTCCTTTTATAGAATTACGGTCGCTTTTTTTAATGACCATATGCGAGATCATGATTTTAAAGATTTTTTTTCAAATACGTTATAAATTCAATGTACACATAATGCAATCTTACTAGTCCAGAGTTGGTACATATGCCATTTTTAAAATTGACTGTTGGAAATGTTTCTTGAAGCTCTTTGATGTCATCCTCAACGTCGCGCACAAAATAAACTGCTATCACACGTTTACTGGTACTACATTCAGCAATGAGAACCTTAAGCGGTGGAATATACGCTTCAATCCGCTATATTTACTTACGCTGCCATAATCGGACTCAACGATTTGATAAGCACATTCAACTATTTTCATCTATCTAAATTTGTTTCAGTATTCTATGTTTCGATCGGAGCGGTATGGACATAGATAAAACATTTTTTGTATTGATCCATTATTAAAAATAACAATTTATTAACACAAACAAGATTTTAATCGAAGAGTCCGAAGCCCATGTCATCGTCAGATTCCTCCTTTGGCTCCTCCTTCTTAGCTGGCTTGCTTTCAGCAGCTGGGGCTGCGCTTCCGGCGGCTGGAGCAGCAGCAGCAGCAGCTGGAGCACCTCCGGAGACCTAAAATGCATTGTTTTTAAATAACTAAATTCAATTTAAATGATTTCATACAATTGCGAAAAATTACTATCGTAAAAAAACGGACCCTCGTCTACAGATTATACAGAATTTGTTTCGCAGATAAATGTCGTTCAGAGGGGTTGTAAAGATAATTTACATGCAAAACGTTGCTAGTAATATTTTTGAAAGAGCATAATTCCATTTTGAAAATAAAAAAATATCTCTTACCGAAACGAGTCCAGATGATCCCTCGCTGATCAATTCTTCGATGCTCTTTCCCTGAAGTCGCTCGACAACAAGTTTCGCGGTTTCAGCGTCGGTGTTGACACCTACGGCACTCAAAATGCTTTTGAGGTCATCAACCTGAAATCTATACATGAATGAAAATTTGTGGAGGATAAAATCGTAACACAACATTCGTGTTTTTAAAACATTATTTTTTACGGGGAACATTTATAAATTACCTTTGGGTTCGCATTTCCTCCTAAAACAGCAAGCAAGTAAGCGGAAACGTAGCGCATTTTACCTGAAAGTTTAAAAATGCAAATAAATTACTATATCGAATATTTTGAAATAATAATTTTTTAAATATAACGGAGAAAGATATTTTGAAAAAAATGGCTAAAATTTGCTTCATTTAAACGAAAAAACCATTAGGAAACAGGAAAAAAAGAAAATAAAAATTGACGAAATTCTCTATGGTATACTGTACAGCGAGCGCTTCGCGACGAGATATCGCTCGTAAATCGACAAATGCGTCTTCCTTTTATTTTTCAATAATGACCACGTTGAGCGTTTTCCCTCGTTTCTTTTTATTTTTCGCATATATTTCGTAACTATTTAAATCGTTACTTTGAAAAATGTTCACTATTTATAAACTTGTGTAAAAGTAATTTTATTTATGTTCAAATTTTTATAAAAATTGATCTATGTATTATTTCAGGATACGCGCCTGTTAAGGCTGCACACGCTTTCAAACTGGTGAGTGTTTTTAATTTAAAAAAAATTGCAACTAATTTTTCTTTCTAGTCAGCTATTTTCAATTTTCAAAGTCTCATTTCTGTTATTCTTTTGCTGATTTGTACTTGCGCTTATATACGCGCATTTGCCCCAAGAATTATCGATAGGAATAAGGAAGGGTATGAAACGAGAATATAATTTATTTCCAATAATTGATTTTTTAAGGCTGTTGGGTGTCTTTTGGAAGTTTGCCCGAATCGGAGAACGACTTAGTCCTTGGGTATCTTTGAGTTGTTTTTGTATGGCCGTTGTTGTTCTATTCTTCTGAAAATGAACGAATCACCTAACAAATTTGAAAATTCCCGCATCGACACAAATCATTTTTCTATTACGCGTCAAAAGCCTGCGACAATAAAAAGCTCAAAGGACCATATTTATATATCAAGGTACCAAATTTGTGACCAACATTTTGTCTTTATTCGAGTTTTGCAGAAAAACGAACATCGAGCAACAAGTTAAAGAAGCTGAATCACTGTTAAACAACTCTTTCAGTAGTGTGAGATTTGATAATAAATTTTCACCAACCGATTACAATTGTTTATAGATTTATGTTCATGGAATGGGTGCATCCATCAACAAGGCGTTGGTTTTTGCGATGGAAGTCGAACGAAACCTCCACGGAAGTGTGAAATCAGATATTTTGACCTCGACTGTGCAGGTTACTTATCATTTTTTTTCGCTATACGCATCATTCACTATAGGTTTCCGACGTTATTTTTTCGTACAGCGACGAATTCGAAAGTGGCATTCGGAATCGCCCATTATCAGCTGTTCATATCCATATTTATCGTTGTGATTCTTAAATATTCGTATATATATTTATATAAATATATATATACGATTCAATATTAAAAAAAAAATTTGTGTCGAATAATGGGATTTTCCCCTTATATTTCAAATTGTTTTCAAATTCACTACTTTTTGGTTTCTTGAAGAATGTTTCCGGTAAAACCACTTAATAGGATAGAAGCAGCTTATAAAATTCTACGGCGATCATTGTCGGTGCCCCGCTTGGCGATTGTTGGCAGTGGACCAGCAGGTTTTCGCAATTCATTTCATTCGTTTTGAATTTTTTGCACACAGGAATGTTCACGTGTAATGGACTTATGAGAAGAACGAGAATGTTAATCGACGTTTTTGAAAATGCTCCAGTTCCATTTGGATTGGTGCGATATGGTGTCGCGCCAGACCATCAAGAGGTACTTAATTTTTTTTTAATTTGATAAGAAGAATTTTTCAAAAATACGAAAGGTTGCATAATTCAGATGAAAAATGTGATTCACACTTTCGATTCAATGTTCGAGAACAATCGCGAACGCTTGAGACTATTTTGTAATGTTCAGTAAGTGGATTTCAAATTGTTGACCCGGTTTTGAAGCAAGTGTAGATTTATGGTCCTAAGTAAAAGATAGGTTAAAGGCGCATCCCGAGACCTCTCGCTAATTTTTTTTCATGCAAATTTATGAAAAAAGGAAAAAATTTCCAGATTTTAAAGTTTTTTATTCCAAATTTTGTATTATACTTTTCAAATGATTATAAACATAGAATCGGAAAGCATGTCTCATTCAAAGAGCTCACGGACAATTATGATGCGGTTCTCCTCGCCTATGGATCGTATAAAATCCGAACGTTGAATATACCCGGCGCACAATCGAAAAACGTGATAGCCGGCGGCGAGTTTGTCCGCTGGTACAACGGCGTGCCGAATGTTGATGGTCCGAATTTGAACGTGAAGAACGCGATTGTCATCGGCAATGGAAACGTCGCATTGGATTGCGTTCGAATAATGGCGCGAGCGGTGTCGGGCGAATTGCGATCGAGCGACATTCCCAACGATCGCCTTCAGATTATTGAGACGTCGCCGGTTGAAGACGTCAAAGTGTTGGGACGAAGAGGTCCAGGCGATGTAAAAAAAAAAACATTTTGGGATGCTGAAAATTGCATGTTTCAAAGTTTAGGTGTCGTTTACCATAAAAGAGCTGAGAGAGCAATTCAAAATTCCTGGATGGTCCAGCAAAATCGTCATGTCCGAATCCGACATGACGCTTCTTCAAGAAGCGATGGCAAAAATGGAGCGGAAGAAGAAGCGGCTAACGGAGGTCCTACTCAAACACGTTGGTGTGCCTGCGGGGCCGAAACGATGCAGTTTTCTGTTTCATCATGTACCTCAAGAAATAATAAGCGATTCGGAAGGCAATATTAAAGCTTTAAGGTAAATTTCGGCGAATCTAAAATGCGAATTTCGATTCAAGGGTTTTGAACAAGGAATCGAATGAAATTGTTGAAATGCCGTGCGAACTTTTGATATATTCAATTGGATATGAAACATTGGTTCTCGATGGGATTCCGAAAAACGATAAGGTAATATTCGTATTGGTTTTTGAAAAAAATTAATTGGCAATGCTTAATTTTTTCTCAGAATATGATCGATATGAAGGATTTTTGTCGTGTTAATATGGACGAAAATTGTCGTGCTGCGGTTTATGCAACAGGTTTTCACATATTTTCTTTCTCAAATTTTGGTGCTGTGTAAATTTTAGAAAAAAAAATCTATAGGGCAATGCAGAGAAAAAATGAAGGAGTTTTCAATGCAAAAAAATACAAATAGAAAAATATCATTAAAAAGTTTTTTTTTGTATTGAAAGGAAAAAATGCATTGAAACTTTTTTTTCAATTTTTTCAAAATTTTTTTTTGCATTGACCCTCTATTTAGAAAAATCGAAGAAATTCCATTTTTAGGCTGGTGCGCTCACGGACCTCATGGCGTTATCGTCGACACACAGCAACAGTCAGTTCTAGTCGCTGAGGAGATTGCCGACGATTTTGCGGATTTTCGAACAAGTGGTATTTGGGGGGATTTGAAAGAAAGAATACAATTTAAGTAAAAAAAAATTTCAGATTCCAAATCGGTGATGGATGTTCTATTGGCGAGATCGGTTCCATTCATTTCGTGGGATGAATGGAAAAAAATTGACGATTTTGAGAAAGAGATTGGCAAAAAAAGCGGGAAGATTCGAGAGAAATTGACCGAATTTGGCAATATTATTCGAAAAGGCTAGCCGAGAAGCAGTTTTTGATTTTGCATTATTGCTCACGCGACTATTTGTCAATATTCGTTTATCGGAGCGGGTTTCGTTCAGTGATGCCATTTTTGGAATAAAAAATTAGAAAAATATGGTTTTTTTTAACATTGATTTGTCCAAATGGTCCTTTTTGCCGTTGAAATATTTGAATAATCTTATGTCAGTCTGAAATTTAGTTTTGTTCAGATATCATGAATCTTGAGTCGCGCCTTCTTGACGGTAAACCATGTGGGTATTGCAGTAGCTCGGATGAAGAGGAAGACGATTTCAAGGTTGTTAAGGATGAAGACGAGCATCAGGTATAATTCATATATTCCATATATGGATGGTATTTTCTTATAATTATGCTTCAGGCGAATGTTATGAAACAATTTGGGCCGAGCTCGAATACGGGGGCGAAAGGCGTTTTGAACGATTTCAAGCAATTTCGTGAACAAGCGAAACAGTAGGGATATTTATGTAAATTGGTGAATTGTTATTTTTTTTGTTTAGAGCGATTGAGCGCAAAAATTTGATGTTCATTGAGCAGGCGAAACGCGGAATGATGATGGGCTCGCGTGAGGAACGCGAGAAGGCGCAGAAGAATGCCGAATTGGAAGACGAGATGAGAATTGACGATATTCGAGCGAAACGGCTACGCGAATTGCGAAAAGTGGCGGCGAATCGTTTGATTGAAATCACAACGCGGGTATATTTTTTATTTTTTTACTTTCCCCCGTAAATCTACACCGGATGCTTGTTTTCGATTTTTCCGATTAATATTGTAGGAGAGCAATTGGCATTAGAGACTCTTATTAGAAATAGCTCAAAGAAACGACGAATGTCTTGGGGGTAATATTTAGTTTAAAGGCGCACACCTTTACCTTAGTGAAGTGTTTTTGAAACAAATTTATTAAAGACAGATTTTAGGATCAATATTCTGATGCTGTTGATGGAAGCACATCCTACTTGCTTGCGGTTTTAATCTATGAGCCGGAAAATGAAGATTGCGCCAAATTGAGCTATCTGTGCAAAGTGATCAACTCAATCGGAATAGATTAAAAAAATAATTTTTGAATTTCAGATTCTCGCCGCTGATTATCCAAAAACGAAGTTCATCCGAGCCACATCGACACTTTTGGGTATGAGCTCATCATTTGTAAGTGATTTCGAGCGGAAATTGTTAGAAGCATTAATTTTTAGAAGGAGAATGGAGTTCCAGCCTTGCAGTTTTATCTGAATGGCAACTTGATTGGAAACTTTATCAAAATCACATCGGTCATTGGAAATGATGTCGATGTGGAGAAGCTTCAAACATTTATAAAAAGGTGTAAAATTAATTATGATTTTTGGTTATAATTCGATTTTGTCCTTTCAGAAACCATATCGACATGGTCAATGGAGGGTTTTTATCGGATTCTGAAGATGACGATGAATGCGACTAATGTATATATGAATGCTTATTATTTTTCTAAGCTTTATTTACTAACGATCTCATTTATTATAAAAAAAAATTATTGTAGATTTGAAATTGGCGCTTTATGTTGAAAATCATTGAGAAATACATGCGAGTTTTTTTTTCTTGCTCAAATTTTAGAAATTTTTTAGACGATTTGAAAATGACGACAAATCACAAAAGCGCTGAATGCGCTGCAACGTGAGTGCTCTGAAAATTGCGTTAGATCATTTTTTGTGGCGTTTTAAGATGCGTTATGTTCATGACTAGTGGTGTTTCCGGAGAGAAATTGCACTTTATGCATCCGTATAGGGTTCAGGAGAAGCCCAAAGAAGGTATGATTTCATTAAGAGGAAATACAAATGCAGCGAAATTGAAGCTTCTCTTTATAGTTAATAATTGATTGAGAGAATTTTGGGGAAAAATTTATTTAATTTGGGTTTTCCCCCAAAAATCTGCAAGCTATCAAAAAATGGTCGAAGTTTTTCTTTTTGAAGACAAGGATTCCGAGCTGCCGCCCTCATTTTATTCACAATTCAATCATCCGTCCAACGCGAAAACGAAAAAGCCGGTTCTTGCCGAAATTCCAGAGTTTGACCAATTTTTTTTTATGCGGTTGAAATTTTTTCACGAAATTTGATTTCAGCGACACTGGCAAAATTATGACAGAATTCACGTAAGTCTTTTTTTGAATTTCGCGCGCTTCCTTTTTTTCGGGTCACAAAAAAATGAGAAAGTTTGTCCTTCCATACGAGACCCAAACGCGGCAATTCAAAAATCAACGTGAATGTTTCAAATTAGGCTAACCACCGATTTGCTCGGACAAGCGCTGAATGTGGACCGATCGAGCTGCAACAAGCCGTTTGAGCTGAAAATCGACAATTATCGATTTGTCGCGTGGCCGAAAAAGGTGCGCTCAAAAATTTTGGCTCGAAATTTCGCCGAAAGAAACAAAAAAAACCCAAAGAATTTAGTGGAAAGCGCGCTCGAACGCGATTTTTCACATCTCCATCGTTTTCGCGATTCGCGCCAACAGCGAAAGCTACAGCGTCGAAGCGTATCAGCGGTTGAGCAAAAAGTTGGCCGTCGCGTTCATCGCACTTCAGCAATCGGAAGGATTCATCGAGGAGCAGCAGAAAATCATGGACGACATTGATCATGACGCGAAGAATCCGTTCGAGAAGATTCGGCAAAAGAGCAAATTGGCTCGAACGCTCGTTGATGTCTATGAGGATGTCATTCGAACCGGAAATATTCATGTAATCAATTTGATTGCATTTATTGATTATTATTGATTGATTATTACAGAAATATGTAAATAATTTAATCGAGATCGGATTTTGCGACGAAGCCTACTCACTATCGCTAGCCAGCGTGATGCCGAAGGGTCGAAGCGAGATCGAGAAAATCGTGCGCTCGATTCGCCCCTACCACGGCATCCTGTTGCTCGAGGACATCGGACCGACGCCCGACGCGAATCCATCGGTGGCGCGTCTCATTCGGCATTGCAGTCCCGACCGATCGATTCTCGACATGTCGACGGCGTCGGGAATTCCGGTGCTCGAAGTGTTCATGATTGTGCGCCATCTGCTCTTGTGGACACGCGCGATACTGATTTATCCGTTGTGCAACACGAATGTGTACACGTCGGCCACTAGTCCGCAGCCATTGGAAACGTAAATCGTTTCAAATAATATTGTCGAGCAAATTGAGCAATTTTAGAATGATCGAGAAGTTTGCGCAACAATTTGGAGCCAATATTCATCTTGCCGCCGGATTGGCTCATTTCAATCCGCCGGCAACACTCGGATCGTTTGTGCGCTCCAATCTTCCACTATCCGAGCAGCATGTTCGCGCCAAGTTGGTTGTGATGCTTTTAAAGCATCAAATGCTAATGCAGGTAAGAAATGATAAAGAATTCTTCTAAATTTTTAATTTTCCTGAATTTCAGCTTCATGTGTTTTTCTATATCATCAAACCGTATTCGAATGCGAAATGCCCGCGCCCGGGACGGCATTGTCCAGAAGCATTGAGGGTTTTGTCGATGACCAAAATTGGGCGATGATTTATCGAGAAAAATTTAAGAATATGATTAGCCGTAGCACAATCGACGTCAACGTGCAATCGATTGTCGCCGATATATGCGGACAGATGCTTGAGACCGAGAGTTTGTCGCAAGTTGAAGAAAAATTATCGAATTTCATTGCAATGGCGCCCTATATGAATGGGAATCATCATCTCGAAGATATCAAATATCAATTAAATTTGGTAAAAATTTTAACGAATTGAAAATTGGTTGAAAATGGCGTTTTTCAGTCGAGAAACGTGTGCGAAAATGTGATAACATCATTCCAATTAGTGATCGCCAAGATTCTACGTCCTGATTTTATATCAGAATGAAGATTTGCTTGCGTTGGCCGGCTTTACTAAAAAAATTTTTGAAAATAAAAATATTTTAATTTTTGGTGTGGACGTTTTTAAACGGTTTGAATCTGAGAAAGAGCGTATCTCTTTAGGAATTTAATGTAATGTTATAAAAAAAAATTTGATATATAATTTGGAGAATGGAGCAAATTTCGGCGCGTGTTTTGAACACATCGATCGAGTAAGAACGATTATTCGTTTTTTTGAGAAAATCTAAAAATTATAGGGAGTTTTGGATGCCGATTCTTCAAGACGAGCATGAGACAATGCGAAAATTGCAAAAAGAATGTGAAGAGTATGCGAAACTCGTTTTTACGTGCGAAAGATTACTTGTGAGTTTTTCGGAAAATTGGCGAAACGCCAAAAACAATCCAATGGAGCAAAAAATGTAAATTTAAAGGCGCATCGTGTCAAGATCTTTTCAAAGAGCGGTCAAAAACAAGATGAAGTTTAAGTTTAAAAAAACAAGTTTTAAAAATGCGCGGCCGAGTCCGTGAGACACGCCGACGCAAAATTGCACACATTCTGTTTTCTCCATTAATTTCATTTTTTTCGCGAAAAAAAGTTTGCTCAGAAAACTGTGACGTTTCCATGTAAGGTTTTTATAGAAAATCGATAATTTTTGCAAATTGGCTTTCAAAATTAAAAAAAAAATGAACTGTTCGATCTATGATGGCACCATTTTAGGGATCTCAACAACATGGAATTGATATACGTTTTGATCTTGGACAAAAGATTTACGTAAACGCTGAAATGTAAATTATTCACGAAAATGCGGAAAATCGAAAAATTATTTGTTTTCAGTCAAGATTCGAGCCATGTCGTCGTAAAATTAATGGACGATTTGTACGCGAAAATGAATTTGACATCGGCGGTGAAATATAGCAAAAAGAAAATGGAGGTAAAATTGATGGATTGATTTTAAACGATAAATAAAATTCAGTTTTTGAAACGCATGATGTCGAAATGTCAAACGCGGATCACCGAAATACACACAAAAATGAATTTGACACTTTCCGCTTTAAATATTGAAGAAATTTAGGTGAATAAATTTTTTTTTCGAAAATTTGGTTGTTTATTTATTCCCGACTGGTTTTTTCTCTCCCTATATATATATCCTATTGCAAATATTAATTGATATTTCAATTCGCTTCAATTGTCTAAGATGGCTTTAAAGCCGGCAACGGTCAAATCGATGCTGGTTGTCGCGAGAAGAGGAAATAAGAGGAAAATTCAAATCAATCGGGACGCTTTGACGGTTTTCACCGCTCTCGTCAACATTTTTGTGAAGGTGTTCATTTTTTTTGTGAAGAGTGAATAAAAATAGGGAAAAGACAACGAAAAATTAGCATTTTTCCTTTTTTTCTGTATCTCTTTTTCAATTTTAAAAAAATATAATTTTTACTAAAGGAGGCAATGTCACGATGCGCTCAATCCGCTGTAAATGTCGAATCGAAAGTTGTGACGATCGAAAACTTCAATCGAGTTGTGAGTCAATTAATGCTCGATTTTTCTGTATAAAATTACTACTTCATTTTTGAGATGTTGCTTTTCCATTAAATAAATATTTCGAGTTCAAATCATAGAACGAATTGATGTTGCTGCATTTGCAATGCTTCCCACTCGGATTTAAAGGCCGCCCGCGGATCGGCTTGCGGATTGACCGCCGTTCCCGTCATCTGGTCTTCCATTGCTTTGCTTTGATCGGCAGCGTTTTCGGTGCCGAGAACCAGTGTGTAGATCGAGCGAAGTCCAAACATACACAAAAAGTACCACGACGCCGATGAAACCTAGAGGGAGAAGAAAAAAGAGACATCAAAATTTCGTCGATTGTCGCCGTCTTACCCAGGCCGAGTCGAGCGAGACAAGATCAACACCGCGTTGAAGCATCGCTTTAAACTTGAGTGTCAATGGGAATGGCACGCGTGTCGTCACAAATCCCGAAAACGTCCAATTAATCCATCCTCCAACAACTATCATTGGAATCTGTGAACGGAAAAAATGGTTTGAGCCACCAAAAATCGATTTTTGACAAGAGTTACCATATTCATCATATTTCCTTTCAACATTTCGGTCATGTGCGACGGATCCATCGGATTCGGGCCTTTCGCCGGCCGCTGCATCGCCTTCGACAAATATCCGTGCTCCTCATTCACCAAGTATTGTCGGCGCGCGTTAAATGATGAGCGCGGCAGGAAACGACCATTCTCGCGTAGGAGGCGAGCGCGTAGAAGATATTGTCCATCAACAATGTTCTCTAGTTCGGGCTTAACACATAATATGATTGATTTTGAAAATTTTTATTGACGCGGACGGAATTTTTAAATTTTTTCGCAATTTGGTTAAAAATCAAAAATTTATATTTCGAATCACATCGAAAGATTTTCAAATTTCGACTTCTTCATTGGTTTTTCAACGCAATTTTGCAAAAAAAAGGATTTTTTTTTAATGTTGAAGGGATCGCAAAAATTTTACTGTCGGTAGGTGTCGAACCAGTACAAAAATGTATAATCTGCATTTTAATTGGGTCCCAAATTTCATTTGACGTTTTAAAAAATCACCAATCATAAAAATTGTGATTTTTCACATTATCACGATTAAATTCAACAAAATTCGCTATCAATAAGGTGTTCCATACAGGACCCAAAGGCGGCAATTCAAATTTGCCTACAAAAAAAATGAATTTCTCACCTTTTTCTTATTCATAAGTAGCATTGATACATAATGACGAAGAACACCAATAAAAAATGTGATAACAACAATTGGTATAAAAACCCACGTTCGAATGGCTGGATCCAATAAAAGATCCGTCATCTGAAAAGAAAAAAAAATAGAAAAAATTATTCAAAAAAAAAAAAATACAAATAGATATTATTAACAGATTAAACTGCATTCGATTATACTTGAAAACCAATTTTGAATATATTTTTATTGGTGAGAATCATAAAATAAAAAATTGGAGACTCACAATGAATTGTTATGCGATCATTTGTGTATAAATACATAAGTAGGTACAAAAATGAAAAGTTGACATGTTAAAACTGACAGCAATTGCTCCACGTGGTTCCGATTCTCGTGGAGCCGCCAGAACCAAGCTGAAAACTTCCAGCATTTCCAATCTCGTGCACACCTTGGTCGTATTGTCGTTTGAGTATTGTGGCAAGTTCCAAAAACGCATTATCGACGTTGAAATTATTTTTCGCGCTCGTTTCCAAATGAGCAAACATTCCTTCAAAGAAACAACCGCCAATTATTGCGATAACCTTGTTCAAACCACAATTACCATTTGCCCGTTGGAGCATTTCAGCTTCATCTTGCTCCACGGCTCTATGCTCCTCGAGATCACTCTTCGTGCCTAAATACTTTAAGTTTTAGTGAGAACCAATCCTCAAAATACGAACCAATCAATAATTTGACAACATTCGGCGCTGCAAATTTGGAAACGTCGTCGATCCAACGTTGAAGACTAGCAAATGATTCTTTACAAGTAATATCATAGCAAAGAACAATTCCATTAGCGGAACGATAATAAGATTGAGTGATGGTCCGAAATCGCTCCTGACCACCCGTATCCCATATTTGCAGTTTCACACGTTTTCCATCTGAAATATTTAATTTCCGCAAAATTTTTTAATGGCGCCTTACCAACAACAAGGGTTTTCATTGTGAAATCTACGCCAATCGTACTACCTTGCCTATCAACGAACGTTCCGTTTCGAAATCGCTGCACTACGCATCTAAAAATCAAAAGTACTTATGCCGGATTTGTATAATTCATACGTTTTTCCGACACCCATATTGCCGATGAGCACGATTTTGAATAAATATTCGAAGCCATCATCATTATCCATAAATTAAATCAATAGTGATTTTGGAAGCTTGAAGAAAAAGAAATATACAAGAAATTCGAGAGTGCGTTTACAGAAAAAAGCGGATGCCGTGAATAATTAAAGCTGCACAATTTCGCCGCTAGAGCATTGAGTGTTGATAGTGTGCGTGTGATGTGTGGAGGGTGGCAGACGACGAGCGGAAAACGAGAATGCGTTGAAATGGAGGAGGGCGCAGAGTGGCAGACAACGCATTGGTTGGAATTTCAATTTTTTTTCGGTAAAATTGAAAAAAAATATTTTTGACGCCAGAAACAAAATTTGAAAATGATTTATTGACGAAAGAAATTGATGGCTGTTATTTTCCAGACCCCAAGAGGATTCAAAATTCTCGAAAACCTGAAATTTCAAAATCACATCTTTAATCACTTTGTTTTTCAATACGTCGCATTGCACACAAGCACGTCATTTTTGTATTTTCCGGTTAACTGCCTTATTGAGGCATCATCGGGAACCGTATCCGATAATCGAACATAGGAGACCACTGTGAAGTAAATTGCAATGTTTTTCGACTTTACAACTAAAATTATTTAATTATTTAAATTGATTTGACAGTGAATTGAAACCTTTGAATACATCTTTTCCCGAAATGATGGATGAATGAACAAAGGATAGAATAAAATTTTCCTCTTTAACAAATCTAAGCGAATTTTCGAGATTTTCATCAATTCTGAAAACCAGCTTTTTTTAATACAAAATTTTATGGGAGCTACTCGGGTCTTGCTTCTATCAGAAGGTTCAGAACATCCTTTGCAACAATATCACTAACTTGGTCCCACTTTTTGTGATAGAAAGAACTGGCAACAGATTGTATACCCTAAAAAATTTAAAAAGAAACTATACGGGTTAATAAAAAACGACCTACCATATTAGCGCCATTCAAAAGGCTTTCAACGCTGAAATTTCTCTCAAAAAATATTAAATAGAATGTTTGAGAAAACACGTTTCCAATTCGTCTCGAAATTTCAAAAGTTGGAACGACTACTGACGGATGATCGAAAACGAATGATCGATTTTGCGGGAGTTTCAATTGTTTCTAAATTTTTGAAATTGTAAAGAAATTTTGAAACGACAAACCGTTGAATTGACATCGATGCTAACAACAGCGGGCTTTGAGAAGTGCCTGATGATAGGATGAAACCGGGCAAATTTACATAGCATATTTTGGTTCAGCTGAAAAATATTTTGACTTAAAACTAGACACGATTTTGGGAAAAATTCAAAAATTCGGCTCTCTTGAGCAACATTTTTTTCAAATCACGATATTAACGTTTTAAACTTTTTTGAGTATTTAAATTCAAAACCGGCAAGTATTTAGTGTCATAAAAATAAAAATCTCAGGTAAATCAAATAAAATATTTTGAGAATCAAATATATATCCCAATAAATTCTAAAATCTTATAATAAGTTCTAAAGTTGATTGAGAAAATTCTAAAACATTATAGAGACACGTTAGTTTCTCAATAAATCTCAAAATATATTTTTTTTCGATTTACCTGATATATATTTTGAATAAACTATTTAAAACAATTTTTTTAATTATTTGAAATGCGCTGAACGTTCGAGCTGATTCAATGTCAGCAAACGCGCTCCATTGATAAATGTGCATTTGAACGTTTAAATTCATCGAAATCGAACATCATTGAGATTTTTCCAAAAATCTATCGATTTTATTAATTTGTGAAATACGAGTTTGCCTTCTGATGAGCTCTGCTTCACGAGGCAACGTATCGCAAAACTCGACATCTGAAGATTGCCTTTCCCACATCGACAAACTCTATACAGACCTTCTTCAATTAATTACTTCGTAAGTTTTTTAAAATCAATTGAGAATCTTATTTTTTTTTTATTTTAGGGTAGAAAAGGGCAGCGGTTCGGAACTAACAGCGCGTTTAAGAAGTGTTGAAAGCGAAATTGCAAGTTTCAAAGAAAAAATTCGTCAAATTCCTAACATACAAGTCAACGAAAATCGAGAAAGGGATCAAATTTCGTCATTATATAGGTATTTTCAATAGTTTTTTATTATTAAATTATTTAAAAACTATTAAATTTAGGCAATTGAAGTTAAAAGATGAGCTCATCAAGTCCCTGTCCACCTACGACATCACCAAAGGACTCCAAGGTATTATAATTTTTATTTGAAAATGCAATGATGTACAATAAATTATAGATAACAAAATTGAATGAAATCGAGCCGAAAAATGAGAAAACTCTTATTTGTCAAATTTGCTCGTCTGTGGTGCTGCTGAAAAACGCGGCAGGGCGTTGGTTGGACGACGAAAAAGAGCTTCCATTGGCAAGGCAACAAAAAGGTGTCGAAACTCAAAAAGTAAACGCTTTAATTGTTTTATCGAGACGACAATTAATAATTTAGGAAAGTGTGACTGGTTTTTGGGAAGTGCGTGATATGTTTTCTTTCGAAAACGTCGGATTCACTCATTCCGTTGATGGCGTCAAGTATTTGACCTGCGCTGACTGCGATTATGGCCCGATTGGTTATGTGGATTCCGACACGAAAATGAACTACGTGACTCCAAGTCGCTTATCGGAAAAACCCTAATTTATTCAATTTGTGATACTCTTCATAAAATTGCTCTGTTTTATTATTTAATTCTATATAATTTCGTTTATGCGATTTTATATCAATATATTTTTTTTTCTTACTTTTTGTTTAATTTCAAAAATTAATATTCAGACAGAATTGAAAATGGCTGCAGAAAAGAAAGAAGTGGTAATTAATTTTTTTAATTAAAGAAAATTGATTAAGAGAGGAGTTTAGGTGCTCACGGCGACAGTCGAAGAGCCACTTGATTTGTTGCGTCTGAGTTTAGAAGAGAAGGTTTATGTGAAAATGCGTGGAGACAGAGAGGTATTTTTACGGTTTTAATTTAATAAGCTAGCGATTCTAAGAAAAATATGAATTTTTGTTTTGTCATTTTCCACAACGAATTTGTGTCGAATTTGAAAAATTGATATAAAAAATCAAATATTTCAGCTTCGAGGACGTTTGCGCGCATTCGACCAACATTTGAATATGGTTCTTTCCGACGTAAGTCTATATGCCGGTTTTGTGGGACAAAAAAGTCAGTTTTTGTGCGGAAATTAAGATTTTTTTTAAAGCGAAATTATCGATTAACGGAAAACGAGACAAAAAATCACGCAAGACGGAATTTGTTCCATATTATGCCAAAGAAAAATCGGGAATCATTGCTTAAAATGTAAAAATTTCTCCGCGAATTGCAAAAAATCTGATATAAAAACGAATTTCAGCAAGTTTTTCCTGATTTTGGCAGCTTTTTTAAACTGGAAATAATTTCAACTCGCGAATAACGGAATTCCGTTAAAGGAGGATTTCCAATATTCTGCATTTTCAGGTCGAGGAAATTGTTACAACGCGCGAGACCGACGAAGAATCGTTTGAAGGAATTTACCAGCAAACGAAAAGATCGGTCCCAATGCTATTCGTGCGCGGCGACTCTGTGATTCTCGTGTCGCCTCCAATTCGAGCTTCTTAAATTGCTACATATGACAAATTTTGATGATCTTCAGTTTATAAACATCAATTATTGATTCGATTCATATGGGACAATGGCAACGAAATATACACAAATTGTGCTACTCATCGGGGGGGGGGAAAGACTATTAGTATTATTATTATTCGTCGTCTGTGTCATCGTGATCCAATTCTTTACGCAACACATCAAAATCGGTAACGTACCATTTGGCGCGCGCTTTAACCGACTCGCGGACCTAAAAGACGAGAAAATCAAAATATTGAACATTTTTCGACAAATCCAACCTGATTGCCGCCAAATCCGATGAAGGCGTCGGCTGGTGGCGAAGCTTCGGCATCGGTTGCACCATCGCCAACCATCACCACAGTTTTATAGCCAAATTTTCGTTTGATAAGCGAGATGACCGCAGGTTTACCCGTCTGAAACGCGAGAATGAGACCGCTGCACGTTTTTCGAATGATACCTCTTTACTTCCGGAATCGCTGGTCAGTTCGGTTTTGTCGAATCCGGCGTAGTTTCCGGTTTTGTCGAACAGTATCTCATTTGCGAAAATTTTCGATTTGTCGATTCCTGGAAAAAAAACGCGATTCATCGAACGCGAACGTCGAAGAAGCCAACGAAATACCTAGAAGCTCGGCTACCGGTAATATTAGCCGGCGAAATCCGCCGGACACAAGAAATACGTCAACTCCGCGCGAGTGTAGGCGTCCGATAAGCTCTTTGATGCCGGGAGTGAGCTGAAATCAATCAAGCGATAATTTTTTAATCAAAAATTGATTGAGTTTAATTACTTTTGGTTTGGTCTTGTTTAGAAATGCCTCAATTTGACTATTACTTGGTTTCATGACTTGAAGACGAGCTGCTAATGCTTCCCTGAAAGAAAACATTCATTTTTCAACTAGTTTTTTGATTCTTTGAACAAATTTTGGTAATTTACTGGCTAATAAATTAAAAATTACCTAAATCTTGCATTGCCGCTCATTGCCGTCCGGGTTACATTTGCCACTGCTTCACCGCAACCCAAATAGGCAGCCAATTCGTCGATTCCCTCATCTTGGCATACTGTTGAGTCGACGTCGAAGCATACAGCTTCCGCGTTTCGCCAAACGCGCTTCGTTTCTTCCTCGTGACTCTTATTCGGCGATATCGCGACTGATCGTGTTACAACACCAGCCACTGATGGAACAGCCACGCGAATCATGCTGTAAAAAAATTGGAAATATTATTATAATAATTGGAAATAAGAATAGCGATAGAGAGATATTACAATTGTCATATTTATTTGAAAAAAATCATTTTTAAAAATTTAAACCTTAAAATATAAAAAAAATGCTTGATCGTCAAATAAAGTGTTTTCGGTGTAAAATCTTGCATAGAATCTTTCGCAAATATGCACAACTCACCGAGAATTTCACTTCGATATAATTTTAATTTATTTAATAATTTTCCCTTAATTATCGTTAATACTATTTTGGGCCTATTCTGCAAACGGAATTTTCTAAAATTATTCAGCGAGGCAAAAAGTAAATGAAAAATCAAAATTAATTGTTTCCAATTAGTAGAATAGGTCAATTAGTTTAATCCATTTTAAATACTAATATTAAAATATTATTCAATAGAAAAATGAATAAAATATATAGCGATCATTATCATATACTTTCGCTTGTATATAATGGTTGATTGAACGAATGCCGTTTATTTATATTCGACTAATGGGATCTCTGATTAGCGAAAATGACGTCAACCCTATCGCACGCAACATTATTCGATCGATATTAATATCATCTAATAGGCGGAATTAATACAACGCAATGAACTTTCAAATTTGATTCAATAGTAGTACAATAGTTAAAAGCAAAAGTAAAAATTATAAATTATTTACAATCAATTCTAAAAATAAATGTAAAATCAACGAAAATAGGCTAAAGACAACTTTCAAAAATCAAAGTCGTTTATATACGTTTTTAGGAACATTGATAAGAAAGGATGCCTACGTGACTATCATTCGAACCATTTTTTTGTCAGCCACAATAGTGGGGTGGGGGGGATTCCCCAATTCGTCAGACGCTCATAAGAGAAAATAGTGTTGTGTTGGGAGAGGCACTGACGCATCGAACAGGACCACACACGCATATATCACGTGAACTCATTCGTCACTCCAGAAACATTGCGTTGAATGTGAATTTTAAAAGAGAATTGAATTGAACCTTGATTGAGATGATTACGTGACAAAATGCAAGTTTTTCGTTTTGTCATCACCCTAATTATCATCATTTGGAAAATCAAAATAAAAATTGGAATGTGAACTTACCAAGCGATTACGCAGAATATTGTAAGCATGACAATTCGCGGCATAAAAATAAAAATTGAAGGGGGAAAATAATAAACAAAAAATAACAACTGCCACTGATCATCGTTGCCTTGAAAATTCGAGAGATGGACGTTTTGTGTAATTATTTCAATTTGAAATTAATTTTGGCTCGTTGAGATCAAAAATTGGTTTGCCCTATCGATTTGGCGCAAATCTCGCGGTAGGTAAATTGTGACTAACATTATTCGCAATTAATTTTCGCGACCCATTCCAATATAAATAATTATTTCAGACAATGGGTATTCTTATACCGGTATTCATCGTCATATTTTCATCGACCTTCTTCTACTTCCTCATCAAACATTTGCTAATTCGCAATTCTTTAAAGGTGATATTTGAAGACGTCAGCTTCTCCCAACGAATAATAATAATAATTCTAGAATGTCAGTCAACCAAGATCATATCCAATAATTGGGCACGCGCTTATAACGAAGCCCGATCCTGAAGGATTCGTGAATCAGGTCATCGGAATGGGCCATCTGTTTCCCAACGATCCGCGAATGTGCCTTCTTTGGCTTGGCCCGTTTCCATGCCTAATGCTTTACTCGGCCGATGTCGTTGAGCCGATTCTTGCATCGAGCAAACACCTCAATAAGGGATTCGCGTATAAGCTATTGGAGCCGTGGCTTGGCTTGAGTATTCTCACGAGGCGAGTTTGAGCTTGACACGAAAACCAGTGTGTTCGACTGATTGACTATTCAGCGGAAAAGAGCAATGGCGACCGAAACGAAAATTGTTGACGCCGACGTTCCATTATGACATTCTGAAGGATTTTCTTCCGATTTTCAACGAACAATCAAAAATTTTGACCGACAAAATGGAGCGCCATCCGAAAAAGTTTGAGATTCCCCGAGAGCATCGAATTTACACAATTTTAAGCAAACCGTTAGATGTTCTATCAACCGTCACACTGTGCACGTTGGACATCATTTGCGAGACCTCGATGGGAAAGTCGATCAACGCGCAAACTTCCGAATTGGTGGGTTGAGGGCAATTTTATTGTATTGCGCTATATTTGGCTGAGGTCTCGGGCTCGTAAATCTACACTGTTAATTGCTTCAAGACCACATTTATCCATTTTTAGCATTTAGACAATTTTCCGCAGTATGCTTGCTAGAAAAAAAGCGGCTGCTCATCAGGATCAATGTCGTTTGGCGCGTTGCGGTTCGCGTGCGGTCTCGGTTGTCACAATTGCGGAATAAGCTCAAAAGTTTGGAATTAAATAGTTTAAATTCTAAATTGCGACGCGAATGATTATATTGAGAGCCTCGCCTCCATTTTTTTAAAGAATTTTTTTGTAATTCTAGAATTTTTTTGTCAGGACAACGAGTATGTCTGGGCAGTTCACACGATAAACCAGCTGATACAAAAGCGGACCAAAAATCCATTGCTATGGAACGAAAATATTTACAATTTGTGAGTTGTTTTGGTTTATTCCATTTCAAACAATTCATTAATTTTTTTTGTCATTTTCAAAACAGGACCCAAGATGGAAAAACCCATCAGAAATGCCTCAACATTCTGCATTCGTTTACAAAAAATGTGAGAAATGATGAAACAGAGAATGGGCTCATTGCGAAATTCTTTCAGGTAATTGAAGAAAGAGCGAAAGCGCTCGTCGAAATGGACTACAAGCTTGATGGTCGTCGCGCGTTTCTCGACTTGCTTCTAGACATGGCGCACAGCGGACAAATGGATCGCGAGGACATTCAAGCCGAGGTGGACACGTTTATGTTTGAAGGGCACGACACAACGTCGACTGGACTCATGTGGGCGCTTCACTTGATTGGCAATCATCCGAATGTGATGAAAAAAATTCAGGTGATTAATTTGATGTGTTTTTTTTTTAAAGTTTGTTTTTTTTTGCTCGAGTTTAGGCGGAAATTGACGAAGTGGTTGGTGGCGATGACGACGTGACGCCCGAGCATCTCGCTCGTCTGAAATACCTTGAATGCGTTTTGAAAGAATCGCTACGCATTCGCCCGTCGGTGCCATTGATTATGCGCGAGTTGAGCAGCGACCAAATGATTGGCGGCTTCAACATTCCCAAAGGCACAACGCTTCTCATCAATCAATATCTTGTCCATCGCGATCCGAACCAATGGAAAGATCCGGAGGTGTTCGATCCGGAACGATTTTTGCCGGAAAACTCGGCGGGACGCAAACCGTTTGCGTTTATTCCGTTTTCGGCGGGTGGACGAAACTGCATTGGGCAGCGATTTGCACTTCTTGAGGAGAAAGTCGTCATGGTCCATATTTTGAGAAAGTTCGACATCACCTCATTGGAAACAATGCATGAGGTTGAACGAAATAAAAAATGAATAAATGGACGAAGCGCTATTTTTTAAGGTTCGACCGAAAATGGAAATTATAATGCGTCCAATCAATCCGGTTCATATTAAAGTGAGCAGGCGACGCATTGCATCATCGTGTTGAATGCCGACCGAAAATTTATTAATTTCAATATATTGCATCATTTTGTCGAGCTCCTTATTATTAATATTATTATCATTATTATAATCACGAATGAAATAATGGCGGGACTGGAAGGGAAATGATTGTTGGTTTTCGAATATCAACAGTTTTGTAAGGATTGTTGGGAAGTCGCTGAATTTTCATTGGAATCGGACCACCATTCTCTTCCTCGATGATTTTTTCAACGGGATTAACAATTGGCGCACTCGTTGCTTGCCCGTTTTCCATTTCTTGGCGTACGAGTTCGGCTTGCTTGTTTTCCCTTTCCCACGTTTCCTGTGCAATATTGCGAGTGGTGTGATCGAATTCGGCTTTCTCGCGAGTTAAATCGCGTATCTGAACTGAAGGCTCTTGCTGCTTTCTGAATTGATCATTTTAGACGGGGCCGGTTCACATAAAAATCGAACCCATGTGTGCGAATAATATCGTCTCTTGTGAGAAACCCATTCTTGTGCTTTCTTCTCTTTCTTCGATTCTTTTTCCGGTGCTGTTTGCGCAATTTTTGCATTTGCCAATAATCGTTGGGTGGCCGACGAGTTACAATTTCTTCGAATGGATTCTCGACGTCCGCGATGGTCTTGGCCTCGTCGGTTTTCGGCGGTGTGTCTCGTTCTGAACAAAACGAGAAAAATTGTGAATGATCGGCGATTCAATTCGCACTTCGTTTTAGCTGGACTCGTTGAAACGGGGCTTTCCTGCTTTTTCGCAACGTCTCGGTCTCGTTTCCAAGTTGTTTTTCATCGCTGCTTGTAATTTCATGGTCACCTTCGATCGTTTCCGGAAACGTGCCATCTGAAATGAATTTGCGTTAATACTTACAATTTTTGAAAAAAATTAATTTGGAAAATTGAATGGGCAAAGTACGCAAGGTGTCGTGGGATCCGGTGTTGGCTACGCAATACATCGATGAACATACCGTAATCCACTCTATTTTCTCACCATTTGTTTGTGCAAAAAAAAAGCGGCTAGCGCAATAAACTGCATGTGCCTTTAATAAGCGTATTCAAAGAATTATTGGAATCATTGATTTCAAGGTATTCGCAAAAAAAAATGAGCTGGCTCTCGATAGCCATCATTTTAGAAACCGTTTATTTCGACGAGTTTACTGTAATTGGCTCGGTGTACTGCGTACCAAAACACACGATCTCACGACACCTAACGTACATTGTGTCAATTTTTTCAACGAAACGTACCCGGATTTGGCGACGGAAAAAGAGGTTTCTGATCAATTGTCTTGTCATCTTCACTTCTCGTTCTTTCCAGATTATTTGGCCGCGGAATTACCTTTCTTGCCGCATCGAGAAGTTCGAGATCCTAAGAGTTCATTGAAAAAATTGAAAAAAAGGGATTTTTTTTTTAATTTTCTCTGCATCGCTACCATAAAAGGCACCGTTTTTGTTTTACTATCTCTATTAAATACCTCTAATGTAGTTCCACCGTATTCTAAATTCGATACAGCCATCATATTGAGATAAATCGCATCGCGTGGCCTCAATTTTTTGCTATCGAAATATCCGTGCGGGAACAAAACCGCTTGACCATTAATTTCATTGAAAATTATAAAAAAAATTAGCGCGATGATCATTGGATCATCAATGGAAATGAAGCAATGCTGATGGTGTGTCCGACTGACAAATGCTATTCAGGTTTTCGAATGATATCGCCAAAACTGGAAAGTTTGCCCTGCCAGCGATATTCGATTTTCAATTAAAAATTTATTTCGATATTATTATCATTAATATATGTACAATTACATATATACAAATTGTACATATGATGATGAGCAAATTACGATTCCACTTAGTTATGCTTGCGTTTGAAAATTTTTCAAAAAATCATTGACAAAAATTAATGATGGTTGCGGTGGCTCGGCAGCCAAATACTGAAGGTGCACCGATATCGGAAGGGCCATTTCGTCCGGCAGACGGGCTACGGTAATAATTTGATCCGGTCGTAGGATGACTGATTTCTTTTCACTATCGAACAAGCATTTGCCATTCGCATCCATAAGGATTATTCTAAAAAAATCGGAGGTCACTTTTTTTCGGGGAGGAAAAATTGCAATTTTCACAATTTTTCAAAAAATAAATGTAAACCTATAATGAATTGTTCTATCCGATTTCAAATTGATCGAGTATGGTGTTGATTGATTGAGGCAGTTTCGTCTCATTGTCAATAAACTGCAAAATGAAATTTTTCTTCCTTCAAAAAATTTAATTTTTATTTACTAATTCGTGATATGAAGTAAAATGTCCACACCATTGTTATAGCCAGTCCATCTCCAGCATTTCTAAACAAACAATAATTTTATTGCAAAATAATTTTGTTGGAAAATACCGGAAATGATTCAATAATTCTTCCAAGTCGCCAACTGCTCAGATTGAAATCGTCGTCCGACAGATCATTGATTCTAAAAATTTAAAAATGATGGAGCAAATTTTGTGATTAAATTTAGAGAGGAAGGTTTAAAAATTATATGTTTAAAAGTTCCGGTCAACAAAATTCGGATATTAGAAAAAAATAACCAAAATTGCTTACAAAAGGGGATTTTCTTCATTTCTGAGCATCGATCTCCACTGCGAAACCGAAATCGAATTGATGACTTGCGTCGGAATCAGTTTATCATGTTCGATTCGCTTAATACTCCCTAAATATTTATTTTCCCTCATTTAATTTGAAAATGATTGCCAACCAGTGAGCGTAAGAAAATGATGAATTCGCAGCGACGCAAATATTGTCGAGTATTTGACGAACAGCACATTTTCAGGCGACTCTCTTAGAAAATTGATGACGTTCTTCTCAAACGTCGCATCATCGCAATCAAGCAAGACGGCATCGGGACTTTCGTGAATATAAATCCACTGGAAATTTTTTATTTTGTTTCCCAGTCTTATTAAAATTATCTGCAATTTACCCATCGAACCATTTTGTATAGATCAATTTCGCCTTCTACCACCAGTAATTCGGAGGATGACAAGAGGGACGTTAGCAGAGATTCGCTGAAATATGTCAACTTTTCAGATTTTTGCTAATAATTCACAACTAGCATACCTTAAATCGGCGAGCATTTTGCGATTTGACATGAACTTCCAAAAAAGGATTTTCAGACTGCACAATGCCATTTTTTGGACCTAAAAAATTTTTTTGGAGAATCCTACGGAAAATTCAACCTTCAACAATCCATATCTTTCGGCAATATCATGAAATCGAAGCACATTTGTATGCGAAAGATTATCGGCCATTACATCCTCGCATCTCGACACCACACTCTCCAATCCGATGAGAATCGCCGCCGCTAATGTTCCCTCAATTTTTTCCAAATCAATCTCGATTTCGTTGTTGTATAATGAGGCTAGAACCGAATGCATTCCTAAACGAAAAATTTAATTTTGGAATAATTTCAAACATTTTTGATTCGCCTACCTTCAGCTGTCACTTTTTCATCATTGATTTCAATGTGAATCGAGTTGTTGGATGACTCTTTCCAATTTCCGTTCAATATCGCCTTGAAAATGTCTCATTTTGAATTTTTGTTAAAGAAAACAAAAAAAAACCTCAAAATATTTACACTGCTGCAGATAAAATTTGTGAAGATTCCAGACTTTTCCACATGCGTGAATTGTGATGTCAGATCCTTCACCCTGAATCACAAATAATAGTAATTGAGTGGAAAAAAGCGGTTAGCAATATTTTCCGCGCGAAAATTTAGAATAATCGAAAATTCGACACGAAAACAGGCAATTTTTCAAATTTTCAAAACATTTTTCTCGAATACGGTAATTAAAGGCGCACGCAATTTTTGAAGCCGCGTCTCGTAGCCCTTTTTCTTTTTTGTAGAAAAAAAAATAAAATACCTGTAGGAACAGTTTTTCGTATACATATTTCGTCGTATCCAATTTTTTCACTTTTTTCGTCAACGAATTCGCCTCGGTCGTTTCAGTTGATTGCCGCTTACGCGAACTCGTGCCCGGCTGCAAAAGGTCCTCGACGATATGATTCGACGGCTCCAAACTACCATCCGACTCATAGCCGCCCAATCGGTCAAGTCGATTACCCATTTCTAATAGAAAATTTCATTTATTTCAATGCTAGTATATTATTTATTATTAGTAGCTGTGTTATAAGTCAAAGTGTACAATGAATAAAATGAAAAATAACAATAAATTGAGAGCAACGCACGTGGGTGACCGCTTAATGGTGTTTGTCGACGAAATGAACACACGAATCCGTTTTGTTGGAAGAGACGCAGACGACAAACGCTGGTTGGCATTTTGCACCATCAGCTGAGTGGAAGGTGCAAAGGTCGCACTCACGCATGTTGAGGATGAGAATAATAAATGGTATGCATTATTTGCTATCCTTAGATTTGATTTTATTAATTAGCAGAAGACGTTTTCTGAGTTCCTCTTCAAAATTCATCGCCGCTAAATCGACTCCAATTTTATAAAAGTGTTGCGTCCAGATGCGCGAAGTTAACGGACCCAATCCATGAGTAAACTGAAATTGAAAAAATAAATATTAATCTCAACAATTATTTGTTTTTTTTTTTGGGCGAAATTACTAATGAATACGTCTCGACGTCGTCATTAATGACCGGAAATGGTGAGAATCGCTGCGGAACGGTGGAAGTTTCGCCTTGGATGAGGTGCATTGCGTTGAAGAACATGGGAAACATCAGCCTAAATCAGGAATGATTGTAATTTTCGAGGATTTCCGCGAAAATTTACACAAAAGAATTCACTTCGTCGATCAAATCTTTTTTTTTCTTATCAGATTCGGCTTCTTTAAGAAGTGCTTTAGCAATCTCTGTTGTTGGATAACTCTCGTTCATAATGAGATTCAAATCATTTGCAATATCCGTCATCTCGCCTAAAATCGAAAAATGATTTTTTAAACGAATCAATTAAAATCACGCCTTCAGAGATTGCAGTAATTGACGACGTCATACTAGCTTTTCGTTTACACAAGCTTAACTCAATTCCATGTTTTTTCAATTGCTTACGCATATCTTCACCTCCATTTTTTCTTTTGGGCCTGCAAAAAAGGCGAGAAATGATCTCCAAAATTCTTCGATTGAATACTTTCTTAAGAATGCAGCGATTGCCGAGCTGTTTAAATGCTCCGGAAGATTTATTCGTCGGAGAATTTCCGGACGTGTGATCTAAAACAAATCTAATTGGCCAATCGCAATTAATATATATACAATCTTACTACATATCTTGTCTTTCTCGATATCATTGACAACCGACCCGTTGTGATTTGAATCACGTTTGGATTTAGACTTTCTTTAATCGGCGATGACGATTCGTCATCTGATTCTTCGTCCGACACGTGTTCAACGTCGATTTCTTCATCCGTGCACATTCTAGTAAAGAAATCTATTTAATTTTTTTCTCGCGAAACAAAAAAATTATGGTAATCTGCTAAGTTTGTTTTTAAATCAACCACTGCGCGTTTTCCGCCAATATGTAGATACAATCCCAAAATAATGTACTAGTAAACTCAATTTTTATACATTTTTAAACCATTTCTTGTGGTTATACATTATTTCGTTTCCAAATAATAAAGTTTAATGAATAATTTTTCCTCAATTTCTCTTATTTTTAGGGTGGCCGAATCGAGTGGCCTAGAATATTTCGGCGGCCGCGAATATTTTTTTCATTTATTTTGAATTATCCCGCTCGCTATTTGAATTAAAAAACATCAATTATTTAATTTTTTAATCTCTTTTCAACATTTCAGATGGCCGATTTAGATTTAGAAAAGATTGTGCTAGTAGGAAGCATGAATCGCGAGCTTCTACAATCCATTTGCAATATTCTTGATATCGATGAAGCGTGGGAGCAAATTGGTATTTTCAAAACATTTTTTAGTTTCAATGTTGTGTTTAAAGCTCCACACATGCCGGGAATTCTAATGAAGGATATTGATGGATGCAGAAGGTTTGCTTTTTCAAATTTTTAATAAATTTCTAATGACTTGCTAAATATAGGTATATTTTTGCAGATATCAAAAAATGAATAAAAGTCCCACACTTTTATTGCTTCGAATATGGTCTTCCAAAGGTTACACCACGGATCATCTTTATCAACTGTTTGCAAAAACAAAAATGGTCCGATGCATGAGGATCATAATGCCAGCAGGTTTATACAAGTTTAATATGTGAATTTATATATGTTTTTTTTTTAATTAGTAAGCGAACATCTTCATCATTTGGAGAAGAGGGTGTTGAATCCATCGAAAAGTGCTCGATCCTCGAAGCCGGCTAGCGTAGCAGCTTCATCGGTGAAAGGGTCTTCCTACGCCACCAGATTATCGGAGCAGAGAAAACAGAATGCTTCAACAACGCCATCATCAACAGCTAATTTACAATCGTAAATGATTTGTTTCATGTTTGAATTTGAAGAAATTGAAATGTTGAAGTTTAGAACGAGTCAAGCTCCTCTTCGAATCGCCATCGAAGGAACTCTACCGGTGTCCTATGCCGACCTCGAGGTTCACCCCGCCATGAAAATCTTTTTCAAGCGTTCATTTGCTCTCAGATTGCGACCAATTCGTTTTCGCCGAAAAATATTATCGGCAAAGGCGGCTACGGAATCGTGTACCACGGCGATTTGCGTGGCACCGGCGCCGTCGCGGTGAAGCGCATCGTCGCCAAAGCCGACAACTCGCCGAATTGCTCGAAAATCGAGAAGGAGCGCCTCAGGCAGAGTCTTCAAGAGCTTCGCACACTCGCAAGGTTTCGACACGATAATATTCTTCCAATTTACGCTTACTCACTAGAAGGACCCGAGCCTTGCCTAGTTTATCAATTCATGGCAAATGGCAGCCTTGAAGATCGACTTTTGTGCCGAGTTTGACATTAATAGTGATTTCTGAAGTCGAATTTGACGATTCAGAAAGGAACACTGCCGTTGACTTGGACTCAGAAACACGAAATTTCTTTGGGAGCCGCGCGAGGTCTCGATTTTTTGCACACGTTTGCCAAAACGCCGGTGATTCACGGCGACGTGAAAACCGCGAACATTTTGCTCGATAAGCACATGGAGCCGAAATTGGGCGATTTTGGATTGAGTCGAGACGGACAGGCACATTTCTCAACTTTTTTTTCCATTCATTATTCGATTTTCCAGAAAGAGATTGACGTGCCTGATAAGTGTCCGCTGATCGCGTCGCATATCAAAGGAACGCTCGCTTATTTGCCGCCCGAGTTTATCACCTCGAAAATATTATCGACGAAGCTTGATGTTTATAGTTTTGGCATTGTGCTACTAGAAGTTGCTACGGGTAAGCGATTTTTCAAAAATTTTTTTCCTCGAATTAAATTCTTTTTTTTTTCAAGGTCTTCGCGCTTATTCGGATACGCGTGAGCCGAGAGGATTGATCGAATTTTGTCAAAAGCATCGAGAGGACGCGAATTTTGATGTTGATGAATTACGAAGGATGATAATCGATAAGCGAACGCCGAAATATTCGAATGGTTTTGTTTTCAAAACAAAAAAAAATTATGTGCCTATGCGTTTTGAGGCAGCGAGACGTACGCAAAACTGCGTACATTGCATTATAGCGTACGCGCGTTTAATATTCAGTCAACTATAACTTTAAATTTTTGAACGCCCCGCCTCCCTTTAATTTTAAATTAATGATTTCAATCAAATTGAAATTATTAAAGAAATATTTAAATAGTATATTTTTTTCAAAAGAAATACTATCTGTTTCTGAAGCCTCTTGAATCGGTCGTTGCGAGATCCAACTTGAAGTGCGCCTTTAATTACCGTATCCGAAAAAATTGAAAAGAAAAACGATAATGTATTTTAAAGGTGCATGCCAAATGTGTTGCCTAAATTGTTCAAATGCCCGGCAATTTAAAAATTTCAGATCGCGAAAATAATTTATTCGAAATACTGATTGAATTGGGCTTATCGGCTGGCCAGAAAGACCGCACATTGCGTCCGCCAATGTCAAAGGTTCGACTAGCAAAAAATTCTGTGTTATAGTTAATTCACAAATTTCAGATTGTGGATATTTTGCAAACTTATGATATTGCAAAACTTGCCGAATTATCTTTGGGTTGATGAATAAATTATTGGGCATTTTTGTCAAGTTATAAATTATTGTCATCAAATCATTTGAATATTTGATTAATTTTATATTTTGGACATATTCATGCATGCATGTCAAAAAATTCAAAAAAATTGTCGTTCGTTGATTTTTAAAGGCGCACTCGAAAAAATACTTCGGGTCTTGCGGCAATTTCGCTACTGTAATTTTTGAATTTTTTTATTTCGTTGTAAATTTTGAATTTTTTTGGCATGTACGCTTGGAAAATTTAATTTCAATTATTTTAAATTGAATATTTGTTTAGAATGTCGGAAGTATTGCGATACGACTGCCTCAAATCCGATCTAGCAATTTATGTGATACAGGAAAATGAGAGAATATGCATTTATGGATCGTGCTCGATACTATGCCTAAGTTGGAGAGAAAATTTCGCAAAAATCAATGATAATAATGAAATTTGCAGCCGGAAATGCGGTTTTGAACGATTTCCCATTGCCCGAAGTTTCGTATTCGAAAGGGAATTTGGTGAAATTGTCGGCGCCGCAAGCAATGCACATTCCGGCGATTTTGCAAATTCACCCGTATCACAAAAATTATAAGTATGCTCGAATCAAATTTCGATTGAAAGAGGTTGAAACGAGCGATCAAATCAAATCGCAAAAGTGTTTCTTTTGATCTAGATTGCACCAAATTGCTATGAGGATATTATGAAGAAGATTGGGCATACAACACCGGCGGTTTTTGTATTCAACAAAGAATTGAAAACGCCCGAAATGGCGGCGAATAATGCGCTACCTGTAGGCGATAAGCTTCCCATTTTTTTTTAGCTTCTAACATTTCAAGATATTTAAAGAATTTTCTTGTGCATTCGTCAATTCAGAAAGGAATATTTCGGCCGCCATTTTACACAATATCTCGGGTATATTAAAATTTTCGATTGGAAAAAATTGATGTAAATAATGATTTTAGATGGATTTTTACATATACCCCGAAGAAAGCGATAATCAACTCAATTCGTGCATCAGAAATTTGAAATTGAAGCAAGGTGAGTAGTTTTTTATGATTTGAATTTGGGAAAAAATATTTGAATGAATTTTTTTAAAGATTAAGGCCGCGCGTAATTCAAAATTTTCAAAAAATATATAATTTAATTCAGATAATTTACAACGCGTTTCAATTCTTCCAATTGGCCATAAAGGAGCAGGAAAATCGAATTTAGTAAGGAGTATCATTAATCGATGCTTGGCCAAGTATGTCACTTTTTTTGTCGAGAGCGTTGTTGAAAAAAAGGGAATCAAAAGATTTAAAAATCTCATTTAAAAGTCAAGGTTTGCCAGAAAAAAAACCCCGTCCTGAGCCCTATATGGGCCGGAGGAGAACCTCCTCCTTTTTTTTTTGAATTCCGCCACATATAATCACTCGCAGCAGCAAACGTGCGATTGCGGCGAAACCCGTATATTGTCAGCAGATGTCTAAATTGAAATTTCTCTTCTTAAGAATCTTCAGTTCTCTCAAGTCTGAAGAAATCGTATTTGATTGAAAGCCTTGTGCGCTCGGATAATTGGCCAAAAGCCAAAAAATTAAAATCTCTGATAAATAAAAATTAATCGGTTTTGAAAATAATTTAGTTTTCATTCGAAATTGAATTAAAATTAATCTGTTCCGAATTATTTTCAGAATTTCAATCGAATACGATTTCAAAATTGAAAATGGGATGCTAATCAATGAATTTCGAAGATTTTTGAATAGAAACCAAGTTTTTAAATTGAATTTAAATATTTTCAGTTTAATTTATGTTTAATTATCCTTCGAATTCGATTGATTTCCGTTTTGGGCCGTAAATCTACCCCTTAAGTTTTCGTCTAAGACCACTGTCATTGTTTTTTTTTGGCATTTTGCCAATTTTCCGTAGTCGCGCGACACCGACAATATATTCTAGTTGAAAACCATTTTTTCCAAAATCGATTTACCAGAAGCATGTAAATTTTAATATTGTGTTTTGTCGGCGTAAAACGACTGAAGAAAAGAGGGGGTCTTCAAATTCGTGAAATTAAATTGTAGATTTCAATTTATCGTTGACTGCAATATTAAATGCGCGTACGCTATAATGCAATGTACGCAGTTTTGCGTACGTCTCGCTGCCTCGATCCGCATTGGCACATAGCCAAACATTTTTTTTGAATTTCGTCAATTCGTTTCGACAATAATTAATTTTTCAGCGGTTCTGACGTTTACGTGATTGATTGTGATATTGGACAAAGCGAGTTCACACCATGCGGTTGCCTTACGTTGACGAAAATTCATTCACCCATATTTGGTAATTTCTGGCATTATTAAATATAATAACAATGAATTTCTGTTTTTTTTTTCAAACAGATAAACCCTACGGTCATCAATTAGCAAAATTTAGCAACACATATTTTTATGGGGATATTATTATTAACAATTTGGATTTGTACAAGGTTTCGTTGTTTTTTTTTTTTGAAAATTTTTGGAAAAGAAACAAAGCGCTGCAGGACATTTTCGAGCGACTCTGGAATTCGTTTGTGTCGACGAGCGAGCCGGGAGCAATTTGCGTAATAAATTCGATGGGCTGGCTGGAGGACGCCGGACGCGATATTCTTCTTCGGATTCTCGAGTCGACGCGCGCCGATTTGATTGTCGAGATTTGTCGTGATCCGAGTGTCGCGAAATTCAAATATTCGGTGCGGCGGCGAAAAAAAAACGAATGAAATTGATTTGAATTCATCGATTTCAGCTTCCTCGCGGCTCGTCGTGCATTTCGATTTTTCCGAACAACGCGCTCATCACGGATGTGCCGACGGAGAAAAAATTGAAGGCGGCGATGATTCGCGAGCTGACGTCGGTCGGCTACTTCTCGACAATCTTTCCCACTTCCTATGTGTCGTCGATTGCGCAAGCGACACCCTATCGAATCAATTTCAAGTCGAATACGCCAATATGAAATCGATATTGTTTCGAAATTCCAGAGAGATCACGTTTTTATTGCCCAACGAGCTTCTCGTCGAGGACTCGAAAATGATTGCGTCGTTGAATTGTCAGACTGTTGCGTTGTGCGAGCCGATTCCGGAGGTACTCACTTGATTCCGAATAGTCCCGATTTGCTATAAGCTAATCGTTGAAAAATATTGAATTTTTGGGGGGGGGGGTGCGATTAATGTTTTTTGAATTGCCGCCTTCGGGTCTCGTAAGGAAAAACAGTAGAGCATTTTTTATGCATTTGAAGTATTTGAGTTACTTTTAAAGCCTCCAAATTAGTCCGTCCACGATGAATTAAAGGCGCACGAGATTTCTTGCGGCAGATATCCCGTGGCGAAGAGACATTTCACGTCTGTCGTTGTCTCTCGCTAGTAAATCAACCCAGGCGCAATAATTTATTGGAAATTCGACATGACTCATTAAAAAAATTGCCTGCAACGTAATTGCAATTCATTTTAGCTGAAATCGCGCCGTATTTGCGATAGCAGCAATTTGCCAAGTTTGGCAATTCACGATGAAAGCACACCGGCATTGAAATGCTTTGGATTTGGTATCGGATTTTTTTCTTTCTTCGATCATCCCCAAATATTATGAATTTCAGCAATCATACGGGGATTCTGTTTCGAGAAACGCGAACTCTATTTGCTGTCTCCTGTGAATTTGATGAAGTGCGACGAGATTCCGATTCTGGCGCGTGGAAAACGAATCACGACATCGCCGATTCTTTTCGGCAGCCAGGTGCGATAAATTCGACAACTTTTTTTTCACTCATTCTGAAAATGAAACCAAAATTTAGATCGATCATACGAGCCCCTATACCGTGATTACATCGACTTCTCGAAAACACGCGGGCAGCGCGAATGTCGATGAAATGTATTGTGCGCTGAGTGTGACGACATCGTTCAAACGAACAAGAAACTTATAATAAAAATTTGATTCAAGTCTGAATTCCGAAAAAAAAAACTGTGATATGGTCAATTATTGCAATAGATTATTAGGTTGTCGCTTCATTAGAAGCACATTTGTTCGTCGTTTACTGTTCGAATGTCCACTGACTGGATTTTAAACTTGGCGGCACCAAATTCAACGGATTTGTCATGGTGGAGAACAATTGAGAACGAGCGTGCGCCAATGTCAAGAGGAAATATCAACTGAAATCATTTTGTTTTCAATTTTATTTTTAAGAATCAACCTTTTTAATTGATGAATCGAGTACTCTTGGACCGGACAATTCGTGACATAGGCTTATATCGCTGAAAAAAGAATCAAATTGGTTAAACGAACAATATTTTATTTGAATTCTACCTAACATCATCGGGACAAAGAAGCACACGTGAGCCGAATGTCGATTGCGAGGCTGTTATTGTTAATATTGAAGGATAGGCGAGATCAAACGTTGGACTTTTGAGAATCGCGCGAATTCCTCCGCCATTTAGCGTTACTTCTGCTCCTATAAAACATTTTTTGTGGTTGGCAATGAAGAAAAAATGCAACGCGAACAATTATTCAATTAAATTACTAGGAAAACCGCGAAATATATCGCGTCGACTCGTTTTTAAAAGCTATGCTATTAATTTTTTTATTCTCTCGCTTTTTTTTGTCTTTAAAAATAGCAAAATTAAATTTTATTTCAACGAAAAGAGCGCGAGGCAAACAGTTGTCTCACAGTTTTCCTAGTAATTTAATAATGTGACGATTCCATTGAAAAAAATCGAAAATCCCACTGGTGATTTTAAATTTTGAAAGGGTCCGTGCCAACACTCGACGCACAAATGCAGATTATTTCGTAACTCAAAACGCATACTCTGCATTTGTGCGTCGAGTGTTGGCACGGACTTCATCAAAATTTAAAATCATCGTTTTCGATTTTTCCCCAATTTTTTCTTCTTTTTTCAAATGGAATCATTTAATTATATTACCCATTATTGGATATGTTCACATATTCAAAATCAAACATTTTTTCGACTGTATAAATCGGGCAATTAGTGAAATTATGTTTAAAAAAAATATTATTGCCAAAATGCCAAAAGTCTTGGCGCCAATCGATTTTCATGCATCGCGCCAAGACCTTTTCGCAAATTTATTGGCATTTCGCCTCGCCAAAAATGACCAACCATCAGCAGTTGCCATAATCGGCACATCTCCAGCCTTCTCCACAATCGTCTCGTAGCTACAAAGTGTATCTGAAATGTTGTCATCGATTTTAGTAGGGATGACATGCAATAAAAAAAAACGTGCTTCTGAATTCACACGACAATTGATCGCAAACGGTTTGCTCGGCGGTCTTCAGCGGACAAAAATCGCCATCCGTCGATATCGAGTCGACAACGACGACCGAATTCAATCGCGACGACGCCTCGATGGTGACGAAAAACGGCGACGTCGATGAGACGCCAATTGACACCACACCGGTCGTTGATTTCCCTTCGACGCATTGATCTAGTGCGCAAATGCGAATTTTCGAATGTTCGGATCTATTCGAATAAATAGCAATTTTCTATTTGAGTGACATACTTCATATAGGCGACGTTCACTTGGCCGTTATGCGCGCACGGAATTTGTCTTGAGCGCATCGTCGAGACCGTCTCGTTCGCCAGCAGGAACACGGCGACGTTTCCGCTGATGTGCTTCGGCACCGGGAACAATTCCGAGTCTCTCGGCGTCACACCGTACTTCAAATGACCGTCATAGTTGACCCATTGACTGCAATAGTCTTTCGAGAAGTCGCAATTCAGCGTGAGATCATAGGGAACGTGGCGGCCATCGCCGGATTGTAGTCCGAAAATTGTTTGGATCTGTGATGTTGGCGAGAAATGAAACGACAAAATTCGCGATTACCGTTGGCGGATTGATCGTCGTCACGATCGGCGCCGGCGTTTCGCTGCACAACACGCCGGCGACGCGCAACTCGGCGATCGCCAGCAGACCGATCGAGTTCTCATCGAACGCGATTATCGCGATGGTGAATCGAAACGGCTTCGCGTAGGCGTCCAAATCGATGGTGATCGGTCCCGGACTGTCCGTCGGCTCGAGATAAGCGCAACTCAGCGAAATGCCGTCGTCGTCGATCGCGCAAATTTCGGCCTGCGTGCCAGTTTTCATCCAATACCTATTCGAAAAAATATTTCTTTTTTTTTCATGTGCGGGAATCACGATTTACTTGAGACTAAGACTTGTCGTTCGCTGGGTGCACGGAATCAGATGGCTGACGAGAACCGAATAGGGTCTCGGGGTGAACGAATCAACGGCCAAGAAGAGGAACGACGAATTCGGATGCGATTGATTTGCGGTTGTCTGAAAACATTTATGAGGCTAGACATTTCGCCGCGAGACCCAAACTGCATGCACCTTTAATTATCTTATTTCCAAAAAGGTTGAATCACTACATATTTAATTTTAAACAGCTAATGTTGCGATCGCAAATTTAAAGGCTCATTTCGCTGAAACTGTTTTGGGTCTCGTGGCGACTGGTTGCCGCTAATTCTAGGTGTTGTCGAGCGGTGGAATAATGCCAAACTCATCGAATTTCGTGTGAAACCATCAAAATAAGCGTTCGCGCGTTGCGAGACCTGTTTTCAAGGCGCACGCGCGTACAACAGTCGCCGTTGTCCAAAATAAAAACTGATCTACCTGAAAATTCTCCTTCCATCGATCGATTGTTCGTCCAACTCGCCATTCGGTTTGTCTCGATTTGCCCTCATTGGACCATTTGCACGATCTCAACGGCCGTTCGCAGTTCAGCTCGCTCAGCGTTGCGATCGGCGTCTCTTCCTCATACGGCGGAATGCGAAGAGATGAAAAATATGAAGGGAATGCTGAATGACGCCGATTTGTTCAATATTTCAAACACGACTTACGCGATTGTTGGCATATATTTCCAAAGAATCGAATGTGATCAATCATGAGAAGGCTTCCAACTGTATTATCCTTAATTTGCAGATTGACAGAATTTTCTGGAAAAATTCCCAACCCCCCAAAACTCGAATTGATAATTGATTCTAGTAAATTGCAACGCAAAAAAGCGAGGGGCCTTCGGCAGGGAGCTCGCTTTCTTACTAATGTATGAAATATTATAAATTATTTTAAAATACGTGATTTTACGTCACTCTGTTTGCACACATAAATTATCATCGTTTTTTCAATCTCAAATGCTAAAAATTTGCGAAAAATGAAATATTTTCGAGTTTTGGGGGGTGTGGCTTCTTCAATGACTACCTTCAAATCAAACGCTCGAATTCCAATTCGGAATGGCTCTTTGATTGGCGGAATCTCAACTCGGCAATCTTCATTGGCGGCTGATAGAAAATCGCACTTCATTTTCGGCCTCATTAAAACCTTAATCACAAATTTGTTTTAGATTTTCCGATATTTTTGCGGATTGGAATTTTCGATTTAATTCGAAATTAATGTTTCTCTAGAGGACCCTTTGGCGGCAATTCAAATGTTCAACCTCACCTGTAAATGTCGGCGTCGATTCATCGCCTTCAAAATCACAACCTCAACTTGCGCGTGATTATAAATCCAATATCTGAATTCGTTGATTTTTTTTGTCGTCTTTACAATCATTCATACGAAAATGTGAGATTCGAGAAGCCTTTTTGGCACGCAATCGGCGCGCTGGCCAACACGGCGCCTTGCGCGCTGTTCGTCGTGTTGCCGGCAATGACGAATCGTTCGCCTTTCAGCATTTTCGAGTTTCCCGGCTGAATTTGCACCGGAAACGATTTCTCGTCGCTTTTCTGCAATGATTTCCACCGAGTTCAGCGAACACCTTCCAAGAGCTCACCTTGAAATACCACCAGTCGCTGGTATCGAGCAGGTCGTCCGTCGGCGCATTCCTCCAAAGGCATTCGCTCTCAAAATCGCAATTCAATTCGTCCGGCGACGTTATATAAGTCGCAAACTCCACCGCATCTAATAATTGCAATATTCTATCTTTTTTTTCTAGAAAAAAAAAACACCAAAATGCTGAAATCGCCCAAACCTGCCGTCGGAATTTCACCGTCGCCATCCGGCTTGACGCCCAAATACAAATCGAGATAGCGTAGCTCTTTGGAAAATTGCGGATGGCACGAATACGCGCATCGAATCAAACATATTAGCAGAATCAGCCGACGGATAATCATATCGATTCCCAGTTTGGCTAGAAAATTGAACTGAAGCCACCACCCCCGCACTCGATATCAATTGACGAACGCGTTGGAACAGGATTATCAACGTTTATCACTTTCACTTCCACCTGCATGAAATCAGAATTGATGATCACAAGAAATGGACCAACATTTTCTCGTCAATACAAAAAACCTATTCATTATTAGGATAGCGCGCGATCACATAATAAATTAGATGAATTTGTGCAAAACACCGATATTGCTGATTGATTGATTGAATCCGAATGCCATTCTAGACGGGGGCGTCTATTCATCCTCGTCGTCTGTCACCTCCTGCCCCACATCTTTTAATCGTCGCCGATACGTTGCGATTTTGTTGTGTTGGTCAGCTAATAGCATTAGCAGTTCTTCTTGATCTTGCTTCAGACGATTCAATTGACTGATGGCATCGGAATTCTTCAAAAAATTCAATTTATTACTAGCAAGGTTCCACTGAAATCAAAAATTACATTTGATTTTCGAATTTGAAAAAAAATATTGCGAAGAAAAAAAACGCATTTGACGCCGCGTGTGTAAAAGTCCGCAACGCACACGCACGCAAAATTGCACACATTTTCAAAAATTTTCCAAAAAATCAATAATTCGCGATTTTATTGAGGCAAAAACAAAATGGAATCGCAACAAACCTCGACGGAATTCTCCACATGCCCATTTTGTGGCGCCAACGCGATTTTCTTCTCAGCGTCCGCTAGCGCGTCTTCGGTTTTCGCCAGCTTTTCACGAAGCGTCGCGTTTTCCGACGTGTAGTGCAATATCTATAAACAATTCCATTAAAAACATCAATCAAAATTTGCCTCGCATTCAGAATTATTCACCGTTTGCGCTTGCTGCTCATACGCCTGATAACCATACGAAAGTTGTTGCTCAAGCTCGGCGACCTGATTCTGAAGTGTCGTGAGTCCGACGTCGGCCGCGTTCGGTATTTGTCCCAATTGATACGATTGCCATTGTTGCGCCCATTGTTTGTAGCGCTCGGCTTCCGAGTACCATTGTTGCGTCAATCGTTGAGCTTCTTGCAATTGAGTCGACAAAACATTATATTGCGTTTTGATTTCGCACGACTCCTTCAGTTTTAAGCGAACTTCTTCAAGCTCCTTCTCGACGTCGGCTTTGTTTGCCTGGAAAAAAAATTTGAGCTTCTCTAAAATTCTTAAATTCCATTTTTTCCACTCAGCATACGATTAAAAAAAATTTTTTTTCCAATATTCCTTACCTCTTCTCTCAATTTCTCAATTTCCGTTTTGCTCCTTTTAGCCTCTTGCTTCAATACTGAAATCTCTTCATCTTGCCGCTTGATAAGCTCCTAAATATCCAATATCAATTCGGGACCATTCAAATGATCAACTTTAAACGATTGAATAATGCTGTCATTGTTTGCAGTTCCATTAAAATCCCCATTTGGTCGAATTTGTTTGATCAGGGTTCCTAGAAATATTCAAATTCGAAACACCAAAAAAAAATCAACCAACCTTCACACGATTTAAATAGTTTAACGAAATGAAAATCAAGGAAAAGCTCGCTGGGCCCTTTCGCCATCGGCTGCGGTTTTTGAGCAGCTCGCACGAATTGCTCAGTTCGCGATAAGCCTTCAAGCGCCGACAACACCACTTCTTTGCCGACGCGTCGTTCAATCAACGTCTCCATTGATGCTCTGAAAAAAAGTAAAAAAGAAGTGAAAATCTCAAATTTATCGAAATTCTACACTATGTAGATTTTGCGAAAATTCAACAAAATAAAAAGAACCCCCAAAAATCTGCAATTAAAGAGAGAAAAATCAAGATACCTGGCCTCTTTTGTCTGCGTATTTTTCAAGCACGCCAATAAAACGAACGCCAAGAGTCCGCGAACCGCTTGCTGCTCGCTTTCCGATCCTTCGCCACATTCATCAACTAAAAAACACAAACGTCAATTATTTTCTTCAACTACCGTATAGTAGACATCCGGCGACTGCTGTATGCGTCTTTCTCTTGGTCTCGCACGGACTAATAGGTTATTTCACATTTTATGAACCGGTTCGATAATTTTTTAATCGAACGACGTTAGAAATTCGAAGAAATGCGAAACTCATTAAGAAAAAATAAGTCGTTCACGTCATACTTGCAAATTTCCGGGTCGACCCGGGTCGGGGCGGGTCAGTAAAAAAATACGCTACCCGCCTCCGCCCCGCAACGACACTCCAAGTTTACAGCGAGGCCCCTGTTTAGCGAAAAAAGAATTTCGAATTACATTATTTGAGTAGAATTAATTATTCTCGCAACAAAAATTGTTCAGAAGTCCTCAAACAAAATTGATTGAACCAGCTTTCACTGTTTTTGTTTCGTTTTCGATATTTTTAAATAAACTTCAAAAAATCTATTAGCGGGTCGAGCGGGTCGGCAGAATTTTCACTTTGACCCGCTCCGTTGCAAGTATGGTTCACGTGAAAACAACAAAATCAGCATTCACGCGTGGCGAGACCTTTTCAAGGCGCATACGCGTAAATCTACCCGCGTACAACCGGACGCCGCCAACAATTTCATGAATTCTCACCAATATTTGACGTCAGATATTGCAAATTCTCGTCCTTCTCCATGAACGCGGCGACGACCTTCTCCGAATTCACAAGCCACACGCCGAGCAGCATCAGAATTCCGGCGCGCATTTGCGATCGCCGATTTCCCATCGATATCAAAAGTTGGCACACGTGCGAGAGCAACGAAATCGGCGGATCGCCGGGAACGATCGTCAATTGAACGCGAAGCAATTGCTCGCTTAATTAATAAACACTAATGATGGTTTGACCGAATTGCTCCTCTTAATTACCATAGATGATCAACTTGATACATACAGTGCATTAGGGTAACACAACCAAACCATACTTGGACTGATTCGGTTGACGAGATTGCCTAAAATTATTATACTGTGAAGATTTACGATGAGTACGCTAGCCCGAATCCCCAAAATTCAGATTACAATTGTTCAAAGTCTGTGCAAATGAAATGCCCAATTTTTTTTTACTTAATTTATTCCGGCAATACTTTATTTTGCCAAGTTTTATATACCATTCGAACCCTTTTTGAAATTCTGAATTTATCCGAGAATCAACGGTTCACGAAGAATCAATTTTCGTGGTTCAAGAACGGAATATTCAGTCAGAAGATCTTCATCGCCAAACGCTTATTCTAATTTTTTCAATTATTCTGTTTTTCTTTTTTTCCTGACCTCTAAAAGTTCCGAGTTCGATTATTCAAACCAACTTTTTTCTCATTGGAAAAAAATTGAAATTGACTCGATTCGAATTATCAAAATTTATTTTAGGCTGAGTTTTATATGCTCCTTTAAATTGTGCATTTCATTTGCAAAGACCCCGTGATTATAATAATTGAGATTTTCGAGAATGGCAGACCTCTATAAATCAAAGCTAACCTGACAAATCAACGCTCCCGTCGACAGCGGCGTGTTGAGTTGCGATTGCGGCAATAGCGTCTCAATGATTTTCGTTTTGCCAAACTCGTTATCGAATAAATATGACAAGAAGCAATAAAAGACGGCGCAACGAAGTTTGAACGGCTGTTTTTCGGTCGTCATCGAGATGAGGAGCACGAGAAGCGACGAGCGCGTCTCGTCCTCATTGGCGACAAGTGTTGTGCTCGCGAAGAACTCCTGATTCGTGTAGTTGCCGCGAATCGCCTCGGCGACGACAATTATCGATTCGGTGAGAATCTTGAATTCGACAATGACGAGATGGTTGCAGGAAAACAATTATGAGAAAGAAGAAAATTCAAAAAAAAATTACCTCAACCGACGCCCCAATTTCACTTAAAAGCACTCGACAAAGCTCGGCGAGAATTTCTGCAAAACAAAAAAATCAACAATACTCAAGAAATAAAAACCAACTTGTCTGATAGATGACTTTTTGCGCAGAATGCGTTTGTTGGCTATTATTGTCAGGACTCACGAGGGCTCTAAATCAGAGTATGAAGCTAGGCGATAGAAAAAATATCTCACCGCAAAATTTGCAATAGAAAAATGACATTGGCGGTCCGCTGCTTCGACCATTCCTCGGTTTCCACTTCCTCCTCGTCGCCTTCGCCACGCCCATATAAAAATGTGTGGAGAATTGTTCCAACTCTTGCGATAAGGCTGAACGATGAAACATTTTGAATGTTCGAGTTTGAATTGAATTTTTTTCCGCATTTCCAAAAAAAAAAATTCCTAACGGAGTTGGAATGTTTTTGAAAAAAAGAAAAGAATTGAAATCGATTTTTTCTCGGTTTAAATTCAATTTTTCATCATTTTTTATCGAAAAAATAATTAATTCAAAATTTGAAGTGGGATTTCTGAGAGTTCGGTCTCGCAACATGAGTGTCAATTTACGAGCCGGGATTTTTACGCCGATAAAAGGTATATTGTTCGTGTGGAATTTATTATGCGATTTAGTCAATTTGAATTTCGACGATAAATGCGTTTTCTGTGAAAAAAATCAGTTCCATAAAAGTTTGGGGAAAAAACTCAAAAAGAACCCGAAAACTATGTTTTTTCTTTTTGCATAGTACCAAAAAAACTTATTCAATAAAATAAATCATAATTTTTTTCGGTGGAATGCAAAAATAATAAAATTTTAAACATTTTTTTTTCTATAATGTATCGATTGAAACCTACTTGTTTTCGACAAACAATTGCTGATTCATTGTATTTTTTCGCAAAAGATTGAGAATGACAAATAGGCAATCCTCGACGACAATGCTATCAAGCGGCTCCGTCGAGATGACGTCCAATAATAAATTAAAAAGATTGTCGTAAGCGAGAAGCTGTTGCACTTGCGAGTTGGACCGACTCAATTCGCAAAGCATCAGAATTGATTCGTTTCGAATGACTTCTCGATTGTCGTGCACAATGTCAACGAGCTTCGAGATTCCCATCGGCTGTCCAAGAACACTAGTTTGAACTTCAGGACCTCGATGACGAAGAAGTGCGGTGAGCAATTGGACGGCAGTTCTAGAGTTGAGAGATTGGCAAAATTTTTTAAAAGCTCTACCTTCGAACATTGAAATCGAATTGATCGATGGCCGAAAGAACGCAGGCAACGAATCCGTTTCGTTTTATCATTACTTCGGCCAATCGTTCGCCCAGCTCGTCCTCTTCCGACGACTCATCATCGGCGCTCAGAACCGCTTGCAGTGTGTCGAGCACAAGAGCCGTCGCGTCTGTATTCAGGCGCTCCTTTTCGAGAATCTCCATGAACGCGTTGAGACCCATCGTGCCGACAGCTAATCGGTATTTCTAAACCGTTTTTTTTTTGATTAAGGACAACACGCGAATTTCGGGGGTTTTTCCAACTTTTGCGAGACTTCGAAGCGCTCGCAGCGCATCGCGACGATCCTCCGGCGCACTGCACGTCTCAACACGCTCGACAAACGTTTCGACAAGCTCGGCGCCGTTTTCCTCTTCATGTTGATCCGATCCGCCTCCGAAGAAATTTCGGAAAAGCGCCATCTGAAAGAAAGGATCAATAAAATGCGACGAGAATTGGACAATAAGGCAACTGACAGCGAAAATTTAATAGCGAATATATGAATTAGACGTGTATTTTTGAAAATATGACATTAAATTGATATGAATGATAAATTTTTGGCGATTTCTTCCAAAAATCAAAAAAACCTGTGGCTGACGTGAATGAATTGTCCGTGGAGCGCATTTGCCCTTTCCACATTTCAAATATTGCGTTGTTGGAATTTGCGAACGTTTTTTCGTGCGACGACGCGGCTCAACGAATTGATGATTCTAAAATAAGCGGAAAATAATTATATTTAAATTTTCGGGTAAAAAATCCCTATAAAAACAGTTAGATGAACTTTTTCCTCAAAAATCTGCATAAGAGAAAAAAACATTATTTTTCTAATTAAAATTTTTTCTTTTTTTTCGCTCCCTTATCCCATTACTATTGATTTTTTTGAATAAACTAAAACTAAAAAAATATTTTAAAATGAATTTTTTTCTTTTAAAAATTAGTTGCCGATCAATTTGAGTGATTCAAATCTTACCCGATAGCGTTGAAGGTAGGCGTTTGAAATGGTTGTGGTGTCACTTGAAAATGATCGAATTGACAATGTCGATCCGGTTGGTGTCGATGAGCATCTTCCATACATCAATGTAAAACAATTATTTTCGATTGATTCACGACTAGCGATATTGATTTTTTTTTGAGAAGGAGCAGAGAAGAAGACGAATCCCGGCAGTGTAATATTAAATGTTGGTTGGTTTGAGCGAAATCATGTCCAATGGTCACCCTGCATATTCATTGCATCGGCGATCGCACAATTTTCGAAACTTGTCGTCACCGCCAAATTTGGGCAAAATGAGAGCTGTGGTCCGAATAATCATTTTATAAATTGGCTCAGTTGCTTCGAAAATTGTCTAATTACATAACAAGGGCGCTCATTTTTGCTGGCCGTTTAAAAATTTCCAATCAATTTTATCTAGGGACCTTCTTGCTCAAATTTCTAGTGGTCCGTCAAATTCTGCGGGCAAATATGAGAAATTGCGATTGGAAAATTTTTTTGAAAATTATTTCTGTCCCTTTTGGAGACCCATTGGTTCTCGCCAATAATTTTACGATTTGGCTGCGTATCGAGCATATGCAAATCTACAGTATACATTAAAGGCGCATGCAGCAAAATTATTTTATAGAGGCTATTAATTTTTTTCACTAAAAAAACACGTAAAAGTGGGCGTGGCCTATTTTTGAAATTTTCCCGCCAATGGGATTATTAAATTGATTTCGTCTGTTTTTGAAGAGAAAAAATCGGCTACGAGGATCAAATCACCGTGAGACCCATCTGCGTCTTTAATTGGGTCTTGCGACGATCAATTCTAGAAGCCATCCCCTGACAAATTTTTCATAAGAAAAATCTAATCCAACAAAAAGGAATTAAAGGCGCATGCAAAAATTGTGGATTTCGAATTTAAAAAGATAGGTTTTTGGGTAGATCAAATTTGTCAGACTTTGGAATTCTCGAAATTTTTCGAAACCTAAAATCGACTATTTTTTTTAATAACAAAAAATTTGAATTTCGCGGGCCGGGTCCCACACCGAATACTTTTGAAAATAATCAAACTACCTGAAATTCATTTCTTTTTTCATTTTTAGGATGATTAAATTGAGCAAATCTCGCTTTCCATACGAGACCCATGGCGGCAATTCAAATATTTTCGACAGCAAATCGGCGAGTGTGGCGCATCCCGGAAAATGTCCGCAGCATGTTTACAATGAAGTTGCTCGATTTCGCCAAATCCGAATGTCTTGAAATAAAAAAGCAAATCTCGCGTTCAGCCGGGTTTTCGGCACGGGACCCAACGGCGGCAATTCAAATATGTTTCAACAGCAAATGTAGCGGATTCGATTCAACGTTTCAAACCTTATTCACGATTTCCCAATCGGCTTTGGTAATCTGTCGGCCGTCATCGCCTTATAATCCCATTTGCATTCGCCACCTCCTCAATGCCGATCGCTTCACGCCGAGGGCGTCGGACTACGGTAGATATTGTGGGCGTGCGCGTCTGGGTCGTCGAATCAATCGAATTCGAGGCGCGCCCCCCCCACCAAGCGTCACTGTTCAACTGTGCGATGCTCAAATTCTCGATCGACGTTCTTTTGGCGTCGCCACCAACACACCAAGCGTCGCCAATTTTTCGCAACGTTTGGAGCGACGCACCAACGCGTACACCAAGTGAAGCAGGTGACTAAAAAAAAACAAAAAAGAAACAATTTGAAATCGCAAATTCCATTTAAGGTAGTTGCGAGGAGGTGCGAAAATTCAATTGCGAGGTTTGCGGCAAACAATTCAACGCACATTATAATTTGACGAGGCATATGCCGGTGCACACCGGCGAGAGGCCCTTCGTTTGCAAGGTCCGTCCATTTTCGACCATCGTGGTCCCACTACTCATTTCAGATTTGCGGGAAAGCGTTTCGTCAAGCTTCAACTCTTTGCCGCCACAAGATCATTCATACAGACAATAAGCCGCACAAGGTGAGCGAGACAAGGGCGGATTATAAAACGATGATCCGATTAGACGTTCGCCTACGGTAGTTCTCCACCTTTTTGTTAGGGACCATTTCGTTTTTAAAGGGAGAAAATTGAAAAAAATTGAGAAAATTTCAATTCAACGGGAAATTTGAAACAACAAAATTCTGAAAACTGATTTGGCTTCTATTTGAGAATTCCATTTTTTTGGAGAATTTAATAAATTTTTGAAACAGTAAATCTCAGAAAACCTTCAATCAAACGGAAATTTGAAACAAAAATAATTTTTTCCAAAAATTCAAAAATTTCCAATTTTGGTATGCGCCTTTAAGGTACGGTAGTTTCGCACAAGTTTGATCGAAAAAAATGAGCAGCCTAAATGGTCCGAATTTTTGCGATGATGATACAATTGTGTAGATCAAATTGTCAGAAAAAAATAATTTTCTATTTTTTTCTTTCTCTGCGTTTCTCCAAAAAAAACCTTCTAAAAATTGAGGCGACCACCGTTTTATCGGAATTTCGCTCTTAATTATATTAATCAATATAAATTTGAGTGTAAAATATGCGGCAAGTGCTTCAATCGCTCGTCGACTTTAAATACCCACACAAGGATTCATCAAGGTTGGTTTCATCGTTTCCAGCTAGTCGCTATTCCTTTTTAGGCTATAAACCATATGTGTGTGAAATTTGTGGAAAAGGATTTCATCAAAATGGCAACTACAAAAATCATCGATTAACACACGAGGAATATAAACAATTCAAATGTCATATTTGTGAAAAGGTATTCAATTTTTCTTTCCAAAAATGATATTCAAGCATTTATTCATTTTATTTTAATTTTTGCGGTTAAAATAATTAAAATTGAAAAAAAATGTAAAAAAAAAATTAAATGTACTGTAGCGCGCGGAAATGTGTGCAAACACCGCGTCGCAAAACAACGTATATGAAATCCCAAAATTTCTTTTTCGAATTTTTCTCAACAATTCTCAATTTTTTCCATTTTTTGTTTGATTTTTTTGCAAAATATCGACTCAATTCCATTTTCCAGGCGTTCCATCAATCATACAATCTCGCATTTCACATGTTCACCCACGACAAGCACAAACCGTTCACGTGCGCCGTCTGCTCGAAAGGATTCTGCCGCAATTTCGATTTGAAGAAACACCATCGAAAAATGCACGCCTAATAAAATCAAGTTCGACGCAACTCTCAAACTTTTTATCAAACAACCCACTCAAGGCTGCTCAAGAAAAAAAACACACACACCCACACTGAGAGAACGTTCGATTTTATTAGTTCGGTCACGCGCCATACCCACCGAAATCGGCTACCGTAGGAACAAGTAGTTTCGACGACCAAATGGCGCCAATTTCTTCTTTTTATCGTCATCACCCACGGATCATTTGGCGTCAAAGCGTGAAACGCTTCAATATTTTTTAAAAATGTTCAAATTCAAAAAAAAAATACAATTTATATGTTAATTGTTCGGATATATCACAAGATTTTAAAGTTGATCAAACTATTTTGAAGTGGTCCCTTTCAAACCCAAAAAAATTATTATGTTGAACATTTCGAAAATCGCGTTCGACAATACCTAAAAAGTCAATTCCATTAAAAGAAGAAGAAGCAAAAAAAAAAACAAAATCCACCATACCTCTCTATTAATGCTTCAAGTGAGTATTTTTTCTCAAAAAAATCGCACAGCGGACCCTCGGCGATTACGGTAGCCATAATTTGCTCCAAGTTCACACGCCATTCGCCGTCAGCAATACTTCAAAAAAAAAAACGGCAATCGAGATTTCCCACAAAATTTTCTTACCACGTTCTCATATCACCAATTCGTTTTCGCTGCTCCTCGATCGGATCGATTTTTCGATCCTCCTCAAATTCCATATCAATTTTGAGCGTCTCATTCGCCTCATCATCATCATCATCAATTGTTTTTAAAGCGTCCGCAATTTGCGCCTCCATCTTCGATTGCAATTCGCGATGCGTCTCGCCGAGTTGAAGAAGCAATGTGCCGGTGACAGCCAGCGAATGGAACACACACTCATCGGTCTCGTTGCCGCCCAGCATATCGTAGAACGTTTTCCACAATTGAATGAATTGAATCTGAAAAAAAATAAATATATATTTCTGTCTTTTGAAGAAGACCAAATTCAATTACTTGTGTCATATCGGGCAATATTTTCAATTCTAGTCGAGTCGAAGACGCCTCAGAAGACATCGTTTTCGCTCGAAGCTGCTTCAGCTTCTCAATTGATTCATCAACAACCGAATAGGAATCTCAAAGAAGACAAAAAAATCGAAATTAATTTCTCAGATCAACGCTCTCTCTCTCTCTCTCTCACCTTCGCTGGCGACTTCAGCCATATGAACGCGGTCTTGCTCGTTCTCCGAATGAATCGATTTGATCGATTTCGCCGTTATCATATCGATCAACGATTCGGCATCCGACGTGCGATCCTCACACGGCGACGATACCAATACGGCGCTCGACGTGCTGCAACGTGTTCGGAGTGAGGCGTCGATCGCCGGATCGGACGACACCCGCCCATGGGGAATATTGATCGACGCCGACGTTTGCGATCGCGCTCGTTTCGGCGATTCCAGCAACGTCGTCGCCTCGGTGGCGATTTCCGTCTCGTCGTCTACAAGCAAAAAACTTTATCAGTGCCAGTTAAAATTGATTTTCAATTCGACAAATGTTTCGAGACCTTCTCGCTAAAGCGCGCGTGTGCCTTTAAAAATTTTCGAACGAGGACAAAAAAGAATGTGTCAAAAATCACCTCTCGTCTCGCTATTCAATCGACACGCGTCGAGCTCATCGAGATCGGAAAAATTGAACGCCGGCGGCAAGTGGCACTTGTAGAACAACGCCAACTTCTCGGTGGCCTCGCCGCGAAGCAGAATCGATAGAGTGACGGCAAGATCGCGAAACGTCAACAAACCGCTATCCAATATGTCGAGAAGCTGAACAACTCATGATGGCATTCAAAAAAGACACCCAAAAAACAAGAAGCAAAATCGACGTACCCGAAAAACGCGGACCACAAAAATGTCCGAAACTTGCCACGGCAAGAGGCGCGGAAAAACCTGCGCGAATAGATCGTAATCGAGCCTTAAAAATCAGAATTTCAAAAAAAAAAAATTTCGTTTTTTTAATGTCCAATACCTGTACTGCGATTGCGCACACGGATCCGGACGCGGTCGTTCGGTGAGCGTCGCCATTTTGCCAAACGCGCTGGCGCCCAATCGATGGCGCCATGAAAGCAAATGCTCCTCCTGAATCAAATCATCACGCGCTTCCAAAAATAGTTCATTGAGGCAGCCGGGAAACAAAAAAAAAGAAGAAGAAGGAGAAGAAGAGGTGGTGATCAATTAAACGCGCCCGGTTTGTTCGCTTGAAGCGACCGAGAGAAAGGATATCGAAAAAGGAAAATTCGACCGACAATTGTGATAGCAAAATTGAGAACACATTAAAATTCGACATCCTTTCGAACATTTTTGGGTTTCATGCAGATTTTTTTTTTGAACAAAAAAATTCTCGTTTTTATAAATATTTTTTCGTGGTTTTGTACGCAAACACACCGCCGCAATTTTGCACACATTTCATTTCTAATCTATTTTTATTTCCAGGCAACGTCTAGTCGAGTAAACATAACCGCATTAAAAAACTAGAGAAGCAACTTTCACTTGACCTCTATTGCGAGACGAGTTGCAAAACGAAAAAAAAAACGAAACCACGAAGAGCGAAGCGATGCACGCCATTCGCGGCATGTTGCTGATCAGCTGGCTGGCGGTGTTCGTCGGCGCGTGCATTCGAATGGTGCCCGGCGAGACGGCCGGATTGAATCCGTTCGTCGGACGCGAGCCGTCCATCGAACAACACCGACGGGTGTTCGAGGAATCGAAAAAATCGTTGAGGCCGCATCACGACGAGCCAAAGAAAGCTGAGCAAAACGCCATCGAGCCACCCAAGAGGACGCCGCCAAAAGCGTTTGGCGCGCCAACGAAAAACGATGTTGAAGGCTCCGGCGAGGCTTTATCAGAACTTCATCGCAATTCGATTTGGACGTCGAAAGAGACGAGTGAGTCGCGATTTTGAGAAAAAAAAAACTGAAAACTCAACCCATTTTTAGACATTTGTGATTCATGCCCGGAAATATGGATGAACTCGGAAACGCCGATGAGCAATTTGTGTTCGAATCATAAATCGATTGTCGACAATTTCACGATGGACGTCGACACGAGGAAGCCGACTACCGTCGATGATACGAATGACGCCATCGAGTGCACACGACAAACGTTCTGCACCGAGCCATACATGTTGGTCAAGTGAGTCAATCAATCAATTTGGGTTTTTTTTAAGAGAGAGAGAGAGAGATGGCGCCTATTACAATATTTGATCTACACAATTTTTCAATTTTTCGGCAAGCTTATAAATAGTTAAAGGAAGGTATACACTATTTTGCATCATGCGCCTTTAAAACAATTCTAGAAACTCCACATATTTAGAGAATTAAACAAATCGTTTGAATTTGAGGAGCGCAATTTTTGGCTGCGTATCAAGCACATAAATAATTAAAGGAGGGTGCGAAATGGGCAAAAAATGAATGACCAATACTATTTTGCATTATGCGCCTTTAAGGAATTTCTAGAAACTCTGAATATTTAGAAAAAATCGTTTCATTTTGTGGAGCGCAATTCTAAAAAATGAGACTAGTGTGTTAGTGCGTCGCGGTGTTTGCACAAATTTTCAAAAAAAAAAAAACATTTTCAATTTCTCCAAAACAAACTGGAACGCATTGTCCGTGTGGAGTACACAACAACTAGTAGATCAAAACTCCGAAAAGCGAAATCCAACAAATTTCTAGATGGGCCGATTCGGACCTTTGCGACGTCCATTCAAAAACCCATAACGATCAATCTCGCACGTTCACCTACAATTGCAATGGGACCCATTGGTTCATGCAAGGGTTCCCAATTGAAAGTGTCGTATGCGCCCGTCAATTATAAGCGATTCGATGGAAAACAAAAAAGAATGTATAAATAATAATTAATAATTAATAATATTATAATAAATCTTATGGTATTTAAAAAATAATTATTGTCTCTAAATGCCAAAAATTCAAGAAGAGGTCTCAAGGCGCGGTGTGCGCCTTTAACTTGCCAATTTTTTTTTGAATTTTCGCGCCGCTGCTGTGCGGGCGCAAACAACGGAATGTCGTAAACGCCCTCGTTTTATTTCTACTCATTTTTACTCTCCAACATTTTTCCGTTAAAATATTTTCACCTTCTCAAGCGGGAATTTAAAATGAGTCAATTTGTCACAAAAAATCATATTCAATAGCGAAATCGACAATTTTTTTTGGAAATTCCCCATTTTCACCAGCTCTTTCTGAAAGTCAATAAAAAAAAACCAAAGCCTTCGTTGGCCCCGTAAATCGACACCTTCAATTTTGTGTCAAGACCACTTTTTTTTCGGAATTTTGAGCAAAAGCCGTTTGAAATTTTCAAAAAAAAAAAAAGAAGTTACCTTCACCACATTGTACAGCGCTTCAAGTTCGCCGTTGGTAAATTTGCATTCTTTGCCGATACTCTTTATGATGCTCCTCATTTGATTGTCCTCGAGACTCTGCACAACTTTCAGGCGATGCTTCAAACGAAGCGACTCGATGTGCTCATTGGTGAACGCGTAGCCGAAATTCGAATAGGATTTCGCGAGGAGTTCGCCAATCGGTATCTGAGAACGCAAATTTCCGGCAATTTTTGAGTTGAGAAACGCCTTTCATATTGAACAAAACGACAAAATGATACCTTGGTTTGCGGCTTCGACGCATTTGGGCGTATCATTGACATTATCGACGACGTCGCCTCTTCAATATCCATAAAAATGCCGGTTGACAACGACATGTCCGCATCTTCCCTTCAAATTCAAAATTCCAATCCATATCTTGTCGGCGTCAAACGTCTAAAACGATGCGGGACCATCAAATTCACGAACCCTCAGTGAATATTTCATCGTTGAGGTGCAATAATAAATGCGCGTACGCTCTGATGCAATGTACGTAATCTCGCGTACGCCTCGCAGGCCATAACTTTTTTTTCACAAAAAATTATTGGCTATGCGCCAGTGCGTCTTAGCGTACGCGAGATCACGTACATTGCATCAAAGCGTACGCGCATTTAATATTGCAGCCCAACGATGAATCGTAATATTCACTGAGGGAATTTTATGGTCCCGCATCGTTTTAGTCGTTTGACACCGACAAAACATTTTGTGAAATTTGGTCAACGAAAATTTCATTTTTTTGATATTCAAGAAAATTCCATAAAAATTGTGGCATTCGCAAAAAACTATTTTGGAAAAAAAAATTCCGCAAACCCCTATGACAATTTCAAAAAAAAACTAGTTTACCCCCCCCCCTTAAAATCTTCCTAGACACCATTAAAGGCGCACAACGGCGAAAAATCAATGGAGCCCACCTCTCATCAGCGTCGCCCTCGTGTATCATTTCGGTATATTTCGTCAGACTCATCAAAATCTCGCCGTCATCTTTCGAATTGCCGATGAGATGCTCGTTCTCCTTCAACATTTCGAGAGCCACTTGAAACATTAACTAAAAAAAATGAAAACAATAATAATAATCTCTGCATTTCATTCTCATCGCTCACCCGGGCGCCTTCGAAAAAGAACAAGTCGAGAATGCGAACGGCGGCGTCGAATTTGATGGCCGACAAAAATATTGTCAAAAACCACGACAACGCGACCATGTCGTCGAGGCCGAGTCGCGTCAATTGAGCGGCGACCGACGGTAGGAATCGTTCGACGAGCTCCGAAAAAACGCCTAGACCAAAGAAAAAAAAACCATATATGTAGTATATACCAGGATTGGGCGGCAATCGGAAATTTCGCCTATTAAATTTTTTTCAACGATAAATCGAAATATTGATACCGAATTTCAAATTATGCAATTTTGTTTGGCCGAGTTTTTTTTTTGACATCAAATTGCCGAAAATAAAAATTTTTTTTGGGTAACTTTGTCAAAATTTTTAAATTCCGATTTCAAAAATTGAATTCAGCGCTGAAAAAAAAAATACAAATGCGTAGCAATTTTCATACAAAAATTGGCCAAAAATTTTTAATTCAATAATTTTGAAAATATCAATAGGAGAATTGCTGAACATATATGTATTTCTTAGCGCTGAATTCAATTTTGAAATCAGAATTTGAAAATTTTCACAATTGACAAAGTTACCCACCCAAAAGCAGGGTTGTGGGTGGCTTTATAAACGTGAAATGCACATATATCAATTTTGTTTGATTTCTACAGAAATTTCGGGATTTCACTTCAGAAGAGAAAAAAAAAATGATGGATCCGTTATAATTGAAAATTCTTTTTAAATTATTCTTTCGAAACTGCCCAAATTCTTTTTTTAAACATTTACGAGAAACAATTTTACAAAAAAAAAATGGAACTATGAGAAATGCTCAAGCAAAACTCTCTAAAAAACAATTCCGATGCGTTTCTTTTTCAGGCTAATCGTAAAGCTCAAAGGGTCAAAATTACCAAGATTCTAATCCTAGGTGCATTTTTTTGGAATTTAAATTATTTACGGGGGATGCGTCTTTCTCTTGGTCTCGCACCGAACTAACAAATTCGATAATTTTGAAATCGAGCGACGTTGGAAATTCAAGAAAAAATTAAGCGTTCAAGCGTGGCGAGACCTTTTCAAGGCGCATGCGCGTAAATCTACCCGGGTCGTCGGAATTTTTTAACGATTTCTGATACTCGATGAACATTTTTTTAAACTTTAAACAATGGTTAGACATATGTCAATAATAATAATAATAATAGCTTCAAACGGAATTGCTTTTTCTATTCCAATATAGGGAAACTTGAAATTTCAGTTCTGGATAATTTTCGCCCCCACTTTCGATTTTCAGGAAAAATTCTCATAATCTCAAAAATCAACCTTGATCGACCAGCGCGCCAACCACTTTCGTGTTGTAATAATCCGGCAGAAGGCGCTCGCAGACCGCCACGAGAAGCCAAAACGCTTCTTCCTCGCTGGCGAACAGCAGAAGCACCGAGCCGACAATGTTCATCGCTTGACAATAGCCGATGTTCGGATTTCGAAACGCGTAGGCCGTCAGAATTCGACGAAGCGAATCGATGCCGGGACCCTGTTGAAACGCCGGATGCTCGGGAAGACTTCTGAAGAGTGAGAGAGAAAGAGAGAGATCAACAATTTTTTTTTCAATGGACCTATTCATTCAAGTTTAAAAAAAAATGTAAAAATGATGCAAATATTCTACATTTTTTTTTGAATAGGTCCATTATAATGGTCCCAACCTATGAAGGTCCCGTTCAATTTCTTCCAGCGCCACACTAAACACGCCCTCATTCTTCTGAAGAAGTTGCCTATAGTAATTCGGGTTCAATTTCATTTCGGCGGCCGCGCCCGAACAAATCATCCAAATCTGTAAGAAGGACGTCGAAACCCGCCTCTCACCACGGATTCAACTCAACCTCGCCGCGTAGTTGAAGTGGAACGCCTTCAAGAAGAAGTCGATGAAGCTCAATCGTTCGGTACATACAAACACCGCTTCCGTACTCCTAGAATTGTCAGAATTTTTGCTCGATTAGGCCCGAATGAATGGTTTTTTTTTGTCTGAAAATCGAAACCTGCAAGTAGGCCGTCCATTTCGCTTTGCATTTCTCGGCCGCATCAGCGCCAAACGGAAATTTTTCGATAAGCGGATACTCGCAAATTGATGAATCCAATGATGACGACGACGATGATGATGATGAATGCTAGAAGAAAAAAAATTTAAGCAGGTCTCAAATTCAAAAGTCACCAAAATTCGAATAAGTCACTTTTTTAGCATAATCATTTCAGTGATGACAATTTGCACAAACCAAAAATTTTGAATTTGGCACAAAAAATGTTTTTTTCGTTTTGAGCATTCATTTCCAGCATTTAATGCCAATTTTCCGCAATTATTATCAAAAAAAAATCGAAATCGATTGGTCTACATGTTCCTTTAAACGCCTACAGTAATTTTTATTTCCAAATAGGAATACTAAATAAATCCAACCACCCTCAGTTTCGATATATCCAATATTTCGAAATCAATTTGCTCTCTTTTTTGAATAATTACAGAAAAAAGAAAAAACCGTAAAAGGCGATTCCCCAACCCCTCCGAAAATCCGCATCAATAAATTCCCAACGAGACCCTTTTTCAAATCATTCGACAACGCATGTTCTGAAAATTCGCGTCAAATTCGATGTTTGACGCAAAATTTCGAAATTTTCGTTCTAATTTGGGGAGGCGACAGAGTTGGGGGCGGAAATTCCGGACAAGTCTCGTCCACAGATCACCGCCTGACTGACCGTATTCATTCGAATTTTGACGCGCTCCAAATACGCGGCAATTTTCGCGACAACTCGATCGCGATCCGGAACCGCCGAGAACACAACCGTCGCACGATTCGCTAGGCAAAACAGAATTCCGCGCGTCGTTTGCGATGACGACGACGACGCCGCCGGCGTCCATTTCTCCATCGACACCACTTCGACAAGCGGCAAAATGATTGAGACCAATCGTTCCGTCTAAACGTCAACATTTTCATTTTCTTTTTTCGGCGCCCAAAAAAATCGCCTACCCGACTCGCGAAGCACACAAAATTCGATGAGACGAACAATCGTCCGGCGACATGTCGGCGATCATACGGCGTGAATAGGCGGCATTCTGTGTCGCCGTCGAGTTTCTCGCTGAGCGGCAAATTGAATTGACATCTGAAATCATAATAATATAATTTCGGCTTCAAACAACTGAAATGAGGAGGGGCCTTCAAATTCGTGAAATTAGTGTAGGTTTAAATTTGTCGTTGACTGCAATACTAAATGCGCGTACGCTATAATGCAACGTACGCAGTTTTGCGTACGTCTCGCTGCCGCATTGGCACATAGTCAATAATTTTTTTAAAATTTCAACTAGACGTTTGATTCCGAAGATACACATATAAGATCCATCTGGATGTGTTTGATTTTTTTCTCAGCGTTTTGAGAGACTGTGTAGGGAAGAAGAAGCACACAGCAAAACACATCGCGTCAAGAGCGGAATCGAACCCACGACCTTAACGCTTCAGAGTTCAAAATTTCCAGCACTGCGCTATTGCGCCAGAAAACAGCGATGTCGACTGGAACATATAATGAATGATGTCGAGATGTGCGAAAAGCGTTTGGCCGGCATGTGAAGCTCATAAAAAAAATCGCAGTGTGTGAACCCCCCGTTCAATTTTCTTCAAAAACAAAACTCAAACCCATTTTTCTCTTTGCATTTCGTTTCAGCAAACTTAATTCAATAAAGCATTTATTTAGAAAAGGATTATTTGAAACGTCGGCTTATTGTGTATGTCTGTGGCTTTTCAACTATATTGACCCAAACATTTTCAAAAATTTTTTTTCAAACCTCATAATTAGCCGGCTTATTCAGCGGAAATTGACAGAAAAAAAAGAAGAGGAAGAAAACAAAGAATTATTGAGAAAAATGCCACTCCATTTTGACTTATTATTGTTTGTTTTTTTTCGCCGATTTCAGAATGCCACCAAAAACAAAACAATTCTGCTGTAAATTTGTTTCAAATTGGCATTTTTTTTTCTTCTAAAATCAAAAATTTGGCTCAATTCTCTGCATTTACGCGTCTAAATTCGCGAATTTGTTGATCTACCACCGATTTTTGCGAAATCGAATTTCCTCCGCCACTGATTAGTCAATAAGCTGTGATCAATTTAAAGGGGGAAAAAATTTTTTGGCGCAAAATCAACAGATTCTCGCATGCGCCTTTAATGCCAATCAATGGATAATCCCAAGAGAGCCCCTTAAAGACAATATTCATAGAGATCCCAATTTTTTTCCAGACAAATCCAGCCGCCAACAAAATGGATGGCGTCGAGAATCTCGACAACACACCAATAATTTCCAACGATCGCCATGATGCCAATGACAGCGTTGGCGTCATTCGATTGGAGAACAATAATAAAAGAGGTGGGTGAGAAAAAGAATTTTCGGGAAGAAAAATTTCAATTTTTTTTAGAAATTAATTTTCTTTCACTAAAATGTCAAAAAAATTTCATTTTTTTGCTAATTAATATTTTAAGCCATTTTAAGAATTTTTCGAAATATTTTGTTTCAAAATGACCAAAATGCCTCTGAATCGAAATTTTTTGCAATCCGAAAATCGGACAATTCAGAATGCAATCCGAAAATCGGACATTTCTCCAAACCTTTTCTTTTTCAATCCGGAATTTCGGAGAAAAAATTGGCACCAAAAAAAAACAACAATTTCGAGATGATCTTTATTAAAAATATTAAAAAAAAAAACATTCAATTCATACACAATTTCAATTAATTTCGGCGAGGAAAATAATGCAAACTTCTTTCGCGCCGTCGGGACGCGTCAATTGCCAATTCACCTGAATTTGCTCGCCTTTGGGATGCGTGTCGGTGATCGCAATCGATTGCTCGAACACTTGCTTCTCGCCGGCCTTCACCGGACACTTGACACCAAAATTGCACGCGTTGTTGTCGCTCTGCGGGAATTGCACCATCGTGCTCATGCCGACTTTCGCGCGCACCGCGTTGTTGAGGCTCGCCGCGTCGATCGACGGCTGGAAGTGGATTCGAATCACCGGCGTCGTGCCAACCTTGAACACGCACACTTTGCGGCCGTCGCGCATCTGCTGATCGCATCCGTCGGCTTCAACGTTCGAAACGACGCCATCCGATTTGCACGCCTTGTAGCCGATGGTGACAAATTCGGCAAACGCGAAAGCGACGAGAATAGTCAATAGGAGAACGCACCTCATGGTGAATGATGGAGCTCGATTGAAATGAGACGAGCTCCGGCCAATCGGCATCAGCGGCGAGCTCGAACAGTTGGCTCGGCGAGCCCCATCAAAAATTTGAGAAACAGTGGCATCGCATCGCTCGTTGAAACATTACAACACAAAAATCAACGCTCTTTTTTGTTTCATCGAAAATAACAACGTGTGCAAAATGATACTTCAATGATCATATTTTTTTCTTGCATTTAATTCTTTGCAGAGCACACCATATGGATTCCAGACGAGTATTGCCAATTGGTGAGCGACATGAGAAAAGCTCAACTAATCAAAAATAATAAGGTACTGCGAATTTTTGGATTGCGGGGGCGGGAGGGTCTCGAATGGAAAAAAAAAACAAAACTATTTCGAAAGAGAGTTTCCCGAACGTTTTTTTTTCAAAAAAAAAAACGAAATTCAAATTTTGTTTCTCTTTTCCACATTCAAAAACAATAACGGATGGCAATAAATTGGTATACGCCACGTTGTCTCGAGTCCGTGTGGAGTACACAACGCGCGTCTCGAGACCATCTCATGGTATTTAGACAATTTGTCACGCAGACAATATTTATTAATAAAATCAAAAAAAAATTCATTAGGGACCTTCTCTGGAAAAAAAAACCAAGCGGATCCGTCCAAATTCGGCTCAACCTTATCCGATTGAAAATTTGACGGATCGGATCCGATTGGTTATTATTCAAATGCGACAAATTACCAATCGAATCCGACATCTTCACAACATAATCCGTAGATCGGATCGCATTGATCATACTTGCAACGGGGCGGATCATGATGAAAATTTTACCGATAGATTTTTAAAATTAATTCTACTCAAAATAATGCAATTCGAAATTCTTATTACGCTAAACAAAGACGTCGCTGTAAACTTGGAGTGTCGTTGCCCGCTATCGACCCGGAAATTTGCAAGTATGGGATTGATTCCTTGTTTCGGATCCCACTGGTTTCTAGTTGCCAGAGATCAGAATTGAGATCCATGATGGGCACTGTAAGCCACTTCCACGACCAACCCAATCATTTGGCCCTTCTTCAATGACAAGACCATTCTGATTTTTTTCAGTTCTGATTGGACTAGGCCAGAATTTTAAAAGACACTTGAATTCAATAAATCGAAACCGCCACCCCGAAAAATTAAATAAAGAGTGTGGATCAATGCGAGAACGCAGAGAAAAAAGATGGCGACCTGTAAGAAGAGAAACAAAGAAAAAAAAATGGGGCGTCAACTATAGATCGAGCGAGAGTGAGAGGGTGCTAGACAACAAGACATATCATTAGGGCACGTTTGTTGCCAAAATTTACAGTTCCAATTTCAGATCAACCTTCTAACAACCTACAAAAACTCGTTCAAAGGCGAAGAGCTCATCGAATGGCTAATGCGCGAAAAGAATATCAGTTGGGTGCTCACATTTATTTCCATTTTTAGCCCCCCAAAAAAAATTTTTCCGGCCGGCCTTTTTTTATTGTTCGCCAGCGTGCAATAACAAAAAAAAAAGAAAGAATCAAACCATACAACAACGCATATATTATAAACTGTTCGCCATTTCCTCGTTCTTTTATTTTTTTGTTAATGTTTCGCTCATTCTCTCTCTCTCTCGATTTCTTTCTTTCTCTATGTAACAAGCGTTCGGTCGCCCTCTCAAATTCAAAACAAAAAAAAATCGTCGGCTGTTTTTTTTTCTTCGTTGAAAATGGATTGATTAGATAACATTTATACGCATCACAGTCCCGGCCAAAAGAAAAAAAAAAGAACTTCGTCGATCTTCAAATTGATAATGAACGAAATCGAGTGTCTCTCACATCACACCAAAAAAAAACCCGCCGATGGCGCGTCAGCTACCGATTCATCGCAAAAATTCCAATTTCCACGAGTTTCCAATCATCGCCTCGTCGGACCAATTCGATTATGAGTCGGATCCCGATGAGCACGAATGGAAATTTCCATGCTTCAATGATTCGATTGCGAGCCCAACATTTTCCAGCGAATTTTTCGGTAAAGCAATATCAATAAACGCAAAAACCATCTAGTTTTTTACATTATTTGATTTTCTGCTAAAAATCCAATTTTTCACCTTCTCCAGAACGCTCTGAAGCATTGGAATTCAGCCAAGAGCTTATCGATCGCCACGTCGGAAAACAGACATCAAAAGAAGCGGGAATGACGTTCAGTCCGGATCGGTAAAATGAATTTAAAAAAAAACACCTATTTCTGTTTTCTCCAGATACTACCAATTAGTTGAGGACGACGAGAATAAACCATTGAACGCGAATCTCGATGACGACGACACTCAACGACGATTCGACATCGTCGAGTGCAACGCGAAGTTGGCCCAACTTTTGGAGGACGTCTACATTGATATTCTAGACGACGACAATCGTGTGCGTGTGTCATTTGCGATTAAAAAAAACCAAACAAACAAAAATCGCCAATTTTTTTTGCAGTCAATCGTTTACCAAAACCTTCAATTCAACGCGAATTTCAACAATTACGCACAATTCGCGCGCCAACTCAAATATCTCGATTTGACGTCATCGACATCGTCAATCGATGAGCGTCTCGCGTTTTTCGTCAACATCTACAATATCATGCTGATACATATGACGCTCAAATGTGGACCGCCGCAAAGTATTTGGCAGCGAAGGAAGGCAGGCAATTTTGCCAGTGGTGTCGAAATGACAGGGTCCCTTCCAGCCCGCTCCCCCCCCCCACTGACCTTGAATTGCTATCAATTGTGGGGCAGAAATTGTCCGCAGAATGTTTAGAATGAAACAGTTAGCTATTTTTGATCTTTGCGCGAATACAACAAATTTTTCGCATGCGCCTTTGATGTTTACTGTAATTTTCCTTACTAGATCAAATCGAAAAATGATTTAAAGACCATGGTGCGAAAACTTGAATAATAAGTAAATTCTTCCCTCGACAATTTATTGGCGATTTTTTCTCATCAAATCTACGAAACTTCTGAAATGTCTCTAGAAATCCCCCGATACGCGCAAAAGCTTAGTCTGAAATTTATTTCAGATTTTCTATAGGAACTTCATTCACCTACACATTTTGTAAATGCGCTTTCATATCCAGAATTTATTCTCATTGCCCAACATGCACCGATGGTTGAGTGGAAAGTATCTGAGCTATGGCGCATTTTTGTGCGGGCTCGACCCCCACCCAACTTCACAATTTTTTCGCAAGCATATTTCGGGCCGGGAGGGGGGGGGTTGCCTTAATTTCGACAACCCTGGACAATTCGATGAAACATTTTTTGAGTCAAACTCCAATGTGTCGCGTTTTAGCTGGTCAACAGCACCTATTATCAAATCGGCGATCACAAGTACGCTCTGCATTCGGTGATGAACGGCATTCTTCGCGGCAACCGAAAAGGTCCCGGCATGTTGTGGAAGGCGTTCGGCAAACACGACGGCCGCCTCGTGTTGGCGCTACCCCAATGCGAGCCGCTTGTGCATTTCGCCGTCATCACCGGCTCGAAGACCACACCGCCGCTTCGCGTCTACTCATCAAAGGTATTTGAGTGGACGAAAAAAAAATCAGAAAATCAATTAAGCTCGAGAAAAAATTGACATTTTTTTCACGAAATCTACAAGATTCCACAACGGGAAAAAAATTGACAAATTTTTAAGCAAAAAAAGGACCATTAGAAAAAATAGTAAAACACTTAAAATCTCAAAAAAAAAAGAAAAGCCACAATAAAAATTTACTAAAAAAAAAGAATTAACTTGTTCAAAAAGGAACATTTTTTAACACCAATTCTGACGATTTCCGAGAAAATGCAAGAAATTTAAAAAAAAAAAAAGGCTGAATTTCGCTAAAAATCGACTATGTGGTGGTCGATTTACGGGTATTTTTATGGTCTCGACGCGCAAATTTTTTTGCTGACGTCTCAGCTAATCCGCACGAGACCCCAATTTCAAAGAAAAAAAGAAAATTGACAGGTTTTGGTTCGAAATTTTCTAGCGTAGCGTTTCGATTTTTCGGGACCAATTCGAAAACCGCAAATTGAAACCAAAAAAAAATATGCAGCGAACAAATTCAGAATATCTATCGCGAGCTTCGCGACAACGCCAAATCAACACTTCTGTTCGGCGACAAATATTTGCGGGTTGACATTAAAAAGAATGTGATACATCTCGGCAAAACGTTCAAATGGTATTGCGAAGATTTTGGCGGCACCAAAGAGAAAATGATTCAATGGATTCTCGAGATTCTCGATGATGATGATTCCGACAAAAAGCACAATTTGGAGCGTTTATATTTCACTGGCGATTATTCTGTCGAATATATTCCGTTCGACTGGTCGACTAATGGAAAAGGCCACAATTCAAAGGTTAGGAGGCATTTTTTGCTCCTTTTTAATAATTTTTTGCATTTAGGACGGAAAATTGGAAAGCGAAAAGAAGACGAATAGCTTATAATTATCAAAAATCCTACCTGTAGGCGTCGCTTCGGTACCGCGCATCGAGATCGCGTTTGAGAAATGAGCTTTTCGTTTTTTTCGTTCGCGTATTCTCGCTTTCCATCAACATTTTTCGTCGAAGCGAGATGTCCTCGCAAAATCCTTCCTCTTCGATTAACCTGAACTTTTATGAGCATATATATATTTTTTTCCGATTTGGGTCTTGAATGGAAATTTTTGCATTCTAATACTTTTATGATATGAAGAGCACCATTTCAAATGGGCAACTCGGCGAAATAAAATCGCTTACTGTTTCATGGCAATATTTGCCAATTGTGTGGCTAATTGAAACGTTTCCTCAAAATTCATGAACATCGAGAACGTGTACTTCTTCTCCTCTTTCGTCACAATCAGCAAACTCTGCGGAAGCAAAATCGACGAGACGCGCTCGAGCCGCTGAAAAACATGATCAATCATGCTGGACAATGAATTATCGCCGGCGCTTACACAAATATCGGTCCATTTAATTTTAATGATCGTCTCATTTCCAATAATGAACGAGTAGAAGCAGAGAAAATTGACAGAAAAGAATATGTCTCCCTGATTCGGCACTTTTCCTTTCCAATAGCAACATTTATAATCTGGAGTGTGGAAATTAAAATGAAAAAAAAACTCCCGATGATGGCTTACAATTTACAAGCTTCTCGTCAGATGGAATTGTGAATAATTTGTGAAATCGATCAAGACAACTTCGCGTTGAAACGTGATCTAATTCTTCTAAACTATTCTATTAATTAAAATTCAACCAAAATTAAATACCTGAATGAATGGGCACATTTTCGGTAGAGCAACTAATAAGGCTTTCAATTTTTCCGATTATGAATTTTCGAATGTCCTTTTCGCATGAAATACCATCTGCCAATAAATATTGATTGAATTGAGACGCGAAGGGACATACCAATAGCTGGGGCAATTCTTTTTTGAATGTAATCCCAATGTTCATCGATTTCTCTTTTTTCAACAGCCACAGCCAATACTAGAAATTGTATTTATTTGAATAGGTTCAACGAAAAATCATACCAATTGAAATATGTACATCATCGTTATCAAAATCGTATATTATTCTGAACGGCGGCGGCCTTGTGTCAAAAACTGAGTCGATTGTGGCAACCAATAACGCCGATAAACCGCGTGTTCCTTGCCCTTTTCTTCTTTGCAATTTGAAATATTTACTAGACGTTTCACACGTCCTGAAAAATAAATCAAAATTTTATTAACAAATCGCACCATTATTTTTTTTACCAAAATGATTGTGCAAGAATAAGATGTTCGGGTTTGACCCAAACCATAATGAAAATCCTGAAAAAAAATTGAATGACTAAAATATTACTAAAAAGCGTCAGAAATTGAATATTCCTTGGAATAATTGATGGAAATTTGATTTGCTGGAAAATGCGGAAAATAATAAAATGTGATTGATGCAATGACGCTCTACCGTACAATTAGTTTGGCGTTGTTTTTTCTGCAATTTATGCCTGGTCTCGATTCGCACCTGTCAGAATCTCTGTTTTAATTAACTATAATATTTTATACATATAATTCACACTCATAATGAGATATCAGAAAATTTGTGGGAAAAGAAAATCCAAGTGAATGTTCAGGTATAGCTTTGTCTCCGGTTAACACAACTTCTATATATAATATCAGATGAAGAACCGATGTCAAAAAAATGTTTTTAATTTGATGCGTACAGTCTCAGAAAATTGCATTTTGTTGCCCAATAAAATCAAAATGTGGGAATCTCAAAAATTTCATTAAAAAATGTTTCTTTTCAATAATTCCAAACTGTTTGAGACTAGCTTTATTTGATAAATTTTCCTTCCAACGATGATATAATCAAATGACTGTGAGTCTCACAATTATCTCAAACACTTTTCAGAGTTCTGAACGTATGTTCTGAAGTTCGGCGTCGCCGTGTTGGCACACATTATGTCACGCGCGGGCGATTAAACTGATAACTTGAAAAAAAAAATAAATTGATTCCCTCAACATTTGTGTTTCTCGCTTCTACGGATCAACATATCGCTATCTATTGGTATTTTTTGTAAAATTTGTGAAATTCGGTTTTGAGTTATCATAATATTGCTTTCAATTGTGGTTTTCAGCGATTTTTGCCTGCTAATGAATATTAGAAAGAAAAATCAAAATTTTAAGTTCGTAATTTCTTATTTCATTCATAAATTCATTTAGTATATTTTTGTTTGATAATTCAACCTTCAAAAAAATATAATAGCCTAGATCTTTATGCATATTCAAATTTAATGATATACGAAGGTTTCCATAAATTGTGCGAAATAACAAACATTATTTATTTGAAACAACGAGCGAAACCGGTAAATATTCAACAAATCCATCTAAAATTTGTTCAATAATTATCCAATTCTCATTAAAGTCCCCAAATTGCAGTTGTCGCACGCCAAGGGGTACTCATTGGGGACTTGAATAAATTCATCAGGCTCGTTGCTCATTCGCTTTCCAATTCTCATCATATTTGATAAACTTGCTCGTTTGGGAGATGGCTGGTTGTAGCTGAATAGCTTTATTAGGAAAAACCCCCAACAAGACAAAAAAATACCTTCTCAATCTTGGATCAAATGCATTTATTGTAATAATAAGAATAAAAAAGATAATATATGAGAGATGCATTTCTCGAAAGGATCGTTTCGCTTTGAATAAACTTCGTCGTCAATTTTCCCATATTTATACTGGTAATTTTATAGTATAATTATAATAAAGTCGCAATGAGTAAATTAAGCCAATTATCGATGTCATTAATGAATTTAATTGCGCGCGCCATACGTCATTAATATAGATATTTTTGTTTATCCACAGAGAGCATCATGGATAATCGAGTGCAACGCATTTGCCAAGGATTTGAGCCGATTCGAAATGGGCTCGATGAAAACTTTTTGTTGACGAAATTGACGGCGATGAAGGGTTGCGGATGTAAAGTTCCTAGAGATGTAATTGATTTTTTAAAAGTTGCAAACCGATAGAAAATTGAATTGCAGGTTCTTTTGAATCTTTTGGAGACGTTTAAAACCGATTTAGTGATCAACAATGATGAAATTGGTTGGTTCGTAGGCTTCTCCGATTTTTTTAAAACTGAAATTTAAGATATTGGACTTGATAGTTGTGTGGTTCCATTAAGGCATAAAGGCCTTCGCCTTGTTCAGACAACCGACTTCTTTTATCCATTAGTGGACGATCCATATATAATGGTACGATTGATTTAAAAAAATAGTTCCAATTAAATAAAAAAGAATAAATCTAATGTAATTAGATTAGGCATTTTTGTAAAATTTTCATTATAAATTTTTGAAAAAAAATTATCCAGCAGATTTGGCTCGCGATTTTTGGCTTTAAAACATTTAAATGACTAAAATTGACCATTTTTGGTCTCACATTCCTTTTTTTCTCATTAATTCAATATTTAGGGTCGAATTACTTGCGCGAATGTTTTATCGGATTTGTATGCAATGGGAATATCGGAATGCGATAATATGCTAATGCTTCTTGGTGTCGCTGTTGATTTGAACGAAACCGAGAGGAACGTCATCGTTCGAATGTTCATTGAAGGATTCAAAGTTTGGCGATCGCGTTGATCGAGTCGCGAATTGGCAAATTTAGGATGCCGCCAGCGAGGCGGACACAAAAATTCGCGGCGGTCAAACGGTTCGCTGCCCGTGGCTTCTTCTTGGCGGCGTCGCCACTTCAGTAGCGCATGAGAGCGAGATAATCAATGTGGATCAAGCGGCGATTGGCGACGTTCTCGTGCTCACGAAACCAATCGGCGGTCAGGTCGCCGTCAATTCATACGAATGGCTTCAGAAGCGAAATGGGAAAGTCGACGAGTTGAAGTTGGACGAATCGAGAATTCGCAAGGCGTTTCGGCAGACTTGCGAGCAGATGAGTCGACTCAACAGGTATTTTCGAGTAGAAAATTGTTCAAGCCGCTTTTTTTGTTTGGCTTCTCAGAAACGCCGCTCGATTATTGCACAAATTCGACGCGCACTCGTCGACCGACGTCACCGGCTTCGGCATTTTGGGGCACGCCGAAAATTTGGCGCGAGTTCAAAAAGCGGCCGTCGAGTTTCTCATCGAAACATTGCCAATCATTGAGTATATGGACGAGATATCGGCGAGATTGATTGAAAATGGCGGCGAGGGATTTCGATTGTTTCAGGTTTTGTGCGAATTTTCAAGTTTGGTGTACAAAAAAAATTTTTCGATTATTTTTTTCCTTCAGCAAATGTCAAATTAATGGAGAAAATTAAAAAAAAAAGTGATTTTCCGAATATTTTTCACGAAAAAAAGTATTTTGAATCGCGCCGACACGAATTGGGTCTCGCCGCGAACTATATTGAATCAAACATTGTGAAATTGTAGGGGCGTTCCGCAGAAACCAGTGGCGGCCTATTGATTGCGATGTCTCCCGAAAATGCTCAGGTATGTTGTTGAATGAAGAAAAAAATGTTAAAAATTCCACATTTTGGTGCCCAATTTCATGTAATTTTTCACATTTTCCAACAAAAAAAAATTGAGTAAGCTAAAATCATTCCAGAAGTATATCAAAGAAATCGAAGAGCTTGACGGCTATCCAGCCTGGATCATCGGCAAAGTCGTCGAGAAGACTTCGGACGTTCACGCGAGAATATCGCCCGATTATCAAACGATTTCGATTGCTTCTAGATTGCCATGACGTCATTGAAATATCAAACAGATTTTTATTATTACAGTGTTATTAAACATATTATAATACATATTTTTTCTTTTTTTGGTTAAGGCTAACGTTAAACGGGTGAGCGTTATAAATATTGCCGAAGCTAAAAAAAAAACCATGACGTCAAGGAATTGATGCTTCTTTGAATTAGGCCATCGACGCCTTCATGGAGAACGCCGACTTCCATTGTTCTATTGGACCGAGAATATAGTTAATGTCAAGCTGGAGACAAAAAAAATAATGTATGTATATAAATGGTCCCCACGAAAAATTCGCACCTTGAACGGAAAACTCCATCTGATCGACGCCGGAACCCCAATCTGGTTCATTTGGTTCGGCGACAAAACGCTACTCTCAATCGCCGTCAACTCGATCATCGATTTCATCACCGAGCTCATTCCGCTGGATGTTGGCGAAATCAAACTGTTTTGATTCTCGCGATGGCGCATTTGTGGCGTTTGGGAGGCACTAGACAAATGAATGTTCAATTCTATTAAGGTATAATTATTGTAGGCGTCAATTCGCGTTTGACGCCCCAATCATAAATCGATATTGCCTATTTCGTATCACCAACCTTCTCGCACTAATTTCCAACATTTTGAATAACTCGAAGTCGTGCGGTTTCACATTCCGCCCATTGATCGCCGTGAAAGCCTACCAAAAAAATAAAAACTAGAATTTTGTCGTTTGTCGAGATCCGTTACCGAATTGTCGCTGAGACTGATTCGCGAACTTCGCTTCGGCGCTTCGGCGCTTCCGAGCGCGCTCGCCGTCGCCGGCACCGCGGCGATCGGCTGCGGCTGAATCGGCTTCGATATCAAATGGCTCAACGAGCGATTGGCTTGCGCGTTCGGCGACGTCGTCGGCGTTTGCGGCATCGGCGGCACGTGCTGCATTATCGAGTTCGCCAATTTACTATCGAGCCAGCCGTGATGGATTTCGGTCGGCACCGGCGTTTTTACATCATTATCGTCGTCGTGCCCTGTTAAAAAAAAATTTGAAATTGTGGCAAAGTTCCGTAAAAAAAAACGAGAGGTTAAAGGCGCATCGCGTCGAGACCAGTGAACAATAAAAATGACAATTATTATCGCTTTCTAAAATTAAAAAAAAAATTATTTATAAATAATGTTGAAAATTTTTTAATTTAGCAATAAAATTGAAATTTTTCCAAAATTTCTGTGCATATTTTTTTTCTCAGAAAGCTTCAATGCAGAAAAAAAAACGAAAAATTGTCATTTTTTCCATATTTGGACCATACAATGTCAAATTCAAAAAAAAACTTACAAGAAATCTCCGATGACGATCCGGTAATCGGCGGCAACGCGTCCGAGTTCAACTCATAATCGCGAGCGGCCGGCGGCGAGAAAATCGATCGGCAACACGTCGACGACGAACCATCGCGATTCGTCGATGCCTCGTTGACGGCGTCGGTCTCGTCGATCGTCGGGCAACTCGCCGCCGGCGGCATTGTCGACGGTCCGAAAATGTTGAGGCTCGCGCCGGGTTTCAGCGGCGTGCAAACGCCCAGCGTTCCGAGCGGATCGAAACCCTCGCACGTCGGATTGAATTCGGGTAGCGTCGGACGCGCCACGTGGGCGCTCTCCTCGCGCATTTTTTTGTCCTCTTCAATTTTTTGATCGACCGACTTGCGAATCGACGAAAAGAACTCTTCGCTGGTTAGTCTAGACAACAGAAAATATTAAAAAACAAAAAACCGAAAATCAATTTGAGCCAACCGTTTTAACACAGGCGTTTGCATCGAAGACGGGCTACTCTTTTCAGCATTTCCAAACAGATTTGCTAGAATCGACGACGTTTCAGCTTGCTGTTTCGCTTTTTCGGCCTAGAAAAATAAAAAAAATTTCCCAAAAATTGCATCGAATCGGCTAGCGTCTGTTTTTGGGCTATCAAAATCGTGTGCTAGAGAGACTTGGCGCCAAAAAAATTGGATTGCACGTTTAATTACCAAAAATTAAATGCAATTTGATCGTGAAATCCAATAGACGAGTAAAAAAAAGTTGTTTTTTTTTAATTAAAAAAAAGATTTTCAGCTGAATTATAGCAAAAATTCAGCGATTTTCTCAAAATTTGAACTATTTATTCAAATTTCAAAAATTAATTTTAGGAAAACACAATTTGGCCATCTGATTCGCAAAATTTCGATTTTTCAACGAAACCCTTCTCATTTGCTGGGCTATGCGCCTTTAACAAATTCATTTTTTTTTAATGTGAGGGTTTCGCGATTGAAAAAAACAAAAAAAAATGGGTCTCGCAGCGATCCCTTGAAATAGTTGAAAAAAAAAACAACTACCTTTTGCCTTTTTTGGAGCTCTTTCTCGGAAAACTTTTGAATCTCGTGCACAAATGGAATAACCATGAAGAAATTGTAGCCGGCCAAATGCGGCACCGGAATTTCGCCTTTTTCCGTCGGCAAATCGCAAATATTGAACCATTTGATGTCTCTAAATGTGCAATTCGTCGAAAAAATCACACAAAAAAAATGAATGACACGTGGTCCACTCAGGCCAGGGACCAAAAAGCTTGGAAAGCTGTGGTTCGCGCCTCAACAGACGAAAGGACGAACGTGAAAGGGACCTACTTGATTTCTTTTCGCGTTTGCGGACCAAATTGAAATTCGGTGGGCACGTTGGGCACAATGTACAAACGCACCATGGCGTCGTTGATGAACTTTTGCACTTTTTTCTCTTTTTCCGATATCGTGCTGAAATCGAAGCCGGTCTCTTCGAGCGTCTCGCGAATTGCACAATCGCGCGGCGGCTCATTCTGGTTCACCTGAAGCATTGCAAATTTGAATGAGGCTGGAAAAAAAAGCCAAAATCTGCACAGTACGCCCAAACTCAATAATTTTTAATTGAGAAAAAAATTTGTAAGAAGAAGAAGAAAAATTATTTTTGTGATAAAATTGGCATAAGAAGGGCTCCTATACAGATTTTGGAGAAGAAAAAAATTAAAAAAATATGCTAAAAAAGTATTTTTCGATTTTTTCTTCTTCATAATCTCCCCATGAAATTCAATATAATTAAAATAAACTTTTTTAGTCTTAAAATAAAAATTTAATAATACTAGGCAGATTTGAAAAACTTTTTTTCTTCAAAACACCATTTTTACAATTTAATTTCCAAAAATTCGATGTTAATTTATTTAAAATGGGCAAAAAAAATGAAACCCGTATTTTTTTTTCCAAAATCTGCATAGTAGTCAAAAACTAAAATGAAACCTACTTTTCCCTTCGGGAATCCCCAACTATTTCCTTTGGCAAAGTAGGATTTGACTAGAAGAACCTTCTGAAGGGTCTCGTCCAACAGAATCGCACCGTATGTTGGAACCGTTGACTTATATTCGCGCCATTGCGAAATCACCGAGTCGACATTATTGGCCAAATGGCGAAGTTCGGTGCAGTGCTCGAAAAGTGCGCTGAATACGACGTTCAAGTTTTTTTTTTCGCAATTCGAAGATTTTATCATTCTCCGGTTACTCAAAACCAATCGGATTGGACAAAATTCGGCTCCGGAATTAACCTTATCCGATTTTTAATTCTAAGATTGGAAAATTGTCGAATCCGATTCGTTTTTTTTTTGGGTATTTTCGAATTTGTTTCGTTTTAATATTTCAATTCGAATCGGATTCGAAGAAAATCTAATCGGATCCGACAAATTACAAATCGTATTCGAAAATACCCAAAAAAAAAACGAATCGGATTCGACAATTTTCCAATCTTATCCGTTGAATTACCAATCGGATAAGGTTAATTCCGAAGTCGAATTTTGTCGGATCCGATTGGTTTTGGGTTACCAGAGTTTTTTGTCTCACGAACCGCGCGAAATCTCGAAAACTCAAATTCGGACAATTTTTGTTGTTCTCCCCTTCGACGATATGATCAATGTAAAACCAATGGGCAAGTTCGACTTGGAAACAAATTCGAATTCGGTTCTTCTTCTGCAAATCATCGTTTCGTCGTCATTTTGGAACCAGAAAAAAATGGCACGGCAATCGTTGCGAGACCCATCGTCAAAAAAAAGAAGTGTTAAAAAAAAATATAGAAATAATTGATTAAAGGCGCATGACGCGAAAAAAAAACTTTTTTGGGTCTCGTCTGGCTTCTCATTTTTTTCCCACAAATTTTACAACATACATCAAATGTCGGAATATTGCTGATAAATCGAAATTCCAAATCGTCGAGAACGTCGACGGGAACTCTCGACTTGAACGCGGGTGTCGATGTCTAAAAACGATGGCATTCGAAAACCAATAAAATTACGGACCTCGATTCAATGATACCTTTCGGACCCTTTTGGGGGTCTGCCCGTCTTGTTGTTGCTGCATTCGCGCCGCAACACTTCCTTTTTGTTTTCTCTGAGTTTTACTCGTTGTCGGATCGCCCATCGCCGGCTCCTTCTTGCCGCTCAGCGATTTCGCCTTCGACGAGCTGCCGCCCTCATTCGGCGAATTTAATGTCTTCGACTGAATTTCAAAATAAAAAATGATATATTGAGGGAATTGTAGATCAACCTGCGCTTCTTGCAAACAAGCTAATAACATTTGAACATTGGACGGCGCTTCTTCTTTTTTGGGGGTCTTCGATTTACGCTTGTTGGTTTTCTTAATTAGTTTCATTCTTTCAAATAATGGAAACAAAATTAATTAATAGATTTTCGGGTGAAAAAATCGCAAAAATCAGTTTAATTTGGGTTTTTTGACAGCTTTCAGAGGATTTTCGGTTAAAAAATAATACTATTCAATTTTTTGGAAAAAAAACTCAAAAACTGATTCAAAGTAGAATTTTTACAGCAAATTTCGCAAAAATTGCTTTAAAAACTACCAAAAACTCTAAAAACACTATGATTTGCAGAAAAAAAAACGAGATTTTCTTCATAGAATTATATTACTTTCATGGTTTTACGCAAAATTTGGAAAAAAACGATAGATTGAAATTTTTTTTCAAAATTTTCATAATTCAACTTTAAATTACCTTATTGTGTGATGATGTCGAAGCCTTTTCGCTCATTGTATATCTAAAATCAAATTTTTGAAGTCGTTCAATTTTCTACAAATAATCTGAAATATTCTTCTCGCTTCAACGATATTAAAATTGAAAACAAAAAAAAACAAATCTGGGAAAAAAATGTATTCATTAAGGGGGCAATAAAAAAACGTAAGCGTTCCAACCAACAACACCATTAGAATGAAATAGTACACGATTCCAATGAAGCAGAAAAAGAGAAAGAGAGAGAGAGAGAGAGAGAACGACAGGCAGACATAGATGTTGCACACAAAACAAAATTGCGCGCGTTTGGCATTTATTCAAAAAAATATTTATGACTACGCGAAAATTGGCAAAATGCTTCCCTATAATTCGATTTCAATGTCCTTTTTTGGAATTTTGCCAATTTTTCGAACAAAAATCACAGGTAATTGAAAGAAAATCAATCGGAAATGGAAAAAAATTAAGGTGAAATTCGATTTTGCAAAAAAAAAACAATCTTTGAAATCGATTAAAAATTGAATTTTTTTTCGAATCCGATTGATTTTCTTTTATCAGACTCCAAGGCAAATCAAATAAAATATTTTGAGAATCAAATATTCAATAATAAATTCTAAAAAATTATGAGAAATTCTAAAGTTTATTGATATTTTCTAAAACTTCTTGGGAATCGCTAAACTTAAAAACACTTTTTGATATCTTATAAGACTTTCGAAAATTTATTGAGCAATTTCTAAATTATCTCTATAAATTCTAAAATTCACAAACGCGTTAGTTTCTCAAGTAACCTCAAATTATTTTAATCGATTTACCCGAGGAGGCTTTCAATTTTTAATTTGAAAAAAAAAAATACTAGTTCTTGCTATTCACAAAACATCTCAGGCGTTCATATATATCAAATGCTTCTCGTTTCATCGCGCTGCGCGTCTCCCGATTCTCCAGCAGACGTTGAGCGCACTTCAAGAATTCCGCGTTCTCAAGTTTGAGGCGACGCAATTGATTGCGCATCTCGACGAGCTCATCGACGAGCCGCTCGTTGTCGCGTTTCACACCTTCACACGACGACGACGTCGAATTTGGCGCGTCGACAATTTTCTGCAAAACCCAATAATTCAACGATATTTTTCTTAAAAAAAATTGAAATTTCACTTGATTGCCTCGATTCTCGTTGACATTCGGCGATTCTGAATCATTTCAGTTTTAATTGAGAACCCTTGCCAACAACCTACGCGAAAAATCGCGCATTCTAGATTCCATGACGCTCTCCGCTTGATTATAAGCAAAATTTGCAAATGGCGAGACAATTTTGGAAATGACCCAATGAAACGCTTCGTTTCCGACATCTCCAACGCTTCCGTAGACGTATCGACAATAGCAAACCATGTTTTCCGCTTCTTTTTTATTACGCCATCTGTCGATAACATTCTCAATCGGGTACGCATTTTCGCAAACGATCTGCAAACAGCGAATTATCAGAATTGGTCGTTTTTCAAAACAAAACTAATTTCTAGCTGTTAGAATTTCCAAATCTAGTAGAAAAATGGGGAAAAAATTGATTTGAGGCTAATTCTGGCGAATTTCATTCGCGAATCGAATCCTCAAAAATTTTTACCATATCTGGGGCGATGACATCTCCGATTTCGGGCGAGCTGAACGCAATGCATGACCATTTGCCAAACGTTTTGATCGGAGCCCTCAGATCGACAGTCGCCACGGTCTAAAATCGAATAGGCATTAAAATTTCTGGTTTGAAACAAAAAAATATGTAAAACAAACCTCAGCAATGTTTTCAACTTGTCGCCCACATGATAATGATTTTCGGCCAATTATTTGGGTGACTTCGTGATTGCACCCAAATTTTCGATTAATTTCGCCAATCGCAATCTCCAAATCATCGCCAAGACGAACGGAATTTCTCGCGGCAAATTCCCTAGAGATTCAATTACGGTTCGAGTCTTCCAGGCAAGGATATGCGCCTTTAATTAATTGAATTCACACCTTCCGTGTTTTTTTTTGAAAGGATACGGTAATTAAAATTTTTTTGGGTATTTCGGAATCCGATTAAAAATTTGTAGGGTCCAATTGGAATTGAACAATTCAAACAAAACGGATTCGAATAATAACCAATCAGATCCGACAAATATCCAATCGGATCCGTAGAATTACCGGATTTCGCCAGCCGAATTTCACGGGTCCCTCTAAAACAAACCATACTTGTCGAGTATTGCGGGACCACGAATTTGGCCAATATATACCACATAAAAATGATCATATTCACACGCGACGAATCCCAACAACGAAGGACTTGTCGTTCGATTTTCTCTGAAATTTCAAAATATCCGATTTTTCTTTGAATTCGCCACACCTTGTATCTAATGTATCGTTGGGCTTAGAGAAATTTTTTGAGAAATTCGACTCGCTATATGATTTCTGACAGTTATTCGAGGAATCTGTAAAATTGAATAGTGTCTTGAAAAGGAAACAAAAATTTTTGATAGAATTGTGGAAGAAAAAAAATTATTTTTAAGCGTTTTTTCTTCCAAAATCTCGCAATTTAAAACGGAAAATCTCAAAATTTCAATTTTTTCTGGAATTCCACAAACAAAAAACTAGTAAAATCATACCAAACTTTTCCAACAAATCGGTAGAACTGTGAAGACTGCAATAAAAATTTTAAATTTCGCAAAAAATTGGCAAATTACCCAAACGATCGACTCGATATTCTATTCCAATTTGTAATTTTTCCATCTTGCTGCAAAAAAAAATCAATAAAAATCGCTAGAATGCTTCCTCACATATATCGAATTATCGGGAATTTCTTGAATGACCTCATGCAGTTTCCAAAACACATTTTTATAGCGCAAAGCTTCTTCTTTATTCAGCTTGACAAATTCAGCTTCCACCCTTAAAAAATTGCAAACTTTTGCGCGGATATTCAACAATAAAAAATAAAAAGTTTTCAACGGTATCTCGGGTTGGAGTATGATCGATATTGAAAAATTGTTTTTTTGATTTCCATTTTTTTTAAATGCATTTAAGGGTTATTGGAGCTGTAGAAAATTTTTCTAAGATTATTACATCGATCAGACCAAAACTCGCCGTGTTATGGTACCCTTGGTTCTGTTTGTGGTTACGGTAGCTCGGGTATTCTCGATATCTCCAGATTAATAAAATAAAATCAAACGTTTTGAGAATCAAATATCGTTTTTCGAGTTTTCTTCTAAAAATCTTCATTCTTGAAGATTTCTGAGCAAATCCTCAGTTATTTCTATAAATTCTCTAAATTTTAGGCGGGGAAAAATTCTAAAATATCTCAAGGAACTTCAAATTTTTCAAATTTTGATTTGCGCAAAATTTAAACTTCTCAAATTCTGAAAAGAAAAACCAAAACCAAACTCTCAAACCCAGTTTTTCCGAAAAAAATGTGCTTAAATATTGGGGCAATGCATAAAAAAAATAAAAAACATCGGTGGTTTCGCATCGAGACCCATCGCATAAATAAACGGCATGCGTCTTAAACTACCGTATCTCTGCGTCCTACTATTTTATTTTTAAGAATTTTACTCATTTTTTTAAATGAAATGTTTTCGTTTATGGTGTTTTAAGACGCATGCAGTATACTTATGCGATGGGTCTCGAAGCGAATCGAACGAAAACAACGGTATCTTCGATTCTTCTTTTTTTTTCTGCATTACCCCCTATGCAAATTGCTCCAACCTTTTTCCAAATTCGCCAAAGAATCCTCGAGGCACTACAACATTTGACAGCAATGCGTCGTTCAAAACCACAAAATTCTCCCTGGGGCTCGCATCAGTTTCCCTCAGATCAAGCTCATTTCTTATCTGCAATTATACTTTTTTTTAATTTCGAACCATTAACACCTTCTTTTTACATAAAAAGAATTTCCATCTGTACGAAATGTGAGGTTTATCTCCAATTTTCCTTCAACTCGTTCAATGCGGAATGATTGCGTCCGTTCGAAAAACCTCAAATATCGAAACTCATAATGGAAATCATTTTTTGAAATCATTTTTACTCACATTACAAACCCTTTAAACCAATCTCCCAGTTTCAGATCCAAATTCGCTGCTTTCGCGACACCGATGGCGATATCACATTCGCCGATCTCGCACACCGCTGTTCCATGCACACCATAACGGTTCGATGGGAATTGATCGGTTACAACTAAAGTTTTGTACTCGTTTATCTGGAAATGGCATCGAATGAGACGTCGCGCTTCAAGACCTCAACGCAAACCGCCGGATTATCGCGCCCCATTTTGTTCCTTTTATATTTCGGCATGATGCTCTTAACCGCTAGACGGCTTCCGGAAGGCGGCGCCGGCATTGTTGTGGAACCGAAAGTATTTTTCAGATGGTTCGCGTAGCTTTCCTATATTTTATAATGAAACAGTCAATCATTACGATTCAGAGTACTTCATATCTTTGAAGATTTTCCAGAAAGCCGTAGTCTTCGGCGATATCGGCATGTCGTTCCAATTCCGATGAAACCGCAAACAGCGGCTCGAAATCGCCGTCGACGAAACCTTTGCTGTAATTTTTTCGACATTATTATATATAAAATGAATGCCTACTATCGTATTCTTCCATGATATACGACACTTCGCTCAATTTCGGCATTTTCGAGACTCACGAAGCCAAATTCGCTGGAGAAAGCGATTCGACAGTTATAGGTTCGATGTTTTGGATTTGCACTACACGTTAGTTTCGTATCAAACTGGAAAAAAATGCAAAATATGACTAGCTTAAAAATATGACAACAGAACTTACATAAATGCCATTATCAAAATTTGTGAATTCCGAACGCTCTTTAATCTCGATTGATGAAGTCTTTGGAATTATTTTGGAATCCCTATATCCTTCTGTAATGAAACTGACAACATCTCCGATATTTGGGCTGAAATTGCAAAAAAATAATAAATCGACAAGCTGCACAGTTTTTTTTTTAAATTCGGAGGCATCGAAATTCAATGGTGAATTTTTAAAAAACAAATGAAATAACATTTTTATTGTCAGCAAAATTAAATTAATTAAAGGCACACAACGCGGAAAATGAGTCGGGTCTCGCAGCGTAGCCGATTTTTTTCCCGAATTAGACAATACTTTGGAAATCCTACCTATCGCTTTCGGGAAACTGGACAATGTACGGTTTGAGTGAAGCGCATGAATATCCGATCACAGAATTCTTATTCAGTTCCAATACTATTATCGTGTGTTCGACATCTTCCTTTTGCGCCATTCAAAAATCGAATTTTTTCGATATCGATAATTGGATGGTATATTTTGCTGAAAAACAAACCATAAAGTTGAACTTATAAGAATTAAGGATAAAAGAAACAATAGAAACTACGAAATTAATTTTCCTGTTTCTGGAATCGTCGAAATTTCGCAATTTTTATTGTCAGCAAAAATTAAAAAAAACTATAACGCATTCAAATGCGCCCCATTGATAAAGTTTTTTTTATTTGAAGACTAACAAAAGTTTGTAAATATCAATGGTGGGCAAAAATTATTTTAACAATCGTGCTGGAATTTAAAAAAAATGAATCCATAAAATTTTAAAGCTCTTACTGCTTCTATTTATTTGGAAAATGAAAAAAAAATAAAAATAAAAATTCATTTTTTTCCAACTATTTAATGGACTAATTTTTTCACGGCCGCGGCCATCACAAAAATTTCCAAGGCCTTATCATTCTCATAAAGGCTATAATTATGCATTTATTAATTATCTAATACATCATTTTTCAAAAAAGAAAAAGTTAAATTTTAACCAACAAATCATAACTTATAAAATCAAATATTTATATTTATAGAAGAAAAAAACGGTCCGAAGAGCTTAATAATTACGCACGATGCTCTGAAATCGAAAAATGTAATTAATATAAATGAAATATTTACGAACCTCAACAACAAAATCTCTATTGTACTGCCGATTGACATCCTGAAAGCGGGTATCTCCTAAAAAAAATGAAAAAAATTGATTTCAAAAACAGAACAATGAAGGTTTAGTTTGACCTGTTGGCAATTTCTCGACGGTCCGACTCCAATGTCGTCCCTCGTTGGGTCCGTCTCGAAGCAGCGTGTCAAGTTCACCTTTCCAGGTGTTATTCTTTTTCTCATCGAGCAGATTTCCATCCTGATCGCGCCATTTCCAATTGTCTTGCCGCTTCTTCTCAACAACCCCTTCAATATCATAAAAATCGCCACTCGCAACAATAATTGAAGCGCACTTCGACACATTGTCACAACCAATCCGTCGTCATCGACGTCGCCGCGTCTCATCGCCTCACCAACCCAATCATCACGACCCGACGTTGCTCCGGTCGCATTACTCAACGGAGGCCAGTGTCTCGCGACGGCTTCAACTCCAGTATTCGATTGATCGATTCCGATTGGCGTTTTGCTTCGACGAGAAGTATGCGACGTATAGGGAGACAATCTGAATAATTGAAGCTTGAGGAAAACAATCAAAATAAACTCTCACTTATAAGCAGCGCTTCCAAATGGATTTCTCACTTCATAGCCATTATTTGATTGATCATACCTTAAAAATAAGCAATAATTTCGTGAACGCTGAAGTGGCCTAGAAAAAACCACCCTAAAAATTAGATTCGGCCACGGTCACATTTGATAGATTTAATGGTAATTAAAACTAAAAATAATTTGAGAAACATTTTTTTTGAAAATGTCAACCAAATTTTCTCTATGATTACTGTATCCCAAAACGTACGCAAACACCACCATCAAAAATTCGCACCAAAAAAAAACACAACAATCAAAAAATATTTCAAGCTTCAACTCAACTATAATTAGTACTTCTAAACGGGGCGTTTTCACCCTCTCGTCATCATCTCCTTTTATGCCCTTATTTGATGTGCACACATGCGAATGAATGCCCCGGCGCTCAAATAACCGGGCCTATCTCCTCAGTGCACAGCAATTACTTGTTGTTGTTGTTTTTTTTTTGTTTTTGCGCCTCTATGTGACATTCGCAACTTTTTCCAAATCAAACCTTTTCCATCTGCGGACATTTCCAAACAATTTTCCATTAATTATAATAAATAATAATATATACCGAACATCGGCTCGTAAATCATTTTTGTTGTTGTTCTTCTCATCAAACCCTATATAAAAAAAACCTATATAATTTCAGCGAGCAAGGTGCGAATTAATTCGAGTTTCTTCAGATTTTCATGAGCACGTTTGTCACCCTCAAGCTCGCCCCCCTCTCTATTCAATAGTTAATCTGCTTGAATCAATAACTTCCAATTACGTGTCTTGAGTAGTCGGTCAATGCTGATATTATGCCCCCCGTTTTACCTCCTCATTCGTCTCGCCTTATATTCACCCGGCCCGACGTTTTTTTTCCTTTTTCGTAACGCCAGCAGGTTATAGAAAATCTATACGCATATCATTTTTTCTATGCCAAAAATTATCAAATTCCAATTTTCTTCGTCTTCTTCACATTATTTTTCGAGAATCTCTTCCCCCCCCCCCCCAAAAAAAAGCATCATTTTGTATTCATTCATCATACAATTTTTTCTCTTCAACAAAAAAAAGTCGCCGAATTTTTAATTCTCAACCAAGGCGTGAATATTTCTTCCTTTTGTCATCATCATCATCAAAAAAAAAGATCCGAGAGCCGAGAACATGAAATAATGCAATTTAGTTATGTGTATATGTCGACAACACACGCACACATTCAGAAGGGGGGGGGGGCGCAACACATTCGTCCAAATACAACAATCATGAGTGTGGGAAATAATCAACACGACTTGATGGACGGCAGTTTGTGCTTCGAGGAGAAAAAAAATAGAAGAGGGGGGCTCTTTCGGACCCCAATTAGAAATCGAGCCGGCCAAAGTTTCCCGTCAAATTTCTCAATTTCGAGTTTCTTCACGCCTCCCTCTCCTTTTTTATTTTTTTTTTCTGTTATTCCGAATGTAATAACTCAATATACCGTATAATGACATTTAATACGCTGATGCTCCTCACAAGTGGGCCCTCAAGGCGAATGCATGTGAGGGGGGCCCGCATCTACACACACACACACGCATACGCTCAATTTTCTCTTCTTTACTTTTCTAATTCAATTTTTCAATTTTATTTTTGTCTCTTTTCTTTTGCCTTCATATTATTCTCATGTTTTTTTATCAAAGCTTTTAATATCGTTGAAAAATTTGAATCGCGCGCGCGGTGATAATCAACCCCCTCGTAAAATTGAATGTGCTCTGTTAGCCACCAAAATTATGCTATTTCACATTGCGATGGTTAGATTTTGACAAAAAAAATTGTTCCTTTGAGTTTTTCCACACGAGACCTCAATTAAAATCCTCTAAACCCCTTGAAAAGTGTCAATGAAAAACAAATTCAAACGAGATTTTCGAATTTCAAAAATACGTGATTTCGCGTCACGGTGATTGCACACATTTTCGCTCGCTACCATCTGTTTTCCATAGTTTAAATTTTTCTGCTATTTTCATTATAAAATAGAATTATTTTTGCGGGAAAATCGCGAAAAAAAAAAATTAAATTTCAAGTTTGGGAGTGTTTTTTTTCGAGAAAATCAGAAAAAAAAATGCATTTTTTTGAAAATTTGAAACTACCCCCAAAAATGGACGAGAATTGATACACAATTCTCGGCAAAATTAATTTCAAAGGCGCACTCAATTTTAATTTCAATTTTAAAGGCGCACACCAAGCGGGACCACATCGAAATTTTTGATTTTCGAGGCGCGCGCCTCCAAAAAAAAATTGACTAAATAAAAAACCAAAAAAACCAAAAAATAAATAGAGGACCCCCCACGCCCTTTTCCGAAAAGCTTCCAACCTGTGAACACTTCGCGATCGTTGATTCTCCATCCAGTTGCCGCTGCGATACTGTGGGCTGCTGTACGATTGCTGAGTTGATTTTCTGCGGAGAAAATTAATTTAGACAAAAAAGAAAACGCCGCGGGCGTTGAACGAAAAGAAAGAGAGAAATAGGAATCCGTTGATAATAAAAGCGACGCTCGGCGGCCAAACAGCTGCCACACGGGCCCACACAAACTTTGGCTGGTCCGAAATTGGTACGCCTACCCATTTATATCATGACGCATTCGTTCGGCCTCCTCGACCGGCTTGAACACACTTCGACCCATCAAATACTCGTCATTTTTTGTTTTGGTTTGGTATTCCGGCGACGAGTAGCTCATTTTGGGCCTGTGATTCGGAAAAATTCAAAAACATGAAAAAGAGCATTGGCGTCTACCGGAAGACAAAACTCGGCTCGTCGCCGTCGATTCGACTCACGACGTGCTCGAGACGTCGCATCGTCGGCCCAACCGACGACGCTCGCCACGGCGTCGAATTCGCCGACGATCGATCGACGATCTCGTTGTGCTTCCATTGCGCCATGTCGGGATGGCAGCTCTGCGTCATTTCGCGTTGCGCCGACACGCTTCGCTCGTAACGCAATCGTTGTTGTTCTGCAAAATAATGAGACGTCGAACCATCGTCGAGCGCCCACCTTCGAGCTCGTCCATTATGTCCGATTTGAATCCGCCGATTCCACCCTTCACCTCTTTTCGCTCGCGGCCCGGCGTCGTCGATTTCGCGCGGCTCGCCTCTCTAGAAACGGGCTTTGGTGGTGGTGGCGGTGGTGGTGTCGGTGGCGGAGGAGCGGCTGATGACGATTCTCTAAAAATTCGAACGTTTTCCTACTAAGAAAATCGATTTTCGATTTGCTGATTATCCCAAAAATTAATTTTTTTTTTTGCGAAATTTGAAACCTACCCAAATTGGCTCCAATTTCAAGCGATTTTTGCTTCATATTTTTTTCTAATTTTGAATTTTTGAATAAAAATTTGATTGAAACTAAATTTTCCGCGAAAGACACTGAAATTCAATGTCGCTAGACGCGTTGCGATTCGGGCGCGTCTGTGTACTCCGCACGGACAATTCCGCGTAAATTTCCCCAAGCTTGTAAATCTACAATAGAGCGCGCTTTCCAACACATAGTCTAGTATGGAAGAACAAGATTTGAAGAAAAAACAATATTTCAAATAAATTGTGTGATTTTGGGTCGCGGTGTTTGCACACATTTTACGCTCAATACAGTAGTCGGCTAAAAAAATGTTTTTTTTTTCAAACCTCAAACAAATATTTATAAATTTTGAGAAAACCTTTTCTTTTCAAATTTCGAAAATTAAAAAAATTAATTCAAAATAATTTTTGAAAACCAATTTTCCCAAAAATCGCTCTTCACAGATATTCCCATACGAGACGCAACGCGCGCGAATTCAAATCGAAAAATGTACATCTCCTGAAGCGGCTGATTGCTCTTCGCCTCAATCACTCTCTCATAATAAAACGATTGGCCATTATCAGTCGGCAATTTTGGGATGTCCTCATAAACGGTTCGTTCGTCCTCCTCATCGATGGCGTCTTTCGCAGCAGCGGCCGTCGTCGATTTCTCTACGGCGTTCTTCTCTAACTCGAAAGACACCTGGTAGGCAAGAAAATAAAAATGGAATATTATATTGTTGAGAAATTGTTAAGTAGAAGAGATCTTCTTGATAGGACCCTTTTAATTGTCTTGCACACTGTTTAAATGTTTTTATCCGACGTTTCGATCTTTTGATCTTCATCAGGGAAGGCCAATTTACCTACAAGATAATAAGTAATAGATTGGTAAAAAAAAAAGGAAAAAAACGGAGAGAGTTAAGTTGTAAGTATCAATCAAAAATAAAAAAAAAACCATAAAAACAAATCAAGAAACAAAACAATGTCCAATACGTAACACAATACATATGTTAGGAGCGTTAATTTTAGGATAAGAGTAGATCAAAAAGTTTAGATAAATAGAGGATAGTTTTAGAAAAGTTTTTACAAAAAAGTTTTTAAAAAAGAAGTAGAAAAGTTTTTACAGTTAGCTTTGACTAAGAAAATCCCATCGAATTCCCAAATCCGAGACCAAATCTATAAGTTCTTCTTTAGTATTCAGTTCAGGATTCTTGGTTTTAATATAAATTCCTTCCAGACGAGTTGTATTCCTCTCAATATCTAGTATTTTAATAGAAAGTTGTAAGGGCTCCCCGTTATGAATTTCAAATGAGTGTTTAGATCAAACCGTGTTTTTGTATGATTTTAGATTTGGTTTTTCCTATCAAGAAGATCTCTTCAATTTAACAATAATCCACAAGATGGACTCAAAACAAATCGCTCCACAACTAACAAAAAAAATGTTGAGAAATGACAAGGTGTCGTGAAATCCTGCGTTTTGTACGCAATGCGATGAGGCAGCTACCGTAATCCTCGCAGCGATTTGGGAGATCTTTAAAATTTCCAATTTTCTATTTTTTTAGCTCAATTTTCGCATTTTTTTGCGAAATTGTTTATTTAAAATCTGTAGAACCCGATTTTTTTTTCTATTTAGCAGAATAATATTATGCACTTTTAAACAATATTTTTTTTCCACGCTCGAAAAATTATTTTGAAATGAAAAATACAAAAACAAGATAGTTGAAACGCGTATTAAGAGCCTAACACGAATAAATAATTTTATTAGCCACAAAAAATGGGATTTTTAAAAATTTTTACCAAAAATATCGTCTAAAAGTGCATAATTCTGCTAAATAAATGTTGAAATTCGGGCTCAACAGATTTTAAATAAACAATTTCGAAAAAATTGCGAAAAAAAGGAAATTTTAAAAAATCTCCTCGTAAATCGCTACGAGGATTACGGTAATTGGCTCATCGCAATGCGTACAAAACGCAGAATCCCACGACATCTTGTCATTGGTGGTTTGCTCACCGAATTGTAGCTCGGCGAGATCGGCTTCGGATTGTAGGGTTTCGGCGTCGATGGAAGCGCCTGCGTTGGCACGTTCGGCGAGCAAACGAGGGCTCGAAGGAGCGCGAAAACGGCGACAATGAGTTCGGCGACGAGTTTCGCCGACGATTTGACGAGCTTCGCCAATTTCGACGCCAACGTTTTGGCGACGCCGGCGACGCCACGCGCCGCCCGCTTCACCCAACGCCACGCCGATTCGAGCGCGCCGCTCGAACTCGACGCGTAGAACGATTTCGGCGACGAGTTGTAGGCGGCGGTGTCGACGGTCGCCTTCCGACACCGCAACTCCGAATGATCGTCGCAACGGGCGCCGTCGACGCAACAGTAGATCACACGCGGCGCGTTCGCCGTCTCGCACTTCCACTCGTTTTTTCCTCTGGAAATTTGACAATTTTCGCGTCGAGCCAAATTAAAATCAAATGATTGACATTTTTTTTCCCATTCCTCTTTTTCATTTCACACATTTCCTAGAAAAAATTGTTTTTTCTTTTCTTCGCGAGACCCCCTCTCATTGTCCGTATGCGCCTTTAATCAATTCTTTAATTTATTCGCGCTTTCATTTTTAAAAAAATACAATAAATTAAAATGTGTGCAAAATTGCGTCGGTGTGTAAACAGACAAAACCGGACGCGTTTGAAAATGCTCTTCAATCTCGCAAAATCATTTTTTTAAAGGCGCATGACACTGTTGGCACTATTATCGTTATAAAACAAAAGCGGACGACTAACTTGAAAAGGAAATAGACGAAGTAGACGCACGTCCAAAAAATGTTGATCGTCAAGTTGACGACGTTTCGAATCGGCGTCGAGCTGCTGCTGCTGCTCGCCATTCTCGCACAACACCCAATTTATTGTCGTTGACGATTAGCAGTAGTGGAAAACGGCACACGACCTATTATCCGTTTCTTCTGTCCTCCGCAGCTTGATACCCCCCGCCGCCCGTCGTCGTCGTCGTCAGCCAACGGCAAAGTGTAAAGAAACCGAACTAGCCTCCCGCCTATCAAAATAGCGAACGTAATATGTAGAGAGCGGCATGAGGGAATGACGAGGACGAGTCGAATGAAAAATTGCCGAGCAACTATTTTTTTGGGTTGCTGCTGTGACAAGAGAAAAGTTGAAAAAAAAAAACACACACACACAATATCAGCGAGCGGGATAAACGCGCACAATTTTATAGCAATCGCCACAAGACCCAAACTCGTTTTCGGTGTTGTGCGCCTTTAATTTCGACGCCTCATATTATTTTTTTTTGCGCGCGTTGCGTCTCGTTTGGGAAAAAAATGGTTTTCAAAAATTATTTTGAATTAATTTTTTTCAATTTCGAAATTTGAAAAGAAAAGGTTTTCTCAAAATTTAAAAATATTTATTTGAGGTTTGAAAAAAAAAAACATTTTTTTAGCCGACTACCGTATTGAGTGCAAAATGTGTGCAAACACCGCGACCCAAAATCACACAATTTATTTGAAATATTGTTTTTTCTTCAAATCTTGTTCTTCCATACTAGACTATGTGTTGGAAAGCGCGCTCCATTGTAGATTTACAAGCTTGGGGAAATTTACGCGGCATTGTCCGTGCGGAGTACACAGACGCACCCGAACCGCAACGCGTCTGGCGACATTGAATTTCAATGTCTTTCGCGGAAAATTTAGTTTCAATCAAATTTTTATTCAAAAATTCAAAATTAGAAAAAAATATGAAGAAAAAATCGCTTGAAATTGGAGTCAATTTGGGTAGGTTTCAAATTTCGCAAAAAAAAATTTAAATAAAGCTACCAATTCTTCTAGCCACGTTTATTCGTCAATTCTTCAATACTTCTACAAATGTTGGCAAATTTTGTAGGTCCGTAGCATCCGAATTGGTCATGTTTCGCGGTGTGAGCCCCCAAAAAACGAACGAGACCTCACAAATCAATTCGTCTACTGTATTTATAGTTGCCAATGATGCCGAAGGTCAGCTGAATGGAAATTCATAATTTTCACAAAAAAGAATAACTCACAAATTGAGGCGTTGTACCGTAATCCAAAGGCGCACCTGAATATTAAAAAAAAATTTTTTTAATCGAGAATTGAGATTTTTTTCAATTTCCCCGAAAATTCCATTTTCATTAAAAAAAAATGCAAATTTTTTTGTGGGCGCCTTTGAAACTAAATGGATTTTGTTTTGAAAAAGACAAAAAAATTTGAGAATTTTTTTTTGAAATTTGAATGAATCGTGGCCAAAAATTGTTTCTTTTGCAGAATTCGACGTGGAGCGCCGAATTCTCTGGCAAGACGTGCTACCCGAACTTCAGAATGTCGCGTTTCAAGCGGGATTCGATTTGGAATGGGTCGACGTGCCGCTGGAGACCGGCGCGTTGACGCACTCGACCGTCGAGCGTCTCATTCAGAAGCTCGAAGAAAACGCGAACAATTTGATAATAGTATGAAAGTGACAACCATGTTTTTTTGTTTCGTTTCCAATAATTGTCTCCAAATTTTGTCAGTGCCTCCTCGGTAATCGCTACGGCGAAGTGTCGGCGCCGGTCACTCTCCGAAAAGAGGAGTTCGATTCAATTCGCGCGTCGCTATTCGAGCTGAACGTCGGTAAGTCGCGTGCTTCGTTTTTTTTTTGCCCATGGTTGGTCCTCCTGAAAAAAAAAGAAACGGATTCATCAATTTTTTCGGCAAAACGAAATTTTTGCACACCGTTGCGAATCAATGCAAAACCAATTTAAGAGTGAATGTGTCGAAAGTGCTCGCAAAACGCATTTCATTTCATCTTTTTCCCTTTTTTTTGTTGCGCACGACATTTCATTCATTCCCCTCTCGTTTTTCGATGACATCCAGTCGTTGAAAATTACCTGAAATTCAAAAAAATAGGCAAACGAGAGAACAAAATTTCGAATTTAATTCAAATAAAATTTGAAAACGAAAATTTCGCGCGTTTTTTCGATGTGACATAATCTTTGAAAATTACCTGAAATTCGAAAAAAAGATTTGAAAAGTCAAAGCAAAAAATAGAAGCAAAATTTCGAATTTAATTCAAATAAATTTGAAAATGAAAAATTCCCACGTTTTTCGAAGAAATCCAGTCGTTGAAAATTACCTGAAATTCGAAAAAAAAAAAAGATTTTAAAAGTAAAAGCAAAAAATAGAAGAAAAATTTCGAATTTAATTCAAATAAAATTTGAAAACGAAAATTCAAATTTCGTTGTTGTCTGTTTACACGCGACGCAATATTGCACACATTTTATTTCTCACCAATCAATCTTTTTAGTAATCATTTTTTAAAATTTCTTCTAAAAAAAGTGAAAGAAAATACATTATGATTACAATAAAATTTTTTTTCTATCTATTATTGATTTTATTTCAAAAAATTGCGCGCGCAATTCGAAAAAAAATCAAACAAGCCAAACTTTTTTCTTTATTTTTTTACTAATGTTTTTTTCCATTGCTTATATATGTACACACCCATACAATCAAAGGGAATCGTGTTTTTTTTTTCGTGTTGTGAAGGGGAAGGAAAAAAAAGGCACAAGAGTTTCGAAAGGAAATTGGTTTTCTCAGGAATTCAATTATGCACATAGATGGAAATGAATCGCCTCAATTTCCTGTAGCACAGTTGGTTTCCAGATGTTCGAATTCTCGATCAATGCTATACAATAGATCGGACCCGTGTCGTAGACGAATATTGCATTTCGACGGCAGCGATTCAAGACGCCAAAACTCGGTCGAAGCTGACGAAGGCGATTCAGAAAGGCGCACAGGCGGTAGCTTGCTTTGCTTTTTTTCTCTATCCGCCTTTTTCTTGCCAAATTCTCTCAATTTTTAAAGGCGCATGACGAGGGCAATATCAATCAAGTGCACGTCGAACGCCAAAATCGATTTTTCATTTCGCCAATCGACTCGTTGGTCCGCTACATTCTTCAAACATCGCCGCAGCGTTGCATCTTCCTTTTGCGCAAATTTGAAAACGTCCAATTCGACGAGAAGCTCAACGCGTCGTTTGTTGAAAAAACGGAAATCAATACGAGGAATATTGAAAATTTGAAGGTTCTCTCCCCTCGCTTCTTGTCGTTTTTGTTTTTTTTTTTTTCGAAACAAAAGCATATCGTGTGTTGGTGTTGTTGCAGAACAACGTGTCGCTGAAAATGACCGACAAGGTGATGACGCACGTGTTGCGTCCGGAAACCAGCGACATCAATTATTTTTTCAACTCGAGAAACAGCGACAAATATCGCGAGAAGATCTCGCGACAATTCGCCAATCGCATCAAAACGCTTCTCGGCGAGACGCACAAAAATATTCGACCGGCGCCGCCGCGCGACATCATCGAAATGGCGCGGAATGATGATCGAATACATTCAGGTTTGACACCAATTTTTTTGTTACCGATCTGCCGTCATACCCCTTTAAATATACCCTCCAATTTCGATGCGCCTTTAAAACTGCTCTTAGACCCCCCACCCCCTTTAAACATACCTCCCAGACTCGATGCGCCTTTAAAACTGCTTTTAGACCCCCACCCCCTTTAAACATACCTCCCAGACATCGTGCGCCTTTAAAACTGCTCTTAGACCCCCTACCCCTTTAAACATACCTCCCAGACATCGTGCGCCTTTAAAACTGCTTTTAGACCCCTTACCCCCTTTAAACATACCTCCCAGACTCGATGCGCTTTTAAAACTGCTCTTAGACCCCCTACCCCCTTTAAACATACCTCCCAGACATCGTGCGCCTTTAAAACTGCTTTTAGACCCCTTACCCCCTTTAAACATACCTCCCAGACTCGATGCGCCTTTAAAACTGCTTTTAGACCCACTACCCCCTTTAAACATACCTCCCAGACTCGATGCGCCATTAAAACTGCTTTTAGACCCCCACCCCCTTTAAACATACCTCCCAGACATCGTGCGCCTTTAAAACTACTTTTAGACCCCCTCCCCCTTTAAACATACCTCCCAGACATCGTGCGCCTTTAAAACTGCTCTTAGACCCCCTACCCCTTTAAACATACCTCCCAGACATCGTGCGCCTTTAAAACTGCTTTTAGACCCCTTACCCCCTTTAAACATACCTCCCAGACTCGATGCGCTTTTAAAACTGCTCTTAGACCCCCTACCCCCTTTAAACATACCTCCCAGACATCGTGCGCCTTTAAAACTGCTTTTAGACCCCTTACCCCCTTTAAACATACCTCCCAGACTCGATGCGCCTTTAAAACTGCTTTTAGACCCACTACCCCCTTTAAACATACCTCCCAGACTCGATGCGCCTTTAAAACTGCTTTTAGACTCCCCACCCCCTTTAAACATACCTCCCAGACATCGTGCGCCTTTAAAACTACTTTTAGACCCCCTCCCCCTTTAAACATACCTCCCAGACATCGTGCGCCTTTAAAACTGCTTTTAGACCCCCTCCTTCTTTAAATATACCTCCCAGACTCGATGCGCCTTTAAAACTGCTTTTAGACCCCCTCCCCCTTTAAACATACTTCCCAGACTTCGCGCGCCTTTAAAACTGTCCCGAAAAGCCAATTGAAAAATAGTGAGGAGGGGGTTTTTTGGGATTTTCTCAAAATGAATGCTAATTGTGAGAAAATTAAAAAAAAAATAGTCTGCAAACACCGCAGTTGTCTGTTTCTTTGTTTTTTTTCTTCTGGCGCCAATTCAAATTCCATTTTGTTTGGATGAATATTCGCCTTCATATATTTTTTTCAGACAACGTAAGAAAGCAGCTGCAAATCGGCAATTTGCCTCGAAATTGTGTCGAGAAGAAGCTCGACGAGACGGCTCGCCTCAAACATTCGTCGGGCGTCTTTCTCATAGAGGGTCCCGACGTTTGCGGCAAAACGCAAACCCTCTGCCGATTGTACGACAAAATTTCCGAGAAGGACGCCTACAAAATCATTAGGTGATTTTTAGTTTGCCGGCTTCTGCGCCTTTAATCAATCATTTGAAAACACAAATACAAATTTGAATTGCCGCCATTGGAGAAATAATTTTTTTTGAACAATTATTTTAAAGGGCCATTTTTTTTTTCATTTTTTTATATTGTAGGAGCTCAAATTTTTTGCCTCAGAAGCTATATTACCAAAAAAACGAAAAAAAATTCCAGATTCATTAATTTGACATATTCGTCGAATTTTGCGCACGAGGTATGGCGAAACATTTGCTTGACGCTTTGCTCGATGGCCAATTTGGATGCGTCGAACGTCTTAGAGGTTGGCGATCAATTAAATAATTAAAAAATATCTATAGTTGGCGTCCGGCGAGTGCTGTACGCTGTGCGGGTAGATTTACGCGCATGCGCCTTGAAAAGGTCTCGCCACGCGTGAATACTTATTTTGCTGTTTTCACGTGAACTGCTTCATTTTTCTTGATGAGTTCGCATTTCCTTGAATTTCCAACGTCATTCGATTAAAAAATTATCGAACCGATTCATAAAATTTGAAATAACCTGTTAGTCCGTGCGAGACCAAGAGAAAGACGCATTCCCGTAAATCTACAGCAGTCACCGGACGCCGACGATATATTTGATCATTTGTTTTTTCGCAGGAGTTCAAACTGCAAAAAATTCTCGACTGCTTGGTCGAGGCGATTCGAAAAGTCGACAAGCCCGTGTGCATTTTCATCGACGACATTCACTTTTTGAAGTTTGGCCATTTTTTGAGTGTGCTGAGCAAAAAAGTCGAAGCGGTAAATTGGAATTTTTAAATACTAAAAAAAAAACAAGAAAATTGCAAAAAAAAAATGAAACCGCGACGCGTCCGACGACATTGACGGGGGAAAACACGTCTAATAGTGATTGACTACTGAAATTCACAGAAGCATTGTGGGAGAATTTCGTGGAATCGAAGAAAGTCATCTCAAAATTGATGCTCAAATGAGAATTTTAACAAAATTGAAAGTATTTTTGAAAAACCGAACTTCAAATTGATTTGTCGAAATGATCATCACGGTTTCGTTTCTCAGAAATTGATACCAAAACGTTGAGACCGTCGAAAAATTTCAATTTCGGACCCCCCCCCTTTTGCCCCGCCGTTACACGTTTATTGGCAGTTGTGGAAAATGTCCGTGAATTCACGATTGATGAATCGAAAGCAAGTGTTGTCAAAATTCGGGCCGGGGGCGCGAAAAGAAATTTCATTTTAAACATCTTCGGACATTTTCCTGTTATTAGCGATGGCGGCAATTCAAACACGAGACTAATGAGGGTCCTATTAGGCTCAGGGACGGGGGAGTTGTTTTTTGACAACGATGATATCCATATATACTTCCATCTAGATCACCTCTTTATCTATCATAAATGGTTTTAAATTGTAAATTTCGAATTATTTGAGGCACCTGAGAAGCTCTCACTGTTCATCACATCGTCAAACGTCTCGCCGGTCTCATCGGTGTTCACCATCACGCAAACGATGAACATCGAGCCGATCGATGAGGACGAGCTCGTTCAAATGCTCAAAAAATATGTGGAGTCGAATAAGCGAAAATTGAGCGGCGAGCAACTAGGCGGCATCAAAAACGAGGTTGAATTATTTCATTTCAATTTTTGTGTTTTTTTTGACAAATTTGGTTTTTGAGATTGTCGAATCGAAAGAGAGCATTCTGAGCGCGAAAATGTACGCGCACGAAATCCTATTGAACGGCTCGAGTCCGATGAAAGGAGGCGTCGATGGTCGACTCGAACGCATTGAGAACGAGCTCGGCGCCGCCGCGGTCACGTGCGTTTGCAAATTTCTCAGCGTCACCTATCATGGATTGACGAGGCTCGAGCTCCACGACGTCATCACATCGCATAAGGAGATGTTTGGCGATTTGAACGCGCAGCCGACGTTTTCAATAATTCTCCTCGACAAAATTTTGGAAGCGTTAGGTGCGTAACATTTTTTTCGGTGGTCCAACAAAAAATTGGAAAATTTTTGTTTTAAACTATTTTAATTAAAAAAACAAACTTTATATTTATTGCTTCAACATCATTTTCCATTTATTTTCCATCCTGAAATGAAAAATTCTTTAATTATCGTGATAATAGATAACAATTTTATTACTTGCTGTCCAAATTTTGCCAGCGACGCGCATTTTTTCGTTAAATTTCCCTTCAAATCCATTATAATCATAAAATTATGATATAAATCAATCTGTAAGCGTCCACTATAATCACAATTAATTTTTTCGAATAATACCTGTAAAAGAAATCGCTTTGAAATTGGCATTTACAGCATAGAATATTGGGCCCTTCTCTCTTCAAACTTTGTTTTTTTTTCATGATAAAATCTAAAATTAAATATTTTAAAATAATTTAAAGCAAAAAAATGCAGAAAAATAAATGAAATCGCTAATGAAACAGCCGAAAAAATGAAATTTCGAATTAAAAAAAAATTGAAAGGCGCGGCCGCGGACGTGTTTTTTTTTTCTCGGCCACAAATTCCGCGTCCGTCCGCATGGATGCCGATAAATATTTCCAATGATTGCAATTCAGGCCCGTTGCTGCGAAAAACTGTCATCGATGCACGCGAGACAATCTCGATTGCCCATCTAACGTTGTGCTCGATCGTCCGCCATCGCTATCTGACGACGACGGCCGATCTCAAATCGATTCACATCGCACTTTCCGATTTGTTCACCGAGCTTTATATCGATATTGAGAATTTGTCACCGCGACATTTGATTAGTTATCAGGTATATTCGGATTTTCAAATGAATGGAGAAAATGACTAAATCCGAAGAAAAATACCAACAAATTGCCCTCAGAAAAGTTGATTTTTCTCTTTTTTTTTTAAAGCTCGCATTTTTCATTTTTTTTGGCACAACGAAATCGCTCAAAAAAGCGACTAGACCCAATTCGTTTTTTTTTCAGTCCTATGCGCCTTTAATCAAATCGATTTTTACGATGGAATCCCAATTTTTTCTATTGCAATTCAAAAATTGAACAAATTGAACACAGCTTTTAAATTTCGACAATAATATTTTTTTTCTCAGAAACTGACTCGAAAATTTTTGCAGAGTTTCCCGCAAAGTCTAAAACGGGAAAATGGTTCGGCGAACATTCGAAAACTTAGATTATTATGGTACCATTTATTACATACGGGTACGCTTATTTTGAGAACTCCATAATGATGAACCAAATATGGTTTTTTCAGGAAATATGGATTTATTAAAGGAGCTGGCGCTTTGCCAATTCGACTACATCGATTTGACGGCGCGATATTTTGGCGTAACTCATTTGCTATCGTTGTATGAGGAGTGCGCCATGCAAGTGTTGCACCATGACTTGCAAGGTAGGGCCCAGCAAACTGATTTTCCATTGCCGGTAACTATTTGGGCAAGAGGTTACGTATACGCCTCTTGGTTGCAAGTGTCAGCTTCGAGGTTTGGTGAAGGGGCAAGTGCGCGGGTCTCGGTGAAAATTGGCGGTCCCCGCGCGGGTGGAAATGGGTGGTTGGACCCGCGCGGTGCCAGCGCGACTCCAAATTATGCCCCGTGCGGGCCCAAACGGCTATTTGGGCCCGCGCGGGTCATATCTGCGGGCCCCGCGCCGGTGAATATCTCAGAAGGGCTCGCGCGGGTGATTTGCGTTCAATGGGAATGGAGGGGCCCGCGCGGGTGAAAATAATGCGGGGTTCTGAGGGGCAACTGCGGGCCGTAAGCGGGACTCTCTAAGGACTCTCGCGAGGCCATCAAATGCGAGGGGCCCGCGCGGGCCATTTGCGGCAACCGCAATATATCAGCGTATTACAGTTTTCCAAAAAAGATTTTGCAAAAGAATTAAACATGTTGTGTATCAATTAAAACATTGTTCAAAGTGTTTGAATCATCACGACCGTATTCCTTTCGGATGTGGTCGAATTCGATTGGGAAACAAGACATTTTGCGTTTGGAATATTTTATTTATTTTAGTTTTTTTTTATTAATATATTTATTATTGTTTTTTTTTTCGAATAATAGACCAATTTTTCTTATTGAGAATTTCTAGACTAATCTCGTTCACAGAAAATTTTTTTTAGTGGAAACACAGTGTACGACACTCCGCCGTTAACACGTGCCCGTTGTTTATCGTATTTTGTTTCAATCGTTTTAAATTGTTCGTTCCAATCACATTTAACTCGTCCAATTAATTAGCAAGTGTCTAATTTTTTTCATTAGTTTTTTCTTACTTCTAAATTTAATTATTTCAGTCATATATATGGTAATATGCTCCAAGCGCAATGTCGAACCAAAGAAGAAGAAGATTTACATTTAGTAAGGAGATGCAAAAAAAATTAAATACCGTGCGTTGCAGAATTATGACCACTACACGGTTACTTTTTAAGATACTAACATAAAAATTGGTACATATAGGTAATTTTTCATGCTGAACACAATTTTAACACTGCTTAGTCTTAAAATATCGAAACCTGCGCGGCACTCTAATTCGGGGGTGGCTTTGTAATTCTGCAACGCACTGTATATATAATATATAATATTATGTAACATAATTTATGTTTATAGTTGGGTTGGCAAGGAAATGGAGCCTCACCATGGACCTTCAGAAGTACTATTGAGTAAGTTCCTTTTCATTGTTCATAACTTTGGCAATGAATGTACAGACGGTTCACTATAGACTTATCATAATATGATAAGTCTATATAGTCGGCCTCCGTCGACTGCTGCACGCGGGTAGATTTACGCGCATGCGCCTTGAAAGTCTCGCCACGTGTGAATGCTTATTTCGCTGTTTTCGCATGACCGTTTTATTTTTTCTTGATGAGTTTCGCATTTTCTTGCCCCAAGATAAACGAGCATCTTCATGAATCTACCCGTGTACAGCAGTCGACGGACGCCGACTATATCATATTATAATTCCTATATTTCAATACTCTATTTATGGTTTTTCAGGAACATTATTCTCCAAAATTCAAGAGCTGAAATTCAAGCCATGTGGATGCATAGGAATGTTTAAGTGTAATTTGTTTTTTCGTTTAATAAATGTTTCATTAAGTATATAATTGTTAATTAATTGTAATATGAATCGCTCGGTGAAAATTGGCGGGCCCCGCGCGGGTGAAAACAACGGTTTGCGGGTCCCGCGCGGGCGAAAATTGAGGGGCAAACACTTTCGTCGAGCGGGGCCCTCATATCACCGTCGCGGGGCCCTCATATTACCGTCGCGGGGCCCTCGTGTTTCACCCGCGCGAGGCCCTTATATCACCTTTGCGTGGCCAAAAATTCTAGATACGATTCATATTACAATTAATTAACAATTATATACTTAATGAAACATTTATTAAATGAAAAAACAAATTACACTTAAACATTCCTATGCATCCACATGGCTTGAATTTCAGCTCTTGAATTTTGGAGAATAATGTTCCTGAAAAACCATAAATAGAGTATTGAAATATAGGAATTATAATATGATATAGTCGGCGTCCGTCGACTGCTGTACGCGGGTAGATTCATGAAGATGCTCGTTTATCTTGGGGCAAGAAAATGCGAAACTCATCAAGAAAAAATAAAACGGTCATGCGAAAACAGCGAAATAAGCGTTCACACGTGGCGAGACCTTTTCAAGGCGCATGCACGTAAATCTACCCGCGTACAGCAGTCGACGGACGCCGACTATATAGACTTATCATATTATGATAAGTCTATAGTGAACCGTCTGTACATTCATTGCCAAAGTTATGAACAATGAAAAGGAACTTACTCAATAGTACTTCTGAAGGTCCATGGTGAGGCTCCATTTCCTTGCCAACTATAAACATAAATTATGTTACATAATATTATATATTATATATACAGTGCGTTGCAGAATTACAAAGCCACCCCCGAATTAGAGTGCCGCGCAGGTTTCGATATTTTGAGACTAACAAGGGAGGTGTTTTTACTTAGTGGTTTGGAATTTTTTCTAATTTTGCACACAAACAGATCAAGAAATTCCCTATCGAGTGTGCTATGTCGTTTTCTGCAAAAGTTCCAAAAAGTCCCAAAACTTTGGGTCCGAAGTTTCAAATTTTGATTCATTGTTTTTATACACTGTTTCATAATTTTTGCCATACTTCCTCACCACGCACAAATACCCCATTTCGATGGAACTGCGGCAAGCAGCGGTGGTTCAGTGGAATGTGTATGGGTTACCAAGAAATGTGTCGTTGATTCGTTGCCCCTTCTCGCATTTTCTTTTGCAATTAATTTGTGATAAAATTTATACAAGTTTTATAATGGCTTGAAGGTTTAATTTTGTGAAATGAATAGTCTCATTTTCTGTTCGATTCAACTATTCATTTCACAAAATTAAACCTTCAAGCCATTATAAAACTTGTATAAATTTTATCACAAATTAATTGCAAAAGAAAATGCGAGAAGGGGCAACGAACCAACGACCCATTTCTTGGTAACCCATACACATTCCACTGAACCACCGTCGGACGCCGACTATATAGTCTGAACCGTCTGTACATTCATTGCCAAAGTTATGAACAATGAAAAGGAACTTACTCAATAGTACTTCTGAAGGTCCATGGTGAGGCTCCATTTCCTTGCCAACCCAACTATAAACATAAATTATGTTACATAATATTATATATTATATATACAGTGCGTTGCAGAATTACAAAGCCACCCCCGAATTAGAGTGCCGCGCAGGTTTCGATATTTTAAGACTAAGCAGTGTTAAAATCGTGTTCAGCATGAAAAATTACCTATATGTACCAATTTTTATGTTAGTATCTTAAAAAGTAACCGTGTAGTGGTCATAATTCTGCAACGCACGGTATTTAATTTTTTTGCATTTCCTTACTAAATGTAAATCTTCTTCTTCTTTGGTTCGACATTGCGCTTGGAGCATATTACCATATATATGACTGAAATAATTAAATTTAGAAGTAAGAAAAAACTAATGAAAAAAATTAGACACTTGCTAATTAATTGGACGAGTTAAATGTGATTGGAACGAACAATTTAAAACGATTGAAACAAAATACGATAAACAACGGGCACGTGTTAACGGCGGAGTGTCGTACACTGTGTTTCCACTAAAAAAAATTTTCTGTGAACGAGATTAGTCTAGAAATTCTCAATAAGAAAAATTGGTCTATTATTCGAAAAAAAAAAAAAACAATAATAAATATATTAATAAAAAAAAACTAAAATAAATAAAATATTCCAAACGCAAAATGTCTTGTTTCCCAATCGAATTCGACCACATCCGAAAGGAATACGGTCGTGATGATTCAAACACTTTGAACAATGTTTTAATTGATACACAACATGTTTAATTCTTTTGCAAAATCTTTTTTGGAAAACTGTAATACGCTGATATATTGCGGTTGCCGCAAATGGCCCGCGCGGGCCCCTCGCATTTGATGGCCTCGCGAGAGTCCTTAGAGAGTCCCGCTTACGGCCCGCAGTTGCCCCTCAGAACCCCGCATTATTTTCACCCGCGCGGGCCCCTCCATTCCCATTGAACGCAAATCACCCGCGCGAGCCCTTCTGAGATATTCACCGGCGCGGGGCCCGCAGATATGACCCGCGCGGGCCCAAATAGCCGTTTGGGCCCGCACGGGGCATAATTTGGAGTCGCGCTGGCACCGCGCGGGTCCAACCACCCATTTCCACCCGCGCGGGGACCGCCAATTTTCACCGAGCGTATCTAGAATTTTTGGCCACGCAAAGGTGATATAAGGGCCTCGCGCGGGTGAAACACGAGGGCCCCGCGACGGTAATATGAGGTCTCCGCGACGGTGATATGAGGGCCCCGCGACGGTGATATGAGGGCCCCGCTCGACGAAAGCGTTTGCCCCTCAATTTTCGCCCGCGCGGGACCCGCAAACCGTTGTTTTCACCCGCGCGGGGCCCGCCAATTTTCACCGAGGTGGAGTAATTTTACTGTGAAGGTTCGGTCCCGGCACGGGGGGATTTTTGCATTTCTTCATTTTGCTACAGTAAAAAAAGAAAAAATGAAACACACAATTGAAATCGAATGATGCGATTTAGTTCTGTGCGAGCAAGTCCTACTACCGTCGCTGATCACAATTGTGAGGGACAATGAGCAGCTCGCCGCCGAGGTCATCGGACGATTGCGATTCACGAGGGCCGACAACAGCCATTTTTTGAACACGATGGTTGAGCAAGCGATGGGCTGGGTCGACACCTATAATCGACAGCCGCTGCTCGTCCCGTTGACGTGCTGGATATCGCCGCCGACGATGAAGACGTGCCGAAGTTTCATGCTCAAGGTGATTCGTTTCGATTTTTTTTGCAAAATTCTTCAAAATTTGCGAGATTTTCTATTTGAGCTGTCGCGAGACTGTGTGCGATGAGTGGAAACGCAGACAATTTTTTTGAATATGGTAATAAAAACGGTAAAGGTCCGCAAAACACGCGCACGCAAAATTGCACACATTTGATGGTTTTCAATTCTCTTATCATAAAAATCCAAATAAAGTTCATTGCAAAATCCAGTAAAAATTAAAGGCGCATGCAAAAATGAGTTGAATTTGTCAATTAAAATTTCTGCAAAAGAAAAGAATGGTGACAAAAATCCGGCAAATTAAGGAGTTTTCAAAAAATATTGCTTGACTACGGTATTTAAAGGTGCATGCCGTGTTTTTTTTTTCATCAAAATCAAAAAAAATTATTTTTTTTTTTATTGAAGGATTGGAAACCGGGACAAACGGTGCTCTCGCCGACGCAAAATCATCAACACGTGCTCATTTCCGGCAATCAATCGGCTCCCGGTGCAATTTATATGTACCATGTGGCTTCGCAAATTCTCATCGCCACATTTAAAGGTTGGCACAAAAAGAAAAAAATAAAATTAGCTGAAGAGAAAAAAAAACGCGCGCGTTGTGAAAATCGCGGTTTTGAAACAAGCGAGACACATGCTGCGGACAATGTTCCGGGTTTCGCCGATGTCGCCTATTAGTGTTGTGGTTGGCGGCGGGAAGTTCTAAATATTTTTTTTTGGTTTTTGCAGGACACTCGGCTGGCATCACGTGCTTATGCACCAGCAATAATGGTCAATTTTTCGTGAGCACCTCCATCGACAAAACCGTCAAATTGTGGAGTTTTCTTACAGTAGAAAAAATTGATTGTTCGATTGGGCCGCGTAAAAAAAATTTGATTGTTTCAGGGCGAATGTGTGCAAACGTTGAAGCATCACACGCAAAAAGTGACGTGCGCGATTCTGACGAGCGACGACGAGTTTCTGATCACCGCGTCGGCGGACTCATCGGCAAAGGTCGAAAGACATGTCGTAGCCAAGCATGCATTTATTGCGGTTCGCAATTTTTCAGATGGTGAATGTCGAAACCGGCGAAGTGGTCCGCTCGTTCAATGATCACACCGGCTCGGTCGTCTCGCTTCAACTCACTTCCAACAATTTGTTCTTGATCACCGGCTCCGGCGATTTCGTCGTTCAGATGTGGGACGTCTCGAACGGCAATTGCATTTCGCGAATGGGCGGTCTGATGGCGCCCGTCAGCACGCTGGCGATCACCTCGTAATTCGCCAATCCGATGATCCACCTTTATTTCATTGTTGCAGGAACGACGCGTTCGTGGTGGTCGCGTGCGAAGACGAGACGCTGAAAGTGTTCAGCACGGTGTCGGGACAGGAGCTCCACGAGCTGATGGGCCATGAGGGCAAAGTGAACTCGTTGGTGTGCTCGCACGATGATTGCCAACTATTCGCGGCGACCAAATCGAAAATCTTTTGCTATGATATTCACAACGGCCAAATGATCGACATTCTCGATTTGCAGCAGCCATTTCCGATATGCAGTCTGAGAATCTCGTCCGACAATTATTTTTTGGTGTCGGGTTGCGGTCCGAAAGTCACGATATGGAATGTGCAAAAACGCAACCATGACGCGCATGACGTGTCCGTCGACAAAGAGGGATTCCTCACCGCTGTGGCGATGTCGTATGATGAGAAGGTAGGCTAGCGAAGAGGAATGTGCTGTGAGAATCTTGAAAAAAAATGTTTATTATACATATAATAAATGTATATATAATATATAATAATTATACATATAATAAAACATTTTTTAGAAATATTTTATTTTGGAATAATTATTTTTGAGACATTTATTTTGCAAATTATTTTCGGAAAAAAATTTTTTGAATTTTTTGGAATTATTATTTTTGCGATATTTTTTGGGGAAAAATGTTAAAAAAATATTTTTTAGAATTTTTTTGGAAAATTTTTTTCGAATTTTTTTGGAATAATTATTTTTGCGACATTTTTTGGGAAAAAAATTGAAAAAAAAAATTTTTTTGCAAATTTTTCTCAGAAAATTTTTTAAAAATTTTCTTGAAATTATTATTTTTGATATTTTTTGGGAAAAAAAAAAACATTAAAAAATTTTTTTGGCAAATTTTTTTCGGAAAAAAATTTTTTGAATTTTTTTGGAATTATTATTTTTGCGATATTTATTGGGGGAAAAAATGTTTTTGGCAAATTTTTTCGGAAATAATTTTTTGGATTTTTTTGAAATTATTTTGCGACACTTTTTTGGGACAAATAAAAAAAAATTTTTTTAGAAATAATTTTTCGAGGTTTTTTTATTGGAAAAAAATGTCTTTTCGAATTTTTTTTGGAAAAGATCTTTTTTTTAAACTTTTTATAAACAAATTTTCTTTGCATTTTTTATTTCAAAAAAAAGAAACTAAAAATATAAGCGTGTTACGTACCGAGGCACCGCATCTCACGACATATTGCACATACATAACATTTCGAATTCAGGTGGCCGCGTGCGGCACCTACAACGGAATTGTGGCTCTGTGGGATTTGGACATTTGCCAGTGCATCTCAACAATCGTGCAGGCGAAAGGCATTCCGGTGTCGTGCGTGTGTTTCACCGTCGACAACTCGTTTCTCGTGTCGGGCAACTCGAGCGGCAACATTCTGGTGCTCGATTCGAGCAACGGCAACATTCTACGCGACGTGAACGTAAGACAATCATTGTCAATCGAGAGAAACAAAAAAAAACAAATGGCGTTTAGATGCACAGCAGCGAGATCGTGTCGATATTGTCGTTGTACAGCGGTAAGATCATCTCGTGCGATCGCGACGATCGCATCGTCCAATGGGATTGTTTCGGCGAGGACGACACACCGGAAATGGTCGCCACCGGTGTGAAGCCGCCGATATTTGTGCCGCCGTCGGGTCGAATCATCATCGGCCACTGTCCGATCAATCCGAAAGAGTTGTTTTTTTTTTGTGAAGCGATTTGAACAATTTTTTGAATGCGCACATTTCAGAATGAAAGTCTGGTCGATACCCGATGAGGGCGCGCCGGTGCAGAAAAACAAATTGTCGCACAACGAGGAGATCACGTGTTTCGCGACGGCGCTGAAAGGCGGCTCGCTGGTGGCGACCGGCTCGATTGATATGTCGCTGAAAATCTGGCAAATCGATTCCGGATTTCTGACGCAGGTATTGAGGACGGCCGCGAAATTCTCGGCCACGGCCATTATTCATGATTTTGAAAATTGGTTTATTATTATCGCAATTTAAAAAAAAAACTATTTTCGCAAATATCGATGTGTTTATACATATTAAAATCAATTAATGAAATATTCAAATAAAATTAGAAATGGCGGCAATTTAAAAATGGTTTTTCTTTGCAGATTTTGGTGGGTCATGAAGACATTGTGACATGCTGTTGTATTTCCGACGACGAGCGAATTGTCATCTCCGGAGCGCGCGATCGAAAAGTAAGACGTCATCGGAATCAAAGCGTCAAGCCAACAGTTTGTAGATGATTGTGTGGAACGTGCAGACCGGCGAGAACGTCTGCTCGATAATTGCGTCGGCTCCATTGACGGCTGTGGCACTCACCGGCGACGGATCGGTTGCGTTCTCGAGTGAGTATTGTCGGCATCGAATTTCGATTCGCCGCGAGACCCAATCATTTTTTTCCGCCCAATTAGTTTTTTTTTAATTATCTAGCGACCGAAGAGGGCTGGATTGAAGCGTGGTCGACTGATAAAGGGACCCGATTGTCGACGTTCAACGCGCATCGCCCGATTCGAAATCTCATCTCGTCATTCGAAGCCAATCGCCTTCTCGTCCATCTCACTGGTTGCGCACAATTGCCGATTCTTTGCCTTCACAACACGCCGGCGACGCCGCAAGAAGCGACGCGACGGCGAAGCGCTCGAGCGCAATCCGTTTCGAGTATCACCAACGAGCCCGGTAATTGATTCGACGAAGGTTTCGAAAATGACAAAATGTTTCAAGCGTCAAGCTCGTCGTCGCAAAACGACATCAAAAAAGAGCAATCGGCGGTCGGCCATCAAACCGGCGGCAACGGAGCTCAATTGAACTCGACGCGTCAGACGTATGCGCCGAGGCCGACGTTCGACAAATTGGAGCGAAGCAAAAGTCGAACGTCGCTTATCGAGAAAGACCGGCCGACGACGTTGACGAATGTCGTTGCGCCGGTGCAAAAGTCCAATATGTGTATTATACTATAATTTATATATAAGAAATGTGAATAAAAATTGATTAGATTTTCGTCGAGTTCCACCTGCTCATTCGATTATTCATTCCCATATTTGGTTTTTTTTTGTGCGTCGTACCTCTACTATTCAATCATTTTGCTTTTTTTTCCATGAGCATCGATATTTCGTCGCTCTACTGGAAGATTTTGACGGTGTTCGATATTCTTGGATGTCTACTCAACGCGATTCTATTGTATTTGGCGTTTTTCAAAACGCCGAGCAATTTGAGGATCTACAAGATTCTCATCATCAATTTCGCGTTTACCGATTTTTTTGCGGCCGCTTTGAATTTTTTTGTGCAACAAAGGTAGCCATTCATCAAAATTTTTTTTCGATTCGTTTATCGGATTTTTTAGAATTATTCCAATTTTATACACGATTGGCTACGTTTCTCATGGCGCTTGTCGCTATTTCGGTAGTTTCGTCTGTTTTTTCAGGTACGTTTTTTTCTGCCTTCAAAATTCGTCTGAAATTCTCACATTTTGAATTTGGCGATTTTTGGTCAATGGGAGAAAAGGGGGGGGGACCACATTTTATACATTGAGAAATGAGAAAAAATTACAAAATAAAGAACTGTATCTAAAGACGCGTACGCTGAATTTGCGTCGGGTCTCGGAGCGTCTTTAATTACCGTTTTTTTTTTCTGAGATTTTGGAATATTTAATAAAATTTTGATTTAATTGTGACGATTGATTTTATTTGCCGCTTTTTAACGAATCATTGAGCTTGAATTCGAAGCATTTATCGAATTTGAACGAAAAAAAAAACAAAATTAATAATTCGAGATTATTTGCAAATTATTTTTCCGACTTAATCAAAAACCAAAAATCCATTCTCGTGAATTGGAATAATAAGAAATTGTGTCATAAAATAAAATTAATGGGTTCTGAGTACACAACTTGAATTAATGCTTGATAGCAAGGAAAGCATTATGCGCCGACTTGAGATTTTTCGGAAAAAAATCGAAAATTGTATTAACTCGTCGAAAAAAAAAACGTAATATTATGCAGATTCGGAGAAAACTTTAAAAACCACCTAAAAACCGCTTTGCAGAAAAATAAACCTCGGCCACGGCCACGTTTTTCGAAGCCCCTTGTTTTGAAATTTAAAAAACACTGCAATCATGAAGTAATAGTGAATAAGAATATGATTGCTGAATTAAAAAATATAATCTAGAAGACGCATGTAATAATTCTTCATGGTTCTTGAAGCGATTTAATAAAACCTGTGATACTGTAGGCTTGGCCGCGATTTTTCGACCAGTTATTCGAAATTCTGCATAGCGCTTTTAGGATTTTCTTTGATGCTTTCAAATTCTTAAATTCGGGCGGCCGCGAATTATTCGGCCATGGAACATTCCACGTCCACCATTATTTCGAAAATTTGTTTAAAGGGGAAATTTTATGAGTTTGAAAATCTGGGCTTAACCCAGATTCAACGTTCCCGAAGGAACAATACTCAGTCAGAAGTTCTTCATGGCCGCCAATTTGGCGGCTAGAGCCTTCTTTTATCACGGTAATTCGGCCCTTCGCAAAGGCAACACCTCTAACCCTGCTCCCCCGGGTAAATACCGAAAACACAAACCTTGCTCCTCCAGAAAATCTCCTCGCATCTTCTACACTCAAGAATAACAGATTCTAGCACAAAAACAAAAAGAACGGCGTTACTATCTAAAATAAACTGAGCCCAAAACCTCTCTCCAAAATTCGCTAAAAAGTCGCCGCTCGCTTACTGTCGCCTTTCGCCGCGAGATATCCTAGCGGCGCCACTGCATCCCCCTTTAGCCGCTTGCTATCTGCGTCTCTCTGGCGCCCGCTATCTTTTCGTCAAACGCGCGATATCTCTACCTCTCCGCGCGCGCCCTCCTCGTTCACACACTCTCTCTCTCCGCGTTTTAATTTTCCCTATTTTCATTCAATTTTCAGTCAATTCCTGCAGAATTTGACAATGAGGTGTTGATTTTTCGAAAAAATTGCGGCAATTCAAATATTTAAAAAAAATGGGCTCTAAACTTGCAAAGCATTCTATAATTGCAGTCATAGTGTGATGTCGCATCTCATCGTCCATTCGAACTATTCGCTTCTGTTCGCCTTCGCCTACCGCTACTACATTCTGATTCGTCCCGAGCCGACGCGTCGACAAGTCATCATCGCGTTGCTCGTCGTCTACTCGCCGTCGCTATTCCTCCTCATCGCCTATCAGTTCGCGAGAGGCGAACCCGCCAACATCATCCGAATCATTCAGGAGAACGCGCCCGAATACAATTTGAAGGGCCAAATGATCACCGGCGTCGAGGATATTCGAAGCATCGCCGCGCAGAGCAAAATTTTCCAATTGACCGTCATGGCGGTGCCGGTATTCATCGGGATTCTCGTGTTTCGTCGGCTCATCATCAAAAAACTCGTCATTCCCCAATATAGCATTTCGGTCAGCACCAAAGTTCTACATTCGCAACTTCTAATGGTTCCAATCTTTTTTTTATTCAAGCCCACTGAGATTCATATTCGACTTGCAGGCGTTGACCTATCAGGCGTTCATTCCGGTCATTCTATTTGTAAGCGTCGCTATGTATGTGCTAGAGCAATTCGGCATCTATCGAAGCGAGCTAATGGAGAATTACATAATGACGGGTCTCGTGTTGATACCGGTTTTCGGGCCAATCTCGTATTTCATTTTTCTAACGCCCTATCGCAAATTTCTGTTTCGAACGAAGCGAACAATTTCGGACAGAGATACTAGCATATCGCGAAGTGTTCAAACCGCCAAATTTGTGAAAGCTTAATGATTCTAGAAATTCCCCCTTTTTTATTATTTTTCTGCGTCTCCATTAATGGAACGCTCTCTCTCTCTCTCTCTCTCTCTCTCTCTCTCTCTCTCTCTATCAGTGTCTTTGCGCTCTCTCGATTGAGCACGCTATTTCATAAAACGGAATTTAGTTGAAAATTGTGTAGGATAAGCTCGCTGATTTCTCTGATAGTCTCATTCTAGTTGGGCCTCACTGCCTCCGGAAATCTTCTGGAAACGAGAATTAATGAATGCGACTGACATAACACTTTAATAAATCAATTTATTTATTATTATTGATCCATGAAATTATCTCATTTGCAAATGTCGAATCGCCACGAAGAAACCAGCTGGAAAAAGAAAACCAACTGCATTTTTTTCGGCAAAACGTAATGTCGTCAGACGCGTCGCGGCTCGCGTGCGCTACGGAAATAGTTTTATTGTCGGCGGCAATTCAAATCGTAAAATTTTGATTTGTCTTGTTGCGTCTGATAATGATTCACGTGAGCGCACGCGAGCCGCAACGCATCTGGGATGTTGGCCAACAGAAACCAATTGCGAAATTTTGAGAATTATTTTTCGCTGTCAAATATTTGAACGGTTTTCCCCAATGTGCCTTTAATATCGAATACTGTAATTTTCCGATAGACAACCCACAATTCACCGCAACGTTGGGGTGGCCTAGAAAAAATGTCATAGAAAATTAGTCTCGGCCGCGGCCACCAATAAAAGTAACAATTTCGTGAAAATAAAAGACAAAAAAAAGGTTGTGTGCGGCACTTGCATTTTTTTTGTTGGTTTTTGAAAATGTCGGCCAATTTTTCTAGGCCACCCCCCAAGTTCCACATTGTATTTTTTGTTTTCTTTGAGAATAAAAATTTCAATTAACAAACCGTGATATTAATATCGACATTGGCGATTGCAGTTTCGTCGGCATCGCCGAAGCGCATCGGACAAGCAACCAGAACGTCGGCGCGAAATCTCTCGCACGCTCGCGTTGCGGCTCATCGCGCAAAATCGAGTCCATCTCGCTTCGAAACGACAATTGATGGAATGATGTTTGAAAGAAATAATCGAGAAATCGAAACAAATCGCGAAAATCTTCGGCCTCAAACACAAATCCTGTTTTATTTTTTCACAAATCCACTCTGAAACCTCTAGAAAACCCTTCATCGTGGCAATCGTGAGGCCTTGATCGACAAGCTTTTGGTACCATTCCTTCACATTCGACAAATTATCATCAATTAGTTGCACTTTGAGCAATTGTTCATCTAATAGACTATTCGCCTTTTTTGGCCGCTCGCATTTGACAAAAAACCTCGACGTCGTGTCGGCGACTTTTTGGAAATCAATCGAAACTCTATCATAAAACTTATTCAAAATAATATTCATTGTGACGTACACTATCTGAAAATTATTAAAGTTTATTATAAAACAATTTCAAAGCATTGAACAACCTTTGGCACGTTTCCATAATATCTTGCTTCTGCTTTACTGATAAATTTCTGATTGTAAGCGACATATTGAGTGATGAGCTCGTATTTTTTCGAATCAATTATCATTCCACCGTCATTTTGCATTAATAACTAGAAATTGGCAATTAAATAAATGTTTGAAACTGTTTTCACAACCATAAATTTGTGCAAAGTTTCGACTTGGTCCCTACTTTGAACAGCGGCTTCTCTTGAAACAACCTCATTGGTTTGAAAAGACAATTCCAAAAACTACCTTCGACTTCGAACGAGACCGACGGCTCTCGCCGGCGACACACCGCCCGAGTACATTAGCCACGCGGCAATAACCATTCCGGTGCGTCCGTGACCGGCATGACAATGAATCGCAACTTTGCCCATCGACACGGCGAAATCGACAACTTTCACAATGTCCAATAAACGATCGACGCTGCACGCTTCGAAATCCGGCAATGGGAAATTGTAATAGTAAACTGAAAATCAACAAAAACATGAATGCGAATTTTTCTGGCAAAATTGATAATGGGTCCCTTCACGGGGGCAATTTGTCGGACGATTTGACAAATTTTTGTTTCAGAAAATTTTAAAAGCTGAATTTATTGCATTCAATTTTAATTTTCCAACAAAATTTTCACATTATTCACACTTTTTGGATAATTTCCATTTCTGCGCATCAAAAAAAGAATAATTGAATGAAAGTGCCGAAAAAAATTTCGATTTAAAAAATTAAATAAAAGAATGGCCGCGGACTTGATTTTCTCGGCCGCGTATGCCAGCCGTCAGCATTATGAATTATTGTGGTCCCATGTTACAACGCTTACTTCGGGTAAAATTAAAAATTCAATAAAAAATAATTATTGATTAAAATTAAAAATGATTTCTCAAAAAAATCAGGCTTAGTTAAAAATTTTGCAAATAAATGAGTAGATTTACATAAATTTCTACTTTTTTTCAAACCAACGCCCAATTTTTCGAGAACCGATGGAAATAAAAATCCGTGTTCGAAAAAAAAAAGAAACCGCCGCACTTCCGCTTCGCATCAACGCCTCCGGATCGTAGCTGAAGCCGCTCGTCAGATTTCCCGAACCGCAAAACGCGTGCTCGCCGAATTGTTGCAAATTGAACACCGATTTGATGTCGTTTTTAATGAATTGCTCGATGATTGAGAATTCATCGAAATGACGCGGTTGGAGTCGAGCCATCGCCAGAATATTGTCAGTGACCCTTCAAAATTTATACAATATTAACGGATTAAGAAAATTATTTTTAAAAAAATCGATGAATTATGTTTTTTTAATTGTAACTATGCGTATATATAATTTCTTTTTTCCGATAATTTCTCTTTGGAAATTTCAAAAAACACATTTCGAAAGAACAATTGAATTGTGTGCAAAATTGCGTTGGTGTGTTAACAGACGGCGCGTTTTTATGCCTCTTTTTCAACTACTTTTAATTTTTTCCATTGGAAAATTCGAACGTGGCGAGACCATAGCGAAAAACGCGCACCCCTAAAACCAATCGGATTCGAAAAACAACCAAAAAAACCATTTTGAACAAATTTCTGCAAGCTAAATTTGATGGAGGCTGAATGGGATGTATCCAATTAGACCCCCCACAAACACAGTGGGGGGCTAACCTCAGAGCATTGGACCCCTTAGTTGATGCTTCCTTTTAAAATACACCGAATTGTGCCTCATCTTCATAAATTGCTTGCAAACCTTTTTGCGACCTCAATTCATGATTATCCATGTTCTCAAATATAGGAAATTGATTAAACTAAATTAAACGTGATATAGATTTTGAAAAAATAAGTACAATGCGAGAAATCAGCAATAAAAAGCACGCGAACAAAAAACCCGGCCATGCAAGTTCGGCCATGACTGTTCGGCCACGCTGCGGCTCAACTAATTTTATATCCCGAATCCGATTGGTTTTCACCTCGTTTCTTATATTTTTTATTCTTCTTCTGAATTCTTATAAACAGTGTATTATGCATATAATTTACCATGTCGAATAGAGCCCTTGAATCGCTTGAACTGTTTGACTTCTCGACGGCACCACACAAAATCGACATCTCGGACCTTTGCAATAAAATCTGCATTTGTTATCGCCGGGCGTTAAATATAGAATGCCGGTGCGAATTTTCGAGTAGGTCGCCGTCGCTTGAAAATCAAATTGAGGGTCATCAAAAAATCGATCATCACCAACCTTTATCATAGTTTTGAATCGAGTATTTGGCGAGCATGGACGTAAACGAAGCAAGACTAACTAACAACAAAAAAAATCGCGCTTCCGGTCGACACGTGTTTTTCGGCGCGACGAAACAAGCAGAGAAAAAACCTACTGCCATGGCAACGAATGCGAATTGCGATATGTGCTCACTTATGAGATGAGCAATTTTTTATTAATATCTTTTTTGTGGCAAAAAATTCAAAAGAGAACAGTTGCAAGATTTGAAATGCATATGAAAAGAAAATCGAAATCTATTAAGGGGGGGGGTAATTAGTTTGCGAATACTTTAATCGACAAGTTCCTAATAAAATTTTAGTAGTATTGTTGAAAAATGACAAATGTATCCACGTGTCGTAGGATTCTATCGATTTTTTTTAAAATAATTTTGAATCGAAACCAAGATTTCAAATCGAATTTGAATTATTTTTCTATCGAAACAGGTTAATTTATGTTTAATTTTTCTTCGAATCCGATTGATTTTCATTCACCTGAGCAATCAATTTAGGGAAAACTGAATTATTAGTTTTTGGGTACGCCTGAAATCTAAGTTTTTTCTTTGTGCTGAAAACGATCTTATTATTGATATATTTTGAAGGTTTGCATGGCTCTATTGGCTATTTTGCGTTAAATTTTGTGAAATGGATTTATGGGTGAGTCAGAAAAGCCCATTATACACGACAATGTTTCATCAAAGTCGATCGTTCAACTTCCAATGCCAATCCCTTCAATAGCTAGTCGATGAGGCTTACTTTTCTTCTCCGGAGAAATTTTAACAAACCCAATGTACCTTTACCTTCAGAAGAATCTAAATTCCTACTTCCCTTTCTTTAATTTCTTGTTGTCTCGCATAAAGATGCCACGGAAATTCTTGATCTTTAATAAGTCTACTAATTCTAGTAGATCAAAGTTTGTGTTAATGGCTTTAGATCTTTATCAAATCTTAGATTCGTCATTTAAAAATTATAATTTTTATAATACCACTTTTTAAAAGAAATCGACATCTATCAATTTTCTAAAAAGTGTGAAAATGACACATTTTTTGAGAATTTGAACGTGAAAATAGAAAATTTAAAACGAAATCGACATCTCAACAGAAAATTAGTCGAAAATACATTTTTAAAAATTATTGAAACACTTTTTTAATTACATTTAAAATTTACTCATTTCATTTCAAAATGTGTTAAAATGACTGAAACGTCGAAAATATTGAAAAATGGTATTATAATCCCTCCTTCCTATACTACTAATTTTCACAACCAAACATTTTTTTAAATGCAATTAATTATGCCCGTGGAGCAAACGCTGTGGCCGCTGGAATCGGCGCTCGGCGACTTTGGCTTTCCAATAAGCGTTCCGTCATGTCCTTCTGAAATCCATGCAATTTGTGATCGACTCAAATCATTGCATACCAATGCTTCGAGCTCTTTTGCCGAAACCATTCCATATTCGGTGACGAAAAAATAGAAATGTTTGTACAGCGTGTTCGCGTGGGGTTCCTTTAAAACAAAACATTCGCTATAGTCGATTTCAGAGCCGGTCGCTACGAGACTCGGCACAAAACCAAACGTGCGCCTTTAATTACCGTATCAAATTGTTCCGTCGTTGTGTGCCCAATTTTCAATTATTTTTTCAATTACCTTTTACAAAATTGTGAATGAACGCATTTCAATGGAAAAATTCCAAAAAAAAATAATAATATTTGATTAAAGGCTCACAACACGAAAAATGACATGGGTCTTGTGGCGATTCCAGCAACCGCCCATTTTTTTCTCAAAAATTGACTATACTATGATCAAAAAAATAAATAAAAACGAGAGCCTTGGATAATTACAGACAAATTTATGGCAAAATTCCAATAATTTTTCGATTTTTTTGTTGAATTTCTCAAATAATTTTCCTCTTCCACTATTACGGACCAGCTCAATTTCAATTAAAGCTCTTATCGGTTTTTTAATTGCCGCCTTGGGTCTCGTGTCGAAAAAAAGGTTTCTAATTCGAATGTGCAAAATCAAAAAATTTTAGCTATCAAAAAAGTGGCAAACGACGGAACGTGGACCAATTACAAAATAGACCGCGAAATTCAAATTTCTCAAATTACAATATATCATACATAATATATAATTAAAACTAACCGCGCCGAGTTCGCGAATACGATCGAAATGATGAATGTAAACATGCACGAAAACTCGAAACAATCGCGTCAGAATTTTTTTGCAAATTTGGCGAAAATCCTTCGGAAATGGTACACCTATAAAACAAATAATAATGGGAAGAGGCAACGCAAAGGAATAAAAATGATCACGTTTCTCAAAAAATCACCTCAAACTTACTCGTATTCGACGGAAAAATGTGCTCGTCATTGATTCGAATTTCAATCCAATCCATTAATAGTTGCATGTATTGCGGCGCCGGCAATCGCGTGGGTTTCTTATATTCGATTCCGTCTTGCCATAAATACTCATATCTGAAAATGTGGCCGAGTGGAAATGGGATGATAATTTTAAAAACGAAACCTTGAGCCTCCCGACATTGTTGGGCACGATTCAGCGGTACATACGTCCGAAATTGTTCCATACATTAAATTGATTCGATTAAAAAAGTCGACAGCTGGAAAAATAGATTTTTTGTTGGAATTGCGACTGGGGAAAATTGGACAACAATGCAAAATTGTTTTGAGAGAGAAAAAAAAACACAAACTGTGAACGGCGAGCCAATCGTCGAAATTTTCGTTGGGCGGCAATTTGACGGCCTGCCGCAAATCGACGCCGGAATGAAGTGTGGCTTCGGCCTGCTTATGCAAGTGGTGTCGAAGGGTGCCCTGCGGGAACTTCTTCTTCGGCCGAAATGTTTTGTGTTTGTTGACCTGCAAAAAATCGAGGAAGCTCGCCATCGCGGCGAACAACGGCGGTGTCGAATCGCGACGCGCTGCTGCCAATTGCGTATCGCCGCTTCCGTTGTGTTGGTGTGACGATGGCGTCGGTTTTCGAGGCTCGCCACTGAAAAACAATACTCGTTACATTATCTTAGGTGTCTCGGACGAAATTGGGGATTTGTTTACACACGATAAAGTAAACACTTGAAGATTTTTAAGTAATCTACACTAATTTTCTATATCGTAATTACTGGGAAAAATGGGTAATTTTCGAATTTTTTGGAGCAATAGAAAAAAAGAAAAAATGCAATTTCTTGGCATTTGCATAATATTTGCATAGAACGACCGCCTAGAATAAAATCGAAAATATTTTACTTCGTAAAATGATGTATTTAATGAACGTAAAAGTATCGTCATGAAACGCATGCACGCATTCACAATCGACGCGTTGAACATGTGAAACAAACGCGGCCCTCGTGGATAGATATATAAATAACGTGGCGGCTTGAGAGGGCACAGATCATCACAGCGTTGATTCGGGAGATGAGCGGACGGCAGGAGGAAGACGGACTCAGGTTACAATAAGCTAGTTTTGAATTTGAGGTCTTGAATTGGAATTGGTATTACTTTTCGAATTTATCGAGAAAAATAAGTGGGGAATTGAAATTCGGATCGTAAAAACTCCTTTATTTAATAATATGAGAAGCTAGCTATAAATCGGGCTTCAAATTTTTTTCGAATTCTAAAAGTGAACCTGCAGGATTTTTTTATCGCAGGTTGAGGCTGGCGCAGAGGAAAATCACAGAACAACTGCATTAGCTTTCCATATTTTTTAATTTTTTTGTAGCATTATATGCCAAAAAAGAAAAATATATTAAATTTCATCGCTGTCACAATTTTAAGAATGATTTAATTATTAATCATTCAATCAACTATTGCTTACCGAGTATTGCTATCACTGCGCTTCATTTTGGTGTAACACGCAAAGTTGAGTGAGTACTAAAAAATGTCTCTACTAAAAATGATTGACAACACGTATTTTAAATAAAAATACGTAAATAATAAAACATATTTTGAAAAAAAAATCAGAAAAATCAAAAATGTCGTCAATTGTGATGTATTGTTACTGTAGACGAAACACCATCGACATCTCTTGCACATTTCGCTAATTTTCCCATTTAATATTTTTATTTTCCTTTTATCCTTTTTTGGTATGTAAGTTTGTTTTAATCATTATCATTATTATATAGTAACATCCACATAAAATTTACAAATCAGTTTTCAATTTAATTACTGGCAAAAATTGCAAAAACTGTGTTTCATTTCGAAATTTAGGAGATTCTTGTTTTAACGCACAGCATCGCTTTTCATTTTTCATCCACTTCTTCCAGTCGTTGACGATATTTTTCCTTTTCATTAATTAACCAATTTTAATTACTTTGTTTTATTTTTCATTAGTGCATTGCATCATAATAATAATAATGACAACCAAGCTCCGAGAATGTCAACCAAGCTCCGAGAATGATATAGAGAGCTGAGCATAACGTTTTACAACATCCCTCACTGCCCGCTTTCCTCTGTGTCACTCACCCATTTGGCAAAGCGCCAAATTTCCCCTGCTCGATTTTGACTTTCATGTCTTTTCTCCGCCAGTTAATACCAAATTTATTTTAGCTTTTTGTGTTCCCCATAATGGATGCTAATAGATTTTTAATAGATATATAAATGGCTTGCTTGATGTTATATTGAATCGCACATTTCCTAAATAGCATGAAATCTTTTTTTAAATGTAACGAAATCTTATCTAGAGAGAATTAAAAAGTAACTAAACAGCTGACGACAGTTGGTTAGCGGATAGTTTGAACATTCTCACGTAGATTGTGTATTTGTTCGCTTTTTTTCTAAGCTTTGCTCTTATAATGTTCAATGTTTCTTTTTATACGGTCCAGATTTTATAAATATCTCTGCTAAATCAAAACCAATTGAATTCGAATTTTTAATAAATTTCCAATTGATTTCGAAAATCCCTGACAATTTTGCAGATCCGGTTGATTTTTTTCTAGTTATCTCATATTTTTATTATTTTATATGCAAAATTTGATTTATCCGGTTTTTATTTGTGAAATTTGGAACTTTTTGAATTAAATAAATAATGTGACGCAAAAATTTCATTAGCTCAGATATTTTCGCCGCCGCGTTGTTTCGATTTTTATTTGAATTCCATCTATCGATACCACACGGCCCGACTGTGCTTGCGCAAATGATTTTGCGTCGCTGGACCAACGAACCAGCTGCGTGCCTCGCCAGCAACAAAGGCGGTTTTCAAAAAAAAAAATACGAGCGAGCGCGCGCGCGCGCGCTGTCTCAGAGGTGAAATACCGCTCATCGCAATAGAGACGAACGCGATGAAACGCCTCATCGGCGCTCGCAGCTCTCTGAAAAACCGCGATTTGTCCACGAAAAAAATACATCGCGTCATGGCCCGCCCTCTCATTGCAGAAAAAAAAACAACATATAGGCCGTTGTTGGGTATAAAATATTACCCCATTTTTATTCTTTGTTATATCCTACTTTTGGATTTTGTTCCTGTTGATAGCTGATCTCTTCAATTGTTTGTATTACCCCAAAATAGTTTCATAAGACCTTCATTTTTAAAGATTGCATCATCAGACTAGTTGAGAGCACAAAGAACTTGAAATTTTTGAACTTGGAAATCGGCTATCTTCGTCTCTTCAACATTTGTTGCCACTTGGCACGTTACACTTGCCGTGCACATAGTACGCCAATTTTCACATCGATTCGCAATTTTCTTTCATAGTTTGTTGAAGTTTTTTTTTGAGCATGGCAATTATATCCAATTTTAAAATTGTTTTAAGCAAACATCTTGCAAAGAAATTGCGAGGAACGACCCAATTCTCTTTCTATTTAGTTTAGACACAAAAATTCGCCTCTCAAAGATGTTTAATAAACCTGCGACTCATCGAGCAAACAAAAGAACGCTTCCTTTGCCGTGCTTTGCTCATTTTTTCCCCTCGTTGTCCATTTTGATTATATATTTTTTTCTATTTGAAGAATACAAGAAATATCAAATTTCAGGGGTAATTTTCGTATCAAATCGTGAAGTGTCGGCGAGTTCCAACAAATCTTGCCACCGTTTTCGCCTAAATCAAAGGCGAAGGCCCTCAGAGCCACAACTCCACTTCCTTGCTTTTTCGCATTCGGATCCGACCATTGGATTTTGTTGTTTGTAATCGGTGAGTCTCAATGATTATTAATTATCAATCATTTATTCTTCTAATGCACCGGAAACGTTGTTATCATTAGCAGTCAGCTGAAAATTGATGCTGATAGCTGAATGATGCGCGTGGTTTGATAAATTCTCATTTGCGCATTTCTTCCAGAGACAAAATGCTTCTGGATCCCAGCGTTCTCGTCGCGATTGGCGCAATTATCGCGTTTGTGTTGGCGTTTGCGATTGGCGCCAATGACACCGCCAATTCTTTTGGAACATCTGTTGGAAGCAAGGTAATTTTCGCTTTTTTTTTCGAAAATCCCGCCAATTCCCAATTGCAGGTATTGACCCTTCATCAAGCGTACATATTGGCGAGCATCTTCGAAACACTTGGCGCATTACTTATCGGCCATCAAGTCACCGACACGATGCGCAAAGGTGTCATCGATTTCAATTCGTTCGTTTTCGTCAATGAATCGATCGCCACCGACGTCGATTTGTTGGCGAACACGAAAGTTCAACACGAGCTGATGTTGGGACAAATCGCAATTCTCACCGGTTGCGGTGCCTGGATGTTGTTGGCGACGGCGTTCAAATTGCCGGTTTCGACGACCCACTCGATTGTTGGCGCAACGATTGGATTCGCGTTGGTCGTTCGCGGTTTCAAGGCGATCGTCTGGAGGAAAATCTATCGAATTTGTAATCGACCGTTTTTTTTCCAACACAACATTATCAATTTTTTCAGTTCTTTCATGGATCGTTTCGCCATTGTCTTCTGGGTTTACGTCAATTGTCATCTATATTGCTTTGGATCATTTGGTTCTTCGAAGGGTATGTCTAATTGAATAATTAAATTTGAAAATATAAAATGTGAGAAGAAGGGGGAGGTGGAGTTTTAATGTATCAATTTTTAAACGTAAATGCTCAAAACAAGAGATTTGAAGCATGCTAGTTTTTTTTGCCACACTGTTTGCAAGATTATGCTCAGTTTTGTAGAAGAAACTCAGAAAAAAAACTGTAAAAATCCTGAAACCTTATGATTTCGGGGGTTTTTTGAGTTTTCCTAGAAATTCTGCATTATTTTCGAAAAATCGAAACCAAAGAAATGTTAGTAATTTTACAGAAACAGCCACTTCATAGCGGAATACAAGTTCTACCAGTGTTGTACTTTATCTGTTTCGCGTTCAACGTGTTCGCCATCGTTTACAAAGGACCATCTTGTATGTTTCGAGCGAAAACCTATTGGCATTTTTTTGATTTCAGTTTTGCATTTCGACAAACTTACGCTCTATCAATGCCTCGCAATATCGTTCTTCACCGGACTTCTTGTCGCGCTTCTGTTCGCCTTCTTCTTTGCTCCTTACCTCAAGGATCACATCTTGAGTATGTTTAACAGTGAGATGAGGTTAGCAAATTTCGATAAGGCAAATTTCAATGACGCCTTATCGTGCTTTGGTTATTGTTTTTTGTTGAATTTCTAGTGGTCCAGGATAAGCTTTTTATTAGAAATTTTTCAATTTCCATTTCGTCGACGTTTTAGGCAAAGAGCTTCTGGATTTGCAACGTCGTCGTGCTTCTGAGCGTCACATTGAGAACAAGAAACCGGAAAAGGATTTGGAAGCGGCGAATGAGTTGGAGTTGAATAGCGTTGAACGTAAATTGATGCATTTTTTTTTGAAGTGTTGAAATGATTTTGATTTTCAGAAACAACACTCATTGACAAACCTTCGATTGTCATCACGTCGGCATCGACGATAAATGGCGAATCGACGTCGTCGTTCAATGTTCAGAAGAACACGATTCGTCCGGCGACATCGCTTGCCTCGTTCTTCAGAAGTTGCAAACCCGAAGATCCGCAAGCGTCGCGTCTTTTCTCGCTTCTCCAAGTGATGACTGCGTGCTTCGGCGGTTTCGCGCACGGCGGCAACGACGTGAGTAACGCGATTGCGCCATTGGTGTCATTGGTGTTGATGGGATATCACGGAATGGAGTCGTCGAATCGCGACACACCATGGTACATATTGTTGTACGGATCGATCGGAATGTGTTTTGGATTATGGATGCTCGGGCATCGTGTGATCTATACGGTTGGCGAGAATCTCACGAAAATCACGCCCGCTTCGGGATTCGCTGTTGAGTTTGGCGCCGCCGTGACCGTTCTCGTCGCTTCCAAACTCGGAATGCCAATTTCGTCGACACAATGCAAAGTAAGTGATGCGATGTCGAAAATGAAAAACTCGATTCGAATATTCCAGGTGGGTTCCGTCGTCGCCGTTGGATTAGTTCAAGCCAATCATCAAGTTCATTGGGGTGTTTTCCGAAACATTTCGCTTTCGTGGATTGTCACATTGCCAGTAGCTGGTAATCAATGATTTAAAAAAAAACTTGTTTTAATTAATTGCGTTGAACTAAGGTCTCCTCTCGGCTGGAGCGATGACGCTTCTCCATTTGCTCGAATTTGGAAGCAACGCGACATCGGATGATTCGGTGTTGAAACTCTTCGTTTAATATCCTCGTTATCATTTTGTTTTTCCTCCGTCATAACCTACGCGCATAGTAGTTGGACGCATTTTTTTTCAGTGTTTCAAACGTTGTTATTGGTGGCATTCATTTCAAGAATTGCCGTTGTTTTGTTACAGATTAGTAATGGGGAATTCATTTATCCCAATTCTGATCGAAGAATTCGGCCTCTACCGGTTTTTGTTTTTTTTTTCCTTTGATTTTTCCCGAATTTTTGTACCGCGGTAATAATTTCGTTATGGTGTTTTTTTTTTGTTATTTCATTATTTTAGCATCACACTAGCCGCTTTGTTTGTTATTATCGCATTTCATATTTAATTGGTTCTCTATTTTTTTTTTCGTAATTTTCACCACACCCGTTTTATATCGACGCACTTTTGTCTTGATTTTCTTTGAATTTTCTTGGTAACACTTGAATTATGAGCAAAACCGTTTGGAATTGAAATGACGAGCGTGTTGTTTTGTTTGTAATGAAACATTCCCCCCTCATGCATTGTTTTAATCAAATCGTCATCATCCACCCGACGAATTCAATCTTGACCTCTCTCATTTTGGCTTTATTTGCATTATTTCAATTTTTTTCTTATTTCTAACTGATGAAAATCTTCCTCCACAATATTTCACTTTGGTTTTTGTTCGAGAATGCAATAAAGTGTTAGAATAATTGGGTCACCAATATTTTGTAGCGTGGGTGTGTTCTGACACACTTTGATAAAGTTTTTTTTTGGGGAGATAAGAAGATGCCACACATAACCTCGAAAATCATCAAAGAATGATAAGAAGTGGGAAAATAGAAAAAAAACGACACGTTTAAATTGTCGTCAAATGTAATGCACAAGTCCGCAATGTTATTTCCAGATTTATTTTACCCTTGAAAACACATTTAGAGTCGAAAAATCGGAAGTGTGACACCATAAGAGTTCCGAAAACTTTTTAACGCAACCAGTACGACACTCCAGTTACAGATCGCCCTCAGTTTAGCGCATCGGAGTTGAACATTTTCAAAAATCACCTTTTTTATGCAGTTTGGTTTGAGGTTTCCAACGTGCTCGAATGTAGCAATAAAATTTCTGTGAAGGATTCACAAATTTCGAAACGATATTACGCAAAGTCCGCAAACACGCACAGCGCCATAGCGAAAAATTCAAATTTCCAAGTTTGGTATGATCTTGTGACGAAATAATTTCTGAATTATTGATTTTCTCAAAATTTCCGATGAAATTTTCAATGATATGACTCTTCATTCAGTTTGATAATTGATACAAAAATTACACCGTCGTGATTGAGACAATCCCATGGATTCCACCTGGTCGTGTGCGACTCGAAAGGACTTCGCGTGTTGTCACAAACTCATCATAGATCATGTTGTCCTTCTCGCGCGCCATTTTTTGTTGTGATATTTGAAGAATCGCCTGAAACATTTCATTATTTTTTGAATTTCATTGCATTCCCAAAAAAACTCAATTTTTGCTTCACTTATTGTCTGACAAATATAATCAATCTATAATCAATCAAATAAAATTCTCGTCAGGTTAAGGAGAATAAAATCATGTGCTCGCGAGAAAGAGCAGGCCTTTTAAAAGAGTCGTCGAAAATCGCGAAAAAAAGCAATAATCATCTAAAATTCCGGATCCAAATTGTATCAATGATGCTCATAAATGCTATTAAGGCGATATTAATCGCGCTCACATAATGTTTCCCTGCTGATTATTCTAAAAAAATTTACTTATAAACGAATTTTTTTCATGGTCGTCTTATTATGGCCTAATTTTTTTCACAGCCGCCGTCGATGGGGCTATCGGGCGGTAATTTTAGCAGCACACAAGATCGAAACCTGCTCGGACGGATGCGCTCGCTCGACCATCTTTTGTTGCATTTTCAACGTCTTCTTCAGCTTCTCCCTTTCAAGAATCCGTTTTCGTTCCTCTCTTGTGTGAAATCTGCCAAGCTGAAAATGCGATTCGATGCCAAATTGCCGAAATCGTGTTGTTTCTCATTTCCTCACTTTAAGCTCGCTCATTGCGTCATCGTCGGTTGAAATTGGCGCTCGTTCTCGATACAATTGAGCTTCTCGCTTTTTCAATATTTGGCTGCGTATCGGTCGTTTCACTATATAACGCGAGCCGTCGCATCGGCGTTTTATCTGAATGTTTAATATGTATTTAAGGATCAACTACGTTGTGCGGGGCGAGAAAAAAAAAATAAAAAAATGTGGCATCGAGGCGTGACGCAAAAATTGCAGGAAAATAAATATTCGAAAAAAATCTCTGTTTTACCCTATTTTTTTCCATAACCACTTCCACAAACGACAGCTTTTGACGAAAAATAAACAAAATGGGTCTTAAATACCAATAAAATATAATTTCAATAATTGATTAATTTAAAAAATTTAGAAAAGCATAGAAAAGTGATATCAATAAAATTCAATTCGTCAGTTGAGGAACGCGCCGGGCGTGTCTGTTTACACACCGACGCAATTTTGCACACATTTTATTTCAATCAATTTTCTTTGATTTTTTCAAAACTTTTTTGAATTTTTGCATAATTTTTTAATAGAATAAATAAATTATTAATTATTTATAATGACAAATTGAAATTTGTTCGCGAAATTCAAATGTTCAATGGTTTTCTTTGCTAGATTTACGATTTCAATACCTTCCATTTGTAATGAATTGCGGTGTCGGCGATATCTTTGCTGGCCATTTTTTCCTCATCGACAACTTCTTCAATTTCATCATCGGGAAGTGTGTCGACGACAAAACTCGTCGGTTTCGTGCGCGTCGTTCGAAAATATCTGCGACAATTGCGTTATTAAACGGCGAATTATTTTTCGATTGGCGAGATTACTGGGGAATCGCGAAGCGAAACGAGCTCTTTCTCGTCGTCTCATCTTTCAAAACGACCGAATATGATGGGATTCGAAATCGCTTCGCATACTCAACGGCATCGGTGGTTGGCGGCGGCGGCGGCGGCGGCGGCGCCGCCGATGACGATGACACCAGATTTTTGGCGATTGAAATTTTGCGAAGGCTCGTCCCTTTTAGAGCGCCAATCACCGATTTAGGCGCCTTGAAAACCGAGCATTTCGAGCATGACGCTTTCGAATCGTCAATTTGACCATTATTATTAATTACAGGCACTAAAATAATTAATCGCCCAATTAATTAATTAATTAACTACCTGGTTTGTCGTCATGCGGCAGAACGACAATCGGCAATTTTTGAGATTTGCGCTGAACCGCCGGACTCGGCAACTTTGTGGTCCGTCGTAGGCCTCGCGGCGATTTTTGCGGCTGACTAATTCTGCATTGATTTGAGATTCCTAACAAGGCATTCAAATTTGACGCTTACGAATTGGCGCGGATGAATGTGGTGTCGGGTGTCACCGAAACACTTCGGCAACTCTCGCCGCCGGTATTGTAGGCCGATGAGGTGTCGGCGGCGCCGTTGGGCCAAGCTGTGCAGCTCTGAACACAAAACGAACACAATTTTCGATTCTGCGAATTTCTTGGAAACAATTTTTTTCGGAATTTTGAATCGATTTTTAATCGCGCAAAATTTTCAATGCAGAGAAAAAAATTGTAAATTAAATTTTTAAAAAATCAATAATTAAAAAAAGTTCGTTTTTTCTAGAATTTTCATTTTAAATCAGAAATTCTTGAATAAATTCGTTCTATTAGGAGATTGCTTGACGAGAAACGAAATGTGTGCATAATTGCGTCAGTGTGTGTGCACAGAAGAAAAAACAGGATAAAATCGAGAAAAATGTTTTTTTTTTTTTAATTTTTCAACGAAATCTTGAAATTACCTGCGAAAGCGTCTTCTCAACAATCAAATGCTTATTCAACAGACGATCGCATTCAACACTCAACGAGGCCATTTCCATATGAAGCAATGCAAGCTTCTCATCAATGTCCGGTGATGAATATGATTCCATTTTTGGCAATCATGAAAATTGAACAATTTTAATTTGTTGAATCTCGCATCGTGCTAAGACCCAAATTATTATGTGGCTTTACGCGATTGGATTTTGAAAAAAATAAATTTTTTTGAAAACCGGGACTGCTGGGTGCGGGTATTTTTACGGGTATGCGTCTTTCTCTTGGTCTCGCACGGACTAACAGTTCATTTCAAATTTTATGGACCGGTTTAATAATTGTTAAATCGAACGAAGTTGTGAGGGATGGCCTCGTGGCCGAGTTTGGCGTGGCCGTGGCCGAGTCGCGAGGAGTAGCATTTTTTGGATTTGCACCGCATTTATTAGTTAGTTATTGGCGTCCGGCGACTGCTGCTGTGTAGATTTACGCGCATGCGCCTTGAAAAGGTCTCGCTACGCTTTAACGCCTATTTTGCCATTTTCACGCATTTCTTGGAATTTCCAACGTCATTTGTCAAAACCGATCCATAAAATTTTTTTGCGGTGCGAGACCGCCGAGAAAGACGCATACCCGTAAATCTACCCCCTATATTGGTGTATGAATTTCGAAAAGTGCCACAAAAAAAATTAATAAGCGATTTGAAATCAGGCGAATTGTGTAATACGAATATGATGAGCTCATGGGAGGAAGGGAGGAGAAGGTTGCGGACATCGACGGCTGTTGTGTTGTTAAATTCCGGCAACGTTTGGCACGTCGTAAATCTTGGCATCGCAACAATTGCAACACTTCAAGTATTTCACGAAATTCGATGATTTATATAGTCAAGGAGGCAGGGGCTGGGTCTCGTATGGAAAATATCGAAAGGGCTACAGTTTCTATTCAATCAAAAAATTATATAAAAGCGCATAATTTTCGATGAATTTTAAGTTTAAAATACGCATAGGAGCACATTTAAACATTAAAGGGGGGGGTGCTTTCGAAACGAAGTGTAATAATTTGTTGGAACACTCAAAAAAAAAATCTAGGAAACAGATGTTTTGAATCCATCATGAAGATGCATATGATATAGATTTTTGGCTCGAATCGGCGTGCGCCTTTAAATTTCAAAAAATGTGATATTTCTGACAAAAATGTAGTTCAAATTTGAATTGCCGCCTCGAAATTGTGCGATGGTCCATGATTTCTAAAATAGTGATTTTCTATTGAAATTTTAATGAAAAAATATAATATTGATTTGGGTCTTGTCACGATCAGTTTCTGATTTTGTCTCATTGTTGCTGAAATTCAAATATTTGAAATATGCACATAAAAAACCTTGTAATTAGTAGGGGTTTTCAATGAGTACAGTATTTAAAGGCGCATAATGCATTTGACTTTAATTCATCACAATTTAGATTTAAGAAAATTGCTTTCACAAAAAAGAAATATTAAATGTTGGTTACTGTAATTAAAGGCGCACGCAATTATCGAAATCATAATTAGACTATACAAATTAAAATCGAACGAGAAAAAAAAGTGGAGAAATGTTCAAATGTTTAGCGAGTCAAGATTTATGAGTCTCGCCGATCGGCCCACTATTTTCACGGACCAACTGGTCCCCGTCGTGTTCTCGTCGAAAACGCCAACAGAAAAAAAGTGGCATCGACATGTCAATTTAATAGATTTGTTGTTCGTGTTGCGATAATATCAAGCGTGAGCCAATAAAAAAATTGTTGTGCTCATTCCTAGCTAAATTCTTATTCATCAACTTTATCGTTGGGGGTTTTTTGATTGATTTGATTTTTTGCTCGTCTCAATCCGAATGTCCAACACCAATCTCGCATCGCCAATAACCGATATTCAAGTAAACGGACCGCCACCCAACAAATTGGGACCCTTATAATCAAGGTTGCAGGTCGTCAAAAAAATCGAGTCAATGTTCGGCAAAAAATTCTGCTACGAGCTTCTTGACGTCGGCGAAGCGTCGCAATTAATCAAAAAAGGCGACGGTCTCGGTCTCGAGCTTCGCCAATTTTTCATCGTCTCCATCAACTATAACAGTCCGTTTTTGGTGCGCCATCATCGATGGGACCACAACAATCATTTTCTTTCTCCAGGGCTCTCTGAAAGCCGGCGACATTGTGCTCTCGTTGAACGGACAACACCTAAATGATGTTGGCCAATTCGTCAAGTGGGTTGTTTCGAGAAAACCGTCAAGTGATAGTCGGCAATGTGTAGAATTGTCCAAAATTTGCAACAATCGCCGGTGCCGAGGGCTGTCATCAAGTATATTCGATTGAAGCGGCGAATTAGTCGGCCGGTGTCTTTTCCGCGTTCGTTGTCCTACGCGTTGCGCGGCTCATTCCATCGATTTCGAGCTAGGCGATGCAAGTGCGCTCTATTGAGAATTGTCGAGCCGCCGCAACGCGTCTGACGACATTGCCCCCCAGTATGATTCGTTTTTTGCAGCATTCCAGAAGCAGGAAGGATATTCATATGAAACGGCAGTCATTTACAATATGAAGGGAATATTCCATTTAGGTTTAGACCTTCGTGATATCGACGGAAAAGTGAGGCAAAGAAAAAATTTAGAAAGAAGAAATGTGAATTCAGCTTATTGTGTGTCATATGATTGAAAACTCGCTATCGGATTTGACATTTTCGCTCGGCGAGGCCATCATCGACATTGACGGTGAAATAATGCTCAATTTGAACATGGTTGGAATTTTTTCCACTGGAATTTCGCTTTTTGAATTTGAAAATTGTCCGCAAACATCCAGGGTGTTAATTCTGAAACACATATATTAAAAAATTATTTGGATTTAATCATTTTAATGAAATTCCACAATATCGAAATAATTCGGAAGAAATTAAAAGTTTTGCGCGTAAATTTGAGCAATACGAGAAAATGTGTGCAAACACCGCGACGCGAAATGACACATTTATTTTTTCCACAATTTATTGAAATCTATTTTTTTTCTTTTGTGTAGGAGGAGGGGGTTTCTTCGACAAAATTAGATTGCATTTTCGTTCAGCCAGTTTGATTTCTTTTTTTAATTTTTAATTTTTTTTTAGTTTCACGAGCGCTTGAAAAAATCATTGGAGATTCGAAAGTACGCGTTGTGTTTGATGGAAATCCCGGCGACGGACATGATCAAAAATATGATTCGAAACAAAATCGCGGCGGCGACGAAGGAGATATTTCGCGTCTATCCGATTCCGCAAGACTGCCGACAATACGCGCTCGAGGGCATTTCGGTTCTTCGACGAAACATTGAGCCGAAGCCGATTTTGACAGAGGAGAAAGCCAAGTAATGTTGAACTCGTTGAATATTTGAGCACCCGTCTCAATTTTCTATCGCTATGCGCCTTTAATCGGGTTTCTAATAACTCTTTTTTTGTCGGGTCTCGTCGCGACTACCAGAATCGATCACCACAACATTCATTTTTGTTCGTTTTAATGTGGCAGCGCTGGCGTGGCCTAGAAAAAACGGCCTAAAAATTGGGGATCGGCCACGGCCACGCTTGATAAATTAATTTTTTCAAAACAAATTGTTCAACCTTGCTTTTTTCTCAGAATTTGTGTGCATTGTATTTTCAATTTTTTTTGTTTCGATGAATTTTTCTATTCCACAAAAATTTCAGGCATCCATCGGCACGATTAAAAATGCAGGAGAAAGTCCGCGAAATGGATGTGCCTTCGAGCTGGAACTCGATGCTGTTCGTCAAGGTTGAAAACAAGCAAAACAGATTTCTTTTGCTTGAAATTTTGAATTTTAGATACTTCCCGCGAAAACTGTCGAATCCGAAAATGGTGGATAAATCATTTGTCTTGTTTCTCGTGTGCTTTTTTCTTCTGCGACTCAACCGAACAAATTGGATGTTGTTTTGGTGGGCGGTAACTCGATTGATATGGATATATTCGGCGTCGTCTAACGAGTACTCGTTTGCGTACATGTGTGAATGCTTTTTTTTACCCCCATTCGGACCATTTTGTGATTTTTCTAGCCAAGCGTTTGCATTGGACCAGTAATTTTGTGTCTTAATCAAATCAAACACGTCTTACTTGGCGGTCCATTCGCCCAATTTTTTTATTCTTGTGCCTTCGTCGCCGTCCCCCGGGGATCGATCAGTAAATAATTTGAGCACCCGCCGGTTCAACTCCTTTTCAATTAGACGACGTCCGAAAATTTTTGCGACGCAATTCGACAAGCACTTTTTCTTCTTTTCATTCCAACAGTGTGCTTTTTTTGTCTCAAGCTTTATTGAATTGTTCTTTTCTCAATGATTCTGCGCGTTGTTTCAGAAAAGTCGCCGCTGCGCCTTTAATTCCCCACTAGTTATCGAATTCTAGCACAAAATGGTGGTCCGTTTTTTCAATTGATTAAAGGCGCAATCGCGCTTGGTCAAATTTCGTTCGAAATTTTTTTTTTGAAATTGCGCTCTTGTCGACGTTTTCCAATTTGCAAATATGATTTATTCACAAGAACATACATCACAATTAGATTTTTGTTTGGAGAACATTTTTCCTCTCGCGTTTTTTTTCTGTCAGCCTTCTTCTACTTCTCCTCCTTGGTCGTCGTCGTCGTCGAAATGTATACTCGAATTGTTTCGTTGACTAATTTGACGATGGACCAGTGTTCATCAGAAGCGACCTGAATTGAATTCTTCGAGTCTCGGCCCTACCCCCCCCCCTTCATCAAGTGTATGCTCTCCGAAAATTGATATAAAATCGAATAATGTCGAGATTGAGAGAACGGTGAAGACACAATGACGAAAGACTGCGGATGACACATCAAATTTGACGTGATTTTTCAAAAAAAAAATTTTTTTTTTCGTACCACCCTTTCCAAATTTGGAATTCCGCCAAAAACAAACGAATTATTTAATGCCTCACGTTCAAATTGTAAACAAATCGTTGAAATTATTAGGCTCTTTTATTCGCGAAACGCTCACGCATTTCGAACCAAATTGTGCCAATCTAGGAGACCGTTTAGCCAGCTCAAGTTTACGCCGAATTTGCGCTTCACTATTTCTTCTCTCGCCAACAACTTTTTCTATACTATATTTATATATAATATAAATGACTTGTCTGGGTGATTTTAAGAGATTCTTCATTTTTGAAATTTTTGGTAGCTGAGAGAGAAAATGTGTGCAAACACGTGACGCCAAATGACACATTTGAAATCCAAAACACTTTATTTGACATTAGTTGTTGTAAATTTGCAGGATTTTGTTTTAAATTTCATCGAACCCCCACAGCTTATTGAAATCGATTTTAGGTGTAACTTGCTTTCCTTTGTACCAACTTAATACTATTATATATATATATATGTAACAAATGTTTTATAAGACGCTTCAACCGGCTCATTTGTGAAGGAGGGGGGTTTCTTCGAGCAAATTAGATCACATTTTTTCTAGCGTTCTTGATTTTTTTTTGGTGAAAACGAACCAAATAAAACGAACGTTCTCATCCCAAGCTCATCAAACGCTAATCGCAAGCTTTTCACTCAATTTTTCGTTATTTCTATTCGAGGAAAACGAGTTTTTGCTCGATAATCTTCAATTTTTTCGCGTTTTGTAGTTTGAAAAGTGCATTTTTGCAAGTGCATCGTCTATTCGAAAAAAAACCCCGCGGTTTTTCATTGGATTTAAAATAAACAGTCGCTTTTTTTTAATTGAATTCCAAATTTTTTTCAGACCTCGTCAGAATTTCAAAAGAGAAAAAAAATGCGAGAAGAATGAATACGACGGCGATCGATTACGATTTTCAACAACAAATCACTGTCGTTCCACTTCTCCGCCATTCGTATGAGTTGACGTTGCTCTACACGATCGCCTATGGTATTCTGTTTTTCACCGGCGTTCTCGGAAACACGTTCGTCGTCGTCGCCGTTTGGCTACACAAATCGGTCAACATCACCACCGACTATTTGATTTTGTCGTTGGCACTCGCCGATTTGTTCATTTTATGGATATGCCTTCCAACAACGCTGATTAACAGCATTTTTACAGGTTTGTCTTCTTTTTAGTTTCAAAAAAAAAGAACTCTTTCGAGAAAAATTCGATTTCTAGTTTTTTAATTTCATTTTTTTCTCTGAAATTGTGTAATGAATTTAATGATTGTTGGTGATTTCCAAAATTTGGGACAATCGCGTCAAATTCGTTGTGTCGTCTGCAATTTTTCGTCGTTGTGCGTTCACCGGATTCTCGAGAAATCTTCGACGCCGTGCATTCTTCGAGCAATTCTCTCCTTTTTTTTTCATTTGATTTCGCCTTCAACTATATCACGTGTGAAACTCAACACGTTTTTTTTTGCAGAATGGCTCTGGGGTCCCTATTTTTGCAGACTCTCAACATGGGCGAACGCCTCAACGTCATGCGCTTCTGTGTACACATTAGTAGCCGTGACTGCCGATCGATATTTAGCAATATGTCATACGCTTAAATATAATACAAGTTGGGATAGAGAATATACGAAATATGTGATAATTTCCATTTGGCTTGTCGCTGCAATTTTTGGAATACCAAATTGGTATAATTACGATCAGGTAAATTTCACATATTTTTTTTCAAATTGCATTCTTTGAAGATTGTTTGGCGTGAGCCGGAATTCTCTATTCGATTGTGCACCTCGCAAACAGATCAGAAACTTTATTTTCTATTTGTTAACCTACTTCTGGCGTTCATTATACCATTTGTACTGATTTCCACTTTATACACGAAAATTTTCATCACGGTTTCAACGCACAGGAGTCTGGCAATTGATGCAAGGGTAAGAATCGAAAAATTGGATTTCTCGAATAAAAAAATGAATTAATTAAGGCAAGAGAGGATCGGGTTCGACTACGGGTTGCCACAATGATGCTCACAGTCATTATTATATTTGCTTGCTGCTGGTTACCGTTATATGGTCTAAAAAGAGCCTAATGACTGAAAATATTAAATTTGAATTTTTTTTTTAGTAATTTTCACTTATTTCTATTTTTTCGCTGATCAAAAATCGGAGCTCTTCACGATCACATCAATGGTACAGTCGTGAACGGACGAATACGAAAAATTTGAATTACGCGGGTCTCGTAATATAAAATGTACATATTTGAAAATGCTTAAAATTCATTTTTAAAAGTTTTTTTTGGATAAATTGGCCAAAACTCGGTCTAAAATTTTTTCCATACGACCCTAACAAGGCGGCAATTCAAATGATAACCCAATCGCACCTGATTCGTCCGTTCTTGGCAATAATCATTTTGCAAAAATTTCAAAATCACATTTTAGGTAATCCGACCAGTTTTCCAATGGCTCTCATTACTCTCAAGCTCATTGAATCCGATTATTTATATAACATATAGTCATAAATATAGGACAGCCTTCAAAAATATCCTGTTGATGCCGTGCAAGTCAAGGTCTGCGCAAATTATTATTATTGGTCGACATTCACTTTTTTGAGTTTAGATATGAGCACGTGCGAAGCACAATTCTTCGCCGCCCGTCGCGGATGACCAATCGCGCTTCTTGCACCGGAACAACAACAATGTCAATGTCGAATTATAGTTCCGAAATTGCCGGCGGCGTTTCGATCATGCTACTAAATAGCAGTCAAAAACGTTAGAGATTTCCATTAGAAACGCTCATCGGGAGAAAAATTTTGTACGCGTATTTGAATTGTTCAAAAAAAGTAGTCAATCTTTCGCCAGGGTTCCCAAAATTGAGGCCGTCTTGAAATGCTAACAAGAGAAATTTCATTGTAAACATCTGCGGACACTTTTCCGGGATGCGCCACAATCGCCCTGTTTGTTGTTATTCGCGGTGGCGGCAATTCAAACGTGAGCCTGGTTTTTTTTGGCAACCCTGGTTTCTGAAGGAAAAAATACTAAAAACATAGCATATGCTATACTAATTGATTGTTCAATTTGTAACATGATTATGGCTCGATTAATTATTATTAATTAATACAATCATCGAATAATTTAGCTCATATTTATTTATTAAAGGATGTAATAAATTAATAACTATCTTCTATTCGAAATAATATATAGTTTAGATCATGTGCTCCCCTTTCTTGCTCATTTCCTCGCCGGCGATCGCAAGAAGTGATCTTCTCTTTCTCGAGCATCCGCCTCGTGTACATCCGCAACTGCATCCACCTCCCTGCGAAATTCATATTGGGTCTCGAAACGAAAACAAAAATCGAAGATATACATTGATGCATGCGTTGGTGCAGACCGGCTGGCAACACTTGCAGCACGTCGTCTGCTGGACCGGAACCAAAACCGTCTGGGTGATGCACTGCATGCAGCCGGGTGTGCCGCACGAGCACGGCGGCGGCGGCGCCGGACAACACGTCTGCCCGCAAATGCCCATTGCGCCGCACGAGCAAGCGCCCGCGCAACATCCGCCCATTCCGCCACACTGGCGTTTGGCGCGAATCGCCACCGTCGATGTTCGAATCGGTTCGCCCAAAGTCACATCATTGGGCGAGAACTGAAAAAAGGCGAGAACACGCTGGAATGTGCGATTTTGATTTTGGCTCGACTTACTATCGTCGCCGAACACGTGACGGCAAAAATCGAAGCGAATGCAATATGCGAAATCATGCCCAACGGTTTTTGTGCTTCTGTCCGCAATTTATCACGCATTTATATACACAAAATCGCCGAAAACAGGAAACTTTTTGCGTGCCGCTTTTATTTGCGTATTTGAGTGTCAATTCACACTTCCGCAATTAGCATGAATTGGCCAAGGGGAATTAAAGCAACAAGAAACACCTAGGCGTCATCATTGGCAATCATTTTTATCTAAACTAATAAAAACAATAATAATAATAATAATTAAAGTTTCCGCTTTTACGATGTCACTTGTCCCGGATGCTTGTCACAACGATTTTTTCGCACCAAAAATTTCATTTTTCGATTCATATCCTCATTGAAAATCGCCGTCGACGCTTCCATCGATAATTGCTTCCTCTGCATATACGGTTTTTGATAAAATTGTGTTCGTCGAATGATTTTCAGCATGCCTTCCGAGTCCATCAGCCTGAAAATTAAAAAAATGGCAATACGATAGGCATGCGTCATTTTCTCCCGAATTTCCATTGGAATGTATAGTTTCGAAAAATTGTCTAAATGCCTTTTGAGAGACCTTTATCGAAAATTCACTGTAATACTTTAAATTGAATTTTTTTGGCAGCTTGCCAACTATTTTTCAATAGCGCGATGTCGACAATAGAATAATTTAAAATTTGCTCGAAAACCAGATATCGTGAGTGTTGAAAAATGACCAAAAAATTTAGGTAGGGGTTCTGGTGCGATGTGTCTTGGAAGATCTCGAAACTATTTCTCAAAACATTAGAAATATTGAAAATAAAGCTTCCAACTGCCAATAATTACATTGATAAAAAGAAATTTACCTATTCAAAAGCCCAAAGGCACCGTCGACATCGTTATTGGAGACCATGACAGTTCGTGTGGCAAAACGTGGATGAGCATTCCAAATTCCTAAGTTTGAACGCAATGTTATCGAAGACCATTGAAATTACCCTTGAACAATTTAACTGCAAATGGTTGCGCTAAAGTTCCTCGCCACACCCATTTCCTGACCATTTTTTCTAAACTTCTTTTGATGGGAAAAATTTTAATCTCGTATTGAAAATATTTATTTCCGTTCGGCTAAAACCAAAACAAACCACTTCAATAAGAAGAAAATTACAATACGAAGTATTTATTTTACGATCTATGTTTCAGTATAAATTCACGAAAAATAATCCATCTAGTGTCGGCGAGCGGCAGCTTTAGCGTTGATCTCTTCCTGAACCTCTGGAGCCAAGGCATTATCTGGTCTTGGGCGAAGGTTATCAAGTCTGAAGAGGACGGACGTGGGGTACGAGAGAAGAGCAACGGAGATAAGACTGTACAACGCAACCTGAAATTGAATAATCAAATTTTTGTACTTAAATGAGAGTAGCAATTTTTAAAATTATATTTCGCCGTGCTTAATTGAAGAAAAAAAAACGACACGATTTAAAAATTCGGAATATGCGAATAGAAAAAAAACATTCAAGAATTACCTTCTCTCCGACGGAAGTGTAACGAAGTGGTGGGGTCGAATCAACTCCCTTGTGGAGAGCACGGCGGAAGACAGTTTGATTCTTAGACAAGGTGAGAAGAGCGCGGTTGAACATTCTGAACAATATCAAATTTAAATACATCAAATTGCACTAATTATATGCGAAATACAATAAAAGACGGTACAAGCCGTAAATACGTTGTTAGTGTTTAAAGGAGCAGGGGAGCGTAACAGACAGAGAGAGACATCGCGGCAAGACCCGGCTTGTTGGCTAGTAGCCAATGTGTAAATACGAGGCTCGCGTTTTTTTAGTTTTCACGTTTTCTTCGACAAAACGCGTTTCTGAGCGAAAACGTGTTTGAAAAAAGGCGAAAAATATTGATAATTTAGGGAATGTCGCAGTCTGGTGAGCAAAGTGTGCCCGACAGCGAACCATCGACTTCGAATGTAAATAATGAAGTGGTAAGTGATAATTTTGAAATTAAATATTTTGTAAATAACACAATGGGTTTTTTTCGGGGAGAAAATTATAAAATATTAGTTTAAAATACTTGAAAAATGCTGAAAAAATTCAAAAATTGTGTCTTATTTCCCGTGTTTTTTTAGCAACTCTCAATTTTTATATTTAGCATAAACCTATTTTACCAATTGATCCGTTTGTTTGGAGAAAACAATTTGTTGGTTCAATGATGTCCGAAATTAATAGCTCTACCGGATGCTTGAAGTGCGGTATAATTTTAGGTAGGTTTCAAATTTCTAAATAAAATTTAAAACGTCCCATTTTGCAGATTGTCTAAGCATTCCACCGTACTGCTCGTCTTGCAAAGACGTTTCCAATGTTGTACATGAATATCAGGTAATTCAAAAACATAAAAAAGAGAAATTATTTTTTTTTAAGAAGCCAAAAGCCGAAGAGAATACTGATAAAAATTATCAGTCAACAGAAAATATGGTAAACTTTATAAAAATTAGTAGGTGCAATAAAAACGTTGGAATTTCAGAATCAGTCGACATTGTTGGTGAATTCGTATAAGGAAGAAAATTGTTATGAATCAGCTGACATAAAACCGGCGATCGACAGCGTCACAGGACCATTGAAAGTCGAGGTTAAAAATGAAGCCGAGGTAAAAATTGTCATAATATCTGAAAACATCGTTTTTCCTTTTGCAGTCCGACGATGACGAAATTGAACAAAAAACGCCAAAAGCTGATGAAACTTGTGCGAAATGCAAACGATTTACCCATGAGCAAGACGTCGACCCGCTAGAGGATCAGAAAAAAACTGACGAGCCGCTCGTAAAACCGGAACCGAAGCAATTAATGTCGAAGAAAAAGTCGCACAAGCATAAACACAATGATTTTCGATGGATTCAATGCGATCATTGTCACGGTTGGTATCATTTTCTGTAAGTTGCAAAAAATTGAAATAATATATGTCTTTGATTATTATTTAGATGCTCTGGCCTTGAACAATTCGAATATTATCTATACGAGAAGTTTCACTGTGTGAATTGTGTTGCAGAAGCTGGTCCAAGTACAGGTATCATTTTTTCAAAAAAAAAATGGTTCTAATTTAATAATGGTTAATAGAATATCAAAAACTCGCAAAACATCGCTATCGTTGGTATTCTCCAGAAGAAAAAGATAAAAAAGAAGTTGAAGTCGGAACGGAAACATGGATTGAAAATTTCATTAAAACTGAAGGAGAGATACCAGCTCCGTAAGAAAAATAAAGCGAAAAAAGGGGTTGAATTCAAAATTTTTTTAGAAATGAGAAAGAAGTCGAAGTATTCGAGAACGGTTTCGAGTTTTGCGAGACTTTCAATCAATTGAAGCCCGGCGAATGGAAAAAAGTGTATTTGATCAAATCGCTCGATGGGATTCAAATGAAAGTGCCTGATCGAGACAGTTTCGACATTGAGAACGTTGTCGAAATAATGGGACCCGATTATGAGGTCGACACAATCGACGTGTACAATCAGAACACGTTCTCGATGAAACTTTCGACGTTCCTCAAAAAGATTCGCGATCCTCGCCCAAGAACGCGTCTCTACAATTTTCTCTCGTTGGAGTTTTCCGAGAATCAACAGATGCGCGATCACGTCGCACCGCCGTCGTTCGTCCGCGATATCTCGATGGTCGATCGATTGTGGCCCGAGCCGGGCTCATCGGCTCATCGGCGCGCATTGATGACCGAAGAATATTTGCCGGACGACGAGCGGCCGAAAGTTGAGGAGTTTTGTCTGTCCGGCATGGCCAACTCCTATACCGATTTTCACATCGATTTCGGTGGCAGCAGTGTGTATTATCACATTTTCAAGGTATTCATTTATTAATTGAAAAAAAAAACCATTAAAAAAAATTGAATTGCAGGGCAAAAAAGTGTTCTACATTGCGGAGCCGAACGAGCGAAATCTGAAAGCGTTCGAGCAGCACGAGACGACGAAAAAAACGCACGAATGGTTCGGCAACAAGATTCCGGGACGTGTGAAGCGCGTCGTCATCGACGAGGGTCAAACGCTTCTCATTCCCGCCGGCTGGATTCACGCGGTTTGGACGCCGAAAGATTCGCTCGTGTTCGGCGGCAATTTTTTGCATTTGGGAAACGTCGAAAAACAAATTAGGTGGGTTTAAATTTTTGAAATTGAAATTTAAAAAATGTCAAAGTCTGTGAAAAATTGGCGAAATGCCAAAAAAAAAACAATGACAGTGGTCTCCATAAATATCTTTTTTGGAGTTTTGCTAATTTTTCGCAGTAGCGCGACGCCAATAATACCATTTTTTTTGCGAAAAAATGTTAGACTTTATGATGAGGTCCATAAAAAACATTTTTGTGGACCTTCAGATATTAGGATAAAAATTTTGAAAGTTTTTTAAAAATTCTTTCAAATTTGATCTATATAAATGAAAATATTGCTTGGAAAACTTTGAATTTCGGTGTATTGTGGGCCCGCATGGACCCATTTCTGTTGGATAATGTCGAACATTTTCGAAATTCATGAAAATTATGCTATTTTCCATTACGATGGCTGGAAAATAGTAAGAGATTTTTCCATGCGAGACCCAATTCGGCAATTCAAATCACGTAGCATATTTTTCTTGAATGGAAAAGACAAGTGTTTGTAGGGTTTATCAACTGGAAAGCGCTGTTCGAAGTGTGGTGAAGCACGACGAAAAATTCTATTTTCCAAATTTCGAATATCTCCATTGGTACTACGTTCGCAATATTTTGATAGAGAAAATCCGAGGTATCTCATTGATAATGTTTTCTTTGCAATAGAAAATTGACAATTTGATTATTTAGAATGCAACGAAGAATGCGCGGATATGAGTGTTAGCGATCCATTCGTTTGGTATGCGGCAAAATGTCTGTGTGTCGAGATGAGGGCGTGGTTTGAGCGGAACAAGGTAATTTTTAAAGATTATTTAAGATAATAGCTATATTTTGATAGATCAAAGTTGCAAGTAGCTCATCTGCGAAAGAACTACAAGATCTTGACAACGAGGCGAAGCTGATAGCAGCATTAGAAGCCCAAGTGAAAAAGCAAATGGTTTTTGTTTTGGTTTCCAACATGAACTTGGCGATTTTCGTTTAGCGCTATCAAAAAGACTCGGAAAAAGTGAAAAAATCGAAGCGAAAAAATTCGGGCGAATTGGAGTGTCGAGACGGCGAATATCATCCGAAGAAAGTGAGGAAATCGAAAAAATCGCGAAAGAATCGCGACAACGAGGATTCGGATTATGAGGAGCCGACAAAATCGACAAGTGCGATGATGGCGGCGGCGGCGGCGGCGGAAATTTTGGGTTCGCAACCGAAAATTATGGACGAGACGACGACGACGATTGTTGATGAATTGCCGACGCCGAGCGGCGCCGAAATTGAGTTGGAGGAGAATTTCAAGTGAATATAAAAAATTCAAAAATAATTTAGGCCTGTTGCCTCAATAAAGATACGCTTCAATCTGCCGAACGAGGACCAACAGAATGCGCGACAAATGTTCAATTCGGCGCGGACGTCGTCTGGAAGAAAGGTGAAAGTCAATCAGCACGTCATGGAATATTGCGGAAATATTGCGATCGATAAAGAAGGTATTTTTTTAGAATGAAGCGAAACAAATTTAGCATGTTTCCCGAAAAAAAATGTTGCCAGACGCGTTGCGGTTCGCGTGCGGTTTTTTTTTCGAAATTTTTCCAAAAATATAGTCGATGACGGACGAATTTGGGGTGCGATTGTTTTATTGTTTGAATTGGTCGTTTTGGGTCTCGTATGGAAAAAAAACTTTACGCTTTTTATTAAATGGCAGCCCGCGCAATTAAAATTTCGAATTCGTCGGTCCACGACAATGTATATAAATTTTTTGGCCAAGGTCTTGTAGCGAAAAAATGCTGGCACTGTAGATTTGGAAATTGAGAGAAAAACGAATGAATGAGAATATTGGCAGATGTGAACACGATGGCGACGCTGAAATCGTTTTCCGAGTATGATTCGCAATTGGCGGAATGCGAAGCGAAATCAACTGGTGTGAAATTGCAGAAGAAGCGAAAAAACGCGGGTATTTGGTGATTTTTCACCGAAAAAAAATGTATATTTTTCTCGATTTCAACTCAAATTTCAGCAGTTGTCAAAGAGAAAGTGCCAACGGCTCCAAAGAGATCGGGAACGAAAATGGTGACAGCGAAACAGCGATTGGGAAAAATTTTAAAGCTTTAATACATTGATACCAAAAAGAAAATGTCCTTTCATAATAAATGCATCTACCTCATCGAGCCCCTGATGTATATAAATGGTCCCCATATTTCAGGAGGTTTAGAAATATGTGATCTCTTTGATTTCTAGATCTCTTTGTGGGTGTATGTGTGTTTCTTTCAACTATTGTACCCCCCCCCCCTCTTCCAAAGGAATTTGAAAATGTTGAAATTTTGTTAAACGTTTTTTTAATAAAAATTATTTGTGGTGATTTTTCCATCGATTTAATAGATTTTCTTTTTTATTCCACGTAAATTTCGCAATTATCTTGCAATATTTATAATATTGGCTGAAAATTTTCATGATTTTTTTAGAGCTTCGAATGGCTGACGATTTTCAAATTGCGCCCAGCAAGCTTGGAACTAAAGAATAGTAAGAGGATGGAATTTCAAATTGAATTATTTTTGAAAACAATTGGAAATGGCGGTTTTTGCGCCAATTTGCAATCCGTTTCCGTCAAAAAAACGACCATCAGAATCGGGTCGCCGCAAGACCCAACTCATTTCGAGCATTATGCGCCTTTAATCGAATTCAAACAATTGGAAATGTGATTTTGAAGAAATTCAAAAATATTTTTTTGTGGATACGGTAAGAAAAAGGCGTCTGAGTCTCGCAGCGCCCGATTCTGTTAGCCACGGTTTATTCCTTAATATTGGTTTTTTTTTCGTAAAAATTGAAAAACAGATGGAAGTGAGCGAAAATGTGTGCAAACACCGCAACGCAAAATCACACACTTCAATTAAAATTGACTGATGAATTTTTTTTTGTTGAATTTCGCATACCTCGAATTTAGTTGGGATCAACGATACAACACCGAGCTCGACAATTTTCAATCATTCGGCGATGAGGGCGAAATTTGGTTCGGCGCGAGCTCGGAGAATCGAATGCTGAAGTACATTTGCGAGACGAGCAAAACGCCGACGGACGCCAAAATTCTCGATATTGGCTGCGGGAATGGTTCGGTTCTTCGAAAATTGGTTGAGATCGATTCGATTTTTCGTTTTGTCCAAAAAAAAAATAAATGGCGCTATTTAGAGAGCGAATCGATTCACAAATCTGATGGGAATTGATTATTGCGAGGCGGCGGTGAAATTGGCGCGAAGTTTGGCCGAACAGGAGACGATTCAGAATTCTGACATCGAAGGGATTATCGAGTTCAAGGTACGCAGACAAAAATCGAGCAGCCTGGGTGTTTGCGGACCATTTCCACGCGGCAACTCAAATTTTCAATTGAAGCTGCGGCTACTAAAGACAGCGGACTTTTCGAAACTACACGAAAAGGGTTTGCTATATTTTGCGCTAAAACCATAGAAAAAAATTTGCATGCGCCTTTAAGGGTTACTGTAGTTTTGAATGCAACGTGGCAGACAGAAAAAAACAATTTTCCTAAAAAAAAATCGCGTTTTAATTTGAATTGCCGCCTTGGGTCTCGTATGGATCTTCTAACCATCATGATGTGAATGAGCACAATTTTCAATTTAATGGTTTGACGATTTAAAAAAAAAAGTGCTAAATCTCGGAGAAGCGCGCGAAATTCAAATTTTTAAATGTATCTACCCAAAAATAGAAAATTATGATACTAAATCATTAATGGCATTGAGAAAACAATTAATTAAAAAATATTAATTTTAATATTCGAAATTTATGAAAACAAAATTTTTTTAATGCGATCAAAATTGATATAATTGCGCTTATCATTGAAAATAGATTGAATAGAGGAAAGCTTTTGCGAACCTCGTGTTTTATATATATATATAATAAACGGAGCTCATCGTCTTTTATTATATTACTCGCATTTTCGTCGTCGTCGGAAAATAATGGGTTGCCATAAGAACACGACACGACACACACACACATTTATGTTTTCTATTTTGCTTTCTCCAACGAATTTAATTTTATCAATACTATGTACTACTTGTTTTTTTTTGCAGTGTAATGAGTTTTAGTAGGAATTCGATTTACGGCCGAATAATTTCGCTGCCGAAAATGTCCGCGTCGAACACCGACATTCAATTATTGATGCTGAATGTGAGCAATTGAGGAGAATAGAATAGAGAAACCAGAAAAAAAAGAATTTTCGAGATTTAAAATTCAAATTCGCGCGCCGAGAATTGGCCGCGTTGCGTATGCGTCGCGGTCGGCGTCGGTTTGTATAAAATCGGTATTTTTCTACTGTTTAGAGATTGAAAATGCGATTTAAATTTTTTTTTTTTGAAATGGGTGATTATAGGACTCCAGTAAAAACCGCAAATTCTGGATTCATTCATAATTTAAGTGAATTTTGTTTTTTTTTTTCCAGCAACAAGATATATTGCATCCCGATGAGTCGATTTTCGATATCAAACGCGATCGAGTCATTGATAAAGGCACTTGGGATGCGATGAGCTTATCGGATCCGCTCAATCGTGGTACGATTTGAATTGATGAAGTTGAATTGAATTAATTTTTTTGCAGAAGCTCGCCTCAACAAATACAAAGAGTTTTTGAGGAGATCGCTCAACGATAATGGCGAATTTATCATTTTCTCGTGCAATTTCACAATGTAAATTTTTTCTTTCTCAACTGGCGACAATCAAAGCGAATATTACAGTGACGAGCTTCGACGCCAATTCGATGGCGATTTTCTCGCGTTCGTCAAAGAGATTCCGGCGAGCCATCAGTTCTCGTTCGGCGGAAAACCGGGCGTCACGTCGACCGGCGCGGTTTTTGTCAGAAAGTAGCCGGGCGATGCATATCGAATTTCGCACAATTGGCTGAAATGCTCCAATTTCAACATCAAACTCGGTATAGTTGTTGTTTTTTTGGCTATTATTGTCCGCGCTTTCTTCATTATTTTCATTTTGTTGTTATATTGCTCTTGAACGAATAAAGATTATCATCGTTGGGGGACGCCGCGGGAAAAAAATAAATGATGGAAGTTTGATAGGGAGCATGGGATATTGGCTCCCCCCAATGGGGAATTGGGCGTTTCGACGAAACGGCAAAATGTCTCATAGGCGCAAGAAAAAAACCTTTTCGTTTTTTTTGTCCAGCGTCCTAGTTTTTCACAAAGCCTATATTTTTTTTGAGGCGATTTAAAAAAAATATTAATAAAAATTAAAATAAAATAATAAGATTAAAAATTAAATTAAAGATTAAAAATAATAAGATATTTCACACATTGTATCAGTTTTTTTTTCAATTTTTGTGAAGCATAATCCAATTTACGAGTAGTTAGCAGACATTTCCAAAAAAAAAAACAAGAAATAGGGGGGAAGACGCGCTTTTTTTTTTGCCTCGGCACCCCCTTCTTCGCCTTCTCAGCCCTAATTGGGGCCCTTTTCGACGAACAATTCGATGCGCCGCCGTATTTTTTTTGTTCTTAGCCACCCACTTCCCGTTTTTTGGTTTTAGTTCCACCGCTTCATAAATTCTTAATAAGTTTTTTGCGCGAGTTGTCAAATACCTCGCCGTCGCCGGTTTGATTGGATTTTTTTCGTCTCTGGTCGAAACGAGGTTCGGCGATGAAGCCGCCGCATCTGTGCGATCAGCCGATGAATCTGACGAAACGCGCTTGCTGTCAACTCATTCTATTTTTGAATGATACCGAAAGGGTGAGTTGGAATTGAATTCATCGATTTCCCTCCCTACCGTAGTTTGTCAATGTTGGCAGACGCGTTGCGGTTCGCGTGCGGCCCTCGACAATTTTTTTGAATCGAAATTTGTTTTATAAGGTCTTGCGGCCAAAAATTTCAGGCGAAAAGTTCAAATATGCCGTCTTGGGTCTCGTATGGAAGAAAAAACATAATTTTGAATTGTTTCGTTATTTCTTAAAAAAAAACAGTCATTTAATAGAATAGTATCCTAATTAAAAGAAACCCGCGCGTTTCAATTTCACACAAACTGGGATATTGTGGAAAAATGACGAATACGAAAAACAGCAGTGATATCCGATGCATTGTGTGCGTACACCGAGTCTCTTAATTACAGTAATCCCAACTGAAAATTATTTAATTAATTACAAAAACTTTTTTTCTCTGTTTTGTTGGTGAATTTCTGGTTTTATTTAAATTGTGTTGAAAAAGTGTAACAGTAATCATTTTGTATATTATTCCTAGTTAATTGTTTTATGTAAAAATATGTGATCAATAATTAATTAAATAATTTTCAGTTGAGATTACTGTAATTAAGAGACTCGGTGTACGCACACAATGCATAGGAAATGGCTGCAGTTTTTCACATTCGTCATTTTTCCACAATGGTTCAAATCGAAATTTGAATTACCGCGCTTTGCAAATAAAAATTCGCGGGCTCACGTCTTTTTCTATTAAAACATCAAATGACATTTGCAAGACGAAAAAACAAAAATTCAAATTTGAATTGCCGCCTCCAGAAAAGTGCAATGGTCCACAAATTCTCAACACATTATATTTTGGTTTCGTTTTTTTTCAGAAAAAAAATTGCGATTCCTAATTCAATAATGCCAAACCAATTGTTTCGCGTTTCCTAGTATTCATTTCGGCTCAAAACAAAAAAAAATAGGCGGCCGCGCATTCAAACGTGCTCCTCCCGAGGGGAGCCGCAATATAAATGGCGGGTGCAAAGTTTGAAAATATTATTTTTTGTTGGTTGTTTGATTTGTGCCGATTTTCAGGTGCCGCCTTGCTCGCCATTCCCAACGACGTCGAGCCAAGTGCGCGATATATCAATTAAAGCCCACACACACTCAATTTTTAGAAGCCTCCCGTTTATCTCGTCGAGCCGATTGAAGAGCACGAGGATCACTTCACATTCTTCTTCGGCATTTTCCTATTGATGCTCATCGCGTTGACGTGCACGTTTGGTTTGAGCAAAATCACGAAACCAAAGTGAAAAATGAAGAAGACGAATAATAATTCATAGATTTTTGCAGGGTCTCGGTCGGATATAATAATTCGAGCTCGTCGTATGATGTTCTAATGTGGCTTTCGTCGAATCCAGCAAGAAGGCAAGTCAAACAAAATGAAACGAATTGAAGGTTTCGTTTTTAGGACCTCAATGCTTGTTCTTCTACGCTCGATCGCCTGCAGAAATCCGGCGACGAGTCAGGAGAACACATCAGTCTCTGTAGTTTCTTCAAATGTTCCGTAAGTGTATAAAATGCTTTGGCGAAAATTTGAACACACACTGACGCAATTCTGCACACATTTCATTCCACACTGGAAACATTTGTTTTTAATGGTTTTTACTCGAAAAAAATAGTGCAAAAAAGGCATGGAACATTTCAAAATGCTATTGGAAAACGTGGAAAACCCTTCTGTCTCATTTCAGATTGCTTCCATCGTACCAACGAGCAACAACCGCTGCTCGCGCCGACACCGCCGCCTCACCACCGCCACCATATTCGCCATCGCGAATTGCCTAACAATGCTCGAATCCCAAATTTTTGTTTTCTTTTTTTTTGGCGCCTTCCAACGGGTCAAATTTCATCGAATAAATGAGTGAAATCTCGTGTTTGCATTGGCTGAGAAGAAAAAAAACGAAAAGAGAGAGAGAGAGGAACGATGAATTGTTGAAATGCGATACCGAGCTCCAAAAATGAGCATAAGCTGAATTCAACTTACTGTGTGTTGTGTGTGGTGTGATGTGTGTATGCTCTACGACGATCGCATCGCCCACGCGCGGAAATGGAAGCACAGCGAGAGAGAGAGAGAGAGAGAGAGAGAGAGAGAGAGAGAGAGAGAAAGAGATGAAGCCGAGTTTCGTACAGTAGTGCGCAAATGAATTGTTTGGCGAATGCTTATTTCAATTCCGCAAATTGAGAGAATACGACGGTAAGGGGTCGGAGGAGCGGGGGGGGGGTTAAATCAAGCGAGAGAAACACGTCCAACCGTTTGTTGGTTTAGAGTCGACGGATTAAACCTCGGGAGCCCCCCCCCCACCGTTCGCACATTCGCCCAGAATTTTGATGCAAGTTTTCACAATGAAAAATCACATTTTTTCGATTTTTCTCATTCTATTCGAATTGCCATTTGTTTGTATATACTCTTCCGAAGGCATCAGATTTCGCGGAATCGAATATACCAATTTTCCATCTAATTACACTTCCACCAAAATTTCAGGCGTGTGGCGGCAATTCAAATTCGCAAATCAATTGGGTTGAAAAGTCCATGAAATCCCCAATGTTAAAAAAAAATCACACAAGCAATGACCGGCTAGTCGCACTTCAACATTCCTCAACCTCCTCCACCTCATCTGTTTGCTTTTCATAATTCCGTCGTCATTATGAGCAGAAGCTGCTGCTGCTGCTTGCACATACTACCGTAGTCCCGGACGTGCAAAAAAAAAATGGAAATTTGGTGTTTTTTGCTGTTTTAGTGGTGCGCTTGCGATGCACCATCTTTCCCCCCTCCCATTTTGAGGTATATCGGGTTACTGTGTCAACACGAGACCTTTCCACCCCGATTGCACCCCTTCCCTCCCCCTGCGGGTGTGGTTTGGCTCTAATATGTACATATCAGACCACTTCTCATTAGTCGCAACACATATGTATTACTTACCGTACATTTTTTGTTTGCTCAGCGAAAAACTTTTTTCAGTTTTAGATCGTTGAAATCACAAAAATGCGCCTTTAATGAAATCCCAAGAATGTGCCTTTAAATCACAAGAATGCGCCTTTAAATCACAAGAATGCGCCTTTACTGAAATCCCAAGAATGCGCCTTTAAATCACAAGAATGCGCCTTTACTGAAATCCCAAGAATGCGCCTTTAATAGATTCATAGGATAGTGTATTTCATAGTAGATCAACAAGCTTTAAAAAAATATAATTTCTGATTTTCAATTACAAAAAAGTAACAGTTGATATTAGAGTGAGGTTTTGCTGGAATAAAATGAGTATTAAAAGCTTAACCATCAAATTCTACTTCTATTTTTCAATATTTCCCATCTACCAGAGAGAAGCTTCTCCCTTTTTGCAAATCACCATCTCATTTTTTTACCCGACAGTCACCAAAAGGGTAGGATCAATTCTGCTATTCAAGCCCGCCCTCTGACTCAACACCCTCTTCCATTCAACCAAGGTAACACATTAATTTTTTTTTGATTAAAAGCCAAATTTTTTGCTGCACTTTTTCAATCTCCCCACAACGTTTGAAATAGTAGTTTGTTCTATAAATACAGCGGCAAAGTTAAATAGTGAGTGCCGAGGGTAGCCAGCTTCATCATCAGTGAAACATTATATGAGTAAATTGTTTGCCAACCACACACACACAGTATTCCGAGACGAGATCCCCGTTTTGAAACGACACTTGAAGCGCAACTTCTTTATCAATCAAAAAAAAAAGAAACGAAATTATTTTGCTTGCTCGCTTGGTTTTTGATGATCGGGTAATTGAGTCGATGTTTGTTTGAACAGCTCCCGAATCCCACGGCACGTTTGTTCAGGGTGTCTTCATCGTTGCCATTCATTCGCGCCCGATTCGAGCCCGAGCCCGATGCTTGTTGCGCTCCCACATTTTTTGCGATCATCATCATTGTCCATGTTCGAATTCATTGGCACACAGATGCCTATTGTCTGTTTGTTCTTGGCGGCGCCGGCCCGGCCCGGCCCGGCCGAGTCTTCCTCGAAAAAATTTTGTCGCCTCACATCATTCTCATCAATCGATTCTCAAATTTTTTTCTTCGCACCCCCCCCCCATCGATAAACCATTTCTCGTTATCAGCGCGCTTCTCGCTTATAATAATTCCTCTCTATTCATTTTTTTTCGGACCACGACAACTATTCGCCTCGCTGCCGACAGCCGATGGGTCTCGAAGTGGCCGTGATTGGCGTCAGCCTTCTACTGGCTTCCAGCGCGTTCACCGTCGAGAAGCGCGCTCAAGGAAGCGGATGCGTCGATTTGCGATGCCCAGCAGCCGCGTTGGATTATGGTGAGCTTTGTTGAAACGAAATTCGCAGGCGGTCTTCTTGGAATTTGAAGACGCTCATCTGAATGACCATTCTTCGCTTGAAAAAAGTTGATTCATCGAAGTAGCAATGATAGCAACATCAATTTTTCAAAAGAGCCATTCGATAAGCTTTCGACTGATATGTAAAATATTGCCGGAATTCAGGAAGCGGCAAAATTGCAACTGGGAAGAGGGCAAAAAATGGATCAGACTATAGAAATATCAATTTTTCATCCACATTTTAACATTTCTTTTGGCCCTTTCCCAGTTTCAGTGAATTTCGATTCGACCGATTTCTGTTGGGTTTTTTTATTTCGCAAAATTACCTTCGTGTTCTCGGCCAACTCAAAAAACCAATCGGATCCGCCAAAATTTCGACGTCAATCCGATCCACTTGGATATTTGTCGGATCCGATTCAAATTGAAATATTAATACAAAACGGATTTTTTCCGGCGCCGAATTTTGCCGGATCTGATTGGTTTTGAGTTAAATGCAGTAATATTCGAATCGGCTTATTCAATCAGTAGCAAACTTTCAGGAAATTTTTAAGACTGCTTGAAAAATAGTAAGAAAATAAAAATAATTCAATCAAAAAATACAAAAAAAAAATAGCAAACAACCCATTTTTCAATGCTCAAATTAAAGAAAAAGCTGGTGAAGAAGAAAGAAAATCGGTTTTTGATAAGTTCATACACGTGCACGCCAAATTGCACACAATTGATAATGCATCTTTTGTAGTGATTCAAATTTGAATTGCCGCCTAACACTGAAAATTGGCGATGGTCCACAAAAAATGCAATTCTCGTTGAGGAATTGCCCAAAATGAATAAACGCGATTCAGCCTAGACCATCGTTGAGATCGTTTGATGATTTTAATTGAAGGACTCCGAAACTTGGTGAATGAGGAGACGCTGAGAACCGACGTATGCGTCGACTGCAAACAGTGCGCCGACAACGGCTACAGCGTCTGCCTTCGCGTCAAGGACTCGCGGGCGGCGCGCGCGATCGGCGGCTGCAGCTGCTCGCATCAGCTCGCCGAGAACTGCCAGCACGATGCGATTCCGAAAACGCATCCGGCCAACATCACAATGCGCACCTACACGGCGTGCTATTCAGATGGTAAGAATCCGAAAGACGCAATTTTAAGACGTCGAAGTTTCAGCGCTTCAACGCCCGCCGATGCCGTTGGCGGTCAATGAGAACTCGTCGGTGCTGGTGACAATTGAGCCGTTCTGGCTCGAGCCCTACTGGAAGCATTTGCCAATCGAGAACCTCACACTTCATTATGAGTTTGGCGTCAAAGTGCCCGAGCATTGCGAGGGCGACGTGCACTCGACGGACGACGGCGTCCACACGTGCACATCGTCGGTCGCCGTCGACATCAGCGACGACGGCGGCGATGAGAAGCCGGCGACGAGCGACGCCGATGACTATGAGCATAGTGATGTAAATTTTTGTGCGATGACGCCTTTTGACACACGAATGATTTTTAGAACTATGATCAGTATGACGACGAGCTTCCGCCGGAGATTCAATTCGATCGCGATGTGTTCGCTGGCGCCAAACAACTCGTCGCTTATTATACCGCAATTGTGCGACGGCCTCGCCAGCTCAAAATCGGAGCGTCGCGCGAGTTCGAGATCCATGAGACCAGCGCTTCCATCGAGTCCGACCATTTGAAGTTCGACTTGAAACCCGAGCTCTATGGCGTTAGCGGAATTGTGAATGGCGTTGTTGGTGACGTCAAGAGCGAGAAGGAAGGCGATGTGGTGTCGAGTGATGGCGTCAAAGATGATGGCGAAGCGGTTAGCGAGGAGACCGGCGCCACCGATTTCTTTGACGATGCGAAGAGCACTGAGAAGGCGCCGGAGACATCGGAAGGCGACGACAAGAAGGAGGAGCAGGAGGAGGAGGAGGGCGTCGTGAAAGTGAATTTGGAAGACGTCAAGCCGACAAAATTGAAGTCGCAAGAAAAAGAAGAGGAAGCGAAAGAGGTCGAGTCGACAAGTGTCGCTGAGAAATCCGACGATGCGACGATGAAGGAAGAGGAGGAAGGCGAGGAAGGTGATAAGGAAATGGAAGAGGAGAGGAAGGAGGAGAAGGAGGCAGGCGAGGAAGGCGATAAGGAAAAGGAAGAAGAGAGGAAGGAGGAGGAAGGCGAAACGACAACCGTGGAGGTTGTCGAAGGGCACGAAGAGGAAGGCGACGAGGTAGTGCGTCTCAAGGCGTTCAAGACAATTTGCTGAACAAAAAAATGTTTGCAGGAGACAATTTGGTTCCGCTTCACGAACGGCGACGACTTCCACAGAGTTCGCTATGTGTTCCTCATCACCCTCGCGTGCTTCATCGCGTTCATCGCCATCGTTCTTTGCTATCGTCGACGATGCTGTTGCGGCAAGGTCAATCTCATTTGCTTCAATAGAAACTGCGTTTCTCTCTCTCTTTTTTTTTGCTGTTTAATGGCGCATAATCAAATTGTTTGCAGAAGGACACGAAGACCGCGAATGGCTATCGCTACTCATCAGCGCATCAAGCGCCACCAGCCACCGAGCTGGTAAGTCAAGAGAAGGAGCAATTGCGACAGTAGAGAGAAAAAGCATAGAATACCAAAAAAAAATGATACAAAAATTAGTCTTCTTCGATTACGGTTAAAATCCAAACAAAAAGAAACGCATCATAATAATTCTGGAGATGTTCTCACACACCATCGCGCGCGCGCGACGCCCGTGGCGCCAAAAATTCTCATGACACCCCCACCCCACCAATCACAAATTTCCCACATTTTTGTTGGGACACCCTACTGATATATCTCACCACTAATGAATGTATATTGATTAACCCAATCCAATTTCCCCGCTCGACCTATTCGGTGACCGTGTGCAATCTTGTTTTATTATTATTTTTTTTTAATTCTGTTCCCTCAATTTTTGTTTTTTGAAATATATTGTTCATTATTTTCATTAATTGTATTCACATATATATTTTTTCTCTCTGAAATTTGTCAATCAATAAAGAATTTTTGAGCACGTGTCACCGAGCAGGATTTTAATTAAACGCATTGCAATCATCCTAATATGTGGAACTACTAGATGAATTGAAGGCAACAATCGATTTGAGATTGCTGGAAAAATTGTTCTGAAACGATTTTGTAAAAAGAAAAATAAAAATTGAAACGCATTTTTTCATTTTTCCATTGGAAAATCGGTTTAAAAAATTCAAAAAAATTGTGATTTTTGAAATTGGCAAAATTTTTATAAGAAAGTTTCGAAAAATGTTCAATTTTGGCGTGGAAAAAATGCAAAAATGAGAAAAAAAATGAAAATTCAAAAAACAAAAATCGCGTTTATGAGGAATCTTCATACACAACCACGCAAAATTACACACAATCTTTTTTTTTGAATTGCAATGAATTTTTTTAAAATCAATTTCGTCGAAATTTGAAGAAATTATCGATAATTTTTGAAAAATTTCGAAATTGGCGCGAAATTCAAAAAAAAAAATGCCAACATTTTTTTAAGAATAAAAATCAAAACTGTTCAATTTCGATGTGGAAAATGCAAAAAAAAAATGAAAATTCAAAATTTTATGAGGAAAACTTCATACACAGGCACGCAAAATTACACACAATCTTTTTTTTTTAATTGCAATGAATTTTTTAAAAATCAATTTTTATAATTTCGAAATTGGCGCGAAATTCAAAAAAATGCCATTTGCACCTAACCCTGACAATTTTTTTTCAAAAAAAAAAATCAAATTCAATAATTCTAGAAGTCGATGAGTCGCGCCAATTCGCACGACGCCGACGACGTCAAACTTTTCGACGAAAACGAGACGCTTGAAAAATTTCGGTTTGCAATTATCGATTGCCCTCACCCCAATCTTTTTGATAATCGTCTAGAAGTGTTGTTCGCGGCGGGACCACTTTCAATCCGAGCAAAATCGAGCTCGGCATCTCGGTGGGAATGGGAAAATTCGGACCAATCTATCGAGCCATATTCAACTCATACAACGGAAGTGTTCACGACGTCAACGTCTACCTACTGAAAAGTCAATTCTACTCAATGGTCCCCAATTATTTTTTGCCAAAATTCAGATGTCACTCGTCTGCCCGATGAGGCGCTCTCGAATCTCACCGCGATGCTCAAGTCGAACCTCAGCGCCGGCAGCCATCCGAACGTGTTGTCGTTGTGCGGCGTGACGCAATCGGGTCCCGACGTGATGCTCATGTGGGAGCCGCTTCATCAGCCGACACTTCAGGGCGTGTTGCGCGAGAGTCGATGCGCGCGCTTCGGCACCGATCCGTTCAACTTCGCCTCGTTCCTCTCGTCGGAGCGTCTCGTCACGATGGCGCACGGGTGTTGCGCCGGCGTCGAGCATCTCATCAAGAAGTGCGTCTATCCGCCGCACGTGTCGACGTCGAATTTGTTGGTCGCCGAGCGCGGCGTCGTCAAAATCGCCGGATTCGGGCTCGCCGAGCACACCGCGTTGAATATGATGAGCTCCGAGCACGTGAGTCGGATTCCAATGGAACAAAAATCATTGAAGACCTCCAGATGCCCACCAAATTTCGCTGGATGCCGCCCGAGCACTTCAAAAAAGACGCGATGCTCATCATGAACGAGCAGACGATCATCTGGTCGATCGGCGTCGTCCTTTGGGAGATTTTCTCGCTCGGCGCCACACCCTTCGCCAATTATCGCCAATCGTTGGCGTTTGTGGACGCGATGCGCGACGGCTCGGCGACGCTCGACAATATTCCCTATTGCGGAGAGGCTGTGTAAAATCAAAATCAAAAAAAATTCGAATACTATATTAAAATTATTATTATAGATGTCAGCTAATATCTTCATGTACTTCACACCAACCCGACGCCCGAGGGACCATTAAAACAATTATCAAACGGCTGGAATGCATTTCAGCGGACGCAAAAGTATGGCGCCTTTTTTTTGGAAAATTTGTGCAGACACCGTTACGCGAAATTGAACACGTTTGATTACAGTAGTCAAGTGCATTTTTTTCATTTTTCAAATCTTGCAAAACACTAGTTTCAAGGTTATTTTTTTCCAAAAGTCGGGACTCATAGCTTCTTGGATATTCTTGACATTTCAAATTTTCGCGGTCTGTAATGCTGATTAAATAAAATTCAACTAACAAGGGAAGTCATTTTACCTACCGTCTTGGAATTTTTGTAACTTTGTACACGTAAACTAGAAGGTCTTCTGAGTGTGTTCACAAAATTCCAGCCTGCACTGGCGAGTTATGGCCATCTGAAAATTCAAGGTGTTTTTCCATTGTCAGCAACCATTTGGGCAAGAGGTTACACATACGCCTCTTGGCTCCCTTTTCTAGCGTCGAGGTGTGGTGGAGTGGCAAGGGTGCGGGATTGAAATTTTGTGTTGAAGGTTCGCTCCCGGCGCACGCATTTTCGCATTTTTTCTTTTTGCCACAGAAAATTCCAATGTCAAGATGTAAGATATGTGTGGGATAATGGACCCCGATGCTCCGCCCCCATTTCAAATTCAATGGTCCCCTCAAATTTAACTAGTAGAAAGAAATTTGTTCAAATAATGGAGGGTGGCTTCATTTTGTGGAATTTCGAATAATTGTCAAAATTTCAGACGCAAATCAATTTGAGCTATCGCGAAGATTTTCCCTACTTGCCAATCATCACCCAATTGGAATTGCAAACCGAATAAATCATATTCTTCGCAAATAAATAATATGAACAATTTTTTTTTGCTCGTCTCTTCCTGCCGTTGAAAATCGAGATCGCTGAGCGGATTGGAAGGTAAAAGCGGTTTTCAGATAGGAATCTGAGCGTCGTCGTCGTCGTCGCTATCAAGTTTCGTCGCAAGTCGAATTATGCATAGAGAGGGGAGACGACGACGATGGGGAAAAAAATCGAATCCTTCGACAGTGTCAAATAAGGTGGGGGGTATGGAGATGATGACGGGCTATCGCCAATTCGGATCTGAGCTGATTTTCGTTTTGCCGACGAAACCCCCCCCCCATCCTCCGCCTCGTCTCACAACGCATTATTTTTTTTTGGCTTGACTTGCCGCTTCTTAGCAGGTTCGATTTTTCGCAACGCAATTATGCAATCGCTCTAACAATGCTCGCCGCGCATACCCAAAAGAAATGGCGTGAGAGATTCAAGGTAGGTCACTGCTTTCATTTTTTTTGTTGCTATTATGACCAATTCTGGACCATCGCACTTTCTTTTTTTTTTGAGGCGGAAATTCGAATTTTGAAGTTGGGGCTCGATATTTTGAGAATATCTTAGAAATTTGCATATTTTGGTGCAAACACGGAGACGCAATTGTGCAGAGTAGAAAATTGGTTTTTCTTCCAATATTTTAAATAGAAAATTTGAATTTTTACTAATTTTGCCGAAAATCGCTTCTCAGAATTGGGCTCCGCGCGAGACCCAAAGCCTACAGTAATCGTACCCTTCAATTTTAATTTTTCCCGCTGAATGGGTCCATTAGAGCGTTTAAAGAAAAACTAATTTTTGATTTTTTTAAATATTTTTTTACGATTTAAATAGAAAAACGACGGATTTTTGGGGAAAAAATAAATCTTCAAAAATAATTTTTTTCCAATTTTTTTTGTCAAAAAAAGAAACTCAAAAAATCAGTTTTTTTAAACCTCTAAAAAATTCGAAAACCATTTGAATTTTTTTTTTTGGACTTTTTCGAAAAATATTCCAATTATTAAAAAATCTGAAATAAATAGTAGTTGGTGCAAACACCGAGACGCAATAGTGCAGAGTAGACGGGCCGAATAGAAAATCCGCCAATTTGTTTGTGGAGATTGGTCGTTTATCGAAATTCTCCAAATTTTAATCAAGATCAAAGATCAAAAATCAAATAATTAGTTGAGAGGAAGATTTGAAGAAAAAAAATTTTTTTTTTGAAATTTGAGTCAAATTTTTGTTTTTTTTTAATGAATATTGTAATCAAAATAATTTTTGCGAAATTTGAAGAAAAAAAATTTTTTTTGAAATTTGAGTCAAATTTTTGTTCTTTTAAATGAATATTGTAATCAAAATAATTTTTGCGAAATTTGAAGAAAAAAAATTTTTTTTTTGAAATTTTCGTCAAATTTTTGTTTTTTTTAATGAATATCGTAATCAAAAAATAATAATTTTCGGCACCTTTAAAAATCGCAAATTTTTGGTTTGAAATTCAAATTCCCTTCATTTGTTTTTCTTAAACAAACATACCCCAGTTTTGGATGTTTCTATCGCTAATTAATCAAGATTAAAATTCGAAACGTCTGGGTCTCTCAAAATCGCACACTCTCTCGCGAACACTTTTATTTCCGTCGTTCGAACTGCGCGATTTCCCATCGCCGAAAAAAAAACATTCAAAAATGATTTTCTGTGATCAATTGCGTCGCCGTGTTTGCACACACTTTCAACATGCTATTAATTTGAGTGCTAAAATTGCAAATGCAATATTATAGAAGAATTTTCGGCGATTGTGCACCGGCGAGCATCGCATCAGCTGGATCATCGCCTCGACATTATTTCTGCTCATCGTCTATTTTTTCTATCAAGTCCAATACAAGACCGGAATCGATATTATTCCGTTGTTCCCGATCGACGATTCGGGATTCAGGTGGGCGAAAAGAAAATTCGGCGCGCGCGCAGGCTTGTTGAAATGTGCGCGCACATCTGCGGACATGTTTCGGGGTCGCGCCACACTCTATGCGGCCACACACATTTTGTAGAAAATTCATTTTTTTTGGCGATTTTTTGCAGCCTCTACAATGAAGAGCTTTTGCGTAACGTGAAATCGTCGAAAAGCGCACAAGAGCAACGCAAATCGGGCAAAATTCTGTGTTGGGCGATGACGACGTCGATCTACCACAAAACTCGAGTGCCCGCCATTTCGGACACGTGGCTGAAACGCTGCGACGCCGGCCACATTTTCACGAACTCCGAACGCTTCCTCAACGAGTCGACGCCCTATCATACCGTATTCCACGGGCTCCCCGAAAGCTATTATAAATTGTTCTGGAAGACGCGTCTCGCGCTATTATACGTCTATCGAAACATTTCAAGCGATTTCGATTGGTTGGCCGTCGATAAAATTTTGCGACCTTGAGCTTCTTCTAGGTATTTCAAAGGCGACGACGATACGTATCTGGTCGTGGAGAACTTGAAGCGCTATGTTGAGAAACTCGATCCGAATAAGCCGTTTTTCATCGGCTATCGATTGCGTCGTCGAACGGTAAGCCGGGGGACCATTGGGCACCATTTCATTTCGGCGATTTCAGACGACCGGCTACAATGCCGGCGGCAGCGGATATGTGATGAGTCGCGAGGCGATGCGTCTGTTCGCCGACCGCCTATTCCATGATAAAGACGCGTGTCCGTATCACGAATGGGAGGACTATGCGATTGCGCGATGCCTCGCGTCGGTCGGCGTTTTTCCCGAAGACACGCGCGATGACAAAGGACGACAGCGATTTTTGCCGTGGCGACCCGAACAGCACTATTACGCCGATCTCACCAAATCGTTTCAGATGGATCCAATTCAAGTTTGGGTACTAGTCGATTTTCTAGACAATTTTTTTTCGAGTTTCTACAAGATAAGAATTGATTGCAAAAAATGTTGATGTTGGGAGGTTTTGAACCCGCGCCAAAAGCTCTCCCAACATAGACACTTTCCACTCCCCCACACAGGCAAAACGCGACGGATGAAATCCGGGCGAATCACGGTCCGTTATTGACCGTTCCAGCGTGTCGCTGACGTACCGGACACGGACGTCTTAGCGTATCCGGGAACGGACCGTGATTCGCCCGGTGGCGTTTTTCACATGCTTTTTTTTCTTCCGTTCGTATAATAATCAAAATTAAAATTGAAATCATATAGACAGCATTATTATAAAAGTTTTATTTAAGAAAAATCGAAAAAAAAAATATTTACGAATCGCAATCGCTATATTCGTTTTGAATTTAATCGTATTCGATTGTAAAATGATTAATTCGTATTCGATACGAAAGAGTCAATTTTTTGTTTCACAATCAAATACATTAAAATTCGAAATGAATACACCGAGTTTCGCACCAAATACGAGTACATTCGGGTTTTTCCAAAGAGTAATCGAGTACCACAAATTTCAAACTTAATTTTCGATCAAGTTTGTATCCGAAATTTGTTGTATTCGATTCGAATCGAATTACTAGAACAAAAATAATTCTAAAAACAAAAAAAAAATATTTGCACATTCCATTTGCACACGCGTGTTCTACCTGGATTGGAACATTTCCATTAACTCTTCGATTTTGGCGGTTTTTCCGCGTCGTTTATCATCGCTGAAACACAGTATATAGCATATATATAACATTCGCGTTGCTCACTTACATGAAGTTTCTTGTCATTTCTCGTATATGAGAAACGACGACGGTTTCTTCCCACCCTTCACTTTTTATATCGAAGCCTCGGTGTAATATTTCTGAAAAAAAGCATAGTTTTTACCATTCAATTTCTCATTGGCCAATATGGACTAGGCGCAAGTTTTTAGCCGGTCAATGTTACTTCAAATCTACTTACTTCCAAGAATTTCGAAGAACTTGTCCGGTATTTTGGGATATTTCGTTCGTTTCGTTGACGAAGCGGCCGAATAAATTACAAAAAAATTATCTTTTTCGCATAACTGAAAGTAAATGTGTTCATGCAGTTGTACAGATTATGCATTACCTCATTCAGTATGTGCAGTACCGCCTTTTCAAGGCCTTTTTCAGGCGACTGTGCCATCCATTTTGAACAGTTTGATGGAGTTAGTAAATCGCCAATGCGCAATTTATACCCAGCTGGCATATCGATATCTTCGTCGACTTCTTTACCTTTTACAATATCGAAACTGTTGATATCTGTCTACAATTATTTATATATATATACCGTAAAACCTGTATTTGAAAGGCATCCTCTAATTGAACGGCCTCTCTAATAGAGCGGCACCCTCTAATTGAACGGCACCTTTCAATAGAACGGCATTCTCTGGTAAATGAAAATCAATCGGTTTCGAAAGAATTTCATTTTTAATCGTAATCAAATACATGAAAATTTCAATCGAATACGATTTTAAAATTGAAAATGAGAAATAAATCAATTGGTTTCGAAGATTTTTCCATCGAATACATTTTTTCAAATCGAGTTCGATCACTTTATCAATCGAATTCAAGCACATTAGTTACCAGATTTTTTGCAAGATTCGTAATTTAGTAATTGAAAAATAGAGCGGAACCCCTAAGAGTCCTTCGAAATATAGAGCGGCATGCCGTCTAATACAGGTTTTACGGTATATATATATATATATATATATGCAGAAGTTGTCGGATGTCGACTATGTATATGTCCATTACAAAAAAACAACTTTTAACTAACCACTAAAACTTTGCTGGTATGGGACTCTCGTTGCCCGCGCTCCATTTGAAAAGCCAAGGTGGCCACAGTCGCAGCTAATACTTCGAAGTTATTTGAATGGTCCTTGCACTGCAAGCATTTCAAGACCTCATAAAAATCCACCGAATTCTTGTTTTTCATTGTACGTTGCAAATTTGCCTGAAAAGTACTATTAGGAATTTAAGTCTAAACAAAAGCACTTTGCATTCATTCCGTGATAACAATGTCCCTTGATCATCGAAGCAAGTCTTCTTTATCATTTCGTGGCAATTCCAGTGTCCGCCGGATGATAGATTTCCCTAAGTAAAACGAAGTAATAAAATTTGTCGTTATTACATAAATGAGGCAAAACTTTGTCATAAAAAATTAAATTAAGCCGATGTTTTTTAACAAAATATTTCTTTTAAACTAATTTAACTAAATATTATTTTTAACTAAATCAAATTTTTTAACTAAATTTATGCTTTTCAACGGAATTTAATTTTTTTAAAAACTAAATTCGATATTCTTTTTAAACCAAATTCGATGATTTTTAACTAAATAATTTTTTAATTAAAATTATACTTTTTTAATCAAATTCGATATTTTTTGACTGATTTGATTTCTATATATTATGACAAATATATATATAAAATCGATACCCGATTTTACCATTCCGTCTATACCATTTTGCGAACATATTATTTGTTTCTTTCCCACAACTATTGCACACATAGTGCGCGTTATAAATAGTCATATTGTTCTTCCATAGCTGGAAGCTTTGCCGACGGAATGTTAAATCTTTATGAGAAGAAAGGAATCTCTTGAAATCTGTAATTGCCTCTTTACTTCTTCGTAATTTTTTCCTATTTACCCGCATCGGTACTTCGAGCTATGCACGCTGAAGTTACGAATGTCAAAACTTCGTCCGACACATTCGCTAAATACTGCGCCAAGTCTATTCGAAAATGGCGATTAGTATTAAGACAAATTACCTACCGCTGTGGGGACAATCTTCTGAAGATTTCTCATCGTTTTCCTCAACATCGTTTTCCTCAACTTCGTCACAATTCACATCCCATTGAAACATTTCTTCCTCTTCATCGATGTCTATATTGAGCGACTCAGAAAGTTGAACATCAATCGGTTCAGATAAGTTTTCTTCACTTGAAGAAGATACTTCTCTTGATCCTATTGTAGTAAAAGAGAGTATAGCAAATAGTTATGCAATTTTAACATACTTTTTGTTGGTAAAGATGGTAGAAATCTTCGATATGACCGTCCCATGACTGAAATCGTAGTCTTTATCAAAACTTGAACGAAAATTGGGAAATTTTTGTATTTATTTAAATGACCTAATGACCCATTTACAATCTGAAAAAACAATTTCAAAGGAACACTATTCATTTTTCAACTACAATGGAATAAAACAGTAACTTTTCCAAATAATGATACGGTATTGGAACCGTTAAACAAGTCGAGTAAACCTCAAACTTGGGTAATTAAACCTTCATTATTGAACGAAAACGAACAAAATGTTAACAAAGCGATACAAACTAATAACAAACTTGATGATACTAAATATGGTGGATGGTGGGCTTGGGGAAACAACTTAATAAACTGAAATAATACGACTAAAAGCATAAGTAATTGACTAAATCGGTGTTTACGATTGGGGACTTGCATTTAAATAAAGGTGAACTTCGGCCGCGGCCCTCTTTTTGCTGGACATTGCCCGATGGCATGATGGCGTGCGTCTCTTCATTTCGCACTCTCTCTCTCGCCCACCGCCTCATCGTCTCGCCCACTCTCCCATTTCCACATTATCTCTACATTACAAAACAACGAATATAAATATGGAGCGGAACAGTTAGAACGCATAACGGTGAATCGACAGCAGCGAACTTAGACACATCGATCTTAGGAAAGGAAGTCTCGAGCCGTGCTATGGTTACCGCATCGGTATCGGGCAACCTGCAACAAGAAAATTTAATTATCAGCCATCGGTCGCCACAGCTTCCAGTGAAGCCGTTATATTAAATATTAATTAACTTTTGTGTCGTAACGTTTCAGCCAGGAAGTGTCGATCAGTAAATAGTCCTTTGTTTGTCGGTGACATTTTCACTCGAAAAAAATTGTCACGTAATTGGTCCGTTTTTTGTCTGTGATGCCTTTCAAAGAAATATTTCGTCCGTACTTAATCCGTTTTTTAGCCGTGGCGTTTCATACTGAAAATCAAGATCCGTAATTAACACGTTTTAAAAACGTGGCCAATAAATCTCCGGACTTTGTCCGTTTTTTGTCCGTGATGCCTTTCAAAGAAATTTTTGGTCCGTACTTGGCCCGTTTTTTAGCCGTGGCGTTTTATCCTGAAAATCAAGATCCGTAATTAACACGTTTTAAAAACGTGGCCTATAAATCTCCGGACTTTGTCCGTTTTTTTACCGCGGCGTTTTTCAAAGAAATTTTTGGTCCGTACTTGGCCCGTTTTTTAGCCGTGACGTTCAAATATCCGGACTTCGCCCGGACTTCATCCGTCGCGTTTTGCCTGTGCACAGTGCACGCAGCGATTCCATTCCAAACGCCGGTGATATAGGGGAGGTGGGGGCGGCGTCTCAAAGAATGCAAAATCTAAAAACGAAAATCTGATGTGATTTTCAGGAATTTTGGCAGTCATTTCCAGACTCCCTTGTAAAAGATTGAGCGGCAATTCAAAATTTGATCACCAAATGAAAATCTCGCAATTAAGCGTTGTTAAAAGAGATACATTTCAGGGAGCCGACATTTTCCACGAAAATCTCATTAGTATGCATCATTTGTATCCGGATGAAATCCGATTCATCGATGGTTTGTTGTACTCGATCGCACGAGGGATTTGGGACAGTCACAAATCGACAGAAGCACCAAATGTGCCGAGTACACCGTCCTCCGCAATGGATGAAACCCTTCGACCGCCTATTCAGTCATTTTGATCTCTTGATTTCAGTGGATAATTCATAAATTATTGTATTCCCACTAATTCATTTTTCACTGTTTTTTTTTTGGAAAAATTAGGTTCAACCCAAAAAGTGTGCATACACTCGCACGCAAAATTGCACACATCTGTATGCTTTCAAAAATGAATTTTTCAAAAACTTTGAATTTTTTTAGATCCCAAAATTTGCAAAAAAGTATTATTGATTAAAATCTTAAAAAAAATAATAGAAAGCTGATTGGAGTTTGTTTTTTATTTGCACTAAAAACGGTCATATTTGTATAGTGTGCTATAGCTCACCAAAAATCGATGGAAAGACAGTTGCACCATCGAGTTAGGGACCATCGAAAATCAACAAGTAAATTATTTCAAGCCTCCCCCATTAATTTTGCATACAAGTGTCTGGAAACTCGAAATAAAATAATGGGATGCCTTATACCGCGCTTCCATCTTACACTGATTAAGCGCGACGCAAGCATAATGGAAGCATTGTGGGAAATCTGTGGAACGGAAGCATAATGCTTCCATATAGGAAGCATAATGTAATTCTTAGTGGCTGTGGAAGAAATATGGGACGAATATGGATGGAATGAAAACGGGATGAATATGCTTCCGGTGTTTGCGAGCCGTGGAACAAATATGGATGGAATATGGATAAAATAATCATATGTCAATAAACATTATACAATTGGCGTCTGGACGGCAGACCAAGACAATTTCTAGAAAAATCAATACAAAAAACTTATGCTATCATATAAACAATGAAAATTTGAAAATTACATGATACACAACGGACGAAATTTAGCTTCTACCATTTAATGACTTATGTTACTCAGATTTATGTTAATTCAGTCAACTGTTCCTCACTTTGTTTAAAGATTGCCAACTACAATTTAGTCGTATTAATATATTTTTGCCGGTTTTTCCGAAATTGGCATCGCAAACTACTCACAATTTGCTCCAAACTGGTAGCAGACGCGCGTAGAAGAGGCGTGCCGCAGCATTGCAAAACCGTGCGCCGCTTTGCACAATGCGGCCACGCCTCACATTTTCGAAATTCGTTTTCAAAATTTTTGTCCTTTTGCTTTTTCTCAATGAATTTTCAAGATTTTTTGTGTTTTTTTTTTGTCAAAAATTAAAGAATTTTTTTCAAAATTAAAGGAAAAATGTTTTTAAAAAATAAAGGAAAAATTTTCATATTTATCATCAAAATCGAAACCAAAAATAAATTGATAGCATTCGAAAATTTTAAAATCGATACGATGTTTTCAAATCGTTTCCGACACTTTTAAAATCGAATTTAAATATTTTCTCAATCGAATTGTGTTTAATTTCTCATCGAATCCGTTTTATTTTTATTTACTTTAACATATATTTTATTATCGCTCGCTTTTTTCATTTAATAAAACATAATGTTTTGAAATTTTTTACAGATGAAGACAAGATCGAGAGTGTTGTCAGATATAACTGAAACTGCTCTAGAAGTCAATAACAAAGAACCAGAAGTCCCTAACATGGAACCAAATTCGCTCGACACTTCAGATCCAGATAGTCCAATTTACTCGCCAACTCAGCAAAAAATTTTTCTCCACAGTCCTCACAAACAACAAAATCAACGCCAATTCCTAAACCTTCGTACGCCCAATTTGTAAGTTGTTATCATCAAAAATTGGCCTGTTCGACTCCAGAAATGGTTTCAATTAGAAAAATATGCGCAATGAAGTCTTTATAAAGTACTTCCTAAGTTTAAAGCTTGTTGATTATTTGGTTCCAATCAGGGCTGTGCGGCAATGGAATTGCCGATTGCCGAAATTGCCGGTTTTTCAAATTGCCGAAGAAAATTTCGATCGGTAATTTGCCATTAGCCGAATCGCCGAAATTTCCGATTGCCGTACAGCCTTCGTACCAATATCATTCAGTGGCATTTATCTTTTTAAGTGGGGCTCTAGTACAGAAGTCGCCAGACGCCGACTATATAAAGATCCTATACTTTATTGCAAATATCTATATTACAGATGCTCTTATCCATGGCTTTGGGCAACAACCGACAAATGACTTCAAAGCGAAAGCATTACGCATGGTTCGAGAAGTCATGGATAATCTTCTGTTAGATTTTGAGCTATGACTATTAATTTATTTATTTGATTAAGCGATAGAATGCGCCAACGACTTTAAAGGAAATTTGGTGTAGCGCCGGAAGCGCTCGCGGCGCAATTAAGGAAGCTGCTTGATTCTACCAGCAACCCTCAGATGTGAGTATTCATATGTCATTGAAATTTTAACCAAAATGCCTTTTTGCTTCAAATTTTGGAGTTGTTCTTTCTTCCGCCAATTCACTTTTTATTTTGTGCACTAAAGGGTTTCCAAAAATGCAATAAAAATAAATTATTTTTATTTTTAAGAAAATTATTGATGTAAAAAAACTGATTGTATTTTCTCGAAAAATTTAGTTTACGTAACAATGGTTTACAAGTTTTTCAAATTAATAGGCCCATTATAATCTACTTATTACAACGTCCCGCTCGATGTCAGTACTGACAATGATTCGAATAGTTCGGCAGTTGCCAGTAACTAATGGTTTGATTATATCTTAATTGAAATTCATTTCATTGTTGTTTTTTTATTTTAAATTAAATAAATGTGTTAATATGAAATAAATTTTGAATACAGCAATCAAATTGTTTTCTTATTTTCCCATATGGAAGGCATACGGCTCATTCCATATACGAAACACGCGGTTCCGCAAAAAAATGCTTCCATTATGCTTCCATATAACTTGCATATAAGATTCCTATGATATCCACAGCCGTTCCACTATGCTTCCATTGTGCCTATGCCGCCGTTTATCTGTGTACTTCCTCGAGCGGTTGTGGTTCAGTGGTCTGTCGGTTTTGTTGTTCTGCGTGGAGTTGCGGTTTCGCTCCCCCTCTCTGCCAACATTTTTGCACATTTTTTAATTGATGATACATTAATTATAGCACTGTCATATATCGTTTTTCTTTGTCACTAGATCATGTATTGGTAAAAAAAATCGAATATAATACATTTTCAGTGTTTTTTTCCGCGGCAATTTACCGGGTCCCAAAAAAATGGAAGCATTGTTTGGCAAGTTTTTTTTCTCCATACGAGACCCATACTAGAATTGGCGAAACAAAAAAAATCAACAACAACAACAACCGCAACGACTGTGTGCATGAGTGTGTGCGTGTGTGTGTGTGTGTGAGAGACAGCGACGTTTTGTGACGCATCAACGAGCCGCGCAAGCATCGCCCCCCCCCCCTAACAAAAAACCGTCGTCGTCGTTCTGTTCTGTTCTGTTCGTTCGCAAAACTTTTTTCGGTGTGCTCCTCCTCCTCCTCGTCGTCGTCTTGATTGATACTCGATGCCGAGGATTAGCCCGCGACGACAAAAACGCGAGAGAGAGGAAGAGAAGAGCACGCGAGTGTTTGGATGGTTGCTCAAATACAACGCTTAAACACACACACACACATATAGCGTGTATATTTAGTGTGCGTTTACCGTACAAGGGAGAGCATTTGTGTCTTCCTCCCTCCTCCAAATTTATTTTGCTGATTGAATTAATCAAGCCATAGGGGGGGGGGGTCCCTAATTTCCTTCGCGCGCCTCTTGGGACCACATTGTGTTCGCCTTTGAGTGCGCGTTTTTTATGAGAAACTCCTCCTACAAATTCGTGTCCATTTAATCCACAATGGATTACATTTGTTTGAAAGAAAGTTCTTTTTTTTTGCGGTCCTCACCGGGCCCCATCGTAAAATGGTGTTGATAAGCCGGCCGGCGCCATCGTGTTCGGCCATCGGAAAATTCGCTCTATCGATGGAATCTATTGAAAATTTGAGACAATGCCAAAACGCCCCCCCCCCACCCTCTATTTGTATTTTTTTTTCGCTTCGAGAACACCGACGGTCGCCAGATGGCTCATCAATCTCGGTTCGCGTTGACACCAAAAAAAAATTCCCGTCTGGACCCGATCTCATATTGCCTCTGATTTTTTTTTTTGAATTTCGCGCCCCGTCCTATTAATTGGGTCTCGTTGAAGATAAATATTTCAAGTCGCATTTTATGTGCGCTAATTTTGCCGAAAATCGCTTCTCAGAATTGGGTTCCGCGCGAGACCCAAAGTCTACAGTAATCGTACCCTTCAATTTTAATTTTTCCCGCTGAATGGGCCCGTTAGAGCGTTTTTTGTAGAAAACTGATTTTTCTGAGTTTTTTTTTTTCATTTTTTACGATTTAAATAAAAAATGACGGATTTTTGGGGAAAAATAAATGTTCAAAATTAATTTTTTTCCAATTTTTTTGTCAAAAAAAAACTCAAAAAGTCAATTTTTTAAAAACCACCAAAAATATTCGAAAACCATTTGAATTGCTTGCGGACTTTTTCGAAAAATATTCCAATTATTAAAAAATCTGAAATAAATAGTAGTTGGGTGCAAACACCGAGACGCAATAGTGCAGAGTAGACCGGTCGAGATAGAAAATCCACCAAAATGGTTTGTGGATATTCGGCGTTTATCGAAATTCTCCAAATTTTAATCGATCAAGATCAAAGATCAAAAATCAAATAATTAGTTGAGAGGAAGATTTGAAGAAAAAAAAATTTTTTTGAAATTTTCGTCAAATTTTTGTTTTTTTTTTAATGAATATTGTAATCAAAATAATTTTTGCGAAATTTGAAGAAAAAAAAATTTTTTTTTAATCGCCAAAGTACATTAAAAAAAGGAAAAGCTGAAAAACAGTTCCGTCATTTTCGTTATCAATCGTCAACTATAGCATTTTTGAACACGCCATTTCAATAATGGTGTAGGCGAGCCGCCCGGGCGACGATCGAGAAGCTGATAAGCGAAACGCTCATTTCCAAAATTTCGCGGTGCACGCATTTTCGTGGAGAAAAAGAAAAAAAAACGGCGCGATTCGTATTGTGGCGTCAATTCGAAAACCTTCCGGTTTCTCCTCGAAAATCCGCTGATGATGGGCCAA